CGTCGAGGACAAGCATCAAAGACATGGCAGTTAGTTCGATTGTAGTTTGGGTAAGCAGCCTACTTGAAGCCCCGACTAATCGTGACTTGTTTTCGACTTGTTTTCCATTAAGAGGTGTTCCCTCTTAAAGGTGCCTTCTGGCAGGGTTAGCGCCAGTGCAGTTGTGTCTGGCCCCGACAGGGTTAGTTTGTGGTTTGGGGTTTGTAGTTTGGCCGCCTCAGCTAGTGCGTCATGTGGAGGTTAGGCTCAAATCGGGGCGGACGGAAGTGGTTAAAAGTGTGCCCAGCAAATTGGCAGAGTGCGGCTGGCGGGGCGGAAGGGCAGCTGGGCGGCCCAGACCAAGGCTTACTATTTGATTTGCTGCATCACTAGCCCTCAGCGGCTATCGAGACTAGCCAGGCTAGTGGCAGCGAGTAGCCAGAGTAAGGGTTGGAGCGAGAAGACGTGGGGCAGGGTGCTTAGGGGGTCCCCCTGCCTTAGGGTTCGCCGCATCGGAATTGGTCTGGTGGTGGTGCGGTTGACGAGGTAGCGGGAGGTAAGGTCTGCTTTCCTGCCACAGTCACCGTAGAGGGCGCCAATGATCGTTGCAAAGGTCGGCGCGGCCCGATGGAGTAGCTCCTCCATCCATCCCCAGTCCACTCGGTCGTACGCCTTGCTCTGACCCAGCGTCTGCAGTGTCGAGCCTTTCGCCGCCACCTCCAGGACCGCGCGTAAGGTGAGGCCATTGTCGGCGAGTTGCTGCCCTCTGACGAAGCCAGTTTGCGCCTGGCTGACGAAGACAGATGCAAGCGGTTGTAGCTTCGCCGTAAGGGCCCTTGTGTAGATCTTGTAGTCCACATTCAGTAGCGAGATTGGCCTCCAATTGTCAATCGTGTGCAGGGATCCTTGCTTCGGGATCAGCCGGACCACCGACTCCCGCCAACTGCTCGGGAGAGGGTGTGCTGGGTCTGCGGCGGCGATGCGTACAATCTCTTCGACAACTTGTAAGGCTTGAGGGAAGCGGAGGTAAAACTTGTAGGTAAGGCCGTCGGCGCCCGGCACGGACTGAGCAGCCGCCCCCTTACGGCAGGCCTGTGTCAGCTCGGCCAAGGTCGGCGTGAGCGTGGGTGTCGGCAGGGTGGGCGTCAACGCTGGCGGGAGAGGATCGAGTAGCTGGCGGCGGCTGGCTGGGCACGACTCCCCTGCTTCCGTCATCTGCTGGAAGTGCGCCGCAACTACCTCTGGGACTTCCCTGGTCTTGCAAAGGCGGCCGGAAGCGTCACGCAGATTCGGAATTGTGGTGACCGCCGTGGCCGCTCGGGCGTGGGCCAGGCGAGGCACCGCCGATGGGCCTAACACGTCTGCTAGTCGCGCTCTGATCGGGATGCCGCCGTTGCGTCGCAGTCGGTCTGCCTCCTCGTCGCCCTGCTGCCGGCGGTCGGCAGCCAGTCTCCTCGAGTGTCGCTGCGCGTGGAGGGCGATGCGCTCCTTGCACCAGTTCCACCACTTGGACGTCGACGGGAAGGAGGGGCGGCGGGCCAGCCAGGCGTCCCAGTGAGACTGACAGGATGCAACATAATCGTCGTCATCTAGCAGCTGCTCGTTCAGGCGCCACGGTGCTGTCGGGCGCAGGGCAGGGCCGTGGTAGCGTCGAGAGTTCCGTCCGCGCACCGAGCGCGCCGTGTGCCGGCGGGTGGGGGCTATCAGCTGCAGGTGGGCATCAACAGCGTAGTGGTCGCTCTCGTTGGAGGGGGTGATGAGAAAATGAGTCGGCGTGAAGGTGCTGCTGGCGGCAAAGATGTGGTCTATGCGGCTGCGGCTCACTAGATCGCCGTCCCAGATGTGCGGGCGGGTCCAGGGGCCGGGCGAGGAAGCGGCGAGGCTGCGGACCGCATCGGTAAAGCCGGCGAGGAAGGGCGCCAAGGCATCCCAGGCGGTGTCGGCGCGGCGTGCCCGGGCCTGTGGGCGTCGGTCCTGGCAATCAATATTCCTATCCGGACAGTCTTGGAAGTCCCCGAGGACAAGGTGGCAGGCTCGCAGCAAGATCCCACTGCGGTGGGAGAAGGCCCGCCGCCTGGACGTGGCAACCGGGGCGTAGACGATGGCGACAGTGATAGGAAGAAGCGGTAGGGCGGAACCAGGGGCACCATAGAGCTGGGCGATCAGGATGCGCCCGTCTTCGTGCACGCCGATCTGGTGCAAGCGGCCGAGGCCTGGACGGAGGAGGAGGGCCACATGTTCGGCGACCAGAGTGCAAGGGTCGTCGGCAGCCCCAACTAGAACAGCGTGAAGGGCGTCCCGGGTGGCGTGGTGTTCCTGGAGAGCGAGGAGGTCGAAGGGACCCTGGAGGAGAGAGGTGCGGCGATGGGGTTGCAGCGACGGAGGCTGGGGCTGAGGGAGGCGGCGGCAGTTCCACGTCCTCACCCTCGGGTCACGGTCGCGGCGGGCAGCGGGAGGGACCCAAGGCTGTGGCAGCCAGGTGGACCCGTACGTTGGCGGGATGGAAGAGGTCATGAGGTGCCAGTCTTCGTTCGAGGCGTTATCGGCCGCGAGCCGCCCGATGATGCCCAACAATGTTGTACGGCAATGAAGCCGTGCTGCCGAGTCGACGGCGCTACAGAATTTCCCTTACTTGCCAGCACAGTGTGGCGTCGTGTTATCGACGCTGGTTCAAGCAGTGACTACGAAACAGGTCCACCTGCCAAGCTAGCCAGGTCTGATCCAAAATCTGGACTTGTGAGCGAGCAATGCTGTACTGTTTTTGCCGACAACGAGAACGCCTCGAAACTTTCGTACTGGTCCGGCCTCTAAATGTTCGGGCTGGTCCGATGGTATTGCGTGGCCGTGCGCAAAGTGGCCAAAGAGGTCCAGCAGGTCCTTCAGAAGTCGCATAGGCTTGGTGCTTGCCCTTACTCCACGTCGATCCGACTCGCAGCTGATGTCTGTCGAGTCGAGGGCAGTCGCGAAGACGTCGTCTCCAATCCCCGATCTTCCTGACGAGCTCGGACGGTCGCCCTCGCTTGGCTGGCGTCACTCAGGGCGCGACCGGCGGCGAGGTGCAGCGGAGCAAAGGCCAAGCGAGGCGAGCAGGGTTCCAGGGCGTGGCGCTGCCCACGGTACGGCGTTGATGCCGATGCAACATACTGAAGTCGCGTGAAGCTCGCGATGACCGCAACGAAAGGTGCATTCATTGACATGCGAGGCCTCGCGCCAGGTCAAACTTCTCGACGTGCCCTCTGGCTACGCAGGCGTTGTCATACTACTGACATCGACGTGGACCTCCACCCCCATTCTTGCACGCACCTCGGAGCTTCTGCATGCACCCCGCAAAACCCAATTCATGATGCGCTTCTTTGCCTCACTCGCCGGCGGCAGGAACAAATTGGATCGAGACGAGGAGCAATCAAACTCAATGCGAGTCGAACCTACGATGCAATATCGGCATCATTCTGGGAGAGCACGTTGGGGACCATCCCACCTTCGCAGTTTCGACGTGACCTACTCGTGAGTTGGAGGGAGCGTGATGAGCAACCTACGTGGGGGCCTCGCAGACTTGGGCCCAAGGACAGGCACAAGCACTGTTCGGCGGGCGCTCTTGCAAACCAGACTTGCCAGCAAGCCAACACCGCCGCCGACAAGGTGGAGAGCAGGGTATAAGAAGGCGAGTCGAGCGTCGTTCCCACTCTTTCTGTCTCATCCAACCACCTCGCCCACTTCGGCCAGCTCTCACACACACCCACTTGCCAACATGTCCCCCAGCTTCTCCTCCCTCTTCGCATTTGCGGCGCTTGCCACCACCTCGCTGGCCTCGAGCGTTACTCTGCAGAACTCGTGCAGCTACCCCGTCTGGGTGCGCGACTCGTCTCCCGGCGCCAACGGCCGCATCGTCCGCGTCAACGCCAATTCTCCGTCGACGGACGTCACGCAGGGCGGTGCCGGCTTTGTCCTCAACCTCCTCACGGGCTGCTCCGACGACTCCGGTAATGGCTGCGCCACGGGCGACGTAGGCGGGGGTGCTCTGCCCTTTGGCCGCGTCGAAGCCACCTTCACCGACACGTACGTCAACTACGACCTCTCCCTCGAGTACGGGTGGAACGTCCCCGTTGAGATCGGCGCTCCTTCGTGCCCCTACTTTGCCTGCACTTCGCTCCCTGGTTGCCCCGTCCCTGGACCAGACGGTTCTTGTTACTCGCCCTGCTGCGCCTCGGCGGACAACTGCCAGGGAACCAACAGCTGCCCCTACGAGACGCGCGACAACGGTCCCGGTGGCAAGGGCGTCAACTCGCAGTATTACATGGACACTTGCCCTAACGCTTATGCTTGGCCGATTGAGGACAGCGACGTGCCCAGCGCCTACATTGACACCAACTGCGGTAACCAGGATCTTCAGATCAACTTCTGCCCTCCCGTTGGCAACAGCAACATCCCCCGCTCGTAGAGGTGGCGGTGTTCTCGCAACGGAAGAGGCCCGACAAGAATCGCCCTGATCGCTCTTTTCTTTCCATATCTTCGTCTCCCCAGCTTCGGAATTGAATCACATTGCTCTTCTGTACTTACGCGCGACGTCGGAATGATGCCCGTTTAGCTACAGGTGTACGTGAAGGGGTAGATCTGGGCGAGGGGTTGTGAACGGCATCGGCGCTACGCGGAGGCTGTAGTGAGCGTGACAGTCGAGAATGCGCTGCTGGATCTTGAGTAGCCTCAGCGACGAGCGTAATCGACCGGCGAGTGATGAGGTGACATCCTGATAGATCCAGCTATCCCGATGGTGATGGTGTCGATAAGAAAGAAGGGATGGCAATGCCTCGCACCTCTGTGGTGCTTCCGCCCCGCCCCGCACGGTGGGCGCGGAACTGGCGGCGCGGCGCGACCTTTGGTTTGAACCCTTGTGCCTTGTGCCGGTGCCGGTGGCCGCTCTTGTGCCTGCCGCGTGGGCGTCGAGATTGCTTGGCGCGGGACACAGCAAATTGTCGAAGGCAAGGCGTTGGCTCGTATCTTTGCTCATCACCACGACATCCTCCTCCACCGCGAATAGCAGCCGCAGCCGCATCCACGGTTGCGCACCCTCCATCACCATTCCTTTCTCGCTGCCTGCACCCATGCTCAACCGCATCGCTGCTCTCGCCGCATCATCACCTGCTTCCCCCTTGACGGAATAACACGTGCTTAACCACGCGCGCATACAAAGATGCCGCCCGCCTCAACCATCGTCGCTCCTCAGATCGAGGACGTCTCCAAGGCCTTTGCCGTCTTAGGCTTCTTCATCGTCGTCTATGGCCAAGTCTCCTACATAGCCAAAGAGCGGCTCTACCTCTCCGAGCCACTCATTGCCATCACGCTGGGGATCATAGTCGGCCCCTACGTGTTAGGATGGGTCGATCCTTTATCATGGTCAGAGGATCCAGAAATCTACCACGAGACGACGTACCAGTTCACACGTCTAGTCGTAGGAGTCCAAGTGCTTTTCACTGGAATCGCTCTACCCAAGGCGTACCTACGCAGGGAGATTGTATCCCTCCTCGTCCTCCTCTTTGGAATCATGACGACGGCCTGGTTTGTCACCGCCCTTCTTATCTGGGGACTGATTCGCACGCCTGGTGAATGGTCACTCACTTTCCTCGAGTCACTCTGCATCGCCGCCGCCGTCACGCCAACTGACCCGGTCTTGGCAAACTCGATCACAAAGGGACGCTACGCAGAGAAGCATGTTCCCGCCAATGTGCGCAACATCATCCTCGCAGAGTCTGGCGCCAATGACGGCCTCGGCTTCCCCTTTCTGTACATCGCCGTCTACCTCATCGACCGCGCCTCCATTGATCGCGGCGATAGCGTTGGCACAGAGGTGGGACGCTGGGTCTACGCCGTCGTCATCTACCAGATCATCCTCAGCTGCGTCTATGGATTCGTCGTCGGATTCATTGCCCGCAAGACGCTTAAGTGGGCAGAGGGTAGACAGTACATCGACAAAGACAACTTCTTTGCCTTTGGGTTGGGTCTCGCTCTCTTCACACTGGGCACGACGGGACTCTTCGGGTCGGACGACATTCTCGCCTGCTTCGTGGCGGGAAACAGTTTCACGTGGGACGACTACTATCGCATCCGCAGCGAAGAGAGCGACGTACAGGATATTCTCGATATGCTGCTCAACGCGGCGGTCTTCATCTACATCGGCACCATCATCCCTTGGAACTACTATCACGCCGTTGCCGATCTCGAAGGACCCACGCTCGGCGGCATTCCCACCTGGCGCATCGTCCTGCTAGGCATCTTCGTCCTCCTACTCCGCCGCCCACCTTGGGTCATCGCTTCCACCAAGGTCATCCCTGCCTTGACCACTTTCGGCGAATCTGCCTTTGCGGGTTGGTTCGGCCCTATCGGCGTAGGCGCTGTATTCTATATCGAGGTCGCGCTACGCTCCATCCCCGACGACGGATCGCGAGAACGCCTTCGTTCCCTCTACACGCCCGTCGTGCTCTTCACCGTCTTCAGCTCAGTCCTCACGCACGGCGTCACCATTCCCATCTCCAAGCTCGGCCCACACGTGGTAAAGAAGACGGCAACTCTCACGCGCAGTCGTTCCATCACCTTCACCTCGCGCCCGGGGTCGAGGAGTAATACGCTCGACGTCTCGTCAACAGCGGCCGCTGCTGCAAAGGAGCAAGAACAGGACAGTGGGGCACAGCAAAGCGCAAGCTCAGGCCGACCCAAGTGGAACCCGCTCTACTCCGTCGGTAAGCGAACGCAGAGCGTCGTCCTCTTCTGGCGTCCGGACAGCTTCTGGCGGAGGGAGGCGGACCACCTTCGGCATGGCGACCAGGATGGCGAAGGCGAGGGGGCTGATGGCGAAAAGAGGCCCACGATCAGTGGGCCCAGTGATCCACGACGTCGTCATTCAATCGAGGAGGCGCGCAAGGCTGAAGAGCAAGGGGCAAGTGCCAGTAGTGCCGAGAACGTCGAGGCCGGTACGAGCGAGTCCACAGGCTCTTCTCCAAGCGCAGACGCTGGACCTCGTGGGCATCGCCCCGTCCCTTCCGCGCTCGAGCTGCCTACGACGAGCAGCGGCGATCCTGCCCCTCCCGTGCCAGCCCATCTCCGTAACGCAGGTCGAGCGAGCGAAGTGCCCGCCTCTGCCGCTTCGACCGACTCTCAGCAGCCGGCTCCGTCCTCTTCGGCGACTCACTTTAAATGGTCTGCTGCAGGGTGGAACGAGGAGCTTGCTCGTGAGCGAGCAGAGGCTCAGCGCGAGGCCAGAGAGGGGTGGCCGGAGGCTGTCAGAGCTGCCATGGGTGAACGGGGAGGCGAGGGAAGTGGTAGTCGACCTGGTACTCCGCGTGCAGGTGGGGCAAGCACGCCTGGTACGCCGAACAGGGTGAGGTTTGACTAAGAGAGCGAAGGGGTGGGAGGGAATGCGAGGGACCGACGATCACAGTCGAAGGGAGGAGCGCAAGAGCCATGCTTTCAGTCGTGTAATCATCCTGCTGTGGGCCGGTACAAATACAGTTGATTCGGAGGACAGCCTGCTCACCGCCGTTCATCCAAAAGCCATCTTTCTGGCCATCCTCTTCCTCTCCTCGATCATCTCCCTCGTGGCTACGATGCGTTTGCCGTTGGTCGTTGCTTTAGCATTGCCGTTAGCATGGTTGCCCGGCGCTGTTTCCGCTTGCGCCTGCTTCTTGACGGCTATGACCGCCTCACCCCCACCAGCGCGCCTCTTTTCGTCCCTCTCTCCACTCTCTTCCAACAAACCCTGCGCAATCTCTCCCTCCTTTTCCTTGTGTCGTGGCAAGTCCTCTGGTCGAGTTGGCGATGGAGCATGCTGGCTGAAGTAGGGATGACGTAGTGAATCCTGAGCGCTGGGACGCTTAGCCGGGTCATAAGCCAGCATAGCGTCTAGCAGCTGTGATGCTCCTCTCCCTGCGCCGGAGAACAAGCTAGCCGTAGGAGGGCGAGGGTGTTGCTGAGCTGGGGCCATGGATGATGCCAAAGGTAGCTCTTTCCAATGCGCCCACTCTTGCGTGGTTGGCGTTCCTCTGGCCTGGAAGATGACTGCTAGCTGAGCCGCATCACTCCCCTCCCCCGGCATGTACGGGGTACGCAACATCATTTCGGCGAAGATGGCGCCCGCTGACCAGACGTCTACAGTTGAGCTGTAGTGGCGCGCGCCGAGGAGGAGTTCTGGAGGGCGATACCAGAGGGTAATGACTTGGTTTGTCATGCGGGTCGAAGGTGGGGCGAGTTCGCGGGCGAGACCGAAGTCTGCTAACTTGAGATGACCGGTGGGTGAAATGAGTAAGTTGTTTGGTTTCAAGTCCTGCGCAAGTGAGGGAGGAGAAGGGGGGGGGGGATGAGTATATGCGCTACCCCATCGTCTTGATTGTAGTGCTCACCCTATGCAGGCATCCCATCGCATGACAATAGTCGAGCCCCTTGAGCAGCATGCCCAACCAGCTCTTGACATCTGCCGGGGTAAAGACGAGGCCTCTATCCCTGATGAGCGCCTCCATGTTAGTATCCAAGAACTCCAAGACGAGATTCAAACTCTGCCCTCCTGCCCCACCACCACCACTTGCAAAGACATCCAGCAAAGCGATGACATTCTCGCACTTCATCTCTCTCAAGAAGCCCACTTCACGGAGCGCTGTTGGGTCTAAGCCGTCAGCTCCACCTGCAGATGCGGCTGAGATCTTGATCTTCTTGATTGCGACTCGTGTATTGGTTTCAAGGTCACGAGCGAGGAAGACGGAGGCGTAGGTTCCTTCGCCGACCTTGCGCTGTTTGAGGTAGCGTTGGCGTGGCGGCATGTGGGAGGAGGAGATGGTGGCATTGCTAGTAGATGGATGAGATGATGATGATGATGATGAGGATGATGAAGGCAGCGCCATCGTCGCTGTCGCTGTCAAGGGTGCAATGACGGATCGAATGGTGCGGAGACGAGACTGTTGGCTGAGTCGGACGAGGAGCGAGCGCATGGCGGCGGGCCTGAATCCAACAGGCACGGAAGTGGAGTCGAGCCTCGTCCTGCGCCCCTCAAGTCGGACTGGGACCTGGAACTGGAACTGGTTCTGTACCTGGACCTGCAGCTAGGGGTTCGCGCAAATATTTCTTACAACTCGACGACGTTGACACGCAATGACGAGCACGACGAGCGAGCCCGCCGTCGAGCAACTCGCAAAGAAGAAGGGCAAGCTCATCCGCCCGAGAGGCAAGAGAGGCGGCAAAAAGCATCAGAGCAAAGCCGCTCTAGCCGCTGCAGCTGAGGTAGTAAAGGCGGCAAAGAAGAAAGCAGCTCGCGGCCCATCGGAACATTCGATTCGCATCGCCCACTTCCATTGCCTTGAGAAAGAGAAGGCCAGACTCATCTCTGGCAAAGGCAGCGATCAGGGACAAAGCGCAGAGCTGCGTCTGGCAGAGATTGAGCGCGAGCAGGCTGAGCTTGGCGGGTTGGACGCATATCAGGATGACAGCCTGGCGGGGAGTGCAAGTCATCGTGGTGGAGAGAGCGGAAAATGGCTGGTCCAGCAGGTCATCAAGCTGAGGGGCAAAGAGACGGTGAGTGTGAGTGGAACACCTCCGAGCCTCCCTGATTGATGCTCATCTCTCGCCCTCACGCCCGCAGCTCCGCCTCTTAGACGTAGGCGCTCTCACCGGTACATCCTATTCGTCGTACTCCTTCATCAACCCTACATACATCGACATCAACCCACGTGCATCGCATGTCATTCAGAACGACTTCTTTGACTTTCCACTACCCGCGCAGAGCGAGGAAAAATACGACATCGTCTGCCTCTCCCTCGTCCTCAACTTCGTCGGCGACTTGGCCAAGCGAGGCGAGGCATTGGTCAGGGCGCATGGATATCTCAAGCCAGAGGGCATGCTTTACCTCGTATTACCGCTCGCATGCGTGGCAAACTCTCGCTACCTGGACCACGGGCGGCTGCAGGCTATCCTCGAGTCATGTGGGTGGGATGTCCTCGTCAACGATGACTCGGCGCGATTGACTAGGTGGTTGCTGAAGCGCAAAGAGGAAGTCAAGGGGGGGAGCAAGGCAAGAGGTGGACCATGTTGGGATGGGACGCAGTGGAAAAAAGAGGAGATCAAAGTCAGCAAGACGGCAAACAACTTTTGTATCAAGGTGGACCAGCCAGAGCAACCGCCAAAACGGCCGGCGAAGCGCGCCAAATAGAGTCGAGGAGTAGAAGTGACGATAGGAGTTGGACGGCAGCTGAGAGGGCTACACGGCAGCTTCGTAGGCCATTCGGCGCCGAGAAAGGTTCTCTTCACTCGAGCTCCCCCTTGACGGCGTCTCTCAGTCGAAGGGGAGGCAGACCATCGTTTGCCTAAAGAGGGATACCGCAAGCGGATCAGCAACGTCCCGGGGCTCAGCCGAAACTCGCTCTTTCGCTTCACTCACAAACCTCAAGCACTCTGTGCACGACGCAGCAGCGGTTAGACAAGCAACGTGAGCCGTCCTTGCGCGCCGACGCACTGTATTTACCCGCATGCTCGACACAGTTTCTGCTGGGCACATTGAGGTTGGTGCAGCCCGAAGAGCAGTCCTCGGCGGAACAGCCTTGGGAGACCTTATGGCTGGGCACGACACTTTGGCATGGACCAACTTTGTTGACGCCAGGGTAGTTGTTGCCGTAGATGGTCGTGTATTTGACTCCACCGCAGAGATCGTCAACGGTGAAGCAGTAGCCTGGCTGAGCGCGTGGGGAGGTCAACCAAGGCAGAAACACTGAGGCGGATCGTTGCACTCGCCTAGGTAGTAGATACCAGTCGGGCCGTTTGCGGCGAAGATTATTGTCGACAGGTGGGCGAGAACGACTACAATCGCCGTGGTGACCGGTAAGAGGGAGAGCATGCTGGGGAGGACAAGATGATGGTGAGGAGGACAAAGCAATTGGTGTTGAGGATAGCGCCTTTTATTATTCCAAGGCGCACAGCAATCGACGGCGTCACTTTGCCGCAGGGCATCGGGCAGGTCACGGACCTCGGACCTCCTCGTTATCGCCTCATTGCTGATGCAAGACGCGCGGATCTCGACGCTTTGCAGGGTCAATGACAGCGCCTACGGTCAGCAGTTGGCCCACGTATTTGCACTGCACTCAGCTTCAAGACACGCCGCCATCATCATCCGACTGCCGCAGATCAACGTCAGGGCATCAGTAAAAAGGATGGTCCGGCGCTGTGATAGGGCACACAAAAGTTGCTGGGAAGTCAGAGTCATCATCGCTGCGCCCTTGGAGCTGCGTAGCCGAGAGCCCCTTCCTGACTGGCGTCATCCTTTCCTCTAGCTCACGAAGGCGGCGGGATATGTCGGGCGCATTCGTCGATGATTGGAACCGAGACGGTGCAGACCGCACTGCAGCACCGTCGAGCTCAATCGCATCGCAGGGAAGGCCGCTTGTCATCATTGACTGCAGTTACATTCCTCAGTCGCAGACGAGGGACACCACAAGCGGCTTGATGGGGCAGAGGCGGATCAGAGTTGGCATTCCGCATTCCGCATTCTCTCGTTGAAGAGAACGAAAGATCAGTCCCAGGCCAACACAAGATGTCCCAACAGCAAGCCCCACGACGACGGGTATGGCGCGGGCGTGGCCGTTCTCTTACCCCTCGTCATCAATAGCGGAGTCTTTGCCGTCGAGTCGCTTAGCCGGAGGCCCATCGTCCTCCTGTCCAGGTAGAGGACTATCAGCTGGCAGTCAAACAAGTCAGTAGAGGACGCCGCACTCACGAAAATAAGGCAACCTGGGCGCGTGTGATTGCCAGCAAGGCAAGCCGTCAACTCTCCTACGACACAGACCATCCAACTAGCTCTCCCTTCGCGCGTACTCACGATAAGCCCTTGTATTGTCAATACAGGCATGCGCCTGAACTTTCATCGTGTCGCAGTCGGCGGAGCAATCCGGTTTGACGCAGGCTTTGGTCACTGGGTGCCCAGGCGCGACACTCTCGCAGTATCCGATCTCATTGGCCCCAGGCAGCGTACTACCGTAGAGGGTGCGAGTCTGCTCTCCGCTGCATTTCAGCTCCTTGGTCCAGCAATAGCCTGCAGGGCGAGGAGAAGAGGAGAGAGGTTAATCGGGTAGATAGAGGATGCTGGGACGGAAAGGAGCGACACTCGCCTAGGTAGTGGATCTCTCCCGCTTCTTTCGCCTCGTGCGTAGTGACCGCAGTGATCAGAAAGACGAGGCCAACGAGGAGTACGACGACGTGAGGCACGACGAGGGGTTTCAAGGCTTTGAGCATGATAAGAGCTGGAAAGAGGTGGAGATCTTGGGCAGAATTGGGAGTGGGAAAATACAGGCAATCAGCTTCCATTTGCGACGGTCTAAAGACAACCCGGCGACGCGTAGGGCTACAGCGCTTTCGAATCGCACAACGCAGCGCCCGCATCATCATGACAATGCCGCCGCCATTGGCTGCAGAGCACGCTTACCGGCAGAATCAGCGGGTGGCTAGCGCCTCAAAGGGCGAGACATGGCGGGGTAAATCGGAGGCGATGGCAGAGAACACTGTAGTGGGCACCGCACGGCCATGACCATGCGTGGCTGCGATGTCAAAGCCGGCAAGACCAAGCTGTGCCCTCGATCCGCGAGGATTTGGTCCTGAGGATCGTCGTCCAATGTTGCCGCCTCCGACCTCCCGACCGAGCGAGGCGGATGAGCGAGGCGAAGACGGCCCACACGAGGAGCTCCGACGGCATGATCAAAGCGCTCACTTCACGGCCGTGCTCGACATAGCCTGTTTCAGACATGATGCCATCGTAGAGGGTCACGCGCCGATCTGGACCATACCGTGTGGGCGCCAGGGCGCGGACCTCGCCGATCGTACAGGAATGGCAGTCCCTCTCATCGTGGGCAAGGGGCAACAGCTGATATAGGCAGCCCTCACTCGTCTCGCCATCTTCTCCAACACCTCCTAACTGCCCTCGCAACCAAGCATCTACCACTACATCGACTACATCACCCCAGCGCAGTATGGTCATGCTTCTTACCTGGACGCACACCGCCATGGCTCTCGCCGCCACCCTCACCGTCTTTGGTGTCAACATTGCCCCTCGCGCCGGACACAACGTCGCTCTCGAAGGAGGCGCAGCGCTCGAGGCAGCCCGAGCCACACCCTTCCCCGACGAGGCCGAGCCTCAGCAGCCCCGCGACACCATCGTCATGCCGGTGGCTGATCATATCCTCGCAACGAGAAACGTAGAAATCGGCCACTGCTGCTCCAACAGCATGTGCAAGGACGAAGGCTCCTCGGTTCAAGGTGTGGCTCAGGGCAAGAACCAGGTCCCTAATTGCGTTGGCTTCAAGTTGAAGTATTCAGCCGACTCTTTCTGCTCGTCCTCCAACTGCTCCAGCGCCACGGGCAAGTGCCGCGGGGGAGGGTTTCCTGCGGGAGGATGCTTGAGCTTCAGCACGGGTGAAACGGTCGGCTGCGTGGCCATGGGCAGTGGTGCCGTCGAGTTGTTCAAAGAACGTGCCAGCCAGGGTGCTCCTCAGCCTCGGCTTCTCGCTTCCGGTCTCAACAAGGCTCGAGGCAAGCTCGACATCAACGCCGCTCGTGATACGCACACGGTGTACAAAGCTCGAGACGCTCCCGAAGTCAACTCGGCCCGTCACGCCACCATCGCGCGTAAAGCTACAGTCCGTGGCGAGCAAGAAGCCGCTCTCGCAATTGACGCTGACGGGATCATCAATGAGAAAACTGCCGCTCGCGACGAGTAGTCTCGCACATCGTCGTTGTCAGACTTCGCCAGAGCAGACCAGACACAAGCCGCTTCTCTCTCGAGCACATACTGTAGAGCCCTGTCTGTGACAATCCTCTACTCGTTCGAAATACATCCTCACTTCAATTCGACGATGTCGTCTTTCAGCCGAGCCCTGCACGCGCGTGGATGATCCATCCGCACGCACAGCTTCGTCGCAAGCAGTGTCTGCGAGCGCCCGTGGGGTCTCTTGACTTCTCTGACGATGCGAAGGCCTCACAGCAACTAAATCCTCAAGGTGGATGTGCTCAACAGCACTGCGCAGACATGCGGATGACACGGCCGCGGCGGGTGGGGCATTTGCTCATGACACGCGCGCGTACTCTCAGGCGTCACTCTCGATGCCAAGCAAGATCGCTCCTGCCGCACAATGATGGGACACATGATCATTGATCTCAAAGGTGGGGATCAAAGAATGAGAGAGTCGTGACAAGGCCGCCGCTGATTACTGCAGCTTGGACGTGCCAGCAGGCTCCTTGGCGCCACGGACTGCGGCGCGGTCGCTGATGGACGAGGGTGGCTTCGGGTCGGGAGCCTGAGTTGAAGAGAGCAGATAATTAGTGAAGCTCTCGAGCAGCTCGCGCCAGACAAGGCGCTCACGAATACGAGGCACTCTGTGCGCCGGCGCGCAAATCAGCAAAAGGTCTAGACGAGCAGCACTCCTCCTCCCCCTTTTGAACGACTCACTGTAAGCCCTCGTATCCTCGATGCAGGCGTGTGGCTTCACGTTCATGGCGTCGCATCCGCCTGTGCAGTCCGAGTTGATACAGCCATCGACGACTGGATGGGCGGATGCGAAGCTCTGGCAATCGCCAATGGCGTTGGCGCCTGGTAATTTGCCAGTGACGGTGCGCGTCTTGACGCCGCTACACTTGAGTTCGCTGGGCCAGCAATAGCCTGTGGATAGGCAGCAAAGAAGAGTCACACGGGCTGCAGAGCTTAGGCTGATGAGCGGAGGTATCACTCGCCTAGGTACGTCCCATTAGGGGCGGCGCCCTGACCAAGGACCGTCTTGATACCCAGGTGAGCAAGGCCGACGAGAACAGCGGTAAGAAGCTTGAAGTTGATGGGCATGGCGTCGTGTGGTGGAGTGAGGAGGAAAGAACAGCGTGTCTCGATGAGCGCACCGCCTGTCGTGTGTAGAAGGGTCACGGGCAACGTAGCGGTAGCTCTGGAAGCAAAGGGCTTCGAGCGCGGTTCAAGATTACCCCGTCCCATCGTGGAAGGATAAGAAGAGGGTTGTCACGGTAAAACACGTGGCCGCCGCAGCCGGTGCTCGATTGCTTGCTTTGAGCAACGGTCGTCTTCAGGCTCAGCCTGCGCCATCAAGCTGGGCTGTGGTCCCGCGGAGTCATGGCGATCTCCCAATCCCGGCCGTACTTGTCGAGCGCCAGCCTTCGCAGTGCCTCATCGCCACAGCCCGTTCTAGTCATCAGTCATGCCCTCATCGCACTCAAGTGGCGATCGCAGGCCGTTTTGCCGCCGTGAGCGGCCCGCAACCTTGCTCCGCCCAACGACGGCATTCACTCGGCAATGTGCGGCTCATTCCCCGCCGCATCTGGCCTGAGCCCGTACCATTCACGGCGGCGGCGCACCGTACGGCCCGACCCGCTTGACAGCAGGCCCGCATTCAAGGAGGCGACGTTAAGTAGCTCGGTGGGTCCCTCGGGTTTGACGCATCTTTCGTGAATTGCTCCATCTTCCTCTTGCTCACGCTCCATCTTCGCGGGTGGCACGACAGTCACCACGGCTGGTTAGTTTGCGCCTCAAAGCGCCTGTTTATCACAAACGCGAAGTGAATGAGACCACGCCGCGCAACCTTTCCTCTCTCGCGCAGCAATGCTTCACGTCACTCAACATCGTCAGCGTGCTCGCAATGACCATGGTCCGTGGGCTCCTCTTTCGAAGATCAGTATTGCTACGTGGGGAAGCACGGCGAATTCTGGTCCTTCCGCGTCTGAGCAGAAAGAGCGCGAAATCGAAGAGGCCCACATTTGGTGCACGCTCACGCTTGAGCAAAGTCATTGTTTGATACCGTCCCCAGATACGACTTCCTTTCTCACCGATGAAATGAAATTCAGGCAGCAGGCCAGAGCAGGGTCAAAGGCTGGTGATTAGACGAAGGTTAGCAGACGGCTATGAAGAGGCGATCCTACAATCCACTGCCGTCGCGGTCACGTTCGCTGCTCAGATCACCTGTATCTGGTGCCTCGTCGCTATCTTTGCCAACGTCCTTCTCTCATCGTCGCACCTGCCTTCGCTGAACTCCCTCTTCACCAACGCACGCACACTTAAGCACCCTCTCTTACAGTATTGTACAGGAGATACCGATTGCCATGTTCGCCAGCGTCAAGCTGATGAGCGTGCTGCTCGTCGGTCTCGCCCTCCGGGTGACCTCTGCCCCACCTCCAGAGCGTCCTCAAAGCCGCTGGCTCGGTGAGTGTCCGTCCACCTCCAGCACACGACGATTTCCTCTGACAGCACCCACTCCATGCCAGGATACTGTTGGACCCACGATTACAAATGCGGCGGCATCAAGGTGAAAGCGATCGACGGCCCCTACCCGGGCAATATACAGGTCAGGGACTGTCTCAGCATTGCACCCCGTTATGATCTCATTGCGGCATGCCTAGATCCACGCTGCGTCAAGCGCTGCGTGCCTGTAGACACCAAGGCGGATGTCTGTCTGGAAGGCGCTGCCCTGTACCGTGAGTCAGGCTGTCAGCAGGTCCCACAGTGGTTCAGTGCTCACATCGCCCTTGCTGCTTCTTTACAGGCTGCCTCAAGTTCGTGAGTACCACCGGCTCAAATATGTCGCTGACGTTCACAGGTTCTCACACCTACTCATCGCGCATGCACAGGTCAAGCCCTACGCCGCTGCTACTGCTCGCGATGGGCATTTCAATGTCACCACCGTTGACGCTCGAGCTTCGGACGATGTCGAAGGCCGAGCTGTGGAGTATGGTCATATGTTCATTGAGCAGGACGGATGAATGACCGGCAGCGGCTGGCCCGTGACAGCGTCAACACTTGTGCTCTATCTCAACTACATCACATGAATTCTACTCGATGCTGTTGGTCGCGTTGTCTTTCGGAATGCAGTATGTGAAGAAATCGCCGCCAGGTGCCGGAGCGTAGCATTGGCTCTTTGTCACGTTGATGCAGAGCTTGCAGTTGTGTTCAGCGCAGATCTCGCCAAAAGACACGGCCGATCGAAACGAGTGACAGCTGACAAGGATATTCGTGACACCACTGGGGCCAACTTCGATGGAGTGGGGGTCCGCTCCACACTTGCGGTCGTAATAACAAGTGCCAACGAACCTGCCAGTCGGCTCGCCCTTGGCCTGCACTACAGTCAAGATCGTCAGGAGGATGCCAATGGCGACGAAGAGCTTAGTGTATAGCTGCGGCGTGCGAAGGAGAGGGTTTTCAAAGCAAGCTTGCAGGGAAGAGTAGTGCATCGTCAGCATACTCACCATGTTGAAAAGTTCGTGAATGGAGGCAAAGCGAGTGAGCATGGTGAAGGAGGTGAAAAGATACAACGACGGCAATCGAGCGCTGACGAGCAGCTGCGCGCCCTTTGACCCAGACGATCATGAGGGACGGCAAGCCAGAGCTGCGCCGGCGCTTAATGACATGGCCAAATACAGCGTTTCGGCTTTGCGAGCCGTCTTGCTTTCATCAGGTGGCTGCGCTTTGCTGCGAGCGGTCTGTCGGCTTCATACCTCCGCGTGTTCGCTCGTCAAGAGCGGCCCGATACCAAGCACGATCATCACACCTGCTCTTCGGCTCGCTCCGGTAAGGTCGTGGTATTGTGATCAGATAGCGTGAACAGCTCTTTGCAGTCGTGACAGAATGCTGCTCCTCTACAGATGGCTCATCCAAACATCGCCCCTCCACCTCCCATCCTTCCCTTGCTCATCCCCACCCCGAGTCCAAACCTGCTCCCCGCTCCTCGCGCAGCAATGCTTCCTCCGCCCTTGACGGGCGAGAGGACGAGAGGGATCTCCAAGTTTGGGTTGAGGAGATTCTCACCATCGTCGTCACCTCCTGGTCGCGAAGAGGAAGGGCCGTTGCTGCCGCCTGACGAGGAAGTGGCGCCCGAGCCGGGTCCAAGGAGGCGACGTTTCTTCTTGACCGCGGGCGGAGCAACCACTGCTGGGGCTGGGGCCTTCTTTGCTGCTGGGGCTGCGATCTTGCTGGTCGTCTTGCTCGTTGTCGGTACCGCGGCCCTTTTTTTCGTCGGAGCCACATCCACACTATCGTCCTCTTCTTCCTCGTCTTCGTCTGACTCGGCGGCCATCACAGGAGAGGAGGACACCTTCTGCTGAAGCGGCTTCTTTACCGCTGCAGCTACCTTGGACGGGGCAATGCGTGTCGCACTGGGCTTTGGAGGAGGAGGGGCAGCTCCCTTTCTCACTGGCGCAGGCGCAGCGTGCGCAGGGGCGGCGCGCTTTTTTGCCGGCTTGGCGACCTCCTCTTCTTCATCTTCTTCCTCATCGCTCACCTCAGCATAGACGGAGCGGGCCGGAGCGGCAGCTTTGCCTGCCGGTCGCTTGGTAGCTGCCACAGAGGGCATCGGCCGGATCGTCTCCTTAACCGCGGGCGAGGCTGAGACGGCCTTGGTGGGTGGTGCTCGTCGTGCGGTAGTGCTGCTTGCACCAGGCATGGGGCGAATCGTCTCCTTGATAGCGGGTGAAGCGGCCGGAGAGCGCGCTGCGGTGAGGCGAGACGAAGCCGTTGATGATATTGCAGCCGCCTTGACCGGGGCCGGCTTGCTGCGAACAGGTGACGGCTCGGCCAGCTCGTCTCCGTCGTCGAATTCGCTTGGCGCACCTCGCGGGGGCGAGGAGGTAGGGGCGATATCGCTCGCCAGTTGAAGGTGGCTGCGACTTGCCGCATTGGTCGAGCTGATCTTGGAGCGACTGCTGCTGGGGAGGGCGGGGGACTTGCTTGCACTCATCGGCACCGCTGCCCTCCTAGCCGTGCTGCTCGTCAAACTCGGCCTCGGTCGCACAGCCGCCGCCGCCGTCGTCTTGGCAGCTCCGTCGGCCTGCAGCCTCTTGACCTTCTCACCCCGCCTCTTTGCCCTCTCCTCCCTCTCCTCCCACTCCTCCTTCTTGCTCCTCTCCTGCGCCAGCTCCGCTTGCAGCAACAACGCCTCGATCCTGACTTGGGTGTGGCGCTCCTCAGCCGCCAAGTGTTGCAGTACCACATCGTCGCGCGAAAGCTTGAGTTCGTAAAACTGCGTCTTGAGGTGGTCGTATTTGCTGCGCAGTGCTTCAAGGGCGGTGGTGTCCGCGGAAACGGCAGGGACGGAGGCAGCGACGGCCAAATCTGACTGGAGCTGGACGATCTGGTCCTGCGAAGAGCGAACTTCTGATCGGGCTGCTCTGAGCTCGGCTTCGAGGGTGGCGCAGCGAGCATGCCAGTCAATGGGCGTTGAGATGGATGGGCGGGGCTGCGTGACGATAGCAGCCGGGTCAGATGGCGGCGCATCATCCTGGGTAGATGCTGGGACGGCCTGCTCGGGTTTGACCTCAAATGAAGGCTGGGCCGCTGAGGGAGAAGCGTCGACTGAATGCAGCTTTGCACGTCCCGATGCTGCCTCGGATGAGCTGAGTGTGTGTGCTGGCTCTTCACGGCACACGACTGGCTCTCGAAGCAGGACAGCCTTTGGTGTAGGCGGAGCAACCTCTTCCTCTTGTCGTCTTCTGTCTTCCTCCTGCCTTCTACGTTCCTCCTGCCTTCTACGCTCCTCCTCGCCTCTACGCTCCTGCTCCCTCGCTCTCTCTTCTTGCTCTATTCGCTCGCGCTCCTCCTCTTCCTCCCTCTGCATCTGCTCTTGCGCCTGCTGAATCGCCAAGCTCTTCCTGGCGACGACGACCTCTTCTTCTCGCATGGCAGCCTTCCTTGCGTCCAAGAACGGGTTCGCCCCCGCTTGCTCTTGCTCCATTGCTGCGAGGAGGCGACGCTCAAATTCGTCGTTTGCTGCTGTTGTGGCGGGAGACGGTGGAACGATAGGCTTCTTTACCGAGGGGGCAGCGCTGCGCTCTGAGGACTTGAAAGGGGAGGAAGAGGTGGATGCCTTGAGACTTGCGCTAGCTGGCTTGGGCGTGCTGATCGGGATCCGTGATGGCGACGTGGTACGCGATTGGGAGAGAGAGTTTGAAGTTGACAGGTGGTTGGTAGGAGCGGCGGCAATGGGCGTAGCATCGACATCTACGACGGCGCTGCGTGACGGCGTAGAATGACCTACTGTCTGGTTGTGACGCTGAATTTTGGCCTCCCTCACAGCTCGGGGCGTTTCGTTCCCGACCTCGTCGCGCTTTCTTTGCAGGCCATTGAGCGAGGTGCGCGGGCCCTGAGCAGCGGTTACGCTGTTGTTGACGTCGCCGCCAAGCACGACGTTACGTCCCGTCTTTGCAGCTCGATTGGCTGCCGTGTCGTATAGCGTGCCTGGGCGTGAGGGACTCGGTCGGGGAAGAGAGGCGCTGATGGCACTGGCATTGGACGATGATGTTGTTGATGCGACGTTGGCGGCGTTGGCGGCGTTGGCGGCGTTGGCGGCGCTGGTGGATGTCATGAATCTCTCATTGTGATCCCTCCGTGATGAGCCGAGCGACTCGAGTGGTTCCCAAACGTATTGTTGAGCCTTAGACGCTGTAATTGCTGCTGGCGGCGGCGTGGTCTGGGCGGGAGTGGATGGCGTTGGCGTAATGCGTTGCTGCTGTGAAGCATCACGCTTAGGTGGTGTCCTCTCGATGAGCATGATGGAGGAGTGGATGTGCGTATATGCGGCGTCAAGATTGCTCAGTTGTGTGTTGCTCTCGCGCCTCTCGCGTTGTATGCAAGCCAAGGCTGGTCCGGATCTCAGTCGCGCTTGGATTCGCGTCACGTGATGCGGGGCAGGTCGTGTGGATGGCGGTGGCGGCGGGGTGACGATGATCCGATGCAGCGATGCGACGCAGCTGCTGCGATTGAGCAGCAATCAATCATTCCTATCCCCTCGACTGCATATATCCATCTCATCCACCTCATCCATGGACTTCTTCAACGCCTCTGGCGCTGGCGCTCAACAGAAAAAGAAGAAGAAGTCCTCCAACGCATCTAGCAGCGTCGTAGTCTCGACGGTCAAGCGAGTTGCGCCGCCCCCATCATCCAGGCCACTAGCTACTACGCAGCCTTCTCGCCCAAAAGGCGCTGGCGCCACCAATGCTCTCCCACCACAAGTGCGCGCTCGCATAGAGGCGGCTCGAGAAGCTGAACGACAGAAGCACAACGACGCACAAGCTCAAGCCAAGGCTGCCTCTCGAGCATCGAGTAACGCTAGCAGCTCGCGATCCTCTTCAGCCAAGGCCTCAACCAAGAAGAAGGCAGCCCTCGACGACTTCATCGACTCGGATGAGGAGGACATTGGTGCCTCAAAGAAGCGCCGTAGCAAGAAGCGTGCAGCTAGCTCGCCAGAATCAGACGACTTGTTCGGCGATGCAGGCTCGTCGAATGGCAGCTCCTCGTCAAAGGCTACTCGAAAGACGTCTTCCAAAGCAGCTACACCGAACTCGCGCAGAGGCACGCCTTCATCGTCGTCGACACAGACCGCATACACGTACCTGGGCAGGTCAGGTGTGGTCCAGCCTTACCTCGTTCCGCGCCCCCCCCTGCGCCATCTGGAGGACCAGGCCGCTCCACCCTCGCCCCTCACCATCATCTCCTCCGCCTCCCTCGTCACTTCGTCCATGACTAAACGACCTCGCGGTTGGGGCCCTTTCTTCAAGGATCTCCCATACGACACCGCCGATGGCCCTCCACGCTGCACTTTGCAGTATCCCGGCTCCAATGCAAGCGAAGAGTTCATCCTAATGGTGCCTCGCGACTCAGACGAGTACGACCCCATCTCTGACCTCTTGAGATCAGTCTACGTCACCGTCAAGTACTATCTGGATGGCACGCAGCGCGCAATGTTTGGCGAGCTCGACGAGCTTGAGATGAGCAGCGCTGCGGGACACATTTGGGCGGGGCCCATCGCCGCACCAGGACAGACAGGATTGGCTGTACCGCCGATGTCTCCCTCGTCTGGCCCTTCGACACCCATCAGCTCGTCGCCACCTCGAGCATCGCAGGATGGCGCACCTGCCTCGTCATCCAATGACGTGGGCGCAATCTCCATTCTGCGCTCCCTCACCAAGTCGCGCAATCGTCGCTCGGGTACCCTATTCCTCGCCACAGTCCAGCGCTATAACGAGCTGCTCCTCACCCTTCGCTCTAGCGGCGCCCTCCGCACCAAAATCCACTCCCACATCACCGCACAGGGCATACCGGAGGACATCTACCTTCGCATCCAAGACCAAGCCTACGCTCGCACGGTAGCGCCGCGCGTGGATGAGCTGGCTGGGTATCGCTCCTTCTCAGACAATGTGTACGGAGAGCTGACGCCCAAGTTTATGAGCGAAATCTCCCAGCTGTGCGGGCTTGCACCGGGCAAGAAGGTGTTGGACCTGGGCTGTGGAGTGGGTAATCTGGTGGTGCAGGCTGCCATGCAGTGCGGGTGTAGCAGTCTCGGGATAGAGGCTATGCCTGTTCCTGCTCAGCTGGGTGTAGAGCAGTTGCACGAGGCGAGACGAAGATGGGAGGGCTGCTGGGAGTTGGGCGACTTTGTGCCAGGGAACAACCAAATGACGACGCCCGCACAGGAAGCTACAACGGACGCAACCTCCTCGCCTCCCATGGCTCGCGTCTGGCAAGGTGACTTCCTCGAAGACCTCACCCTTCGCTCCCACCTCTCCTCCGCGGACCTCCTCATCGTCAACAACTACGCCTTCACCCCTCCCCTCAATCAGTCGCTCAGCCTTCTCTTCCTAGACCTCAAAGACGGGGCGCAAATCGTCTCTCTCAAGCCCTTCGTCCCGGCCGACTTCAGATTGAACGAACGCACGCTGGGTAGTAGTAGTGCGATTCTGCGCGTGGAAGAGCGCGATTATGGGCGCGGCATGGTCAGTTGGACTGAGAGGGGAGGCAAGTACTACATCGCCACAGTCGACAGGACGGCGCTGCGCTCCTTCCTCGAAGGGGGCGGAGGAGCAGGGTACGTGGCTTCGCCTGGAGGTAGAAAGAGGAGAAGGGACCTCGCTGCGGAATGAGCAGGGGCGATAGTGGTCCGACAATCTGTGCGCATTCTGCTCTTCGCAGCTCGATGACGCACGCCCCCTCCCTGCCTTGCTAGATCTCCTGCGACGCTCTATTGACTTCCTTTATTGCCTGTTTGCTCTACACCTCGCGAATACCACTCTCTCACTCCCACCTAGTGCTACAAATTCTGCTCGGCCACACGCCTAAACAGCCAGCTCCGCCTTCTTGACGTCCTTCAACGCCTCCGCGTACGGCTGCAGTGCTGGCCTCACCCATTCCTCGACAAAGTCATCCACCTGCTCTGGCGCCCTTCCCACGAAGGTCGTTGGGTCCAACAGCTCGTCCAGCTTAGCATGTACAGGCGCAAAGTACTCTGACTTTCTGATGCGCTCAATCAAGTCATTGTCCCCGCCTTCCTCCTTGACGACCTTTGCTGCCTGGTGGGAGAGCACACGAATCTCCTCGTGGCACACCTGCCTGTCCCCACCTGCGCGAACCATGGCCATGATGACGTTTTCCGTCGCCATGAAGGGGAGCTCGGCGGCAATACGGCGATTGATGATGGCGGGGTACACGACGAGGCCTTCCGTGATGTTCTGCAGAGTTGTGAGAATGACGTCCGTCGTCAAGAATGCCTCGGGCAGCGTCAGGCGGCGATTCGCTGAGTCGTCGAGCGTACGCTCCATCCATTGGCTGCCAGCAGTCTCACGTGCCGAGTTGGCCATATTGCCCAGCCACCTCGCGAGACCGCAGACACGCTCTGAGCGCATGGGATTGCGCTTGTATGCCATGGCGGACGAACCGATCTGGTCCTTCTCAAAGGGCTCTTCGACCTCTTTCAGGTGACAGAGCAGGCGGATGTCTGTCGCCATCTTGAGTGCCGAGGTGCTGAAGGAGACGAGAGCGTTGAGAGCGTCGACGTCGATTTTGCGAGAGTACGTCTGGCCGGTTACTGGGTAGGCATAGCCGAAACCGCAGAGCTGAGTCACGCGCTTGTCGAGGGCCTTGACTTTGGCATGATCACCGTCGAAGAGGGACAGGAATGAGGCTTGCGTGCCCGTGGTACCCTTGACTCCGCGGAAGCCGAGGTCGTTGCGGGCTCGCTCGAGGTTGCGGAGGTCCCAAAGCAGTCTGTGCGAAGTCGGCACCGTAGATGAGTATATGCAGTCTCAGCACGAATTTGATGGCTCACGCGACTCACTCTTGGATCCAGAGACAAGCACGCTTGCCTACCGTCGTTAGCTGAGCGGGCTGCATGTGCGTGAAGCCGAGGGTTGGCTGAGCGCGATGTTGTTCAGCGAAGGCGGCGAGACGGGAGATGGTGACTGCGAGCTTGGGGATGACGAGGTCGAAGGCGCGCTTGAGGAAGATGAGGTCCTGCGGCGAGAAGCGTGATGAAAATGTCAGTCCTTCTGTTGCACTGTGGTTGTCCGTCATCGTCCACGCACGGCATTATCGGTGACGTAGCATGAAGTAGCTCCCAGGTGAATGAAAGGGGCAGCCGTCGGGCACATGGTACCGAACACGTGCACATGAGCCATGACATCGTGCCTGCGTTTCTTCTCCTCTTCGGCAGCCATCTTCATCTGCTCGTCGTCCAGCTCCAGGTTTGCCTTCATCTCCTCGATGGCAGCATCTGGAATCGGGAGGCCGAGCTCCTTCTCAGCGATTGCGAGGTTGAGCCAGAGGGTACGCCAAGTTCCGAAGCGGGTCGCGTTGGAGAAGAGAGAGGACATTTCCTTGGAGGCATACCTCCCGGAGAGGGGAGATTGCCATGATTGCCAGGAGGGAGCGGGGGCGGACATGCTGGGAATGAGGTCGTGGCTCGTGAGAAGGAAGGAGTCACAGGACGGAAGGCGGCGCCAAGCAAGTCGAGTGGGCCAATCTAACTTTGCAATCTCAAACCACGTGGCGCGACCCCGGACTGACACGCGCCCAGTGGGAAGTGCGTCTGTGCGCTGCGCTGCTTCTCAACCCAACACCATCAACCACATCCTCTGCGCCAGATGGTTCTCTCAACACAGATCGTCCGCCTGTCTGACAAGCTGCCTCTCGCTCAGTCAGTAGATGATGACCCTTCAGATCGAGAGCTCAAAGAAGTCCCCGTGAAAGAGGTCATCAAGCGACTGACGGCAACGAGCGAGAATCGATGCAGTATCGAGAGTGGCAAGTTCATGGTACAGTGCGTGGCCGGCTTCGAGGAGACGCAATGTATCCTCTTCATGGCTCATCATCCTTGACCTTTCACTCGCGCACAGCTATCTGCTCTACCCGCCACCACCGCAGCCGACGCCCTCAACATGCGTCTACCTGACCGTATCCCAAAAGTCGTACCCTCGCAAGCTGGCATTCGCCTTCCTCGATGAGCTGGCAAAGGAATTTGACCAGTCATACGGCTCGCAAGTAGCACAGCGCAACCTCAGACCATACGCTTTCGTTGCCTTTGGTGAGCAGGCCAGCCTCCCCTGCCTCATCGCCCGCATGTACGCTGACGTCCTCCGCTCTCGCGCAGACTCCTTCATGTCCAAATCCAAGCGAGTCTACGCAGATGCCCGCTCAGCAGAGACAGTCGCCGCTGCCAATCCACCTACAACCTCATCCAACCTCGACCAGCTCAACAGCGACTTGCAAGACGTAACCCGCATCATGACAAAGAACATGGAAGACCTCCTCTGGCGTGGCGACTCCTTGGATCAGATGAGCCAGATGAGCTCGAGCTTGCGAGACGAGAGTATGAAGTACAGGAAGGCGGCGAGGAGGATCAATTTGGAGGCAATGCTCAGGCAGTATGCGCCTGTGGGGGCCATTGGCTTCTTGTTTCTGTTCATTATCTGGATCAAGTTCTTTTGATGGTAGCCGGAGCACGAGAGTAAATACCAGCGCAGTGCGCAGTCGTCTTCCATTCTACTCACTCTCACAGCTCGTCGTGCTGCCGTGGCTCTTGATCACCATCACCCTCGCCATGCTGTCTATGCACCCCAGGTCCCGCATCAGCTGCCTCGCGCGCTCCTTCCGCCACTCCCACCCTCCTCGCAAGCGCCTGCACCTCCTCATCCAACTCAGTCCACTCGGGAATCTGCCTCCTCGCCCTGTCCAGCTTAGCCTCGTGCGTCTTTGGGTTCGAGCACAGGTCAATCGTCTTGGCCTCATGCAACCAGTCGTGACTACACCACGTCTCGCACCACAGCCATCGCTGGTCGAGTGTATGCAGCGGCACGTTGAACATCAACGTCTGCGGCAGGTCTTGGTCAAGATTCGCCAGCGAACCAGCATCGGCGCTTAGTGCTTGGTACTGGCCTCTCAGCTTGTCGCCCGCAGCGACTTGGCGGAATCTATTGAGGTCGACGACGTAGAGCGCCGAGATGTGGTAAGGGCGGCCGCGCAGGAAGTCCTTCCAGAATCCGCGCTTCCAGAAGCGATATCCGTCCATGTCCTCCGAGTCATCGCCCATCGGCGGGAAGCCATAGGGCGCTCCTTTGAGATCGACGTCGAGCAGCTCCTTCATGTCGGCGCGCACCACCTGATCCGAGTCCACGAAGATGACCTTCTCCACATCGAGCGGGAAAAGCACATCGAGGAACAAGATCTTGTATCCCCAGATTGTGCGCTGCTTCTCCGTCTGAGCGCGCAACCAGTGAGGCCAGGCGTAGGTGACCAGCTCGTACTCGAAGTTGTAGGCCTGGGCCAGATGAGGGATAAAGGACTTGAAGGAGGGGGAGAGGAAGTTCTCGATGAACCAGAATTTGACAGGCAACGACTGCGTGTGTCGCAGCACCGACAGAATCATGATGTAGGTCATGCGCTCATAGAGGTGACCCGAGGCGACGGTGAAGATATGAATGCGGTCATGTTCCTTCGCAGGCGGCCGGGCGGTGACGACCGACTTGACGCTATCGGCCGCGCGGTGAAGCATCTTCGAGAGGCCAGAGGCGGCATTGCTCAAAGGTGCAGCAGCACCCTTCTCACCGTAGGGATCCTCGTCCTCATCGTCCTCGCCTTCAGCCTCGAGGTCGACGAGCAGCTCCTCCTTCTCCTTGCCCTCTCGCTTCACCACGCGCGGGTAGATCGTCAATCCATCCAAAGAGTCGAGAGTGATATCGTCGCCCGTCTCTTCCACACCCGGGCTATCCCAGCCGAGGTTCCCCACACTCCTCATCTCATACAGCTCCTCGCTCTTGCCGCCGGGACGAATCCTCAGCCTGTAGAGGCCTGGCCTTGCCCTGAACTGGAAATATGCCAAATTGGCCATCACGATCGTATCCAGCGTCTCGCTTCCATCCGGTGTCTGAAGCTCGAGCTGCAGACCACGAGGAATGGCGTTCTTGCTCTCCTTGCCGGCCTCGCGTGCATGTCCCTCGATGAGGAGATGCTTGAGCTCGTAGACGGCTAAGACGCCCTTGCGCCTCCCGTCCTCGGGCACATCACGCAGCCTGATGTTGTCCAAGTCGTACACGGCTTCTGACGCCATGGTGAGCCAAGCGGGCGGAGCGTCCAGCCCCATGGTGAGAACAGCGTCCTGCGGCATGTCCTGGAATGAGAGGGTAGCTGGCACCTCCTCGCCCGTTTTGGCATCAAAGCGCAGCCTGCTCGGCGCACTGTAGCGATAGAAGCGCTTGAGCGGCATCTCCTGCAGCTTTCTGACAGGATTCATGATGACCTGCAGATGAACGTCCGGCATCGTGGCCACGAGCTGGAAGAGACTCGACCACCTCTGCGCCGTCTCCGTAAGCGGATCTACAATGGCCTGAAAGCGTAGCTTTGCTTTGGCAGGGTCGCCAACTTCGAAGCGCGAGAATTCGACGCCAAGCCGGTCAAAGATATTGGTGCGCTGCACTGAAGGAGGGGAGAAGATGCCCTCTTGCGTCTCGTCGCGGTAGTATGTGACGGCGATGGCTGAGGAGACGATGGAGATCGAGTCGGCTAGGGCACTGCGGTTGAGCGAGGCGATCTTGTCTCCAGGCAAGAGAGTGTGTAGTGCGGCCACTACTGGGTCTATGCGCCTGGCGAGCTCATTTTTGACAAGAGAAGAGAGGTCGCTGCTGCTGATGCCGAGAGGGGAGAGGTGGGAGAGGAGGCGGCCATTGATCAGCAGGGCCGGGAAGGCAGTCGTGTCGAGACCAAGGGTGCTGAAGAAATTGTGGCTGCCATCCCAAAGCTGAGAGCCGTCAGTATTGGCGGGAACATTCCAGCCTGCAAGCTTAGCGTCGTTGAGAGTGCTGGGCTGAAACACGACCTGTCGCCTACCTTGGATGTGAGCGTCACCATCGCTTACTTGCGAGGGCATTTCGACCTCCTTGAGCACCTCGAGCAGCTCGCTCGGCGTGATTGCGTCAAGGGCGCCGCTCTGAGCGAGATGTGCAATGAAGCCAGACAGCGATACGCCTGGCGTCGCCAGCTTTGACTGACCAGCATCTACCGTGTGGATGAAGCCGAGTCTGAAAGCAGGCGCCTTCTCTCCGACCATCGTGCTCACCGCCTCGCGCAGCAGATGGACTCCTCCTTCGGTATCAAAGTCCGCTATGACCCACATGGTCGCGTTGACCTGACTATCCCCGGTGGGGTAGAGGAAGCTGGTCTTCGCAGGCGAGGCATCTGGCAGCGCCGCAAGCGCCTTTGCCAGATCCACTGCCCTCACCTTTGGACCTTTGGCCTGCCCCGTCGCCGCATCCACAGTTGGGAACACGAGCTCGGAACGCGACGCAAATGCGAGCGGCAGATCGTAGAACCAAGTGGAAACGTCGTCGTCGTCGGTCACCTCGTTGAAGTAGATGGGTCGCGCGATCTGCTGAAGCTGCATTGCTGCGACTTGGTGCAAGAGCTGAAAGAAGGAGCGCGGCTCAACGAGGGGAAAGTGCTGGCCATTGACAAGGACATGGCCGCGAGGCTCTTCGGCGATGGTGAGGCGGAGCCGACGTACGTAGGATTTGGTGACCTCCTCGCGTGATGAGGGGACTGAGGTCACCTCTTTTGCGAGGGAGGAGTGGTCTCCCGAGGGGTCGAGACGGGCGAGCAGCTTGGTGAACGTTTTCTGAGCTGTGCGGGCGTCAACTCTGCGACTCGGCGGGCCGCTCGCTGCGAGAGCGTGCAAGAATGTGACGCCGCCCTCGAGGCCGTGGTTCTCCCAGAGGTGCCAGTACAATCGGGCAACGACGGTCGAATCCGCCTCTTCTCCCTTCTCCAGCCCAGCAGGTACCAAGCCCCAGCGCACTGTAATGCGTTCGAGGAGCGGTGCGACGTGCTCAGCAAGGAAGGAGCAAGCTTTCCTATCTGCGAGATCGAGCGTGAGCACCACATTGAAGAGATTCTTGGCCGCCTGCGGGAACTGGCTAGGGTGCATGGGCCGAAGCAGGGAGCGCAAGGAGGACATCTGGCGCAGGTCGGCAAAGGCTTCGTCTTGCTCGATGTCGTTCCACCAGGTGATTGGGCTAGCAAAATTCGTCTCGTCTGCTGTAGCGCTTCGCTCGATGCGGTCGCTAGCGTCGAGGAAAACGACTTGCTCCGCTTCGGGCGTTTGCGGTCTTCCAACTGAGGGTTGCGAGAGAAGGTCGATCGCCTGGCTTGCGTTTAGACCGAGAGTCGAAGATGCAGCAAGGATGGAATCAACGAGCGCTCGCTCTTTGCGCAACACTTTGAGCAGCCCCAAGGGGACCTGCTCGTTTTTGGACAGTGGCTTGCCGTTCAACCATACGTCGCCCATCCCTGGTCTGATCTTGGTCATCTGCAAGGCATGCAGCTCATTGTCCAAGTCGATGGATGGCGTCACAGGTCCTCTTGCTAGACTAGGCGCGTGCAAGGGGAAGTCCTGCGTGAGTTGAGCAAAGGCGCGGAGAGGATCTTGCGAGTCGATAATGGTCTGTACGGCTTGAAGGCCCAGTCTGCTAATCTCGGCTTCTTCGAGGGGCTGGCTCATGTTGGTTGGCTTTCCATTGCCCAGAAGCTGATCGTCGAGCCATTGCCTGTCGCGCAGCTGGCTGTAAATGGAGTCGTCGACGCCGCCTTCACTCGCAGACAGGGAGGGCGCGTCGGCTGCGTGAGTAAGCTTGCGGTCATCGATCACCAGGTAGTCGACCTTCTTCAGGTCGAGAGCAGCACCGTAGCCTGCCAGGAATCCGCTAGTTGCGTTTGAAGTTGAATCTGGCCTCCATCGCAGGACGTATCTTAGCGGCTGCTCGCTGTATGCTGATGCTCGTCGAAAGAGAGTCGTGTGCAAGGAGTGAAAGTTGGGCGAGAGTGGGCGACCATATAGGACGGCGGTCGGTATTGCGCTAGCAGAAGGTTGTGATGGATGAACGTGGTCGAATGGGTAGGTAGCTACCTTGTCTTGCTGCCTCGCCTCTTCAGAGAGGACGACTTGTAGTTCCGTCTCGCTGCAAACGACGCGACCATACCAGTCGACCCAGCTCTCGCACTCGCCCGCAGCAAGGCCATTCTCCTGCACATGCTTTGCCCACCTCTCCTCAGCTCCCGTCGTCCTTGCCACCTGCCAGAATGCTGCGACCTTGGGCGACTGGCTGTGCAATGCCAAGGCCATTTCCCAGTTGTCTCTGCTCCCCCGTTCGCTGAGCACGCCCACGTCGTCGAGGGCCTTCTTGACGACATCGTAGACTTGTGCTGGTGGGGCCGTCGATTCTGGAGATTGAGATGGCTGGCTTACATGTGAGAGCAACGGCCAGAATGCGTCGCTGTCCTCATCGTATGCAGCCTCCAATGCCTCGAGGAGCAGGGGAGATGAATCCCAAGGCGACTGAAGGCGAACATTGACCGGCGGTGATGATGGCGAGCGATCAGCGGTCGCGCAGACGATGCTGATGAGCGACTGGGTCGCAGCAATGAGCAAGAATAAGCTGCATGGCCGCCAACTCGTCATAGCTTCCGGGGGTGTGGCAGGAGATGATGTGGAAGTTTGATTGGCAAGAAGCGCAATCCCCGCCTGCGCCTCTTCTTCGCAGCCAGACGATTTCAGCACGAGCCATCGCCTTTTCTCGTTTGGCTCCAACTTCACTTCATCTTGGCGTCAAGCCATCGATGAGGGGCTGAGAAGGATGCAACAAGGAGTCAGACTGCGCAAAACAACCCCGCACGACAGCAAAGAAGCAGGGGTCAGCAACACAGGTAGTAGACATGATGGCATACAGCCAGAGAAACGGCGTCTCCGCTCTCCCTCTCCTCTTCCCCTCCTCCTCGCCTTTCACCTCTTCCTCGCCCTCGTATCTCGCGGCTTCTTTCAACCTGACGAGTACTGGCAGTCATTGGAGGTTGCGCATCGCATCGCTTACGGATACGGCTACACGACGTGGGAGTGGAAAGCGCAGGGCGACACCGCGAGTGGGCTCCCACCGAGCAGGATATGGGAACAGCTGGCGCAAGGGCCGATCAGGAGCGTGATCCATCCAGCATTCTTTGTACCTGTGTATTGGCTGCTTCAGCTTACAGGTCTGGAAGACACTTCTCTGCGGGTAAGCATTGCCCGAACGAATGCGCACCAAGTCGCATCCGCGAAAGCTGAACTCCCCACCCTGCGCAGACAACGGCTCCACGCCTTCTCCAGGCAGTCCTCTCAGCACTCGCGTCCAACGAGCTCTTCCATCTCGCTCGCGACCTGGGCGATGAGCACATAGCCTGTTCAACGCTGCTCAGCCTCCTGACATCGCCCTACTACCTCTACACGGCAGCGAGGACTTTTGCCAACACCGCAGAGGCGTCATTGACCGTCTTTGCACTACGCAGAGCGCTCAACAATCCCGACAAGCCTGGAGCCACGACAACTTCGCTGGCCTTTGCTGCTGCTGCTTGCCTCATCAGGCCAACAAATGCGGTCCTTTGGGTCTTCGTCTACGGCTGCATGTCGTGCGAGATGATCAGAAGAAGTCGATATGCTCAGCTGGCGAGTCTCTGGGGCAAGGCTCTCGTCATTGGGTGAGAAGATGATGCGCCGGCGATCGGACTCGGCTGTCGCTGATCATAATCCACTCGTTACACGTACAGCCTCCTTGCGATTGCTGTCTCAATCATCATCGACTCGACTTTCCACGGCCGGTTCTCCTTGCCCATGATCCCCTTTCTCCTCACAAACGTCTACCACTCGCTTTCACTCTTCTATGGCTCGCATCCTTGGCACTGGTACTTTACGCAAGGTCTGCCTGTCGTTGGCATGATGGCGCTTCCCTTCGCGGGAATGGGCGTCTTGCAATGGTCGAGGAAAGGGGCGACGTTCCCGCAGCGGATGGTCGTAGGGACAGTGATTTGGACGGTGGCGGCCTTTTCGCTGCTGGGACACAAGGAGTGGAGATTTTTGCAGCCAGTGGTGCCGCTACTACATCTTCTAGCGGGCGTGGGGTTGGCGTCATCACGTAGCAACACGCCGTTGTCTTCCTCCTGGTCCGCTTCCTCCCACATCTGGCACTCCACCACGCCGCGACGTCGGCTGCTCCTCCTCTCTACTCTCCCCCTGGCCATCTACCTCCTCTTGTTTCACTGCATAGCGCAAGGCTCTATAGTTCCCTCCTACCTGCGCCAAGAACACGCCCAGGGCAGATTGCAGAGCGTGGGCTTCTTGATGCCCTGCCACTCTACACCATGGCAAAGCCACTTGCATCTGCGCGAGATGGACAAAGATGATCGCATGTGGTTCGTCAGCTGCGATCCGCCCAGAGCGGGCGAGGACGTGGAGGGGTACATGGACGAGAGTGACTTCTTTTACGAAGATCCGGTGAGGTGGTTGCGCATTTACCTGCCGGGCGAGGCCAGCATCGATTCGGCGGGATCCACAGCAACCAGGTGGGATCGCGACGTCCATCCTGCCCTTTGGCAGTCTCCCATCCACGCTCAAGTTCCCGCCCATCACTGGCCTTCACACATCGCCCTCTTCGACGCCCTCCTTCAGCATCCCAAGTACGGTAGAGAGGTGCAGATCCTCCTAGCACGGAAGGGTTATGTAGAGAGAACGCGACTGTGGAATAGTCTCGTCCACGATGACGAGCGTAGAAGGGGATATATTGTTGTATTGAGGCACGAGAGCGTGGGACGAGGCGACTAGGCGTCCTCTTCGTCGTTGTCTTCTTCGTCGTCATCATCGTCGTCCTTGGCCTTGAATGCTATGCTCTCCGTACCCGGCGCGGCTCTGCGGGCATTCACGGAGGTGAAGAATTCAGTTTCCGTTTCACGTAACCTTCAAAGTCGTGCATCTCGCTGAGGAACGCACCTCATCCTCTTCTCTCCCGCAGCAATCTTCTCGCCATTCGTCGTGGCGCTCGCACCCTGATCGCTTCTCTTGCGCTTTTCGCCAGGCGTCGCTGCCCCGCTGCTATTGCCAGTCGCTGCGCTCTTGGCTGCTTTTGCCCTCTCCCTAGCTGCCTTCTTCTTCTCCCTCTTGCCCCGATTCTTGCCCGTCTTGGCCTCGTCCCTGGCCTGCAACTCAGCTTGTTCAATCAAGAAGCGCGACTCCTCCTTGTCTCTAACATCCTTCTCCTCCATGAGCTTGATCCTCTCGTACTCTCTACGTCGAGCATGCTTGTAGACGTGGAATTCACCAGAACCAGCGCCTGCCGAGGAGCCAGTGACATTCTTGATTGTTTCGCGAGGCGCACGCAGCGTCTTTTCGCGCGGGGCAGAGGGGAGCTTCACTTCTCGCTCTGGGTGTGCGAGAAGCTGAGACAAGACGGCAGCCTGCTGCTCCGCGGGCGTTGTTGGGTGATGGCGAGGGCGAGAGGGGCCTGCTTCCGACATGGTTGCGCAAGTCAGAGGTGGGATGCGGTGGTAGCGAAGGCTGAGTGAGAGAGTGAGTGAATGTATGCCGCCTCCGCGTTCAGTCCGCCTTGACGTCCAGTTCCGCCCCGCCTCGCCATCTCCTTCCGATCCGGTCGCGAGGAGTCAGCCTTGAGTCGCCTTCGGTCGATTGGACGCTCGGGCAGGCGGCATTTTGAGTGTAAGTTGGACTTGAGGGAACGAATGTCTTCGCCCTTCGCTTCGTACCATCATTTCGCTGCGCAAGCATGACAGGTGCTAATGGCGTAGACCCGGCTACGGTCTTCCCGCCGCACGATGCAACGAGCGCATTCTCCTTCCCTCAGGAGGAGCAAAAGGTCCTAGCATACTGGCGCAGCATCGACGCCTTCAAGACGTCGCTTGCTCAGTCAAAGGAGCAAGGACGCAAGCCATTCTCATTCTACGATGGCCCGCCCTTTGCAACTGGTCTCCCTCACTACGGTCACCTCCTCGCAGGCACTATCAAGGACGTCGTTACTCGCCACGCCCACTCTACAGGCCACTACGTCGACCGCCGCTTCGGTTGGGACTGCCATGGTCTCCCAGTCGAGCACGAGATTGACAAGAAGCTGGGAATCACAGGCAAGGACGATGTCATGAAGATGGGCATCAAGGCATACAACGCAGAGTGCCGAGCCATTGTGATGCGATATTCAGAGGAATGGAAGGCGACGGTCGAGCGCATGGGAAGGTGGATCGACTTTGATGGAGGTTACAAGACGATGGACACTTCCTTCATGGAGACCGTCTGGTGGATCTTTGCTCAGCTCCACAAGAAGGGGCTCGTGTACCGCGGCATGAGGGTCATGCCGTACTCGACTGGTTGCACAACGCCGCTGTCCAACTTCGAGGCTTCCAGCGACTACCGCGAAGTGCCAGACCCCGCGGTCACTGTCAGCTTCCCCATTGCTGAGCCTGCGGAGGAGAAGGGTGCATCTCTGCTCGCGTGGACGACGACACCGTGGACCCTGCCCTCCAATTTGGGTCTGTGTGTCCATCCTGAATTCACGTATCTCAAAATCAAGGATGATGCAAGCGGCAACCTCTACTGGATCCACGAGTCGCTGCTCACTACGCTCTACAAGGACCCCAAGAAGGCCAAGTGGAGCAAAGTCGACTCAAAGAAGGGAAGCGAGCTCAAGGGCTGGCGCTACGAGCCACTGTTCCCATACTTTGTCAAACAGTACGGCGAGCGGGCTTTCCGCGTCCTCAACGACACGTACGTCACTTCGGACTCCGGTACAGGTATTGTCCACCAGGCCCCCGCCTTTGGTGACGACGACCACCGTGTTGCCATTGCGCATGGCGTCATTGATAAGGATGAGGCTCCACCCTGCCCCATTGACGAGTCTGGCCGATACACGGACGAAGTGCCTGACTACGTTGGCCAGTACGTCAAGGCAGCGGACAAGCCCATTCAGAAGGACCTCAAGGAGCGCGGACGTCTCGTCGTGCAGAGCGTCATCCACCATCAGTACCCCTTCTGCTGGAGGTCGGGTACGCCGCTCATCTACAAGACGATCCCGTCGATCTTTGTCAAGGTCGAGCAGGTGCAGAAGCAATTGAGCAAGAACAATGAGACGACAAGATGGGTGCCGCAGACGATTGGAGACGGGCGATTCGGTAACTGGATTGCGAACGCGCGTGACTGGTGAGTAGGCTACGAGTGAGCTGTATAGCGTTGGGTATGCACTGACGCCGTCCATTCTTTTGTACTCACGCGCGCTCGCAGGAACGTCTCACGCAACCGCTACTGGGGCACACCCATCCCGCTTTGGGTCAGCGAAGACTGGGAGGAAGTGGTCTGCATCTCGTCCGTCGCCGAGCTTGAGGAGCTCTCTGGCGTCAAGGGCCTCACCGACCTGCATCGCGAGTCCATCGACCACATCACCATCCCGTCCAAGCAGGGTAAGGGCCAGCTCAAGCGTGTCGAAGAGGTCTTTGACTGCTGGTTCGAGTCGGGAAGCATGCCGTACGCTCAGGCTCACTACCCCTTCGAGCCAGAAAAGAAGGCCGCCTTCGAGGCTTCCTTCCCCGCCGACTTTGTCTCCGAGGGTATTGACCAGACGCGTGGCTGGTTCTACACGCTGCTCATCCTCGCCACGCACCTCTTCGACACGGCGCCGTGGAAGAACCTGATCGTCTCGGGCTTGATCCTCGCGGCTGACGGCAAGAAGATGAGCAAGTCGCTGAAGAACTATCCGGACCCCAACCTCGTCTTCGAAAAGTACGGCGCTGATGCTGTGCGCATGTACCTTGTCAACTCGCCGGTCGTGCGTGCGGATACTCTGCGCTTCAAGGAGGAGGGTGTAAAGGACACGCTCGCTCAGGTCTTTATCCCTTGGCTCAACTCATTCCGCTTCTTCCTCGGCTCGGTGAAGCTACTGGAGAAGGACCACGGCGTCAAGTTCCAGTACCAAGAGCACGCCAAGAAGAGCGACAACGTCATGGACCGCTGGGTGCTTGCGCGCTGCCAGGGACTGATCCAATTCGTTCGCCAGGAGATGGACGCGTACCGCCTCTATACAGTGACGTCACGACTGACGGGTCTTGTCGACGAGCTCACCAACTGGTACATTCGCTTCAACCGTCGACGTCTCAAGGGTGATGGTGGGGTGGAGGATACGGTATCCGCGCTCAATTCGCTGTTCGAGGCGCTCCTCACCCTGTGTCGCACCATGTCGTCATTTACGCCCTTCATCACTGAGAATCTCTACCAAGGGCTGAAGGTCTTCATCCCGCCCAACGCCGAGGCGTCCAAGCAGGAAGACACGCGCTCGGTGCACTTCCTCTCCTTCCCCGAAGTCAAGGAGGAGTACCTGGACCCTGTCATCCAGCGTCGCTTTGCCGCATTGCAAGCGGTCATCGATCTCACGCGCACAGTACGCGAGCGCAACAGCCTCCCCATCCGCGTGCCGCTCAAGGAGCTCGTCGTCTTCCACTCCGACCCGCAATTCCTCGACGACGTTTCTCACCTGGCCTCATATGTCACCGAAGAGCTCAATGTGCGCGACTTGACCCTTACGCATGACGAGGAACTGTGTGGCGTCAACTTTGTGCTGCAGGCCGACTGGCCGGTGCTGGGCAAGAAGCTGCGCAAGGACATGGGCAAAGTGAGGAAGGGGCTGGGCAATGTGACGAGCGCGCAGGCGAAAGAGTACGCTCGCACTGGCAAGATCATGGTGGAGGGCATCGAGTTGAGCGAGGGTGACTTGCGCGTTGTACGCCAGGTGGATGCAGAGGCGGCGAGCAAGAGGCGGGCTGAGCTGGATGGAGCTGAGCAGGGTGTGACGTGGGCGTCGAACACGGATGGCAATGCGGTCATCCTGCTGGACACGCTGGTGCGTCCGCATCTCCAAGAGGAGGGATCAGCGCGCGAGCTCGTAAACCGCATCAACCGGGCGAGGAAGCGCGCGGGCTTCGTAGCTACGGATGCTGTGGATGCTGTCTACACGTTTGGCGAAAAGGGAGAGGCGGGAGATGTCGATGCCCTGCGCAAGGCCTTTGGCGAGTACAGCGACTACTTCCAGAAGCAGCTGCGAGGCAGAGTGCCGCGTGAGGAGGGAGAGGGGGACAAGGAGCTAAAGGCTACGTTGGAGGAGGAGACGGAGATCAACGATGTGGCGATGCGCATCCGTTTGATCAAGTTGTAGAGGCGACGAGAGATGTGTGGAGCCTAGAATAGCATGTCTCGTTGCGGTGCTCTTGAGAATGCGGTGGCTGGCCGCGCCAATGAACGCGTGTCGTGTCGCGTGTGCAGGCGGACTGAGAGCCAGAGTGTTGGAGTCGATTTGCAACGTTTTGTCAGCGGATTCCTTTCTCGTCTCCCAACCACGAGCAGCAATGCCCGCGAGAGCAGCAAAGGTAGCAGCCGCACAGAGCAGAGTATGTTCCTCTTCTTCTTCATCCTCATCAAGACTAGTCTCAGGTGAAAGTTCAGCGACCCGCATTCCCACGGCCGCGCTGCCTCTTCGCGCTCATACACGCGCATATCATGAGCCGCTCCTCCTCGTTGAGCCCTCCAACGATGACCAAGTCGGGGGCTCCCTGCTCAGCTGGTTCGAGGGCATCGCAAAGGAGCGTGGCATGCCCTGGCGCAAGGACTGGATTGACCCGGCGGCAGAAGAGTGGCAAGGGGAGGAAGGCGCCGCGTTGCTGCGAAGCGCGTTCGAGAAGCGGGCGTACGAGGTTTGGATCAGCGAGATTAGTGCGTATATGCGGGCGGGGGCATCAGCCACTCAAGCAGCTACTGATCGACTGTCAATGTCCCTCGCTCGCAGTGCTCCAACAAACGCGTGTAGCGACGGTAATCGACTACTGGACCTGCTGGACAACTCGCTGGCCCACAATCCAGGACCTGGCCGCTGCTCAACCGGATGAGGTCCTGTCTGCATGGCGAGGGCTTGGTTACTACTCTCGAGCTACGCGCATTCACCAGGCTGCACAGAAAGTGGTCGCTGACGCTGAGCTCCGAGGTCTACTCCCAGAGACGGCGTTCGAGCTGGAGAAGCAGGTTCCCGGCGTGGGGCGATACACGGCGGGCGCAATCAGTAGCATCGTCTTTGGGCGGGCCGAAGCGATCCTCGATGGTAATGTCGCGCGAGTGTTGAGCAGGCAGCTAGCCCATCGTGCAAATCCCAAGGCGAAGGCGACGACCGACTTTCTGTGGGGGACAGCGCAGCGGCTCGTCGAGGCGGTCGCCCGGCACACGAGCGCAGAGGGTAGGAGCGATAGGCCGAGCAAGTGGAACCAGGCCCTCATGGAGCTCGGATCGACGCTTTGCACTCCGCAGCAGCCGCGATGTCATGAGTGTCCCATCAGGGGAACGTGTAGGGCGTATGCAGAGGGGGAGGCGCTGGCGGTGAGGAGGGCGGAGATGCACGAGTCGCTTGCTGTCCATCCGCAGCAGTTGAGCGAAGAGGTGGCGGACATTGAGGACCTATGCCAAGAGTGCGAGCCGCTCGATGAGATGAGCGGGGGCGAAGCGGTGGCCGCAGCCAGTGCCGAAGGATCGAGGAAGCGCAAGAATGGCGAGAAACAAGCGACGTCCGCCCAGCCTGTGAAGAAGGCAGCCAAGCAAGGTTCGCTGCTCAGTCACTTCAGCAAGAAGGGCAACGGCAGTACGGCTGCATCATCACCATTCACTTCTAGCAACGGTCAGTCGGTAGACGAAGCGGCGGTCTCGCCTTCCTGCCTTTCTACCCCTCGCCAGCTTCCACCAGCCGCTCTCCTCACCATCCAGACGCACGTCAAGCAGTACCCACTCAAGGCGGTCAAGACCAAAGTGCGCGAGCAAGACGGCATCGTATGCGTCGTTCAGCACAGCACCGACTCCAAGCGGCAGTGGCTGCTCGAGCAGAGGCCCGACACAGGGCTCCTCGCCAGCTTGTGGGAGTTTCCAACACTTTTGCTTCCTGCGGCAGGAGAGGCTGCGAATGGCAAAGCGAAGAAGAAGCGCGGCAAGACGACGGAGGATGACGATGACGATGATTATGAGGAAGAGGATGAAGGGCCGTCGAAGACCTCAGGGAGCGCCTTTATGCCAGACGACGCCTCCACGATCGAGGCAGCTCGTATGTTCCTGCTCCAGCGCATTCATAACGAGCCGCCTTCACTCGGCCACTCCAACGTCATATCGCAAGGCTATCACTCCACGATCACGCACGTCTTTTCTCACCTCAAGCTCCACATGCACGTACACTGCTTCGCCGTCGTCGAAGAGGGAACCAGCAATGGGGACCGCAAGCAATCCGCCTCACAGCTCAAGAGAAGCAAGCGGGAGGAGCGCATAGGCCCGCTCAAGTGGCGGAGCAACGACGAGGTCGAGGCCGAAAGCATGGGTACGGGAATGCGCAATGTCTGGGCGTTGATCAAGGACTCAGGGGGCGGTGCTGCCAAGCAGAAGAAGCTCAAGCGCTGATGCGGAGCGTGATGGGCGCATGTTTGATTACATGGTGTGGGCAGATGTTAAATGTCTGGTGCTTACAGCGCATCGTTGTAGATGCTTGGGGCCGATCGAGAATGCCATCCAATGATACCCACTCTAAATGCTGCGGTCTCGTTCCTCTCAATCTACCCTCCGCACCCTCTTCCTGACCTCATCGCCGACGTCAGCTGCCACTCTCGCCTTCTCCTGCCCCGTGAGCTTCTCTACACCCCACCTCTTCGCAAACAAGCACATTTCGGCACAGAGCAGCGCCTGCGCTGTAGCCACCTTCGCCTCGCGTGCGTCGTCGGTAGCGCCTGTCATGTGCTCATCTTTGCCAAACGCCTTGACCATCAATCGCTCCACCCTCTCGGAGTCAAGCCAGCCAACCGCCTGCACACCTTCACGAGTGAGCAGCCGCTGCAACAGACGGTGCATTGGCCCGCCGCGAGGGTAGCGACGAGGGGCAGCAACAAAGGGCTGCTTGACTCGCTCATACACCTCCGGGGTTATGAAGGGGCGGGCAGCTTCGTAGAGGATCCACTTCTCGCGAAGAGCCTTCGTGCGCGGATCGAAGCGGAGCTTGAGAGAAGGCGGGAGAGAGTCGATCTGTGAAGCCAGAGTGAGATCAAGGTCAGCTTGCGAAACAGCAAAGTTCTCGAGGCTGTGGCGACTCACAAATTGCGTAAGATGGTGGTCGAGAAACGGCGTCCTCGCCTCCAGCGCGTGAGCCATCTCTACTCGGTCACCCAAGTGAGTGAGCTGCTGGGTCACGAAAGTCGACCGCTGGTAAACGAGGAGAGCGGTGTGGAGAGGGTGGTACTTGTCCTCGCGGATAGCTTCCTGCGACTTGCGAGGCAGGCTGTCCAGCAGGGAGTCGAGTGCAGCATCACCTCCGCTTGGGTCGATGAATGACTCTGCCCATTCTTGCAGCCCTTCGTGGTGATGAGACGTGGAGAGCATGCCATGCATTGCCAAATGGGCGAGCGGTGGCCTCGCTGAGGTTGAGCAGCGCGGCTTGTTCGCGGGCAAACCATAGAAAGAGGGCAACGGCTGGAGGAGCTCCTTTGCCGGCTTGGCATCCTCGCATTGTCCCATTGCAGCGTCTCTCTCAGCAAATCTGTCCCCTCTGAAGATTGGGTAGCCTGCCAAATGCTCGTCCGATCCCTCGCCCGTCAAGACCACTTTGACGCCCTGCTGCTTGGCGAAACGCGCGAGCAGGTACTTGGCTACGCATCCCAGGTCCGCATACGGCAGCTCGCACTGCGCGATGACCTCCTCGAAGTATTGGCAGAGCATCTCCTCGTCTACTTTCAAAGGGCAGTATTGCGCCCCCACCCATTCTGCCGTGCGCTGTGCAATGCCCGCCTCGGACCACTCGTGGTCAAAGTCGATGGTGAAGCAGCGAAAGGTGCAAGGTGGGACACTCGGATCCAATGCGGGCGCTGCCTTGGCCTTGAGGAGGTGAGCTACAATGCCTGCTACGGCGGACGAATCGACGCCTCCGCTGAGGAAGACACCTACGGGGACGTCAGAGCGTAGGCGGACGCGGATGGCATCGATAAGGCGGCTGCGAACGCCTGCCACGAGGGCGTCTATTGGTCGAGCATCGTCGATGGACTTCAAAGGAAATTGGCGGACAAAGTAGGACTGTTCGGTGATGCTATTTGTGTGCAGGTCGACCTCGAGGAGAGAACCGGGCTTCACCCATCGAATGCCGGAAAGTAGTGTACTGTTGCCTGTTCGCCAGCCCTCATTCAAAGCGGCAGAAAGGTCCCAGCGGGGTGCGCTGGGGAGCATGGCTAGAAGGCCCTTGATTTCGGAGCAAAAGGCGAGTTGCTGATCCTCTACGGTGTAGTAGAGCGGCTTGATGCCGTAGCGGTCGCGCACTGCGTAGAGCTTGGCGCGTGCTGGGTCGTGGAGGACAAATGCGAATTCGCCTCGCAGGTGGGGCAACACAGCATGAATGTCGCCATCGAAGCGGTCATAGAGGGCGAGAAGGAGCTCGGAGTCACTGGAGGACGCGCAACTGTAATTGGGGCAGAGTCGGTTGAGTAGCTGTTCCCACTCGTAGAATTCGCCGTTAACAATTGCGCGTGCAGAGGATGAGGTCGAGGCCATTGGCTGGCAACCACGAGCGTCGGGCCCCATGATAGCCAGACGAGCGTGACCGAGGGCTGCGAAACGGGATCGTTCAGGGTTCAGCAATGTCGCGTTACCGCGTTCTGCGCTAGTACGTACCGACTCTAGCGTCGTTGCTGACCCACGTTCCGCCACCATCCGGTCCGCGGTGGGCAATGGCGTCAAGCCCGCGCTCTAAACGCTCCTTGACATGCTGACTATCTTGCGCCCGACCACTCAGATCTAGCAAGCAGTCGATGCCGCACATCGTTGAGGATGGCGGCGTTGGATGCGAAGGAGGAGCGAGCGCAACGTCCTGACAGCAAAGTCGGGTGCGACGGCCGCCCGCCAGGCCCGAGAAAAAGTCGCCGATTCGCCAAGACCCCCCCGCACCCCGGCGCTCACCAGATTGCCGTGTTTTCCATCTCAGCGGGGCGCTGCAGGGTGAGAAAGTAGGGTCTGACCGCGGCGACCTTTTTCCCGTACACGCTTCTCCAGCCTTGCCTGCCCTACTTTGCGTCTCGAGCAAAGCGCGCATGTCCACGACAGGAGAGAGGTAGTTTGCTGATCACGCTGACTTCGATGTCCTCTTGTACGGCAGGTCAGACTTCTCGCCGCTGCTTTCGCCGAGAATCGACCGAGGGGACCCCTTGCTCTTGCGCACCTGGCAAGACGAGTTGCGCAAGATATGAAGGTGGGGCGGCGAGCGAAGAGACGAGCTGAAGGGGCAAATGCGGGTCGCGAGGGGGAAATCTGAAAGGGCGATGGTATCATGGACAGAGTGGCGCGTCGACTAGCTAGGCGCTGCTCAGGCTCCTTTCGGAGAATTCGGAAGTCCACGACGGCCTGGCTCACACGATCGCGCCACTCAGGCACGCACGCGTCGAGGGACGGAAGTAGAAAGTGGCGGGCGGGCAGGCGGCGGCTGGTTGAACCAACACTCTTAGTTTGCTCGCAAGCTTGCCTCTCGATCCATCACTCCAATGTTCTACGACCATACCAATGTCGCGCAAAGCTCACTCGTTCCTGCACGAGTATCCGCGCATTCGCGTTGATAGATTCACAGAATCGAGGGAGCGCGTGCCCGACTTTCTGCTGCCTCCTCGATGCCGTGCAGGTGCTGCTAAGCGTCAAGACGAAGACGAAGACGACGACGAGCCCGGTCCGTGGGATGACCTCGACCAAGACGACGAGAGCACCTTGAAGGCCAACGGTGGCGTTCGCTTCTTTCCGGCCCCGACTATACAGCTCCTCTCCCACATCCATGCCGACCACATCGAAGGCCTCTCCGCCCCCCTGCGAAGCTCTGCCCCAATCTACTGCTCCGCCGCCACAAAGGAGATGCTCATGCGACTCGAGTCCCAGAAGTCGCGAGAGAAAGGAGCTTGTCGGGTTCCCATGGGTGAGGGAGCTCGCAAGCGGCCCTATGAGTGGCTGCGCGTTACAGCCAAGCATGCCAAGGCGAAGAAGAAGTTTACTGGGTTGGCGCCTGCGCCAAGGGATCTGCTCCACGCGCTGCCATTCAACACGCCGACCGAGCTCCGATACTCTCCTGGCGTAAATATACGCATCACTCTGCTCGATGCCAATCACATGTCGGGGAGCACGATGTTCCTGATTGAAGGACATAGAGGAGCGGTGCTCCACATGGGCGATTGTCGTGCGGAGACGTGGTGGATCGAGGCGTGAGTGCGTGGCGCAATGGACATGCGAGAAAGCTGATACTGACGACTGACTCGTGTCCGCACGCAGTCTGGTGCGTCACCCTTCCATGCAGAAGTATGCCTCTTGGCAAGACGGCCAGCAGCAACAGCAAGCAGAGACATCGTCACTCCCTTCTCGACTTGGCGTCACGCAGAGCGGGCTCGCGCAACAGTACTCTCCGCCGCGTAGCGAGACTCAAATTACTTCGACGTCTTCGTCCAGCAGCCGCAAGACGCCAACAACTCCATCGCAGCGCAAGCCCAGCAGCGTCCAGATGGCCACTGGTCGAGATCTCCGCCTGCAGAACATCTACGTTGACGACGAATGGTTGTCGAATGCGGGCTGGCCCCCTTCCAAGATGGACGCCGCGCAGGACGTCGTCGACTTGATGAAGCGCTATCCGGAGGACACGAGCTTCTTTATCGACTGTTGGACTTGGGTGGGTGCCGTGCGAGCGCGCGATAATTATGATGACGACCAGCTGCTGACTGTGCCCCTCTACCTGCTTGCCAGGGGTTTGAGGAAGTCTTTCTCGCAATCGGGAAGACGCTGCGGGACGCCACAGGCCAAGGAGCGCGCGTACATGTCGACCCCTATAAATGGTCGATGTACACCCTCGCCGGCGATCGCTCCCTCCCCTTCCTCACCAAGACCGCCTCTGCAACTCGTTTCCACGCCTGCGAGCGCACTCAGGAATGCGACCACATGTGGGAAGATGCGAGCTTGACGATTGGCGAAAGCGAAGCCGCGTGCCATCTGGTCGACCACTGGACAGGACCAGTCCATTCTGTTCCCTTGTCGCGACAAGAGCAGGAGTACTACGAGACGCAGGTGAGGGAGAGTGCGGCCCAATCTTCTGCAGCGGCAGGCAGCTCCGCAGTATCGCCTCTGACCGTGTACGTCAAGGTCTTGGGCACATCGATCGAGGAGTGGGCAACGCTGCGCGCTCAGTCACACGCGGAGATCGACAAGGCCCAGCGTGGCGAGGCCTCCTACCCCGCATGGCTCGCATGCCCGCTTCAACGCCACTCGTGCCTTCCAGAGCTGCAGCGCCTCGTGCGCTCCTTTAGGCCCTGCACCGTCACTCCTACTTCGAGTCAAGAGGACCATTACTTTCTTGCCTCGAGGCTGTTGGGGCCGTATTTGGGGCCGGGCGGGCAGCAGAGGATCGAGAGAGAGGCGAGGGAGGCGACTCCTAGCGACGTGTGGCGGGTGTGCGAGGAGAGAATGCCAAGCGGGGGACTCGGCGATGCTGAGGACTGGAACGAGGTGCTGAAGAAGTATCACGAGGCGAGGCAGCCGCCGCTCGATCTTAGCCAGAGTGGTGCGGTGAGCAAGGGGAGGGCGAGGGACGAGGAGCACGAAGACGCCGACGTCAGCAACAGCCGCGTGTCTGCATCGCTCCCTGCACCGGTAGCAAGCGCGCCCATCACCAGCAACCCGCAAGTCGCCGTCGCCGCTCCATCATCATCCGCCGCAGGACCACCAAGCATTACTTCCCCGTCCGCCTCTGGCGCCAGAATCTTGGACGACGACCTCGCCCGCCGCTTCTTTGTCGTGCTGCGTATGTGCGTCGTTCCGCACCTCAAGCTCCTCAACGTTCCTGGCGGGACGGAGGGCTCCGAGGCTTGGAGGGCGGTGAGGAAGCTCAAACCAGGCTGGGCGGCCACTGCCGAGAGGATCATGTACAAATACACCGAGGTGTTGGGCGATGACTGGGCGTGCAGCGCGTACGTGAGGGACGAGGTTGGGCAGACGAGGAAGAGAGTTAAGAAGGAGTCGGGTGCGAATGCGCTAGCAGGGCCGTCGCGGCTCGCCGTCGCGGGAGGCACAAGCCGAGGAGTGGGTAGGCAAGATGATACGGTCACCTGCGCTGAGCTGCGCGAGGCAGACGAGGACTGGCTGCCCCTTCTCCTCTCACAGCTGGACACTCAACCCTCTGCTCCGCTCCGACTTGTCGAAGACCTCTGCAGCGCGAGCGCGACACATCTCGCCGCCATCCATGCCGAGCTGGAGCTGCAGGCGGGCGTGTACGGGCGAGTGCGAACAGAAGCGATGCAGCGCGTCAACGGGTCGGCCGTGCTTGCAAGACAGGCTGGATTCATTGTAGAAGGGCTAGCGAGGTCAATCGCGCTCGTGGGGCAGGGCGAAGGTGACGATGGGGTGGGCATGCGCCGAGAGACCTTTCTCCGGCTCGTTGCGCTGACAGACGTGGCGTTGCAGATTGCTGCGCTGCTTCTAGGGAGTGGTGGGGTCGAGGAAGACATCGTGGATCAACTACGCCCCGCTCTTGTGTCCTGCGGTGAGGGATTGAAGAGGATGCTTAGCTCTTTGGAGGGCGGAGGACTAGCATGGGCGCAGCAGGAGCGAGAGGATGGGCTGGTGTTGCTCCGCAGGCTGGAGAAGACGATGCGCATGGCAGAGGAGGAGGCGGCCTAGACGCGGGGGCCCTGCGCGCTTGGCAGGGGGTATTGCTTTGCTCATTTTATATCCACACACAATCATCATATCCCGCTCCCAATTCTCCAGTCGTTCTCGCGCTTGCTTGTCTCAGGCCTCCGGCCGCTGCCGCTGCATCGCCCACTCGTAGAAGCTCGCGGGAAGGAAGCCGACGCGTTCGATATCTCCCTCTCCTTTTCCTACAACTTCGTTGCTGACTTGCTGCGGTGTGAGGCGGGTGACGCTGAGCGTGTGTGTGGTGGGCGAGAAGGAGAGGCGGTACACGGGTGGTGTGGCGTTCCGCTCCGCAGTATCGCTGTCATCGCCGCCGCCGTCGCCTCGTTTGGCCTCCTCATCTTGTAGGATTGTCTCGCGTGCGAAGTTGAGCATCGCGTCTGCGAGGTTGAGCCCGGCCTGTGGATCCCATGCGTGCGGCTTGCCGCGGACAAGCTTCGGTATCTCGAGCGTTGAGAAGTCGTGCGTCCTGCGCGCGTGGGCACGGTGATCAGCTTGGACGGCAGCTTCGCTCGCTCGCTCGCTAGCTCGCGCACTCACGCCTGTAACCTCCCACTCTTTGCGTCCCTGAAGCCGACGAGCACCCTCCCCACGCCCAGCAAGAAGCTCTGCATGTAGAAGCGCAGCATTTTCTCTTCAAAGCGCATCGTGTCGCGCTCGTTGCGTATCACCATGCTCGTCTTTAGTTCCACCTTTTGCCCTCGCTCGTCTACGCAGTCCACTTCCCCGCCCAGGATCAGGCGCGATGAGCCGAGCCGAGTCTTGACGACTGAGCACCATTGCGTATTCGTGTTCGGAATGCCCGACCATGGATCGTCCCGCGCGTAGTCGAAGGGCCGTGAGCTGGGCGTGTGAGTGGACCAGGACTCAAAGGAGGAGCCATGGTATGTGAGACGGGCAAGTCCCTCTTCTCGTGATGAGGTTGCCGGCCCTTGGCGGCGCTGCGCCTTCTCCACGAGCATCTGCGGCGACAAGTGCTCCTCAATGTACATCGTCCCCTGCACCAGCATAGCATTCATCTCCCACCCATCGCGCTGCTCGTACAACGCCGTGCACATCCTCGTCGCCATCCCGCGCCACGTAACCACATCAGCGCGTCGCCTTGCTCGATCGAGCGCTTCGTCTCTTCCAAGCTCCATGAGCGAGTAGCACAGTGCGTCGAGATGTTCGTTGCGCGTATCATCTTTGCTGATGTGCTGCCCGTAACCGCGGTTGAGGTCGGCGTTCGGCGGAGGCAGGTGGAAATGCATCAGAGAGCGGTCATCGTGATGAAGGCGACGATCCCCATCGTAGGAGAAGGTGGTGATCTATTCGGGCTGCTGGAAGAGAGCGTGACTTTTGCTCCAGTGTAGCGCATGACGAGGGGCAAGGGACAAGTGCCATGTTGAGGGCGAAGGATCTAAAGGGAGCGAAGGCGCAGATGGGTCTTGTCCTTCTGCAGCGCGAACAGCAGCGGGTCGAGGTGGGAGGCTAGCGAATCCGTTCTTGGTCGAAAGTGCTTCTGCTGGAGGCGATTCTGATGCTGCACGCTTGATTCCGCGCGCTGAGGAAGATGGCATCGAGGTTTGGCAGCGATGAAAGCAAGTGAAGGAGCATATATCGAGGCAAGGTAGAAGTGAAGGATGAGCAACCCGGAGACACGGAAGGCGGAGAGGCGGGCCAGTCTCGCATGAGGTCGGCGCGGGTCGAGCGGAGCATTTCCACCGGCGCTCGCCGTCCAACACTTCCCGTGCTTTCATGTCTCCTTCACCAATTCATTCGATCTCGCTAGTGGCTCATTGCACAGCAAGCGCCTTGCAAGCTGTAGGCATCAATCTCCTCATACAGCAGTCTAGACCAGACATTGCCCTGCACATGCATTCTTTGGCCGTCACCCGTCTTTTCTCTCCTCTGTTGCGTCACGCGCGCCAATCGTTCATGATTTCCATGTACACTGTATCTCGGATTGAAAGTCATATCATGCCCATCTACGGCTACCGGCGTACAGGCAAGGTCTCTGCAGGTCTCTCTCTGCCATGCCTGTCCAGTGTGGCAGCTCAATTTAAGCCTGAACGAGCTTCGATGGCTTCCAGAGGTCGACGAAGTCGTTGACGGCCATCTTGGACACCTTGTCGTGCTCGTTGAGGAGGCTGACAATCTTCTGGGCGTCGGCATCGTTGGCGAACTGGCCCTTGAGGTGCTTCTCGAGCTTGGCCTTGATGAGAGGCTTGGCCTCTTCACGCCTACGAGCATGGCCGACGGGGTATTCTACGGCGTTGCGGATCTTGGAGCCGTCGTTGAACTCGATCTCGACGTCGTTGGCGATGGAGCGGCGCTCGGGGTCGAGGTAGCCGGCGGAGTATTCCTCGTTCTCCTCGACGTACGTCTTGGCTCGGAGCTCGTCGATCTTTGGGTTCGCAGCGGCGTACTCATCGGTGTAGTGCTGGGGGTCGAGGTAGCCTTCAATGAGTGGCACGGCCGTCCTGCGTCGGCGAAGAGAATTAGGGTGTCAGTTTCCAGTTCGACCAGCCTGACCGTCGCCCCAGGGGAAACACACATGTATTGAATGCAGCTGGGAGAGCGAGGCGAGCGCGAGAGGAAGGAAGGGAGGTCGTCAGTGCTTCTCGCCTTAATCAGCTACGATGCGGGCGCGCCACTCACTGGTCACGGTCGGCGAAGTTGTTCAGTTTGCCCTGCTTGCTGATGATTCGGATGGTAGCCTCCGTCGAGCGAATTGTGATCTTCTTGATGTCATCCACGGTCTTTCCGGCGGCCTTCATCTCTTTGTGCAGCGTCATGGCGGCTTCCACGCCTGGAGAGGAAAGCACGGGGGAGGCCATTGCGGTCAGCCTGACGTCAACATCACACTCTCAACGCTGAAAATGAAACGCAACTTGTCTGTGAATGATACTCAGCGCTGGCCAGTTTGAAAAGGACGTGTTCCATGACGTAAGAGCCGTATTCGCGAGTGAACTTGAAGGGCTTGCCCTTGAAGAGGACGTCGTAGAAGCCCCAAGTCTTGGCGGTGAGGACAGATGGGTAGCCACCCTCTCCACGCTGGACAAGCAAAGCGAGGTTGACAGCACGAGAGCAGGCGTCTCCAGCGGCCCAAGACTTGCGAGAACCTGCGTTGGGGGCATGGCGGTAGGTACGGAGAGACTGACCGTCGACGAGGGCCTGGGTGATGGTGTCGACGGTCTGGTCGCGGGTGTTGCCGATCATCTGGGATACGACGGCGGCCGAGGCGAGCTTGACGAGGAGGACGTGGTCGAGACCGACGCGGTTGAAGGAGTTCTCGAGGGCAATGACACCCTGAATCTCGTGAGCCTTGATCATGCCCGTGAGGACGTCGTGGACGGTCAGGGGAGCCTTGCCCTTGGCGATGTTGGTGCGCGAGAGCCAGTCGGCGACGGAGAGAATGGCACCGAGGTTGTCAGAGGGGTGGCCCCACTCGGCAGCGAGCCAAGTGTCGTTGAAGTCGAGCCAGCGAATCATGGCACCCGTGTTGAAGGCGGCACGGATCGGGTCGAGGACGTACGGCGTTCCGGGGACGTGGGCGCCGTTGGGGACCTCGGTGCCAGGGACAACGGGACCAAGGACGCTACGGGCCTGGGGGAAGCGCAGAGCCTCCATGCCGCATCCGAGCGTGTCGAACAGGTCGAGACGGGCGGTGTCGTAGGCGACGTCGCTCTTGATCTGGTAGTTGTGGACGTAGTCGGCGATTTGCTGAACGACCTGGTCAGGGTCAGGACGAGCATTGTCTTCACCGAGACCTACACCTCCTGCCATCTTTGCTGCAGAAGTCGAGAATGCGGCGGTGCGGGAAGAAGGAGTGAAGGTGCGCGTTGATGCTGCGAGGACGCGAGAAGAGCTTCGGAGCGTGGAGAAAGCCCGAGGCGCGGCGGCGAAGTTGCTCTTGGAGGAAGATCGGAGAGCGGCAGACAGAGGGGTCGTCGAAGGAAGGCGGGGCATCGCGTGCGCGAGGGAGGTGTGTGAGGTTGAGAGGAAGGGATGTCGTAGACGTCGACGTGCGATGCTGCGATGTGGCTTCTTCTTTAACGGACGGCCGAGATGGTTGATTGCCTTTCCGGTCCCACCCTTCCCTTCGCCCCGCCGCCGCTGCCCACCCCACGTCAATCCGACCGGCGTTATGCGCCGCTGAGCTGTCCATTGACCTCGTCTGAGCTGGGCGCGTGAGACTACCGGTCTCTCCAAGCCATGTCCGCTCTCGCCCGGTCGAGCCTGTTGGACCGGCAGCGGTCCGTTGGCCGGCGACGCGACACGTGGAAAGCGAATGAGCTGAACCAACATGAGCACCACCTTCCTGCGGTGCTCGTTTCGCCCATTGGACGAAGAGTGATTGGACCTTTGATTGCCCTGCGCGGCAGTCGAAGAGAAGCTTCGGGTGGTACTGCGTGCGGCAAGAAGACAGATATGTAGGGGCGGGCGGATCTAGGCGTTCCCTGACTGCTTCGCACCGTGGACGGAATCGATCAAGACATCTATCATTCGGGGACTATGACTATTACTCGAGAGTGCATTTGCTGCGCCGGAGGGGGAGGGGGGGGGGGGGGGGGGAGAGGATCAGGGGATGGCAGCACATTGCTCCTCTCTGATCGTTACGAGCTGCCTTCGGTGGCAAAGAAGGGCACGCCGCCTGCCTGCCGTGCTTGAGGGCCATGGTGATGGCCCCGCGCGCTACGAGGAGAAAGGGCAGAGGAGAAGGTGTGCAGCAAGGAGAGAGAAGCAAGTCGGTGTGGGCACCAGTTCACGTCGTCGATCAAGAAGTCTCATCTATTTGGGGGATCATATGTGTCGAGCGCGAACTTGACACATTCGATGAGGTGAGCTCGAGGACGGCTGCTCCACCTCTTTGCCCAACTTCCTTTGAGCTGCCGCAACGGCTTGCTTTTTGCAGGCGAGGGTCGAGGACAATGACGCCACTGTCCTTCGTCGAGCTGCTGATGTCTCGAGCGTTGGGCTCTGCCGATTCCGTTGGCGGAAGCCCTGGTCATCTGGCACATCGCTGCGACTTGTCCTGACTGGACCACGCGTCGCGACTGTCGATATCGCGCGCCGTCTCGTTGGACCATTTGGCGGCCTTATGTCGCTAAGTGGAGCTCATTGGCGTGGGCGACTTGGCCATCGCTACGTCCAGCAGCTGTTCTCCATTGAGTCGATAGTCGACTTGCTGAATGGATGCGCGAATGTGCTGTACGAATGTGCTCGCCTCTGCGTCGGTGAATGCCACCTTGACGGCGTTGCATGTTCTGCAGAGCTGGGTTGAGAAGGCGAGGGGAAGAGCGCGACACCGCATTAGCAAGGGATAGGCTTCGCGAGCCTGTCCTGGCCAGCGACTCACAATCTGTTCATCGTGCTCGTTGTTCTCACCCCCACGCGACAGCGCGACGACATGGCCCCAGCTGGCATTGTGAGGGTGGAAGTCCTTCTCCCCGGCGCCCCCCTGTGCGACCTTTGACACGGCGAAGAACGTCAACTTGTGCCCGCACGTAGGGCAGTCGACGATCATCTCCATCGCCTGGGCCCAAATTCGTCTGTAGCGTTGAAGGAGACGGTGTCAGCCGTGATGAGCGAGATAGCAATGGAGGTGTTGAGGAGACGGCTGGGCGCAGACTCACTTCTCCTCCTCCAGCGTCAGGGTCACTCGTTTGCCCTTGCATGCCCCGTAGACCATTCTTTTCACGCAACGGGCGATCGGAAACTCCAAAGTGTCATTGGACGCCATGAGACGGCGGCCAGCGTCCGTTTGCGCGGCGGATCGACGCTGCTAGCGACGACGATTCAGACGATCAGAGAAAGAATATCATTCGATTGGCATGTTACGGACTGTATGAGAGACGACAGACTGTGTGGCCTCGAGGCTCAACGGCGCCCCGTTCACCTCGATGAGCTCGACGGGTCCTGCGGGCGAAGGAGGCAGGAGGTGAGAGTATCGATACGGTACGCCTCGGGACATTGCTCATGATCTACGACGACGACAAGGGAAGGGAACCATCAGAGTTTTGTCCCGCCCTCTTCTACGAGTGAGGAGACGTATCATCGCTTGACTTCCCCACCCTTGTCATCTAGCTTCGCCCCCTGACACCACGTCCGAGCAGGTGTCTGGGCCGACGGCGGTTACACGCTCAACAACTGCGACCCAACGAGCCGGTCGTCCAGTCACGCACTGTACTAGGCCCACTCTGCGTTCGTACCTCGTCAGGACGTCCGCGTCATCGAAAGGCTGTGACCTGCGTCTGTGACGGCTGCCTCGAGGTGAGCAGCAGAGGTGATGTCGAGGCCGTTTCGAAGGCAGACTGCGAAGAGCCACCGTCTTAGAGCTGACCAATATTCGACTGGCTTGCTGATGTCAGGCCCACTCAATCTGGTTGAAGAGTGCAAAATCCCGCGCCAAGACGAGGTAGACGGCTACCTGACGAAGGCAACTCATCCACTGCTCGCCAAGGCGCAGAGACTGCGGCCGCTTTCTTCGGCATCCAGATTGAATCCACTAGCCCTTCGCTGTAGCAGCGCGCCCGTGCTGGTAGGTCCCCCGCAGCGCTCAACATGAGGTCCTCGATGTGCTTCCTGCTACGCTGCCGAGACTCGTCTACTCACCCAGCGTCTGGTGGCTCGCCATCAAAGAGTGTTGATCCCGTTGTGCCCGCCGGTATTTGTTTCATCTACCTGCTGCGTGAGCCGGTCACCCTTCGCAGCGACAGTAGCGTGGCTCTTCGCAGAGCAGTAACAGTATTTGAGGTGCAATTGCGTGAGTTCTGCGTCAGATCCTTGCGGATGCGTGTAGTCATGGACATTGTGCAGAATAGCGGTTCGTTGTGCGTTGTGCGTGGTTTGTGGATGTGAGCGAGCCTCACGGGCACCGTAACTTGCCAGGCTGAGACGGTGGCGTCCTTGCTGCAGCACCACGCTTGGCCCGCATTAATGTGTGCGAGATTCGCCGCAGCTCAACCAGATCCAGGGCGAGCGTTGCTTGACTGCTGAATGGGAGCCGTGCTCGACCACAAGCAGGAGCGGTGCTCAACCACAAGAGCTGGAGTGCTGGGCTTTGACGTTCAAAGGTAGTCAGGATCACGAGGACCCAAAGTAGTCAGGATCGCGAGGACCCGAAGAAAAGTGCGGCATGCCGCAAAAAGGATGAAGGAGAGGAGGAAAGGAGCGGGCGATGAGGTTGATGTACATAAGGCATGCCAGCGGACGCTCAGCGCCGATCCAGAGCTCATCGCGGCGGGGATGGAGCCGGCATCGCAGGCCAATCACTTGCGGGCCGCGATGACGCTCGGGCCTCTGACGCTTGGGCCTGTGGGTCACTCTTTGTTCATCGCCTTTGTTCATCGCTTGCAGCAGGACAGAGCGACGAAGCTCCCCCCGTTTGTGGGCCGTCACTGTCTGCCACCGCAGCAGCGTGCGACACCAGCATCTCTCACATACCACGCCACGCGGCACGAAAGGGAATCAATCGCCTGGCGCACCGTCGAGCTCACGGACGACGAATTCACGTCGAAACCTTGCTTTGTGGCTCCCTGACCCGAGCTGAGCTGCCTCGTGCACGCACGCTCGCTTGCCAAGTGGAGAAGAAACTCGCCTTCTCGCGGTCCGCGCCAGTGGCGCCACCCAGGTGGGACCGCTGGACCCTTGAATCTCGTGCATCTTTGGCCAGGGTCTCGAGTGTCGTGTGCAGCCCCGTCGAAACTGGGCGCTATCGAAATCTGACCTGACGTCGCCGTGCGTGAGAGTCTCCACTCCAACAGACTTGCACCTGGCTGTCGTGTGTGGCCAAGAGGTATAAGGATGGGCGTCTGTAAAGCCAGGAACCTTACCCTCGCCACAAAATCTCTCTTTCTCCAACCATGTCATCCACTCAGACGTTCCCCAAGACGATGAAGGCAGGCGTGCTCGAGAGCTACGAAAAGGGCTTCCAGTACGTCGCCGATCACAACGTCCCCGAAGTTGGCCCCGACGATGTCCTCGTCCAGGTCAAGGCTGCAGGCTATTGCCACACCGATCTCCAAGTATCTGAGGGCGTATACTCCGGTGCTGGAGCCAAGCCTGGCATGATCGGTAGCCACGAGCCTGCGGGCATCGTCGCAAAGCTCGGTGCCAATGCCGAGAAGCGAGGCCTCCTCAAGGTCGGTGACCGAGTCGGGTCCATCAACACATACCATCCGTGCTTCAAGTGCCAACCATGCCGCAACCAGGGACAACAATTGTGCGAGAACGTCGGCGGTATGCTCGGTGTCTCGGGTGGGAAGGACGCCCCAAAGGGCAAGGACGGTGGATTCTCAGAGTACATGATTGCAGACGATCAGGTTCTCAAGAAGGTGCCAGACAACATTCCATTCGCCGAGGCGGCCCCGCTCTTCTGCGCTGGCGCCACGACCTACGGTGCCATTCTGGCCTCTGGCGCCAAGTCAGGCGAGTGGGTTGCGCACATTGGTCTGGGCGGGTTGGGCCTGCTGGGCATTCAGTACTCAAAGGCGCTCGGCCACAAGGTCGTAGCTATCGACAACCGCAAGGAAGCAATTCAGATGGCAAAGGAGCAGATCCCGAACCATCTTCAAGCAGACGAGTACGTCCTCATCGACTCGGAAGACGCGCAAAAGAAGTGCACAGAGGAGCTCGGTGGCAAGTTCTACGACTCCAACCCGGGCGTGGACAAGGTCGTCATCAACGCGGAAGCGCGCCACCTCGTTGCTTTTGCGCAAGACTTTCTGCGAATCGGCGGCGTCCTCGTCGACGTTGGACTGCCGTCGGACGGTCCGCTTGAGGTCTCGCCATTCCCTCTCTCGTTCAAGGAGCAGACGGTCAAGGGCCGCCTGATCTGCACGCCCGACCAGAGCCAGGACATGGTGAACCTGCACTCCAAGAACGGCTGCAGGACGCCCATCGAGCAGACGTTCAACATCAAGGACATCCACGAGTGCCAGAAGCGATACAAGGCCAAGGACCTCAAGGGGCGTCTTGTCGTGGTGTTCGAGTAGGGGCCGATTTGCAATGTAGCATGTATTGTCGCCGTGCGTGCCCCGCTTGTCTCCGTGCCTTAATTCGATTCTACAACGTCACCACTCCCCGCACTGCCCTTGCGCGCCCACATTCCTCTCATCTCGTCCCTCAACTGCTGTTCTCTCCTCTGCACCTCCAAGCTCTCCTTACTCCTCAACATTCCCAGCACGTCCTTTGTCTTTCCAAAGTAGACGTCTACGATTTGGTTGCGCATCTTTGACTCGACATCCTCGATGAGCCGACCCAGGTTGGCAATATGGGAGAGGGAGTAGCGTGAAGGGGCTGAGGCTGATGGAGGTTGGATGGGAGCATCGCTCTCTGCTTGGCGGGTGAGGGAGCCGGCTAGCTCGAATTGCTGTTGGAGGGGAGCGTCTGAAGATCCTTCTGGCATCGCAGCCTTGTTACGTTTCGCGAGCGTGAGCATGACGGTGCTTGTCAGCTTGTAGGATGCTGTGCGGTTGCTTCGATCCGGCGTCGTCTCGAAGACGTGGAGAGAATCCCACGAGCCTTGAGTCCCCATCGCAGGCGTGGCGCTGCCGCTGGCCCCTTCGCTCCCAGCCTCGAGCGCCTTCTTGAACAGAACCACGCCGGCAAAGGCCCCGTCATCCAGGTCCCAAAGATAGACGGAAGCCAGCCCCGTGTCGTAGTAGAGCTGACGATAGACGTCCATTGCCCCACCCATCGCTACCTCGAGTTCCCTCAGCTCGCGGCTAGGCCTCGTTCCATCACTGAGCGGCGGGTCGTACTCATTGCTCCAAGGGCTGCGCCAGCTATCTCCGTCGCGATTGTAATCGCAGGCCAGATACTCGCGACCTTTGCCTGCTGCTGAGCGGTCCACTCGTACACGCAGGGGCTGATCCACGCTCGAGTAGAGGTCGTCTGCTAGTTGCGGGCAGAGGGAAACGAGACGATCGAGGTTTGCTGAGATGTTGCTAGGTGGGAGGCGACGTAGGAGGTCGAGGGAGAGGGAGAGCGGGTCGGACGAGCTAGAAGCCATGTTGAAAGCCGCCTGTATGCTATCGAGGCTTGCGATGGTAGTGACGAGGAAAGGAGTGCGCCTCGTGCTGGCGCTCGCGCTGCTCCCGCTTCTCCACGTCGCAGCGGAACGGCAGCCGCGAGTCGAGAGGCGCTCAACCTCCCCGCACGGACGCCGAGACGAGTTGGACTGGACGGGAGGCGAAGCCGGCGTTGGTTTCTTGTCAACCTCGACATCGATACCAGCAGAACCGTTTGTCATGGTGAGCAGGCGCGGGGCAGGCGCAGGCGCGGCCCACACTGACCCGTCTTCATCTTTTGCGCAGTCAAACACCCTCCGCCCTTACCTCTCATGCGTCCGTGCTACGCTCACGGCGGCCATGACGTTGGAGGACTTTGCTTCGCAGGTTGTTGAAAGGCATAACAGTGGGTGCACGAGATGCTGGCATATAGGCGGTAGACCGCGGGTGAGAATGCTCACCGCCATCATGAACCTCGCCATCTCACCCTCGCAGAGCCTGAAGTGGAAGTTGGAACCAGCCCGGAAGTCCTCCTCACGCCTCTGACCATTTCGAGGAATGAGAACGAGCGAGTTCTCATCGAGGTGAGTGCGATGAGACGAAGCAGAATAAGCTCTGATGCTCATCCAGCAATCAACCTCGCCTCCTCGCCTCGCACCCACAGCCATCAATCAACTCCATCCGCCTCTCAATCCGCATCAAGCAATCTGACGACATCGAGCGCCAACTCTCCCACAAGTTCACCCGCTTCATGACCCAACGAGCCGACTCATTCGTCATCCTTCGCCGCAAGCCAGTACCTGGATACGACATCTCGTTCCTCATCACAAACGCACACGCAGAGACGATGTTGAAGCACAAGCTTGTAGACTTCATCATCCAATTCATGGAGGATGTGGACAAGGAGATTAGCGAGATGAAGTTGAGCTTGAATGCGAGGGCGAGAATTGTCGCAGAGAGCTATCTGGGGACGGTGAGCCAATTGAGAGGACGTGACGAGACGCTGTGTATGCTAGTGCTGACTTGCTCCGTCCTCTTGCTCCCCACCGTGACAGTTTGCATGAGCAAGCGGGCGCCGTCGCGCGATGAGAATGGTCACTCTTGTATTCATAACCGCGCGCGATGAGAATGGTCCACGCTTGTATTCGTCAACGCACCTCTCATCATCCACCCCGCTTCTTCCCTCCAGCGCCAGCACCACCCCTCCCTCTTCCCCGACCCCGACCCGCACCTTCTGCCCCGCCGGCCTCGCCCTCGCCACTAGCACTCGCTGAGCTGTTGCGCCTCTTCCTGCCACCGCCTGCAGCACTCGACGTCGAATTCTTTCGCTTCCTGGCAGGCGCTGCGACTTTGCTTCCATCCCCTTCATTCGCTGCATCGCCCTTGCCACCTCGTCCGCCTCCCGCTGACGATGCATTGCTCGCTGTACTGCCCGCTCGAGCTCGTTTCTTGGTCGTCCCAGCAGCGGGCGCCGTAGTCGTCGCCGCCGCGGCCGAGCTTCCGCCACTCGATGACGCTGCTCCTTGATTTGCGCCGCTCGAAGCCATACGCTGCCTTTGTGCGGTGAGAAAGGCATCCAGTGTCCTCACTGGGCCATTGGGTAGACCGACAAAGCGAGAGAGGCTGGCCATCCTACTCTCTTCCTCCGTCCTCGCATCAGCGTCGGGCGTGTCGCCCTTTTCTTCCTCATCCGCACGGCGCAACCGCTCATCCAAATCTCCATACTCCTCGCGCCAGTCCTCCTCCCCCCTCTCACTCCGCAATGCCCTCCATCCCTCATCGGCCTCATCGCCTGCACTCGTCACCCCGCGCCGCACGGCGTCAAGCGTACGATGATCGGCAGCGGGGTCGCTGGGCGTGTCGGTCGTGCGGCGAGGTTGGAACAGAGAGAGGGGGAGGGACAGGTGATTAGCCAATGGCGGCAAGGTGAGAGGGTGTGAATACTTGGCGTGGACGGATGCGTAGGGCCCGAGGACGGCGGGCGTGGATGTCGATGTTTGCAGAGGAAGAACGCCCGGACGAGAAATGGGGCTGGCCGCAGAGCCTGACTCTGTAGCAACGCTTTCCAGCGGCATCGTCCAGCTCCAAGGCTTATCGGGAGCCGGACTCCACTCGCCGCGCTCCAGCGCAGCCTGCAGCGACGGAGCGACGATCAAGTCGGCCGTGGCGCTTGACTTGCTTGCAGGTGAAGAGGGGAGTAAGCGACGCATCTGCTCAACGCGGCTCGACCACAATGAGTTGCGAGCCTCGGCCTCTGACGCAAGGTTGAATCGATCCGCAAAGCTAGGGCCGGGTGGCTCAGCTGCTTGTTGTTGCATGAGAGCCGAGACCGAGCCCAGCATATCGGCGGGCATCTCGACTTGTAGGTAGACGACAACGTCCCGCAGCTGAAGATACTCGTCTTCTTCTGCGGTTCCAGGCTGGGCAGTGAGGGCGAGCGAGTAGAGACGTTGTTGCGTGAGGGTAATGGCGATGAGGTGGGGCAGCTTGGACCTGATCTTGCTGCTGGACCAGAAGGCTGAGGAGCGACTGGCAAGGACGAGGAGCTGCAAGAGGGTAGTGATGGGGGCTGACTCGGTCCACGACTTCTTGTTGAGCGGTGCACTGATGCTGCCGAGCCCGAAACACACACGGTCAAAGAGATCCTCCGCCGATTCTGCGCTAGTAGCCGGCAATCTCTGTCCCTCGCAGGCGTCGAGCAGGAGCATCTTGAACATGGCCAGGATGGCTTGCAGAGACAGGACCGCTCGCGTCTCTCCATGATCATCAGCAGCAGCAGCGCCCTTGCTGCCATTGCTGAGACTGGCCGCAGCCGCTCGCAGCCCCATGTCCACAATAGCTGTTTGGAGCCGGTTACCTCCGATTTGCCAGAGTCGCAGGCCGTGGGGCAAGCTCGCAGCGCCATCTACGAGGAACAGGGGCTGCAACAGAGCTGAAGCAAGCTCTTGAACCTTATCGTCCACTTCACGCTCTTTGCTCGTGTCGCTGTCAATCTGTGAAGTCAAACGAGCAAGGACAATGCCAAGCTCTTCGACCAGGAAGGCGATGTCTAGAGGCTGCGATGTCGCTGCGGCGGTGAGAGAAGAAACTTCCACCTTGAGGGGGTCTTGACCGAGGAGAGAAGAAGGCATTGCCTCATCGCGTACGGTGCGAAGGAGTAGAGACAGGGCCTCAAGTCGCTGCTCGAAGGGCAATGTCGCATGGACTTGGTCTCGCAGCACAGATGGCTGGGCGATGATGAGGTCTCGCAGACTGTCTTGCGAGCAGACGGCCGTAAGGATAGCTGTGGCGTCGTCTGCAGATACTGCGGGCGAGATTGCCGTACTCGAAAAGCTGGCAAGGCCGGCTACGTAGACGGCGACACGAAGCAAGCTAGCCGGCTCAGTTTGGCAAAGCACTGCGCGTAGGAGGATATCTTGGCTGAGAGTACGACTTGAAGGGCTTGCCTCATCTCTGGAGTAGAGGAAGCGTAGCAACGATATGCCAAGAGCAAGTCTTATTGTCGCATCGTCGTCCTGTGCCCGCTCATCCAGGTCTCTGACCGCCGCAACCGCGAAACCTGGTAGCACGAGCGTATCGACGAGTTCTTGCGTCGAGAGGCAGCCTCGTGTGCAGAGCTGCGAGAGCGTCGACGCCACCAAGTCGACGTTCGGCTGAGCTATCGGCGAGGTCCATCCTCGCAAACTTGCATCGAGCCTAGTCCGCGATGCTGAGCTGAACGTCGACCGCAAGAGCCTGTCTTTGGCCTCAAGTAGTGTTGCCTCGGCGTTGCTCTCCACGGCGCAGCGAAGAAAGGCTTCGAACGCGGCGATCGCGTCAGGCGCCGCTGGACTGCCTGCGTCGTGCTGCACGGCCTGCCCTTCGATCCGCTCGATGATCAGCTGCAACACCGTCAAGTCTCCCGTGCTGGTGAACGCCTGCAATGCCGCGGCAGGCAGCGGTGCTCTCTCTTCTGACTTGGAGAGCGTGCTATCCAGAGCTGCCAACCTCGTCGCCAAGCCGGCGTACGGTCGTCGGGTCGCCCAGATCTTTGCGTGACAATCAAGCATCGCTCGTACGAGCTTGATTTGAGCGACGACGGTCAGGATGGTCTGCGATCCATCCGTCAATCGCTGCAGGACGGCGCTCATCAGCTCCACCACATGACCCCAATGCTGTGCCTCTTCCATCACAGAGAGGAGCAAGGCCGTCTGCTCAATATCGAGCACTGATGCGCTGCTGACCCACTGTAGAGCCGAAGGCAGGAGATGGACTCCAAGCAGATTGCTCAGAGTAAAGCGGTTCGCCTGCCAGAGATGCGGCAGAGCGGACAGCATCTCTGCCCTCGTCATCCTGCCACCGTCTCGAGCGCCACTTCCATCAGAGAGGAACGCGAATACGCTCCCCAACTCGCGCAAAGCCCTGCGATGCGTAGCCTCCTCACGCGTTTCCTTTGCTCTAGCGCCGTAGATTGCCAAGCGCCTCTGATGAACTAGGCTGACGGATCCCGACGGCACCGGGATGGCTCGAAGGAGCCTCACCTGCAAGCTGGAGGCAGCGCGCGAACCAAGGGCGGGGGCCGGCGAGACGTCGTTGGGAGTCGTGGTCGAGCTGAACGCCAGCCCTCTAGCTGTAAGTCTATGTAAGAACCTCGGATAGGAGAACAATCCCAGCTCAGTCAGCTGCGAGAAGAGGGCGACTATCTCCTCGAAGTGAACAGGACGGGCGGATTCGTCCAGCTCGTCAAGATCTTCCAGCCAGGCGATGAGACATTGCGTCAGGTCGAAGCTTGAGGCGCTGCTAGCAGTTGACGTGGTCGCGGTGGATCCGTCACTGCGTCTCGCTTTCTTACGTGCACGCTTCTCTTTTTCTTGGCGGTTAGAGAGGAGTTGGAGGAGGCGGGCGATCAAGGCAGGTCGCCAGGGGCTGGGCGGACGGGAAGTGGCGGTCGCCCAGTTGAGTAGGGCGTGGATTGTTGAACGCGGGCGAACGACGGCTTCGACGCTGATCATGACTTGACGAAAGAGCATTTCGATTGCTGATGGGTCGCCATTGAATTCGTCGAGGTGCCGCATGAGGAGGTGAAGGGGTGCCGGCGGCGGCGGCGAGGAGGGGCTGTGGTCGAAGAAGAGGGCGGCGCTGCGCTCCTGAGCAATGTCAAGTGTGCGCCGCATCGACAGGTCTGCGCCAAGCTCGCTGAGGAGAAGCGCACGGTGTCGATGCCACAAGTTGAAAGAGACGAAGCTCTCTGGCGAATGGCGAGCAGTCTTGCTTAGGATAGAGCTGAGCGAGTCGACGAGATGGCGGGCAAAGGCATCGTCTGCGCGGCGGCGCGCTATCGCTCTGATTGAGGCAAGATGATTGCAAGCTGCAGCGACGACCACTGCAGATAGGTGCGCACTCTCGAATGCATCATCCAGCCAATCCTCGACGAGAGTCAAGACGATTGCGAGCTGGGCAAGCGTCGCAGAGGAGAAGGCATCGACGATGAAGGCAACCCACTGTCGTCTGTCGAGTAGATTGTTCGCCAGCAGAGTACTCATCAGAAGCACAGAGTACCTCCATTTTGCAGCCCAACGAGCGCGAGTTTGCTCGTCGGCGAGTGCGGAGGACGGAGGGCGGGTAGCGTTAGCGCTCGTCGGAGGCTTAGCCGTCGGCGTCGCTGCCGGCGTTGAAGGGGCAGTCGTCGCCACCGCCCCTGCTTCGCCGTTCTCCACTGGATCCGTTAGCTCAGCTAGCTGCTTTTTGAGCCACGAAGTGCAACTATTGGTGAAATCGACCGAGTACGAGGAGGACGACGCAGTTGCTGCGCTTCGACTACGGGCTAGAATGTCACTTGCTCCGACGCATTGAATGAACCAGAGAGCGCGAGAAATCTCGACACTGTGTGGCTGAGGCGTCATGGTAGGTGACGCTGGTTGACGAGCGGCGCTGGACCCTTGCGAAGAAGTAGGCTGCGATGGATTGACGCCTAGCCAGAGCATCTCCAATATCCTCTCTCCTCGAAAGCCATGAGGGATGTTCTTGGCCAGGCGCGAAAGAGGTACGCTCGAGTCTGCAAGATCTCTCACGTAAGCATTTAGCTTAGCTTCGTTGAGCGTGACGCGAGGCGGTGGGCGAAAGGTGTGATGCTTGACCGAAGGCAGGGAGGCAAAGTAGTCCCGGCGCTGAAGCGTTTCGCCAAAGACGGTGTTCAGGGCTGGAATGAGGGTGGGCAGGAGGCCGAGGATGAGGCCGTGTGCGCTGCCGGGAGGGATACAATATCAGCTGGATCGAAGTCGACTGCCATTCTCGTCAGCATATACGCACGAAAAGCCCTCATTGCTGACTGCTTGCTTTGCTTGTATGCCGTGCTTGACGTGGACCTCGCTCATGTCTTCCTCGATCTGGCCGGCTTTGGGCGGGTAGAAATCTGGAACAGACAGAGCCTGAGATCCTGGATGCATGAGTGGTCTCCATGATGGTGGTAGAGGTTGATATGCTACGGCTGGCAGGTTGAGAGCAGCTGGCGAGTCCTGGCGAGAGGACGACGACTGTGTCGAAGGCGACGCCGCTGCCTCAGCGGGTGTACCAGCCGATCGAGTTGCCATGACACGACTGCCTGTCTTCTGTGGTCCAGTGTGAGATGCTGATGGTGCTGCTGCTGCTGCTGCTGCTCATGACATCGTGAGGCGTCGAGGAGACAAACGAGGCTTGGAAGCAAAGCAACGGCAGAGCTGCAACGCTCACCTCAACGACGACGCACAGACGCGGACTGAGCGCTCTCGCAATGGCCTCGATTGCCGTCCGTCGGTCCGCCAAAGGTTCCGCCAAAGGTTCCGCGCTCCTTTCATCTCGACCAGAACTTCCCAACTCGCAGCAATCGCCACTACGCCTCATAGATACCACTGCGCTAGGGCAAGAAGACGCTCTCTCCTCCCCTTCGCATCTACCAACGTCAAAACAATTGCGCAGGTTGAGCAGCATAGATCAATCTTGCTTGCGTGCTCTCGACAGGCCCGGACGCCACTTGCCGCCAACGCCTCCGACCTCATCGATACCCGGCGAATCGAGCGACCCGACCTCTTCAGCATCTTTCCCCCTCTTCTCCCATAGCATCGTCACCCACACTCTCTCGCTACAATGGCCTTCGATCTTGATGCATGCATCGCCACCCTCTTGCGCAAGCAGCTCCTCGGCGAGGCCCTCCTCAAAGAGATCTGCGAAAAGACGAAAGAGCTCCTCATGCGTGAGGGCAACGTAGTCCACATTTCTGCACCCGTTACCGTAGTGGGAGACATCCACGGGCAATTCTACGACTTGATAGAGATCTTCAGAATAGGAGGCTACTCCCCGCATACAAACTACCTCTTCCTAGGAGACTATGTGGATCGCGGCCTCTTCTCGGTCGAGACGATCAGCCTGTTGACTTGTTTGAAGCTGCGATATCCGGATAGGGTGCAGCTGATTAGGGGCAACCACGAGAGTCGAGCGGTCACGCAGGTGAGCAGGCAAAGAGGCGTCAGGCAGGAAGGAGCATCGGAGGCGTCGAGCTGACCCTTTCACGCTTGCGTAGACGTACGGCTTCTATACGGAGTGCACACGCAAGTACGGCGGATCAACAAAGGTCTGGCAGCACTTCACGGACATGTTTGACTTTCTGACCCTGTCCGTGGTCATTGACGACCAGGTGAGCGCGTGCTGGCGACTCCAATCTCCGCGTACACCCTTCTCACCCCCCACCCCCTCTCCATCCTCACTCCAGATCTTCTGTGTCCACGGCGGTCTCTCCCCTTCCGTCCACTACATCGACCAGATCAAAGTTATCGATCGTTTCCGCGAGATCCCGCACGAAGGGCCCATGGCTGACCTCGTTTGGTCAGATCCAGACCCGGACAAGGAGGAATTTGCCATCTCACCGCGAGGGGCCGGATACACCTTTGGGAGCACCATTGTCTCGCACTTCCTGGAAAGGAACGGGATGAATCATATTCTCAGAGCTCATCAGCTTTGCATGGAGTGCGTTCAGCGGCGTGTTGTTAGTAGTGGTGCGCATGCGCTGACATCGACGTATTTTCTGCTTTGCGCACGCGCAGAGGCTTCTCGGTCCTGTACGACGACAAGCTCAGCACGGTGTGGAGTGCGCCAAACTACTGCTATCGATGCGGCAACATGGCTTCAATCCTTGAGGTTGGGCCGGGCGGGACAAAGCATTTCAATACCTTCATGGCGGCGCCGGAGAACGAGAGAGATGGACCGTTGCAGGCGGCAGAGAAGAAGCACGATGCGGTGGAGTATTTCCTGTGACTGCGAAGAGAACAAAGGAGACGCTGCTGTTCTGCTGCCCCGTGTACTACTAGATCGCCGCTATTCATGATACGCTGTATGCATTCTATTCCGAGCACGCACACGATCCCCGCCTACAGCCACTCAATCGTCGCCGGGGGCTTGGAGCTGATGTCGAGCACGACGCGGTTCACCCCGGCTACCTCGTTGGTGATGCGGTTGCTCACCTTGCAAAGGAACTCAAAGGGGAAGGGGAACCACGTAGCCGTCATAAAGTCGGTCGTCTGCGCAGCTCGCAGCGCGATGACCTGGTCGTAGGTGCGCTTGTCACCTTGCACACCCACTGCTCGTACGGGCAGCAGCACCGCAAACGCTTGCGAGATGTCGTCGTAGAAGCCAGCGTTGCGAATCTCCTCGATGTAGATCTGGTCTGCCTTTTGCAGAATTTCGACCTGAGAGCGAGTGACGGCGCCGAGGATACGGATGGCCAGCCCAGGGCCGGGGAAAGGGTGGCGTCCCACAAGGTGGGCAGGAATACCGAGCAGCTTTCCCAACGCTCGCACCTCGTCCTTGAACAACTCGCGCAAAGGCTCGATGAGCTTGAGCTTCATGTCCTCGAGCAGTCCGCCGACATTGTGGTGCGTCTTGATCGTGGCTGATGGGCCCTTGAAAGAGATGGACTCGATGACATCCGGGTAGAGGGTGCCCTGCAGGAGGAACTCGTACTTGCCCTTTGCCTCGTGCGCCCGACCTGCCTTCAGCGCCGCAGCTTCCTCCTCTTCGGCCTCACGCTCGAGCTTAGCTCCTTCCTCCTCGAATACGTTGATGAAAGTGTTGCCGATGATCTTGCGCTTCTGCTCTGGGTCCTCGACTCCCTCGAGACGGCTCAAGAACAGATCTGAGGCGTCTACGACGGTGAGCTTGACGCCCAAATCCTCCGACAGCATCTTGTGCACCTGCGCCGCCTCGTTGGATCGCAACACGCCGTTATCGACCATGACGGCGTGGAAACGGTCACCAATGGCCTCGTGCATCAGCTTGGCGGCGACGGACGAGTCGACACCGCCAGAGATGGCGCCGATGACCCTACCCTTGGGGCCGACGATTTCGCGAATACGAGCGATCTCCTTGTCAATGAAGGTGGACATGGTCCAGTTGCGGCGGCATCCGCAGATGGTGACAAAGGCCTGTCCGCGGGGTGAAAGAGCATAGAGAGTGATGTCAGCTTCTAGCCGACCGCACTGCATGCTTGTTCTCGCGCCCACGCACCTCAAAAAGCTCCTTTCCCTTGGGCGAGTGCGTCACTTCCGGGTGGAACTGAATGCCATACATCGGCCTCTCCTTGTGCGCAATGGCCGTGTACGGCGAAGTAGCCGTCTTGGCGATGACCTCGAATCCTTCGGGCATCTTGGACAACTGGTCGCCGTGCGACATCCATACGGGGACCTCATCCGACTCGAGGTTGGCAAAGAGAGCATCCATGCGCTTGTCACCCGTCTTTACGACCTGCACAGTGCTCTGTCCATACTCTCTTCGATCGTGCGGGTCCACCTTGCCTCCGTGGTTCCAGGCAATCTCCTGCAATCCGTAGCAGATGCCGAGGATTGGGACGTCCAGCTTAAATACGTCGGGGTCGACACGAGGGGCTCCTTCGTCGTAGACTGAGTAAGGGGAGCCGGACAGAATAACACCTTTTGGAGACCAGTCGAGGTCTGCGATCTTCTGCGTGCAGGGGAGCATCTCGCAGTAGACGTTGAGCTCACGACATCTTCGGGTGATGAGGTGAGAATACTGCGAGCCAAAGTCGAGGATGAGGATCGAGTCGTATTGGCTGTGGATAGCCTCCGTGAGCGGAGGAGCTGCCGATGAGGACGATGCTGAGCCGTTCATGGCGGGCCAGTGATAAGATTGTGGGTGGGTTGAGAAGAAAAGTCGTCTCGACGACTGCAGCCTCTCTGTCCGCCCGTCTCGCCGCCTCGTATCGCGCCCGCCCAAAAAGTTCGCGTCGCCCGGAGCTCAATTTGGCTCGCGGCTTCGGGACTGAGCGACTTGGCCCAGGGAAACGAATTGCGAATTGCAACGTGGGCCCTTAGCGTGGACCTGCATCTGAGCTCTCAGCCGTGCATCCTCACGCCGTGATCTTCTAGGCAACGACCGTTTTGCCAAGATGTCCAGGCGTGTGACCTGGTGGCTCGTCTGAGCACGAGCGTCTTGCTTTCTTCCTCCTTTTCATCATCACCACCAAGTAGCTCCTCGCCGCGCTATCATGGAAGCCGCTCAAGCTGCCTCCATTGTCCGCCGGGCGCCATCCAATCCCACGGCTGGGCAAGGCGCCTCGTTGAACGGGCATGGCATCTTCGCCATCGTCGTCTTTGCCATCGTCATGTTCGTCGTCATCCAGCCTCTGCGCATACCGGTACCCTTTGCCGTGAGCGACTGGACAAGGGCCAAGTGGCGAAAGCTCAATCCGCCAGTGCATGATGAGCAAGAGCAGCATACAGTCACGGACAACGCAGCTACGCCTCCAGCAGGCCCTGATCCGCCGAGCCGCCCGGCCTCGCTCATGTCTGAACATCAGGTCGTCGACCACGGCACTCGTCGCGATCGCGTCTACCTGAATCTCAATCACGTGAATGCCCCAATCGTGGGCATCCTTTTCCTCCTGGCGACTAAGACCATCGGCGGCGAGCAGATCAAGCTAGGAATCGTAGGCGACGGTCACGTGGAGCCATACGATACGCTCCTGCTCTTCCTCTCCCTAGCATATATCGCCATCTCTCTCGACACTACGGGTCTGCTGCGCTTCTTGGCCTTTCACGTCTCCATTTCGGGTGGCAGGTCAGGGCCACGGCTCTTCTACTCCCTTTATGGCTTCTTCTTCTTCCTCGGTCTACTCGTAGGGAATGACGCCGTCGTGTTGTCGGGAACGAGCTTCTTGGTCTACTTTACGCGCATTGCAGGCATCTCACCGCCAGATGCGTGGATCTGGGCTCAATTTGCTGCGGCGAATATCGCGAGTGCAACGCTGGTGTCTTCGAACCTGACCAACGTAGTCGTCGCTACGGGCTTCGGCATCAAGTTTACGACGTACTCGGCTTTCATGGCTCTACCTACCGTGGCGAGCGGAGTGGTCGCCATCTTCTGCATTCGCGTCCTCTTCATCAATCGTCAGCCACGCGACAATCCCTTCAAGAAGATTGTCAAGAAGCTGCGAGAGCCCACGATGACGACCAATGGGGGTGCGCGCGTCAAGCCTGGAGTCGCGCTGCCAAGCTTACCTCGCCGACGCTCCACGATGAGCCGTACGTCCCACGTCGAGTCGCTGAAAAAGGTTGCAGGAGGCAAGGCCACGCCGGTCGAGGAGGAGGAGGAGCGTGGCGTAGAAGCCCAGACAGGTGTAGCTTCCGCATCTGCCGGTCCATCGTCAGCAGGGCGCTCATCAGCCACAGCGAGCGTTGCAGCCCGCAGTCATCGCGAGCAAGCCAGCGACAGCGACGATGATTCCCCCTCGCCCGCCGCGCGTCAGATCGTCTTCATGCCTCCGTACATGATCCCGCCTGACGTCAACCCACGCTCCGCCCTCAACGATCCATTCGGCGCCATCTGGGGCTCGGCAGTGATGGCTATCACGCTGGGCGTGCTGGTAGGCACATCGGTGCTGGGAACAGTCAAAGTCTATCAGGTCTCTCTACCTGGAGCCTTCTTGTGCCTGGCACGCGACTTCTTCAAGGATGTCAAGGACTGGCGCGCAGAGAGGTTGCGCAAACAGAGGGAGGGCGACTGCCCCGGCGGACGAGAGGCGGGGCGATGTGAGCCTGATGGGCGACCGTGCGAGGCTATCGAGTTGGAGCAGGTCGCGGCCGTGGCAAAGGAGCAAGAAGCAACCACACCATCACGGGGTCGTCCGCGCCCAAACGTCCTCCAGCGCATCATGGCCCTGCCACACTGCATCGCCCGGGTCCTGCCAACCGTCACGCACGTCTGCGCCCGTCTGCCCCTGCCCCTCCTCCCCTTCGCCTTCGGCATGTTCATCCTCGACGAATCGCTTGCTCACGTCGGCTTCATCACCATCATGGCCCGCGGGCTGGGCAAAGTATGCGCCGGTGGAGAATTGGGCACAGCCTTTTTTATTGGAATGCTGAGCGTAGTGCTGTGCTGCTTTGGAGGGACGAACATTGGAGCGTGCATCTTGCTTGTGCGCTCTTTCCAGGACGCGGCCTTCCAGGGCCAATTGCCTGCTCTGCCCACTGGAGAGGCAGAGTCAATCACTCGCGTGGCCCTCTACTCTTTGGCACTGGGCTCAAACGTCGGTGCGCTGGGAGGCACATTCGCTGCCTCCCTTGCTGGCCTGCTATGGAGGGGCAGCCTGCGACACGGTGGCATCACGGTGAAGCCGAGCAACTTCTTCCTCTGGAGCGCCGCGACTATGCCGCTCAGTCTGGCCGCCGGGGTTGTGGTGGTATGGGCGCAGGTGAAGAGCGGGAAGTGGCCAATGTAGGCGTGCAATAGAGCGTGTAGAGATCTATTTAATTCATTGCAACGTACGACTCGTCATTGTCTCCCTGGCACAGGCTCCATAGGCGCCGGCCCCCCTCCTGACATCGCATTGTGATACCCCGCCGCGCTGACTTGATGTCCGCTGAACGTGTACTCGACCATGACAAAGAAGATGAGCAGATGCATTCCAGCAGCGTAGAGCACTGCCGCGATTCTTGCTCTCCTATCTTTCACCAGCACGGTAGCAGCAGCGTGTAGCAACCTCTCCAGCGGGTTCAGCCGCGCCAGAGCGCTACGTTGCTCTCGACCGCGGAACGCTTCGAATGGATTCATGCTAGCTTCGTAGCGCCGACGGTACTTGTCTTCCGGGTGCGGAGTTGATGAGCCGGACGCAATGCTAGATGGAATGAGGCCGCCTCGCTCCTGTTGGTAGGATCTTTGCGGCGGATACGCGCCCGACGCATCCGTCCTTGCAGGTACGGCCGTGACCATGGAAGCGGCGCTTGACCCACTCCCGCCGTAGCTTTGGAGGTAGCGCACCTTCTCGTAGAGGGCGAGATTGTCCGCCTGCAGTCCCTTGACATCGCTGCGCAGTTGTGTTACTACGTCGAATTGCTTGCGGAGCTCCTCCTCCAACTCGGCGTTACGGGCGCGGAAACGGTCGCGCTGTGAGACGATGATGGGTAGAACACTTTCCGACGATGACGAGGAGGCCGGTGTCGATGTCGAGACGACGTTGCGGGCTGGTGCTGACGAGGATGCGCTCGTCGTCGCTGCCGTGCTGCCGTTCGCTTGAGGCTGGGCGGCTTTGCCCGCCTTGAAGTCAAGCTCCCCCTTCTCGATACGCCCCATCTCCTCCAACATTTCCTCAGCGCTCTGCGTTTTGCTGCCCGCCGGCTTCTGAGGAGCAGCCGCCGACTTGCTCTCACTCGCACCGCCCACCGCCATCAGGTCCGCCTCCAATCTCTCATTGAGCGCTGTCAACCTCTTGACCTCCTCACGCAGGTTCGGTACCTCGCTGGTCGAGGTTGCGCTTCCCTGCTCAAGCTCGTGGTGCTTAACGCGGAGAGTTGCCAGGTCGTCTTGAAGCTTCTTGTTCTTCTCCATGAGGAGCGCCTCGAGGGGTTTCGCCTTACTCCTGACGGCGGAATTGTCGTCCTCCTCCTCGTCCAAACCGCTGCTGAACTCCACGAGCCGCATTATTTCGAGCTCGCGCTTGATCTCGCCATAGTCTGCCATGCTGTCGAGCTTCTGGCGAAGCGTGGCCAACTCGTCGTTGCGCTCCTTGAGGGTACGTCGAACCTGGCCAAGCCCCTCCTCCGCCGACGCCAGCGATGCACGCTCCTTCTCTGCGGCCCCATCAAGCTCAGCCTGCAGCCTCGCCCTCCCCTCTTGCTCCTCACTCAATCTGCGCTCCAGGTCGGCAACCCTCTTGTCATCGGCGTCCCCAGCCTTGACCTTCTCCACCTCTTCTCTCAGCTGCTCATTGCGTCTCTCGACCGCAGCCACACGCTGCTGGGCTCTCTGCAAGTCAGCGGACAGCATCTCCACCTCTGCTGCCGATGCACCACCGCTCGGAGCTGCCGCAGCCGCTACATAGTCTGTTGCGCTCGCCAAGAGCCGTTTCTGCGCAGCTTCATGGCTCGCCCGCAACCCCTCGAGCTGCTTCTCCAGCTCCACCTCCCGCGCTTTTGCGTTGTCCAGTCGTTCCGAAAAGCGGGCAGCCGTCTCTGCTTCTACTGCGCTGCGCTGCTCCTCGAGGCGGTGGTCGAGTGACAAGACGCGTGATGTGAGTCGGGAGCGCTCTTCCTCGAGTTGGGGTAGCGAGGTAAGGCGTGATTGAAGGGAGGCATTCTCGGTGCGTAGCGAGGCGACTTGGCTGCGCAGCGCAGCGAGGTCTGGGTGGTTGGCGAATTGGTCCTGCCAAGGTGAAAAGGGTGGCATTGGTCAGCGCCTACTGTTCTCGCGTCTTGATTTGATGGTTGATGCCACTCACGATCAATTTCTCGACGACATTAGCGGGATCCTCGATGCCCCTCAACCTCTCCTCGACCCTCGTCACTCCTCCCTCGGCCTCTCGTGCCCTCTTTGTCAATTCATCGACTTCCCCCTGGTAAAGCTTCAGAAGCGGCTTGAATCCATCAATCTTTGCCGCATCGGTGTCGAGCTTCTTCCAGCTGCGCGTCTCCTCTGCGAGCTTCTTGCGCGATTGCAATGAAGACGTCTGCAGGCTAGTGAGCGGGGTGACGAGCTGCGTGAGGTGCGATTGGAGGGAAGGGAGGTCCAATGATTTGTAGGAAGAAAGGATCGAGCTGAGCTGAGGTTGCGATGTCGATAACGCTGCTTCTGTCATGTTGTTGCGTGGGAGCGAGGCATCGAGGTGCCAGAGTCAGCGCTGAGCGTTGAGCGTTGAGCGTTGGTCTTGCTGGAACGAAGGCAAAGTTGCGCTCAGATCAGGCCGACACTTCGTCTGTCCGCCCGCCCTCTCGGCCGCTCCTCAACCCGCTCAGCCAGTGAGAGCAAAGGGCTCCAGGCGGGCGCTAGAAGCATGATGATCAATACGAGAGCATACAGCCAATCACACGACACAATCGCTGCCTGCGGTCAAGACGACGGTGCTACGGAGTCATAGTGATTACTTCGGCGCCTTGCACGCCCGCATACAAGCACATCCTCGACCCCGTCTTCGCAACCTTTTTGAATACCACGACGAGAAGCTACATCCCTTACGCCTGATAGCGATGAAGCAGCATCCACACTCTCGCCTGGTCAGCCTCCTGTCCACTACTCTCCTTGCACTATCACCCCGCGCCGCCGCGCCGCCGGGTTTCGCCATTAGCTCACCTTGCGACGGAAGGAGCATCCCTCAGTCAGCCTGGCCTTACCACCCGTGGGCTGGGCGAGGACCTGCGAGCACGACCCGCACATGACGACGCTGTGAGCGTGCGAAAAGACCGTGGTGATGGCGAAGCAGCCGGGGCACTTGACGTCCATGAAGTACTGGAGGCGACAAGATGGATAGGTTCGGTGTCAGGACTGGGGAACGTCTTGGCGGCAGGACAACGCTGCACGCACCGAGTTGGGGCTCTGTACCAATCGCTTAAGCTTGTGGCATTGAGCTTGCTGCTCAGTAGAAGGGTTGAGGAGGTCGACGGCAAGAGTCTGTGCGAGGGAAGATGAAGTGAGTCAGCAAGTGGGAATCGAGATGAGTGGGGAGAGCAGGGGAAAGGGCACGACGTCCTGTTCGCCTTTGTAGGTTGACCAAGCCAGCGACATCGTGAGCTGAGATGCTCTGCGATGCCCAGAGCAGACGTGCTGAAAGGCCGGGCAGAACCCAGAGTATCTCTAGCGTGCAAGCACGATCCTTCGGCAGACTACCCTTCCCCCGGACGAAATGAGCTGTCATGCTCCTCGCCGCGGCCGTCCAGAGCGGCCATGGGGTGATAACCACCAGCTCAAGGCATCGAAGGCAGCCCGAGCTACTTCCATAGCCCTTCTTTCGACCCCAGGACGGCCACAAAGGCCCACGAAGACGGCATCGACTGCAACGTCCTCGATGTCCTTCCCTAATCTCAAGCAACCCTGCTACCCGCGGCTGCTTGCATCACTCATCTTCCCGACGGCACAGCGCCTCCTCCTGCAATGCCCGCGATTGTCATCTCTTCTCGTCTTGAATACGTACCATCTTTGTCGAGCTTGTGTTGTTCGAAGAAAGATGAAGGTGGGGTGATGCAGTAAGATCCCAAGTCCGAGGTGTGCGGTCGAGTGACCGCCACCCGCCGTGCCGCCCACGGCCCAAGGACGAGGCGAGTCGAGTCCCGCCTCGAGTCCGCTCCGCCTGTCCGCCCTCCTCGGGACCGACCGACGTCGCCTTTGTGTCTCACAACTGAGAAAGTTGGTCGTCGCAATGCAACGAAGGTATGCTTGACGCGACGCGATCAACACAAGATGAGAAGAGGTGAAGTGGTCACATTGATGCCATTTTGAATAGATAGAATGCGAAGAGCACCGCTCAATGAGAGGACTCATTCTTCGAACGCTGTTTATCGATATCATCGTCGCCTTCGCCCTGCTCCCTCCCCTCCAGTCGTATCCTCCCTCTCTAGGGTATCTCTTTCTTCCCCGACCCACCTACGCTAGCACCTACTTCGTCTTGCTCCCCGCCGCATTTCCACCCCACACCTCGTCATATACCTTCTTCCTCTCCTCCTCTCCCACGACGACGCGGAACCACACCTTTCTCAGGATTGTCTCCAACGGGTTGAAAGGCGCAACGGCCCTCTTGTAGCTCTTGTACAGCGGGTACTTCTTGGCCGACATCTTCTCCGTGTAGTCAGTCGAGGCGGCAAACAAGCCACTCATGGCCACGGGTGAGATGAGCGCGTAGTTGAGAACCAGAGCGTGACCCAGCTTGAGCATCTCACGCGCCGTGTGGTGCGAAGAGGTGAAGAGGGAAGGGTAAAATGTAATGGCCACAAAGAGGTAGAGCAGCCACCAGACGCATTGTTCGCAGGCAAAGTTGGGGTGGCGCGACCATGCCCAAAGCCCCTTGGTGACGAAGCCACGCTTCCTGTCGGCCTCGGTGAAGAGCTGCGCGCCGTCGCTGTAGCCAAAAGTGACTGCCTCGTCCTTCGTTGCCTGACTGTTGTCCTTGCCTTCGCGCTTCTGAGGCAGCCCAAAGAGGCTAGCCTTGTAGCCACGCTTCCAGTTCTGGTAAACTTGTTGTTGGTGGTCAGCAAGGAACTCGAAGCCCAAGTTGACGAGGAAGACTGCTGCAAGGATCAGATCGGCCGTGGTGAGCTGCAGTGTCGGGCTTGAGGCGAGGACGCCACGAGCGCTGAATGTGGTGGAGAGGAGCATATACTGCGGGAGGGCGGTGATAGCCAGCAGGATGTTCTGAATAATCGCAATGAAGAAGAAGGCGAAGAGCTCCCACTGCCAGCGGGGCATGCCCTTCCGCAGCTCGGGCCAGCGATAGTCCTCTTCGCCGACCTTGAAGAAGCCTCGGCGCCAGGCGTTGAAGGTGAGACGTGACGACCAGAGAAGCTGCAGTGCCAGCATCAGTGCAAGACGAGGCTGCAGCTGAGCGGTGACGTTGGAGTTGCCGGCGAGCTTCTTTCCCCAGAAGCTGAGGGCAGCTACAGGGTCACTGGCTGCGCCCTTGAGAGTCCCCTTTGCCAATCCGCTCGCAATGAGCTTGGCGGCGATCACCGGCTGCAGCGTGAAGTGAGCACCGTACCAGACCGGCGCAAACGTCCAGATGCGGTCCACCTGCGACGCGTTGCCTGTGATCTGCTGGGCGACATAGACGGCGGTAGAGGAGATGGTACAGAGTACGATGGCCGTGTGCAGTGGGTCAACGGTTGCGTAGTAAGTGAGCCAGGACTGCGGGCTGAGAGGGGAGTGAGAGGTGAAGAAGCTCTGCAGCGTGGGCAGAAACGACTTGAGAGTGGGTAGCAGGTGCGCAGACGCTTTGAGGTACTCGGTCGACGCCATGGCAGCTAGCGAGCGAGTGTTGATGGGGTAAGTTGGTTATGTGGATGGCAAAGGAAGGAGGACAAGACGGATGGAGTGGATCGGTGAGTGGATGGCTGAGGCCGAGCGAAATCAAGGATCAGGAGGCGATCCGTTGGAGCCGCCGCGCCTCTGCTCCAGTGCCCACATTGCCTCTTCCGCCTGCCTCCACTCCATCTCTGTCCGCCGCATCATTCGTCAGCCCGGCGTCGACGCCTCGCCAAGGCTGCTCAACGCTCCACTGCACGACGGAAACACGGCTCAGCAACTAATCGCACCCACTGAATTCACGACTCGTTGACCATGGCGAGAGCTGCGAGCGCCAGTGGTAGCAGCGCAAAGAAGGCTCGCCCGCCTGCTCGCTACGCAAGAAAGAAGAGCGCCAAGTCTTCAAAGCAATCCTTCTCGTCCGATCGATCCCAGTCGCATACCGCCGTGTTCAGGCCGTCCGTGTCGCGCAGCAGTAGTCGCGGCAGTAGCATATAGGGTACCGTGTGGCAGTCTCTGACCAGCCGTGGCTACATTCTGCCCCGTGTACGCTTCTAGAGAGACTCTGCCCGGCGAAGAGAGTGGTGAATGCTGCCAACGAGTCGTCCAAGGCATTGAGCTGGTCCTCCAACTTGCGCGCGTCTTGCCTGCTGACTTGACTGCGTCGCCTTTCTTCCCTCGTCGCAAGATTCTACTCTGCGTAACGCCACGTCCACCACATCGAAGCGCCTTACCCTTCCCGCACACCTCACGCAGACGGTCGAAGCATCCGCCGCCAGAAGCTATGCAGCCACGAGTGGCCTGGGCGACCATTTTGCTGCTCAGCGCTCGCACTCAGCTTCCTCTCTGAGGCGGGTGACCAGTAATGTCGGCGTCGGCTCGGTTCCTGCGGCACTGGCACGCTACCGTAGGAAGGCTGGCGTGCCGCGCGTGATCACCAACGCCAGTGCGATCATTGACGCATCGTCATCAGGTGAGCCGGCGAAGCTGCCCCAGGTGCCGAGTGTCATAGCTGACCGAGAATACGCCATCGCGCAGCATCTCGCCCCTCCCTAGACTCCACAACTCATCTTGAGCTAGCCACACAGCAGGTGAGCACCTCGCTCAGTTGCAACACCAGCATAGCTCAACTCCAGCTCTCCCTCATCCGCCTCGCAGCCCCCTCCTTGGATGCGTGACCTCATTCATTCCCAGTCACCTCAGTCTAATGTTGCTCAAGCTTCAGAATGGGGACCTACATCTGAGGAGCAAGAACAATTGAGCGCAGTGTACGCCAGCTCCCCAACGCAAAGCATCAACAGCAGCACGAGCAGCAAGCCATTCTCCGAGCCAGGTCTGGCAGATCTGCGCCACCTCACGCTCGCTCGAGCACCGAATGTTCGTCCGATTGACTATGCGGAGGAGGACCTTAATGCGGGTTATGCCAGCGACGAGTTTGCACTTGCTTCGCACCACTACGCCGACGGCGAAGAGACTACGTTGCTTGCCCAGCAAGAATTGACGTCTTCTCGCCCCCCGACCGCGCCTGAAATGCTCCGCCCTTGGTCGCCTCTGCGCAAGGACGGTCTTTCTTACCAAGAGGATGATGTGCAGACCGCCAAGGTCGCTACCACGAACAGTCACCTCCATGCCATTGAATTAGCCCGTCCGACCAAGAGTGTCAGCTTCGCCGACTCGCCACAGTTCCTCAGCGACGTTCTTACTGCCTCATCTGCTTCGCCCGGACATTCCTTTCTTACGCCAATGGATCCCTCCAACTCGGCGGACGGGCTTCAGCAGCTGCTTTCTGGCTCCTCTTCTTTGCTCTCGGACTCAACTGGCAAGACAACGCCAACAACTCCCACGTCTGCTTCTGAGCACTTCTCCACACTACTGAAGCCTCGCAGCCCATGGAGTTCGCCTTTTGCTCCACAGCTAGGTGGGATCGCCCGTAGACAAGGAGACGCGGCACCTCGTCCGTTGTACTCGGAGGCAGACGTCGAGATCTACAAGCGGGAGGTGCTCCTTGGCGGGCAGGCCGGCGCTGCCAGTAGCGAACAAGGGGAAGGCGCGAAGGATACCGGCAATCAGGGGCGATTCGAGACGTTCGACGACTATCCTGACGGCAGCACAACTCGCTCCGGCAGTGTCGCAGCCGCAATTGCTGACGTCGGACAAGATACACACAAGACGACTGCAGAGCAAGAGCAGCATCACTTCTTTGATTCGGAGGGACTTGGCGACGACGAGGACTATCAGGATGATTGTGAGGGCATGAGGAGCGATTGAGTGCGAGAGCGAGGAGTGGCGACGAGAGATTTACAGGAGATGAGGGGAAGAGGGGAGAAGATTTACAATGTTGGGTAGAGGTTTGCGAGGACGATGTGATCTCGAGGGTGTTCTGGTGACAATGGCTAAGCCTTCTCCTCAATGCCCTTGTCCTGCGAGTCTTTGACGCGTGGACGTGCCGTGCCGCCCGTGATGGCGGTGAGCCAGGGCCATCCGCCCCTCCTCGCGAGCCACTTCCATCCTTCCACGCTGAGCGTAAAGACAACCGTGGCAGCGAGAGCGACGCCCCACCCTACGCCACGGAGAGCGCCATGATGGAAGACGTCCGAGTTGAAACGCGGTACGTAGAGGCAGAGAGGGATGGTGGCTACACCGAAGAGGACCGACCAAAAGAGGATTTTGTTCCTTGCTACGTGCTTGATGGCCTTCCATGAGAGAAGTGTACCCTCCAGCGAGTGCATGGCCCAGGCGACGATCAAGTTCTGGAGGATGAGAGCCGTGAAGACCGCGGAGCGAGCTTGGAACACAACATCGCATGCCGGACCGCCGTTGGAGCCGTTGCACTCCACTCCGAGGTCGCCACCGCCCACCGCGTATATCATGACGACGAAAACGACGAGGCAGGTCCAGCCCATGGTGAAGCCGTACACGAGCATGTCGACCACGACCAGCTTGGAGAAGACGCCAGCTTTGCCATCGACAGGTGGACGCTCCATGATCTCAGCGCTAGGCACCTCCATTCCCAGTCCGACAGCAGGTAGTGATGCGGTGACCATGTTGGCCCACAAGATTTCCACCGCGGTGAGCGCAAAGACGCTTTCCCCGGTTCGGTCTTGGAACGCCAATCCAACAAGGAGAAGGATAACCTCGCCCACATTAGCGACGAGGAGAGCTATGATGAAGCGTTGAATGTTGTCGAAGATGGTACGCCCCTCGCGAACGGCTTGAACGATAGACTCAAAACAGTCGTCCGTCAATACCATGTCCGCCGCAGCTTTGGCTACGTCAGTACCGGTTTCGCCCATGGCAATACCGATGGGAGCTTGCTTGAGGGCGGGTGCGTCGTTGACTCCGTCACCAGTCATAGCAATGTAGAGGCCGCGACGACGGCCGGCTTGAACCATGCGTACCTTGGTGCTTGGAGAGCAGCGGGCGATGACGAGAGGTAGCGTGGGAAGGGCGTCGACCTCGGATTCGGAAAGGGCCTCAAACTCCTGGGCGGTCATGACTGCTCCTTTGCCCTCCGAATGGTCCTGCGGTAGGATGCCAACCTCGCGAGCGATGGCGCGAGCTGTGGCTGCGTGGTCACCTGTGAGCATGGAGACCGTGATGCCAGCCTTCTTGCAGGCGAGTACCGCAGGGAGGGAGGTAGGGCGTGGAGGGTCGTACAGGGCGCAGAGACCAAGGAAGGTCATGTCGCATTCCACCGTGGCGCGGGTGAGCGTGGCGGCGGGTTGAAGCAAATTCCGCGAAGCGAAAGCAAGGACTCGCAGCCCTTGCCCTGCAAGACGCTCGGCTTGAGCCGTAATACGCTGGCGTCGCTCCTCGGTCAGGTCGCTGTCACAGCGCGCAAGCACACGCTCGACAGCTCCCTTCATGAGGGCCTGTTCCTTCTCGCCATCCGGACTGGTGTACACGGTAGTCATAAGCTTGACGTCGCTGTCAAAGGGATACTCAACGACGAGCTGGTATCCCTCGGGCGTCTTCTTCTCGCTGTTGGGCACGTCTTGGCCGAGAAGCTTGGGGCGACCCAGACCGAGCTTGGTAGCCATGACAAGGAGGGCGATTTCCGTAGGGTCGCCGCGAGCTGACCAGCCTGTGCGTTCGGCGTCGGGTGGCATAAGCTCGGCGATGTTGCAGAGTGAGGCGGCCGTTGCTAGCTTGCGGACGTCATCAGGTAGCGAGCCGTTGTCGCAGTACTTCTCGGTGCCCACCTCCGCAATCCTGCCTACGGGCTCAAATGCGGTAGCGGCCTCCTCGACTTGATACTCTGCTCCATCCTCAAGCCAGAGCTTGCGCACGACCATCTTGCCCTGAGTAAGCGTACCAGTCTTGTCACTACAGATGTTCGTGACGCCGCCCAACGCTTCGAGGGCTTCAATCCTGCGCACCACGACGCCAGACTCTGCCATGCGCTTGGCGCCGACGGAGAAGGTGATGGTGAGGACCGGGATGAGCGACTCTGGAATGACACCGATGCCTAGCGCGATGGCGTAGAGCAAGATGTCTGAGTCGAGCTCGAATTCGGCGACGGAGAAGACGATGATGGCGCAGAGGACCGCGAGGCCGAGCAGAATATAGGCGAACTTGTTGAGCTTGATTTGCAGAGGAGTGCCGTGGCGAAGACCAAGCAGCGTAGCCGTCTTGTCCCAAACCTTGGACCAGAAGCCGCCCTTGTTGTTGGCTTGGCGCGAAGCCATCTCCTCTGCGATCTTGCCAATCTGAGTCTGGCGGCCGGTGGCGATGACGATGCCCGTGCCGCGACCCTTGGTGACGACGGTCGAGGAGTAGGCGAGGTTGATGCGGTCCGCGGCACCGAGGGCCAAGTTGGGGTCGAAAATAGTGTCGAGCGTCTTGGCTACGGGCAGCGATTCGCCCGTCAGAGCGGCTTCGGACGTCTCGAGGTTGGTGTGCGCGAGGAGGCGAACGTCTGCGGGTAGGACATCACCCGTCCGGAATGCAATGACATCGCCTGGTACAAGCTGAGCGGAGGGGGTGACACGCAGCTCGCCATCGCGGTAGACGGAAGCCGTGGGCGATGAGAGATCTCGCAGTGATGCCATGGTACGCTCTGCTTTCCACTCTTGCGTGAAGCCGATGACGATGTTGGTCACAATGACGGCGAGTACGACGCCACCTTCAACCCAGTCCTGCACGCCGAAGCTGAGCGCCATGGCTGCGAGGAGCACGACGGTGAGGCAGTTTGCCACCTGTCGGATGAAGATGGTCAAGGCAGACGTAGGTTTCTGCTCCGTGACAACATTGGCGCCGTGAAGCGTCTGACGCTCAGTGGCGTCGGTCGATGTGAGACCGGTGGTAGTAGAGTTGAGCACTTGAAGTAGTAGCTCGCCGGTCATGATATGCCCTCGCACTGCAACGAGGCTTGCCACGGCGAGGGGGTCATGCCGGGCGGCGGCGATGGCTGCCGTGAGGGCGGGGTCATCGCGAATTGATGTGCTGACGGAGCTGATGGAGCTGGGTGCCGTCGATGTGAGTGTCTCTGAGCGTTGTCGATTGATTAAGCCACTATCAGGGGGTTTGGCTTCGTCTTCGCCACTTGGGCTCGAGCTGAGAGCGCCTGCGCCTGGGGTTGTGTTGGCACTGGCATTCGATGGCAGAGAGGTGGGGGGAGGTTCCATGCGTTGGCTACAGAAAGCGACTTGAGAGCGAGTGTGATGCTAGTGAATGCTATGCGATGAAGGTGGTCAAGACGGGATCATTCTATGAAGGGTACGACTGCCACGCCTTTAATAGGTGTGTGGGGGGCCCCCTCCTTGGCGTGCTAGCTCCAAGTGAGGCTGTGGCCGCGCTGATGCCCAGCCTGGTCTACTCTAGCTGACGCTGATGCTCTCGTTGCTGCTGTCGTCTCATCTTGTGCCTCTGCGTGATCGGGACATCAAGGGTCCAGGCAGTTGAGGAGCCAATCTGCGTTGCTAAGTCCGCGCTACTCGACGAAGACGACGTCGACGACCGAATGCTTGGCGCTCGCCTCATGCACGCAGCCAGCACCGCTTTGTCGTCATCCGCCCCCATCCAACAGCTTCGCGGCTTTACTCTGCTGCCCTTCGCACGGGAGATCGCCGATTATATCGTCCGAGCAGCAAGGCAGGACGAGACGACACGAGCGTAGAGATACGACCATGGCGGCGGCTTAGTCGAACCATCCTTGGACCTTTTGATCGCTGTTATCGCGGCGGTGAGCCTGGTGGGGCGGTAAGGTAGTCGAGCACGTGGCGTGCGTGGGCGTGGCGGGCTGAGCGCATGGTCGGCAAGAGCAGTGGAGCTCTGAGCGCGAGAGGAAACTTGCCGCCCAAATCGAAACGGCCGACGGCGGCTCGACTTGAATTCTGTAGCGGCTTGCCGTGCTTCGCGCAGCTTCGCTCGCTGTCATTGCTATCATCCAACAGCAACGACGGCTGGCCCGCTCATCATCTTCATCTTCATCTTCATCATTGCAATGTGCTGCTAGCATCGCCTACGAAAGTGCGGCCGACTTGACACCTCAGCTGTTCTCGATTCCATTCAGCACGCGTACGCAGCTAAATCGATTCTCAAGTCGCAATGACGCCAGCACAGCTTGGCTTCAGCCAATCGCTCCCCACTTCTGCGAGTTCTTTCGCATTGAATGGCAGCCATCTTCACAAGCGGCGGCGCTCAAGGGCAACTTGTAGACGAGCGTCAGCGCAATCAGCCGTATCGCAGCCACACGCAGCGGCAGGAACGGGCAATGACAGCGATTCCGATGACGACGAGGAGCCTATCGAGCAGGGATCGTCGTCCTCTGAAACAATTGGTGGTCACCCACGCAAACGTCCTCACCTTGACTCGAGTGACGTTGGCCGCTTTGCAAGCATGTCCATCGCGCCGATGATGCTTGACCTAGACGGCAGCAAGGATCCGGCGGACGATCACGATGCTGCGCCGCCCACTACACCCTGCCTTCCCGACTCGAGCTCGTCGTGGGGTGCTCCGCCAACCACACCGACGACTGCAACCGCACCTGCCGGTTCTACGTGGGAAATTGACCGCTACCGCACTTACGTGGCCAGCCTCGACGACGACGATGAGGATGCAAACGCGTACGTTCCTCCACAGCCCTCGAGCCCTCCACGCCGAGGGTCAAAGGCTACAATTCCCATCACTCGTCAGGAAGCGGAAGAGGTCGAACGCTTCAAAGCTGCCAAAGATCCGGTAGCGATGCAAGAGGGCGAGGGAGCGGAGCCTTGCTTGGAGGTGAACCCGGAGCTACTCGCCAAGCTCGAAGCACACTCCCAGGCGCTGCTCGTGGGTGGGGACATGAGTCGTCGTCGCGGCGTGCCAGACAGAGATACTGCTCAGGGAAGTGAAGGCGCTCTGGTACTCTGGAAGAGCCCGGAACAATTGATGCAGCAGAGAGCAGAGTCGCGAGGTCACATCGCCTCGACGCCCAACGCTTCGTCCAACTCTTCATCTGCGACGGCGACACCCCTCTCGACAGGCCACTCGACGCCAACAGCAGCAGGCAGTCACAATCACCAATCCCTTTTCGCCTTCGGTACCGCGTCGCCAGACGTGCCCTTCTCGCCCATCTTCACAGGAGCGGCTGCCGCTCTCCCCCCGAGCAACGAAGAGATGGAGATGGACTACGAGTAGCGGTCGTGCTCCAGTTGTTTTGTTCACGGAAGAGCCAATCTTTGTTTCCTTTGTCAACCTGTACCATATGCATTCAGCCTCATCTCGAATCGTCATGACGTGCCATCGTAGCCTCTCTCATCCCTGCATGGCTCGTGCGCGGGTCACACGCCCGTCCTTCCGGACTTTCGGGCGAGTGGAAAGCAAGTGGCGTCCGTCCGGCTCAAGAGCGAGCATCTTGGCTCTCTTTCGTCCGGTTTTCGCTGCCGGCAGTCGAGAGCCTCCTCCTGACCGGCGGTCTTGTATAACGGTCGAGCCACCTTTTCCTTTCCTACGAAGCTCTACAACGCTCTATTCCTCCCTCACTCAAGCTTGTCCTTCCATCATGCCTCGCACACCACCACCGCCGCGAGACCCTCCCAAGGTCGGCCCACACCTCCTCCTGTCCCAGCCGATTCCGCATGTCCTTCATCTCACCCTCAATCGCCCTCAAGCCATGAACAGCATGACCGACTCTCTCGAAAAGGATTTGCGCGCCACTCTCAAGTGGTTCGAGGCCAACACCAGCCTGTGGGTTCTCGTCCTCTCCGGCAGCGGCAAAGCCTTCTGCGCAGGTCAAGACCTCAAGGAGTGGCTTGAGAAGCCTAAGCTCTCTGCGCAGAGGAGCAGGGCGACGGGAAATGTTCCTCTGCAGCATGAGAAGGATAATGCGGCTATGCTTCATCGCATGAAGGATTTGGGCGGCTTTGGCGGATTGAGCACGCGCAAAAGTAACAAGCCTATGATCGTGGCTGTGGATGGGTTGGCTATGGGCGGTGGAATGGAAATTGTCGTCAACATGGACATCGTCGTTGCCACGTCAAGGGCACGCTTCTCGCTGCCTGAAGTCTGTCGCTCTGTAGTTGCGGCTCAGGGCGGCATCCCTCGTTTGATGAGCATCGCAGGCCCGCAGCTGGCGGCAGAGATGTTGCTCACAGGACGCATCATCAGCGCACAAGAAGGGTATGAGCGCTTTGGCTTCATAAATGCTCTTGTCGACGTTGACAAGGCTGCCACGCCAGAGGACGGGCAAGCTTGTGCGCTGGAAAAGGCGCTGGAGTACGCCCAGCTCATCGTAGACAACTCGCCAGAGGCGGTGCAGGTCACTAAGCGAGCGATGCGACTCGCGAGGGATGGCGTGGATGAGAGTGTGTACAAGAGTGCGGGGGGGATTGCGAGTAGGGCTTTGTATGCGGGCAAGAACATCAGTGAGGGGTTGACGGCTTTCAAGGAGGTGCGTTCGACAGCGATGACGCGCGGGCATTCTCGACGATGACAACAGCTGACTTGCGCTACGTCTTGCGCTTTGCCAGAAACGCAAGCCCCGGTGGTTCGACCCGCCGGCAATCAAGTCAAAGCTGTGAAGGTGTGACGGGACAGAGCAAGAGAAGGGCGCCTTCCTAGCCTTGATCGAGTCGGAGAGGTTTGGATTGACGTTGAGAGTTACGGACGTTGGTCACAGGTATGTTTGACCGAATCGACATGGAATACTCGCCTGCTAGACTACACGTAGTCATCGCCGTCGTATTCGAACGCGCGTCTCTCTGGGAGGGGCTTGAACCAGATATCGACTAGGTCGGGAATGGTCTCGTTGGTGAAGTCGGTGGGCCACTCGCCTGCGCGAAGAGGAGAGCAAAGCCCGATCAGCTCCAGCGCCCCCGGCATTGCTTCAGCTCCCAGCCTGTCGCCCTGCTAGCCCAATACGTACAGTCATCTTTGCGAGCCATAAAGAAACACTTTATCTCATGAAGAGGTCGATGAGGATCTCCGCGTCCCAGGCAGACCGCTATAGTGTCGATGGCCTTGCAATTCGGGTCCATGGATTCGTCGACTGCATATCCTCCTCCGCCGCAGGCAGTAGCTGCGCAGCCCGTGGCGCAATGAGCGAGCAGAGACATGTCAGTCAACCCGAGCGCAGCCGCAGCGATAGTGTCATGCCTGAAATCGTGGCTCACTGAACTCCAGACGACCTGGGCGCAGGATGTTGAATTCAGCAACCATCTGTCCGTACAGATTGCCCCACTCCTTGGCGCATCGATAGTCTGCATTGCCTGTCAGAGACTTGGAAACGTCCGCGATGCACAGTCGCTCGTATCCGTAGTCAAATGGCGAGTTGAAGCCCTCGAGCCAGCTGCATTGAAAGTGATCAGCACGGGAGAGGTGGGGAAACAGAGTGACGAAGAGCGCCGCAGTCGGAAACGCCACAGCAGGAAGCGCTTGCAGAATGGAAAACATGTCGCGGTGTCGCGTTGACTTGCGCTGCTAGACGGACAAGGAGCGATCTTATAGCCAGACAGAGCTGGTCTCATCCTCGACGACCGTATCGGTTCATCTTGGGATATCGGATGAGGCAATTGCGCCGGAGCGACGTTGTTGCGAGCCGCTGAGGACATCGTCGGTCACCACCACTCATTTTCACGTCCGAGTCACGCTGGATGCTCTTATCGCTGCTGCAACTCTCCACCATCAATATGAATGGAATGATCATTCTCAGGAGGTGCTGCCTTCATCAGAGTCTGCTGACGCAAGAGGGAGAGTCACACTTCGCATCGTGCAGACACACCGACGACCCTCGAGCCCAGCGTCAAGCCCATCGTCAGCTCCGCCTGACCCCATTGCTGACGTCCCGCAGCTTCCCCCACTCTGGTCGTTGTCCACTGAGCTAATCATCGGCGCCGAGTCGGAGCTCGCGCTTCTCCGGATAGGGTAGATACCAGATATCGACCATGTCGGGGATACTGTCGTTCGTGAACATGGCGGGCCATTCGCCTGCATGATCCAACGGAAGCAACGTGCGGTCAATACTACTCTAACAGACCCATCAACGATGAGCACGCACAATCGTCTGCGCGAGCCATGTAGAAACAGTTGATCTCTTTGACAGGCCGATGAGGATCCCCACGGCCCAGGCACATAGCCATGCTATGTATCCATGTGCAGCTCGGAGACACCCATTTCGTCAGCGCGTAACCATTCTCACCGCAAGCAGCAGCTGGCAGCCAGCATGTGCACAGAATAGATGTCATCATGCTTCAGCGTGGGTGTAAATCTCGCGCCTCACGCCAACTCACCAAACTCGAGGCGACCTGGGCTGAGTACGTTGAAGTCTGCCACCAATATACCGTAGGTCGTAGGCCACTCCTTGGCACAGCGGTAATCTGCGTATCCCGAAGCAGTCTTGGCCACATACGCCATGCAGGAGCGGTCATAGCCATACTCGAATGGAGAGTTGAGACCTTCTTTCCAGCTACAAACATGGTGATCGGCGAGTGCCAGCTGCGGGGCAAGCTGCGCTGCAAGAAGGAATAGCGCAGGTGCAACGAGGAGATGGTGAGGGGTCCAAAGCATGGTGGGCGGGCTTGAAGTTACTGGCATGGAGAGGAAAGCGTCAAGGGAGCAGGCCTATTTGAATCTCCCACGGCGTGGAAGATCAGATAAGCTGCTATCGGGACTAGCCGCGACGCTACCTCGCTCTCCCTTGATGCGATGAGACCGCCTCGGTTGCCCGGTGAGCCGTGGCGACCATACCTCGCCGACCTCCGTCCCACAACAATTGCCGTCGCTGAATACCCTCAGCCCTCGGAGAGCATCTTCAATTGTCGTCGTGTACAATGTAACAGTGGCCTATAGTGCCGCTGATGCTTTCAATCTCGTCCGTCCTGCGGCGACGCTCCGTTCACACTGACGCTCAGGAGACGTTTCTCTCACCGGCCTAGTCGCTATCCTCTCAAGCCTCTCACCTAAGCAATCCGAGTGCCCTCACAGTTGCTCCGCTAGATGCCGAGCAGTGATGGACCTTTTCCACGTTGCTCTCCATGAGCCAACGCAATCCTCTCTATCGCTCTTGCGCACCCACCCGTTCCTCCTCGACTGTCACGTCTGTTGTCGGCGCCACTGCGCAATGGTCATCAAGCGGCTGACCTTCACGCTCATACAAGCACTGCTCACCACACTTCTCCTGCTACCGCGATCCACGCTGGCGGAGCATCGAGTCTGCACATGGGACTTGGGTACGCACGATCCAGGACCGCATGGCTGGATCGACTTCTGCGACGCTTATCCCGTTGAGGAGCACCATGTGAGTAGGCAGGCGAGAGGAGCCGTTGCGCACGCTTCAGGCCAGCTCAATGTCTCTGTTTTCCGCAGAACGGCACATACACATACCGCTGCGAGGAGAAGCCCGTCATAGGGCACGGTCGTCAGGTTGCTACATGGGGCCGTATCAAACCACGTACCATTGAAGTGGGTCAGTGCAGGGCAACGAAGCGCATTCCTCCAAAAAGAGCTCACCGACCTCCAAAACTTCACACATACTGTAGACAAACCCTGCTTCCGGGGCTTCGCTGAGCACTCCTGGCACTCGAATCCAGGCAAGTGCCATTGTTGGCATTCCTTCGCAGTGTGTCCTTGGCCGGAGTCAAATTTTCCGACGTGCTTTGGATGGAGCGCCCACGATGACTGCGAGTGGCCTTTCCCAACTGCTGCCCCCTACTACGTCTCCATCTATGCAAGAGGACATTTTGCTGAGGATGGCGTGGGGAAATGTGGGCCGAGGCTTGGCAGGCGAGACGGTGAGAATGCGACCATGCTCCTCGACGACGGGAGTTCGGCCAGTCCTCGAGCGTTCATTGACAACAGAACGACGCCGACGGGCTTCGTGAAGAAACGCGTTGTCCTAGTGAACAGAGATGCTCTTTGAGTCGGAAAAAGGCGGCGTCCGCAGTGGTGTGCGGCCTGGGCTGACGGTGACGGACGATACTGTGAAAATGCCGCCCTTCCATACCGCCTGACCAATCCTTCGAACCACTGTACTTTGCAAGATGATGCACCGCAATTGCCTTGCTCCCATGCTATTTGACCATGATCCGAAAATGGCTGCCACCAGCTCGCCGAGATGAGAGAGGCTATCTCATATCGAGGATACGTTCAATCTCACCGCTCATGTCAAAAGCAACGCCGACCCAGATGCTTACCAGAGCACGGCCGTAGATGACACTCTCACCGGTGTTCCCCCGAGCCCACTTGTTTTGCCAGAACGAATCACTTGCCCTCCGAGCAGTAGAAAAGGCCGAGGAAGCGCGGCGAAATTGCTCGTTGCTGCTTGCTTGACAAACTCATCAGATAGCTCCTTATCCAGCTCCGGCTTCATACTACTCTTCGCGCTGCCGCTGCCTTCTGCAGACTGCAATCTTTCCAAGCTTGCCACTACTCCATGCCTACTACGATCACGATGCGTTTCGTCTCGCCGCTCCTTCCAGGTGTATTCGCGTTGATGCTGCTCCTGTCCCTCCAGAATGCAGTGGCGAAACATCAGGTCTGCACTTGGGACTTGGGCACGCACGACCCAGGACCGCTTGGCTGGCACGATTTCTGCGAAGCCCACTCTATCGACAATCATGTGAGTAGGGCGAGCCGCAGCTGCGAGTTCACTCGCTTGACTGACTCACCGGTCGTCGCAGGACGGAACGTATACATATCGCTGCGACGAGAGGCCCAGAGTCGGGCATGGCCGCCAGGTGGCAACCTGGAACCGTATCGGGAAGCGGACCATTGAGATGGGTGAGTGTGACACCCGCATGCCCCCAATGAGCGTGTCTGATCCTCTTTGTCGTCGCCGCCCACCTTCCCCGCCTTCTCTTTGCACAGACAAGGGCTGCTATCGTGGCTTCGGTGAGCATGCAAGCCATGCAATGTCAGGCATGTGCTACTGCTGGAGGAGCTTTGCCGTCTGCCCGTGGCCTGTAACAACATTCACCACTTGTCGAGGATGGAGCGGCAAAGACGACTGCGAGTGGCCGATCCAGACGCCTCCGCCGCAGTACCTGTCCATCTATGCCCTGGACCACTTTCATGAAAAGGGACTCAGGCGATGTGGTCCCACGGTAGAGAGGAGCCAAATCGACGGGCGAGACGGCGTCAATGCGAGTGTGCTCATCGGCGATAATGACGAGCTGCACGAATGGGATGAGGGAGACGAATGGGACGAGCGTGAGGAGGCGGACGACTGGAGCGAGTGGAGCGCACGCAACATGACGACCGAGAGAGGCGTCGTGGTCAATAAAGAGACCTGACTCGGAGGATGCTGGCTGCTGGCGGCGAGCGAGTCGGACGATGCTCGTTCATGCACATGACTCTCCACCAACATCTTGCGTTCGGGGCGACTCGCTGAACGCTGATCAACTTGCGATTTGACCAATCTTGCCAATCGATTCAATGCCCTTTTCAAATCGACTGTGTGCCGCGCGAGCCACGTCAGTGGGCAGGAGTGCTGTACAGAGAGCTGCGTGTGCGGTCCATAGGAGATCTGTGCGTCGCGATGGCGATCGAGTAGACTACCGGCATGGAGTTGGTGAGGAGCGCAGGAATGGCAGAGCCAAGCCGCGCGCGTATAAGACAGCGACCGGACGGAAGTGGAGCTCAGGCCACGTGGTGCAGTGCGGTCCCTCCTCGCCGCCCCGAGCTACGCCTAACGCACCCTTTGCTCCTCGCCCTCTCGGAGTCCCCGTCGTCTCCGTCGTCCCCGTCTGTCGTTTCCGTCGTTTGCCAAGCCCAAAGCAAGACCAGTAGCGAAGCGCTTAGTATGCGTGCGTGAATGCACAGCGGTAGGTACAATGGTGCCGATCTCCTGCCTCGCTCCTCTGAATAACCGGCAAACCGTCGTCGTCGACGCCGTCGTAATCTGATTGCCCAAAAAACTCAGAAGGCTAATTCACGCAGGGCGGCGACAACTTAGCGATGACGGCGATGCGAGCAGCAAAGTGTTGCGTTGCTGGATGTTGCGGCGCTGTGCAGGCTCGATCTGGCAAGAAGAAGAAGAATTGCCGCTGATTTGGCGGAAGCAGGGCACACGGGGGCATCACTGGTGAGAGGGGTAGAGACCTTCGCACGATCGAAAATGGGGTGGCCACCAGCTTAGACTCTTGGGTTTAGAGTTTGCACGACGTCGTCGCTAGCACCGACGAGCTTTAATGTGGCCTTCCATCATTGCCGCTGCTGACCATGACCACGGCGACCCGGGATGCCCCGTCTGTTGCCATCCGCTGCTCAGGCAGATGCACGCATGCTGGCTGTCATGCTATGCTCACCGAGCATGCCTGACCGAAAGTGTCGCGAACCTGACGCCCCGCTCGAGCTCCTCGCCATCATCGTCGTTTGCGGGCAAGAGCCCGCATTGCCCGACAGCTGCTGAAAGTTGCAGCAAAAGGCTCGTCGTCGCATGCCTGCTTTTGCCTTCGCACCCTCGTCGGCGTACACAGTCGAAGCGCATCTTGCTGAGCCCAAATTGGGAGACGAGAGGCCCGAGACGCCCGGCAGCTCCGCCTACGTCGTGACCCCACTTTGTTCTCGCCCGGATGCCCGCACAGCATTCACACCGACTCGGATTCGCGGACAGGTACCAGACAAGACGGCAAAGGGGAGCCAATGTAGCGAGTCTGTTTACGGTGCATTGACATGCTTCATTGCCGAAGTGACGGGACACAGACGAGGGACAGACACACATGATCGGTTCGAGCAAGAGTAGGTTGGATGCCGAGGAAGAAGTCAAAGCTGACAGTCTCGTTCCGCCGAGAAATCGGCCTCTCCGCGCCCTGTTTCTTCCTGTCTTGCCTCCCTGATATCGATAAGATAAAAAATTTGCCCCGCTCCCTTCTTTTTTCCCCTCCCACTATTTCTCCACCTCCCCACTTCTGCTCCACCCAGACTACCAGCAGCGTCGCTTCATCGCCTGCCACTCTCACTCTCGCACACACCAAAAACGTGAGTAGGCCCAGACACTGTACGGTAGTTGCGGGGCCGGGGCCGGTCCGCAGGCACTGGAGGGCGAGACGTCGCTCTTGGCCAGCCATACCATTTCCGAATCGACTGCGATGGCATGATGAGTGGGACGAGGATGTCCGGCGACCGCCAACCAGGATGGCCATCGATGAGGCGGTGTTGGCTGGTTGCGGTGATGGCGAGTCCGCCCTCTCTCCTCTTGCCTCGGTCCGCTGTCTACCGGCGGGTGTGACGGCAACGTCATTCCTCTACCGTCGGCAAGCGAACGTGTGGTATTGAGATGACGATGGGCGATACCCAGACTTGCTTTCCCCTCGTCACCATCCTTTGACGTCTCATGTTCCTTGCGATTTGCGAATACGCAACTCGCGAATTCCCAATTGGCCTCGGCGACGACGGCATGCGCATGTGCTGACCTCATGCTCGCTCCCCGCACCCACACGCCCCCCTCCCTCAACCCTGATTCCGCTCCATCCACCCTGCTCGATCGACCGCATCTCCACCCAACTGCAACACCTCACCCCGCCCTGTGCTCTCGACTGGGCCCAATCTGGATTTACAACGACCCACCTGCGCGGCTGACGTTGCTTCTGTCCCGCCTTCCGCCGGACAATGGATTTCAAATCCAATTTTGGGTCTCACCGTAACTACCGCCGACTCGCCCCCGCCTTGACTCTGGACTCGACGCCCCAAACCTCTCGCTGCTCGCCCCTGATCGTGGCATCATGATGATCGACGACATCGACGCCTTTGTCAACTAGTCGCCGCCTCAATAAAAGCGCGACCTACCACGGAGCACGAATAGCAACAGCAGGCGACTCACTCACCTTGTCCTACTACATTACACGCCGCTCTCTCCTCATCGAACACCACCCAGCATGCAGCAACCTCAGCAACAACAGGAACCTGAGATCTATGATCTCTTCGGCATTGGCTTTGGTGAGTTTGGCGGAGGGAGAACGAGCAGCCATTGAGGAAACAGGATCAGCTGATTCTCTCGTCCGCCTCTGTTGCCCTATTCAGGTCCGGCCAATGTCGCTCTGGCCATCTCATTGAGCGAGTCAGAGGAGGCGCAGAAGAGGGGACTGAAGTTTGGCTTCATGGAGCGACGTCCCAGCTTTGCTTGGTGAGTGAAGCGCAGCAGCGGTGGATCGCAGCATGATCAGGTACTCATCCTCATACTTGCCTCCCGCATATAGGCACCCCGTTCTTCTGCTCCCCGGCGCCCAGCTGCAAGTCTCCCCTCTGAAAGACCTTGCCACCATGCGCGACCCGACTTCAACATTCACCTTCGTCAACTACCTCCACAAGATGGGACGCCTCTCGGCCTCGATCAACCGCGAAGCCAACATCCCCTCTCGCAGAGAATGGAGCGCTTATCTCACCTGGTGCGCAGAGCGATTGAGCCACCTGGTAAACTACGGCGAGGAGGTCGTGTGCATCGAGCCCGTTGCCAATTACGGCAGCTCGCCCTCGTGCGTCGACCACGCGCTCAGCAAGGCTCAGCCTGCCTCGACGGGCAACAGTGTAAGGCTGCTCCGCATCACTTCCCGCCGTCATGGCTCAGACGAGCTCGTGGTCCGTCTCGCCCGGAACATCACCGTAGGCGTGGGTGGCAGCCCCTCCATCCCTCACCAATTCTCGCACATCTACCCGAAGCAGCCCTGGGAGCAGGCTTCGCGCATCGTCCACTCGGGCACCTTCCTCCCTTCCCTCAACGCAATCGAGCCCGAGCTTGCCGCTGCCGTCGAGCAACGCCTGGGTCGAAGCTCGCCCGCCTCGAAGACGAACTGGCCATTGCGCTTCGCTGTCATCGGTGCCGGTCAATCTTCAGCAGAGATGCTCCTCCACCTGCGTCGCACCTTCCCCTCAGCACATATCCAGATGATCTTCCGCGCTTCAGCGATTGTTCCCTCCGACGACTCGTCCTTCGTCAACTCGGCCGCCTTCGACCCGGAGCGCACCGATGCATTCTGGAAGGCAGGCGAGCAGGAGCGCGAGGCGTGGCGCACGGAATTCAAGCGTACCAACTACTCGGTGGTGCGCAACGATGTGTTGAACGAGTTGAGCGAGGTCATGTACGATCAGAAGATCGAGTTGCCTGCCCTGTACCCGGGTAGCGATGGGCCAGCGGAGGGGAGGGTGGAGATTACGCCCAACACGTTCGTGGAGACGGCGGATACTGTCAAGGTGGATGGACTGGAGCAGTGAGTGCGCGCTCCAAGATGAAGCATTGCAGGAACGCCCAGACTAACTTGACTCCTTTCCCGTGCACAGAGTCCGCCTCGTCATCAAATCTATGAAGACAGCCGAGCCAGCCACCATGCTCGATTTCGATGCTGTCTTCATGGGTACTGGATTCATCCGCCGAGCAGACAGCCTCAACTTCCTTAGCCCCCTGCGCGACCACCTCCCCATCCTCGATGTTGAGAACGCTTCGAAGCGCCGCGCAGCACTCGGCTTCTCAGATGATGATGATACACGCACCATGGCTGGAGAGGACGAAGCGGCCAAGGAGATGGTTCGCGAGCGGGTACGCGGGATCACTCGCGACTACCGCTTGGTGCCATACTTGAGCGACTCCTTTACCCCCAAGGCACGGAGCTCAAGCCGTTCACCTTCAACCTCCGTTTCCCCGTCACGACAGCGCTCTGCGGCCTCGTCGCGCCGCAACAGCTCCACGTCGGACGAGACATTGGCAAACAACGGCGGCGAGTTCGAGGACTCTGCTGCCGCTCGCCCGCGCTTCGAGCCCAACATCTACTCCTTCGGCGGCAACGAGGCTACGCATGGTCTCAGTGACAGCCTGTTGAGCATCTGCGCATGGAGGGCAGGGGAGGTCACGGACTCGCTACTGAAGCGCTTGCCGCTGCGACCTGCAGTTGAGGGCGAGGGCGAGGGTGAGAAGGACTCTGCATTGGCAGATGCTGAGGCCAAGACGGCTGGAATTCTAGCCATTTCTGGCGGCGAGGCAAGACGGGCTTCGACGAGCGTGGAGACGGCCAAGGCCAAGGCGCAGGCAGCGGCGGCAAAGGTGTTGCCGGCATCGATGGCGCATCTCTCGATTTAGAGGCGTAGTGGCAGCATGACGAGAAGTGGCAATGGCGTTGGTTCAGCATGATATGGTTCAAAAGCATTGCATTGTAAATTGAAGATTCCGGAATAGCATCCGAAGAAGTTACTCAGCCTGGCGTGAGGCTGTTGCTTGGCCGCGGCATGGCTGACGGCTGACGGCTGACGGCGGCCTCTAAGTAGAAAGCGCCTCTTCGTGCCGCGCGCGAGCCTCGAACTGGCGCAATGCTTCGCAACTCTCCGTGTCCCTCTTCCTTCACCCTGCTCACCTCTTCTCGACCTCTCCTCGTCGCTGGCGTCATCAAAAGCAAAAAGAAAAGATTGTACGATGTCGTGAGGTGGCCTTGCGCTCTACCTTGACAAGGTGTTGAGTGTGAAATGAATCGAAAAAGTCGTCACACGACGCTGTGGATCGATGAGACGGGATGGCACGCGGCAGGAAAAAGCGGCAGCGTGGTTGATTCCCGTTCCACCAAGCGCCGGTCGAACTGGACGAGCTCAGGAATGCACATTATGAAGTAACACGCAGAGAGCCGGGCGCGAGAACGTCAACGACCACGGTCCGTGCGGGAGAGAATTGACGTTTTGGCTTCGTGGCTTCGTTGCTTGTCTCCCTCACATTCCACCTCACCAAGTCAAGGCGCAAAGTTACTCTCCTGTTGCGCCCTTATGCTATGCAAGGGCGCCCGCCACCGATCGCGACCCACCACATTGACCTGAGCGACCATTCTCCCTCCTCTGCAATTGCCAAGCTCAGTCAGCTCGAAAACGATGAGTACCATCCACTGCGGGTGAGCAAGTTGACCCTCCTCGGTTGGGGGGATGAGGTGGCGGAGCTTTGTGACTGGCTGGCAGAGGAGATGAGAAAGCATCCTTGGGGATGGAACGCGAAGGAGGGCAGCAGCAGGGAGAAGCCCAACCGCTTGCCCATCCGCACCTTCTCCCTCTCCAACTACAACTGCACCGCCGTAGGATACGATGCCATTGCCCGCTTGGTGGAGAAGCATGGCTCTCTCACCACACTTGAGCTAGTAATGAATTCCTCGCGGGTACGTAGCCCTTCGCGACCCCAATCTTTCGGCATGGCGCTCATTCATGTATCCTTGGCTCGCCCAGACAGTCCCCGACCTTCGTCGCTTGACGTCGAGCATCTCCCTTTCTCTGCTACGGACAGTCACTCTCTCATCTACCAAACTTACCCCGCAGGCATTTTGCGACTTTATTGACGGCCTCGATGCGCCCTGCCTACGCGAGCTGAGGATGAGCTTGACGCTGACGGGAGCAGAGGTGAAGAGAGAGGATTCCTTACGAGCTGCTGCGAGTGTAGCGCATCTCGTTCGGAGCAGCAATGAGACTAACGCACATTCTCAAGACGATTCGACTACTGCATCCTCACGCCGCGGCTGTGCTCCTCAACTCGAGCTTCTCACCCTTAATGGGTGCGCCCTTACTCTTCGCGGGGTCCGCATGATTGTCGCCGCCGCCATTGGAGGGTCACACTCCACGCCGAACAGAAGCTTGACGCACGTCGAGCTGTTCGCTACTTCTCAGCCGGGGGAGGTGGACTCGGATCAAGAAGGAGAGGGTAGCGAGGTTCAGACCGGGCAAGGTACTGAAAGGAGAAGGAGGACGGTCAGCATCGGCCGTAGCTTCGTTGAGGCGCGAAGAGCCAGAAGGAGGGACGAGAGGGAAGGGATGCCAAGCGTTGATGTCGCTACCAGCAGCTCCTCCTCAACAGGCTCCACTCGCCCGCATCCAACGAACAATAGCGCATCTCCCAGTGCTCGCCAGCACCCCATTCTCACACCGGGAGATCCCCGCTGCTATCGCCACATCTCATCCGCTAATTGGCGCTCCGCCCTCAACGCCCACCTCTGGCAGAACGTCCAAGACAGGTCAGCTGTGATAGCTGCCGCTACTCTGCTCTTGGCTAAGGCCAGGGTATTGGGGTGTCGGTCACAGCTCAGCTATCCTGAGGACAAAATTACAGACACGATGGACTTGACTGCCCTACCCCCAGAGATCAGACTCGAGGTGCTCCGCGCCTTGGACGACGAGCACGTCCTCTCGGAAGGGCAGTTCAGACGTGTAGTAGCATGGGCGTGCGATCCCTCTACGATAGGCTACGGCAGGCACACCTGGCGACCTCCAACACTATCGCCCGACGAACGAGCCGACGACCGCGCAGGGCAGGGCCTTATACCCACGCAGCCCCACGACTGGCCTACCACCCTCTCACGGTCTCCTCCGCGCGACTGGGCGGCAGAAGCGTACGACGACTGGTCCGTGGCGAAGAGCCACGCATTGTTGCCTTTGCCTGACCCGCTTGAAGAAGGGCAGAATAGGAGAGAGACGAAGCGCGCCCCTCCTCCTGGTGGTGAGGAGCGATGCCAAGGCATCGCGGATGCTGCCTTCCTGGCCTTCTTGGAGGGGACGCGGGTGAGATTTCGAGAGGACCATTGAATCTCCCAGCATTGTACGATAGCAATAGAAGTCACTGACTCCGATGTCAGGCAGGGTGAGGAAGAGCAGGCAAGGCTTGACAGAGCGTGGCAGAGGCAGAGGCAGCAATCCGATGCATTGCGAAGCGCCGAAGCGTGGCAAAGGGGACGGGGCTGACAACGAGAGAGGGAGAGACTTGGATGAAAGGACGAAATGAATGAGGCATGCGACCTCTGAACAGCGAGCGACGACGAGGACAAGAGCGTTGGATGCGGCGATGAGGGAGAGCCAGCCTACTCCTCCGCAACATCATCACCTGCCGCCGAGCTAGCTTCCTTCCCCACCTTTCCCACTGCCGTAGACGACGAGTTCTGCCTCTTGGGCCACCTGAAGGACCTGCGCTTGGCAGAGCCCGGCTCGGCGCCAGGGCGAGAAGACGACGAGACGATGGAGGCAGGCGAGGTGCCCAGCTGTTGAGACGCTGCGGCCGCCTCGCTCGTCGAGTCGGCGCCAAGGGAGCCAAAGACGTCTTCCTGCCCAGGCGTTGTAGGCGTGTCGGCGCCCGGAGGAGAGGTGGCGGGGAGTCGATTGTTGGCATTGGTCGAGGAAGAGGAAGAGGCTGACGTCGAGAGACGCTCCCGAGAAGCGCCGCGCTCATTTCCGCCCGCTCCACCCCCATTGCCGCTCGCACTCGCCCCAGAGCTGAGGCTATTGAGTGACCCTTTGCTGTTCTGCGACCAGAACGCGAAGCGAGACCTGTTTCGGCTGGTAGCAGGCGACGCCGAGGCGGTCGCAGCGAGGTCAGGTTGTGATTGCGCGCTGCTTCCGATGCTTGCTCCGGCTGAGGTCGTACGTCCGAGAGGTTGGAAGAGGTCCTCTGACCATCCATTGAAGGGTTCCTGCCCCAGTCCCGACGGGATGATAGGTGAAGCATTCGCATTCGCTGCAGACAGGCCACCAGACGGGGTGCGCTCATGTCCTGGACCTGCAAGTCGGGAAGGTAGGCCTTGACGTTGGCTCCACTGATCGAAGGCTGACCAGGATCTCCGGCCCTCTTCTTCGTCCGGTGGATTCGAGGCTTCGAATGCTCGGAGGACCGCGTCAAATGGTGTTGATCCTTGTCCAGCCCCCGCTCCACCTGCCGCAGCGCTGCCGCCTTCGACGCCAGCTCGTGCTCCAGGCGGGCCAAGGTAGCCTTCAGACCCAAAACCATTAGGCTGAAGGCCGCGAAGCGCATCCGCGTCTGCCTGCTTGCGAGAGGCACTGCGGAAGGCGCGAGCCCCAGGATTGAGGAGACGCGGGAACATCCCAAAGGACTTGCGTTTGCCGGACGCCGCGCCTGTGGACTCGTCGTGGTCGTCATCGTCCTCTGGGTCTGCGTCTTCCCCAGCGCCGGCGTTGGCTTGCCTGTTCGCCCGATTGGTCGAGCCCCACCAGCTTCTTGCTGGCTTCACTCTGGCACGCTGGCTAGCAGCCTCACGTCCTGCAGCAGCGGCAACCTCATCCTCGCTCTCGTGTTCGGACAAGGGATGGAGGAGATCCCCGTCTAGGACACCATCCACCGTCTCGCGATCTGACTGCTCACCACCCTCTGCAGGGCCCTGCCCCTCCGCGTCGGATGTGTCTGAATCAACCAACCCGAACCTGCCCATCGCAGCCTCAATTGTGTCGCTCCTGCTTCTCGTACCGGCCGGATGGCCGGCCTCATCCTCTATTGACTGGAAGAGATTGGACGGAAGAAGGTCGGTGCTGAAGGGTGAGACGGGCGGGAAGCCTGCGTGCTTGGGCTGGTATGGGGTGGAAGAGTCTTCCGCGTATCGGGTCGAGAGGTCCGCCATGCTGCGCGGGTGGCGAGGAGTGTGGTAGGCGCCGTGCGAGGGAGGTAGAGGAGCATTGTCGGTGCCGAAGGGCGAAGAGTGCTGGTCGAGGCCGTGTTGCTGGTGCTGAAATCCGGGGACATAGGCGTCGGCGGCTGAGCTGCCGAAAGGGTAGAAGCCAGTAGCTGATCTGCCGAATTGATCCTCAGACGCTCGTCGCCCAGCAAGAGGTGCGAATGGCTGGTACAGCCCCTCGTTCTCCTCGCCACGTGGCCACGCTTGATCATCTTCGCCAAATCCATACTGGCTCCCGTACGCTCCGCCAGCCACCTGGTCAGCATGAGCGAGCTGCATAAGATGCTGCTGCTGCTGGGCCTGCTGAGCCTGCTGGTGTTGTGCCTGGTACGCAGCTTGCGCAGCTGCGGCGGCCCGCTGAGCTTTAGTCTTCATTCTGGCCTGCAGCGATGTCTCGGCAGCTTGGACTTTCTCCTGCTCTTCGAGGACGACCTTTTCGTACTGCTCAACTTTGTCTTTAACCTCGGCCAGAGCCTTCTCAGCATCCAAGATGCTCTGTTGTTTCTCGGCCAGCTCCCTCTCAATCTCGGCGCGACGCTCTGCCCCGCCGCTCAAAGCCTTGCTCAGCCTCTCGGCGCTTGCCTTTTCCCTCTCCTGGAACGAAGTAAGCGCAGCCCTTGAAGCGTCTGCCCTCTTCTGCAAACCTTCTCGCACCTGCTGGGCAGCCTTCAGCCTCTTTTCCGCGTCGCGCTTCGCAGCTTCGGCGGATCGCTTCCCCTCGTCAAGTGTCTTCATCTTCCCCTTGAGATCTGCACGAGCTGCATCGTCGTCCTTTTTGCGGGTGCGAAGCTCTTCCAGTTGGACTTGCAGCTGGGATTGTGTAGAGTCGGTTGAGCCCTTGAGTGAGGCGAGTTGGGCACGCAGCTCTTCGATGTCGGATTGAAGCGCTGTGGCATCTTTGCTCTCGGCAGCGTTCGGAGCTGCCCCTTCTGCGGCGCGGGGAGGTTGGGTCGTATCCGATTGAACGTGCTGCGGCGACGGGAGATCATCGGCCATGTTGCGTTGAGCTGCGATTGCCGTGCTACGGGCAGCTGCTGTGGGTGGAGCGGTGTTCTGCGACGCGCGTAGACGTAGCGAATTCTTGGTCTTGCGCTTCGCTGCCTTGGCTGCCACGGCAGCGCTCTGCTGGCCGTGGGGTAACACATCATCCTGCGCTCGTCCATCATCTCTGCTTGCCTGGCGCTGATCCGCATCACCAGTCTTCATCTCCAGCACGCCATATTCGACCCCCTTGCCTACCGCTGCAGATCGATCAACTCCCTTCTTGCCACCTCTCCTACCCACATCGCCGCTGCGGTTGCTATTAGTCTGCTGCAGATCTGTTACCTCACTAGCTCCATGCCACCATCTTCCAAATACGCCAACGTACCATGAGTTGCGCGGACGATGGACTGCGGCGTCCGGCGTATTGCACGTCGAGCAGGCACTCTTCGCTTGACGTGACGCCGGATACGCTAGACCAGGAGCACAGGGGCTCGGGGGATGCGATACCATAACGATGCTGAAGAGCGCATAGTCATGGCGAACGTACGGCGGGGTGCGGAGCGAGATGGAGATACGGTTGGCAAAAGTGAGTACGTGAGGCGACGTTCGATCCGAGGGCAGTGCCTGCTCCGACGCCGCAGAGGCTGGCTGCCTGGCAATGGATGTCTTTGCTGCTGCCGATCCGCCCTTTTGCTGGTCTTGGATGTGGCGAAGATGCTGATGCAGCGACAGGCCGGTGAGGTAGTTGCGAAAAGAGGCGTCGGACGGCTTGGTCCAATAGGCGACGACGAGGACTATGACAAGGATGAGAAGACCAGTCACTAGATCTTTGGTATCGATGCTGAACACGATGAGGAAGGCGGCAGCAATCCTCTTGAAAAGGCGAGAGAAGGTGAGGCTAGCGCCTTGCAGCAACATCTCCGGAAAAGAGAGCGGCTTGCCACTGGCACCTTCTGCGCCCTCAGCATCGTTGCTGTTGCGAGCTTGCAACAGCGTGAGACCTCCGAAGATGAGACTACTCAGACCCATGAATGCCGAGTAGGCAATCAGAGTGAGCTCGCTGGGACCGTTGTCTTGGCGATCAGGCGATGCAGATGTCGGCGAGGATGAGGACGAAGGGCGACGCAAAGCTCCGTGAGGGGCATCGTAGTGAGCATGAGCTGCCGCCGCCGCTGCTTGCTGCTGCTGCTCAGCAGCCAACTCTGCTTCCAGCTGCGCCTTTGAGGGGAAGGCGGGAGCTGCCACCGACGAGGTGGAGTTCCTCTGAGCCTCTATCGCTGCTGGAATGGCGGGCGATGACGAGTGGGGTGAAAAGACGAGGAGGACGCTGGCGGACGTTGAGTTGACGGCGGCAGTCGATTGGATGTCGAGCAGGTGTTGTGCGTAGGCGGCTTGGTAGTGAGGGAAGCGTAGGCCAGCGCACCCTCTAGCCGTCGTCGTCGTCGTCGAGGCGAGACGAGGTTGTGTCGTGTGATTGATTGTCTTGGATTGAGTCTGACTGGCAGGCTGTTCAGTCGTTGTATGCGGTTGCGATTCCTTTGAGACGAGTCGGACGACGACCGGCGGTACAAGGAATAGGAAAGTCGGGCAAAGGGATGGCGTGTCGACGATCCGTCTCCCTTGCTAGTTGCAGGAACACAGTCGTCGACGTATGGAAGTGGGTGGAGGAATGAAGAAGGGGAAGATGGCGGAGGAAGAGGAGGAGGAGGAGAGGAGAGAAGCAGGAGGGTAAATTTGGTGGTGACGATGACGACTGCCGGCGTCGAGCAGCCCACAGTGCGACTTGAGTCGAGTGAGAGTGAGAGCGGACAGAGGCAACGCCGGGCGGCTCAGGCGGCGGCTCATCCTCGCACGACGCTCAGCCTCACAAAAACGAGCGAGAAAGCGGACGGGGCGAGCGGATGGCAGCCATGCGGGGGCGACGATCCGACTTGAAATAGGCAGCGGGTTCAACGAAGCAAGGACGCAAGAGGACAACAACGCATATAGAGGTTGCGATGCGCTGAGACTATGTATGGTACCACCGTTGTGGAACTATGAGGTGGTGTCTGGGCCATGGTCAGTGTCTTTGAACCAAGACACCTCATTGCCTTCTACTACTCTCCATGAGCTGGTGGCGCGAGGCACGGTCACGCCACGCCACGTGGCTTGGTCATCGGCTCCGACGCCTGGCCTGGGCATTGATCAAGTGGATGCGATCGAGGCTGAGCAGCACGGCACCTTCTTGACGTCCTTCCTTCCGCCCATCCGTCACTCTCTCTCTCATCACCCCGTGCCACGATAGCCTTTGCTTCACGCACGCATGTCTGACAACACCAACGGCGTCCCCGCAGCTCCAGGTCAGGGCAGTGGGCCGAGTGGGGAGAATGTTGGCGGTGGAGGCGCTGGTTTGGATTCATCTGCGCGTCTCGACGCGCCACGCGACGTGCTGCATCCATCAACTACTTCTTCCTCATCGTCCACCATCGTAGACTCTACATCCAAGCCTACGATGCCTAGCGTGGCAGAACAGACACCGAGCATCAACATCAGTGCACAAGACTCTACGGCCGATGCAGCAGCAGCACGAGCAGCGGTGCAAGACCCATTGCCAACGGCTTCAGACAATCTTGCCACTTCAACGCGACCCGTCATTCAGCCTCCTACCAGCGACATGCGATCCGACGTCGCATCCGCGCCAGTCGATGCTGCAGCACCACCCATCAATGGGTCAGGAGCTGCAGCTACAGCTTCCGCTCAAACTCCAGCGATGACCTCTGATGTTGGGCAAAGTACGTCTGCTCCTCAGCCAATCGTTCCGCCCACGGGCACTGGTAATCCCTATGATGCCAGGGAGGAAGCTGAAATCGCCAGAGATGCACCGCCCGCATCGAGCGCAGCGCCTCCTGCAGCAGAGATCGCCCCTCCCTCAACAGAGGCAGTCGCGCCCAAGAACGAATCGGTCCTCAGCCCAGTCGACGTACGAGGCCAAGCAATCGACCAAGTCGCCGTCCCCGTCTCTTCCACTAGCAACGCAGCACCAACGTCAGCTGATGCTCCTCGACCAGCTGAGCCTGTCGCGCCAGTGCAGAGCTCGATCGCAGAACCGGCATCACAGGTCGGCGTCGATGATCAGGCCAAGCCTGCCGATACTTCACTCAATGGCGAGACTAAACCAGAAGAGGCGACTACGCAAGACGCAGTAATGGCTGATGGGACCGTTTCTTCTTCGGTCGCCCCCGCCGTTGCCGGTATGGGTGGTGCTCCAACTTCCGAGGAGCCGCCTATGAAGAAGCTCAAGACATCGCCTGGTCCCAGTGCTACTCCCTCCGCACCTGCCGCCGCGACGCCAGCGGGGGCTGCGGCTGCACCTCCAGCTCCCGCCATAGCGGCCCCTCCTGCGCACGCAGAAGGCTCGCAGCTCGGAGCGGTTACCGCCGATCCCTCCACGATCGGCATGACGCAAGCGCAAATCAAGTTCGCCCAGAACAGCGTCAAATCGCTCAAGCAGCGTCCCGAAGCTCCCGCTTTCCTGCAGCCCGTCGATCCGGTGGCTCTCAACATCCCGCAGTATCGTCAAATCATCGAGAAGCCCATGGACCTGGGCACCATCGACGTTAAACTCGCCATGACGGCTTCGGCGCTCAAGGGCGGCAAGCCAACGGAGAAGACCAAGACGGCTGAGCAGCTCGGGCTTGACCTGTCGCGCGATGTGTACAAGAGCGTGCAGGAGTGGGAGAGCGATGTGCGACTGGTCTTTGCCAACTGCATCCGGTTCAACGGGCCGGACCACGCCATCTCGCAGGGAGCCAAGGCTCTCGACGCCGTCTTTGCGAAACAGCTCAACTCGATGCCGGTCGAGGGCGCCGCTGACTCGGCCGTAGCTGGCGCGACCGGTTCCACCGCTGCTGCTGGCTCGAGCGCCGCCGTCCGTCGCCCCTCGAATCCGGTCCCGACAATTCGTCGCTCCTCGTCAGACAATGCTGCAGGCCGTCCGAAGCGAGAAATCCACCCTCCTCCCCCGCGCGATCTGCATTACGAGGAGCCCGCCTCTTCTGGCCGCAAGCGCAAGAACAGCAAGGCCATGACGCCTAAGCAGGCGGCGTACTGGGCGAAAGTCAACGCCGATGAGCTCAAGTTCTGCCTCAAGCTCACTGAAGACCTCTCCAAGACGTACTACGAACTCTCGTGGGTCTTCATTGACTTGCCCGATCGTAGTCTCGCCTTTGCGCCCGCCTACTACGCTACGATCAAGCAGCCCATTTCGCTGAGTATGATTGCGGACAAGATCAAGAAGCGAGACTACGAGGACAAGGACGAGTTTGTGGCCGACATGCGCCTGCTCTTCCAGAACTGCTACACGTTCAACCCACCAGAAGAGGACGTGCACAAGATGGGACAAAAGCTCGAGGGGATCTTCAACGAGAAAATGCGCAAGCTGCCGAAGCCTAAGGCGATGACTCCTGAGCTGGCCATGGACGAGGACGAGGACGGGGACGGGGAGGAGGACTTTGAGGAGGAGGACAGGTTGCGCGCGGAGAAGATTCGTGAGCTTGAGGAGCAGCTGGCCGAGCTCAAGCGTCAGGCGAAAGCGGCCAAGCAGCGACAGGCAGGCAAAAAGAAGCCTCGTGCCAGTGGCGCTGCGGGTGGCAGCAGCAAGAAGGCGGCCTCCTCAAAGAAGAGCGCTGGAGGAGCATCGACGGACGCAGCGCCGAAAAAGTCCAAGTCAAAGAAGACCAAGGGCGGAGACGATGGGTCCGAAGACGACGAGGACGTCCGCTCGGTCAGCTGGGAGCAGAAAGAGGAGCTCGCCCGCAAGATCACCCAACTCTCCGATGAGCGCCTTGATGGTGCCCTTCAGATCATCAGCGAAGACAAGCCGCCCAACGCCAATGACGACGAAGAAATCGAGCTCGACATTGAGGACCTCTCCCCTCGCACCCTGTACAAGCTCTATCGCTATGTGGTCAAGCCCAAGAAGAAGCCTGGGCCTAAGCCTGGCACGGCGAAGGCCAGTGGGAGCGGGAAGGCCGGCAAGCAGGCGACGGGAGGCAAGAAGAGGAAGAATCTGGATGAGGAGGAAGAGGCTGCGAGGATTGCGAGGCTGCAAGAGCAGCTGCAGAGCTTCGATCGCGCGCCTGATGGGCAGGGAATGGCTATGGCTGGGCCTAGCGCTGGGGCTGCAGCCGGGCATGATGATCTGGTGCAGTCGGAGAGCTCGTCGGGCGAGGAAGACTCAGATGCGTCCGACAGTGATTACTGAATGGGAGAGGCGTCAACGGAAGCGATCACCACCACCACAACCTAATCTGGCAATGAAGGGCTTCGCTAGTCTAGCCTCATCATCATCACCTTCCACTCCACCTCAGTCTCAGTCCACAGAAAACGAAGCGCCTCGCGTCTTGCGAAATAGCTCGCAGCTCGTGTTGTTCGTCAATCTGTCCAGCTCGCTCGCAGAGCCATCAACCTCTCCACTCGTTCTCTCTTTCAATTCAAAATCTATTCGATCTCCACACGACCTTTGCTGTGCGATCTTTTGATGCTGTGTCTATGCCTTAAAGTCGACCTTCTGCCCCAGGCTCTCCAACTTCTTCTTGGTCGCAGTCGGGATCGGACAGGCGTCTACCTGAGCTGAGGTACCCTTGGTCGCGTAGAATTTGTTGCAGCACCGGTAGAGGTCGACGAGGATGTTTTGGCACTTATCGTGCTGTGTGGGATACTTGTTGAGACACTCTTGGAGGTCACAGCTGTGTGCCAAGCGAGAGGAGGGGAGAACAGGTGAGCAGCAATGAAAAGGGATGACAGAGGGAGATGAGAGAAGACTTACGCGTGCTCATGCTGTGGGCGAGAAGACGGATCAAGAGGTGGGGAAGGGTCAGCGTGCCTTTCCTTCTTGCTCCTTTCACGACCTCTTCCCCGACAGTGTAGCTCTCGCTTCCCCGCACCCTCACACCCCTTCCCGTCAATCGATCGCATCGATACAGTTGGCGAGCTACCACCCCGCGCTCCCACGCTAACACCTCGCCGAATGGCGATTCTCATCCCCACACTGCGCCACGTCCTCGTCCCGCTGTCGCTACTCTACTCACGCAAGGGTTGATCCCGTCGAGCCTGTCTTGTGCCATCTTTCAAACGTTCGCGATGTGGGGGAGATGAAGAAGGTGGCTTTCGCTTGATTGGGGCTTGGATGGGTGCCGATGTATACGCAGGGTCCAAGAAGATGTCGTCTGTGGCTTTCGCTAGCTTGGCTGGCCAATTCAAGTAGCGACGTGCGTGAGTGGCTGACAAGAGGTGAACGGGTAGCGTAAGAAAGGTGGTGAAGTCTTCAGGTGGAGAAGTGTGAGAGCGCGGCGAGGCGAGGCGCGGCGAGGCGAGGGAAGGCGGAACTGACTGGCTCATCTGGGGCTCACTGGTCTCACGAGCTAGGCAGCAAGATGACGATCAGGGTCTGGCGCCATGACAAAGGCTCTTCTCTCATCCTTGTTCGAGCTGGTCGTCATAATTGAGAACGCCACTCGCTACCGCTGTCGTGGGTAATCATTGATCAGCTTGAAGCTGAGAGCCTGAGACGAAGCTGAGATTGATCATCATCGGCCTCGCATCGGGGTGATGTGTGGGGAGTCGTGAGAATGCAACGCCGGGTCGCCGTCTACCAGTCAGTCAGGGCAGGCGTGGATACGATGAGAGGTCGCGAAGAAGACAGGGCCACTGCGCATTAATAGGCGCTCGTCCCTCGTAGCTGCCAAGAGAGCTCGCTCGTCGTAAAGTGATCTCGCTTTCCTCGACCTGGTCATGACGATGACCACCGATTGCATTAGTACGAGGGCCCGAATTGCTCTATACCTCGCCTGACGATGAGGAGCGGGATCATCGCCGTCTCTATGCTGATGAAGCCCCGTAAAGTGGTGGGCGCCCGCAAGTAGAATGGATATTCAGGGTCCAGGATTAAAGCAGCCGTGGCCGGTTGAACAGCCTCCCAGATGACTGCGATTTCACGCTGCGTCATCGCGCCTGAGTTGACTCTCCGCTCCACGAACTCGCCCTACCTCTGCCGCTGCTTTGTCGCCCGCCCGCCCGCCCGCCTCGCCCGCCGGACTCTGGCTCTCCTCAAGGCCCGAAGTCAGGCGTCGAATGCGATCAAGGTTGACTTCTTGGGCTTCGATGCCTCGATGGGTTGCGTCGGGGCTTTCATGATATTTGCTAACAACAAGCTTCGGTCTTTGGGCGCGCTGAAAGCGAGAAGAAGAAAAAAAATTAAGTGGCATGGTGGTCGATGAGGAGGATGAATGCTTTGAGCGCAGGGCGGAGGAGGGTCGAGATCGATGGGCGGCGGGTTGTGGGTGGGCTACAGAGGCCTAGTGAAGCGGGTGTTTTGAAGGCCCGCTGGCGACCTGGCGGCGGGAAGACGAGCAGCACTCATCGCTGAGGCGGAAACGCTGCCTTGCCTGGCCGCGTCTTCTCACATTGATTGGTTCGTCCGATCTCACTCTGCGCTCCTCGTCATCACGCCGACACCACAGACGATCTCAGGCTAGACCAGAGTCGTGTGTCAGCCCCACTTGCCTTTTTGCCTTGGTTCCTCACGATCCTTGTCGATACACAGCTACGCCATCGCCCTCATCACCACCATCATCATCGCCGACGTTGACATCGAGATCAAGATCGCCTTGCTGATAGCAACTGCGGGTCAGTTGTAGTCGTACTAGAGTCGTCGTAACATTGCGCCATCACACGTACATCGACCACCGAAGTAATTCTACTACTCCACTCCTCCTCCATCCACTCTCCACACGGCCAAGATGTCGGCTCTCGCCTCATCATCACGCATCGCGCCCCTCACATCAGTGATACCCAGTGGCGGCCACGCTCACGGTAGCGAGTCGCCCAAGGACTCGTACTACTCGCGCATGGGCAGCCGTAGCGGCAGCCTCAGTCGCGCCTCGTCCATCTCCTCAACATCTTCCTCGCGTCGAGGCTCAGCAAGCTCAGCCGCCCCCGTGGTACGCAATGGGTTTGTCATCCCTTCGATCACCCTGACACCTCCCGACGAAAAGCCCGCTCGCTCGCCCTCTCTCCCTTGGCAAGACTACACCTCCAAGTCGACCCTCTACGTCCCTGTCAAGACGGAGGATATCGGATGGGAAGAAGGAGGCCTATGGTGGCATGGTCACTATGAGTATCGCGAGGTGCAGATCTACGGTGGGGAGGATGATCGCGTCGTTGGCAAATACAGGGGCGGGCCAGAGGGGTATGGTTACATGGAGGTGTGGGATCAAGAAGGATACGGGCGCGGTCAGGCCAAGAAGATGGAAGAACCGGCCCCGCAAAAGAGCAGCGCCAAGACTACCAGTAGTAGCAACAGTGGGGCTAGCAGCTCCGCAACAGCTAGGAGGAGATCATCTGGTGCCTCTTCTACTTCGAGCTCATCGTCCTACCGCCGACGCGACTCGACCGACTCTTTGGCCACCGATGGAGGTGACAGCACGACATCCTCTCGCCGTACATCAGACTCGACGGTGGACACGGCCTGCACCACTCCATGCGACACGCCTGCGCGTAGCATGAGCTTCAGCGACTCCAAGGCGGCAGTCCCTACCACTACCGTAGTCGAGGAGCCAGCCGCCTTCGACAAGCAGCTCGAGTCGGCTCTATGGGCGCTACGCGAGGAGAAGGCCAAGAGGGAGGATGACGAGACGGAAAGTGTCAGTGGCCCAGCCACCGTCACTACTTCCACGCCCACCACCGCCACCAGCACTTCGTCCTCTCTCACACCAGGCAAGAGTCTCCACCTCAGCGACGAGGGGCCAAGCGCGACGCATCGCTGGCCAAAGGGACGCGGTGTGGCCAAGCTGGCAGAGACGCCTTCCACTGCAGCGCAACGGCTGACGGCGAGCACTAGGATGAGCAGCGCTTTGCCCCCGCCTCAATCGATACTGCCTCAATAGGGCCTTACAAGGCTCTCACTCAACATACACGAGATCATAGCGACTCCCGTTCAAGGTTCAAGTCTCGAAGTCTCTCAGACCACACAGTGCCTCGGTCCCCCTCTTTTTGCTCCACCAAATCTGTATCATTAGCGCCTCTCACTACCACTTCGACTTCCAACCCCAACATGTCATTGTCGCCGTAGACCTCGGCCTCGACGCCAACACCTTCTAATCTTCACACCTACCGAATCATATAAACGATCGATTCGATCCATAGACCTACTCTCCTCTTTGACCAATCACGATACACATCCTTCAGTCTCACGCGCACGCCTGAATATGATGATGCAACTGCGTCTTGTTGTTCGTACAGTTATGTGTCTTTTACTGACTCCCTTCTGCCCCTTTCCGGACTCCTCTTGCCCATCCCGGCATTACTCCTCGTCCTCCTCATCATCGCTCAACTCCTCCAAATACTTGGCCAACGGCGCAGCAGCCTTCAAGAACTCGGCCTTGCCCTCCGCTCTGGCCCCCTTGCCATACCAGTACAGGATGGCCTGATCGCTGATCACGTCTGCATTGTACAGGACCTTCAAGATGGGCACAAATGCCTTCTGCAGCCTCATGTCGTTCTCGTAGCACCAGAGCTGTACCTTGTTGATCAGCAAGATCTCGGCCTTGGGATTGTTGGGGACAAAGGGCTCAAGAAGCGGTGCAAAGGATTGCACCTGGCGAACAGCGTTCGATTCGGCTGCAGCTTGGTCCGTTGGGTGGGTGAGGGACTTGGTGAGCCCGTCGAAGAGGATGGGCGTGAAGTCCTCCATGGAGAGACCCGTCTTGGCACGTTGCTCCTGCAAGAACTCGACAATCTCATCATTGCTGTACGACGAGGCGCCACCGTTCGTAGTGGCCGACGCAGTACTCTCGTCCGCGCCCTCTGCAGCGGCTGGCTCAGGCTCTTTCCTCATCTCGGCCAATCGGCCAAGGACGGCCTCGCGCGTATCCTTGATGGCGCGCTTCTGCCAGTACTCGGCGGCTTGGTTCAGCCCCACTTGCCTGAAGTGATTGGTAACGATGCCCGGCTGACCGCGCTTCTGGAGTGGGAAGAAGAGCAGAGGGTCGCGAATCCCTCCCTTGCGCAGGGTCGAGCCGAGCGAGTCCATTGGCTGGTCCACGAGAGAAGAGGAGAGATAGGAGTCGAAGAAGGAGAGAGCGAGCTCTGCGCGAGGAAGCAGCGAGGAGAATGGTCAGCTTCGGAAAATCAAATGCTGAGGAGCAGCTCGTTGCCCGCCTTGCACCCACCATCCTTGACTAGGTGGTCCTTCTGGAGCACCTGGAGCACCTGAGCTCCCACGAGTCCAGACTGTATGAACAGGGCAGTAGCTGTAGCGAGCTTGGCACGCTGCTCCTTGTCAAAGCGTTGGATGTACTGCAGCAGACCAGTGAGAGTTGTCTCCTCGAGGGGCTTCTGCAGAAATTTGTAGCGTCCTGAGCGCGGCGCATGATGGGTAGCATACAGTCAGCGCGACGCTCCCCAGATGGACGATCAAACACCGAGGCGCTTCTACGCACGAATGACCTTCTCGATCACCCCAATGTAAGGCTTGACATCTTCGACCTTGTCACTCTTGGCGGCGAAGACGCTGAAGCTACTGAGCTCCACTTCCTCATCCTCGTACGCTCCTCCCGGGGCGAGGATTCCCCCTGCGATGAGAATATCAAAGAGTTGATCGGAATATTTGCGATAGTCGAGGGTGTTTCCAGCTTTGTCTAGTGCAGCGGCATAGCCATCCCAGTCAGTAGGAGAAGAGACGTTTGCTTCGAAATGGGAGAAGAGGGAGTCCCTGAATGCTTCTGGCTCGAACTTTGCTTGTGACTTTGCGACGCCTTTTCTTTGCTTGATGCGCGAGCCTGCTAGGGTGGGAAGGGGGTCGGGCATCAAGTTTGAGTAGAGAAGGAGTAGACTGGTCCTTGGAGAGAGTTGGTAGAGATGAAAAGGAAGAGAAAGTGGAGAGGGTGGGCAGAGGGGAGGAAGCTTGTGTGAGCCTGGATCCGGTCTTTGAGTCGCCTGAGTGAGCCCTCGAGGCAGCTCGAGGCCGGCTCTCCTCCCGCCTTGGCGCCAGCTCCGCCAGGTCAATGCGCGCCGGGCGTTGGTCTCGATTTGAGGGGGAGAGAGACACACGACGCACACACACGCGCACGTAGCCAGGCACAATGACGGGCCCGCTCCCGCCTCGTCAACCTTCCTTCCTCCTCCCAAACACCCTACGCCTTCTCACCGTATCGCAACATGTCAAGAGTCACGCAAACCAAGCAACAGCAGCAGAGCAACGCCAAGCTCCTTCGTACCCTCGCAAAACAGTCGGGCACCTGCGCAGACTGCAAGAAGAATGACCCGAGGTGGGCCAGCTGGAACATGTGAGTCGGTGGGGCGACGCTAGCGTGCGATGAAGCTTCAGGCGGACTCACCACATCGCCTTACTCCTGGCTCCTCTTCTCCGCAGCGGCTGCTTCCTATGCATTCGATGCTCAGGCATCCATCGTAGCATGGGCACGCACATCAGCAAAGTCAAATCAATCGACTTGGACATCTGGACTCCCGAGCAGATGGAGCAGATTGAGAAGTGGGGCAACAAGAGGTGTAATTTGTACTGGGAGGCGCATTTGAAGGCTGGGCATGCTCCACCAGATCACAAGGTCGAGAGCTTCATCAGAAGCAAGTACGAGACGCGACGATGGGCAATGGACGGTCCACCACCCCCTGATCCAAGTGTCTTGGAGGGCGGAGGAGGAGGAGGAGGAGGAAGGGCAGCAGCTGCGCCAGCACCTGCTGCGCCATTGCCGTCGTCATCATCTTCTCGAGCGTCAACAACAGCAGCCGTGCCCCCTCGTTCATCAGCCATCGACTTGCTGGGAGGAGACGCGGCTCCAGCAGCAGCGGCTGCACCTGCCCTCACGACAGCTCCTCGTCGCACAAACGCCTCCCTCTTTGATGACGATGACCAAGGACCACCACCAGCTGCAGCACGCAACGGAGCAGCCCCCGCCCCCTTTGCAGCTGGAAGGTCGACTGCCCAACCGAAGCCGGCAGCTGCGCCCGCTCCTGCCGCTGCTGCCCCTCCCAAGGCAACCTCTGGCGGGGGAGGCGGCGGCCTCTTCGATCTGGACTGGCATGACCCTCCCCCGGCTGCTGCGGCGACATCCCCATCAGTAGCAGCAGCATCGTCTGGTCGAGGCAAGTCAGACATTCTCTCCCTCTTCAACAATACTAGCACAAGCAGCAGACCGGCCGTCACCTCGCCCACATCCCCGCCAGCGAATGGCGGCGGGTTCGGAGGGCTGGACTCTTTTGGCGGGCTAGACCTGGGAGGCGGCAGTAGTAAGCCTGCTCAACCGCCCTCGTCTTCTTCATCCCTGTGGGGAGCCCCCGCTGCTGCGCCAGCCGCAACGCAGTCATCAGCATCATCAGACCTGTGGGGGTCGTCTGCGGCGTCCAACCCGTGGGGCTCCACCTCGCCTGTGCAGACCAGGCAGGCGAGTGGTAGTTTTGGTGGTGGTGGCAGCAGCGGCAGCGGCGGCTTCGGTGCAGCACCAACAGCGTCTGCGCCTGCTCCTGCAGTACCTTCAGCAGCTGGGTCAGGGGCGGACATCTGGGGCGACTTCTCGACGGGCAGTAGCGGTGCAGCGAGCGGCGGAGGGAGCGGTGGAGTCATCAAGGACGATCCGTTTGGTGATATCTGGAAGTGAACGGAGTTGATGTATGAGTTGCTATCTTCGCATCTCCTGTCTCTCTCTCTGCGATGAATAGATAGACGGCCGTCAAGCCGCCGTTGGGCTGTCATTCGCCGCCGAGTCATTGATGATTGGATGCGCCCGCCTTGAATGACAGGGGCCCGTGCGAAGAAGCCTTGACGACGTGCGGTGGTGCGTCTTCGAGTGCGAAGCGGACCAGCTTTGACTGGTTCTATCCCAACCACCAACATCGATCCTGCTCTATCTCGTGGCAAACTTTTCTTTCGTACATCACTCGCCACGACAGTCATGTCGTCCTCACCCTCGCAGGGCAAGAAAAGTGAGGCAGGTGTGACCGCTACCTTCTCCCTCTTTGTGTATGGCACCCTCGTCCACCCGGCCATCCTATCTCGCGTCCTATCGGGAAGTTTGCGCCAACCTCTGCAAGGCTCGCCTTCTTCCACCACCACTGCGGATGATGCCCTACAAGTCATTCCCGCTCTCCTTCCCTCTTACGAGATTCGCCGAGTCAAGGGGCAGGAATACCCTGCTCTGCTCAAGCTCGATGAGGATGCGACTCAATCCTACGTACGCGGAGTCGTTGTGCACAACCTCACTCTAGCGCAAATCTTATCCCTAGATCGCTTTGAAGGCGAAGAATACTCTCGTATCCCCCTCACGGTGCTCACCTCATCCCAGGACAAGCCTATGTCTAACAGCGATCGGCTAGGCTGGGACCAGGCAACCATCAGCGGGGTGTTGGATGCTCATCTTCCCCCTGCGAAGTGCGAAGCAATGCTCAAGGGCGGCGGCGAGGGGGTAAAGAAGATAGAGGTGCAAAGCTATCTCTGGGTTGCAGCAGAGTCAGAGCTAGACGCAAGGGACGGTCCACGAGGCCCCTGGATCTTCAGCGAGTTTGCCGGGAGTAAGGCTGGGAGGTGGACTACGGGAGAGTGGAGTGACGAGGGAGGTCCGGACGGCGTGCAAGAGGATGGCCGAGGGAGCGACTCCGCAGCGATAGATCGGTCATCTACTGCTACTCCCATCCCTACAGCCACTCGACCAGGCAGAAGTGGCTTTGATGAGATTCAACGCAGCATGTCATACGAAGACAACGTTCGGCAAGCGGGCATGGACGCACCAGACAGCTTCTCGACGTTGAGCATTGGAGCCGACCCGTGGGCAGACCCGCCATCGAATACAAACACAGTGCGCTCTGACAATCCATGGGCGTCTGGAGACGCAGCCACTACCTCCAGCGTGGGGCAAGGCGCGGCGAATGGCGCTACCGCAGCCTCTAGCTCAGCAACAGGCGCGGCAAAGGCAGACACCGCTGCTCCTAACGCCGGCTGGGGCTCCTCTTCGCGCGAGCTCGAAGGCGCAGAGTCTCCTGGTTACGAGCGATTTGGCAAACCTTGCAGGCGATTGTGGTACCACGGTGACACGAAAGCTAGTGGGGCCAGGCCGTACCTGAACATGAATGCTGGTAAGCCTCAATTGCAATCGATTGGTAAACGCGACGGACACACTGACCTCTTTGAGTGCTCGTTTACCTGCAGGAGCCTTTGGATCATGTCCGAAGCCCGTCATGGAAGCTAGCCACGCTTGGAGCGTCAAGGCGGAGGAGAATCCTGATGTGAGCCTGCCACCCCGTACTCGACCTCACTTGGCCCACCGCTCACGAACATTATCCCTTGATGCCCTGCCGCGCAGCTCTTCCGCCGCTTTACCTACCCCACACAGCTGCGTAGCATCCTAAGGCGCCTCTCCTCTGAGCGCCTCCCGCACTGCCCCGCTTCGACTCTCGCCCTGATCCGCAACGCCACCACGGGAACGAATGCAGTCCTTCGTGGCATCCCGTGGCAGGAGGGAGACCACATTCTCTGCTTATCCACCGTGTACGGAGCGCTGGATAGGACTATAGACTACATCATAGAGCACAGCGCCACAAGCGGGACTCCCAAGCCCACAAAGGTCACGATGGAGGTCACCTACCCCATCTCGCACGAGGAGCTTCTCAAAACCTTCACCGCCAAGCTATCCGCCCTCCGCTCAGAAGGCAAACGCGTCCGTCTCGCCACATTCGACGCCGTCTCTTCCCACCCTGGCGTCCTCCTCCCATGGGAACGACTCTGCGTCCTCTGCAGAGAGCACAACGTCCTCTCCCTAGTAGACGCCGCACACGCTTTTGGCCAGATCGACTGCTCCCTTCTCGGCTCCTCTGCAGCCCCTGCAGACTTCTGGGTAAGCAACGTCCACAAATGGTCATTCGCTCCGAGAGGATGCGCCATCTTCTACGTGCCGGCGCAGAATAGGCATTTTGTGCCGAGCACGCTGCCCACTTCGTGGGGGTGGAAGGCAAAGGCCTCGAGCAGTCTTGCCACGCCTGGGGTGGCGGCCGATGAAGAATGGGCCGCAGCATGGAGGGACCCGGGGACAGACCAGGTGTCCCACTACCTTTCCGTCGACGCCGCCCTGGATTTCGTGCGTGACCGCCTTGGAGGGGAGGAGCGGGTTCGTCGATACAATACCAGTCTGGCACGAATCGGCGGAGCAGAGGTGGCGAGAATACTGGGGACGGAGATACTTGACGTGGAGGGGAAGGAGGAAGAACGCCTGACAGCTTGCATGGTCACGGTGCGTCTGCCCCTCGTCTCGCGAGCTATCGGGCCTGATGCGACAAAATGGGTGTGGCAGATGGGAGGCGAGGGATTCTTCTTTGAGACATTGCAGGATGACTTTGCTACGGTGAGCACAGCGCGTCTGCATCCCGTCCAAAGATTGACTGCTTCGCTGACGACTTCTCAACGGGACGTGCGTCATGACCAGAACATCCCCATCCTTGCGCACAACAATCGCGTCTACGCCCGGCTCTCAGCGCAGGTTTGGCTGGACGTGGACGATTTCGCGTATGCTGGGAGAGCGCTCAAGGAGGTCTGTCGAAGGGTCAATGAAGGGGACATGCCCGCTGCCAAGGCGAGTGTAGGAGCAGAGGCTGCGGGACAGCCAGTAGAAGCAGCATGATGGTGTAAAGCAGACATGTACGCGCTCCTCCCTGCTTGCTCATCGGAACATAGAGTGAATCAATTGTCATTGATGTGCAGGGCAGAGAGGCAAAGGAAACAGGCCAGAAGTAGAGAAGCGCAAGAGCGAGACGAGTAGATACAGAAAGATCGATCAAGAGCACGAGAGGTGACAACGAGGTATCGAGCAGGACAAAGCCAGAGACGAACGAACGAGCAGAGCGAGCAGAGCGAGCATTGGGTAGCTTTGAGTTATCTAGCGCGCGCTCCCACTGAACGTCTTCTGAATACTCCTCGTTGCCTCATCCCACGAGTACCCATTGGCGGTGAACAGCCTCGAGCCCAGGAAGGGCCTGACATCATAGATGTCCGCCATGTCCTTTGCGCGCTTCTCGAGCTCCGAAGCGGGAACAGTGATGGTCGTCTCCCCCTCTGTGGCACCACCACGCTGCTGCTGCTGGGCGCGCAGACTGGCGAAGCGCATCCGATCCTTGACAATGCCGCCGAGGATGAAAGCGAGCACCTCCTCGTGGTCCTTGTTCGTGGCAGTGTATCGCCTGAAACCACGCTGAAGCGTCTTCTTGACGCTCATCTTCTGTGCCGACACGAAACTCTCCACCGTAGCACCGATGGCCACGTCAATGTCGTCTGAGCGCACAAACTCGCGAAGGTGCATCTTGGCGCTGGCCTCGGCCATACGGATCATGCTCTCCAGGTGGCGCACGGTGATGGGGTACGAGCCGGTGGAGAGAGACTCGCGACGCAGGTCTGCGTACAAGCGGGAAAGGCGATCCTGGTCGAGAGCGTGGAGCTTGGGGCGAATACGGTCTCGCGCATACATGATGTACTTTCGCAAAAGGTCTTGAGGGATCAGGTCCGCATCCAGGCTTGTGGCTACGCGAGCCTCATCCACTTCCTCATCGAAGCCTGGGTGAGAGCGCAGGTGCGAGCCGACGACGAAGCGCGCAAGCATGTCGTCCTTGACTGGGTCAACAGTGTCTTTGACGACGCAGAGGACGTCGAAACGCGAGAGGATGGGCTCAGTGAGCTCCACGTTCTGGCTGAAGGGGATCGTAGGGTTGTATCGGCCGCGAATCGGGTTGGCCGCAGCTACGATTGCGCAGCGCGCTTGAAGAGTGGTAACAATTCCAGCCTTGGAGATAGAGATGGACTGCTGCTCCATGGCTTCGTGAATGGAAGTGCGGTCGGCGTCGTTCATCTTGTCGAACTCGTCGATGAGGCATACACCCTTGTCTGCGAGCACGAGAGCGCCGCCCTCCAGCGTCCATTCGAGGGTCATAGGATCCTTACGCACGCTGGCAGTGAGACCGACTGCGCTTGCTCCTTGGCCAGTGGTGAAGATAGCACGGGAGGCAGTCTTCTCGACGTACTTGAGGAACTGGGATTTGGCTGTTCCCGGGTCACCAAGAAGAAGCACATTGATGTCGCCACGAATGCGATGCTTGCCTCCGACGTCCTTGGGCACGCCGCCAAACAAGGCTAGAGCTACCGCCAGCTTAATGTCGTCGTGACCGTAGATGGAGGGGGCCATCGATTTGACGATTCGCTTGCCAATGCGGTCGTCGCGGGCTAGAGCTCGGATTGCGCGCTCATCCTCCTCCGTCATGCGGAACGCAGCGTAAGCATCGTCGCGCTTGGCGATGTGATTAGCCTCGAGGACGGTGGCAAAGACGGGGAAGCCGTTCTTGGTGTTGAGACTGGCGTCAAAATTGTTGCGGTACACGCCTGTGACTTCGATCTCCTCGCCAGGCTTGGCCGAGTCGATGAGGTCCCAGAGAAGGATCACCTCGCGGTGACGAGGGAGACGACCCGGGGGGACACTGCCGGGAGACTCTTGCAAGGTCATCTTTTGGTAGTTGCGATAGACGGTCTGCTCTGCGTTGACACGGAAGGGCCCTCGCTTCTCGCAGTTCGAGCAGTAGCTGACCTTCACCTCCTTTGATGCGTCTTGCCAGAAGGGGCCGAGAACGTGACCACACGACAAACAGTCGAACTTGACGTACTTGAGCTGTGGGAATACGCTTGAGCGCTTGGTGACGACGCCGCTGACGCGGACGAGGGAGTTGAGCTGTGCCTGACGGAGGTCACGCAGCGACGAAGACGTGGGCAAGTCGGAGATGCGGACATGGATCTCCGGGTGAATGCGGTCGTAGGATGGGTAGTAGAGAAGGATGACGTCGAATGCGACCTGGTCGAAGATGGGCAGCATCGAAGTGGGCGAGTTCGCGAGGAAATAGGCGAGAATAGCCTTGGAGTCGACTAGGTGGAGGAAGGAGACTTCAAGTGACTCGCTGTTCATCTCACCGAGCGTCTTGATGCGCTGACCGTAGACGGAGACGCCGTTCTCATCAACATACGTGACGAGGAAGTTGCGGAACTCGCGCACGACGGTGCGGCGGACGCTTTCTGTAGCCACCCAAGCTGCGATGCTTTCGGCTTTGACGTCGCCGAGCTGCTCCAGAGGAAGCTCGTCTGCGCCTTCGTCTTCATCGTCAGCTGCCTGTTCATCGTAATGGCGTCGACGTCGTCGTCGAGTGGTGCCGTCATCGGAGGAGAGGTCATCGTCCGATTGTAGGAAGGCGGGTGCTCGGCTTTGAGCGCCGTACCTGCCCTTTCCCTCTGCACGATCTCTGCGAGACATCTTGAGCTCAGCGAGGCGACGAGCATTGGCGTCCATCTCAGTGTCGTCCACGTCGTCATCGATGCCAAGTGCTTGGTCATAGTTGTCCAGGCGGGCGTTGTGTGCGTAGTCGTCTCGCATGTTGTCGCCAAAGAGATCCTCGCCTTCTGCATCCTCGTCCTCATCGTCTTCGCCTTGGTATCCATCGCCAAGGCGGCGAGCATCGAGCTCATCGTCAACTACACTCTCTTCGCCTACATCGTCTGCGTCTGCGTCTTCAAAGTCGCTGAGGCCCTGCGGCGGGCTGGAGGGTGGGATTGAAGAAATGGGGGTGGGGGCACCGCCAAGGGGATCAGCGGCAGGTGTGGATGTGGTCGAGTACGAGGGGCCAGCGCCGGGTGAGGATGCGTCGAGTGGTGCTCTGCTGCTTGATGCACCGCCGAGAGGCTGAGAGCGAGAAGGAGAGCGATTGCGTTTGCGGTTGCCGGGAGGGGATGGTTGGGACGACTGCGGATCAGAGGGCGAGAGGGGGGAGAGGCGATCAATATGCTGTCGTGCGGGAATTGCATTCTTGACAGACGAGCTTACCATGACGTCGTAGTCTTACGAGAGGAGAAGGAGACAATCAGTGATGGGCGAGGATGCAAGAGTAAAGCAAGAGCGCACCACAGCTCGAGTTGTTCTCTGAGTCGTCCGCCCCCGTCCACGCCTCGCCCTTCGATTCGCGGCATCGCGACCTGAGGCCAATTTACACGAAACGCGTTCGACGCGCGCGCCGCGCGCCCTCTTCAGACACGCCAAAGATAAATGTGCGCGTCGAAATGATGCTCAGACCGGCGCGCTCGGGAACAAGCCAGCTACGCCTGCGAGAGATTCGTGACTTTGCTATTCATTGAAAGCTCCGGAATACATAGTTGCTGAACACTGCATCACCTTGCACGCCCATTTGACGACCCATCTTTCAAGCAGCTGTCCACCCGCTCCACGATACGCGCAACCATGCTACGAAGCTCGTCCTCACCCATGACCCTCGCGTCGCACCGAACGCCGAAGTCGACGGTCATCTGACCATCCTTGCCGTTGCTGACCACAACATCTACATCGAGCGTTCTCCGGCCAGTCGCCTCGCGCATCAGAGCGCCTGCTCCACCCAAGTTGCCAAACTCGTCGATGGGCGTCGCGAAGTTTTGCTTCTCGGATGGCGCAAACTCCACGGCGTCGCCCAGCGTGATTGCTTGCCAGCTATGAGCGGAAAGAAGGGACTCCGATGGCCGCATGATGACGTTCAAGTAGGTGTCGAACAGGGCCTCGCCACCTCCTCGTGCCCAATTGCAGACTGAGCCAAGATTGCTCTGCTCCCAGCGCATCCGCTCCAGCAACTGCGTGCGAAGGAGCTCGGCCATATGGCTGAGCCCTGCCTCTGCTGGCGTTTGCATGGGCAAGACATTCATCGTTGGCGCAGCGAGTTGCTCCGCATCGATGTCACCGCCGTCAGCTGCTGCCCAGCTTGTTGCGCGTCCGGCTTGGTAGAGACCGAAGATGGGCCGATCGACATTGGTGAGGGCTCGCAGCTCGGCGCAGAAAGAAGCCATGAGGAGGTGCTGGACCCGATGTTGCATGTGGCGAAACGAGAGAGTCATTGCTCTCGGGATGAAGAAGGCGACGTCCGTGCTGTCGCACGCCACATTCCGCCGTCTGCGTGCATCGGACAGCATCGTAGGCTGCACGTTGGTGAGCTGCCCCTTCCAGAAAGCCGCCTCCTCCTCTGCACCTCCTTCGTTCGACTTGACGCGCCTCACGAAGCCAGCCCAATCATTCGCGCCCAGCTCTGCCGCTCCCTCCGCGTAGAGTATCTGCAAGTCTCGCACGAGCATGTCGAGGGACGAGGCATCATAAAGGGCGTGCGGGAGGTCAAGGATCAGCAGCGACTGCGTCGCGTTGGAGAAGACCTCAATTTGGGTCAATCCGCGGGAGAAGGAGCGCTCCGACCGCGTATGAGCGAGTTGCTGGAGACGGCCTCTCACAGCGGTGTCGAGGTCGCTGTCCCTCTCCACGGCAGGATGGACGGCGAGGTGGGGCTTCTCCTGAAGCACGATCTGGTACAGACTGCCCTGCTCCGCGACAAAGGTAGTACGAAGGATGGCGTGGTGGGCACAGAGCTGGGCCCAGGCCGTCTCCAGCTTGTCGGCCTCGAGGGCTGGCTCTGCCTTCCAGACGAAAGAATAGAAGCCGCCCATGCGTTTGCCGCTGTTGAGCCAGCTAGCGAAATGGAAGGACTGGCCGGCGAGAGCGGGCAGAACAGCCTCAACGTGGTCGCTGCACAGGCTCAGTCGCTCAAGCAGCCGGTGCCTGACCTCTTCGCCTACAAGGGGAGCGGAGAACGATGGCATCGCCTCCTCTTTCTTCGTCATGCGCGCCTCGACCAGCCTCCCAATCCCCCGGATCGACATCCCATGCACCACATCAGCGACAGCCACCTTCATCTTGCCTTCTCTCTTCGCCAGGTTCGCGAGGCGGATCGCACTGATTGAGTCGAAGCCAAGAGAGGCAAGCGACGTGGTTGGAAGGACATGCCCCGATTTGGCTTGCGATATCGAAAGGACGTGCTTGAGAAGTTCCGATTCAAGAGGCGACCAACCCTGATCATCGCAGCCATCGGCAAGAGGGTGCGCGTGGATTCCATTCTGCTTGCTGGGCGGGAGAGAGGGATGCGAGGCGGGGAGAGCATCTGCTGGGCGCTCCAGATGCGTCAGAGAGTCGACAAAGACGTCCTCAAACCGTGTGAGTAGCACCTGAACCTTCCCCGAGGTGTAATACTGGGGGTCAGCGGTGACGTGAACGTCGAAATGATCGAGGCCTTGGCGAACCTCGATGTTGAAAGGATACTGCACGCCGCCTGCTACTTGACCTCCTGCTGACGAGGGTGGCAATGCAAGCTGCACTTTCTTCCACTCGTGACCATACGCCTCTGCTACCTGGTAATCGACGAGTACGTCAAAGGGTGCAGCGAGCAGGCCGAGCTCTCGCAGGATGTCTCGGAGAGCTGCGTTGGAATGGACGCGAGCCTCGTCTGCTTTGCGCTGGACTGTAGCAAGCAATTGCCCCATAGTCGACTCGCTGCGATTCCACTGAATTCGTACGGGTACTGTGTTGAAGGCAGGGCCGAACACTATGTCACCGCCGGGGAAAGCGTCGCGCAGGCTGACGATCTGACCGAGTACGATGTCGCGCGAGTGCATCGCGCTGGCCATGACTTTAGCGATTGACGCGAGAGCTACGGTGCGAAGTGAGACGGCTGCTGCGCGGGCCAACTTTCTCGCCTCCGACATTGGTATAGAGAGGCGTCGAGTTACCTCTAGAGGAGTGATACCTTGAGCACTGTCTTTGATCGGTTGACTCGGCTGACATTCGAAGTCTCGCAGACTAGTAACCCAGTATCGGACGTCTTCGTCTCGCGGCAGAAGGTGAGGCAGCAGCTGGGTGAATTGCGGCCGTCGCTCCAGGCGCAGCGTTTGAAGCGCACTGTCCAGGTCAGCGAAAAGCTGAGGAAGCGTATTGCCGTCGTACAGAGCGTGGTGTATTGACAAAGCGACACAAAGTCCCCTGTTGGCGCCGTGAATGACGGTGAGTTGCAGCGGTGGCTCGTTGGCGAGTACGTCGTCCACAATAAAAGGGCACGGTCGCTGGACCAGCTGTTGCCAAGCAGTCTCGATCGACTCTGCCTTCTCTGAGAGGAGCGATGCAGACGTGGCAGCTCGTCGATGTACGGCTTGAACCCATCCTTGTCCTGATCGGCGTCGATGGAAAGTCGTCCTGAGGATTTCGGCGCTGGTGACGACCTTGGTCCACGCCGCAGCCAAAGCTTCTTCTGTCACGCCTTTGTCGAGGCGCAGCAAGTGGTGATGCCAATACAGCCTCCCGCCCTCAATGATGCTCTGCTCGATCATGCTTTCCTGCAGTGGCGTGCATGGAAGGACGGTCGTCACTTCGTCTTCGTTGGAGAGTCGGATAGCCACAATGTCGACCTCCTCTCGGGCCCCAGCTGCTAACTCTTCGGGGCGCGAATCCTTTCTCGATGTCGTGTTGAGGTATTCGGCGAGCCCCGCAATGTTGGACGAGCGCAGAATGTCCCTCACGGCTATGGCTCCCAGCCCTGCGTTTTTGATGCGGCGAGCGAAGCGAATGGCAGACAGACTGTCCAGACCAATGCTGTAGAAGGAGGCGGTACGGCGAATGTCGCCCTCTGACATGCCGCTGAGGTCTGACAAGATGTGACAAAGCTGCTGCTCCTGCGGTGACCACTCCTCAGCGTCGTTCTCGGCAGGTTCGTGCGAGGGGCTCAGCTGCAGCACCTCGACGTCGAGAGCGAGGAATGCCTTCTCCAAAGCCCGGATATCGACCTTGATGTTAGGCGTCAGGGGCAAACCTCGCCGGGCTATGAGGATGTGACTGGGCACCATGTACGAGGGCAGCCGCCTGCGAACTTCGGCCGTAATGGAGTCGAGAGCCCATTGAGCGGCCGGATCCCTGCGTGTCTCGACGCTGCCGCCGGTAGCAGACTTCTCGCTCTCACTTGCCTCGGCGAGGGCAACCCATGTCACGAGCTGCTTCGCGGGCATGGATGGATGCTGGACGAATAAAGTTGCCGCGTCCGCTACAGCAGCTTGCGCACGGAAGGCATGGCTGACCTCGTCCAGCTCGAGGCGTTGACCGCGCAACTTGACCTGACCTCGACTGACGCGGCCCAACACCTCCACGGTCCCATCAAAGAGGATGCGCCCTCGATCACCAGTCCGATAGACGCGTTCGCCGCTCGGCATCGTGACGAATGCCTCGTGAGTGAGGTCTGGTCTCCCCATGTAGCCCTCGGCGACTTGTGGTCCACCGACGGCAAGCTCACCGACGCATCCCTTGTACGCGATGTCCGTTGAGCCAGGATTCAAGACATAGATAGAGCTCGTGGGGTAGGCTTGGCCGACGATGGAGCGTTTGAACCCAGGCTTGACGAAGCCAAGCGTGTTACCAATCGTCGCCTCTGTCGGTCCCCACGCGTTGATGAGGCCGTATGGTGCCCACTCTGCTATCACACGCTCGTCGATGGCGTCGCCTCCGGACATGAGCCACTGCAGGCGTGGTACGGCGGTAGGACGAATTGTGGGAGCCAGGGAGGCGGGCAGATCTGCCATGGTCAGCTGCAGCTTGTTGAAGGTGTCTTCGAGATCTTCCAACAGGACGTCCTTTGGCGCACTTGCGACGGTGAAGCCGAATGCGAGAGGCATGCAAATTTCGATCAGGGAGACATCGAAAGAGGGCGATGCAAGTTGGAGCATGCGAGAGGAGTGATTGTGCGGAAGGATGGACTGCCAGGACAGGAGAGCTGCAGAGAGAGCTCGATGGCTGACAGGAACAGCTTTGGGGGCTCCAGTGCTGCCGGAGGTGAAGAGGATGTACGCCACTGATGAAAGGGGAGCGAGGGCTGGCGAGAATGCCGTCGAGGACGATCGTCCGTCGATCATGAGAACGTCGTCGGAAAGTTGTTCAGCATCGCCGCGTGTCGTACCATCTGTGACGATGAAATTGGTCTGCGCGATGTCGAGCATGTAGCGCAGTCGTTCGCGAGGAAGAGCTGAATCGAGAGGCATGTACGCCTTGCCAGCCTTCCAGACTGCAATAATCGATGCGTAGAAGAGGAGAGAGCGCTGCGTGTAGACGGCAACGGTGGGCGAGCGATGGGATACGAGCTCTGCCGCGATGCTGTCGCTCAAGCGGTCTAGCTCAAAATAGGTGAGGTGCTGGTATGGTGCGTCGAGGCCTTCGGCTGCGAAGTCAATCGCCCTGGCATCTGGACGTTGCTCGAGTTGTCTCCAGAATTGCCGGATGAAATGCGCGTCCAGCTCGTCGTCATGGATCGTCTGCTTTTCTTCGATGACGGAAAGCAGTGAAATTTGTGATACTTCGGCCACCTGCCCGCCCTTGGCGTACGCGAGCAGCTCCGCATCGAGCTGCTGCAGGATGAGCTTTGCCTGCTCTCTTGGTATGTGATTCGGATCAAAAACAATGCGCAATGCAATCGAGTTGTCGTGTATCGGCTGAACCTCAAAGGCCACCGGGTATTCGGTATCCATGCTTGCGTTTACAGGTCTAAGAACGTCGTGTGTTTGCGGCGGAGCAGTCTGCGGAAGGAATGAAAAGAGGGTATTGAAAAGTTGCTGATCTTGAAGGAGAAGCCATTGGTTGAGTTGCGCCAGGGGCGTATGCTGGTGAGCGTAACTGCTCAAAATGCTTTGGTGGACCGCTCGAGTGTGAGTGTTGGGGTCCCCGCTGCCGGCAAGGTGATCTGTACGGAAAGGGATTGTGGAGAGCAGAGGACCCTGAATCTTATCGGCACCTTCAAGAGGGAGTGTACGACCGCCCAGAACAAGGCCGAAGATGGAATCGGCCTCGCCCGTGAGCTGGGAGTAGAGAGAAGAGAAAGCCGCAATGACGAGGGCCTGAGGAGTTACTCTGAGCCCTTGTGCGCTTTTCGAAAGCTCACTGAACGACAGCGACGACGCAGTCTCCTCCTCGCATCGTTGCCTCTGCGTGGCTTCCGTTGTTGCGAACTCGGACAAATTCGGCAAAGGCGTCAAGCTGAAATCTCCGAGCCTCTCCAACCAGAATGCCTTGGAGCCCTCCCCCGTACCGATCTGTGCGATCAGGTTTGCAGCCTGCCCAAAAGCGGGACGCTGTGGCTGAGGTTGCTCGCCGAGCCAGCCGAGCTCAACATCTTGCTGAAAGAGGTCAATGGTAGTACCATCGAAGAGAGCGTGATGCGCAAGGATGGTGAGCCAGTTGGCATCAAGGGAGAAGCGGACCGGCGGGCGCGTCGCAATGCTGTTGAGCAGCTCCTCTGACGCCGCGTCCATATCGAGGTCGCTCATCCATTCGACATCGACTGTTGAGGATACGAACTGGCAGAAATGACCGTCAAGCTCGACGAAGGCTGTCCTCCAGATTGAGTTCTTTTCCACAACTGCAGTGACTGTAGCCTTGAGGCGCTCGAGGTCAGCTCCCGGTGAGACGCCGAACGAGATCCGCGAGACGTAGAGTGCGTCTTTGCTGGCGAGCGATTGGAGAAGCAGCGACTCCTGCAGAGGCGTACATGGAAAGACCTCGCCGTCTTGATCTTGTAAGAGGCCCGCATCTCGTGCCTTGGCAGTCAGCGCGCTTGATAGAGAGTCGTGCATCTCTGCTTCCCCGTTTCTGCTGGCCTTCACAACATGAGTAGCGACGTCCTCGAGCAAAGAGTTCGCCATCAGGTCGGCCACGGAAAGCTCATAGCCCTCGCGGCGCAGCCGGCTTACGAAGGTGATGGCTGATAGGCTGTCCAAGCCGAGCGCGAACAGGTCGTCGAACGGCGCAACCATGCGATCGCCAGCAAGGTGGAGAGTGCTGCGCAGAGTGGTAACGAGCAGCGCCTCGATGTCGGTGAGAGCTCGGCGGTCTCCATTGGGTGCTGCCGACGACGTCAGCTGGGCCACCTGATTGCTGAGACGGCTCCTCCATGCCTCGTGCACCGCCTTGACGTCGACTTTGCCCGAAATTGAAGCTAGAGGGAGGTGCGAGAGAGGCACAATGATGCTCGGGACCATGTGCGCCGGTAAGATTTCGCGCAATTTGCGCCAAGTCTGCTGCGTCGTAGCAAGCATAGCCGCATCAAGCTCAACATGCGCGCCTGAAGGCGAGGTCGAGCGTCTTGCCATAAAGGAGACAATTTTCTCCTCATCCACGATAGAGACCGCGTTGACGCCTTCTTCGCCGGCGGCTTTGAGGACCGCCGCATCAACCTCGTGCAGCTCGAGCCTGGCTCCTCGGATCTTGACCTGGGATCCATCGATACGCCCAAGGTACATGGCTTCGTCATCGACAGTGAGGCGCGCCAGGTCTCCTGTACGGTATGCTGGTTGCCCACCCCATGTAGTGAAGGCTGCAGATGCCTCTTGCCCCAGGTAGCCAGCACCGACTTGAGGACCGAGGATGCAAAGCTCACCGGGCTCACCGCGCAGCGTAGGTACGAGGGAATTGCTGCCTGGCTTAGTGATCAAGTATCGCGTTCCGTGAAAAGGGCGACCAATGTTGCTCGCCGAGGATTCAGGCCGGACACGAGCCATCGAGGACCCAATCGTCGCCTCAGTAGGCCCGTACGCGTTCAGCAAAGGCACCCTCGAGCCGGCCCACAAATCAATGACGTCCTGGCTGATCTTCTCTCCACCGACGATGAGAGCTCGAAGGGCAGGCAAATCCTGAGGAGCGACGCGCTTCCCCTGACTGAAGAAAAGGGACGGCACGACGGCTGCATGCGTGACCCTCATCCGTGCCATAGCTCGCCCGATATCCTGAAGAATCTCGGCGCGAGGAGCCGTCACAATTGTGCCTCCTACGCGCAGCGTGAGGAACACCTCGAGAAGAGCGACGTCGAACGCCTCAGCTGATCGGGCAAGAAAGCGTACGCCTGAGTCTAATGAGCTGGGTGCTTCGTGCTCGAAGACAAGGCGAAAGGCTTCGACGGCGACGGCGAGATTGCGACGCGTGAGGCGGCAGCCCTTTGGCTTGCCCGTGCTGCCAGAGGTGTAAAGGATGTAAGAGAGGTCGTCTGGTGAGACACACGGGGGCTGATAGCTGGATGACGGGGGGAGACGGCGAGTGAAGGGATCGTCGTCACAGACGAAGACCTCAGGGCCAGAGGGAAAACGATGGGCGAAGAGTGTTTCGGTGATCACGCCGGCTGCAGCGCTGTCTTTGACCAGCAGTTGCTGGCGCTGCTCCGGTAGGTTCTCGTCAATGGGTAGGTATGCCATGCCGCTCAGCTGCGTGGCCAGTAGGGCGACGTAGGAATATGGGCAGCGGCGAAGGCAGACTGCCACAACCGAGCGCGACGGAAGAGCGGTGCTGAGGAGAGAGGCGAGGCGGCGGGCGTCCTCGTAGAGTTGACCGTACGAGACAACGCCTGGAGCTGTTGCATCGCCGAGCCCGTGCCAAAACTCGAGAGCAGGGGCATTGCCATGAGAAGCAGCTCCTTTAGCCAGCCACACCTCTACGCTCGCCTCTTGGTCGGCTGCTGCAACCGCTTTGTGGTGGCGATCTTGCGTGACTGAAAGTAGCCGCTGCTCCACTGAGCCCGTCATCCACCTTTTCACCTCGTCATCTAGGCGCTCAGTGAAGGCCTGAAGCGCCGCATCATACTGACTCAGCAGAGTCTCTGCGTGCCTGCCGTCCATCAGGTCGCTTCTCCAGTACAGGCCCAGCTCGAGGTTCCCCTCTGCATCGAGTAGAATCTCGATCGCTAGGGGATGCTCAACCGAAAGCTCCAAGTCGCGCACATGTTTCAGCGTCGTCGTTTTCTTGGGCGACGGGCCTCCCTCGAAGACGAAGATGGACTGAAAGAGGCTCGCCGACGGCGAGAGCTCGAGGTGCTGTCTGACCCAGCTGAGCGAGACGTGTTGATACGCCAGCGTCTTGCGATGGAAGCCGTCGAGCTGATCCACCATCTTTCGCTTCGTGTTCTTCGGGTCCACGTGGATGGGCACGGGGACCGTAGCGTGTAGTGGGCCCCAGACATCGTCAAGTGCAGGCCCAACCGTACGGCCCGAGACGGAGTCGCCGAGCATGATCCATTCTGTCTCGAGGTATGAGGAGAGGATGAGAGCCCAGGCACACTGCGCTAGCGGACGAGCAGATGTGCCCAGTGATTGGGCGACGCTCGAGAGGGTGGCCCATGTGACGCTTGCTGTGCGGGAGACGCGGCCGAAGGTGGGCGCTGCACTTGAAGAGGGTATCATAGAGCCTAGACGTGGGAAGTGGACGTCGTGGTTGTGAGGAAAGGGGGAGAGGGCGTCCTGCCACAGAGCCTTGCGAGACGCGCTCTCCGATCCATCGAGAGGGATAATGTAGGGGAGTGCGGATCGAATATCCAGCAATGAGGCTGCACCAGAGATGTTCGGATTGGTCAAGGCCTCGGTCAGACGTTCTGACAATAGCTCTAGGGTCCTTGCATCGTAGAGAGCGTGGTGCAGTCGAAGCAGAAAGAAGGTCTTGCTCGGCATTTGCGCGACGACAATTGCGACAGGGGCAACGCCGCTGACCGGATCGTGGCCCGTGATGCGCTTGCTTTCCTTTACCAGCTGTTCCAGAACGTCCTCGTTTTCACCCAGGCTGAAAAGGGATACGAGATTGGGCCGTGCACGCAGTAGGACCTGAAGGAAAGGGGAGTCGATGCTGTCGTGGCCTTGCTCGGCGGAGCTGCCGCTGAGCGAGCCAGCCTGAGCAAAGGCAACTCGGAGCGCCGAGACATTCTCGATTGCGATGTGCACTCTCTCTACCATGTCCTCGCCAGACATCCCGTTGGCTTCGACCTCGAAGAGACGGTTGAGCCAATATGCTCGATGCCGTGAGTCACGAAGCGTCTCTGCTAGCATTCCCTGCTGGAGCGGCGTTGTCGGAAGGACCGCTTCGATGTCGCCGCTGCTAAGGCGAAGATGGTGCGCCACGCTTTTGCAATGTTTCTCATCAAAGTCCCGCAGACATCGCTGTCCTTTCCCTTTTCGATCTCTTGCTCCACCTGCTGACATCGCGCCATTGCTCTCCCCTCGTATTCTGCGGGAAAGCTTACGCAGGCTGTCGTGCTCAATGATATCAACGACGGAGACGGCAATTCCAGCTTCGTTGTTCAGATGGCGAGCGAGGACCATTGCCTTGATAGAATCGAGACCCAAGCTAGGAAAGGGCGTGGTGGAGCCGACGTCTTCTGTGCGGAGAGAGCAGAGTTGCGCGACGAGGTGAAGGAGCTGCGAGTCGACCTCCTCGGAGTCTTCATCGTCGCCGTCATCAGTACTTGAATCCGCAGCGATGCTGTGCTCCCAATCCTTGACGTCCAGCCTGCTGAGCGCCTGTTTCAGTGCTACACGATCAATTTTCGCGCTCGAGGTGCGCGGGAAGCGAGCGACAATGACAAAGAGGGAGGGGACCATGTAGCTGGGTAGAGAGCGTTGCGCTGACGCTCGGAGCTCCCTTGCAACACGAGCGGCGTCTTGGTCTACCCTGAGGACGTCTTGACTGTCGCTTTCGCCCGCATGCGGCACAACAGAGAAGTTGATGATGCGCAGCTGCTCGTCTTCCCTGCCACCAAGGGCAAGCGCAAGCGTCTCCGAGTCTTTGACCTCTGCGTGCGAATTGCGCACAATTGCGCTGATCTCCAATGTCTCGATCCTGATGCCGTTGATCTTGATCTGGTCGTCCTCCCTCCCCAAGTACTCAAAGGAACCATCAGCCAATTGGCGAACCAGGTCGCCTGTCATGTAGACTCGGCCCAGCTGCGGGTGCTCACGAAACTTGTCGCGGGTCTTGTCGTCGTCCCCAATGTAGCCGCGTGCGCATTGGTAGCCACCGAGCGCGAGCTGACCGACTGCTCCTTTGAGTACGATGCAGCCCCGCGAGTCGAGGGCGTGGCACGAGACTGTTGGAAGGGCAACGCCGATGTTCGGCGCCTTAAACACGTCGCCTGAAGGGACACGTCGCTGCATTGCGATGAGGGTAGCCTCTGCAGGCCCGTAGAGGTTGAGCAGCGTGCAATCGTCGCTCCACAGATCCGCGACTACCTGCGTCAACTTCTCGCCGCCATTGATGACGACGCGTAGCGAAGGAATCGATGAGCGCGGTGTCATGGCCATGACTGCTGGCGTGAGGAGGGAGTGCGTGACCTTCATTGCATTTGCTGCGCCGATGAGGTCGCTGAGGAGGATTTCGCGTGGGCAAGCGCAGAGCGTACCGCCGAGACCCCAAGTGTAATAACAGTCGAGAATCGAGAGGTCAAAGACGTACGCTGAGAATTGCAGGTATCGCAGAGAGGTGGCGTCGGATGGGTGAGGAATTGCACTTTGCAGGGCGCGAAGCGCTTGTACGGCGGCACGGTGCTCGATGCCCACTGCTTTGGGGAGCCCGGTGGTGCCTGAGGTCCAGATCTTGTAGGCGAGCGACGAGGACTTTGTCGTGCCCGGAGTGAGGCTGGTGGGACCTGCCCAGTCCACGTCTTCGATGCTGATGAGGGCAACGCCAGCGGGCAGCTGAGATGATGCGTCTTGCCGCGTTCCAATGACGACTGCAGCGCTTGACTTGGCGAGCAAGGCCGTCTTTCTCTCTTCTGGCCAGCCGCGATCGATTGGACACCATGCTGTGCCAGCGTACAGGCAGGCGAGCTGAGCAACATACGAGCCTGGACTTTTGTCGAGGCAGAGCGCTACGATGGGTTCCTCAGAGGATTCTGGGAGGCGTTGCTGAATCTCCTTGGCCAGACGGCTTGCTCTACGGTCGAGCTCAGCATAGGTCCAAAGGGTGTTGCGACCTTGCCCAGCCCCTTGTTGAAGATCGGTGCGAAAGTCGAGTGCGATGGATTGGGGAGACTCGCGCACTCGTCGTTGCAGCTGATGGTGGAAGAGCTCCGCATCCAGAGGGGCATCGTCTGCGAGGCTGATCGGTTGCGGCATTGAATTGTCGCCGGCTAGGAGCTCTGACGTGAAACGCTGTGGACTGAGCGCTGGTAGGTGACGTTGTGTACAGAAAGAGGCGAAGAGAGTGCAATATTGCTGAAGGAGGAGTGTGGCTGAAGAGCTGCTATGTATGCGGCCTTGGCTGCGGAGGACGCAGTGGAGTGGTTGGGTCGGACTCGAATTGATGCTAAGCGTCATTTCGTGCCCTTGGAGCGGGGCGTCTTCAAGCCAGGACAGGTATGTAGCACGAAGTAGCCCGTCTACTTCACAGCTTGCCTCGAGCTGACCAGCCACGATGCCGCAAAGTTCGGAGACAGATATCTCCTCGCTGGGAGAACCAGGCAGCCGCACCGTTCGTCCTGATCTCGCTGCGAAAATGATGCCATGGCTGTCGGTGCTCTCCTGCGGAATGTAGTGGTAGAGCAACACCGCCCAGACGGCAGTTGCGACAGTACCTGATGGCCAGCTATGCTTGATCTCTAGCCCCTCGACCTGGCTTGGCGAGACAGCATCGGTGCTAAGCGTCACCTCGACGGGAGCATCGCGGGAGGGAGCATTCGTTCGGAGACCAGAAACGTCAGGAAAGGGAGTGTGGGTTTGTGACGATGATGCTGATGGTTGGTCGTCGTCATTGACGCCATTACTGGCCGAGGCCCTCATGGAAAGAACGAGGAGTGAAGGAGAGGAAGTGAAAATGATGGGAAGCAAGCAACAACCCTCCCGCTCAAGCCAATTATTAAGCCCGACGTCTCGACGCCAACGACGCCCAACTTCTTCCCCTTCCGCTCTGTCGGTTCTGCCAGCCACGTGGACCGAGAGCGGAGAGCTCGCCTTGCGGTTGGTAGCGACCCCTCGTCACTTTGCGCTCGCGTTTACGGGAATGAATGAGTGCGTGCCCTTTCCGGAGCCACTGGATGTCGCCATTGGTGCAACACGTGCTAGGAGGGTCATATGCGCTGATAAGGTCAAAGCTGACGACCCTCTCTATGGGACCACCTCGCTGCCGCGACACAACGAGGGAGAAGGGCAGAAGGGGGCGACTGAGAGCAGATACGGATCAGCGCGGCAGCGGGTGCAAACCCGTCTCTGATACCATTTTACTGCTCGGCGACCCTTCGTGACCCCACCGTGAGAGAGCGCGTGCGCCGTTGCTATTGCCCCCCGAACTGAGTGTACCCATGGGCTGCGTCTAGCAATGTCGAGTAAGGTGGTCTGTCAGCTAGACGGAGTGTGGGCGAAGGGCGTGGTTTGCGAGCCCCCACGAGTCTCGAGTCATAAGGGGACTGCTTCTTAGTCCCTACATACGTCTGCTGCAACACCATCACAGCCTCTACCATGCTCGCCCAGAAATGCGCCATTTTCCTCCCTGTCGCTGCACTTGCTGTAATCTGGACACCTGTCTGGTCCGCTGTGACGGGATCTGTCGGCTACTGCTCGCCCACGGTGGGAGATCGGTGAGTGGTATTCTGTGCAAAATCAGCATGCTCTTACGCTGACCGACCGCTTCGGTACCTAGCAACTGTACCGAGGCCACCGACGCGCATGACCTCATCGGCTATCCTAAAGGGGGAAAGGTCAACACAGGACAGACATGCTACGCCTTTCGTCCGAAAGTCTTGGTGTCGAAGATCTGCGAGAATGAGGGGTGCATTGGAAAGGGCAAGTGTGCCGACATCAATTCAGGCGATGGGTCTTGCATCTACTTTACTAATCCAGCCGATGCGCCTATCAGTGAGTCGACACAAAGGGCATCCCTGCACTGCGGCATGACTGACGACCTGCCTCTCCTTTGGCACGTCAACAGAGTGCCTCGTCACGGCCTCAGGCCAGATTGACCTAGAGTAACCGTCGCGACGAACGCGACGCGGTTCAAACGTCCAAAAGCAACCGGTGAAGAACAACATGGTATCATTGTCGACTACATACGTCTTGATGTCTTTCCCTACTCTGAGATATGGTATATTCAACTACAATCTCTTGACTCCCCGCTTGACACCAGTCGCGCTTTTCTTGACTGCGGTCGTCTTACTGACAGGAGCTGATGGCGGAGGCGCAGCGGTATTGAGGCTGCTCTGTCCAAGAGGGAGTACAGCTGCTGCTACCTCTACACCTGATGCTGATGCTGGTGCTGATGGCTCCTCTGACGCGAATAGTTCTGCAATTCTGGGATTGGCAGCGTGCACGCTTGTCCACAGAGTGGCCGTCGAGGCATAGTCATCGTATGCTTCTTGAAGGAGTCGCCCCGCTTCAGGATTGAGTGCTGAGTCTGGGTTGGGTGAAATGAGGAGGCACTTGACTGTGGTCAGGATGTGCGCGATGCCGTAGTGCGGCTGCCAGTCCTTCTTGAGGGTTGAGACGCAGATCTCGCCGGAGGAGGAGACGTTTGGGTGGAAGACTGCGCGGCGAGAGGATAGGAGGGATGGTCAGCTGCGATCATCCACTTGTACTGATGTTCCCCCGCGCTCACTCTTTGTTGGCATGCGACATTGCGGCGGCACAGCTGGGAATTCGCTGGTGAAAGCAAAAGTGACGAGGAAGAAGCCTCCCTCGAAGGGCGTACCAGGCGGACCCTGCACCCAGCCCTTGATTGCGAGAATATCCGCTTCATCGACTTCGATGCGGACGCAGTCTGGGGGGTTTGATTGGATCTGTCGGATCTCCTTGACTAAGCGACGAGTGGTCTGAGGAGGGAGGCTCATGTTGTTGTTGGTGTTGGTGTGGAGAGAAGTCAAGCTGTGCATTCGCTCGCGTCGAGCCTCAACCAACACTCAGAGTTGGACGGGCGGAGAGCGAAATCTCAAACGACGGAGACGAGACGCGGGTGGAGCGAGTCGCGACTCCACTTGATCACTCTTTCCATCCCTTCAAAGAAAGCCACGATGGCGTCTGGCAGCGCATCCACAGCTGTTGCGCCAGCGAAAAGTGCAGACGACCTTCTCGCCCAATACCGCGCCGAGTCAACGCCAGCACCGAATGCTCCCTTCGTCTGGAAGCCATCCTCACCCGGCAACGCCGATGGCTTGAGCGACTTTCTCGAAGCCCATCTGCCTTCGACGACCACTTCACGCGGCGGCAGCAGACACATCTGGGTCACTATTCCATACAAGCGTCAGTCATCGTCTCGCTCAGACAATGATATGAAGTTCGCCCTCGCTCAAGCACACCACGCCTTCGCGGAGCTGAGCACTTCTTGCCAGGCGATCGAGGACAACGACAAGATTCCTCAACGCCAGAACAGAAAGCAGGGAATGAGCAAAGGTCAGAGGAAGAAGGTCCTCATCGACGACTTTGGCGCTTCGTTGCCGCGCTGGGCGGATGAGGGTGGGTTACTCACGGGCAAGTGGCTGATGTTCAAGGATGACAAGTGGGTCGACTACGGGTTTCGTACATTGGCCTACTCCATCATCGATGGGCCCCTTTCGCAGTGCAAGAGCGCCAATGTCCACACCGTCAAAGTAGACTGCGCGGATCATCGCAAGAATGGCGAGCAACTGATCAGCCTCTTCTATGAGGATGTATGGGACGAGGCGGCATCGACGGAGATTGCGAGGATCATGTTGCGCCATCACTGCCAGTACTCGCGAGCGGCCAAGACAGACCTTCATTCCGCGCTCGGGATCAATAGCAAGGTGAAAGGCGTGGCTATCAGTGGGGATTCGACTCGTCTTGCTGATCTTTCTCCTCTTTGCGCCCATAGCACTGGACCAACCTCCCCTCCTCGATCCATCGCTTCGACTCGCTCATTCCTCGCGAAACGCAGGAAGAGCTCAAGGAGCAGTACCGCGTCGAAAAGGCGCAGCGGGACAAGGAGAAGAAGAAAAGGGGAGAGAAGTCCAGTCACAGCCCGGAAGCGAGTAGATCGGCAGGTGGAAAGAAGGTGACAGCAAAGGGTGCACCCATGCAGGCGGCTGACTTCTGGCAAGAGACCGATGATGACGGCGACGAGGAGGAGGGGATGATGGGGGATGATCTGAGCTCCAGACAACAGCCAGCGAAGCCTACGACGCTGGCTCCGTCTGCGCCTGCGACGGACCAGCCTGAGGCAGCGATGCGATCCCACGCCATTACGCCCGCCGCACCGAAAAGCGCTGTAGCCGGCGAAGTAGACGACAGCGAGACGGAGGACGAGGAGGAAGAGATGGTCAAGAGCGCTCCTCTTCGAGCTCCGAGCCATCAAGCGTCTGTCTCGTCCACCTCCACCGCCGTTCCAGCCTCAATTGCAGCCACAGCTTCGACATCAACTACTGCCCCCGCCTCGAGAGCAGATCCAGTTCCACCGCCCAACGTGATCCCTGCAAAGCGGTCGTCCACCGGCGCTACTATGTCCACGCCCGCCGTAGGATCCGCAGTCGTTGCCGTGCCTGCGTCCTCCTCAACTCCTATCCCTGCGCCTGTCCGACCTACCTCTGCCGCCGACATGGCCAAGGCCAAGCAAGCGCGGAGAGGCGGCAAAGGCGCCTTCTGATTCGCATGCGCCTGTCAAGACGGTCTCAGGGCCTGACTGCCCTTTCCATATCCGGCTTTGCCCATCATCAAGGCTCCTACGCCTCTCTTGTATCACTAGCCACAACAGCGAGCTCGGCTCCGCATTCTTCGCTCATTGTCGTCACCTCAACCTTCAGTTGATATCCACATTCAACGTTGGACCCCTGCCAGACAATCGGTCTTCTTCCTCCCGGCCTTGCCCTGCTGTCCGCATGAGCGGCGGGTGGACTCATCGTACGTGGCTCAAGTGATGGGCCACAGGGCAGGCCGAGGGCGGCAATGCAGCGCACGTCCGTCGGTCAAGTCATTTCGACGTTTGCCATTTCTCAAGCAGTACTTGCGCTCCATGCTGCCACGCTAAGATCTCCCTTCTCACATGATCATGCTCGTCGCCGTCTTCATCGCCGTTGCGCTCACGCTTGCTCCTCAGTCCTCAGCTGGGGGCAACAGGTTTGTTGGCGTTGGCTACACGAACCCAACCGATCAGTGAGTCCACTCCGCCTACGTCCCGCGCATCGCCTGCATCTCATCGAGCTCAACCCGCCGACTCCAAGACGCTGCTTGAGCGAAGAGGAGACTGTCAACGCCATTGGCCCCGCTTCGGGCCAGGTGGTAATGCAAGGTTATGTCTACTCCTTCTGGACCAACGTGCCCATCTCTCACATCTGTGAAGATACAGCGTGCTCCAAGTGCGATGACGCCGACCTTGACGTTGGAGATTGCTTTTGGTTCAAGACGCCCGGCCTTCCCATCAGTTAGTAGTTGCGCGAGTGATGGCCGGCAGGTTTCTGCGACTGACATCATCGCTCCTGTATGGCTCGCAGAGTGCATCGTAACATCTGATTCCGAGGAGGAGAGCTGGCTACTGGACAGGGCAGAGAGCAGTGACCCGGTGAGCCGGGGACCGGCGATGCTGAGGCTGTAGGTCTCCTGTAATGGCATCTCGAGTCTGTGGCACTCAATCACACAGCAATTGGCAGATCTGTCATTGTCCGCACGTTCTCGAATTACAAACAGTCCTGCTCGCTTCACTCACGCCATCACGACGCACTCTGCGTAGGTGCCGTATGGTGCGTCAGCAGCGAAGCGCAACACTCGCTGCGAACTCACGAATGTTGGCATCAGCGCGGTCAGAGAAGCGAAGGCACGAACCACGCCCCAAATTGGTTTTCTTGCAGCGTCCTTTGCAGAGCTTATCCTCGCAGACTTTTGCCATCCGGTATTGGGGCTTGAATGCGAAGCAGTCACGATCAGTGCGTACGGCTCCAGGAGCCCGGTAGCCGAAGACAGGCATAGCTTCAGTCGCATTGATACAGGTGCTGGCGGGCGTGAGGGGCGCGGTCAGCATGCCTTGTAGCCCCGGAGCTACAGATGAAACTCACGTATCGCCTTTCGTGGGAGAGCAAGTCCCTACCTCTCCATAGGTGAGAGTGGACGATGCTGGCAGCCAAGTGATGGCTAGGAGGACAATGGCAATTGAAAGGATGAAGGCGATCCTTGAGAAGAACATCATGGCAGACTCAGCGTGAATGAAAGAAGTACGGAAGGTAGTATGCTGACTGGGCGCTGCACCGGCTTATCTCGATGTTGTATAGCCAATTTACTCCTGAGGCGACCTTCAGAGCGAGACAAACCTCTCACGCTCGGAGGTTTGGCCGACCATCAACAGCTCGTTGCTCTTGCCCGCGCGTGCAAATAGCTAAGGGAGGAGTAGGCTGCGCGTGATGGCACTGCGGTAAGAAGCGTCCATGGCCGACTTTGATTCGGCGTTTTTGTGGGTCGCGGGCTCGGGAGCTGGCACCGCGACAGTATGTACTTTCGCTGAAAGCCGGCCCGGCTGGCTCTGATCTTGCGCTTTACCTCAGCTCCCTGATATGCATCCGCCAGCCGTGATGGCAATGCGGGCCAGTGAGGAAAGGATTTGACGCACGCCGGCGCGGCAATAAAGGTGAAGCCCTCGCTCCGTGATGCGGCGTGGTATCTGCCGCCTCGTAATGCCAGGTGCGCAGCGGGCCGTCGTGCCGTCGAATTACGCACAAAGGGCTTTGAGAGCCTTCTGGAGATGTACTCCGACCATCTTACATCTTGTCGTTCGATTTATCACTTCGCTTTGCCAACTTTCGAAATGCTCGCCAAGAACCTTCACCGCGTCCTCCTCGCCGCAGCCGTTATCCTCACCACGGCGTGGGCCCCCTCTGCGTCTGCTCAGACCTTCAACATCGGTTTTTGTAGCAGCCAGCCCAACGATTAGTGAGCCACCATTTCAGCCGACAATCTGATTTACTGCTGATGTCGCCTTTCGCCCGCAACACCAGCTCTTGCAAGGCTGCATGCAACGCTACGGTGGTCGTCGGTAATAAAGGAGCTGCTGCCAACACTAAATTGCCATGCCTCAACTTCTTGATTCAGCGGCCCATCACCAAAATCTGTGAGGACCCAGGCTGCGTTGGGAAATGCGCCGACATCACCGCAGCCCCTGGGCAGTGCGTCCACTTCAAGTATCCCCTGAATCATGACATCAGTGGGTTGCAATGCAGGAATTCCTTGCCAGCGTAGGTAGTAGCTGACGCCCATACTTTCGTTCAAACTTGGCAGAGTGTGTTTTCACGGCAGCGTAAGCAACGTCGCATCGCCAGAAGGTCCGGGTCAAAGCTGCTCGCCGCGTGTGACACTGCCTGCTTGTCTTGCTTCCAATCAAGCGGCGCCGTATGCGTGATTGGTACCATTTCGCGCTCGTCGTGTAGGACATTGTCATTCTGTGCGAGCTGTGTACCAAATCTCATCGGCTTGTCATATCTTTCAAGAGGCGTGGCTGATGATAGCGACCGTCGGCTGAGCTTTCGGCAATTTTCGATGCACGGGCCGCCGCCGCACAAATGAGATGCCGCAGGTTCTCGCCTGCACGCGTGTGGCTCGAAAGTGCCTCGGTCAGGTGGGCCGATTGAGCGGGCCGTCCAACCATTGCTTTGAACATTTCCGATGCCACCTCACAATCTCAGTCTCGCCATCGTTTCATGGCCGTGCACGTCATCACCTTTGGGCATGCGGTCACAGCAGCTGCCGTCATCCGTCCCGCCTGTACCGTACTGCGGCTGCCCCGGCACTCCTTGCCAGACTGTATGCGGTCAAACGTTGCAGCGCAGTCATACGCAAGCGTTGTGGCCAGAGCTCAAAACGTCTGTCTGCCTTCTGTCCTCGCGATATGTCGTCGATCCGGAAGTTCTTTCCCCACTAGGCGCAAAAGGACTCTGCCGACGCCAATGTCCGGTCTACGGTCCGCTTTGTCGTGACGTGATCGTGGGCGCTTCATCTCGAGACGTACAAATAGGGGAAATCTGGGCAGAGGGTCGGCCGGGTCGATCTGAGCAGCTCGATGTCTCCATCTTTTCTTCTTGCGCCTGAACATCGCATCTTGACCATGCTTGCTAACAACTTCCATCGCACCATCTTTGCCCTATCCCTTGCTCTTGCCGTGAGCTGGACACACACTTGTTCTGCTCAGACCTATCATATTGGAGACTGCTCGTCGACAAACGCTGATGTGTTAGTACGTTCTCGCTTTCAGATACTGGCTTCCTGCGAGGCAAATGTGCTGAACAAGCGCGTCGCCTCACCGTGAATAGTACCTGTAAGCATGCCACCACCATGGTCGTAGGCATCAAGAACGGGTCCACCAACACCGACACAGATTGCAAGGAGTTTCGGACGAAGTTTCCCATCAAGGCCCTTTGCCTGGAAATAGGCTGCAGCAAGTGCACCAGCTTTGACCGTGGGGCTGGAGAGTGCGTCTACTTCACCAATCCGTTGCTTGCCCAGATCAGTACGTACGTGATGAAGTCATTCGCTGGTGAGATGGTCACTGACAGGTGGACCCTCTACATTTGCCCTCAGAGTGTGTCATTATGGCGTAGAAAGCAAGGGCACAAGGAAGCGTGGGTGACGCAGTCGAAGATGACTACACTCTGACCTTTGTAGTCGACACGGCCTTTAACACTTGACCCGGTCTTAACACATCTCTGCTCATCGCTCGCCTGCTAGAGTCATGCCTTTGCCACAGAAAGAAGCCATCTTCACCATCCTCTGCTTTCATTGCGCGAGGCTCGCTGCAGCCAGTATTCTCGACTTGCTCTGACTTGGTCAAAGTGACTCCTGCGTATGCCTGTGATCACGATGAAGCCTCGAATGTGTTTCGGTGCCAAAGTGGGCGCCTGAAACTTGACGGCATTGAAGTGCCTCTTCTGTGTGTGCTGCCTGGGATTTGGTTGTGCTACAGCACAGTCGACGCCTTCCCACGTAACACAGCACAGCCGCAATCCTCCCACGATGCACTTGCTGTACCCGGTGAGATTGCTCCTTATGAGCGGCATTGCGGTGCCGGAGAGCTGGGGCGAACGTATCGTCGTATTGACATCGGTCTGTTGGCGCCTGTCCTCTCACCCCTTTCCCTCCATCGCCACCATGTTGTTCTTCAGCCGTGCCTGCCACCACACGGCCGCTTTGGCGGTTGCCCTTTTGCTGTCCACTGTTACCTGCCTTCCCTTTGACCCACCGCTGATCACCTATCTCGGATCGTGTTCACCCCGTCCTGGCGACAAGTGAGAAAGCAGACAGGCAAGGGCGAGAAGACGCTGAACCTCCGCCTACATCACTCCTTACCCGCAAGCGCCTGCCTCGCGAGCGACGCCAAGCCCATCGACGGCCCCAGTGAGGGAGCCAGCCCAATCTATCTCCCGTGCTACAACTTCCACACCAACGTCTTCATCTCCAAGATTTGCCAAGATCATGCTTGCCAGATATGCGCCAACGCCAGCCACGGTAAAGGCAACTGTCTCCGCTTCACGTGGCCCGTGGACGCGACCATCGGTGGGTTTGGGCGAGGTGACATCTATGTTCTGGCACGACTGACCATTCACGCTCCCTCAGGCTGTGTCATTGCGGCCTGAGCCATTGAGGGGGTACTGGAGTATACGGGCAAGGGGGGCTTTCACGGATCAGCGAGAAAGAGGCGACATGAGAGCTCTGATCAACAGACGAGGTGGCATGGCAAGCAATGTGCTTAGTGCGGTCATGGACAGACAGGCGACGCCCAGCCCAGCTGCGGTCAGGCACCGTTGACCATCGAGCTCTCACTGCGAGTCTACAGTATCATTGCGATTGCGCATGACCTGACCAAAGCCAGTGTGACAGCTAAAGTAGCCGCGGACATGCGTAGAAAGGTGTGAAGAACACATCAGGCAGATTGATGTGGGCGGTGTGCGATGATGAAAAGCGACTGTTCAGCCTTTCTGAGCGTGATGCTCGACGAATGTGCCATTGGCGAAGAATCTTGCCTCTTGTTCCGGGATGCCATGTGCAAGCAACGCCACATACCTTACTTCCATCCATCTCGGAATTATCGCCGCTTGCGAAGTGGCTATAGAGGGCACGAGGCAGTCGTCAGCAATTTATTGGCCCCTGCGGCCGACCCTCATGCCCACCGGAGTTTCGACAATTGCCCTGCGCCGCCGAATGTCGTGCTTCACACTTGAGGTACTGTAGAGCTTCGTGCGGACAAGGAGATCATCATCAATCAATTGTGACCTCCCGAAAATCCCTTAGCCCTCCCTCAAGTATAATCCACTACTATGATGCTCCTGAAACCGTTTATCAAGCTCGCTGCTCTCGCTGCGGTGCTCTGCTGCGGTGTCAGGGGAGACGAGGCAGATGAGAAGCTCTTGGGGTGAGAAGCATAAGTACAATCTTTGCTCGAGCTGTGCCTAACGCACTTCGGCTCATCGCACGCAGGTCTTGCTCTGTGGGGGTCAAAGATGTCAGTAATGACAACGCTGACACTATCCCCACAGGAGAGAAAGGCCCGCTGACAGGCCTCTGCTTTTACCATCAGTGTACTGCGGACATTCAAGTTGGAATCAACGGACCTTCCAATGGGTCTACTTCTATCGACGTAGACTGCGCCTCTTACAAAACTCTCTTCCCCATGAAGGCAGTGTGCGGCAACCGCGACTGCAAGACTAAGTGCAGGTACTTCCACCGAGCCCCTAGCGCTGGAGAGTGCATCAACGCAGACGACGTCAGGGGTATCCAGCCTCGTGAATCTTCGCAAGGGAATGTGGAGACGTGACGGAATGATACGCTGATGCATCTCAACTTTTCTGTCCAACAGTCTGCGTCATTTACGTGAGACTCATGGTCATGGTACCGTAGGCTAGCTTCTCCCTCCCGCTGACTCCTCCTTCTCGCCTGGCACAGGAGTTTTGAGCTGAGCGATGCGGCACAGGCGGGCTAGTCCAGCGCTGCTGAGAGACTTTTGTCAAAGAGGGGCTTTCAATTCACCATCTCGCCTTTTGCAGTAACACCCACGATGCATAAGCATGTGTTAGTGTAGTACAGTGAGAGTCCATCGTCTGAGCGTGCGGGACAGAAGCGAAGAAGAGGCCCATCGATGTCCAAATGTGCCAGCTATTGAGCACGAGATAGGCCGAGCGAGGCCGCGGAAAGCTGAGGAAGCAAAGAGACAAGATGTAGAGGTGGACGACGAGTAACAGCCAGGTACTGTACGAGGGTCGGACGGGACCATAGCCTGCTGTACGTGGCATTCAGGACGTGCAAGCGCATCACATGAAGACGAGGCAGCCTGTGAGGAAGACGAGGGCGACAATGTCAATGAGAGATCACAGGCTTCCGTGGCTTTGCAAGGCACCGACGCAGCCTTTTCTTTGTGCCTACGCATTGACCAGGTACTGCGTTGACAGAGGCACACTCCTGAAAGCAATTGTCTTGAAGACAGACGCCCGAGAGGTCCCAGTATGGCTTGAAGCTCTGACAGTTCACCAACCAATTTCCAGGGTATCGGGAGGCGTATACTGGAGCGGAGTCTGAGCCGTGACAGGTTTGACTCGACTGATAACATGTGCCTACGAGCAGAAGAGGAGCGGCAACAGTGAGAGATGCAGGTGAAGTACAGATAGCGCAAGCGTGGGGCACACACCGATGAAGACCTTGAGACCTGTATCGGCGTCGACTTGCGTTGCACAGATGAACAAAAAGAGAAGCTGAACTGAAACTGCGACAAACATGGCGCTTGGGGGATGAAAGTAAAAGTCAAAATCTCGCTGCCGGTGTCAAGATTGCGATGAACACGATCAGCGATCATACCTGCGGTAGCGGGCGAGGCTAGCAGGATTGATGAAAGTCCGAATATTGCCACTGTACGGTACAGAAGCAGCCCATGTGATGCGAGGGCTGCCCAAGGCTGAGGCGGCACGCGAACCGGTTCATTGGACCGATCTAGGGCGCTGACCTTTGCAAGAGAGGCCAGGAGCGGTGGAGCATGAGCAATTTCGCAGAGGAGCGAGGAAGTTGAGGGGTGGGACCTCCGGGCAGGTCCTCTCGCCTCATTTGGCGTACAATACAGCAGGGCGAGATGGGAGGGCACAAGCTTCGCGAAAGTGGTTCAGCAGAGCCGGCGTGAGGTCAAAAGGGCAGGCAGAGGTCGAGACGGGATTTGATGTGGCGGATGGCCACACAGTAGTAGCTGAATCTACAGACCGAAAGTGGAAAAGAGCAATTGTAGCTGCAGCTGCCACGACCTGCTTGTGGGTGATTGTGGGTGCCATAATGATTCCAAGGCGATGCTGCGCCTGCAAAAGAGGAGGTGTCGAGGAGTGTGCTTGTGGGGGCGAGGAGAAAGAGCTGAGCTGAGCTGAGCTGGCGTGAGCTTGCACTCTCCAAGGTACATGCGCTCGCGGTCACCCTCATCGTTGGCAATCTCGAGGTCAAATCGAAGTGTGCGAGACGCACGGACCTCCGCCAAAATCAACAAAGGGGGCCAAGCGCTGCCCATCTGTCGTCCGTCTTCAAAGGATCGTTCAAATATGCTACATTGATGTGAACTCCCATGGGTTCGACGCAAAAGCTGACAGCTTCTCAGGGCGGGTAGAGGGCCTTTAGCTTGCTATCACGCTGCGCTTCCATCCGCTTCTTCCTCGATCTACCTCGTCTGTCTCGCTTGCCTCTCGACCCTCCTCCTCTCCCTTCTTCTCTCCTTACTCTTCTTCCTCGCGTGGATCAGCTCGTCCTCGACCTGGGACAGCGCAGCCGCCAGAGCCTCCTTTCTTTCCTGCGTTCTCCTCCTTTGCACCGATGGAGGGAGCGCAGAGTCGAGAGAGAGCTCGAGGCGTTCGAGCAAGGCTTCTTCGAGAAGGCGTTGAATTGCTGTCTTCTTGGTGGATGGCGAAGAATTGAGATCGATTCGGGCGGCAGCATATCCTTGCGCAGTAAGGTATTGCCTCACTTCTGCTTCGCTTATATGGCCCGGTGCCAGCTGCTGCTGCTCGCCGTTCTCCGCATCCGGCAAGACGTCAAGCACGTGCCCATATCCCCAGACCTTGTAGCTGCTCAGCACGAACAGGGCTGTGGCCAAGTCCTGGGCGGAATGAGCGCAGCGTAGGGCTGCCCAGAATGCCGAGCGCAGGGTAGTCGCGGAGCGCAGGTAGCGGGTAGGTCTGGGCGTGGGCGCGGGGTAGTAGCGTCCCGTGCCTGCTGCTCCTGATGGCGAGTCGGAGTGAGAAGCCTCCTCGACTCTCTTTTTCCATAAAGCACGATTGTGTAACTGGGCAAGGGAGGTGAGAAGCCACCGCAGGGTGTGCTTGTCCTGCGACGGTGAGCTTGCTGCGTCGACGCCAAGGTCTTCGAATGCTGTCTGAAACTTGTGACCGTCCCACTGATTTGCGCGGGGCTGCTTGCCCTCTTCTACCAGTCGTGCAAGCGTGCAAATCCGATGGGAGGCGACTGACGAGGCTGCAGGCTCGCATCTTCTCTCGAAGCCGATCAGGAAGTTGAGCATCGCCGTGGAGGGGCGTACACTGTCGCTCCGCATGGTGGCCACGATAGAACGGACGTTACGCTCCGTCTCCACGTCGAGTCCACGGCGCTGGACTCTGGTTGCGTGCACTTCCGCCTCGTCGCATCTCACCGCCGGCTCAGCTTGCAGAAAGCCGACCATGAGCGTCAGGTAGACCTTGTCGTGCAGCTTGCCCGGTCTCGCCTCCAGCGGAAGTGACCCATCATGATAGATGTCACGATAGAGTCCCAACCACCTCTGTGCGCCGGCCATGTCCCCCGCCAAGCATCGGCTCCGCACCAATGCGCACCAGATTGCATGGTCCCTCGTCCAGCCGCCGTCAAGCGGCAAATCTAGCGCAGCGTGCTGTAGAGGCTCCCCTTTGGCGCAAGCATGGGCACACCTAGCTAGTAGCCACTCGCCCGAGCCTGGCGAGCCCAGTCGTCCGTACCCTACAATGGCGGCCGAAAGCATGGCTCGCGGTAGCTCCTCTCTCTCTCCTACCTGGCCCTCCCGATACGCTTGGAATGCCAGTTGCACAACTTCGTCGTAGTCTCTGACGGAGAACATGCTGTGCGCTAGCACTGAAAGTAGTACAGAGATCATTCCTTCCTCGGGAGCGTAGCCCAGCGCGTGGTGGGCGTCAAAGATGTTGGCTAGGGCGAAAGATGCTAGTGTGGCTGCATCGGTGCAAGTGGAGGCACAGCTCATCGCGCTTGAATGACCGGACGAGATCGGGGCCCTTGACTGGATGCCGCCGCTTTTGAGAAGGTCTCGTACCTGATAGGTCCACCGGACGAGGTCGTCCGCCGAGGGGACTTGGTTGCTGAAGCTAGACGATCGGGAGGGGAGCAGCGAGCTGCGTGACACTTTTGCAGTGGCATCATATGTGCGGAGACATTTGATGAGATGCCGGACGTCCCCGCGGTGGAGGGCGCGATCTATTGATGCGATGGCGGAGAAGCGGCGCTGGCGAGTATAAGGGGGAGACGCAACCTCGATGCCCTCTGCCGCTCCCGGCGCCGCAACAGGAGTTGGTGGTACGCTGAAAGGCGCAGGCAGCGACGCAAACTCGTTTGCTTGTTCCTGCTCTTGCCGTTGCTGCTTTTGCTTGAAGTAGTCGAAGAGAAGCGCGCTGAGCTCGCCTGTGACAAGCGGCGACGAGGAAGAGGATGAGGAACAAGGGCGAGGCGCGAAGGAGGAAGAAGCAGCCGCCGATGTTGTGGCCATACTGCGCCGGGCTGGTGGGGCAGAACCAGCGATCGTTGGCCTCATGGCTGCATGAAAGGCGATATAGGCCCCTCGTCGAGCGTCCATGCTCGCGGAGAGGATGTTGATCGTGAGATGCGAAGGTGCGAAGTCAAGCTGCGCCTCGGGCGACTTTTGCTCCTCGACTCGCCTCTTCCGCTCCACGTGGTTGAGAGCTTCCCCGCTCGGCCTCCCGGAATCGGCTGCAGCTCGTCCGAGTCCGCGAGTCAGCTCGCAGCTCGCGGCTCGCAGCTCGACCCTTCTTCCACTTCTTCCTCCCCCTCCATCACCCCGCCAGCATGTCCACTGCCACTCTACCTCCCGCTGACCCCTCTCTCGTGGGTCCTAGCGGCTACGACTTCTCCGTTGGGACTGCCATTCCAGCCAATATGGCGCATGCGGTCTCGGTCAGCCTGCCCAAATGGCAGGATAATGTCGACTACGAGGAAGGAAGATTAGGAGATGTTATGCAGATTGGATATCCCCGATTCTTTGTTCACAAGAGCATACAGAAGGTGAGCAGACTGAGATCTTGCATCGTACCGCAGCTGAAACGTGTCACTGACCCACCCCCTCGCACAGCTCGCCTCTGTCCTCCTCCGCAAGTTTGGTACCCCAGGCCAGGCTGACCAAGAGCCAGAAGCGTGCTACCTCTTCCCCTCGTCGCGCGTAGCAGACCGATGTCGCTCCTTCATGCGTGCGCAGCATGCCCAGCAACACCCCGACGGCCCGGCTCTTGCGGTGAGAGTCGTTCAATTCAGCCTCGTTCTCCCCTCTGCAAGCGTAGCGAGTGGCTCAGCGGAGCAGTCGCTAGCTGCCGCACCAGTGCAGCTCTTCGTCGTCCTCTTCCCGGCCTCAGCGGGGTCACTTGCCAAGTCATATTGGCAGCACACGGGTGATGGAATCAGTAGTCGACTGGCGGAGCATTGCCTCAACATCCTCGAGGAGACGGGGAGACTGGGCGCCGACGATGGACCTGCAACGCCTACCGCAACAAATGGCTCATCGGACGACTCTCCCTCCTCTTCGACCATCCTCACCCCACCTTCGACCGCCGAACCAGTGCACAGGCGATACTCAAAGAATCGCCACTACTCACGCGCAGCACCTGCATCAGGGTCCACCACACCCGGCACCGCCACTCCCTCGGTCACGACGACTGCTCCGCCCACGAGCTCCTCCGCAGCCTCCTCTGTACCGCCGGTACGAATGGCAGATGCCGCAGACCCTGATGCCGAGCTCATGGCGTCGGATCAATCCAGTTACCTCGAAGAACGCTACGGCCGAAACTTGCCCGCCAGCTCTGCCCCGCTAGCCAAGGCCGCTCTGCGCCGTCGAATCGCGGGGACCTTGCTGAGCGACCGTTCTGACCTCCCTTCCTTGGGCGATGTTGGCCCAACGATGCGCTCAGGTACAGCTCTGAGCGAGTCCGACGTCTTCCTCTTCCCCTCGGGCATGTCCGCAATCTTCCACGCGCATCAGACTGCCCTCAGATGGCGTGGCGACTCGGCGGGCAAGAGCGTTTGCTTTGGTTTTCCTTACACGGACACGTTGAAGATTCTACAAAAGTGGGGTCCGGGATGTCACTTCTACGGCAAGGGCAACGATGCTGAGCTGGACGAATTTGAGGCCCTCCTGCAAGCTCAAAGCTCCTCAGGCGAGTCTCGTATTCTCGCCCTCTTTTGCGAATTTCCCTCGAACCCGCTGCTTCGCTCCCCTGACCTGCCCCGCATTCGTCGTTTGGCGGATAAGTACGACTTCCTCGTCGTGGTGGACGAGACGATTGGCAACTTCTTGAATGTAGAGGTTCTGCCGTATGCCGACATGGTTGTCAGCAGCTTGACCAAGGTCTTCAGTGGGGACGCGAATGTGATGGGTGGGTCGATGGTCGTGAACCCGAAAGGGAGACATGCGGAGGAGGTGAGGCAGGTGCTGCTCGGTCAAGGAGGAGCTGGAGGGGAGTACGAGGACAATTACTGGGGTGTGGACGCGGTGAGTGTCACGCTATTCCATCAGCGAGAGGGTCAGCTCCCTCACCCTCGACCTCCCACTTACCCTTGGCCCCGCTCCTGCAGGTCTTCATGGAGCGCAACTCCCGCGACTTTGCCCGTCGCGTGCAGCGAATAGATGCAAATGCCGAGGCTCTCGCGAGCATGCTACACGCCCGGCTCAATAGCAGCCCAGTATTGAAGGGGGTCTACTATCCCAAATTCGAGACACGCTCTCACTACGACGCTTGTCGCCGCAAGATTGCTCTTCCTTACCCTCGCGACGCTGAGGAGCAGAAAGAGCAACAGGGCGGCTTCGGAGGCCTCTTCTCCGTCATTTTCACCACGCTCTCTGCCTCGCAAGCATTCTACGACGCCCTATGCTGCGCTAAAGGGCCGAGTCTGGGCACCAATTTCACGCTGGCTAGCCCTTACACGCTGCTCGCGCACTACTATGAGCTGGACTGGGCGAAGCAGTTTGGTGTCGAGGCTAGTTTGGTCAGGGTGTCCACAGGATTGGAGGAGACGAAGGGTTTAGTAGAGATGTTTGAGAGGGCGCTCAGAAAGGCAGAGGAGAGCGAGAAGAAGTGAGAGGACAGAGCATTGAAAGTCCGCGATCACGGCGTCCAACACGCTGCTGATTGGGGCGAGAGAAGAGAATACAGGAAGCATGGAGCCCAGCTGGCTCGCCCACGTAGCATGACATACTAATAGGCTTGACACCGCATCGCCGTTACCCTTGTACAATCCAACTTGTACCCATATCCCCTCGCTATCACAACGCACATTGCAATACACGCGTTCACACCGTGCAAGTGCAGTAGCCAATGATGGTTGCTTTTCGCGGAGAGGACAGTACATCTCTAACTCTGTACCTTTGTTCCCGCACATGCTTTGTCCTGAAGTTCAGGCTCATGCCTCCCCCTCAGAGTCATCATCATCACCTGCCACCTCTGCGTTCTCCTCACCCATCCTCTCCAACAATCGCTCCAGCTCCTTGTCCTCCGTCTCACTGACCGTCTTTGGCATCATCTTGACATTGACCTGCCCTCCGTCCCCCTTGATCTCAGCCTCGACAGCCTTGAGCGCCTCTTCCATGCGGGCAATGGCCGCCACCTTGTCCGTCGAATGGCTGACCAGAACATAGAGGGGCGGTGCGACGAGCTTGACTCGGATGGGGACGAGCTCGGTGGAGTGCTCCTCTGCCTTACCCAACGCTCGACGAATTGCGTCAATCCCCTGGTAACCGAAGCAAGTGACTTCAACATCCGAACGGATCTTGACGGGTTGCGGTGTCAATCGTCGCGCAATATTGGCCTGCAGCTCCTTCAAGACGAGCGGGTCCAACTTATCCTTGATCTCAGGGATGCCGAATACTGCGTCGCTCTCGCTGACGGCAAGCTTGAATGCATCGTAGGAGTGGCCGAACTTCTTGTCGAGGGGCCATGCGATTTGCTGATAGAGTTCGAGGAGCTTTGCCTCGCCTTGCTCTGATACGGCACCTGCGCCTGCGGAGAGCTCTCCCGTTGAGATCTTGCCTGCTACGTGTGCGAGGATCGAGTGGACGGCCTGTGAGCGGCGAGAGGGTTCAAGATCAAGAGTCAGCTTGTAAGATGCGGTGGAGTGGGTTGCTCGTCGGCATTCGTGACGCACCTTCGACTTGTTGTATCGCTCTTCGCACTTGATGACATCATCTGCCGAGACTCTTCGCTTTGACAGGTCGATGTAGCCCTTCTCCTTGTCTACCCTCAACACTACAACGACCTCGTTCCTCCCTACCCTGATCAACTTCTGGATCGACCTAATACGCCTTCTGCTCAGCTCGGAAAGCAAGATCATCCCCTCGGCATTGTCGTATTCGAGGAGCTTGACGTAGGCTCCCATCTCTGCTATTTGGCGGACCTGGCACATGACGACCTCGTCTACGTCCGGCAGCGTCTTTTCGTAGTAGCGCATGGCGGGCGAGAGGTTTGGGGGCGTGTTGAGGAGGAAGAAAGAGAAGGGAAGGGCTACTGCGTAGGGCGATGCAGTAGTGAGTAGGCGCGAAGCGATGTAGCTAATGCCTATGCGTTGGTGGCTCGCTCTTGATTAGTGGTTGGTTGTTCGGGACGATCTTCTCAACGTCGACTGAATGTCGCTCGCTGCCTCGGCCTGCAGAATCCCAAGCGGGCGCAGAGTCATCATCTTGTCGACAAAGTCGGAACGGAACCACGAGGCGGCGTTGTCGTCGGACCGCCCAGCCTGTCCGTCCCAACTCATGCAATTGGCCGGCACTCGGCAATGACGGACCAGGAGGAAGCGGGCGGCGGGCAGCGGGGTGGGCCCTGCATCGCCTTGAGTGCGGGGGTTCCTTGCTTCAGGGCCGCGATAGCGCTCACTGACTTCTTCTTCTTCTCCCTTTCCCTCCTTCTCATCTCGCTCCCTTGATCCACATCGCAATGTCCTCCTGGCAGCCACCAAGCGATGCCCACTCCCTTCATCCCTCTCAGCTGGGGGAGCAGGGCCTCCACCCCACCTTCACCCATTACCCTTCTCGTCGCTCCCAGGTAATGTCCATCAAGGGTATCGCAGCTTCAGCTCAACCCTTGGCCTCGCAGTCAGGCGTTCGCATCCTCGACCAGGGCGGTAACGCAGCCGACGCCGCAGTCGCGATGGCTGCCGCGCTCAATGTGACCGAGCCATGCAGCACCGGCATCGGCGGTGATGCCTTCTGTCTCTACTATGATGCCAAGACCAAGGGGATTCGAGCTTTCAATGGCTCAGGGCGTACGCCGAAAGCCATGACGTTGGACAAACTACGTGCAGCAGGTATCGAGGGACAGAACATCCCTTTGCTCAGCATTCATGCTGCGACGGTGCCCGGAGCACCGGCGTTGTGGGTCGACGCGGTTGAGAAGCTGGGCAGTGGCAAGGTGGACCTGAAGCAGGTCCTCGCCCCTGCGATTGACCTGGCAGAGAATGGCTACCCAGTGCACGAGATTGTTTCCCACGCTTGGCAGCGTCAGGAGGGCCAAATCCGCGATGCCAGCCCTTCGGGTGGGGAGATGCTGCTAGACGGCAAAGCTCCTCTCCCAGGCGAGGTAATGAGCATGCCCCACCTTGCCCAGACTTTCCGCGACTTGGCTGCAAAGGGAAAGGATGGCTTCTACAAGGGGCGCGTAGCAGAGGCCATTGTGGAGCTGCACAAGAGCAAGGGAGGCTTTATGACGATGGAGGACCTCGAGGAGCACGGCAGAGTGGGATCCGAGGAGGTCAAGCCCATCTCGTACACGTACACCTCTGGCACCAAGAAAGACACGGGAGGTGTGACGCTGCATGAGTGCCCGCCCAATGGACAAGGCTTGACAGCGCTTATCGCCCTAGGCATACTGGACTCCCTACAGGAGTCCGGCACAATCCCACCCTTGTCAACAGTGGACCACAACAGTGCCGAGTACCTGCACCCGATCATCGAGGCTTTGCGCTTGGCTTTTGCGGACACAATGTGGTACGTTGCGGATGAACAGCATGTCCACGTTCCCGTCAAGGAGTTGTTGAGTAAGGAGTACCTAGCCAAGAGAGCGAAGATCTTCGACCCAAAGAAGGCCAGCGAGATTGAGCGGGGGCACCCGACAAGCAGTAGTGATACCGTCTATTTCTCTGTGGTCGATAAAGAGGGAAACGCATGTAGCTTCATCAACTCGAATTGTACGTGCGGCGAGAGATCCAGCAGATGAAGAATGCGCATAGCTGACGCTACGCCCCTCCGCCTTCGCCCGCACAGACGCGGGCTTCGGAACATGCGCTGTACCCAGGGGCTGCGGCTTCACGCTGCAGAACAGAGGAGCGTGAGTACCGAGCGAAGCCATTGTCCACTGCTCTCCGCCTTTCTCACGCCGCTACCGATTCTTGCACCCACAGTGGCTTCATCCTGTCCGAGGGCCATCCAAATTGCGTTGCCCCCTCAAAGCGCCCATACCACACGATCATTCCCGCTCTGACAACCTGGGCATCCACCGGCGACCTCCACCTCTCTTACGGCGTAATGGGCGGCTGGAATCAACCACAAGGCCAGCTTCAAGTCCTCCTGAACGTACTCCGCGGTTACAACGTCCAATCAGCGCTCGATGCGCCGCGCATCTGTATCGGCCCGGGCATGCCTGATAATGAGAAGAAGAAGGACTTTGGTGGGCCAGAGGGGAAGGGCGAGAAGACGACTGTCAGTCTCGAGGAGGGAATTGATGCAAAGGTCGTCGAGACGCTCAGGGGGATGGGTCATGATGTTGATCTAGTGACAGGGTGGGGACGCGGTGTCTTCGGGAGGGGTCAGGTAATCCAGAGGATGTACCCACAGCCAGGGAAGAAGGACGGAAGGCATGCTTGGGTTGCAGGGAGTGACTTGAGGGCAGATGGGGCAGCCATCCCGCAGGTGTGAGCATGGCGAAAGAGGAGATGAATATCACGCTACGATACAGTGAAAATGTCGTTGACGATTAAAGTACGCCTATGATGCTGGGCCAGCGTGCTGCCTGCCTATGAGTCCTCTACATCAACGGCCCTCATTCTCCATTAGATGTATCGCTCCCGCTATCACTACTGCTATCCTCGCCGTACACGACGAGTGCCGTCCCGCCTCCTCCACTACCGCTTGCAGCCTCTCCGCCCTGCTGACCCTCCGTGCTCTTGCTAGTGGCCTCATTGCCGGAGCGACGTTTCTCCCCTCTGCCCCGACGCTGTGATGAGCTCCCACTCTTCGCCCTTCCGCCAGCTCGCCGCCCCTCCGCACCGCCAGTAGCCTCGCCACGAAGCATCCTGGCTTCCTCCTCCAGCTCAGCGATGCGGGCTCGTGCGTCTGCCAGCTCCTGAGTCGGCGAGCCAGCTTGCATCCTGTCCTGAGGCGTAGAGGATAGTGAAGCTGCAGGAACGCCTCCGCTACCACTCGGCTCGATGGGCCTATCCAATACTTTCACCGCACCCTTGACTGCAGCCTCTGCCCGCTGTAAAGCGCCGGACATCTCCGAAGGGGTCGTTGGGGTGGGTGTTGTCACACTTCCGCCCTCGCCCACGCTCCCTCCTCCCGCCTCGCCGGTCCCGCTGCTTCTTGCCTTCTCTTTCGACTTCGCTTTGCTAGCTGGAGCAGCATCGTCTAATCTGAAATCTGCGTTGGCCATATGGCGACCCGAGAGGGCGCACGGCGGGGCAGGAGGTCCTGCGGCGCTGAACCTGTCTGGGGAATTGAGTAGGGACGAGGACGATTGTTGAGGCTGCTGCGGCTGCTGCTGGGACCGAGCAGAACGACTGTGCACCCCTTGCGCCGCCGTTGAGGCGGATTCGCCAGTATTGGCAACAGCAGCGCTGCCACCGTTGCTCGACTCGCGTCGGGAATGTGCCGGCGAGTCATCGTCGAACTCGATTCTCGACCCGTCTCTCGCGGTGAAAGGTGCGAGCATAGAAAGGTGGTCGAAAGAGGGACGATGTGATACCGGAGCCGAGTGGCCGTGATTGTGATGATGGCTGTGGCTATGCGCACGATGGTGGTGGTGAGAGTGGTGATGATGGTGATGTCCGGAATTGTTGGAGGCACTGTTGGAGCCAGCGTTGGGAGTGGAAGCACCGCTCTTCGCTTGCCCGGAGGAGAAGCGACGAGTCATCGCAAGAGCGGAAGGCAGCGCTGCAGCATCCATGCTCTGTCCCACCGACGAAGAGGAGCCACCTGCCTGCTGTTGAGGCGAAGGCGCCCGAGTAGCGGCTGTGCTCGTATCGTCGATATCGAAAGCCTCATCCTCCGGCTCCTCGTCACTGTCTTCGTCATCATCGTCATCATCGTCGCCACTACGCCCATCTGCGGCGTTAATCGCGTCCGCCTTCGCCGGTCCACTCAGGTGATCCATCAACACCCCTCTGCCGCCCTCAGTACGTTCCGCGCTAGCCTGCACCGCTCTGCGCTCACTCCGCTCGGTAGGCGACATATGCTGAGCAGCCTCCTCGTCTTTGCCTATGTCTATCATCTCAGGCTTGTCCCCGTCGTGATCTGCAATCTTGTTGATTCGTCCCTCCTCTCTGCGTCGCCACTCTCGTAGCGCCTCCGTCTCGCCGGCACGACTCTTGTCTTGACCTGACTCTTGCTTGGCTTTGGCGCTTGGTGACGAGGAGGAGCGGCCCTTCTTCGATGAGGCCACAGGGGCGGCATCCGAGCTCACAGTGTTGGCGGCAGGCTGCTCCCGGTCCTCCTCCAGGACAACGAAGCTCTTCTGCCTCTGCCTTTCGTTCCACTTCAGTGTGCGCGAGATGCTCTCAAACCAGTCGGTGCTTTGTGTTTGGTTGCAGATGGTCGGGAATGGGTAGCGTGACGCAGTGACCTTGATGTGGTCTCCTTGCCTTAATTCGACCCTTCCACGCCCATCAAAGGATGCCCAGGCGGTGGAGCGCGAGTTGTACGGCACGGCGATCCTCAACTCCATCGAGTCTGGAAGAAGCATAGGACGGAAGGAGAGGGTGTGAGGGCAAATAGGCGTGATCAAGATCGCCGGGATTTCGGGGTGGACCAACGAGCCGCCTGCCGAGAGAGAGTAGGCGGTGGAGCCTGTGGGAGTGGAGATGCACAGCCCGTCGGCTTGCGCTGTAGTCATGTGATGCTCGTCGCCGAATACTTCCAGCAAAGAGACGTAAGGTGAGGGCCCGCGATCGACGACGAGATCATTCAGGACTTCAAACGTCTCAACGGGTCGTGTCGAGAAGCACATGACCTCGCGATCCTTCTTGGGCGGTGCCGTCGATGGGCCCCCGCTGTCTTCGTCTTCTTGAGGGCCACAGGCCATTCCACCTGGTCGCTCGATGCGCTCCCATCCGCCCTCGCGAACATTCCGCATGATAATCTCTCCCGTCCTCCCACTCTTGATTGCGCGACGCCTCTGCCTATCCCTCCTTGTATTTTCCGAGGGGAGGGTGGCTCGGTACACCGTCGCCGTGAACCGCATTCGCAAGTTGACGCGAATCCCTTGCTCCAAAGCAGACTTCATGACTGATTGATAGTCCGAGAAGTCAAAGTTGGTCAAAAAGCCCAGCGATCCCAGCGCAAATGGCATCACGGGAGGTACGATGCGTTGGAACAGCCACGAGCAGAAGAGGACGGTCCCATCTCCTCCAAGAGTGACGACAAAATCAAAGAGGTGAGGGGAGCGCGAGCACATGTCCGCTGTCCAGTAGCGAAGACGACCGCTCTGTGTTGATGAAGAGGAGGTCGAGGCTGCTGGGGCATCCGGCGAGGAGCGGGACGGGCTGGTACTATTGTTGGAGCTGGCGAACAATTCGGGATGACAGCGCTGCATTCCCTCGGCATCGAAGCGCTTGCTGTTACGCAGCTGTGAGTCCACATAGACGATGACGCCGCGATCGCTGCCATTGCGTGGAGTCAGCATAAGCCACAATGCCAACTCGCGGGTTAGCTTGATGAGATTGTTGTCCCGCGCTTTCGTGATGATGAGGACCGAGTTGATCGTCGACTTGACGCGGGCCCGTCCTAGCTGTTTGGACATCTCGCGCACGCCGACGGCCGTCTCTGCGAGCTGGCGGGTAAGGGAGCGCACCTTGTCCTCGTCATCACCATCGTCGGCATCGTAGTCGCCTTGGCTGCTGGTACTCGCGCTCGTGGCTGAGGTTCCATTGCTGGTTGAGCTGCTCGAGGATGCTGCGCGATGAAGAGGGGGCGGCTGATGGTATTGCGCCTCCTTTTGCTGTGTGACTCGGTCGTCATCATCCCCTTCATGGTCCGACTCTCCCGATTCTGGCTCAGCTGCGCCTCGAGGTCCGCGGTGAGAGGGAGCCTTACGTTGACGAGGGCGCCGTCGTCGTGATCTTGACGGGGAGATGCCCTGAGTGGTTGCATCCGAGTCTCTGCTGCCACGGCGAGCGCTAGTGATGGCGTTCGAGGAGCTGTTACCTACGGCGCTGTGCTCGAAGTAGCTCTGTGCGTGCGAGTGGGTCGTCGTCACTTGAGGCGTCTGAAGTCCAGAATGGATCAAATAGGGCGATGCTGATGAAGACGACGTCGTTGCGAGGGAGCGAGAGGATGATGAGGGGGGAGGAGAGGACGACATGGCAACGTCGTCGGCGCTGAGAGGAGCTCTTTTGGTCGAGACTACGACGAGTGGAAAAGAAAAGTCGCAAGTGATGGCTTCAACGGCTGCCCCGCTGAGCCAACGTTGGTTGGTTGATGTCTTCCGCCGCGCCGCCTCGACCTCGAGTGGAGTCGAGTCGGTCCGGCGGAGCGGCCAGACAGTCGACGGCAGCGCTGCGAGTCAGGCTTGTGCGGATCAGCCGAAAGCGCCGAAAGTCTGCATCCAACACAACGTACAGCCTTGACATCTTAGCCTCGTTCCATCTTCGACCATGGCCAGAGGGACCAGCTTATATGCGGTGGCTGTCCTGACACTACTCATCGTGGGGTCACTACTCGCTAGCACCGCCTCGGCATCTGCTCCCTATCTGTGAGTTACGTCGGCGAGGCAGTGAGGCTGCGCAAACTCCCTTCTCACGTTGCCGCTCACTCCACCGCCCAGCTGCAAATGCACCTGCTTCACGACGAACACGACAATCCTCCCTCTGTACAAGCCCGTCGACCCTGCCAACCCATGTACGACCTGCACACGCCAGTTCTGCATCGACTCCAACCTCGAGGGGTGCAAGGGAGCAACCCTCGAGAATCCGAATGCTGATACGGGGACGGGATGGGAGGGTGAAGTGTGGGCGAGGTGTTTTCGTGAGTGTGCGAGAGGGCGAGGAGCTCATGAGAGAAGATCCATCGCGCGACGATGCTGATGCGCATTCATTCATCTACCAGAGCGGGACTCGGGCAAGGACCAGACCATCGTCACCCTCTACGTCATCGTCGTCCTTTCGCTTCTTGTCACGGCGGCCATGCGCGATCACTTTACGTTGTGGTGGGAGGTCAGTGCGAGGAGTGAGAACGAGATTCGTATGCCCTTCATGATCTCACTTCTTCCCCACCTCGCTCTTCTCTCTGCTAGGAGTTTCGCACAGGTGGGCCTCAAGGCCTGATACGAGCAGTCAAGGGCTCTGTAGCCTCATTGCAGTCAGGCGTGAGGATGCCGAGAAGATGAAGACAAAGAGCACGCAGCCCTCACGCTGTGGCATGTATAGATAGCTTGTAACATTACGAAAGAGAGATCGCTTGCCGTCCCAAGTCATATCAGGGGATCACCATCACGATCTTTCCGGTATTCTTATTCGCCTCCATCATATCGTGCGCCTCCTTGATCTTATCCCAAGGCAGCACATCATGGATGATGATGGGGTGCGGCCCATCCTTGTCATTCTCCTCGCGGGCAATCTCCTCCAACATGCCTGTCTCCAAGAAGCCCTGAACCAGGTCACTCTGGTACTCCAGACTACGCGAGCGGAGCGTCGTGCCCTCCAGGCGAAGACGTTTGAAGAGGAGTTGCGCCAAATTGAAGTTTTGTTGGATCGCCCCGCCCATGAATGCTAGGAAGACGAGACGTCCGTCTTTCTTGAGCGACTTGACATTGTCCTCCAGGTAGGGCGCGCCAATGAAGTCGACCACCACGTCTACTCCTTCACCTCCCGTGGCCTTCTCAAGCCCCTCTGCCCAAGAGCCAGCCTTATAATTGAAGCCCTCTGTCGCGCCCATCTTCTTGCACGCTGCAATCTTCTCTTCACTGCCTGCGGTCACGTAGATGCCCCGCGCTCCGAAGCGTTTGGCGAGTTGGATGGCCGCGAGACCCACTCCCGAGGCGCCAGCGTGAATTAGGACGTCTTCTCCCTTCTGGATGTTTGTGATGACACGCAAGGCTTGGAACGCTGTCAGCCATACTTCGGGGATGGCGGCTGCCTGCTCGTGGCTGAGCGTCTTCGGCTTGTGCAACAGCATGTTAGCCGGACCTTTGACGTATTCTGCGTACGCTCCTCCAGTCACCAGGCCAAACACCTCCTCTCCTTCTTTAAATTTGGAGCTGTTGCTTGTAGCGACGAGACCAGAAAATTCGACGCCCATGATATCCTTAGGGGCCGAAGGAGGCAGTGGGTACTTGCCTTGGCGTTGCATGCTGTCCATGCGGTTGAGACCAAAGGCTTTCACCTTGACCAAGACCTCGTCCGCGCCTGGCTGAGGGACATCATGGTCTGACAAGTAGAGATTCTCCGACGGGCCTTTGCCGTCCTTGATCAGGATAGCCTTCATGCTAGACGGGACGGAGCTGGTGGACGCCATTCTAGGCAGGGTGAAGGCGGGACAGATGCGAGCTGATGGCGCGGCAAGATGGGTTGAACGGAGGGGGAAAGCTCGAGCGGATGTGGTGAGGAGCGAGCGAAAATGTCTTGGAGCAGCAGATGCGGTAAGCATGCGAGCTTCTGAGGGTGAGGATTCAAAGGTAGAAAAGAGAGACAAGACGCGTTCGGCCGTACGCCTGGGACTCGACGAGTGGAGGCGCTGGTCTGCGTTGGCTCCCGGCAATTCCGCGCTCACACTTCGCGCCACGAAGATCAAGAATTGGCTCGCATTCAAGAAGGTCATTGTTCATACAAGAGTGAGAAGAGAAGCATGTTGGAGCATGGAGATCAGTGAAGAGTGTCCATCGCGCCCTCGGTCTGGTCAGTCGGCTTCTGGCCTTCCTCTGCTGCCGAAGTCAGGATCATCGAGTCCCAACTGGTCCAGGTGGACGTGGCGGAGGGAGACTGGATGGCAGAGGAGGTCGCAGAGGATGAGGACATCGAGGTCGAATGTTGATGCTGATGCTGATGCTGGGACGACGGGCCAGGCATGATGTTTGCGCTGTACTCGCCAATGCTGCGGGGAAAGGCTGAGAAGCCATGCGGGGTGGAAGGCTGGAAATTGAAGGAGGTAGTGACGCAAGGCGACGTCAGGGGGTATTGAAGGTCGAAGCCCAACCCTAGGAGATTGCTAATATCATCACTGGACTGCGTAGTGTCTGCCGAGGCCGAATGGTCCTCCGCTTTCGCGGTGTCTACCTGGATCTCGGGTACGTGAATGGCTGCACTGTCGTCGGCTTCCCCATTCATCTGCTCGAGCAGGCTGGTCCAGTCCTGTGCAAGCGGCGTGGCTACTCTCGACGTCGAGGTGACCAACTCGGAGAAGAGGCGATGCGCAGGCGTCATGGGCAGGCCGAGCGACTCCATCACCATGGCTGTGTTGATGACAGGCAGGTGACTAGTGCTGGAGGTAGGCTTCGACTGGCCGAGAGCCAGAGGGGCAGGAGCCCTCTTCTTGCTAGCGCCAGCCAGCGCACCGCTGTTGGCTACGGAGCCTCGGCGCTCGGCAAAGCCTTCGGTAGCCGGCAACTGAGTAGGCTGAGCAGGCTGCTCGGGCGTCGTTTCTGCCTGTTGGCCCTGCGGCACGAAGTTGAAGACCCCTTCCCCGTCGCACCATCCTGCCCAAGCCATGCTCAGGAAGCGTAAAAAGATGGCGCCACGATCGGCGAGGAAGATGTCAAAGGTCATCGGCGTCGTAGCAGGATGGAGCTTGCTGATTGCCTGCGTGAGTGCGGCAACTCGATTGCTGGCCGCCGGCGAGCTGCTGCCCCTTCGCACGAGGTGCAAGGACGACTCGATGGACCCCACCAGGGCCTTGAGATTCGCAGACCCAAATGTGATGGGAAAGATGCCGCTGGTAGTGAGAGTTGCCTCGAGCCGCAGAGGGAAGGAGTAGAGCTGCAGCTGGACAAGGTGAAGCAGGCTGATGACCGAGGCAGCCATCCGACGAGTAAAGGGCGTCTCGCCCTGCGCAATGATGCTGCGGCTGCTCTTGCACCATTCCTCTAGCTGCTGCTCCAGCGGCTGGATGATAGCTTGAGCAGAAGCGACCGTGGGGAAGTTGAGTGCTGTCGCAGCCCCGTACAGATCGCGCTGCACCGTCTCGAGAATGCGCATCAGGTCGAGAGTGGCGAGCGCGAGGCCGTGCGCCGTAGTCGCCTCGTCGCTGCCCACGCCAAGCATCTCCATGTCGCCAACGGCGAGGAAAGGCATCTCGCACATTGGTAGCATCGCCGTAGACTCGTGCGCAACGGCAATGACCTTGTCGACTACGTAGAGGATCCAGAAGACTTGCAGACGCTGAGCTCTTTCGGAGGGGTGACAAGCCTCGTTGTGGTGGCGCGACATGAGTTGAAGGGACTGAGCGAGACCGAGGGCCGTTTGGAAGCTGGTCAGGCGCTCCGCAGCGGCTGGGCTGCCGGCCGATGTGACGGTGAGGAGGAGCAGAGCGCGGATAACATCGAGGTCCGGGGCGATGGGAGCGGAGAGTCGCGCCTGTACGGCCTCGATTGCATCTCGCCAGGCGGGGACTGCCCAAGCTCGCAGCTCTGGCTCTGGCTGCCATCCTGTAGCAACGGCGCATGCGGCCACGACTTGAACTAGATAGAGAGGTAGCGGGGAATTGTGACTGCGTCGGAAGCGCCCCATCATCTCGGCGCGGTGTGGCGCAATGGCGACCGCGAGGCTGATGGACGTGTTGTCGTAGAAGCGGGCGAGGAGCAGCTCGAGGATTGCCTCCGGGGTCGTCGGAGTCGAGTGGAGAGTCGTGGGGACGGCGAAATAGCCATTGACGGTCTGCAGGCCAGCTTGGTGGAAGCCAGGCAGAGACATACTGCGATTGTGCTGCCCACCTGCCCCTGCTCCCCATAGCCAGGGTGGGTGGTCGTAGGCTTGCGCGGCGTCGAAGCTTGCACGCTGGTGGAATGCGGGACGCGAGGACGTCGATCCCTCACTCCACGCCGAAGGATCGCACTGATTCAGCGAGGCCGAGGAAGAAGAGCGGTTGCTGCGTGAGCGGGGACGATTGGCCTTGAGCTGCTGCTGCTGGAGCTTGGAAGCCATGTCGTTTTCCTTATCTCGGAAGGTGCACTTGCGCTTGTATCGCTCGCAATTGGCGCACGTCTGGCCGTGAGGACGCTCTTTGGCATCGCACTTCATCTTCTTGACTCGGCATTGATCGCAGGATGATACGGGGCTGCGTCATGCGAGAAGAAAGTCAGCTCCTCGCCGTGGGCTGGCCAGTAATCGTATCGCGCACTCACACCCTGCGCACTCGACGGACGGGCCCACCAGGGTAACCCAAGTAGGGCTGAGATACTTGCTGCTGGTAGTGAGCATGAGCAGCAGGCCCGCCAGGAGACTGAAAGTGTCGCGAATCCATCGCCAGCATGGAAGGCGAGCTCGGAGGGTGGAGACGCAAAGACGATGACGAGGTAAGTTGTAGAAGGAAGAGAGCAGCGTCCGTTACTCCTTTACTCGAAAGGAACACTTATGAGGTCTTCGGAGGTTGTTTCGTCAGCGCCCTCCCGTCTAGACTAGCGCGATATCGACGCCGGCTCTCTCCACGATGAGACCGATGATGGTCGCGCAAAATCATCCGTGAGAGTGGGCAAGAGGCTTTCGACGCCCTCGCCTCTGTGGCCGTTGAGCGCAGCAACGCAGCCATCGACGTGCTAATCGCATTGTTTGATGGGACCCGCTGCAACGAGCGAGGAGCCAGGCAGTCGAGGGCGAAGACTCATCGAGGCCGCGTACGCCCGACGCAACGGTATGGCAAATCAGGCCACGCCCAGGGGCAAAATGAGCCAGATTAGAGCGACGAGGTAGCGCGAGGCGCGAGGCGCGAGTCTGAGCTACGAAGGGCACGATGCGACGATGAGTCTATGCGAAGCGAGGGCGCAGCATGAGAAGGGAACAAAGGGTGTGAAGTGAAAAGTGGAGAGGAGCCAAAGCGAGAGAGACAGTGAGGCGGAACAGCCGTCAATTGATTCGGGGCGGCCGTGTCTCTCGCCTTCACACGCCGACGTGACGCCCACGGACCAGCAGCGAGCGGAAATGAAACCGGGGCGCGGCGCCAGAGGAGCCCTGAGCTGCGCCATAGACGACGCCAACGACATAACGGCGGCATCGGGCGCCCTGGCAGCGAGCTTCCCATCGCTCCTCCGACGTCGATCATCGAGCTCATCGAGCGAGCTACAAGCAAACAATGTGCAGCCATTGTCGCGCCATCGCGCAGCGACCGCAACAGCCATCGACTCAATCAATGCGAGACCGTATCATATTGACCCTCCCGCCGCACACTGTTGAACCGGTACCGGTCACCACGCCACGCTAAGGTAGTCGCTACCCGGCCTCTGCCGTCCGGAACCTGCAAGATCTATCAACATCGGAAGGCCTTTGTCACGCTAGCGTCGCATGGAACCCATTGGCTGCTCGTTGAATCCCACGACCGCGAAAGATTCACCCTAGCACACGCTCTCACGGCTAGCACAACTAGCGCGGGAAGCGCGGCTTATTGGCGGTATCACACCCTCGTGTCCGCTTTGTGTTCCCTGTTCGGCCCTTAATCTGGGTGTGCTCACGCCGAACGCTCAGACACCGTTCCATTCTTCGGACGTCCGAATCTTCCCATTGACAGCAGCCTCCGTGACAGGCAGACAGAGTCTAGGCCGACTCCATCTTCACACGCCCGCGCGGACAGATGCGCGTTTCCCTCCACGCACCCTGCCCTCCTCCCACCCTGTTCGCCATCACAGCTTCTGCAGCTCGTCGTGCCTCTTCTGCCCCAAGTCGGCCTTCATCTTCTTCAGCCCATCGCGACCGTATTCGGACAGATTATACGTCCCTCCCAGCTTTAAGTTGACGGCATTTGTGGCCTCAATCTCATGAGCAGGCAGTACGATGACATTCTTCTCCATCTCGAGGCGAGTGAGCGAGCTCAACGTCTTGAATGCCTTTTCAGGGAAGTCTTGCATGCACGAATATGTCGTTGCATCGGGTGAGAATTTGAATTGGCCGGGGACGGAGCGTAGGTCCTTCTCCACTGAGTAGGGGGCGGGCGGCGCAGGCCAGTAGAGGGACTGACTGTGCGCTGCGTCCCCCGCCAGCAGGGCCCAGTCGCCGTTGTCGTTGACGCGAACGAGGAGGCAGAGGTGGCCGGGGCAGTGACCCTCAGCCTTTATAATATAGGCGGAGCCGTCGCCGAAGAAATCCCACGCCTCCTCGAAGGGTCCAATCGATGTCTTCTTGAACTGCTTGTTCGAGGCGCCGATTTCGGTATACTTCCAGCCGCCGGTGAGGAAGTGAGAGGGGAACGACGCAAGGCCCCCTTCAGCTTCGTCACCGCCATTGAGCCATGAGAGAGACCCTTCGCCTACGTAAACGGGGACGTGCGTCGGGTAGTCGTCCAGGTTGCCGTAGTGGTCGACGTGGCAGTGGGACCAAATGATGCCCTTGAGCGAGGCAGGGTCAACGCCATGCTTGCTAATCAGCTCGGCGGCAGTTGCACTTTGGGGCAGTTCAGGTTCGCCTAAGATCTTTGGCAATCGCTCGTTCTTGGGATCGAAGCCTGCGTGTGGGTCCATGAAGCAGATCAGCCTGGGTTCAAGGTCATACTGGTTGTTCATGCTGTCGCCGCTCACCAAGATCCCAGGTGTAGTAGTCATCGCCATGCTTGATCAGCGCACAGCAGATGGGCAGCGACACAGGTGCATTCTTCTTGGCCGCTCTCCTCCTCTCATCCTTGTCCCATGCATCGTCGGCCCAGTACTCGCGCGTGCTATGGAGCCAACCGGTGTGCAGCAGCGTCACCTGGCACGAGGGCCCACTTCTAGGCAGCTCGTGGAATGGCAGCGAGTGAGGGTCGTGATGAGAAGATTGTGGGAAGATGTTTTCCATAGCGAGGGCGAAGATTGGGAGGTGTGATGCAGTGAAGGTGCCATCCAAACCTTGATGTCGTGTGCCTCTAGGCTTTTATCCTCTCTTCAATCGCCATTGTGGAGGACCCCACTGCACGGGCCGCCCTCGTTCCCGCGGTCTGGTGACCTGACCTTCGCCCCGCGTTTGCCGTGTGGGAGCAACGGGCAAGCCAGCGAATTTGGTAGGATGTGCTCTGGCTCACATCGACGCCGAGGAGCTCAACAGGTTACGATAGACCTTGCGATGATGCGGAAAGGCTTGGCTGCGAGCGAGGACCGACCTGCTGGCCGCGCTGCCTTTTGCAGGGTCGAAAGCAAGATAGCGCATGGCTTAAGGTTATGGCCCGACCTTCACTTGGCCCACGGAGTACCCCACACATGCCGACGTCTCCTTCCATATCCCATAGAAGATGCTCAATCGACGGAACAGGATATTGACTCAGTTCCTTCTTCATCGAGGTGGCCTCTCCTTGACATCGTCGTTGTTATCGCCTCAGACCGCTCACGAAAATTGCTCCCAAAGTCGCTCTCTGTTGCACCCGGAGCGCTCGCCGCCCACTCCTTCGCCGCGCTGCCCGTCACCTTCCTTGCTCAAGCAGGTCCAAAAAGAAGCGAGGTGGCCCACACGCTCGACCAGCTCTCTGGGGAAAGCTGTGCAGCTGCGTCTGTCTGCAGGGCGGATAGCAGCGAAAGGAAAGCTCCCGGCTCTCTGACGGCCGAGCATCCTTTCCTCCGTTGCTTCCTTGCTTCCTTGCCCTCTTATCGGGAGCAAAGGGGGCCGACGCAAATAATAGAGCGATCAGGCACCGCCGACGAGGCAAAAAGGTACAAGAAGACGGTAAGGCGTGGGCTTCCGAGGGCGCTCGGATCCTCTTCCTCATCCAGACCTTCCTGTGCGACCATCCTCACCCTCATTGCCCAAGATGGCGCGCATGCTCCTGCTTTCGTACGTCCTCATAGCTTTTGCCCTCGCTGCAAATGCATCCGTTCTCCCTGCCCTTAACGCCCCTTCGCAAGGACGCAAGGACGAGCATGGCGTCAGCGGCAAGCACGGTGTCGTCACATGTGAGGTCGATGTCTGCTCCAATATTGGTGCCGACATCCTCAAGCAAGGAGGCAGTGCAGCTGATGCCATCATTGCGGCATCGCTTTGCGTCGGTAGCATCGAGTCAGTGGCACGGTACTTCAATCGTCTTCTGCCGCAGCATGATGCTGACCTTCCTACCTTCCTCCTCCCGCCAATCACAGCGCCTTCCACTCTGGGCAAGGCGGAGGTGGTCATCTTCTCGTCCGCTCACCCAATGGCACGGTCGAGCACATCGACTTCCGCGAAACGCTCCCTGCGGCTGGCTATCCCACGATCTTCAAAGACCACGGCGCCAACTCCTCTGTCGTCGGAGGTCTAGCCGTCGGTGTTCCGGGTGAAGTGCGTGGCTTCGAAGCTCTGCACAAGGCGTACGGTAAGCTGCCCTGGTTCAAGCTGTACAAGCCCTCCGTGAAATTGAACAAGGCGGGCTTCAAAGTGACCAACCAGCTTGCGACTGCTATCAAGGAGCAGAAGGAGTACGTCTGCAAGGGCTACTTCAAGGAGTCGTACTGCCCTGGCGGTAAGATCGCCAAGGAGGGACAGACGATTCGTCGCGTTCGTTACGGCAATGCCCTCGCCAAGATTGGCAGCAAGGGTCCCTCTGCCTTCTATCACGGTCCCATCGCTCGCAACACCATCCGTGCAATCAACTCCACGGGCGGCGTGATGACCTTGAAAGACCTTGCGGGCTATCACGTCATCCACCGTCAGCCAGTCAATGCCTCACTCAACGGATATCATCTGTACGCAACGGCTGCTCCTTCCTCTGGCCCTGTGGTGCTGAGTTCTTTGCAGACGCTCAATCAGTACGATGACCGAGAGGAGGCAGGCTACAATCTGACGACGCATCGCTTCATCGAGGCAACCAAGTTCGCGTACGGCGAGCGGGCCAACTACGGTGACCCGGCATTCGTCAAGAATGTCTCACGCCTGCAGAGCGAGTATCTGCAGGTCGACTACGCAAAGGAGAAGCGACACCGAATCGAAGATGATGGTGTCCTTCCAAAGGAGGCGTATGACCCCTCTCGCTTCGACATCCTGACCGACGCCGGCACGTCACACCTCGTCGCTATCGACAAGCACGGGCTCGCCGTCACCATGACCACGACGGTCAACACGTTCTTCGGCAGCAAAGTCATGACCAAGGACGGCATTGTTTTGAACAACCAGATGGACGATTTCTCTACGCCTGGGGTGGTGAACAGCTACGGATATGTGCCCACTGTTGCCAACTACCCTGCGCCTGGGAAGCGACCTCTGTCCAGCATCTCGCCTTTGATTGCTGTCGACTCGCATGGCAAGCTCGTCTTGGCCACGGGCTCCGCGGGCGGGTCGCGCATCCCTACCGCAGTCATGATCGTGACGTACGGTGTGCTGCAAGACGGACTCGACATTCAGTCCGCACTGAACCGTCCACGCTGGCACGACCAGCTATCTCCTAACGCCACGTACCTGGAGTGGGCCGCTCCGGCTGATGGTATCACTGCGTCGCAGGCCGTGGGGTCGAAGGAATGGCACGGATTCAGCAACGCTACGGCAAGCTTCTTGAAGGGGCTGGGACACAATATCACCTTTACCGCCCCAGGGAGCTCGACGGCGCAAGGTGCGCAGTACTTTGCCAAGAATGGCACCTTCCTGGGCGGTGCCGAGGTCAGGCAGCTCGCTGCCAGGCCGGCAGCCCCTTGAGAAGAGCGCGAGGACGATACAGTGGTAATGACTGCCTTGCTTCATCTTGATTGCTGTACTCTAGATGTCAACCTAATGTCATTGGTGCAGGCCCTTGCCTCACGCGAACTTGTCGCTCTTCATTTTGACGCGGCGATCAAGCAGCTCCTCTGCCGCCCTCCCCTCCTTCTGTGCCTTCTTCAACGCCTTGCGGTCACTCCTCGCGTCGCCCGACGAATATGTCATGACCTTGCCTAGCGAGTGACCCTGGCGAGACTTGCTGAGCGAGGCCTCGTCCACCTCCCCTTGATCGATCCTCAACTTCTTCCCCACACCCACAAGCCCGCCCTTGCCGATCTCCCTCGCCCGCTCAGCCTTGCGAGCATTGTGCCGAAACTTCCATTGCACCTTGGCGCTCCAAGCGTCACCTTCCCCATTGAGGTCCTGCGAGTCACAGCGCAGCACGAGCTTCCCACCTGCGATCTCATCCCATGAGAGATAGGTACCGTGTACATGATTGCGGAACGCTAGCTTTGACCCGTAGCCTGCGCTGACAACTGCCCATTCTTCTTGCGGACCGCGGGCTTCCGCGGAACAGAGTACAGCGCCATGCTTATCCGCGCCTACGAAACGGTGCTGTGTTGTCCTCAGCGTGAAGCGGGGCGGATCTACCGTATCCAGCACTCTGTTGGCTACGAGAACCTGCTGCATGGACGAAGGGCCGATGCCAGCGTCTTCGCTGCCATCTCCAGTTGCTACCCCCTCAGCCGAGTCGACGATCGTGGCTCCCTCTACGGCCTCCGGCGGTAGGTCAGCTAGCGAGGTGGAGAGGGAAGGGGGAGGAGGGAGCGTGCTGAGGTCCATGCGAGTGATAGTGGGATTGAGGGTGACTGCGATGAGCCGTGAGGAAGATGTCAATCGTTGGTACAGGAGCAGAGGGCCTGTGAGATCCTCAGGACGCTGCGCGAGGACCCAAGCTGAGAGGGCGTGGCGAGCGGGGAGAGATGGTCAGCGAGAGTCGCTCAGGATAGCGACGTCGCGCTTCTCACCAGTCTCGTCCCCTCCTACATCCTCTACGTCAGACTCGGCGCTATCATTTTCATCCCTCTTGCTCTTGCGCCTGCGAGACGATCCCTCGCCTCGATCTTCATCTTCGTGCCTGTGGGAGCGCTTCTTCTTCTTCTTATCCGGCTGCAATCGAGCGAGACGAGAGCAGAGGTCAGCGAATGCGAACGGAAGTCGTTAATCGTGCATCGCGCACCTTGTCGCCTTTGAAGTGTAGGCGCATTGACATGTTCGGGGATGTGATGGTTGGGTTGGCAAGAAAGGGTGAGAGCAGCTACAGTCCGCCTCCACCCCTCTTTCTTTCCGTCTGTCCGTCGTCGAAAAAGCGGCGAGTCAGTCAGGCGAGCTCAGTCGCGATGCTCGCTGATGCCAAGCTGGTAACAGCGTTGGAAGGATCTATAGTGAGACGACAGTGATACAAATACAAAGCTAGCCCATCACCAGGTACATTCAGACAGCAATGCCCATCTCCTTGGCCAGCTCATCCGCCTTCCTGGCCCACTCGTCCTCCGTCGCGCCCCTCCTCGACGCGCTCTCCAAGCAACCCTTGACTACGCCGAAGAGATGCTCATTCTCCAGTGCAGCAGCCACACGCTCCTTGTCATTCAGTTGCTTGTTGATGGCCATCTCTGATTGATGGGTACCGGGGCGGATGAGAATGTCCACTTTGTAGGCAGGAGGGAGAGCGTGTAGGAGGCGGACGCGAAGGGAGAGGCCTACCAGAGATGGAAGAGAGAGGGAGACATGAGCTTCCAGTCACACTGAAGATAGCTTGTGGGGGTAACTCACCGATCAATGTAGCCATACTGCAATGCGGGATTGTGGGCGTGAACTCGAGTCGTACGCAAGGGTACTTGGGCGCCCCCGGGTGGTCCCCTGGCCTCGTGACGGTGATGTGCGCTGCGTTCACTACCGCGAGCTCTTCGAGAGTCAAGGGATGCTCCGGATCGGTGACTGATCGGATGAGGTCTGCCAAGGCATGGAGGAGGATCATAGGTCAGTCGGCCGTCTAAACAGGAGTTGCCACCCTCCAGCGCCTTTGCACTCACCGAAGACCTCGTCCGCGTCAATCTCCTCTCGCAGCTCAGCGTCTTGGCCATCGATCTCCATGCCATTGATGGCCACAGAGGTTGCCGGATCTCCACTACGGTAGAAGGGCGCCTTGCTGTCCGCCACATGCACAGCGTCGTCTCGCCACCAGTCCTGAGATGACGAGGTTGAACCTGAACCAGCCGCCGCGGCAGCAGGGCGGTAGACAGTGGGGTTGGCGTTATCCTTTGTAGCTGTCGCGTTCATCTTAAGATCAGAAAGAAGTAGCGTGGAGGGGCGAAGAGGTGCGAAGTTGAAACGCTGCAAGCCTCAAAGCAAGCGGATCGAAATCAATGTGCGTCGCTCATCTCCTTCTGTCCGCTCCGCCCTCGCTCTGCCATTGCCCACAAGCCGCGTGGCTCGAGCGGGGCGTCGACGCCAGACCAACGCCAAGGGCGGGCAGCTGCAGCTCAGCGAGGCGGCAAGGGCGGAGGAGGCTTTTCGGCCCTTGATGTACTTCTCACTTCCTCACCAAATCCAATCAGCACCTCGGGCGGGCCCGTCGCAACCAGCATTACACCATCGGGGTTCTCCTCCCCCCAGCATGAGCCAGTAGAAGAGCACCTACGGCGGACTAACCAAAGCGCGGCGCAGCAGACTCTGCAGCCTGGCTCACCTTACCCCGCCCTTCTCGCTCGACGATGTCGCACCTCAGTAAGCCCTCGACCTCGCGGTATCAGCCCGTACCAGACGTAGAGACGACAGAATTGCCCTTTCGAGCTGCCACATTAGCACGCTCTCCCACTGTGGCAACACCAACATCATCTGCAGCATCATCGTCCACCTCCCGGTCTCACTCGGAGCGAAGAAGGCGTCATTCTTCTTCGCTCACCGATGACGGCGTCGATGGTGATGACGGCAAGGACGGGGCCAAGCTGGAGGATGGAGGACTCAGTGACGACGAAGAAGGTGGGGCACTGGAGATGGACACCTTCTTACCATCTGGCTCACGGCGCGAAGGCAAGCCTACGCCCGACATCGGCGGCATCGACGAATCGGCGGCTGGCGGGACGAGCGACCTCCTTGCCCTCGTCAAGAAGGCCGTACCAGAGACGGACGATCCGACGCTCCCTGCTCTTACCCTGAGAGCAGTCGTCATAGGATCCTTCTTCGCAGCTTTGGGCGCAGCAGTCGCGCAGCTCTTCTTCTTCAAGTCCAACTCGCCTGGCTTTTCAGCCTACTTTGTCATTCTCATCACCCTGCCTCTTGGCAGATGGTGTGCACGTACACTGCCAGAGAGGACGATCAGAATACCGTTGCTGGGCGATGTCGATCTCAACCCGGGCGACTTTAGCATCAAGGAGCACCTCTTGATTGCCATCATCGCTTCGTCGGGCGCCACGTCCGCCTATGCATCGGATATCATCAACATTCAAATCCTCTTCTTCCATCATCGCATGTCGACGATCCCCTCTCTGACGCTGCTTCTCACAACCCAGCTGCTGGGTTTCGGCTTCGCGGGGCTGGTCCACCGCCTACTCGTCAAGACGCCCTCGATGGTCTTTCCCTGGACGCTCGTTTCGACGAGTCTGTTCCACACGCTACATGGCTCCCAGTCCCTCGACATGCGGAGGCGTTTACGCTTTTTTACCCTCGCCTTTCTTGCCGTCTTCTGCTACCAGTTCCTGCCAGCACTTATGGCTCCCACGCTTAGCTCCGTCGCGCTGCTCTGCCTTTTCGGCGGGCCCACCTCTGCGATGCGCGTGCTAGGCTCGGGGTACAAGGGTTTGGGGCTGCTCAACATCAGCTTTGACTGGACGGCTGCCGGATCTAGCGGCCCGCTCTTTCAGCCTTGGTGGGCGGCAGTCAACTATTACGCGGGATTCATCCTCATGATGTGGATCGTCATGCCCGTCCTCTACTTCGGCGTCAACTTCTGGGACGCCCAATCCTACCCGTCTGTGCTCTCTTCCGCCCTCTTCACCGCCACCACCCCGCGCGAGAAGTTTGATGTGGCTTCGGTGCTCACGCCCGATAACACGCTGGATTGGACCAAGTGGGCGACCAAGGGGCCAATTCGGCTCACACCCTACTTTGCTCTCACTTACGGGGTGTCCTTTGCGATCCTGACCTCGATGCTCACGCACGTCTTCCTCTGGCATCGTGACGACGTGAAGCGAGCGCTGCGTAATCAAGTGCACGACGACTACCACAACCGGGCCATGCGCAACTACGAGGAGGTGCCGCGAAGCTGGTACTACATCACACTGGGCGCGTCGCTCGGCGCTGCAATTCTGCTCGTTGCTCTCACCCCCGAGCTTCAGCTCCCCGTCTGGGCCCTCCTCATTGCGGTCCTGATCGCACTAGCCTTTCTTGTACCCGTTGGAATCGTCAAGGCCGTATCGGATACTGGCGTTGGCCTGAACGTTATCACCGAGTTTGTGGCGGGGTACATGCTTCCCGGCCGGCCGATCGCCAACGTCTGTTTCAAATGCTACGGATACATGGCGATGAGCCAGGCCCTGAACCTGGTGGCGGACATGAAGCTGGCGCTCTACATGAAGATCCCGCCACGCGCCATGTACAAGGCACAATTTCTGGGGACGGTGATCGGGTGCGTGGTCAACTACATGGTCCTATCCTTCGTCTTGAGCCCCACGAGCGGCTATGTCCCCTTCTTGAGCGGTGAGGTGGAGGATCCGACTGGGCAGTGGGATGGACGCAAGATTCACATCTTCTACTCAGCCAGCATTATTTGGGGAGCTGTGGGACCTCAGGTCTTCTTCGCAGGCACGTATCGCAGCCTCTACTGGGGCTTCGTCATCGGTGCCTTGGCGCCCGTCCCCTTCTATCTCGTCCACCGCCGCAGCAACGCCAGAGCTTGGCTGGCCAAGTACGGCATACATCTCGACTGTGTCGCGATGCCCGTGTTCATTCACGCTCTCGCTGAAGCTCCGCAGGTGCCAACGAACGTCATCCTCTCCGGTGCGTTGGTGGCCTATGCTAGCCAGAAGTGGGCTCGCACCAAGCATCCAAAGTGGTTCGAAAAGTACAATTACGTTCTCTCTGCGGCCTTGGATGCGGGGACCTCCATCAACGCTCTGGTCGTGTTCGTGATGTCGGTCACGCTGCTGAAGATAGCCCCAATGCCGCATTACTGGGGCAATCCCGCGACCGACTCAGAGTATTGCTCTGTCCCAGAAGCGGCGATCAAGTCTTAATCGATGATATTTATGAACCATCGTATAGCACTTGCGGGAAGTTGTGAACGCGTCGGGTACTGGAGCGAGAGCTGCCACGTGGGCTGTTCGCTCCTTCCGCCCTTAGCTCGCCTCTCTCCGTCGTTGCGTCTCTCCATATTGACTTTCCCTTCCCTTTCCCCACACGATCCTAATCTGTCCTCCTCGGACGCCTCGCTCGAGCGTACGCCGCCATGGCGCAAACCTCGGCGACGAGGGCTCGCGAGAGCAGTAGCGACGAGCGCGACTCTGCTACGCCTGGCACTCCGCCGCCTCCTAGCGTCGCCCCTCTGTCAACGGCCACTCAGACGACAGCAACGCCCGCTCAGCCGCCCGCTGCTGGCGTCTCTGCCTCCATGCGCACGGCAGACGCTGTAGCATCATCATCCTCTGTCACTCTCGACGCAGCTCCACCCGCTGCGGCCGAGGATCCCATGGCCTCCCTCGGCCTGCCATCCCCAGAAGCTTTCGACGCCTGGCTGCCCAAGTGCGAGTTTGAGTCACAAGAAGCGGCCGAGCTTGCTCTCAAAACATTTGCCCTCACTCACGGCTTCTCCATCGCCACGCAAGTCTCCTGGCCGAATCGCCGCTACCCATCCAAATGGAAGCGCTGCACCAAAGGTGGGGCCCCGCGAAATCGCGTCCCCGTCGACGACCGAGTACGCAACCGCAAATCGCGCAGGACTGAGTGTCCCTTTGTGGCCGAGATCCACCAGACGAAGAAGAGGACGTGGACTCTCCACATCCAGAACGCTCATCATAATCATGCACGCGACATGGCGGGGAGCGGGTTGGCTATTCATTCTTCTCAGCGCGGCTTCACAGCAGAAGAGAAGGCGCACATTGCAATGGAGGTGCGCAAGGCTGTTGCAGAGGGTAATATCCCGCCAAGCAAGCCTCTCTTTGATTGGGTTCACGAGAACAATCCTAACTCGAGAACTACCATGCGGGACGTGCTGAACGCGATTCAGAAGGTCAAGGACGCCCTCGTCAAGGAGGATCCGGAGAAGTGGACCGACTTCTTCGACAAGCAGCGCGATCGCAAGTGTGGGTATTGCGATCAAAAGGGCCACACTAAGCTCAACTGTGAGAAGCGTCTGCAGGACAGGGCCAATGGAGTGGAAGAGGGGCCCGAGATCGGCAAGAGGAGACAGAAGGCTGCGCAGCGTGCCAAAGAGAAGGAGGCGGCGAGGAGGAAGAGGCAGCAGGAGGAAGAGGAGGCCAGGATGGCGGCGGCGGCAGCTCGGACAACGGCACAGGCGCAGCAGCAGGACCGTAGTGAGCATCAGCCGCCTCAGCAGCAATCTCAATCAAGCACTCAGGCTCCTCGCGCACCCCGTCCAACCTCTCCTCCCCGTGCTTCTGCTTCTCATCAGCAGCCAACCCACTATCAACAGCCCTGGCCAGGTCATCACACTGCATTCGACCCTCAGTTGGCCAACTCGTCGTCCTTGTCAGGGGAGGGCAGCCTATCTGCCGCCTGGAGACACAATGCGCATCCACATCACCACGGCCACCAGAATGGGAGCGGCCACGAGCGCATCTACGCCGGGCAGAACAATGGTGCGGGCCTGACGGGCTTTGGAGGTACTGCGATGCCGATGGGCGGGGCATGGCCTCAAGCTGCACCGCCTAGCTATCTGTCGTCGTCTGCTGTTCAGAGAGGGTACGGCAGGGAGGGATGACGGTGCGCGTTTCGAGCCGCTATCATCGTTGGTAAAGAAGCAAAGGCAGCACGAAGATGCGCACGAGTGAACTACATCGATGTGACCTCACTTTCTCCCCGAGATTCCTGAAGCATCCATTCTAGCACATCTTTACCTCCATTCTAGCACATCTTTACCTCCATTCTAGCACATCTTTACCTATCTCGTCCATCATCATCATATACCTTATCTTTGTTGGAATGGCCCCCTCTATCTGCAATCCATTACCATCGCGATCTGACTGACCACTGACAACCGGCATGCTTCAGTCTGTCGAGCAGCAAAGCAAAGAAAAGTGTCTATCGTATTCGCATGCGAATAATTTTAGGGCAAAGCAACAAATGACAGTGACGCAAAGCAAGCATTGATGTCGTAAAGCGGCGTCCTTCCGCTCACCCATTGAGCGTCTTGATCACCTTCTGTAGCGCCATGAAACCAAACGATCCCATGAGCTGCATCGCCTCGTGACTGTTCGGACTGACCGGCAGATGCCCCAACTTGGTACATTTGCCAGTTTCCGGAACCCCCTCAAAGAGCTCGAGCAACTTCTGTACAAAGCTGGGAACAGCCTCTACTCCCGTGACGCTGTGTTTACCGGTGGGGAGGGAGACAAATTTGATCGTCGCGCCTTGGCTGCATTGCGACTTGACGTATTGCGCAGCTTGTGTGTAGGGGACCGTCTCGTCCGTCCTTGAGTGTAGCAAAAGGGCAGGAAACTTGTTAAGAGGAGGCTGGTTCTTGCCCAGAGTCTCATGTTTGAGAATGTCCTTATAGACGGGGGCTTGCGTTATATTGGGCATGGTGAAGGAGTCGCTGAACGTCTTGTTTGCGAATACGGCGGACTGGTCAACGCAGATGCTGCCATTGCGCATGGCTTCGAAGTAGGCTGTGGCATTCGGTCTCATTTTGGATTGAAGAAATTTGCGCAACTCTGGGTAGGCGTTGCTGAGCCCCGCAGCACCGAGGAAGTCTAGCCCTGCGCCTGGAGTGCCATCGAGATAGGCGAAGTTAGCATTGATGTTTGCAGGGAGACCGCCAGCCGTCCAGCCGACGATGTTGAGCTCGGGAGCATAGCTAGATGCGAGCTGGGAGGCCCATCCTGAGCCGTGAGCTCCACCGCTGTACCCATACAGGGCTACTTTAGCGTTTTCGGCATTCTCCAGGTAAGCGCCAAAGCCGAGCGTAGCACGAATGCCATCCAGGATGGCTGGTCCCTCGACGCGACCGGCAAGGAAAGCGGCTTTGCTTCCTCCGAGGTCGGGGATCGTGATGAACCATCCTTGATGAAGCGCAGCGAAGTGCATCGTGTCCAGAGCGTACTCTTGCGAATTGTTTGTCTTGCTGTTGGGGGTGAAGGCATATGAGGGGTTGCAGTTCAGACCGGCAGAGTCCTGCGGTTGGGCAATAGCGAGGAGGCGGGGCACGCCACGAGTCGGCTGCTTGGGCACTACGACCGTGGTCACTGTCCCATCCGGCTGACCTTGACCAGTAGTGCGGTAGAAGAGCTGGTAAGCGGCTTGCGCGGCAGGGCCGAAGTAGGCGGGAGAGATGGCTCGTTCACGCAGGACATGGCCTGGCTTGTACTTGGCTATATCTGCGTCGACGCGGTAGAAGGGATCCTGCGAGGGGGGCGGAAACTCGTTGTAGGAAGCTACGGGTGGGCGGGGGGCCGCGTAGATGCTGGGCGCGATCAGCAGGGCTAGCAGGAAAGCGAGGAGCATAGTTGGTGGCAAGAACGAGAGTGCTACTGGATGACGTTGAGTTGAAGAGGAAGAAGAGAAGCAACGTGCCAGCAGGACAGTCTCAGATGCGGGTGGTCGGCTGGATGGCCGGAAATGACGATGTGATCGCGGCAAGGAATAAGGTGGGCGAGCGGGCCGAAGGATCAAGGTCGGAGAAGGAGCAGTAGCGAGTAGAAGGCAGAGCGAGCAGTCGATAGGAAGTAAATGGTGGTGATGGAAGGAGAGAGGCGTCGTCGAATGGCTGCCCTTTTTGATTCAATATCTTGTCCGTCTCATCCCCATCGATGCGAGGTCTGAGCTCGAAGCTGACAGCTGACCAAAAAGACGACATCGGCGGGCCCAAGCTCGAATCGATCGCGATTTCAGGGCGGCCAGTGCGGCCTCGCAGCGGGCCGCGGCATTCGCGGCGTGGGGCATTCGCGGCGTGGGACTGGACTAGCGTGGGTGTGCGGGGGACCGAGGCAAGGCTTTGGGCCGAAAGCAACCAGCTCCGCGCCTGTTGATGTGTTGGTTGTTGCGCAAGAAAGTTCAACAGGGGGAGCAGCTACTTCCTGTTTCTTGCAATGAGGCGACCGGCTGACCGGAAGATGACGCGGCGCTCACCTTGACATCATTTGAAAGGGAAGAGTTAGCACGGAAACGTCACGCTGCCCTTGCCTGCGTGCTGCACTTGCGCTGCTCGATGACTGATTGATGCCTTTGCCTCGCAACTCATTGCCTGCTTGGCCTGCTTGGCTGGCTGCCGGCGCGCTCGGCCCCCCCCCTATGTCATTTGTCTACGCGACCCACGCACCTTTCGGCAGTCGGCGATGTCTCATAGATTGGGTGCCGCAACAGATCAATCTATCCTCCTGACTCTGACATTCAACTCTCTCTCTTCGAACGTGCGACCGTCATGAGCTGCGAATTTACTCCCGATGGCAGCACCAGTACCGACTCTGGTTCAACTCTGTGCGAGAAGGAGAACGATCTAATCGCCACATCACCACCTCGTCACCATGATCCACTGCTGAAACAGAAGCGCTCGACCCGCTTCTATGCACCTGGAGCTACATCGAAATTCAATCAAGCGCCATTCGCTGGTAGCGCTGCCAAGAGGGAGAGTCTTCAGTCATTGGGGTCGATTGTCCATCTGCAAGACTTTTACCGTAGACAAGGCTTGTGAGTGGGTTCTTCACTGAACCTGAGCTGCGCAGCTGATCGAGCCGCGCTGTCCTTTCCACAGAGCCGCTCGTCAGTCGCCACTCAGCAGTCGTCAGCTTCAACCAGCTCTCGGCCCTGCTGCGCTGGCCGAGTCTGAAGCCGACGATCATGGTGTACTCGCCGCCAAGCTGGCTGCGCTGCGTGCGAGTGACGACGATACGACTGTCGTCGACACGCTCGCAGCTCTTGAGGGAAGGTCGGCCCCCGTTGAGGTCCTTGAGCAGCCTATCACGCAGTCAACGTGGAAGGGCAGGGCCTATCCCGATATAGCCAAGCCAGTTGAGGCAGACCTCAAGAGGCTGAGGCAGACGATGCTGAGCTGCCTTGACCAAACGTAAGTGCTCGAGACGGCACAGGCACTAGGCAAGCATAGGCTGATCAGCTTCACTACGGGGCCCCTGACCACGCAGCTGCCGCCACTGGGATCTTCACGGCTCCTCCGGCCCCTCTCAACCGACCTCACGATCGATCGACGTCCTCGACCTGATCAATACCACAACCCAAGCGATCCGTGCAGTCCGCAACTACCTTTTCGCCCTTCCTCCCTTGGTTGTCGATACGCAGCCATCAGATCTACAACAAGCCAGCAACGGTAACCTCTCGGCTCCACCCTCGCTACGCAAAAAACCCTCCTCCAATCTCAAGGCGCAGCACCACGCGGGTAGCGTAAAGGCCAAGGATGCCTTCAAGCGGCAAAGCAGTTTCTTTGGCGTTTCGAGAGGCACTCTTCCCCAGCGGATCCCGTCCGGCTCGTCAACGCCTTCAAGTGCGGAGCAGCATCAACCCTTTCAGATGATTCAGCGACGTCAGGCGTCTCAGGATGGGTACGAAGCAGGCGCCTACTCCGTCTCGCCGCCGCAGGATTGGCCAAAAGACGAACGTCGTCGTCCAAGCGACGATCAGTATAATGGTAGAAACGAAGCTTCACGGGATCCCCTCGTCGTGGTACGCTCCTCTGCCCTCGAGGTGCTCGGCATGTTGAGAGTCCTTGAGGAGAGGAGTCGCATCGAAGGTCATTCCGAAGCGGTCACGTCTCACGACCCTCTCCCTCCTTCTTCTTCCCTCACCAGCACTCGAATGCTGCGAGGAGACTACAACGAGTCATGCCTCTCCATTGACGGAGACAGTACGACAGACGCCGGATCTCTAGACGGGGACATAGCGTACCGCAGCGACCTGACACTCGCAGAGCTCGGAGAGCAACGCAGCCTTGTGAGCAGCTACCTCGCTACAGTCAATGGAGTGATGGGCGAAGTCGGGAGGGCGGGAGCGAGAGAGGGCCGCTTGTCGCAGCATGGGAGCGGAGACGCGGCAACGGCGAGTGACGGTGGAGCAGAAGAGGGTTTTCCCGTTTGGGCTAGAGCAGTGTTGCCTGCGAACAGCCAAAGCGAGCACGTCTGGCTGCCCCGTCTCCGCCTCCTCATCGACGATCTGATCCCATCTGAATCTTCAACACTAGGCTCCATAGCCTCGCCGTCACTGCACTGCAGTGCTGCACTGCATCGCCTGGCGACGGGACACCTTCTCTGCCACGCCTACAACGCCGCCTTACGGTCTTCCAGCAAGCCGTGGGGCTTCATTGATCCGGCAAGCGTGCACGATGACGTTGGCGATGCGAAGGAGCATGATCATAGCAATGAGGAGCCACTGGTGCAGGGCCACGCAAAGGAGGTTACTACGGCGGGCACAAATGCCACCAGCACGAGTAAAAGGGGTGGACAGTGGCGACGCACAGACAATCTCAGGCGCTTCGCTGCGGCAGTGCAGTTGCGCTATGGCGGGAGCGGCAGTGGCAATGAGGCGGCCGTGGGTCGAGCAGTGCGCGTCTTCGATGCGAAAGTTGTTGCCAGGAGGCATGACGAGGACACGGGATGGCAGAGGCAGCTCGAAAGCCTCATAGAAGCGTGGCTAGGGGCGGTTGTGTATGAGGGAAGGCAAGGTGATGAGGAAATCGCATAATCGCGAGCGTCAGAGAACAAAGCAGCTCGCCGCGAGGAGGGAGACGCCCTGTTGATACCCAAAGCATTTTATCAATCAGGTCCATGAGTATGAGGGCGCACCTGCCTTTGAACACCGTGGTCAATGCAAGCGATGACGCGAAAACAAGATCAGCGCGTGGGTATCACTCCAATGAACATTTGCAAGCGAGGCGCCCCGTCCTTATATGTACACAAAATACCCATCTCAGCTCATTCACTCCCGCCTCTCCTATGCTGCTGCTGCTCTGCCTGCTTCTCAGCAGCCCTCTTCTCCCATCGATCTCGATTCTCCCGCATCGCCGCTGAAAAGCTTGCAAAACTGTTCGGGGGCCCAGACGGCTGGAGCAGGCCATTGCCAACAGGACTGAGTGGCCCGTTCAGGGCGGACGCGATGGGCGTGCTGGCCCCACTGGTCCAGGCAACAGCGGGGGCATTGTGTTGGAAGTAGGCAGGACTGTTAGAGCGGCCCAATCCCGCATTTGGAGGAGAAGCGTAGCCACTTCCGGCGGCCACGGGCGTATGTCGTCCCGAAGCAGCTCTGCTCGCCGGTCTGCTGATCGCCGCCCCTTGCCCAGCAGCAGCGTTCAGCACGATACTGGACGGCATCGTCGCAAGAGAGGGGGAAGAGCTCCTTGACTCCCGCATCAGGGCGGGCGAGACGGCACGGCGGATGTGCGCAAGCCGTACAAGGTCGTCTACGCTGCTTGTTGCTGAAAGTTGAGGGGTGAAGTCTTCTCCAGCGCCGCCGTTGGCTGCGTGTAGCTCATTGGCGTTGGCCTGGGAGGCGAGCATAGAGGTGCGTCGCTTGTTTCTGTCGCGACGCGCGCGACGTGCCGAGGACTTCGATGTGCTGCGACTCCCACCGGGTAGGAAAGATGTGGCCTTCAACACCCAACGACGTGCCGTCACTGGTAGCCAGGAGGTGATGCTGCGGCTGGTAGGAGACGATCGACGCTTCCGCCTCGCTTCGCCTCGCTCACCGATGAAGAGGGCGTCTTCCTCACTGCTCGACGTGCCTTCCTCCGAATTTGACGTGCCCACGCCGTTCGCCGCGTCGTCCGCTCCTTCCTCCATGTTGGCTAGACTGTACTCCCCAGCACCCGAGCGGCCGCCGCGACCTCCCTTGCCGAAAAGGCCACCACAGCAAAGGGCAGAGCGCAAAGCCTTCCGCCTTCTGGCAGTCGCAGGCGAATGGCCGCGAGTACAAGCCAAGAGAAGACCGAGTAATAGCAGTGCTACAAGGAAGAAGGCGAACGCTGCGCCGCCTGAGGCCCGATCCGTCTTGAGGCTGGAGGGCAGATGGGATCCGATTGCCCCGCCAGGCGCGTACCAAGGCGGCAGCGGGCGTCCTGACTTTGGCGGCGTGGCACCGTCGATCGTCTTGACACTCTCGATATCCTTCGTAGCTTCAAGCACGGCCTTGCCCAACGTCCAGCTGACACTTGTTCCGTCCACCTCATTGACACTCTGGAAGACCCCGCCTTCGTCGTCAAGATTCTTCTGCCCGGCCTTGTCCGCCACCTGGTCAGCATGATGCTTCCCATCTCCCTTTCCCTTACTGTCGATAACACGTGGCAAGCCTATCCCGTCGTGCAACACCGTAACCATCCAAGCCGCTTTGAAACATTGCATCTTCAATCTGCCTTCGTCCACCTGCTGGCTGAAGCCACCATTCTTCAAGCCAGCGTCTAGCTCGCTCCAAGGTCTACTACAAAATTTCTCTGCCGCGCGTTGGAATTGTACGTAGTCGTAAGCCCCCCCTAGCTGGAAGACGTCGTGGCTCGAGAACCAGTATTCAGATACGCCAATGAAGTGGTTGAGGCTGAAATCGATGGGGGGGACGTGGATGCCGTGGAAGAGGCATGGAGGTTGGGCGCATGGTGCGCTTTTGTCTAGAAGGGGAGAGAGGGAGTGTAGGCAAGAGGTGAAGGAGCCTGTGCCTGTGAGGGTGTGGGAGGATGAGCTAGTGATGGCACCGGTTGGTAGACAGGGATCTTGCAAGGATACACCAGTAGAGTTGCGGATGAGAGCCTCCTCGTAGCGTTCGCGCGCTTTGTTGGTGCCGAAGCCGAGGAAGGTAGTGACAAAGACGTCGTGCGTGACATCTGTGCCGTCGAGGAGCTTCAATTTGACCTGAGTGAGCTCTTCCTCTGCAGTCCCAGGCATCGTGTCCGTCGCACTATCACTCGTCTTCTCAGCGGCAGAGAGCGCCTTTCTACTGGGCTCGAAGGCAATCTGCGTGCTCGCCCCACCCATGTCCAAAAATCCGTACGTCGAGCGGCCTTTGGAAGGCTGCAGCCCTCCCGCGACATCGATAGATTTTGCATCCTCGTCCGGCTTGAAGTGAAAGCCATCCATCAGGTAATTGATAGCGATCCACCCCAGCAAGCCCTCCTCGTGTCCCGAAATGACTTGGACATGATCGCTGCAGCTCCCCTGTAGATTGAACGGGGTCCGAGAAGTCAAGAAGTCGCATGTTGCAGCGATGATGGCAGATTGGTCCGAGGAAGAGAGAAAACGCATTCCCGCTGTGGCCATTACGTAGACTGGAGTCGAGGCGACAAGGTGGGGCGGAACAACTTCCAATGCGTGGGCGAAGAGGGGCTCCAAGTAGCGACCGAGATCAGCCGTATGGCCGGCGAAGCTGGGAACACGATCCTTCTAGTCAGCATTTCGGTCTCTGATCCGGGGACACCGTAGCGCACTCACGATGAGATGCCCGGCTCAACCTTCCATTGCCACTCTCTCCCGCTCCCCTCTTGTGTCCCTTTTTCCACCTTGGGGAGCACTTTCATCTTCTTTCCCTTGCGAAGTCGCTCTTCGCGAGTGACGGATGGCTCCTTCCAGGAGTAGACTTGCAGACGGGAGCCTGAAGAGCCCGCATCTACGAGGATGGCGTAGCGACGGGAGGTGGACCATTCGCTATCCACTGCTGGAGGCGGGCGTGGGCGACGGGGTCGAAGGCGAAGGCGAGGCGTAGTCAGAGCGGGAGGCCGCGATGGACCCGGCTCGCTCCATTCTTGTGACGGGGAGGGCGACATCTTGTTGAGGTGCAAGGAGTGTGGCAGTTCTTCAGTATGATGAGAATGAGCGTTGTGCGAGAAAAGGCATCCTTTTGATGTTAGGAGACGCAGATGCAGGAAGGGAAAGAAAGTGAAGCCGAGCGAGGCCGCCAGTCCGCCCTGACTTTGCACGAATCCAGCCACTCCCGAAGCCACACGCATTTCGTCCCCACGTCCGGGGCAGATGAGAACGAGGGGGAGAACAGACGCGATCTGCAACAGTGGTCGGATTGCGAAGCAGAGATGGGGTAGTACAGACGATTGCATCGGTGAAGTAGTGATAGAGTCACAGAGAGGATTGATCCCTCTTCCTTCTGTCACGGCTCACGGCGCAATCGTCGGATCCTGCAGCACGACGAGCAAGTACTTGTCGCTCGGGCTGATCATCATCTCGTACCTCTTCGTCCGGATCCTCACAAACCCGACCTCATCTCCTTCGTCCACCCCTCCCACACCAGCGGAGAGCGTATCCATGCTTTGTCGCACTAGCTTGACGATCCTTCTCAGCCTCTCACTGCGATCGTGTGCACCAGGCCCGGACGGCTCAAAGTCTCTCCCACCAGCGCGGATGATGAGGGCGTCTGGACGACTGAGGATCAGGCAGCCGGTGACGTTCTTGTGAGATGTGAGCTTGGAGAGAGTGGCTTCTACCTCGGGTGGCGGTGCGGGCTGAGATGATGAAGAAGCTGCGAAGGCCTGGGCTGCTGTTGATGGAGAGGAGGCTGATGGGGTTGACGCTTCCTCTGCTCTTGAGGCTAAGGAGGCAGCTGGTGGCATGGGCGAGCCTGGTGGTGGCGGGCTCGTTGAGAGATTGTGCGGCTTTGCTGCGAGGGAGGAAGGATCCATCCGGGCGTGGAGGCTTGGTGAGCCTGAGGAGGAGGAGGGGGAGAGGGACTGCGAGGCGAAGGAGCGCGAAGGGGGGTTGGTCCAAGATCTAATGGGTGCATATAGGCAGGGGCCGTCGCTACTCACCATGTCTGCGAGCGTGTATCTTCACACAGCAATGGCTCACGATGGATGCTGATCTTTTCTTTCCGCTTGATGAGCTCGGAAACTTCTTTCGTCTTGACTGGTCGAGATGAGGTGATGGAATCAACGAATGGTTGTTCGCCCTCGTTATCGATTGGTGTGAGGCTGCTGCACGCCTGCATCGTCGAAGCCAGCCCGTCCGCCTTGCCTTGCCTTGCCTTGCGTACGCAGCCGCTCCGCACTCCACTCCCGCCTGACTCTGCCGGTCGATCCGACGCCGCTAGCTACGCCCAGGGTGCCGCCCTCGTTGAGGTGGACTGAGCACACATACACACGCTCGAGTCAGCTCCCTGATCCGCCTCCTCATCCATCACTATCCGGCAGCGACTGCGTCATCTACGTATAGCGAGGCTGGCTGTTGTGCACGCTCAGCATGAGTCCATCGCTACCAGATTCCCTCTCATCTCTGCAGCCTTGCTAGAACTGCTCACCTCGCCGCGATAGCATGGCGATGCCATCAACGACTGAGCCTCGCGACAGCCGCGAGGCCACTCCAGGCCCATCGACGATTCTCGACCCCTCATTCTCCTCCGGCTCTCCGGCCTCTTCATCTACCTCTTCGTCAATGCGCCTCGACGCCGTACTTTATAACTTCTACTCGAAATCCGTCAATCTCGTCGCCGCCAACCGACTGACCCACTCGACGTTTACGGCGCTCACGGACAGCGGCAGCGTGGGCCACGTCAATAAATGGTTCAGCCTGCCACTGCCAGATATCGACATTTTCAAGGAGGAGCTGAGACTGTGGCGCTCCCTCTCTGCCTTCGTCCCACCCTCGGCGTTAGAGGCGTCCATTGAAACACCAGCAGATGATGCTGCAGGCGCTCCACTCGTGGCTCGCGTCCCTCCCCTGGTCCTTGAAGTCATCTTCGAACCAGTCAAGGGTCCTACAGCCACGTCTCCTCGCCCTGTTGTGCTTGAAAGATGGCGCATAGACTTCACCGTCTTCCAGCCAGAGTCGGCCCCTGAGCTCCAAGACCTCTACAAGCGTTGTTCTACTCACCTGCAGGCCTTCGATGCAGCAACGCGCAACTTGCCCGCCTATAAGCTATACAAGAGGATACGCACAGGCGATGGAGCAGCCGTTGGACAGATTGGCTGCAGGCTGGGGACGGGCGAAGCACTCGATGTAGGGACGCCGAGCGGTGATCGCAGGGAGATTGGATTGGGAGGTGGCGACGAGGAGAATGCTTCGTCATCACAGACGGGGCTGCATGGTTTTGCACCTCTCGTAACGCCACTCGGGTCGCTCACTGTTTCTGTCGAGTATCGAGAAAATCTTGCGCTCGCGGGCAATGTGAGACCGGATGATCTGCGGCCGGACGAGGACTACTTCAAGCCGCCGATTACAACGACGAAGCCAACGCCGAGCGCGCCCACTTCATCTAAGGTCTCAGCGCCGGCGGGTGGCAGCAGCTTCAGCGACCGGCCTTCTCCTCCTCCTCAGCCGCAGCCCAGCATCTCCTCATCACCTAGCTCCTTTGGCCGTATGAACACGTCAGGACCACCACGCGCCGGCCTATCAGCGTTGCGCAGCCAGCCGACGCCCACTGATCCTCCACTTTCCAGCTCGCCAGGGGCGGGCGAGCCGGCGTTTCTGACTTCTCACGCACGACGCACAAGCTCAAGCAGCCTTTCCTCGACGCATAGCGAAAGACGCTTCCGTACTGCAAGCACGCTGGGTCCAGCAGGGTCCAGCGGATCAGGCATCGCCGAGCATCCTGCGGGCAGCGTGGGCATCGGTCGCCCAGCTTTGCCTCAGCAGATGCGCTTCGGCTCGTATTCACCTTCATCACCGAGCCCGCTTGCTCAACAGGCTGCAGGTGCAGAGAGCGGAGCCTCATCGAGAAGCATCAGACCCACTGCGGCGTCCGTAGCCAAGCCATCCTCCACACCACCAACGCACAGCTTGCGTAACATCTTTCAGCACTACGCGCCCACCAATGTGGCCTCGTCTTCTTCGCCCGCGTCAAACAGCTCCATCGTCTCCTTGAGCGGCACTTCACGCCCGACATATCGGCGTGCAGGATCGGGAGGCAGCAGTGGTAGTCACGAGCTCCCACGCGTGACTGAAGCGCCTGCTCCAGCCTCGTCTTCTTCGGGAGCATCTCGCCCATCCGTCTCTCCTCAAATGATACAGCGCTACTCTCGCACGCCATCTTATCGGTCACAGCACCCAGGCCAACAGGCTGGCCGAAACAGCTTGGAAGGTGCTGAGGGGCGCGCTTCGACGAGCAGTGGTGAAGTGCAGTCGGGAGGGGCAGGCCGCTCACCATCATTCAGCCGCTCATGGCAGGCACGCACCGAGGCAAGGCAGCAAGCAATGATGGCCATGGCGGGCAGCAGTGCGAGTAGGGGAAGCCCGAGCTCGCTCCTTAGTCGTGCAAGCCCCGGGTCACTGCTTAGCAGGGAAAGCCCGCCGGCGCAGCAGAAGCGGGCGAGCGGTGTCGGAAGGAGGGATTCGATCGATGATCTTGTCTCCCTGATCGAGTCGCGGCCGATGCTGGCGGGCTCGAGCTCTCCGAGACCGCAGGCACCGCAGGCACCTCCAGCCGCGACGGGCGGCTTCGTTCCAAGTCAATCGCCAGCCTTGGGCAGCTCAGCACTTGCCTCGAGTGGCAGCTCACGCGTCATGCTCTCCACGAGCGCAATGGATGACATGTTGGCCAAGATGACGCAGAGCGTTATGCGGCTTACTGCCCCGCCTGCGCCAATGCCGGTCGCACCTGACGAGGCGGCAACATCTGCACCTGCTCTGCCGGCTGTATCGTCAGGCCACACAGGCGAGCCAGTCAATAGCTGCTCCTCGCCCTCGGCTGCCGCAGGTCAAGTCCTCAGACCCCCTACCGCGCCTCTCGCCCCCGACTTCGACGACTCTTCCTCCTTTGAAGGAGGGCGCGGCGCCATGTTACGAGGTCGGCTGTACCCCCGCAGTGCTGGTGCAGGACGAGGCGCTGGTGCCACTCGCGGCGGCCACTCCTCACATGAAGAAGTGGACGCCATCCTTCTGCAGGCGCATGACGATGACTACCCCACTGCGATCGGACCAGAACAGCAATCGCAACGAGAAACGAGGCGTCAAGCGTCCGATGTTGGAGCGGCACTGGCGCCGCGAGGGAGGCACTCCTTCGACTACGAAGATGAGGAAGAACATCCAGCCGGGAGGTTGGAGCTGCACTCTGATCCGAACACGCCTACGAGCCTGCGCTTCTCCTCTTCGCCCCTCCTCTCTCAGCCGCAGACCGCGTTGACTGGCGCCGCACCAGGTGCCGCCGGATATTCGCGCTTCGCTGGTCGTACGTCGACTGCTGCTGCCGCTGGTGCTACTGCCGGTGGGGCCCTTGGGTTGGGTAGGACGCTGCGCGCCAGTGCTGGCAGCGATGTAGACGAAGCTGCCTCTCCTTCTAATCTCTTTGCGCATCGTACTCCAAGTGGTGCTGCGGGAGTGGAGCGGGTGCGGAGCTCGAGTAGCGCTGCAGACCCCTCTGCCGCGTCCTCGGGAAGGAGATTCAGACGATACGTGTCTGGATTCGATGTTGGCACTGGGGCAGCTGGAGGGAACGCTGCTCAAAGGGAGGGAGAGGATCAAGAGCCAGACGATGCGCAGCGTCTGCGATCGTTCGGTGCAGAGTTAAGCTCGATGCGCGGCCGAGGTGGGGCGCCTTGGTCCTCGTACGGCTTGACGGCCACGGCCACTACCACAGCTGGCAGCACGACCATCACCGGTGGGCACGGCGTCGGATCTTCAAGTCCATGGCGTACCCGTCGTCCTCCCGTGCCGCCTTCCAGTGGTCGAGGCTTGGGAGGTCCACCAGCTGCTGGGCTGGGAAGGAGGGCAAGTCCCGGCCATTTGAGAACGCTGCAGCACCGCGGGGGAGAAGACACGACGATGAGCGGTGGAGGGGGAAATGGGAATGGGTACGGTAGCGGTGAGGAGCGTGGCAGGACTGGCGCACCAGCAACGACGACGCCGACGAGCTCGAGGCAGCGATGGTGGGAGTATCAAAATGAGAGAGGTGGAGACGAGGACTGAGGGAAACAGCGGAAAGACGAGATGGACAGAGACAAAGGACCAGCATCACCAAGACAATCATTACCCTCAGACACATCACTCATTCCTTGTTCATAAACACTCTCTTGCAATCACGATTGACACTTATACGTTCCATCACTTTGCTCGTTGTGCGCGGTGCGCCAGAAGTCGAGCCAATGGAGGAGCCAAGAGTATTCGCGACTGAACGATTCGCGGACAGTCTTTCCAGCGCGCATAGGTGCTCGTGCCTTGTCAAGTCGCTGCCACCGTCATCATCAGCATGGTCAAATCGCCGGGCTTTTGACAAAGCAGGTGGCGAGGCTCACGACCTCACCGATCAGGAACGCCCTCGAACCAGGGTTGCGAGCTTGCTTGAACCGGGCCAGCCAGCTGAAGGACGGGTCAAGGTGCGTTTGCTACGCTTGCTGCGCAGGAAGCGTACACCTAATGTTCGATTGGTGAACGATGACTCAATGAGATTGCGTGGCGATCACGGGCCTACAGCTCCTCCTCCTCATCGTCGTCTGCTCCGCTCCCGCCACTGTGCATGAGATGTTGTCGCTCCGGCGCTGCTGATCCTCCGCCTTGTCGCATTCGATTCCTCGTCGCAGCCGCATCGTCTTCAAGATCGATGTCCAGACTGAAGTCGTTGGCCGCCCCGGCCCCTCCTTGCCCTCCTGCACCTGCGGCGCCGCCTCTTCTCCTCTGCTCCTGCTGGACCTGTCCTGCTCGACTCCCGCCGTAGGCTCCAGCCCCTCCTGCTCCTATAGCTCCTGGGTCAAGCTCAATACCTCTCGGCCTGCCAGTCCATGCATTGCGTCCGCTCCTCCTCACCACCGCCAGCAGTCTCATCAACTGCATCCCGTTCCTGAACACGAGCAGGAAGGAGTCGAAGAGCTCCTCCGATTTGCCAGTACGACCATGCTTTGCCTTCGGATTGTTTCGGTTGTAAGGCGAGCAGGTGTGGGAGAAGAAGATGATAAGGAGGGTGAGGGTGCAGAGTAGGACGAGGAAGAGGTCCAAAACATTGAATGTTGAGTGCCAGAATTGCTGCCAAACGCACCGCAAAGAGATGAATGAAGTGCTGTTAGTATGCATTCATGCTCTTTCTTCGCTACTTCTGCTGGGAACTCACCCTACCAAAGGCGACAAAGCGGACCCCGACCTCAACCACCAACACCACATTTACCAGCATCTCCACTATGTAGAAGACGTCACCCGGGCACTCATTGATCAGGCTGAGCAAGACGGTGAAGAGGGAAGCCAACGCCATGCTAGCATACAGGTAGAGGTAAGCCGTCGAGTGAACGAAGCGGTTTGCCACTCCCTTGAGAACCTCTGAGTTCTTCAAGCGATATTGTGAGGCTGAGCCTGACCATTGTGGGAGGGTGGAGGACGAGGAGGCTGAGGTGGTGGGTTGGTGCATGGCAGATGAGTCGAAGATGGTACCGTGACCCACTTGCTCGTTGCCTGGTGTGGAGCCGGGCATGCCGAGGGAGACGTGAGCGGCCATGTTCGGCTCTTAGTAGCAAGCTTTGTTGTGTTGAGGAGGATTGGATGGCAAGGGAAAGAGGGCAAATCGACATCGCCTCCCGTCCGTCCGCCCATCCGCACTTCGAGTCGAGTTGAGGTCTGTGCGAGAAAGTCGCGTGAGGCCCGAGATACGATTCAAGCTGCATCGAGACTACTGTATACGCCAGAGCTTGATGAGCACCTTCTCTGCGTCAATGCTGAGGCAACAAATGGTCCGAGAGATGGGAACAGAGAGCGCTTGGAACGCAATGAGAGACGAGCACAATGCAGAAGTGGAGATCGATACATTCTCCCGCCGTCTGTTTCTACTGAATTGGTATTGCTGATGCACAAATGGCTGCCGGAACGACTTGAGTCACCTCCTTCTTCTCTCCTCTCTCCCCCTCGTCATCTACACCATCCACGACTCTCCGCATCCACAGCTCGCTGACACGTTTGGATTGTCGAAGACGAACTTGGCGCTCAAAGAGTCCTACAATAGCGCACAGGAGGACAAGGAAGCACAGTCAGCGATGCCCTGCTTTCACTATCATCTTTGGTTTCGTGACTCGAACTCACCTCTTGCCAATCCATTACACTGCCGATGATACTGAAGAGGGCCTTCGAGTCGATGAGTACCTCAACGCCATCCTGCTTGACCTGTTCGTCGAACTTGCCCTTCTCCTGCGGTGTGATATACTCCAAATGGTAGCTCATACCTGCGCATCCCTTCTGCTTGACACCGATTCGGATCAATCGTGGACCTTGATCGGACTCAAGGAGGTCCCGTAGACGTTCCACGGCGGTTGGGGTCAGAGTCAGGGCGGCCTTCTTTGCACGGAAGGCACGGCCAGAGGTGGGCTTGGAGGTCGCTGGGGAGGGAGAGGAGGGGGTTGTGGACGCAGTCGCTTCTGGTGCTACGGCTTTCGGTGCTGATGATGATGCCGTGTCGGTCTCTTTGCCTTTAGTGGGTTGTTGAGTTCGAGGCCCGGCGGGGGAAGAGGTGGAGAGGGTTGCGCACGCTCCGTCCTCCTGTGAAGACGCAGTCGCCTTTGCTGCATTGCTTCTCTGCTCCCTCTCGATAGCAGCCTTGCTACTTTCTGCCGCTGGCTGCTGTTGGTGCGCATCAGCGTCCAGCCCAGCACCGAGCTGCGAAAAGGGGCTGTTGCTGCCGCTGCCTCGCGTCGACTTCTGCTTTCCTGGCCAAGACGCAGGGTTGGGCGGATCTGATGGTGACTTGACCACTGCGGGCTCGGCTTCCATGTGAGGTACCGTTGAAGGCTGTGACGGGTGAGGCTTGCGAAGCGCAGAGGAGGTGCTAAGAAGACGAAGGCAGGTGGCGGGAGTGGATCGCTGCGCTACCACTCGTCGTGTGGAGGAGGCGGCTGAGCAGCGCATCCACGCCGACAGTGAGGAGGATGCTGTCGCTGTGCGTATTGAAGATGAAGCGGCGGCCATCGTCACGATGTGAGATCAAGGGCAGGCGCGGAGTGATGGTGGTATTGATGGGAAAGAGGTGCAAGAGTGAATGAATCGTTGATTTGTCCCAGCCGGGCCTCCGCTTCGCCCGCCCGCCCGGACGGGTGGAGAGGGCGCGCGGCAGATGAGAAATGCAACCAGCGAGCCGCCTGTGGCCGAGAGATTGGCTCTGGCTTGCGAATCGACATTGGTTGTGCTCAGCGCTGAGAAAGGATTCCCACAAGTCAATTGTATGCTTCAATAAACAAGGAGAGACGGTGCCCTCTTATCGCGAAGGATACTTATTTGCCACTCTGTTGAGTCTGACGACAGTGGTGCTCCGTGGCCACGCTGTTGCCACCTCGAATAGCTGACTCGTCTTCAGCACTTCGTCAGCTCATTATTCATCGCAGCTGCCATGACGACCCAGTCATTCTACCTTCTTGTTGTCGCGCTCTCGCGCGGTTGATATCGTCTAGACGACCTTGGTTGGCTCGTATGAGCTGCTGGCTCGTGGCGTTTTGAGCCCCTTGCTCGGCATTCGGCGCTCGAGCTCGTGCTCTCGCTCGCTCTTCTGACACAGGCTCTCACGGGGCGGGGCCAAAGATGGAGCTTGCAGCTCTGCCGCCTCGGCCGCCCGCCAGACCGGCAATCCCGTTGCGTGACCTACTCAACCCTCCTCGTCACCAATAGCAAAGCGACTCTTGTTTCGTCATCCTCTCATCCTCCTTTCTCACCGTCGAATCAGGCACCAGCCCCCGCAGCTTCCGACGCCCGCCGAGTTGACGCCAAGAAACATTGCGGTACCTTTGCTCTCTCGTCACCCCGACGCTGCCCTCTCTACGCATCCCGCTATCAGCATGGCCTTCCTCCTTCCCTCCTCGCTCGTCGTCCTATCATAGGCTAGGCAAAGGCTCCGTCCTTTGCTTCGCATCCTGCCATTCGCGATATGGCAGCTACTATGGCTGATAGACCCAAGAGGGGCCTGCCAGGCGGCGGCTGGCTGAGCATGGCCCCTTCGGATGAGGCGCAGTCTCAGCCGGCAGCCTCATCCTCGTCATCGACGTCGTCTCCTCGCCGATCCAGCATACCCAAGCGTGCCACCTTCCAAGTTGGCGCTGACACCTCAACCATCAATACTCCAGTCACACCAGCATCCCCCTCCTCGAGCACAGCCCTGACCCCAGCCTTCGATGTACGAGCCAGCTTTGCGCCCCTCGTCTTTAAGCGGACAGCGCAGACAGCTTTACCTCGCGGTGAGCAACCCGTAGCTGCAGACTCCTCTTCTACAGCTGCTACCTCATCCTCGCTCATGGACATCGACGACGATGGGCAAGGCATCGAATTTGCCGGCCGCAAGTGGAAGGGCAAGACGGCTCACGCTGTAGAGCAGGAGATGGAAAAAGCGGGCGACGTCTCGGTCATGAGCTATGCGCCGGATGCAGTTTATCTAGCCAGTCGACTGCATGGACTGCAGAGGAACTTGGAAGCCGGAGGAGACGAAGCCAGAGGGAGACGATGGCTCGACTTTGGCGATGACGACCACGAGGATGCCGCTCCAGGCCTCGAAGCCCCCCTCGCCTCCTCGAGCCCGGTCACTACGCAGACAGACTCCTCGCGCATCCCCGCCACCCTTCCACCGCACATCACAGACTACCTGCGCCCGCCTACCGTAGTAGAACAGCCCGCCTCACCACCCCGCCTCTCGGCGGCGGCCAAGGCTGCCGCGCTGGACTCACGGGTCGAGATCCGCTTGCTACGACGCTCGGACCTCGAGCAGGTGCGCGACCTGCACTGCTTCCATGGAGATAGCGACAAGGTCGAGGCGGACCATTACGCCACCTCTGCGGCTTTCCTGCTGCGCTTGCTTGTGGATGAGCAGCACGTCTGTATCGTTGCCGTTGCAAAGCCGCTGCCAGAGCCAGAGGCGCCTCTTTCTTCGTTGGTGGCTCAGGCGCAGGCGAATCTGATCCCGCGATGTCCTCCGCCTAGCATGGATATGCCGCCGAGCTCGGCGCCGTACGTCTTTGCCGGACAGGGCATCACCTCGACTTCTCCCTTGCTCAAGCCGGTGGATGCGGATAGGAGGCGTCGTGGTGGTCGCCAATCGTCAAGAGCACCGTCGAGTCTGCTCGGTAGAGTGCCACCTGTGCTGGGCTCGATGGAAGAACAGAGCGACGATGAGCAAGATGATGGGAGCGATGCCGGCTCGACCGAAGTGGACATGGACGACTCGTCGGAGCGCTCATCGTCATCACCGCCGCAGAGCGCGGCCCCTACCTCTCTGTTCTCGACTTCACCCCGAGACGCTTTGCGGGAGCAGGCAGCACGCACGGCCACGTCGACCAGCAGTGGCCCCTCCTTGTCCTCTCCTTCAGGTATGGCCCCCAAGCGCGACTACACGGCTGCGACCGCCACGCCCGCGTCAGTCCCTTATCACGATATGGTGCTCGCAGGCCCAACGAACGAGGTGGCTCCTCCGCGTGCGCTGCGTGTCATGGTTCCGCCAGCGCCCGGCGCCAACCTCGAGTCAGAGACTATTCTCGGCGTGGCATCGGCCTCGATCAATATTCGTCCAGCCACCGAGTCGCTTTGGGGCGATGCGGATCCCACCAGTAAGCCACGCAAGGAGATTCATCTCCTCACGCTCTCGGTCAACAAGGCAGAGAGAGGCATCGGTCTCGGTGGTCGTCTACTCGACCAAGTCATCGAAGAAGCGCAACGACGTAATGTCCGCTCCGCATATCGCGCCGTTCTAGGCCGTACATACGGTGAAGTCTTCGCGGGCGGCAAGCAGCTGGATCGCACGCGCATATTCTTGGAGGTCCACCCGGACTCCAGTCACGCATTGGCGCTCTATCGAAGTAGAGGGTTCAAGCAGGTCGGCGATAGGCTGAAGGGATACTTCAGAGGGGACGTGAGGATTCCGACGGGCGTGAGGAGCCTTCCAGGAGGCAGCGATGCGCTGCTGCTTGAGAGGAGCGAGGAGCCCGATAGATTAGGCGCAGGTGTGACGGCGGGGACGTGAGCAGCAGTGACGGTTGGACTCGTTCTAAGGGCAGAAGGGGCAGTGCCAATACTACGCTGAATGCGCGACACCGACTCTGATAGATTGTTTGTTACGGACTCTAGGCTACTCTCATGGGGACTTGAAAGCTTCTTGTAATCTCGAATGCGATGCCATGCGAATCGCGCTCGCTGCGTTGCGTTGGTGTGACGTTGCTCGTCCTCGTTTCGATCATCTCATCGATTCACGCTCGCAGGTTGCGGGGGCGCAGGCGAGGCGGGCCAGGCGAGAGCGTGGAGAGTGGTGCAGTGCCTGCGAAAGTGTCAGTCGCATCGCAAGTCGCACCGAGGTGGAGAGAGCCGACAGTCGACGAGATGAATCAAGCGGCGGGCGGCGGAGGGGCGCACGGCAGGCATCGCAGCACGCTTCTGTTCGCCCTCATTACCCCACACCTACAATCACATCTTCGCAGCCCCTCCTGTCCAATCGTGTAGCCCTTCACATCGAGGCACCAATCGCAACCACTCTCTTTGCAACCCGTTCCTTTCGACTACCGCCCACGCGATGCTCTGCATCCCTACGCCAAACCATCGCGCCTTGGTGACCGGGTGCTACCCGCCGCCCAAGAAGCTTGCTGGCGTAGAGAAGCCGAACTCCAACGAGCTGGGCAAGCTTGTGTATTACGCCCAGTCGAAGCCCGCCAAGCTTTCGAAAGTGGGCAAAGTTCTCGAAGAGAGGGCAGCAAGCGATGCTCGCAATGTACCCTCGGGCGGGGAGAAGTCTCGATGCGGCCTCCTGATCACCCTCGCAATCCTCAAGAACCTCGTCACCGACTGCCGTAGGGATATCACCTACATTTCCAAGTCGGCGCAGGTAGTATTGCAGCACGCCGTCACCGCATCGGCCAAGGCAGGTGCAGGCGGACGTCGTGACTTGGAGCTCTCAGCGCGCGCCTCGAGCACCTTCTTCGCCTTTGCGTCAGCCATTGACCCATCGCGCTCCTCGGTTGAGGGCGACCTAGGCAACAGCTACCTGGCTCTACTTCGTGGTTTCAGCGAGATGGCAATGGAGACCATGCAGGACCAAGAGGATCAAAATCGTTTCCGCTTGATCGGCCTAGGCGCCCTCTCAGGGGCAGTCGGTTCAGACGCGTTGTACACGCCTTCGTTTGCTCAGCAGATCGAGGCAATCGTCCCTCCGCTCCTCGGAAACATTCAAGCCAGTATCTTGCCCCTCGAGGCTTTGGAGACAGAAGCCCAGAAGACGATCAGCGGCACGCCCTCCTTCTCCGAGTTCGCCTCCGCAACCCGCAAACGCCCAGGGCATCGTCGCGCCCCTTCCCTCTCGGGCCACATTGCAGGCGAAAAGGGGCCTGACCGCATTCAAGTGGTTTCAGCCTCAATGGGCATCCTTCAGTCCCTCTTCCGCCACGCGGATGCCACGCAGGTGCAAGAAGCCATGCGTCCAGTCTTCAAATGGATGGACGGGCGTGGTGGTTCGCCGCAGTGGGGCCAGGAAGACTGGGCCTGCTTCCTCGCCAAGACTCTCTCCCGCTCGACGGCCCTGCAATATCGCTTTGTTGTGCTCACGAGCTTCATCGAGTACCTGGTAGAACACTGCGAGGGCCCGCCACAGACCAAGCACGCCACGCTCCTTGCAATGATCACCGAGACGTTGCGCGCTAAAGACCTTACGCTCATCGGCCTCAGCACATCGGACGCTATGAACAATCTCGCAGGTTTGCTGGTCAGGCGCGTTCACTTCGACCTCAAGGACCCCTTGCTTCCGCAGATCGTCGAGGCCATCGAGTCGCTGGCCTCGCACGTCTACTACGCCGAGCAGCTGAACGATATGGCCGAGGAGCTCGTGGCGCGCATTGTTGCTCTCACGCAGCCCGAGACGGACGTAGGCGAGGCGACGAGGACCAGTCACTTGGGCAGGAGGGCGAGCGTGACGGCAAAGAGTGGCGAGGAGCAGCGGATGGAGAGTATTCGTACACTCTTGTTCGCCTTGACGAGGACGATTGTCGTGGCAAACACGGCGGGTGCCTCGGACGGAGAGGTTCGCCAGGCGATGGAGGAGGACCTGGAGAAACCTGCACCCAAGGGCAAGGATGCTGCGAAGACGCAAGCGCAGGCCAAGTTGGGCATCACGACTGCCGGGACTCGCTCACGTATCCAGCCCAACGTTCTCACGCCAACCGCAGCGCTGCTTGCATGCTCGGACGCTCCAGTTCGTCTTGCAGAGGCTCAGCTGCTTCTCACCTACCTGCAGCTCGAGGCGACCGAACAGCAGGACGCCTCTTCCTCTGAAATAGCCTCACTCGCCCACGGTGTAGCCGCCGCAGCTCACGTAGCCGCTTTGAGCTCCTCGCTGCGCTTGAGCAGCTCTGCAGCGAGCGCTCTGCAGACCGGCAACCCAATGGAAGCTCTCGTTGCCCTGGACAGGGGCGATGCGCGTGCCAAGGCCTCGACCGCAGCTCACTCCGCTGTCCCGCTGGACTACTCCAGTCTGGCCGAGGTGTTCACCCATCTTGTAGCACCACGAGGCGGAGGAACTGCTGCCGGCTTACTGGCAATCGTGCCAGCTCTCTTCTCCCTTGACAGGAGCGCAGCAACGAAGCTCGTACCGGACGCCGCCTCTCCTGCCATCGTAGCGCAGCGACGTCGGGCCTGCCGCCTGGTACTGGCGAAGGTTTGGTCGACCATTGGTCAGGAATGGAACATCTCGCCTGCGTCAAAAGAGGCAAAGGCAGTTCTCTCCGCCCTTCCCTCGAACCAATTGCCACCTGTACCTGCCCCTCACCCGTCGCTGAACCTGGCTGCGGAGACGGAGCTCTTTCCAGAGTCTGGTGCCAATGGGGAAGGCAGCGGAGCCGCCTCAGAGTGTTTCGGCAAGAGCGGGCTAGTCAAGGCTATAGCAGCGAGTCAGGAGGTGCAAGACTCTACCGGCCTCTCTGCAGCGGCAATCGAGCGCTGGCTCCTCCGTGACTGGAGTGTCAGCATTGCAGTGGACGACGCGAATGTTGGTGCCACGCCATATGCAGCTGATCACCACGGTGAAGGGGATGGAGATGGATTGGGTGGTGCGAGCGGGGTCTCTAGGATCCAAATTCGATCGGCTGCTTCTGGCGCTGGAGCTGGTCGAGCTGGAGCTGGAGCAGGAGCAGGTGCTGCTTCCACGAGGTCGGGCGTGGAGGACTTGCGCCAAGCCCTGGGCAGCAGGACGTACGGTGGGTCAGCGAGCGTGAAGCGCGCCATCTCGCCTACTGCGGCCTCTGGTGTAGGCAAGGGGATGCCTGCGCCTGCCCTTCCCGGCCTCAATGGTGGGGACAACGGAGCTTCAGCCCCTCCCAATGGCCCTACGTCAGCAGCAGAGCGCAGAGCGAGCAAGCGGGCCTCGCGCATTCATTCGTCCAGTGCCGGCGGCGTGGGTGCAAGCCCTTCGAAGGGCAAAGGAGCAGGTGCGACTCCCGGCGTGGGCGGGCTGCTGGATAGCTTGGGAATCGCTTCGACTGTGGAGGAGCAGGAGCAACACAAGCCGGCGCTCGTGGCACCCCATGCCGCTTGATGCGCTGCGTGTATACGCTGAGCTCCTTTTGCCAGATACCCTTCTCCTTCTCTTCTTGACGCCCGGCTACTAGCCACTTTCCTGTTTGGTCTCATTTGAACTTCTTGCCTTGTATATCTCTTTGGACCATCCATCGACACACGCTCCTTGCAATTGCATTCTCATCTCGTTCCTCACCCTGTCGTGTGTGCACGCCGCGCTCGAAGAGGACCCTTGACTCGTGCGTCTTGGCTGACTCGTCCTGGAGTGCCCCCGCCTGTCCGAGGAAGCGTCAGACGCGCGTGTGCGTGCGGTGCATGCATTCGCACCTGCTTCCCTTCTCTCCACTCGTATCATCATCATCATCGTCGCCACAGCCGCAAATGCTCATAAGAATACACTGAGACTACGAGAGCGACCATGTCCATTGACGACAACAACAGCATAGCAAGGGCAGCCCAGCCAACTGCGGCGGCGGTCAGGTGAGTTTCCTCCTCCACGCTCATTGTCGCGCTTTTGCTCACTGCATCGTCCGCCCTTCCCCACATTGCATTGACGCCAGCAGCAGTAGCACCGGTAGCCCTGCAGCGCAAGCTCATCTTCTGCGCAGATCAAGCGGCAGCGGCGGCAACAACAACAGCAAGACGGTCATCTCCTCACGCTCCTCCCCCTCGCCGCTCCCTCACGCTCTCTCTTCCTCGTCATCCAGCTCCTCGCCCCTTCCTTCACCCCGCTCCTTCTCCCCTATCCACCCCGAGCCAGACAAGCGCGGCAACCTTGAGTACAAGCTACGCATCCTACCTGTCTCAGCGAACCGGTTCTCGCGGTTGGTCACGCAGCTGAAATGGCGACTAGCGGAGGGTGGCGGGCTTGCGGTTTATGAGATCGGGGTGCTCGATGATGGGACCTTGATTGGGCTGCCAAGGGATGAGATGCGTTGCAGCCTGGCGCAATTGGCGCTCATGGGAAGAGAGCTGGGGGCAAGCTGTGAGGTGAGGAGATGCATCGTGGTGGAGAGGGGTGGCAGTGGGGCTCAGGACGTGGAAGGGGAGGAGACGGCAGTCAGCTCTTCGTCGCTTCCTGCGGCTGACGCAGAGGGGCCAGAGGTCCTTCCCTCGCCGGATCATTTGGTGCCATATCGGCATCGTCTGGGCAGCTCGTCAAAAAATCAGTCGCCTGGCTTGGACAACATCGTAGGGCTGCGTTCTCTCAACAATGCTGAGGCGGCCAATCTGCTGGGCCATGCAACCGATGCAACCACGCAGCATTCGTCCTCGTGGAGATATGAAATCGCCCCGCATCTCAGCGACTCGGGCAATGGGGACACCACGGTCGACGCAGAGGATGAGGATAGCGGCAGCGAGGTTGCACACGATGATGAGGAGGAGCAGGATGATGATGGATTTGCATTCTCGCTGAGCCTCAGCGATGACGACACGACCGCCCCACCAGCGTCGACATCACCCTCGCTGCCACGGAAGAATGGACCAGCAGACTCTGCATCACGCCCTCGACGAACTTCAAAAAGCGTAAGCAACTCGCCTTGGCAGAGATTCTCATCGCCTGCAACGACCAATGTGGCCTCACCAGTGCTTCAGCCAGCAACAACGCCGCGGACAACACCAGCTGCGACTATTAGCAGCAGCGTGAATAGTGGTTCTGAGGCGCAAGACGGCGCTTGCTCTTCCTCGCCCACCTCGACTCCTCCTCTGGACGCGCACGGAGACGAGTCACCGTCACCACGAGGTGCGACCTCTCCCTCATCCTCGCGCGGAGCCTCGCCATTCTCAACAAGGCGCGAGCCCAAAGCGATAGCGACCAAGCCTATCGCTCCGCCAACGAAGTATGCCTTCACTGATCTCGCAGGGATGGACGTAGAGGGGGTGCTCACATTCGCACTGCCCCCGCCGCCCTCAAAGGAGGAGGCGCCTCGAGAGTCGGGGGCTGTAGCGAGGAGGAGAAGACAGAGGGAGGCGAAGCGGTTAGCGAGGCTGAACAATATGAGCAACGGTCAGGCACCGGAGCCAGCGAATGCGAGCGTACCTCCTGCAGCGAACGACAGTCAAGTGTCGCATTCACCCTCTCCTCAATCGCACTCGATGACCAGCAAGTCGCTTGCGAAAGGCCCCTCCTACTTTCCGCACACCGGCCCCACGCCCTCACCAAGCCCGGTTGCAGGCAGCAGAGCAACGCCTCCCCTCTCGGCACCAGAAGAAGTGCTCCGCCTGTCGCAAGAACGCAAATCGACCAAACGCTCGCATCAGCGACGCTCCAAGGGCGGGGACGGCAGCGATGCTATACTGAGCGGCGCCAAGCTAGAGCGTCGTGCCCGTCGTGTGGCAGAGCACAAGGCGAAGGAGCGTGAGGGTGAAGGCATTTTATTGGCAATGGACTGCGACCACCTGGATGATGCATTCGACTTCGCTGGGCCCAGCGGCGGGAAGAGCCGTCAAGAGTGGTGGCGCTTCAGCGGCAAGTCACTCGAGGCGGACCTCCCCTTCTTCGATCCGACCAGGCAGGCCTGGGTGAGGGACGTGGCTGTCTGGCTTACCGTCGATGAGGTCTTCGAACTGGCCCGCTCGTGGCACCCCGATGCGGCTGTGAAACTGGGCAGGTCGGGCGAGGGCAAGGAGATCGGGAGCGATGCAGATGAGCATGCACGTGACGGAGAGGATGGTCATGGAGACAACAACGCTGGACCGTCCACCGAGGGCAAGGAGGAAGAGAAAATCAGCCGCAAGTCGCAAGGACGTCGGCGCCGCAAGGAGAAGAAAAAGGTCGAGGCACAGCTCCGCTTAGCAGCAGAGTCCGCCGCTCTCTCGGGTGGGTATCATCCGCCTGCTTCCCAGCCCTCATCCGACTCCTCCAACTACCCTCCTGGGTACGTAGCTCGCCCCTCCTACCTGCCTCCGCCGACTTCCGCCGTCGCCATCCCGCCTCTAGGCTCGAAGCCGAGGCATAGACACAGGCATCGAGGCCGCAACTCCCTCGCCGGTCCAGACTCTGGTTCCTCGCCCGCTTCCCACCCGCTGGCTCGCAGTCAAACTTACGGCGAAGACGAGGACGAAGACGAGGACAGCTTCAGCGTTGGCCTCACACTGAACATCGACGATTATGACTCGATGGCTGCGGCGCGCAAGCATGCTCCTGCTGCTCCTGGCTCGGCAGCAAGCCCGTCGCCCTCCAGCTCGACGACAACTACAGGGACAACTACGGGGATGATGGCTCGAGTGAATGGGGCGGCAGAGGAAATGACGGGGGGGAGCGGGGGGAGAGACGCAGAGCAACCAGCTCAACTCCGCTTCATAGTTGAGGCAGTTCTTTCGCTCAATGCTTTGAGGCGAGGTCGCCACCAGTAGGATGGAGAGAGGCTTGCTCAGTATCATCATCGCCCGTGAATCTTTATCCCATCCAGCCATGCCAGAAGCTCCTGCTCTTCTTGCATCAAATCAATACCATGCGTCACTCGAGTCTACTTTGGCAGTGCGGCAGGCAAGACTGAAGCGAGGTTGAAAGCTACGGCAACCACAATGCGTAATCTAGGGCAGGTAGACGCGACTGAACCCCCTGACCTTTGCCCTACAAGTAGGGCAGTGGTGCATTCCACCAACGCCCCCGTCTCCTCCGCCGCCCTCCCGTGCAGCACCACCTTTGGCTCCGGGGCGGCTAGCCAGCTCCTCCCTACAGCCATCGCAGAGTGCAAGGCAGCGACAGGGCCAGAAGAGGACTGTACGCTCCTCGTAGCAGCAGACAACGCAAAGACGACGGCGCGAGCGCTCCTCTTCGTCTTCGTCCTCGCCACTGGGTGGATGCGGGCGTCGTCGTGCGAGCAGGACGTCCCGAAGCCGTTGAGACTCGGGGTCTGCTGACACGGCAGGGGAGATGGCCGAAGAAGATGAGGCGAGCACGGTCGGCGCTGAGGAGCCAGGCCCAAGCAGAGCGCGATATCTCGCTCTAGTGAGGGGTACTTCTTCCCGTGATGAGACATGGGCGAGGAGTACCTGGGAGAAGGCGTCGCCCTCACCGTCGTGATGAGTTGCCGCCCCGCTCGCCGGGCCGAAGTCGAGCCGGGCCAGTTGGAGAAGAGAGAGCGACTCGTCAGGGTCTTGGACGTCTTCCGGTGTTGGTGTTGGGCTGAAGACGGAGCGTGATCTTGAGCGGGACCGCGAGCGTGCGCGAGACTCGTCATCGACCATGCTGGTGACGCTTTCGAGATCGTCCTCGTCCTCGCCCTCGCCGTCTGTCCAGTCTTCATCGGACTCGTCCTCATCCTCATCGATGGCTAAGTCAGCGCCGCGTTGGCTGCCGCTGCGTCGCAGATAGTTCCACAGCCGAGCATCAATGCCCAGCTCTTCGGCGCTTGGCGCCGTGCTCGCGCTTCCACCAGCAAGAAATGTTGGTCCTAACGACGTCGCTGTATCTCTCGAAGAAGAGGCTGCCGCATTCCTCTCTCTCATGACCCTCCAGGCCACCTCAGTCGCATCCTCCCCATCCGCCACCCGTACCCCATTGCGCTCAAGCATGGCCTTCAAGGCCTCATCCTTCAGCTTCTTCTTTCTCTCTTCCTCCTCCCTCTTGCTCTGCAGGCGTACTTCACGCTCACGCTCTCCATTTTGGCCGTGCCATGCTAGTCGAGCCCAGCGAGGCAATTTGCGTACCCATGCAGGGCAGCGAGGAAGGATCGGCCGGATGAATCGCGTGTACATGGCGCGAGTGATGTGGGCTAGGACGGAGTAGAGGGAGAAGAGGAAGCGCTTCACTTCTCTCCACTTGGTCGGGGAGAGGAGAAGGGCACTCTCGTACGTGCTGCCACCCTTGTACGCTCCACTACCATCCGCTCCCTTCCCCTCACGCGGGATGGTCATCCTGATTTCGTTGTGCATCCCCTCTGCACCCGGGCCCTTGATAAGCCCATCGAGCCCGACCCGCACTCGCGCGCCACGCTCTACTCCACTGCTTGTACGCGTGACATCATCGTCTACCTCGACGTAGGTGCGCTCAGGCACCTCGATGGCCACCATTTCCCGTGACAGGCCGCTCTGGCGCGTCGACTGTAGGCAGGCGGTTCCCAGCTTGCAGAGAGCGAGGGAGAAGTCGTCGTCTCTACTTGGCAGATTGGAGGATGAGAATACCAGTCGGCCCCAGTCTATTGTGCCCCACCCGCCGGCTTGTTGTGAGGGAGCCTCCGTGAGGAGTATGGTGAGGGCATGCAGGAAGACGGTCAATCCGATCACGGCCATGAGGCAAAGCTCTGGCAGCCTGTCGAACCCGACAAAGAAGAGCGTGCTCGACGAGAGGGGACGCGGTACGCCATTTTCTGCGAGGACCCAGTGAAGGATTCCCGTCAAGCCGAAGAAGGTCGTAATGCTCAGCCGTCTGAGCGGAGGGCGTTGGAAAGTGGCACTGAGTGCGAGAGTGAACACCTCTGCGATTTGCAGGAAGACGAAGAGGAAGTAGTGGACGTTGAATGTCAAGTGAGGCAGCGATGTATGCGCCTGAATCGTGAGGGCGAATCCGACCAAGTTGAAGGAAGGGCTCGGGTCTGAAACGCCTTCCAGGGTGCGGACGAGCGTGTCCGTCGCGACGCTTATGCAGGCGGCGAGGTGGGTGAGCCACATGAGCTCTTTGTCGCGATTCTGCTGGACGAGGAAAGCTCCGTGCTGCGCTGGAGACTGCTGCATGCTGTTGGGAAGAAGATGGAGGAGAGTGCGAGCCAGCCAGCCGCTGTTGGTATCTGAGGATGCGGCTGCTGACCAGAGCTGAAGGACTCTTGCTCCTTGGCTCACCGTTACGTAGGCCAAGGCGAGGAGAGCAGGAAGGCGGACGAGGAGCCGCTTCCATGAGACGAGCCGTGCAGGGCGTGAACGCGGTCTGCATACATGCTGTATTCGGTTGGCCAGAATACCAATGACGACGAGGGAGAGGGCATAGCGAGAGTAAAGGAAATGCCACATCGGCCCTCCTCCAGCTGCAGCTGCCGCGTCGTCGATAGTGGCAGGTTCGAGACCGTTGCCGCCAAGCTGACGCCACTCAGCGTCACTGCCAGTGGTAGGCAACGGCCCGTCCGCAGCAGCGCCGCCGACGAAGCCCGCAACGACGTCCTCGCCAGCGAGCGGCGAGGGTGCCGAAGCAGGCGAGTCTCCCTGGTCGAGGCTACCACGACCGAAGGAGTCGCCCGAGAAGAGGCGTCCCGGTGAGAGGAGCCAGCCAAAGTCGAGCATGTCCATGGCAATGAGCGTGAATGCCACGGACGAGGTTGATCAAGAAGGGGGACGAGGTGATGTCTTGTGAGGAGCGGAGAGGAGTTGCTCAGCGCCACGCCCACCGGACCGACACAAGGCGGCAAGCGGCGACTCCACGCAGGAGACCAGCCGCGCCACGCGAGCGGGGTTTGGTGAAACACACGACACAGCCGCGTCTATAGGGCGAGACCAACACCTGCCGCCTGCGCTTCACAAAGTTCAAGACGTCCATTGCAGGGCAGTCACTAGCAGAGAAGCACGTTCACACAACAGCAAAGCGAGCCTCAAACGCCTCGGCGCTCCCACCGACGACTCCAAAGGTCCGTTGTGTCACCCTACCCAACGCTTCCAGTTGAGCAATGACGTCCTTCATCGCCAAGCAGTACGAGTAGAAGAGCAGAAATTCCGCGCTACCACGCACAGCTCGACGCTGTACGACTGGGAGAGCTCGTACTGCGGTCAATAGGTCTTGCCGACTGCGCTCTGCCGGAGGTAAGTATGGAGGGAGTGGCGTCTTGAGGTCCATGGCTGAGCCAAGAAGGTGGAAGAAGAGCTGGGCGCACGACAGGGGAATGAAGTCAGCTTCGCCATTCCACGATAGTCATATCATGACTGCTGTATCGCGGTCACTCACTAGGACGTTGCCCACCATCTCCCTCCTCCACGGGTTCACAGGCAGGAGCCAATCCTTCGTTACGCTCGTGGCCCACTCGCTTCTCCGAGTAACACAGCGCATGGCGTGAAGCTTGTCAAGAATCTTGGTGCAGCATGCCAGATACTCTTTGTACGACTGGACAGGGAAAGGCCCCTTCAAGCGTGGCTCGTGTTTCGTCTGAGCCAGAAGGGATTCGAGGGTGAGGAGGCGGAATCGGAGGAAGAGGTCCATCTGCTGAAGGGGATCTTGAGCTGCTGTGGAGCTAGGAAGGAGCGGCTGCGATTCCAAAGCAGCAATCGTCCCATCACGTGGCTCTCTTGTCGTCTGCTGGCCTTCAGAGATGGTAGTCACGATCCGCTGATAGAGCCATGCCATCTTGAAGAGCGCATCGGATAGCCCGACGGCCAACTCGCGCCTCGCCTCATTTGGCCAGAGCAAATGATTGAGTGTAGTAGCCCATACCACTCCCACTGCTACCGCAACCGTCCTCTGAAAGCCGATGTGCTCTGCTTCTACATCCGTCTTTCTCAGATTGAAAGCGTAGAGGCACGTCAAGTTGAAGGTGAGCAGCACAAAGCGACCGGAAGAGGCAAGGTGCGGCTTGCCTACGATATAGCGGAAGCAAGGAATGGAGAAGATGGCGCCTAGGATGGGTAAGATCAGGGGATCGTCCCGGAAGAGGGCATATACTCCGATGGCGACTAGCGCACCAAAGACTGTGCCGACCAAGCGGTGCAGGCTCATCTGGTTGCTCTGCCCAACAGTTGGGCTGAGCACAACCATGAAGGACACGAGAGCCCATTGCCCTTGATACTCTTTGAACGTGGGACGCGTGCTATGGATGAATGCGGGGCAAGCAAGCAAAGCAGCGCCTGCCCCCGCTTTGATCGCGTATTTGACGTCGCGCTGACGGAGGAATTGACCGATCGACCACAGCCAGCGGGAACTGCGCTGAGAATACGTGATAGCGCGAGGAGTCTGAGCTGTGTCCTCTGTGTGGCGAGAGTGGATGGGGAAGCCCGTCGAGGTGGGAAGGTCCAGCGAAAAGAGGCTGAGAATCTTCTGTCTGAGTGAGCGAGCGCGGGTTTGGCGGCGGCGACGACGGCCACATAGAGGCCACAGTAGCCAGCTATACGTTCCCGCACCGTCCTCCTCCTTGAATTGTCGCATTGCCTTGACGAGCGTCTGCAACTCCTGCGTGAGTTCTTCGAGACTGAAAAGGAAAAAGAAGACGACAAGGACAGCCTCGTCTTGTGTGGTTGCTGCGCGTTCTACGCCAGCCGAGTCTCCGTTCTGCGGCGTGCTGCCTTCCTCCGGCTCGATAGTGTTGACTCTCTTCATCGCTACGGTCTGCTCGTGCTGGAATCGGCGCAGAGCTGTGTTGAGGTCCTGCTCCAGGTCGTCGAAGAGGGAGGAGGACGGCATCAAGCCCTTTGTGTTGCTCTGCACGCTCGTTTCGAGGACATGAAGTGTGCGAGCACAGCTGAAGACGAGGCTGCGCATGTGCGGTCCAATGGCATCAAGGAAGCGTGTAAAGGTGGTGTTGCTAGCCTGACCTTCGCTACTAGCGCTGTCCTTGCGCTTGGCCAGGATGTCGTGCTGCAACCCGCAACTACTCCTCAACCCTCCAAAATGCTGCCCAAGTCTCTGTAGACACCCAACAATCTCCACTAGCACCTCCGTCCTATCCCTTATCCTCCTATCAAACGCCTGCTCATACTTTGCCTCTGACAAGTTGCGCTGTAGCGACGTGAAGGCTGTGTGGTGCGCGTGAATGGCTGCATTCAAGCGCTGTGAGCCGACGTGGATCTCGGTGACGTCGTCGAGTAGGAAGGTGCGAGTGAGGGTTTTGAGCAGCGTGGCATAGGCGTCCAGGACGCGCGAGGTGTCGTTGAGTAGGGAAGTAGTAGCGGACCGCGGCCAGATGAGGAAGCAGACCAGATTAGAGACTAGGGTGCCAGCGAGGACGACGAGGCTGGAGGAGGGGATGGGAGGGATCAGTCTGCGATGGTCAGATGCGATGAGCTCGTTGCCTTCGCCGCACTTACGCTACTTGCCACACCTTGTCCGTCTCAAACCGGCCCAAGTGCGTCGAACCCTCTTTGACCATGACGGTGAACGTCGAGACAAAGACGAGGGAGCAAGCCGTGTTGAATGTCGGCTTGCCGACTTTCACCTTCGCCCAACCAACGAGGGCCATGCCACCGCCGAGGAACAAGACGACTGAGAGGACGTTGCTGAAGTTCGGGTGTCCTAGATCGTGCAGCCACTCGGCCACGAGCATGCTGGACAAGCTGAGTGCGATGGAATACGTGAGGGCAATTGCAGCGAAGATGTCGGCCTCGAGCATGCTGCCAAAGGAGCGTGCAGGCATAAAGTAGACGCTGACCGTCGCGATCATGTGCAGATTAGAAAAAGGTACCGGATTGGCTGGGTCGTGGTTGGGGAGTAGGTGGGCCATCGTGATAGAGAGGAAGGAGGAGTAGGTAAAGAGGGAGGAAAGAAAGTAGGCCACGACGCACTTTGTGACACCCTTGAAGAGTGGGGACGGAGTTCGCCAGGAAGACAGCCAAGGTTGGACCTGCGTACTCTTGGGCTCTTGGGAGTTGTTGATCGGAGCTCCCTTCCTCTCATCTTCGTCATCGTCGTCGCTGTCACTGTCGCTGTCGCTGTCGAGGAGGTGTTTGTCGTCGGCATACTCCAGCGGGTCTTTGCCGTAGGGGATCGCGTCCAGATCGTCATTGAGCGTACTTTGCGGCTCATCAACGACGATCGTACTGCCCATTGCCCTGTCTGGTGCTGGACTGGGCGATCGCAGTCGCGACTCGCTCAAAGTGCTTTGCCCGGCGCCCTCATCACCGGCCGCACCATCTCTTTGTCGCCGTCGAGCTCGTCTCTCTCTCTGTGCCTCCCTCTGATCATCTCCCAGCAGGTGCGCCAGGGGCTCCCATCGCTCCACGCCACTTAATGGCCTTCTGTCGCCCGGTCGCCCCTGCTGCTGCTGGCGTTGCTGGCTGGAACTGGCCTTCCTCTTTGCTGACCCCAAGAGCGGCTGATCGTTCATGCCCTCATCATCCACACGTCCCCCGCTGAGCGATTGGTCGTCTGATGCGCGTGCATGACGCTGGAGCTCTTTTCGGTTCCGTTTCCGGGTCTCTTTGTCGAGCGTAGTGTTGGCTCTGAGCGCTGCGGAGGTGTTGATTGTCGAGCGGAGGCGCGCCCACTGCGAGCCGGCTGAGCTGCTCGTGGGAATTGAGGAGGGCTCAGCCATGCCAAGGGCGCTCAAATGAGACGTGTTGGGATTAGAGGGATTCGCAATTGGCTCCATGTCGAGTCGTGGGCATGGTGATGAGGATAGAGTGAGAAGAAGGGATGCAAGGCCGCATTGCTCTCACTTTTCTCGACTTGAATCAGGGGTCCGATCTCGTCTCCATCCGTCCGCCTGCACGGGCCTCCCGATCCTTGTGACTTCAGTGAAATTGACTTTATGACCATTTCAAGAGCAGGACAACAAGAGCAGACAATCAAAGGTAGCAAGACACGTCACGAACAGAAAAGAACCCTGTACAAGTCCACATCTATGCAGCCTCGCCGCCTGTCTTCCCGTAGAACAGCTCATCCGGCGTCTGCAGCGCCCCAAGAGCCCTCCTCTGGTGCTTTGTGAGGAATGTCAGTCCAACCTGGTAACTAGCGTTGGTCCACCCGAATCCATTGGAGTTCTTGTATTTGAAGTCGATGCCCTGATTGCCGTACTCGGCAGCCACCATGTGGGAGAGCTTGACCGCGTCGAACTTCTCGGGTACCACGCCGTTGAAGTTGGAAAAGGCCGAGGTCATGAGGTAGAGCCAGCGGTACGCGAGACGACGGGCCTCTTCGAGGTAGCCATATCGCTCCAGCCCGACCCAGGCGAGCATCTGGTGGGGTGGCCAAGCGAAGGGGTAGTCCCATTGACGATTAGGGCGGTCCAAGGTGATCTTGCCGCGAGAGTCTTCCGTGCCTGGGATCAGCCCTCCCTGGACCTCGAAACGCTTGAGCGACTGGTGGACCAGCTTGGATGCCTGCGACTCGGAAGACATTCCAGCCCACATGGCCCAGTAGCAGGTGACGGACTCGTAGACAGATTGTTCTTCCTTGACGGTGTCGTAGTCATAGTACAGGCCCATGCCCTCGTTCCAGCAGTACTTGTCCACCTGCTGCTTACGGTACGCTGCGCGGGCGAACCACTCGCGGGAGGTCTGTGGGGCCTTCGTGGAGAAGGAGGGCTTGGCCGGCTGCCCCTGAGGAGCAAGCGAGGGCGGTAGAGGGCCGAGCAGCTCAAATTCGTCTTCGAGCATGAGCTCATCGTCGAAGAGCTCGCGAATGGCGGTAGCGATGTCGACCTCGTACTTGTAGAGGAGGGCATTGAGGTCCACCGTAGCCATGTTGGCGCAACGCTTCTCGAGACGGTAGGTGGTGTCGTGGCCAGACTCGCGCACGGCGCGGTCGTGCATGAAGTACTCGTCGAGCTCAGGCTCGAGAACCTCGCCGTAATTGTACTTGCGCGTGAACTCGTTGACGCTCAAGCCGTGCTTCTCGGCGTACGGGCGCAGAACGTGGGTAAAGTGGCTAGCCTCGGTCTCGGGTGGCACACCGCGCCCCTCAGGGCGGTAGCGGCTGAGGCCGGTCTTGGGGTCGCGACGAGGCTGGCACGCCCAGACGGTATGGTATTCCTTGATTGCGGCCTGGATAGCGCGCTTCAACCATGCCTTATTCTCGTCTTCCTTTTCGGGATTGAGGCGAGAGTAGACTTGCAGAGCCATGTCGGTAAGGAAGGGCGGTTGAGAGCGCATGAGGTAGTACGTGCGGTTGCCGTTGAGAATCTTGCCGTAGTGCTTGATCTCGAAGATGAAGTGGTCCACGGTGCCCTGCGCCATCTCGACCATGTTGTCCACCACGAGACCAAGGGAGATGAAGTAACTGCGTGTGCAAGGGTGAAGCCATTAGCCTCGAAACTCATCGGCATGGCAACCAGCGTTGGTTCCTGCGCCGTGCTACTCACGAATCCCAATTGTAGAGCTCATTGAAGCGAGCGCCGGGAACGATGAACGGGACGCCCTCGAGCGTCTTCTCGCCATCTTCAGTCGTGACCTCCTTCATGAGGAGAGCAAGTAGACCGGGCCGCTCATTGAGATCGCGAGTGTAGTCTGCCGTAAGAACCTTGGGCAGGATCTCGACGGTGAGATTGAAGTCCGGGTTCTTGGCTGCCCAGGCTTGGTAATACTCGATCTGCGCCGTCTCCGAGGCAGGGACAAAGATGCGCGGCGACTGGCAGCGGGAGGCGAGGCGAGGGTTAGTACTCATGCACGTATCCTGACGTTGCTTTGCTCCGCTGGCTCACCTGACTCTTCGAACGATTCTTGGGGTCGTTGAGGATACGTTCCAGCGCCGAGCCGTCGATGCGGCGAGTAAGATTGTGCCAGAAGGTCTGGCTGATCATGCGCGAGAGTCGGTCGACAGGATTCTCGTTCAATCGCGACTCGTCCAATACAATTCTCTTTCTGCCGTGCTCGCGGGCAAGGGCCAACTCCTGCAGAAGATTGGACAGCATGTAATGACCGCGCACCTCGACGCCGCGGTAACCATTCGAGGTGGCGGTACCGAGCGACAGTACCTTTGGTCCGCTGTCAGTTACACTGATCTGGAAATTACCGTCCGTGTCCTCCTGCTCGAGCACAAGCTTCATTGTCTCCTCGACGTCGACGATGAAGCGACGCGGGCTTTCCTGGATGGCATCGTGGCTGAGTCGTCGCTGTCGAATGATGCGGTCATCGTTCATGAGCTGGGGGCGTCGCTTCTGCTGAGCCATGGAGTATGTACGAATGATTCCGCGGTTGCGAGTAGGGATGGAGCGATCGCTAGATGAGCGCAGGATGGCGCCGATCTCTTCGTCCATACGGGCAGCTTCCTCGCCGTAGGCAATGTCCGGATTGGCAAGGCTGGAGACCTCTACATGACGCTGGCTGCCGCCGGCTGGACCAAGCTTCGGGCGCAGAGGCAGTCCCGCAGCTTGAAAGGCGTCGGCGGTAGGCTGCGAAACGCCCGTGCCTGCGCCCGTAGCCGATCCTGCGCGGACGTGAGTGCGCTTCTGGATGTGAGGACCAGGACCGATGCCGGGAGTCTCGGCGTCCTCGTCCTCAGACCCCTCCTCGATGGTCTCTGACGAGTACGAGGCATGGCCGATGGATTGGCGGCGAATAGACTCGGCCAGGGCGGCCACATCTTGGTTCTTGGTGAATGGGTTCGAGCCGCGACGTGACGCCGACGCCGCGGATGAGGATGACGGTGTGCGGCGAGGTGATGTTGGGTCTGCCATGATTGCGCGGGAAGAGGGAGATGTGGATAGACGATGAAGGGTAAGAAGGACCAGTCTCTGCCAGCGAAAGAGGCTGTGATGGTCAAGAGTCAAGCTTGGCGGCTGTCATTTCCCCGCCTTCGCAATCAAGCTCAGACTCGCCGGCCTGGCGCCCCCTCGCTGGGCGGCGTCAAGTCGCAGCCAATCCTCCGAGCTCAAGCCACGCTCGGACCACCGCCGCGAGAGCCACGCGAGGCGGCTGTCGCGTGCACGTCAAGGTGGGCCTAGGATACTCGCGACTATGGGCTGATACGAGCTCGTGGGCACGCGGGGATGATGATTCTACATGAGAAGATGACTATAAACGATATTTGACTGCTCTATGCGTGCTGGATATTCTAGACGCTTGGTTGGCCATCCCACCAACTCGCCACTCGCCTTCTCAACTCCCTGCGAATCCTCTTCTTCTCCTCTGCAGCTCCACCTCCCCCTTCGCCTTCGCCCGACATGATGCTCTTGTTCTCCTGCGCTCGCCTCACGAGATACGGCATGACCTTGTCAAACGAGCCGTAGGGCAAGTACTTGAGAGTGGTAGGGCTTCCTTCCTCCGCGATGAGGTGGTTGGCCAGCTTGTCAGTCACGTCGTCTGCCATCCCTGCCAGCTGGGCGAAGGAGACGAGGTTGCACGCAGAGGAGCGGAGAACGAGGGTTGTGTGCGAGGATTCATCCGCGCGAGGCTGAGGGTGGGCGAGACCTTGATCGCGGAGGAGATCGAAGATGAGCGAGACGCTGGAGCGATTGTGCGTAGCGAAGATTGCGCCTACTTCTGCGGCGCCTGTGCCCTGGACTTGAGCTGCCAATGCGTCGACCAGCAGGCGAGAGCAGGTGTCGAAGCATTGGTCTGTCTCGAGCTTTGTGCTCCATGCGGGGCTTGTGAATCCTCCCACATTCGCGGCCTTGTGCTCGGCAGTCACGTACGCTCCCCTCACGACCTTGACGCCCAGGCTGTAGTTGCGAGCGTGGGCGTCTGCGAGCATGGCACGCAAGAAGGGCTCCGATCGGCGCAGTGACGTCTGGAGTGTGATGTAGAAGGTCGGAGGGGCCGATGGCGAGTCGATGTGGTTGAATTCGCGGGAGAGCTCCAGACTCAAGAGGTCGATGGCCGGCTGCCAAAGCGTGAGGAGAAGAAACGTTAGCCCCGCACAATCGTTCGTTCTCTGCGACGTCAACGCACCTGAATTGCGGTCCACTCGGCGTCTATGACGACCTTTGTCCTGCCTTCCTTGGCCCGGTGCCCGATCTTCCTCATGGCCTCGAGAAGCTCGTACATCGCAAATGCGTCGTGGGAGCTGACGTTGAGCGTCTTCTCTGAGAGAGCGCCATCGAGGGCTGTGACGGCATTGTGACTCTGATCCGTGAAGAGGCGGTTGGCTACGATGGCGTCTGACACTCGACGCAGAGCAGCGGGGTCTTTGAGCAGGCCTGAAACCTTGAGCGCTACGGCAGGTGAGTGCGTGCCAGCCTGGCTGAGCGAGGTCGCAAAGTCGACGCTACGGTAAACCTCCTCAACCAAGTCGGTGTGCAGGTGCGCCGCTCCCGCCTCCGGAGCGCCACTGTGGCCCCCCTCACTGGGCTCGGCCTCTACGGAATATACAATGAGCGCGCCTACACGACGCGATGCCAGACGATCCAGCGTGCCGCGCAGCTCCTCAAGGGTCTCGCCCCCGCAGAATTGCTGAAAGAATGTGGCGCGGATGACTGCGGTTGCTAGCCACTTGACGCCGGGGATGCTGGTCGTCCAGGCCCACTGAAGGAGAGCGGGCGAGGCGTCCACGAGCGTGGGAAAGGAGCAGAGGGAGTAGACGAGATAAGAGCGCAAGAGTTCTTCGGTGGAGAGGAGGGTGAGCGTAGGTGGTTCCTTCGGAGGCAGAGAGACTGCAGAGTCTTTCTTCGATAGCATCCACGCTGCTGCGCCGAGTGGTACGGCCGCCAGCCCAGCGAAGAGCCAGCGTTGGCGACGGCCGCGAGGTGGAGGATGGCCAAGGCGATTGATTACGCTACTGGCATCGGTGCCGGTAGCGTGAGATGCTGCGGCTGATCTACTGGAGGATGACGAAGATGCGCTCCTTATCGGCGCCACTGAGCATGGTGAGTGCCAGAGTGACGGCGGTCGCGTGACCGACGGCGAGCAGGCTATCGGCCTCCCGCTGACCCTCACGACACCGCCGAATGGCCGTACGAGGAGGGATTGCATGGTAGCATCGAATGAAGAGAAGGTAAAACGTCCAGGGTGGCAAGGCAGTAGTGTGACTCGTGGTCACGAGATAGCTTGACCCCCCTTTCTTTGCCCATCACTTGAGCGCCGCCGCTGCCGCCTAAACACGCTGGCCCGTGCCAGAAGCCTACAGGCCATCGGCGCTTTCGGCGAGGCGACGAGATGGGCGCAAGAGGCGAGGGACCTAATTGCTCGCTAGGACGATAAGGGTGCGCCGCGGCCATGACTAGGACACAGATTAGCCGGCGGGTCCCGCGCAGGGTATGCTCGAGATCTCATGAGCATCGAGAGATGATCGTCATGAAGCAAGCTGACTGAATTGGCAGGCTGGCTGCTGTCGGGCTTTGTGTCCTTGTGTTGAGTTGAGAGGTGGCCGCCGCCGCCGCCGGCTGGCATTCGGTCTTGCCATCTGCCTTGCACCCGCTCTCCTCTGCTGCACGCGTGCCTAACTTTTGGGGAGACCGGGGCGCGCCTCGCGACTCGAGGCCGGCTCTTCCTGGCTGAGCCCTGATGGATTTGCGTCCGTCCGAAGATTGGCTCCGCCGCCGCATCGCAAAAGAAACGCGCTGCCTTCCTTCCTTCAATTCTCACCCATCAACCACGTAGTCAACCAGCGATGGCATCGCGAACGCCCATCTATGATGCGCTAGCCAGCCTTGGCCCGGCATCGGTCCCCCGCTCCCTGGTCATCTGGGACCCTCCCGCGACTCCCCTCTCGACGATGACTTCGGCCTTTGCTGCGATTGCTACCTACCTCGCCGTCCTCTATGGCGGGTCCACGATTATGAAGGGCAGGCAGCCCTTTGGGTCCAGCTTGAAATTCCCTTTCCTCGTCCACAATATTGCGCTTACCATCGGAAGTGGGCTGCTGCTGGCTGTGATGCTCGAGGAGATCATCCCTATCCTCCGACATGGAGGATTCTTCTACGGCATCTGCCACGAAGCGGCGTGGACTTCGGTGAGCGCAGGACGCCAGGAATAAGCACGAATCTCAGCTGACCCTCGTCGCCCACCACTCCCCAGCGCCTCGAGACATTCTATATTATCAACTACTATTTCAAGTACTGGGAGCTCATCGACACCGTCTTCCTCGTCCTCAAGAAGAAGCCACTGCAGTTTCTGCACGTCTACCATCACTCGGCGACTGCGCTCCTCTGCTTCTCGCAGCTCCATGGCAAAACGTCGGTCTCGTGGTTCGTCATTGTGCTCAATCTGGCCGTTCACGTGGTGATGTGTGAGTGCGGGAGACACGGTTGCGGTAAGACGCGTCGACGCTGAACCCCACCATCCACCCTCGAAGACATGTACTACGCAGCATCGACTCTACGACTCCGTTTGCCTTGGAAGAAGGCCGTTACCATCCTCCAGATCAGCCAATTTTTCGGAGCCATCGGCGTTTGCGTATTCGCAGCTTACAGCCATTGGTCCTCTAAATGGGGATTGTCGAGACATGGAGGCTGTGCTGGGAAGGAGTACGCTGCGGTAGCTGGCGTAGTCTGCTTGACGAGCTAGTGAGCTGGCGTGGAGCAGTGAGAACATACCAGACTGCTTGCTGACTTGATCCTCTCTGCTGCCGTAGCCTGTTCCTCTTCCTCGGCTTCTATGCCAAGACGTACAAGAATGATGGCAAGAAGGGCGGCAAGAAGGTCGTGGCGAATGGTTCCGCAGCCAATGGCCACGCAAAGAAGCGGTGAAGCGTCGAGAGGGAGCAGGATGCTGGGCGTCGTCCGAGGAGATGAAGAGGGAGGCCGCGGCGACTCGTGCGGGAGCATTCATCGTAGAGGGGTCACCTCAGAATAACGCGGTACTGCGGTCACGTCAGGCATACACGTTTTTCGTACCATCTAGACGGCTCCTTTGGCAATGAGAACAGTTGCAGCGAGAGCGGACATGTAGCCAAAATCTCGAGAATTGCTTCTCACCAGACACAGCCTGACAAAAGACCAGTATGCTATTCGGATGAAGAGGAGGGAAAGCAAAGGAGGATAGATCAATGCGGACGGAGCCAGTCAAGGCCACGTGGCTTTGACAAGGTGGCGCGTGCGTAGTCGGCTGTGCCGCCTGTCCGCCCGTCTCTCCTCTTGGCGCCCTGGCGGCTTCCGATAACCGGGCCTCCTCTTTCCCTTCTTTCCACTCGTTGTTTCTATTAGCCTTATACCCATCTCTCTGACGAAAGCATGAATCAGCGCCCGCCGCAACAGCTCTCAGCGCAGGACCTCGCTCATTTCGAGTCGCTGGGTGTCTCCGACTCCACTACTGCCAGTCAGCAGCCAGCTCAGCAACCTCCTCTGCCTCAACAGGCATCCCGAAACCCATTTCTCGCTCCTCAGCCACACCACAATGCGCAAGATGACCTCGCGCAACTGTCCATGGCTCCTAGTGCAAATGCTCAGCCGCAGCAGCAACCACCGCTTGCCGGGCCGGTGACTGCCCCTGCTCCATTCACTGATCCTCCGCTGGCTTCGGGGCTGGATGCGGCAGCTGCGGCGCCACCAGCGGTCGCTCAACCCGCGCCTGCCCCCCCATCCGGGGCTCAACCCACGCCGGCTATGTCTCATGCTGCGAGATCCTCGCCGGAGCCAAAGGCGTGGCCGACGAAGGATGTGATGTTCCGCGGCCAGGAAAGGAAGATCATCATGCAGAATGAGAACGTGGGTGCCGTGCTTTCTCGTCTTCGTTTCCGCAGCTGACATCTCGCTCGCAGGGTCCCTGCTCCCTGATCGCCATCGCAAACCTCCTTCTCCTTCGCGGAAATATTATGCTCACCCCACCGGACCGCCCGCTGGTCAGCTACGACTATCTCTCGTCGCTCATTGCCGAGTACCTCCTCACGCAGCCCTCGACGACGGGCGGTTCGAATGGGGCTACTGGTGGTGGCGATGCTCTGGAGCGAGCTCTCAGCCTACTTCCACAGACTCGCCATGGCCTCAATTTGAATCCTAGTTTCCTCAGTAACGACGCCTTCCACTCTTCTGACGGCGGGTCGCAGAGTCTGGAGCTCTTCGAGTTGCTGGGCATCAAGCTCTACCACGGCTTCCTGCCCGACATGTCAGCGCCCAACAGCTACGAGCTGCTCACGCGCGCTGGATCCTACGATGCTGCGGTGGATGCCGTAGTGCAGGGAGACACTTTGGCTTCGCGCTTCTTTCGCGAGGGGCTTGGGGAGCAAGGCAGTCTGCGAGATCTTGCTAAGCGGGGAGGCGCCGCTGTCGTCGAGTCGACAGGCTGGGGGACCAGTGCGGAGAGAAAGGCACTCGCGGATGCTTTGGAGATTTCGCAATTCCTCGACGCCAACGCCTCGCAGCTCACCTATCCGGGTCTGTTTGCGCTCTCATCGCTGCCGGAGGGGACTCTTGCGACACTATTCCGCTTCAACCATCTCAGCGTGCTTTATCGACCCAGCACCGCCGATATACCCACGGACACGCGTGCGCCTCCCTCGCTGCTCACGCTAATCACCGACGAGTCGCTCATCGATGAGGAGCTTGCCGTCTGGGAGACATTGGCGGACGTGGACGGGTCAGGAAGTGGAGAGATCTTCGATGGGCGACTACGCCCACGACGCATTGAGCAACGGGCGGCACAGGCTCCAGCATTCAATCAAGCTGGTGAGGGGAACGAGGATGCCGACTTCGCTCTTGCGTTGCAGCTACATTCTGAGGAGCGTGATCGCGCCGAGCGAAGGCAGCAGCGCGACTATCAGCGACGACGAGGGCATGCACCTGGCTCTTCTCGCGACCCAACGAGCGAAGCTCGCGTCCAGCAGCAACAGCAGCAGCAGCAGCAAAAGCGGCACACCGGCTCGGGCAACCTCTTTTCTGCGTTAAAGGGAAAGAAGCAGCAGGCTCCCAGCGCGGCGTACACGAGCGCTCAGCAAGGGGCTGCGGATGACTTGGCGCCTACGAGCGAGGGGAGCGGGCGATACGATGGTGGGAAGACGAAGAAGGGGTGCGTTGTGATGTGAAGGAGGCCTAGCTGGAGATCCGAGGCATGTATATAGGCGGGAAGGGAACGTAGCAGATTGATACTATAGGCGCTCATTGACGGTTGTCTGGCGCTTGGAGGCTTATATCTATCCCGATGTCATCTTCGACTGGCTTCCAGTCTAGCAAAGAGCTGCAGCCAGTTCGATGTACTGTCACGCAGGCTCTCGTCGAGAATCTTGTTCGCGATACCTAGTAGGCAAGCGTGTTCGGCCACGTGGCGTGTTGGACTCGGGAATGCGGCGGAGCAGGGCACTCCCAGACTTCGCCCTCCGCTTCCTCCACTCGCTCCTGAGCAATCGACTTTCATTCTCATCTCATGATCCCATCGTCTAGAATGGCACTAGCACCTCAGTGAGGGAGTGGTATGGCGAGCGCCCTCCATCGCCTTTTCGCCGCTCGGAAGGCAAAGGCTGCAAAGAAGAGGGGCCAGCAGCAAGCGACGGGGTCTGGCGTTGCTGGCATCGCTGTCGAATCATCACGAAGAGTAGACTCACAAAGGCAGGAAGCAGGCTCTTCGCAAGAACGTGAATCATCATGGCAAGAAGCAGGCTCTTCATCGCCTCGCCTCACCACGCAATCCCTGCAGGGACCGCCAAGCCAGCGCTCCTCGCTCGACGCGTCCTCTATCCTGTCGGGCTCCATGTTGCGCAATGCCTCGGCGTCGAGGACAACGCAGGACGAGCAGCGTGAACCTGAGGAAGACGACGACGACCCTCAACTCTCACCCGTCTACCTGGGTCTCGCCAAATTGCCCTCTCTCCTCGCCAGCGCCACGCTGGTCGTCGTGCCGAGCAAGGAGGCGTATACGAGTGCTGGCCTAGACGAACGCCTCTTGGCCGAGCCTGCTTGGCTCTCTCTGTCAGCATACGCTCCCAGTCGACTATTCAGAGACCATTATCAGAGCCTCACCGTCGATGGTGATTCGTCTTGGCGATCTGTCTCCGTCGACCTGCATTTCAACGCGCCTGGCGAGGTGCTCTTCACATTGAGCGGTTCCTCCAAGAAGCAGTGGCAGAGAAGCTGCAAGGTACTCACAGAGACATCGGTGTATCGCTCTGCGCCGAGGGGATTTGAGATGGTCGGCAGGACGCAGCCTTCCTCGCGCAAGCTTACGCTGGTCGTGGTTGACGGGGTCGTCGCGCTGCCCGAGGATCTTCACATGAAGAGGAGCGACAGCAACGCTTCGAGCGCTGCTGCGCACAGCCCTGCTGCTCGCTTCGTCATCTCCCCTCCTCTGCACGACACCAACTCCAGCTTGTCTGGCACCCGCAACTTCTGGGCCGACGTGCTCTTGCTCCATGACCCACCGCCCTCGCTACACGCCCTCCGCTCAGCCCTCGCAGACGCGTACACCATCATCGCCACGATGACGCAAGAGTTCACGACGACCTTCGTCCTCATGCCGCACTTTGAAGAGTACAATCGATACAAGCTGCGCGACGGCATCCTAGCCAAAGCGTGGGAGTCGCTCGCTTCACCAGCCCTCGACGCTCTGGCGCCAGAGCAGAGGCGTCACCTCTTCCTCGCGATGGAGAATGTCATGCTCGGCTTTGCGCATGAGAGAGTCTTTCCCGCCCAAAGCGGGGAGGACAAGCTGGCATCGGTGTTGGAGACATACAGAGAGTGCCACGTCGGACTACGAGAGCTGGGAGCGACCACGCCTGCGCTGCTCAAGAGGCCGGCGAGGCTGCAGTCGGCGATCAATATCGTGGGTGCCTGGGCAGAGCGAGAAGGGGATATCAGCTCAATGTTGAAGGAAGTCTTGCTCAGCGCGCCTGGGCGCGACGTAGATAAACTGCGAGCGCTCGTCAATCCTGCCGCCCACACCCACCGCTCGTACGACTATGAACTCGGCCTCGACGCCGCGCAAGATGGACAGATACCCGCAGCATTCACGCCGCTTGACGTACTCGCCACGCTCCGCAGCGCAATCGACGCCTGCATGGCCGCCGCGGCTCGAGGCATGCCCATGACCTCGCCGTCAAGCAGCAGTCTGCCCCTGCTCGGCTCCAAGTCTGCCCCTGCGCTCAGCACAGACGACCTCCTACCCGTACTCGCCCACGTCGTCATTCAAGCCGCACCTACATTGATGACTACGCGGCTAAGATATGTACGCTCGCTTGGACTGTCCGACCTTACCGCGTCTGACCAAGAGTGGGCGCTCGTCACTTTTGAAGCTGTAGAGCGCTGGCTTTGCAGCGACCCACTCGGACTGCTGGGCGGCACGATCAAGGCGCGACCGAGCAATGCCCGCTCCGTGAGCTCGTCCTCGTCTGGTGGTGCAGATGAAGCGCCCCGCCTTCGTCGCCTCTCACTCCCCGCTACGGCCCTCTTCGATGGTTTCAAAGTACCTGGCGCGCCTGCAAGTGCGACAAAGGGCTCTCCGATCCTCGCCTCGGTCAGCCGCCACTCGAGTATACGGAGCGCGGAATCCGCGTCTACGCATTCTCGCCCACACAGCCCGCGTGGGGACCTCACCATACGCCCACAGATTATCACGAGGTCATCATGGCGTTCGGAGACCTCGCAGCCGACGTCGCCGACGCTGAAGGACGGCCACTCAATTCCACCTCGCCAGCTCGGTGTCTCTTCAGCGATGGCAAGATCAAGCAGCGCAACACGGCACGGCTCCTCCTCGCCGACATCGTCTGACATGGCGCGCGGCAAGAGCGAGGGCGCGACACGTCGACGATCGTTCGGGAGCGCGAGCGTCCTAATGGCTGCGCAGAGTCCGCCGCAAGAGGATTTGTCGCCACGCCTACCATCTTCGGCGACATCGTCTTGGCTTCCCTGGGCGTCATCGCAGTGGCCGTCTCTCTCTTACAGGACTGACACCACATCCTCGCGACCACCGCAGTCGAGCCCGGCAGCAGCGGCGTCGATGTCGGACTACGCCGCTTCATCGTCAGGTGGTGACATATCGCACATTTCCCTTGGCGGCGGCTCACGCGTGTCTCAGCCGCCCCTTGAGCCCTTCCCGAGCGAGTCGCCTACATTCCCGAAGATTACGGCCAAGCCGGAGCCTGCGCTCTCCTCATCGATCTCGTTCTCTGGCTCATCCTCACCGGCCGAACAGCGACGCCGCGTGCGGACTCGGTCGAGACTGCTCTCCAACCCTGGCGGTGGGGTGACCATCTTGCCTCCGAGAACCGCTGCTGCAGCCCCTGCTGGTCAGGGTCAAGAGGCAGAGACGCTGTCCTCAGCCGCGGTGCTCACCATCGAAGCGAGGGCTGTCCTTTCACGACCGCGCGAAAGAGCATCGGCTTCTTTCGTTGCGACGTCGGGCGGCGCTGCTGCGGAAAGGGATGCAGCGTAGTGAAAGGTAGCTGCATGACTTTATATCTGATATCGCTTTGGCATGAGACCTGTGTACGATTATGCAGGCGGGCGTCGTTGACGCTGGTCGGCTTTGACGAGCCTGCTGCAAGTTGCTTTTTGGGCTCTCTTTCATCCGCTCGAGCGTGCAAAGTTCTTTCGTTTGCTCGGTCGCCTCTTTCTTCGTCAACTTCTTCCTGAGCGCCTCTTGGCATCATCACCTTGAGTGTGCCCTGCTATTTTGGTGCAGCAGCGACGCCGGCTCTGCGTCGGTGTGGAGCGGGTCGGGCGGGGGGCATACCACGTGGTTGGAAAGCCTCGGCTAAATCAGATTCCGGGACTCAGAGGAAGCAGCCATGGCCGATTGCGCCTTCTCGTCTTACACATAGCTCCTCGACCTCATCTCGTGCAGTCTTCGGTGTCGTCTGGGCCTCACGACCTCTCGACTTGTCAACTTCGGCTCACTGCCGTCGATCGTATCTCCCTCGTCCGGTCTCTTCACTCTCCTCTAGTCGCCAATACAGCACGCAATGGGCGATAACAATAGCGGCTTCGGCCTGAGTAGGACCGCCAAGGATTTACTGAGCGGAACCACCGGAGGGATAGCTCAGGTCCTCGTTGGACAGCCATTGGGTTCGTTGCTGCCTCCTCCATCATTGCCTCTCCCGCCTCTCTGACACACACCCTTCGCTGGCTAGATCGCATCAAAGTCAATCTTCAGACTGCTCCACAGGGCACATATACCGGAATGGTCGACTGCGCATCGAAATTGGTCAAGAGAGATGGCGTCAGAGGTCTCTACGCTGTCAGTTGACTGCGAGACTTGGAAGGCCCCCTGTACGCGCGCTGACATCGGCCATCACCTCCTCGTCCCTCCTCTACCCCGCCGCTCTGGCCTTCCTGCTCATCGATCTGGCCCTCTTTCATGCCCCTGCTGCGGCCTCATTGTACATCATTGAACCCTCCCACCTCCTCAACTTCAGGGCACATTGATGCCGTTGCTCGGTGTCGGAGCCTGCGTGAGCGTCCAATTCTCAGTGGTTGAAGCCGTCAAGCGCTCCTTCGCATCGTCAAATGCCAAGAGAGCCGGAGCTACCTCGTCCGAGGCCCTCTCTGGCGTCGGCGCCAAGGCCTATCCGCTCTCCTCTGCACAGCTCTATTCGGCCGGTGTGGCCGCAGGTCTCGCCAATTCATTCCTCGCAGCACCCATCGAGCACATCCGTATTCGACTGCAGCTCCAGACGGACGGTGCCTTCCGCGGGCCTGTGGGCTGCGCCAAAGCCATCGTTTCGTCCAATGGCGTCCCTGGCCTTTTCCGCGGTTTGGTCCCTACTCTCGTCCGAGAAGGTCACGGTATGGGCATGTGAGTCGAGGCTAGACTCGCCCGTGGCGGTCGCACGTCCTGACCACCCTTCTTGCCTCGCACAGGTACTTCCTCATCTACGAAGCTGTCGTCGGCTACAAGCTTCGCAAGGACAACCTCTCGCGGGCCGAGCTTCCCAGTTTGTGGGCAATGCTCGGTGGAGCTACATCTGGTCCCCTGCTGTGGTTGGCCGTGTATCCAGTGGTGAGTGTCCTCTTTCAAGCGTCTCAGTCCTTGTGTGAATGGCTCCGCTGATCCATCTACGGGCTAAACAGGACGTGCTCAAGACTGTCTGGACTACGCAGCCGCTGGACCCGGCGCAGCGAAAGTACAGCAGCTTGGCCGCGTGTGCAAAGTCGATCTACGCGCAAGGCGGCTGGCGCGGCTTCTTCCGAGGTCTTGGGCCCACCTTGACCCGAGCTCCCATCTCCAACGCTGCAACGTTCGTGGCTTACGAGTGGGCTGCGAGGAACCTCGAGGGGTACGTGCGCGAGTGAGGAGATCGTTGAGAGGAGGGGAACAAGTGCTGCGGCGCAGACGAGGTCGTAGGGGGTTGGAGGACTTGCGTCGCGGAGGGTACGCCCCGCCTACACTGCATGAGAGAGGGTCGACGAAGCAAAAGGCAACGGGACTTTTGCTCTCCTTTGTCGCACAAGAGAGACTTCAACGCATGCATAGACTCATTGACAACCTGACTTCAGCGTGACCTGGCCAGCTCGGACGACCAGGCGGGAAAGAATGTCTACGTGATCGGCGGGGACGGCGCGTCGATGAGGCCGATTTTGCGTCCCTCATCAACCCGTGTCAAAACGTCCTGATGTGAGGCGCGAGAGGCAGACGGTGACGGTGGGGGATGAATTTCAATCGACGATAAACTAGCGACAGAAGGAGGAGGGTGCAATGGTGGAGGGTGAAGGGTGAGGGAAAGCGCGCGCTTAAAGGACTACGGCTTGCTTCTTTTGGCCGGGAAGACGCTTCTCCTTGGCCATGATGTACACGAGCCACGCCACGACGACGATCCAGTAGAAGACGTAGCCCAGGATCGAGCCAAGCGTACCCGTGTTGTTCCAGCCTACGAGAGCGTTGAGCAATCCCCAGCCTCCATCGTTGTTCTCGGGATTCGCATAATCTAAATGGAATACGTAGTTGAGGGCATCGAAGCTTCCGTTGCCGTCTCCTCCCTCTGCTGCGCCATCTCCGACCTTTTGAACGTAGCGGTAGAACTGGAAGTAGTAGATGCAGCGCGAGAAGAGTCCTGCAGCGATGAGGAGAAGGAGGCACGTCGAGAAGAGCAGGAAGATCTTGATCTTGCCAAAGCCACCAGCACGGAAGACGATGTAGCCAATGAGGAAGCCGCAGGCGAGCCCGACGATGGCGGCGAGGGGGATCGAGGTTGCAGGAAGGCCGAGCGATACGCCACCGACAAAGACCACTGCCTCGAGTCCCTCACGGAGGGTGGTGACAAAGGGAATGGTGAAGAGGATGGTGCTGCCACGGTTGGCTTTGCGGAAGGGGGCCTTGATAGCCTCAAGGATGCGCGAGCCCAGAGAAGCTTTGCCAGTCTCGGCGTTGGTGAGGTGTGGCACACGCTCCGAGGCAGGCGTGGTAGCGGGCACGTCCTTGGACTCGACGCGCTGCACCATGCCAGCGACGGCGATATTGTCTTCGACCTGAGACGAGTTGAGCTTGCCGGCGAAGGCCTTGTTCATCTTGCGACGCCACTTTGCCTTGGATTGATCGGCGCGAAGGATGGCGAGGGACATGGGCGTGAGGAGCAGCGTGGCGATGAGGCAGAAGATGCCCTCCCAGAGCTCTTCGGCCTTGGCGTACCTGAGCGAAGGCGGAGGGTGTGGGAAGGTTAGGATCAGTCTTTGCACTTGAGTCATCTACGAGCGCTGGACTACACGCACAAATCATTGGACTGAGTGTAGAAGACGGCCAGGAAGATGGCACCAATGATGAAGGCGATGCCCAGACCGCAGCCGGCACCGAGGAGAACGAGTTTGCGCAGCTTCTTGATCAGGACACGTCGCTCGGCATGGTTCGCGTCAATCTCAGCGTCGGCGTTGCCATTGACGTTGGTCGACGAGGTGCTGTCGTTGGGCCCGATAGCCTCCTTGCGCTCTTCGCTGCTGCCGTTGGGCGTGGAAGCTTCCTTGCTCTCCTCGCTGTTGCCGACCGTAGAGGAAGCAGAGCTCGACTTGGAGTCGGGCAGCAGGTCGTGAGCCAGGGATTCAAGCTGTGGGTGCGAGGTGCGAGGATCAGCAACATTTCTTACTGTCGTCGTCGTACGCTCGTCGCGCTCACCATGCCCATGAGCGTGCCCACAACGAGAGCAGCCTCGAGAGACTCGCGGAACGTCTGCGGCGAGAGGGCGGTAGAAGTCAGCATCCATCCCCTCTGTTCATGGCCCTCGCTGCGAGCTCACGATGAAAAAGATCGAAGGTGCAAAGACGTTCTGTCCCATCTTGTCGGACGTCGATTGTTGTTGGTGGTAACGATGAGAGAGGGGGGGAGAAGAAAAAAGGCAGGCGTGTGAGCTCAGACGATTTAATCTAATCAGTTAGGGCCAAAATCGTGGCTGCTTTGCCTGCAGCTCGCCTGGTCCCGCCCTGGTCTCGCCCTTTTTCCTCTGCTGCTCTCGCGCCGTCCATTGCTCCCGTCGGCGAGGAGCGGGATGAGAGTCGGCGGCACTTGTTCACGGCCGGGAGCTTCGAGCGTGAGAAGAGGGCAAGGCAGGAACAGCTAGCGTAGAGAGATGGCAATGACTGACTCTTCGACCGACTCTGCAGCCCCGCGCTTACCCTGGTGTCGTTTGTCGCCTTCGTTGCTCGCTCGTTGCACTTGGTGGCAGGCGGCCGGCAAAGTTGGCTAGGTGCCGCCGGTCAGGTTAGCCCAGCCCAAAGTCAAAGTCGGCGGGTCGCGTCGCGGCGGCGACGGGAGCAACTCTGCACGCTCTGCAGCAGCACAGTCGCGCCGTGCGATGCCGTGCCGCTCTGCTTGGACCTCTTCGTCACTCACATCATCCATCCAACCTCGCCGCCCACCGCAATCGACGTCCTCCAGCATATACTCTACAGCTCCCTGGCGCGCTTTGCCGCGCTTCATCCGCGCTTCATCCAACTAGAGTAGCATTCACGCAAACTCACTAATCATCTAGCGTACATCCATCGGCGTTCCAACGCAAGCAGCTCTTCTCTCTTCACTCAACTTCATCTGTCGTGGGAGCAGGCCTCCTTCCTCCATGACCGACAAGGGCAGCGCTGGACGTAGTGGTGGTGTCTGGACATCTTCCCGCGTGGCACAGAGGAAGGCAGAGGAGCCTGCTGCGAGCAGGCTTGCCTCCTCGTCCGCTTCAAGATGGGCGACCAAGGCTGGTGGGGACAGTAGTAGTGCTGCGGGCCCTTCGAAGCCGGCAAGCAGCTCGACGGCCAGTCGATGGGCTACTCCGGGGCCATCGAGCAAGTCAGCATCCGATGCCCAGCCACCGCTCTCGCCATCCCCAGCCGCCGCACACGCAGCCACCCCGCCCGCAGCGATGCGCCGTAGAGACGACTCACAACGTCTGGGCGTGGCCATCGACCCCATGTCCCTCATCGCTTCCCCTAGCCGCGGCATTCAAGGCGCAGAATCGACGACGCTAGGCTCATCAGGCGAACAGGACCTCACCAATGCAGCAACGCAGGCTCGCTACCGCGAGTATGTCTCCAAGCGCATCGCGGCGCATTGCGAGCGGTATCCGCAGCCCTTGGAGTTCTATGTCCCTCCGACTGGGATCGACGCAATGGACGACGAGCAAGCCATGCTACGTCGTCAGGCTATCACAAGTCTAGATGAGATCCTTCTCCTCGTCCGCAAGCTGAGGGAGGGCGTCGTGGCTAGCAGAAGAGGGGACGCAGCTGCCGTGGAGGTGTACCATCTCGCCCTCTTCCTCGCAGTCGTCACACTCAACAAGGGCCAGATCTCGGCGGCGATTCATCGAGCAGTCTTCGACTTGTATCCGAGCATATCGGTCGCTTCCTCCTCATCTCCCGCCTGGCCATCCGTCGCCGCAGACTTCGCCTCGCTTCGCGACTCTCAGACCCGTCACGCTGCGCGCAATGACACGCACCTCTTCGTGGACTCGAAGGAGACTCGCGAGCATACAGCCTCACTGCTCTTGCTCTCGCACACTTGTTTCGACTCCAAATCGTCACGCGGCTCGCTCGAGGATGACTTCATGCAGCTGCAAGCACGGGTAGTGGATGCGTTGAGCCTGGACGTAGAGCGGGATGGCGGGCTGACGGACCACCTCCTCTTGGCATCAGAGGTGGATCGCCTCATCCGACAGGGCAATGTTGTACAGCTCCGCCGCCTGCTCATTGGCCAGCATCGCACTCTGCCGACTTCGGTTGCACCAGGTCGCCGTCTAGCTGCTCCGACGGTGTACCAAGCCATGCTCCTCTCTCAGGCTTTGCCGCGCTGCAGAGCAATGGCATGGGCGCAGCTGCGAAAGGTGTATATGTCAGTGCCGCTACCGAAAGCGAGCCAGGAGGAGGATGCGCGGACGCTGGCTGCTCGTATGGGTGGGCTGGCTCTTGGTGAGGGTGGTCGGGAGTCGTGGCTTGAGAAGGTTCTGCTCATCGACTGTGAGCTCCTTCCGCCACCGCCCTGCAAGGCGACGCAGCATGCTCGAGACGCCACGCCGGACGAGTGGGATGAGAGCGGCGCAGACGTCGGAGAAGCTCAGTGGCTGAGAGATCTGAGAGCTAGACGATTGGCTGCAGTCTTCCGACAAGTGGGCCTCACTGAAGGAGTGACTACGGACGCCTCAGCCGCTCCAGGCTTGATCGAGGAGAGCCTCCTTCCTTGGCAAGGGCGCATCTCCTCGCTCCAGTCTGGACAACGGAGCCTGAAGGTGAGGTGAGCTTGAGAGTGTGCGCAGGATGGACCGCATCTGTATTATATTATTCGCACTGTACTACCATGTCATTATTGCTGAGATCACCACCTTCCTCTGATCGCGTCGTGTGGGCGTACGGGGTCGCGGGTGTGCGTGCGTGTCGTGTGGGAGCCGGCAAATATCGGCGGTCTGTGCGCTCGTCTCTCGCCGATGCCGAAGCCGGACTGCGCCTTGACAATTCGCTACTTCTATCGACTCACGATCCATCTGCCATCCACAACGATGGACGGCGCCACGCCTGTCGGCAGGGTTTCGCGAGCATCGAATAGCCGCGGAAGTCCCCAAGCATGGCCGGCAGCTTCTTCGTCGTCGTCCTCTGCCATCGCTCGTAGTCTCAACTCCTCAACTGGTCGCTCCTCCTCGCGCGGCCGCCGCGAAATCGAGGCAGAGCAGTGGTACACCGGCTCAACGTACGACTACACAAATCCAGACCAGATTAGCGACTGGCTGAAATGTGCTATATGCCTGTGAGTGGGCTTCCTCCTCCAGATACGCTGCTTTGCGCCCCAATTGACACCTCTGTCTTCGCAGCGGCCCCTTCGTCGAGCCGTGCTCGTCCTCAACATGCTCTCACACATTTTGCAGGCATTGCATCACGCAGCACCACAAGACGCTGGCACAAGTCTCTGCTGCCGGTCCCTCGTCTGGCATGGACGACATGCCGCTGCCCTGCCCCTCATGCCGAACTTTGAGCAAGCTGTCATCCTTTGCGGCCACCTCCCCACCCCTGCTCAAGGGGCTTGTCGATAGTCTCGAGGTGTTCTGTCCTGCGTTCGACAAGGGCTGCAACTGGACCGGCGAGAGATCTATGCTGGGCTACCACTTGAGAAAAGACTGCCAGTGGGCAGGAGCGACGGAAGGACGGGTCAAAGGCGAGGATGAAATCTCTTCTGTGGAGTGCAGCCACTGCCAGGAAACAATGGCACCTAACGATATGAGCAACCATCTCGACAAGGATTGCGCGGAGAAGATCGTTTCCTGCACCATGGCCATCTATGGCTGCTCATGGAAAGGTCCACGAGCAGCTCTGTCACGTGAAGAGGACGAAATTCAGACATCACAAGCCCACAGATGCTCTCTGCTACCCCTCCGCCCGTTCCTCGAAGCAACACAGGCCCGTCTACAGGCCCTCGAGGACGACAATAGCGCGCTTCGTAGAGAAGCCGAAGACGCAAGAAGAGCGCAGCAGGAGAGTCAGGAGCAGCTGCGTGCGTGTGTGCAAGCATTGGGCAAGTGGGTGGGCGGCAATGAGGCGGCAGAGAGCTTCCAAGCAACGCGAGGTCGAAGGACATCTGATCTACCGGCTCGCGGCGAGGACGGAATCGAATGGCCCTTTGAGAACGAGATTGCGGATGACGCACTCGAGGAAGATCTGGAGGCAGGGCTCCAAAGAACCAGAAGCGCATCATCGACATCGTCGACGCAGGCGAGTGGCTCACAAGCACGTCCGCCTCGCCGCAGCAGCAATCATGCCGTCCTCCCCTCGTGCTCCCGCCTCGAGAGCACCATTGGCTCCCTGTCGGCCACAACATCGACGCTCTCTACGCAACAACGGGACCTCTCCCAGCTCGTACACGACAGTCGCAGAGAGTCAGCGATGGCGGCAATGGAGGTGGCGAGACTGGCCGATGAGATGACCGGGTTTAGGATTGCGCTGCACAATGTGGCTAGGCACGTACAGGGTAGGGGCGCCGGTGTGGCCTCACCGCTACGGACACCTGTGTCGTCGGCGGCGGCGGCTGCGCAAGGGAGCAAGCATGACCCTAGTGGAAGCGCTCAGGCCGAGCAAGCTGCGAAGGCAACAGGACCCACGGTTCCTCCTCCCGCAACAGAACCTGGAGCCGCGGCTGCAGCGTCACCTCTTGCCGGCGGCGGCGGGCCGCTTCACCACCACCATTACTACATTCCGCATCACCAGCACCCCTCACACCACCTTCATCCCCTAGACATGCCCATGGGCATCCCTTTCTACGGACCTCTGCCCTACGGTGCCGGCCACGATGTCAGGTCCCCGCCAGGTGCACATCCGCTCTCGATGCCTGGCTACGCGTCTCACCCAGGCATGCGCCGCTACTGGTCGGGCTTTGAGCAGACAAAGTTGTAGAGTGGGCCGATGATGAATTGTCGATGATATGATGAGATGATGTTACGGCGTTGTCCCTGCCCTTAAGGAAAATCGACCTCAAGACGTGCTCGCGAGGGGACATCGCGAGCTGGGAAGGCGGGTGAATGCGCAGTTTGGGAACGGACGCAAAATTTCCAGAGTGCGTTGATGAGCAGCTCGACAAAGGCAGCGAAGGGCGCCATACGGGCCGAGAAGCTGCCAACGGGGGCGTAGAATTGCTGCTGTTCTTGTCATTTGCTCTCCACTTTCCATACTATCTTTGGACTCTCAACAACCGTTGACTTTCCTGTCGACTTGCGCGCCTGTTGTGGGCATGGTTCGCAAACCGATGCGGCCAAGCTGGTATAACCAAAATCCGCTATTCTCGTCATTCAAGGGTGCTATTAGTACAAGGGGCCCCCTCTTGGCTCGTTACCTACATGCCTACACCTTCACAACCATGCTCGTCTGCTACTCCCTGCGCGGCGGGCTACGACTGCGCGCTCGATCTTCCGCGGTCTGCCATGCCCTCATCTTTTCACCATCCCCTGCACCGGCCTCATCGTCTGCCTTCTCTCTCGCATACTCCTTGCGACTTCCGGCATCCGGTCCATCCTCGCCTGTCGGCTTATTCTCGCCCGCATACTGGTCGCGAGGCTCCTCGTTCGTCGCGTCCCCATCCTCGCCTCGGGGTCCGCTCCTCCAGTTTCCGCTACTCTTGCCCTTCTTCCAGCTGGGCCCATCATCGCTGCCGCCATTCTCTTCCGCCAACTCCTCTTTCCATCCCTTCTTGCCACCACCCTTTTCCTTCTTCATGCGCAGCTCCACTGCCAGCTCGTGGTTCAGCTGCCTGACGAGAGAGCCGCTCGCTCTGATGATGTGCATAAAGTTGCAGTGTCCTCCTCGATTGCACTCTTTTGTCTCATTCTGCCTGCAGCACGCCTCTCTGAAGTCGGTTACAGGGCTCAGCTCTGCAAAGAGCGGCCTTGCGTTGTACCACTTATTGTTGAGCGCATCCACTGCCCTTTGAGCCTCGTCCTCCCACTCATAGCGCGCATACACGTTGCCGATCAGGTGGTCACCTACATTGTCGCAGACGTGCATCTCAACAAGCTGACCGTACTCTGCGAGCTGGCAGAAGAAGTCCTCGTAGAAGTCGTCAAAGTCGTCTTGGATCTCGTCGTCGCTGAGATTGGCGTCGGGCTTGGAGTAGCGCGGATTGGAATAGACGTTGGCGACCATAATTGTCTGGGAGAAGGCAGGCTTCGTGTGCTTGCGTGAGCAGCGGTCGCCATGGCGGCATGCTCCGATCTGTGCGAGGAGCGAGGAAGAGTAGATGTCAGTCAGTCGTGTGACCAGAGGCGTGGATGTATTTGGGCGCGGGACAACCCTGAGGCGACGTCTCACCTTGTAGTAGAACGAGCAATTGACCTTGTCCTGCTCAGTGCCATAGATGCTGGCAAGATGAGAAGCCATCTTGGGCGGGAGCTGGGATAGTGGTGATGGTGGTGGTGGACAAGAGCTGAGCATCCGAGGCGAAGATCAACGTCTCTCGGTCGTCGCTCGCTTTCCGCTCGACCTCAAACCACGTGGCAACAAGATCTCAATCGGCGGCCTCGGCGGGCGGGCGGGCGGGCGGGCGGGCGGACGGGGTCAAGGAAGCGCCCATCGCAATCGCGTGCCTCTTGCTTCCGTGCCAACACCTCCATTTCGCCGCGACTACCAGTACATCAGCGGCGCAGCTGTCGTCGCTGCAGCTGCCCTGCCTCATCCCTCGCCTTCAGTGTGCGCGCGCGAGGTCAACAGCTCGATTGCTCGCCATCGTCGTCGCATGTCGCTTTGCTGCTGCAGTTGCTGAGCGCTGAGCATCGCGACGCCAAGCGGCGCGAGCCATGACGGTCAGTCATCGCAAGACAAAGGTCGCAGCAAAGCCAGATGACCAGACGGGTGAGTGTCACGCGCGATCGAGATATCTCTCTCAAAATGTGGCACGAACTCACATCTCGATTCTCTTGCCCGCCCACTAGCCGCCGAGCCCGGCGTTCAATACCACTGCGACGTCTGCGAAGCGGACATTACCCTCACGGTCCGTGTTCGCTGCGCTGGGCCCTGCAAGGAATTCGATCTCTGCGGAAGCTGCTTTTGTTCAGGCGCTGAAGGCAAGCAGCATAAGGCATGGCACGACTACCGCATCGTCGAGCAACATGCGTATCCCATCTTCTGTCCGGACTGGGGTGCCGACGAGGAGCTGTTGTTGATCGATGGCTGTCAGACGTATGGGCTGGGAAACTGGGCAGATATTGCTGATCATATCGGCAACCGGTCCAAAGAGGAGGTAGAGGCGCATTACATTGCCGTCTATGTTGAGGGTAGAGATGGGACCAGAGAGGGGGATGAGAGGGCCGAGTCGCGACTGCAGCAAGCACTCTCTCAGCAACCTCCGACTCGCCGCCAGCTTCCCCTGGTTGAGCCCAACATGAACTTCGTCCCGCGCATATCAGCCGACGACTTCCATCAGGCGAAGCGCCAACGGATCGTCGACTTGCGCACTAAGCAGGCTACCATGCCCATCGCAGGTACCAAGGGGACCGCTCCGCCGAAGCCCCTTGTCTCAGCGCCTACTTCGCACCATGAGCTGAGCGGCTTCATGCCTGGTCGACTGGAGTTCGAGACTGAGCATGAGCAGGATGCAGAGGTGCTCACCAAGGACATGGAGTTCGGCAAGGTGTACCGATTTGGTGGAGAGCTGCTGCCGAGCGAGGAGCAGGCATTGGGTGGAAAAGCTGAGCAGGGGAGATCAAGAATGGAAGCGAGCGGGCGAGGAGGCGTGAGCAGCAGAGGAGCAGGCGCTGGTACTACTTCAGGCGCGTCAGGCAAGGGCTTGAGCGGGCGAGAGGACAAAGAAGAAGACGATGCTGCAAGTCAGTCGCACGACGCCGCCAAGGCCGATGACGATGACGGTGACAAGGACGAAGACGATGCAGACGAGACCACCGATGCCAAGGAGACCAAGGACGACGATGACGGCGAGGACGCAGCCGACGAGACGCAAGATACCACAATGGCCGCCCCCACTGCATCAGACGCCCCACCTCCTTCTCAAATGCCCGCAGCAGCAGCCCCTCCTCCCGCCGACAGCACCGAATCGACTGAACGCCCACCCGCAGATTGGGACGAGGATCCAGCGGACCTCGAGCTCAAGCTCATGATCCTGGAAATGTACAACGAACGCCTAGAACGACGCACGGAGCGCAAGTCTGCTATCCTTGAGCGAGGACTCGTTGAGGTCCGCCGCAGAACAGCAGCAGAGCGGCGTCGCTCGAAGGAAGATCGAGACTTACTTCAGCGGGTGCGGCACTTCTCTCAGCTGCAGACTCCGCAAGACTTTGAGGACTTTTACGAGGGGCTCTGCTATCAGGAGACTCTGCGGCGGCTGGCGATGCGCTTGCAGGAGTATAGAGGGGCCGGGCTGATGACTCTGAGTGAGGCGGCGCGCTACGAGCATGATAAGGAGGAGAGGCTGAGGAGATTGCAACAGATTGCCGATGGGGAGTACGTCCCGCCTGCGGGAAGCTCGGCAGCTGCGGCCAATGCTAAGCGTGGGTCGACGATCATTCGCAAGCCGGGGGCGAGGGACAGCGAGACGCCCTTTGGCGACGACTTCGACGAAGTGATCGGCTCCTCAAGCTCGGCACCAGCGGGCACAGCACCTTCTTCGGCAGGCAAGCCTCCCGCACCGGCTCAGCCTTCGACCAGCAAACGCAACGCGAACGACAAGGATGGTCCACCCAAATCGCCTCGCAAGCCTCCCCGTCCATTAGACCTCTCCTCGCACCCCTCGCTGCACCTCCTCACCCGCGCAGAGCAGAACCTCTGCTCAGTGCAACGCATCCAGCCGTCGGCATTCCTCGTCATGAAGAAGGAGATCCTGACCGAATTCATCCGTCGCAATGGTCGGATGTCTCGGCGTGAGTCAAGGGTCTTGTTCAAGATGGACGTGAATAAAGTCGGGAAGGTCTATGATTTGCTGGAGGAGCAGGGCTACTTGGAGGCGGCCAAGAGCTTGGGGTGGGATGGAGGAGCTAAGGGGGTGGGCACGCCTCCGGGTTGGAAGCCGCCGGCCGCAAGCAGTGATGCTGATGGGGCAGTAAACGGGTCGTCATCAGCAACGACGAACGGGCGGCACGTCAACGGCAGTACAAGCACGCCTCCTCCTCAAGACGCTGCAAGTCGTCCGTCCCCTTCAGTCGGCCCTTCGCCGCTCAGGCACCTGGCTACAGCCGATGACACTCGTGCTGGACCCTCACCGCTGCAACATCAGCAGAATGGCGGCGGAGCGCAACGACAGCAGGCATCTCCCTTCCGGCCGACGGCAAGAACATGATGCCCAGCATCACTCAACCTCACCCCTCCTTCTCTGCATCTACGCCGCATGAGATCACCTGACCGCCTTCCCCCACTTCCTCTGCCCCCGCCCCTCGCCCAGCTAGTCGGGCTGGACGATTTCCAATTGCACAGCGCGGCGTGTGTCTCTTGTGTCCCTCTGCCCTCTTTCATTTGTTCGCCAGCTACCCGTGTAACAACAGTAAAGCAAATACTAAATGCGCTTTTGCAACATCACCATTGCTCCCACTCTGATAGATTGATGCGTGATTGATTTGAAGCCTGAGCTCGATGACAATGCGACACTGGCGCAAGCCTGCTCCGCGGCTACGGTGCCTCTTCTCCACCACTCTGAACCAAGTTCTTCTGCCCCTTCAGCGCACCACGTCACGCCTTTCTTTCGAGCAACACTGCACTCCTCGGCTCTACACCCTTCCTATAGTACTCTGGCAAGGTTTCTCCCTCCTCAAACCCTTGCTTCTTATAAAACTCCCTCGCCTCCTCGTTACTCGTCTGCACATGCAGGTACACCGACCCCACGCGATACTTCTTCGTCGGCCTCGGCGGTGTCGGAGCAGCCGCCGCCTTCGAGGGAGGGGACTTGGCTGCTGCTACTGGCGCCTTGGGAGCGGGGGCGGTCGGGTCTTCGAGGGTGACCTCGCTGCCAGGGGAGAGGTGGGTGAGGAGGTTGCTGACGAGGGAGCGGGCGATTCCGAGGCGTCGATAGGGAGCAAGTACGCCGAGGGTCATGATGTAGACCTTGACTTCTGGTCGGAAAGTGGAGGAGGACGAGGAAGGGTACTCGAAGCGGCATACCAGGTTGCCTACGGGAATGTCATTGAACAAGGCTGGCGAGGAGGGAAGGGAGAAGACAGTCAGCTACTCCACTCCGCCGCAAACTCCGTTCGTCAGCATCGTGTACTCACCAAGCTTGTTCACCTCGCGCTTATCCTCATGCAGCGCATCCTTGTAGAACGTCTCGCTATACCTCACGGGGAAGAGGACGGAGTTGAGCTTGCGCAGCTGCCCAACATTATTCGGCGTCAGCTCCGCGAAGGCGATGCGGTGTTGCGTCGTCGACTTAAGGGGAGCTGCGGGTCGTGACGGATAGGTTTGAGGAGGCAGAGATGATGAGGCCGAGGCTGTAGCGGCGGCCATGATATCGACGCAGGTGATGATGGTGAGGAGAGTAAAGCGGCGCGCTTTCGACAGTGATTGGCGATTGGCCTTCCGCCTCCGCCTCTCTTTGGACCTTCGCGTCGCCGTCGTCGCCCAAGGATGATTGCCGCGTGGCTGTGGAGCGAGGCGCTCGAGCCAGGCCCACCGGCCAGCGGCCTCCGCCTCGACGCCTGCCGCTGCCGCTTCCCATCTTGACATCCGCTTCCCACCTCCGTCACCTCCATCACAGCTTCCCGCCTCACTTGAAACGCTGCCCACGATGAGTCGCTCCAATGTCATCGTCCTCGACAATGGCACGGGCTTCACCAAGATGGGCTTCGCCGGCAACTCGGACCCGTCCTTCGTATTCCCCACTGCCATAGCCACTCGTACCTCTGCAGCGGGAACGGCAGGTGGTTCCTCTGCTCGTCCCTCTGTCCCCTCCAAGCCTGGTGGGCTTGCTTCGAGCTCGAGCTTGGCGAGCAAACGCGGCATCGAGGATCTAGACTTCTTCATTGGGGACGAGGCGTTCGCGAATAGCAAGACGTACCAGGTCGACTACCCAATTAAGCATGGGCTCATCGACAACTGGGATCACATGGAGCGTTTCTGGGAGCAGTGTACGTGTTGCTGCGAGCGACGGATCTCAACTTCTTGAAGTCGTCCAAGCTGACTGTCTCCTCATCCCTGCGCACACAGGCATCTTCAAATACCTTCGCGCCGAGCCAGAGGACCACTACTTCATGCTTACCGAACCGCCCCTCAACCCGCCGGAGAATCGCGAGAACACGGCCGAGATCATGTTCGAGTCTTTCAATATCAAGGGACTGTACATCGCCGTCCAGGCTGTTCTCGCCCTCGCCGCTTCATGGAACTCGAACAAGGTCACCGACCGCACACTGACGGGTACGGTCATCGACTCGGGAGATGGTGTTACCCACGTCATCCCTGTCGCAGAGGGGTACGTCATTGGATCGGCGATCAAGCACATTCCCATTGCTGGTAGGGATATCACGTACTTTGTGCAGCAGCTGTTGAGGGAGAGGGGCGAGGCGGCGAACATCCCGCCAGAGGACAGCAGGCTGGTAGCGCAGAAGATCAAGGAGTGAGTGTGCCCGCCGGGCAAGACAAAGACAAGGCCTGCCCTCGCTGACTGTATGCTGTCCCCGCGCGCTCGTAGAGACTACTCGTACGTCTGCCAAGACATCGTTCGCGAATTCCGTCGCTTCGACGAGGACCCGCTGAAATACTTTGAGCGATACGATGGCGAACACTCGGTCACGAACCGCAAGTACAGCGTCGACGTAGGCTACGAGCGCTTCCTCGGCCCTGAAGTCTTCTTCAACCCCGAAATCTACTCGTCAGACTACCTCACACCCCTCCCCGAGGTCGTCGACACGGTCATTCAACAATCGCCCATCGACGTGCGCCGAGGCCTCTATAAGCACATTGTCCTCTCTGGCGGGTCGACGCTGTTCACGCATTTTGGTCAGAGGCTGAAGAAGGATCTGCGTGCGATTGTTGATAGGAGGATTGCGGCGAGTGAGACGCATTCGGGTAGCTTGATGAGGAGTTCGGGCATGGAGGTTAACGTCATCTCGCACAGGAGGCAGAAGTACGCTGTTTGGTTTGGAGGAAGTCTGTTGGGCAGCTTGCCTGACTTCTACAACGCGACGATCGACTCGCAGATGTACAACGAGTATGGGCCCAGCGTTGTCAGGAGGTTCAATGTGCTGGGACAGAGCGGCGTATGAGCGGGCTGCAAGTGCGAGATTGCAATGACATGTCGTTTTGACCGTAATGAAAGTGAGACAAGTCTTCGCGATCTGTAAGAAAGGAGAGTCGGCGCTGCGCTTTGCTCAGGCGTGGGTGAGCGTGATCCGTGCGAATGAGGCGAGCAGGTGCGAGGGCGGCAGCGGGAGGAAGCGGAATTGCATCATTGCCTCTTTCTCACCAACCTCTCTCTCTCTCATCTCTTGATCACCACCACGCACTCTTGTCGACATGAAAGTCGCCATCATCGGCGGCGGAGTCTCTGGGCTCTCAAGCCTTTGGGCCCTTGAAAACTTTTCGTCGCACGAGGTTCACCTATACGAGTCCGGGCCGTACATCGGCGGGCACACGAATACCGTCAATTATCAACCGCCACCTGCCGCTCACTCTGCAGCGGGCAAGGAGCTAGCTCCTACGCCAGTCGATACCGGTTTCATCGTCTTCAATACCGTCACATATCCGAACTTCTTGCGTTTCGTCAAGTATGTCGGGGCAGAGATCCTCGAATCGGACATGAGTTTCTCGGTGTCCCGATGGGGGATACCAAGACTCCCAGAGAGGTTGACCTTCTTTGCTTGCCTGTTCCCTACAATCATCTATTCGGACGGCAATGATACCAGCAAGAAGCAGAGTGGCAGTGCAGCTTCGGCTTACGGTCGTCGCTCCTCAGCTCCGCCCTCCCCTTCACGACAAACCCTCTCCCGTCCTGGGGAGCGAGGCAACAAGCCCGTTCGCGGCTGGTTCGAGTGGGCAGGTGGATCACCCGCAGCCTTGTTCTGTCAGAGTACCAATCTGCTGAATCCGAGTCATTGGAGGATGGTGTGGGATATTATTCGGTTCAACAATCAGAGCCTGGAGACGTTGCGGCACTTTGAGGAGACGAGTCGGCGTGGCGGGTCGGGCGAGGGAGATGAGGGAACGATTGGGGAGTGGTTGGATGAGAAAGGGTACGGAGCTGCCTTCAGGCGCAACTACCTCATTGTGAGTGCTGTGCATCTGCTTCTCTTGACGGTAAGCTGACCATCTGCCTTCGCTCGGTCGCCACCAGCCAATGACAGCCTCCATCTGGTCAACACCTCCCTCCCTCGCCTTCTCCTCCTTCCCCGCCATCACCCTCCTCCGCTTCATGCACAATCACCATCTGCTGCAAATTCTCGACAGGCCGCAATGGCTCACTCTCAAGTCCGGGTCGCGCACATACGTCGAAAAGGTACTGGCCAACGTCCCCACCAACCGAATCCACCACAGTGCCCAGGGAGGCGGCAAGGTGACGCGCGTCTCGCGAGAGGGTAAAGAAGGGCAATGGCGCATCAAGAGTGCGGATGGGGCCGAGGAGACATTCGACCACGTTATCTTTGCTTGCCATGCGGACACGACTCTGTCCCTCCTTGATCCGGTCCTGCCTGCGGAGGACGCAAGGCGCTTCGCCCTCTCACAATTTGAATTCAGCAAGAATGAGGCCGTCCTCCATGCAGATGAGCGACTGATGCCCGTACGCCGTTCAGCCTGGTCCGCCTGGAACTTCATCGCTGAGCAACAAGCGCATCCAGCGAACAAATCCTTACCGAACGGGGCTCTCCCTTCCACCATTCGCCAAGGACCCACGCAAGACGCAGACCGAGTCGCTCTCACCTACTGGATGAATCTCCTCCAATCCCTCCCCGAATCGCGACATGGGCCTGTGCTGGTAACTCTCAATCCGCCAACATCCCTTGAAGCTCGACCACGGCAGGAGCTAGTAGCCGCCCGCTATTCTTACGAGCACCCAGTCTATACAGCGCGCAGCGTCAAGGCGCAACGTAGCCTCGTTCCGCTGCAAGGACAGGATGGCTTACACTTTGCCGGCGCATGGCTCAACTACGGATTCCACGAGGACGGCTTTTCGTCAGGACTCAAGGTGGCAGAGAAGCTGGGCGCTAAGCTCCCCTTCGACATTAAGAGTGCAGAGCGGCCCTTGCCAAAGAGGGATTGGGCTCTTCTGCTCGTCTCCCTCCTCGAATTCGGGAGGCGTCACCTCCTCGCTCCGCTTGTCTCGACCTTCCTCTACCCGATTGTGGTGTGGGGCACAATTCTCCTCGAGATGGCAGCAAATGTGGCCTTCTTCCTCGTCATGCGGGCAAAGGGTGAGAGAGTGAGCGGGCAGCGTTGTGCGATCAGGAATGAGTTCAGGAGGGTCAGGGCGGATTGGGAGGAGAGTCGGTGGGAGGACGAGAGTGGGAAGAGGGTGGGTGGGGGAGGGATGTGGGCGAGAGAAGGTGCCAAATGATTTCGAGGCGGCAAAGGGTCCGAACATAATACACGATCAATCTTTGGGCATCGCGCTAATCCAATACCATTATTCGAGGCTGAACTCTGGTCCGTGGCGAGCCGCACGAGCTGAGAGCTCTCCTTGCTGCGTAACTCCGAGATGATCGGATGCGCAGCTCCCCGTACCACGTCGCAAATGGCGTGATTGACAGCGGTCAACGAGGTCGAGTCATCGCTGGTATCCCCGCAAGTTGAAGGCAGCTCGATCGAGAAGCGTGTGAACGAGGCAGCGGCGTCCAATTTGCCGAAGCGGGGCCGGGCGATTGATTGCGAGGCGGACTCACGATGCCAGGCACAAAGCTGCGTGTGCCGGACGGACCTTCCTTGAAACCCCTTCACCCACTCGTTCCCTCGCCCTTTGTGACTCCAAGACCTGAGCTGGTTGATCGATCGCCCGTAAGGCCATCGCTGGGCATATATAGCGAATGAGAGCGCGGGGAGATCGCTGGTGCGCTCTTTGATTCCTTCCCTCCATTCGAAAGCGATCTCGGTCAGGCACATCTTCTTCTTCCCCGGTTCCCAAGCCCTTGGTCTTGGGCGCAGAGAATTCTCTTTCTCACTCGACCATCTTCGCCACCTCTTCTCCTTGCAGCCATGGAGCTCTCGATCTCCACTTCCCACTCCGAGGTACAGACCTACCCAAGCGTAGCCCTCAACGAGCCAGAGCTGGCCCCAGATCCCTCAAAGACCATCGCCTCATGGGCGTCCGTTGCCGGTCGTCAGGCATCGATGTTCGTCATCGCTATCAAGCTCACGGTTCCGCCAAAGACGAAGCCGCCAGAGAAGATTGACTCGCTGGTCCTCACACTCATGTCGAGCGAGACGATGAATGTGCGTTTGCGATGCGAGGGATCTTGTCGTGCGACACACGCTGACCCTCTATGCACCCCGCCAGTTTCCAAGCGGCTACTGGGAGCAGAATAATCCCTTTCACGACCGTCTCGAAGTCGAGTCAGCAGCAGGCATGGCTATTCAGGCTGGCTCGACTTACTATTGGGACGTGCCTGTCCTCATTCCTTGCAATGCTGCTCCTTATGAGCGGGGGAGGTACGGGCGTAACTATTGGCGGCTTTCTGCGAAGATGCAGCTTCCCGGATTGATACTCAAGAAGCAGATCACATCGGAGAAGGTGAGGAGCGCGCGCGCGCTACATGAAATGATCCAGACAGGAGCTGATCGTTGCGCCCTGCCCCTCTGCCACAGAACCTCTTCATCATCGCCTACCCTCTCGACGAGGCCTACTCGTACGACCACGTCCACTCAGGCCTCTCCGACGGGCTTGGTCCAGTCCAACTTTCCTTTATCTCCCGCTCTTTCAATGTCGGCGGCTATCTTCGCGGTGCCATGCTCCTTCCGGCTCCTTCACCGGCCATTAAGCTGCACGCCATGACCATGAGCCTGCTCCAGACCGCTGAGTTGCATTCACGCAAGAAGCCCGGCCACGTAGAGCACTACCCTGTGGAACGGTACGAATTCTTGAGAATGGAGGGAGAGGAACTGCAAAGCTATGTGGACCATACGGGCGCACTGGTGAGGAGGGTACCATGTAGGGAGGCAGGGGGGGCGATTCAGATGGAGTGGTAAGTCAGCAACTCCAGGTGTGGTCACGAAGAAATCTCGCTGACACCTTCGCATGATGCCGCAGGATCACCCGTCTTCCACGCGATCATCAAGCGCGCCCGACGACAGTGATGGGCGGGGACGCTCACATTCGACACAGCCACCAGCTCGAATTCGTGCTCCTCTTCGACACAGATGGAAGCAAGCCAGTGAAAGATGAGCGGGGCAATGTGCTGCGGAGACGATACAGAGTAACTTGGCCCGTCTCGCTCCTCAGCTGTGCATTGAGGTGGAGGAGTATCATCCTGCCAGAGGTGAGTGGCGCATCATCACGCCGAGGCACAAGGACTCAACTGATCGTGTTCCCTACCATTTGCCTAAAGTACTCTGAGCAAGACGCCAACCCCGTACCAGAGCGTGACCGCGACGCCTACACAGGCCCAAATGAGCACGAGGACCAAACGCTCTGCAACTGCGGCGAACGTACAGAGGAGTTCCTCAAGTACGAGGATATCACAGAGGGCCCGACTGTATTCACCACGGATCTCATGCGACAGGGCCTGAGGGTGCAGACAGGCAGTGGTAGAAGGGTCGGGAGGAGCGCGAGGAGGAGGGGAACGACGCCCGCAGCTGGGTCGGCGGGAAGTACTGCGGCCAATGGCAGTGGCGGCGCTGCAGGCCGGTCGCGATCGCATGCACGCGTCGCGGGAGAGGGCTCAGTGACGCCACGAGCACGAGGCGTCTCTGGAGCTCAAGGCTCTTCGTCACGCAACGCTTCTCGCTCGAGACACGGCTCGCCATCGACCTCTCGTCGTCCCTCCCGTTCACGCCGTACGTCACCCTCCCGCCTGTCCGGGCGCCCAATGACCATCAGCAGCCAAGGCTCCAGCGACAACCTGAGCAATGGCACTCCCGATCGCCTGTCCATCGAGTTCGCAGAGGAGGAGGACGAGTATGCCGGTAGCGGCAGCAGCGGGTCGAGACGTCAATCGGTCGATGACGCTTTTGGAGATGGTGGATTCCTGGATGAGGACGAGGGCGATGCATGGGACTCGGAGGACGATGAAGAACTGATGAATAAGCTGGAGAGGGAAAGACAGAAGCGGGAGCAGTTGTATACGACTACGCCCGGCAGACCGTACTCGTCAAACGGTGGCGGCAGCGGCGCGGCTACGCCTCCCGTGGCATCAAGTTCGGGTTCACGACATGCGTCCAACCTGCACAGGCACGTTGCGTCAGCGCTGAGGATTGGCGCGAGGAGTAGCAGCCGCAGCCGTGACGCCAGAGGTGGAGAGGGAGCGAATGGAAGTCGCCCAGGGACCCCAGGCCCGGGCGCAGGTAGATAAATCGGGCACGCCAGTGTGGGACTGGATCTTTGCTTGCACTTGTACAATAGCATTGCATTTTCACTCTTTACTACTCGTCGTCACTGTCGCTGGCTTCCTCCTCATGATCAGCGGCGCTTCGCTTGCCCTTCTTCCTCTGCTTACCATTCTCCCGCTGTGCCCTCGCGGCAGCCCTCCTCTCCTTCTCCTTGACCTTCTCAGGCAAACGTCTCCCCTCTCGTCTCTCCTTCCTGTCCTCCTCCAGCCTCCTGCTCCCACTAGCCTCCGCAATGGCCTGACGTTGTACGGGTCGCGTCTTGAGCTTCTTGCGTGCCTTCTTGCTGGCAGCAGCCCCACTACCGCCCTTCGCCTTGGCCGCCAAGGCTTCAACACCTCCATCGAGGAGGAAGGCGGGCACCAAGCCGCGCAGTTCCTCCTCATTTCCCGCAACGCTCTGCTTGATTAAGTTGAGAATGCTCCTCAACCCGCCCACGTCCTCTTTAGTGAAGAAAGACACAGCACGTCCCCTTCTCCCTGCCCTACCAGTTCTCCCAACTCGATGCACATAGCTCTCGGTACTCGTCGGTAGATCATAGTTGATCACTAGATCCACCCCCTTGAAGTCCAGCCCACGCGCCATCACCTCAGTGCAGATGAGGAGCCAAACCTTGCCCTGCTTGAAGGAGCGCAGCACCCCCTCGCGTTCCGACCTAGAGCGGTCAGAGTGGATGGCATCGACTCTCAGCCCGTCGTAGGCCAGCTCGGAGAGCAAGTCTTTGGCGCGCTCAATTGTCTGGACAAACAGCAGCGTGGGAGGAGTGATACCCCCGGACTTGGCCATACTGCGCAACTCGAGGAGTTTGCCCTCCTCGCTCCCCACGAAACGCAGTGATTGCTCGACGTCCCCACTGCTTGCGTCCTTTCTCCCAACGATCAAGCGCACATGATCCGGCGCAAGAAGGGAGCGTGCCAATGTCTCGACGCTAGAGGGGAGGGTGGCAGTAAACAATGACTTGCGAACGCCGGAGGAGCGGGTGCAGAGGGAGAGGAGAGAGTCGACTTGCGGCAGAAATGCAGAGCTGGAGCCGAGAAGAGTGTCCGCTTCGTCGAGCACGACGTCAACTACGTTGCTGAGCGACCAGCCTTCTTGCTCCGTTGCTTGGAGCAGGCGGAGCGGTGTCGCAATGACCAGGTCAAAGGAGGCCCCTCGACCGCCCGACGTTGAAGGGGCTACTTTTGGTTCACCTTCCGATTCGGCTGCGGCGATGGGCCGGATCTGGTCTCCACCAGTGAGGAGCGAGACACGAAGTCCTCCCTCGGTCTGCTCCATCTTGACCTTGTTCTTCTTTCCCCCCTTCTTGCCCGCACTGGCAAACTCCTCCTCCGGCCTCGCCCTCAACAATCTCCTCGCCTCGTCGTAAATCTGCGTGGCCAATTCTCGCGTGGGCGAAAGGATCACCGCACGAGGGCCATGTCCTCCTTCCTTCTTACCATCGCCTCTCAGTGTGCGATGAAGCAGAGGAACGAGATATGCGAGCGTCTTTCCCGAGCCGGTCGGCGCCATTGCAAGGAGATCGCGCCCATTCATCGCGACGGGTAGGGCAGCCCGCTGGATGGGTGTGAGGTCCCAGCCTCGTTCTGCCTGGAGCTCGTCGATGAGCCAAGAGGGCATATCCGTACTGCGAGTGATTGCTTCGTCCCATGATACCAAGGGGAGGGGGTAGTCGGGACTGCTGCAGGTTATGTTGATTCGATGGGCGCGGAGGAAGGGTTTGAGGGTGGTGGAGTCGAGAGGGGTAGCGTTGGAGGAAGAGGCGGAGGTACGTTTACGCTTCTTTGCCGTTACGGCTGAGGCTGTTGACGACGAAGCCTCTGCAGAGCTCGCGGCCTCTTTCTTGGCCTTGGGAGCGAAAAAGTCGAGCTCATCAGGCAAAGAAGCAGCGATGGGAGTAGACTGCGCAGCCTTCTCTGTCTTCGAGGACGATGATGGCTGAGCGGAAGACCCAGCAGCAGTGGGCTTGAAGACGTCATGAAAGCTCGATTTGCTCTTGTCGAATGAGCCCACACCCATCGATAGGGTGCGGAATGCTGTCGACATGGTGGCGAGTGATGTGGTGAGGATGCAAGTGATGGAAAGGGAGGCGAGAGCGCCTTTCCGTCTCGCCTTGACCTCAAAATTCTCGAGCCCGCTTCGACGCGGCCGCGGAACAGGACTCAGAAGCGCCGCCGACCTCATGAAGATGAACACAATATCTGACACAGGTAACGACGTACGCTCATTGACCACCGCAATCAGATGTCTATTACTCGCGCCACATCGCGCCTACCCCTCCATCTCGTGCTGCTCAATAACATCATCGATCTTCAGGATCTGCCTGCAAAGCTGCACAGCTAACAGCAACTGGCTGCGCTTGCTCAGCATCGGGTCATAGACCCTGCACCTCTTCATATCATTGTCCCCTGACCCCATGCAGTCGATCCCGAGCCTCGCGTCGCCTTCCACTACCTGCCTTGACTTGACCTCTGCAAGCGTCTCGATGGGCGGATATCCCGAGTTCTCTGCGAGTGCGAGGGGGATAGCGTCGAGGGCTGAGGCGAACGCGCGCATGGCGTATTGCTCGAGAGTGGCAATCTCATCCGCTGCCCGTGTGATTGCTACGCTGCCTACAATCTCGGCCGCTCCTCCGCCGTAGACAACACGATTGTCTCGTACAAGGTTGCGTACCACGCAGATGGCGTCGTGCAATGCGCGCTTGGCCTCATCGATGATCATCTTGTTCGATCCACGGACGAAGACGGTAACTGCTCGGGGATTGGCGCACTCTTCGATGACCAGCATGCGATCCCTCGTAGTACCAAAGCTGACCTCTTTGACCAAACCAGCAGTGCCCAGCTTCTCCGGGCTCAAGTCTTCAAAGCGAGGCACGATTCGCCCATTGGTCGCAATGGCGATCAGCTCGATCTCCGGTCCGCCGACCCAGCGTACAGCGGGAAGGTTATGTTGGAGCAGCAAATGGTTGGCCTCATCGTCGAATCCCCACTGGCAGATGACCAGGTTGGCGCCACAGTCCTTGACTCGCTTGATCATGTCCTCGAAGGTCTTGCGCTCGTATTCCTGCAGCTTTTGGTACTCTTCCACCGAGCCGATGTCGAGCTTGTGCTTCGTCTTTGGGCGCGGAGGCTCGAAGGGGCAGGTCAAAATGGCAATTTTGGCGTCCTTGACTTCACGCGGCATCTGCGGGTGAGAGAAGTCCTTGTCCACTACTACTCCCTTGACAAGCGATGTGTCCTCGAGGGAGCCGCCGATCTTGCCGTCCACCTTGATCAGCTCAAAGTCTACGTCTCGTCTCTCCAGGTCGGCAACAGAGAGCACAGAGTCGACTGCGATGTTGGCGAAGAGATCAGAGGCTTTGCTGACGATCTTGGAGCCGAGTGACGTCTTGGCCACCTTGAGGAGCTCAGCGCGGTCGTCGAGCGAGAAATCGACGCGGTCCGCTACCTTCTCCAGCGCATCAACGGCGACAGTGCAGGCACGCTCATAGCCGTCTGCGATGCGGATCGGGTGAATACCGCGGTCGAGGAGCGTCTCTGCTTGCTCGAGGAGAGCTCCCGCCAAGACGACGACGCCCGTTGTGCCATCACCGATCTCGTCGTCCTGCGACTTGCTGAGTTCGACGAGGAGCTTGGCAATTTGGTGCTCGAGCTCCATGTTGTTCATGATTGTGGCACCATCGTTAGTGACCTGGATATCTCCATCGGGCGAGATCAAGATCTTGTCGAGTCCACGAGGGCCGAGCGAGGTGCGCAGGATCGATGAGACCGTCTTTGCTGCAGCGATGTGGCTCTTGATGGCCTCGACGCCCGTGGATCTCGTCTTCTTGGCCTGCTCACGGACGACGATGAACGGACGTCCGTACTCATCCTGGGCGACTTGGACGTTCTCCATGGTCGAGTAGGATGAGAATCAAGTGAGTTGGTAGTCAGAGGAGTGGAACACAGTGGACAAAGCTCCAAGTGTTCTTCTGGTCTGGCGGGAGGAGGAGGGGGCGCAGAGGGACGGAACGGAGCAATCGCGACGCCAGTCCGTCCTTGACCCCGCTCCAAGCCTTGAGCCGGTCGATTGGCAGTGTGGGCCGGGCGAGCAGCCGGGGGAATTGATTCTGCCTTCTCTCTCTCCCATCCGTTTCATCTTCGCCTCACGCCAACATGGCGGCATCATCGTCGTCATCGTCGTCGACGTCGTCGTCGCCGTCGAGCACGCCTGCTCACGCGATCATTGATTCGACGTACACATCCCTTTACTCACTCCTTTCTGCCCCGGCCTCCTCTTCTAAGCACCTTTCTCTCCTCCCACCCAACGCTCTCTACTCTTCCATTACTCACTACCTTGCACGATTGCGCCAGGCTACTCTGCCCGACTTTGTCAAAGTAGTGGCCATCAGCAGGAGCCTGTGGAATGCGCCGTCCATTATTCAGGAGGGTGGCGTAGAGCGCATACACGAGGATCTAGCACAGCTTCCGACGAGCAATGAGCCCAGTGCGGGGGGAGGTGTCGAGCCATCACTAGCCTCTCGCTCGTACCATCTTCAGCTCTCCGCAGCACGCGCCTGCTTTGCGCACATTGAGCTGCTCCTGACCACGAGCAAAGGAAGCGTAGGATGGGGCACGCAGAGGAAGTTGCGACACTGGGTCAACCAAATTAACTCCAGCCTCGTCGAGGCGAGCAGCGCTGGCGGCATCGAGACTTCTGCGACCACTGCTGCGACGTCGCTCACTCCAATGATGCACGGTGTGGATGTACCGCGCCTCTCTATCCTCACCGGGCTCGTCGTCGGCCTGTCGGCTTATCGCCAGCAGAACAAGGACAAGGACGCCCGCCTGAGTGTCAGGCTTGCACTGCGCGCTGCCGAGTCGTACTGGTTGGAGGCATTCGCGCATGCTATGCAAGCGTTGATGGACATCAATTCCCCGCCTGTAGAGCAAGCAGCTGAAACAACCTCGCCAGAGAGCGAATGGGAGCTCGAGTTCAAGAAGAGCAGTAACGTTGCAGGGAATGATCTAGCCGCATCAGCACGCCGATCTTCTCTCACACGGGAAGCGGCGCTGGTCCCTCTCCTTCTCGCAGGGCAGGTCAGTCCACTCCTCTCTGAGTCTTCCCTTTCCTCCCTACCCCTTCCCCTCGTCGAGGGCATCCTGCACCTCATACCCCTCTCCATCCTTCCCCTCTTTTCGCATCGCGCCAACCTTCGCCTCTCGTCAACGCCTGGCGAGTTAAGGAACCCAACAACGCACGCCCTCTTTTCTTGCCTCGGGCCACTGTCAAGATTGATGGCATCCGCAGCAGAAGTAGCGGTGCTCAAGATGCGTGGCGACGATGTGCAGCGGCTGCTCCTCTCCACCGAGGAGGCTTCGGTCGGTGCATTGCGCCAGCTGGTGGAAGTGGCTGAACAGCTATACCGGGACTTTGCTTCCGGAGGGTATCTAGCCACTTGCCCTTCCTCGGATGCTGCGGCCCTGGCTGACACCTGGAAGTCACTCAAGGCCTTCCTCTTCATTACCGTCCAGCTCTTCGATTCTGTACTCGATGCGCTTGTCACGACTCTCCCTTCGCCAGTGACCACGCTTGTCGACCCGGCTATCTGGGTCGCGCAATGGGCTCATGATCGCAAGGCCGGAGACAATGTTGGTGCAGCCGCTCCGGCAAAGGCGACGACGAACATCCCGCGTCACGTACTGGAGATCCTCAAGCTGCAGGTCATGGGCCTGATGAGGTTGAGCTTCGTCACGTTCTCCACGACAAGTGGTGCAGGCGACGGACAGGCATCAGAGCGCCCTTTGACATCCAACGACATCTACAATCGCTTCACGACTTATCGTCATGCCTTCTATGGCTCGCTGGAAGTCATCCGCTCAGATTGGGCAGCCTCGACCACCTTGTACGAAGAGCTGCTGCAGGCGAGCACCGGGACCGAAGACAGAACATCTGGGAAGGCGCCGCCGAGCTGGGTGGTCCGCTCACGTCTTGTCGTACTGCTCGACTCAGCAGAACAGCTCCTTCCCTCTTTGCCATCGTCGCTCATCTCGGAATCGCTGCTGCCACTCTGTCGGCCACACCTGCTGCTGGAAGCAAGTGGCAACGCCGACGCGGATCTGGCCACCTTCGAGAGCTCGCATGCCTGCCTTCTCGCTCTCTTCGAGGCCAAGCGTCCCGAGAGGTTGGTCAAAGATGTGATGCCTTACTATGTCGAGGCATTGCTGCAAGGCCATGCGAAGGGACAGATTAGTGGATCTGCCAGCGGCGAGGATGGCGAGGAAAGTGAGGAAGAGTCAGCCGGGCCAGGTCAACTCAGCCACGCGCTGAGCACGGTCGTGGCCTGCATGAGCGACGTGGATGATGCGCGATGTTACTGGGTTGTGGGGCGATTGGAGGAGGAGGTGCGCGCCAGAGATGGGGAGAAGCGATTGGACGTGCAGCTGGCGCTAGTCGATCTTCTGCCGACAGTGAACCTGGTGCTGTTGAGGTCTGTGCTAGGGACCGTGAGGTCGTATATACTCGACGAGAAGGAGAAAGCTGGCACCACAGCGAATGTGTCCGCTACGACGGAGGGCGAGGCATCCACTGCAAGTGAGGTGGACGAGAAGGGCAAGACCAAGGCCAACGAGGAGGACAGCGCATCTCTGCCTGCCACATCACTCGCGCACCGTCTCCTCTGCTCTCGCACCTTTGCCGCCCTCAACTCGATGGACGATACGGCGAGGCAGGAAGGGGTGCGCTGGTGGCTGGATCATCGTCGCGAATTTGGCGTCTAGACGTTCACGAGCTTTGTTGTACATGCGGAATACCATTGCTTTGCTCGCACCTACGCCTTCGGAGGCTTGGGCTTACTCTCAGCAGCCGCGTTTTCTCTGACCCAAAGTACCACGTTTCCCTCCCCTCCCTTCCCAATCCCGCCAACTTCGCCATTCGCCTCCTCCCCTCCGTGCTCATTAGGCAAGCTCGGCCTCTCTTCGACATTGACGCCACCACTCGCGACCACCAGTACCTTGCCATCCCCACTGAATGCTGCTGCACTTAGTGGGCTCGGGAAGCTGGGCAGCTGCCTGATGCGCTTCTTGCTGACCGGGTCCCAGTAAGAGAGGACGGCGTCCCCACCCAGGGAGAAGAAGGTGCCATGCACGGGATGGTAGCCCATCTGGTTGACAGGGTATACCACGTCTATTCCATCGACGAGGAGCCGATGACATTTGAAGGCGTATTTGCGCGCTTGAGAGGTGGAGGAAGGGTCGAAGAAGTCGACCGCTATGCGTCCTTCGATGGAGGATGTTGAGAAGCCTGTGTGCGGGGCGAGGGGGAGGATCAGTGAGCGAGTTGTAAACAAGATGGCCCTCGCCCTCGCGGTCTGTTGCACTCACCAATTCCGTCCACATTACATCTCACATCTCTGACCATGTACTTCAAGCTACTCTCCCTCGTCTGCTCCGGATCCCATTGCTCCCCGTCATCCTCTCCACTCATCGCGTCACATCTTCTCCTCAACTCTTCGAGATCATAAATTCTCACTTGCCTAGCAGCCATTGCGACGACCAATCTCCTCCTCACTCCCTCTTTGGGCACTAGAGGACTTGCCGTCCATGGAGGGCTGACGTCCATTGCCAAGGGCTTTTCTGGCAACGTGAGCGTCTTGAGTAGACGCGGCTCAACTGCCGTTGGGTCCCAAAGCTTGAGAGTCTTGTCCCACGATGCGCTAATTAGCAAGTTAGTGCTGGTTTCATATCGCATCCGACAGATGGCACTCCCATGTTTCCCGAGGATGGTCGATGACCCGTCCTCCAAGTTGAGCAGCCGTACTCGTCTATCGATGCCGCCAGAAGCGGCGAGGGTAGGAGTAATCCAGCATACGTCGAGGACGGGTGCTCCATGCTGAAAGCTGTGCACCTGACGCGCGGCTTGCGCCTTGGCTTCTCCACTGAGCGCTGAGCTGGAGGCATTGTTTGCGTCGACATCGGCCAGCTGGTAAAGACGAACGGTCGAGTCCCAGGAGGAGGTGAGGAATTGGCGAGAGAGCTGCGAAGAGGAGCTCGGATCAGGGTGGAAGACGATGCTCGAGATGGGATGTTGCGGCGGATTTGGCAATGTGTACTCCGTCGATGTCAGCGGATGATTTGAGCTCGAGGTTGGGGTTGGTTGTGGAGTGGACGACATCGTGGATGCGCGTGTTGATGTCAAAGGACGGAAGAAAGAGTTGAAGCGCGCTTCGTCTCTGCACGCCGCTGTGTTGACTTGCTTTCGCATGTCGGGACTGATCTGAGCGCCGCGGCGGAGACGACGGCCCGGATCGAAAGTCGAGGACATCCGGGCTTCATTGCGAGCCTCTTCTCCTGACCACGACTGCGTAGTCTTCTCTCACCACACATCGTCGTCATGGCCGGAAACCAACACGTTTCGATCCCCGTTGATCCCTCCTCAGCGGGCACAAGCTCCGAGGGCATCATCAAAGCGCCCGACGGACTAGACCTCTACTTCAAGCGTTACCACCCGTCCTCCCCTTCGCCCCCCGCCCTCTCCGTCGTCTTTGTGCACGGATTCGTAGAGTACATCGCTCGCTATGAGGCCGCCTTTCCCGCCTTTTCTGCTAGAGGCATTGAGCTCATTGCCTTCGACCAGCGCGGCTTCGGCCAAACAGCGCAAAAGGCTCCGGGGGGATGGGGGAAGCATTACACCACTACGAACTGGCCGCAGCAGTTCATGGATGTGCAGGCGGTCGTCGTGGAGCAGCGCAAATACCTCGATGACAAGTTCGGCAGGGATAAGGTGCCGATCTATCTGCTGGGTCACTCTATGGGTGGTGGCATTAGCATTGCGGTGTTCACGCGTGATGCGAGCAGCCCGGAGCACAAGGACCTCGAGCAGCTGAGGACCATCGTCAAAGGAGTGGCAGCTTCTTCGCCTTGGCTGACATTGACCAAGGTGAGGCGGTGTAAGCCTGACGCACCACTTCGCTCAATGTCGCAGCGAATACTCACCTCCCTCCTTCCACCTCATCCCCCAGCCCGCCCCGTCCGTCATCACCGCTCTTGCTCCCTATCTGATCAAGGTCTTCCCCAATCTTAAATACCCCGTCGACCTCAAGGCAGAAGAGCTCACCCGTGACCCTGCGGGCCAAGAAGCATGGCGCAAAGATCCCATGATCCAACCCTGGGTGAAGGCCGTATCCGCTTTTGGCCCTCTGAAGGGCGGCGAAGACATCGTGGCGAACAAGTGGAAGAATTGGGACACGAGCAAGCCGCTCCTTATTGCGCATGGAGAAGATGACGGGGTGACGAGCTACAAGGGGAGCAACACGCTGGTGAAGAAGATCCAGGAGGGCGTTCAGGGGGCGAATGTTGAGTACAAGGGGTTCGAGGGTGGCAAGCATGAGATGATGTTCGATCTGGACAAGGAACAGGTGAGTATCGATGAGGACGACGAGACTCAACTTGGATATTCTGGTCCCCATCTGACCTCCTTCTTCCCATGCTCATGCCTCGCAGTTCACCAACTACATTATCGACTGGCTGCACAAGCAGGCTGCCGAGGGCGTAAAGACGCAAGCTGCTTGAGCCTATCTACAAGCCACTGTATACCCCACGCTTACTTCTCACAATACGGCACGCTGTACTTGGCGAGCCCATACACGGTGAATGCCTTCTCGATTGATGTACCTCGTTGCCGTGGCGCTTTGAATGTCTGTAGTCGGAAGCTTCGGCAGTCATGCTCGCCTCATCCGTTGTTCTCACTTCATCAACGTGCATCTGCCTATCCCGATAGCACTGCTTCCTCGTGCAGCAAGCAATATTATGCTCCATTGAATCTACCTAGCCTCGTATCCTCGCATTGAATCGTCGTTGACAGCCTTACCGCCTCTCACCTGTAGTGCTGCGCCGATGACGTTGAGGCACAGCAAGGAACGCGCCACGCGAGCGGGCCAAGGGAGCGGGCCAGTGTCGAGAGCGAGGGAGCGAGAGACCGAGAGAGGAACCCTAGTGCGGACGGGCACAGCCTGGCTTGCTTGCCTGGCTTGCTTTAGCTAGCCTTGCATTCCTCACTGCTTCCTTCTCCCTGTCCTCGTCGTCCCATAGAGCGGCTCATTAGAAAGACTGCGGCTGCCATCTGATTCGGAACGATCGCCGAGGCTAGTACGCAACCAACCACGTCTCGCGCCAAGACGAGGAAATCGACGGACGTTCATTCGCTCCTTTGCTCCCACTCCTTTAGCATCGCCCGGCCGCACCGACGACGACAACGACGAGGCTCGTAGCAACGAGCAACACGTTCTCTTCCTTCCCCTTTCCCTTCATCGTCTGCATCTCGCACCCACCATGTCCTCTCCATCCTCCCCGTCGTCATCAGGCGGCGCAACGCAAGCTGCCTCCTCATCGCCGTCATCGTCCATGGCCCCAACCGATGCTCTCTCGTCGCTTTCCCTCCAAGATCGCGCTGCAACCGGTGGACCTCAACCTCATCGCGTCGCCCCTCCGCCGCCCACTGGTGGTCCACCTGCCTCGAGACCAGGCGGAGGCTCAGGTGGCCCGCCAGCTAGATTTGGCGGAGGTGGTGGTGGACCTCCGGCGAGACCGGGAATGGGCGGTACCGGTGGACCGTCATCGGGCGGTCCGGCAGCAGGTGGTGGTGGAGGAGGCGGGCCGATGAACGCTCAGGAAAGGGCAAGACAGATGGGCGGGGCAAGGATGCCACCAAGTCTGCAGGCCAAGTTGGCTGCCGTGAGTATGGCGCAACTCTTACGAGACGACCATGTACACCCGTAGCTGACATCTCCTCTCTGGCCCGCCTACAGAACGCAGCTCGTTCCTCCTCTGGCGCCCCTGGCCAGTCCTCCACTCCCTCCTCATCCGGCTCATCTTCACAAGGTCAACCAAACTTCATGTCTTCACAACAGCGTCTCGACGCCTCTTCCCTCCTCTCGCGCGGGGGCGGTCCGGGCAGCCGAGGTCCATCCAGTGGATCTGGTGGTCCTTCCTTCCCTCCTTCCTCAGCACCAGGCATGGGCGGCTTAGCAGCACGACGTGCTGGCGGCTTCCCTGGCGGAGGAGCAGCTCCCAAGCTCAGCCAGATGGGCATGGGCATGAAGCCACCCAGTGGAGGCCCCCCCGCAGCTGGTCTAAGCGGCAAACGTCAGAAGCCCGGCCTCAAGCTGAGTGACATTGGCGGTCCTGGCCCCTCCTCACCCTCGGGCTCAGGCGCAGGCGCCGCCAACCGTAGCATAGGGGGCACCGCCCGCAGCGCAGGCCCGCCCGGCCGACTCGCCTCTGCCCCCTCTGGTGGGCTGATGAGCAGCGCCTTTTCCGAATTCAGCGACGTCATCGACCCCTCTGGTCGCCTCAACTTCGCAGGCAAGGCCATCCTTCATGCCTCGGGCGTAGAGTTCGGTAATGGCACTAGCTTCAAGATCAACATGGAGGATCTAGAGTTGCACGACGTGCTTGGCAAGGGAAACTACGGTGAAGTCAGAAAAGTCAGACATACTAAGACGGGAGTCGAGATGGCCATGAAGGAGATCAGGCTGGAGTTGGATGCGTCTAAGCTGAACGCGATCATCATGGAGCTGGACATCTTGCATCGAGCAGTCAGCCCGGAGATTGTCGAGTTCTACGGCGCCTTCTTCATCGAGAGCTGTGAGCACGCGGTGCACCGCAATGACGATGACGAGCTTTGCTGACCTCCTTTTCCCCCCTCTCATACCACCCGCTCGCGCTCCTCGCTGCACGTCAGGCGTCTTCTACTGCATGGAATTCATGGACGCCGGCTCCCTCGAGTCCCTCCTCAATGGGCCATGCTCAGTCCCTGAGCCCGTTCTTGCCCGCATCACTTCTCGCATGGTCTCCGGTCTTGCTTTCCTCAAGGACTCCCTCCAAATCATGCATCGCGACGTCAAGCCCACCAACGTGCTAGTCAACTCGCGCGGAGAAGTCAAGCTGTGCGATTTTGGTGTTTCGGGCCAGCTGGAGAAGTCGCTGGCAAAGACGAATATCGGCTGCCAGAGCTACATGGCCCCGGAGAGGATAAAGGGAGAGAGTATGGCGATGCCCTCTACCTACACCGTGGCGAGCGATGTCTGGTCCCTTGGGCTGTCAATCGTCGAGGCGGGGCTAGGCGTCTATCCTTACCCACCGGAAACGTACAGCAATGTATTCGCCCAGCTGCAGGCCATTGTGCACGGCGATCCACCGCAGCTCCCCGCCGAGGCGTACTCCGACGTCGCCAGGGCGTTTGTGGCCGGTTGTCTGGAGAAGGTAGCCGAGCGCCGCTTTACGTATGCGCAGATGATGAGACATCCCTGGCTTGTCGCTGATCAGGAGCGAGGGGCTGATGGAGTGGATATGGTCGGGTGGGTCAAGGGCGCGATGCAGAAGAGAAAGGAGAAGAAGGAGGCAGCCAGCAGAGGGACGACCCCGGTGACGCCGACAAATGCGACGACGAATGGGGTATCGTGAGACGTGGAGAACGCAGGTCTTCATCGTAATGGATTCATTGGGATCTCGATTTGACGTGTGCTTGCCGCAGTGAGAGTGTGAAGGTGAGAGTGCAAAGCCGTACACATCTCCTTGCACTCCGTCGCAAGCCTGTCTTCTCTCTCGCCCCTCGCCCCTACAATTTTGCCCTCGTGATACTAGCCGGTGCTCCACCTTCATACGCATGATCCGCCCCCTCACTAACAGTCGCCAGCTCATCACTTGCAGCTGCTGGCTCCGCGGGTGCAGGCGGGACGCCGAACAGCCTGCTCCTCTCGCTGTTCAGTAGCGAAGCGATACGGAGTGCCCGGTCGAGATCGCCGCGCACCCTGATCCTCCCCATGTTGAAGAGACGCTGCGGGTGTTGCTGTCCCTGCGCCATGTGGAGCAGATCCTTGTCTGAGCACTCAATCGTCACATCGGCCCTCTTCTTCCTGCCCAACACTCCCTTGGGTGGGTACCCTCTCCCGACGGTCCCCGTCTTCTTCAAGTCGATGTACCACAATGCAGGTCTGAAGGCCCCTCCACCCTGCTCGGCATCATTTCCACTTCCCCTCGCCGCGGCTTCGGGCTTGGTGCGCGGGTTGCTAGGGTCAATAGGCCCGTCAGGTTGGACGATGAAGGAGAAGATGGTTTGCGTGTTGCGGATGAGCTTTTTGCGGGTAAGAGGGGCGGGTGGGTTGTGGATCAACTTCTCGACGAGGGCGAAGACGCGCGACGACTCGAAGGAGGGGCAATTGATTGACGGGTTGGCCGCAAGGGCATCCTCCGCTTCCGAGCGCATGCGCTGGCGCTCCTTGGAGACTGGTTGGGCTGAGTCCGGCATGGTTACTGCGAATGAAGTTAGAGGTCGTTGGTGGTGGGGGTCAGACGTGTGAAGAGATCAGGGTAGACGTGGAGATGACGCTGGTGGTGAGGAGGGCAACTTGGCGAGACCGAGGCCGAGGCAGCACAGCGGCGGCCCGTGGCTGACGAATCTCGACAGCCGCTCGCGACGGCCGCTCGGGCCACTTGCGCGGAGCCCCGCGTGGCCGTCCCGTGAAATCGAAGCCCAGCAACGCTCGCTTCTTTGGACTCCTCAGCCGCTGACCCTGCGCTCCCCGGCCCCGCCTGTCTGCAGCCAATCAGCCAGCCGTGCTTGCTTTCTTCGCCGTAGCGGACTCTTCACCCTTCCATGGGGATTTTCCCGCCCTGGTCGCCGTGCAACCTCATCCGCTTATTCGCAGTCCTCGCAATCAAGCTGAAGCATTTGAGTGCTGCTGAGATGTCGGGCCGACATTTCCTCCGCGTGCCTGAGCTCCTGACGACTTCCTCTTTCGGTGCTCGATCCGAGTTGACCGACGTGAGATGAGGTTCTGTGCCGTGGCTTGATGAGCTCGCTGATGGATCAGCGGAGAAGTTGCCGCGCCAACATGCGTCACCTTCTGTGGACCCTCACTCTTCAAGGGGGCAAGATGCCACCGTGTCAACGTCGTACAGGCATCCCTCCCCCCGCAGAACGGCTTTCGATTCGAGCCCGACTGCCCTCTTGCCGTGACCATGGACAGCTCAGCAAGTACGACTAACTTTGAACACCATCACTCTACGGCTGCCCTTCCTCGAGCAGCAAGCGCCGGCATGCGAGGGAGCATCGACTGTGAGGCCCAGGTCACGCGCGCCTGCAGCGGTAATGCTGGCCTCAAGCTCGCTGATGGTCGCAGGAACGGGCAATACTTTGGCAGCGGAGGGGAACAACGAGGCAGCGACGAGATCTCGGCCTGGTCCTCGTCTTCATCTCTGCATACAGCACGCCGCTGGCTCAATCAGGCCTACTCATTCTGTACAGCCGACCAGCCCATTGACTGGTCTTCGACACGTCTGCGCTTCGACGCCTGGAAAACGGCTACGCCCACTCGCTGCTTTGTTCTCACTCTACTCGCCGAGGCAGGAGGCGTCTGGCTCTTTTCCCTGGGATACCATGCCGCTATCTACTCGGCCTTGTATGCTTGGCTTTCTCTTGACAAAGGTGAGCCATGCAGTAGCAACCCCCAGACTGCCTGTGCTTACTGTCTTCGAATCATACTTGCGCGCGCAGTGGACGGCATTGACGCTACCTCTGCCGGTCTTTTTGAGTTCTTCGCCTTCTCCCTCTCCCTCTACTTCGCCCTGATCATCTTTGGGCCCGCTGGCTCGGGAAGTCAGCTCGTTCCGCAGGTGAGCGTGGCGGTCACCATGCTGGGGCTTGGTCCGCTGTGGAAGCTGCCCTTCATGGTCCTCGCTCAGACTTTAGGTTTTTGGGCGGGACAGCTTACTGCAATCGGCATCGAGTACGACCTGTTCCGGCAGCTCAAAGAGGAGGCGCTGCTGATGAGTTGGGGTGATAGGGAGGCATTCTGGGCAACCGGCGACAAAATCTTGGGAAAGAGTATCGCCCAACTTGTCATATACTATAAGCTTCCAACCAGGAGCTGGGCACCACAGGTGCTCAGTGAGGTGGTGCTGTGAGTGAGCCCGCTACCCGTCCAATCGTGACGTCTCTGTGCTCACTCCCCGCTTCCATCGCGGCGCAGCAACTTCATCATGGCTGTCCTGATTGCCGCCAGCGTCGACCACTCCAACCCCTTCAGCTCGCCGTCTAACTCCGCGTGGACCATTGCAGTTGGTGGTGGCTTTGTGCTCATCTTCTTTGGCCTCGACGACATGGCGACTTGGAGCTTCCGGTGGGTCACGGGTTTCAATTGTTGGATACTCTTCGGGATCGATAAGCGCTGTTTCCCTGCACACGAGTCTGTGTTTGAGGCTTTCGCGCCCTTGATCGGCGTGAGTAGCGACACGGTGGCGGCGGTGTCAACGAATGATTGTGCTCTAACTACCGGGCCCTTACCCGTACAGATGCCCATCGGCTTCACCTTCTACGCCCTTCTCATCGCAGACACGCGACGTCCCGCTGCAAACACCTTCCTTGCCCAAGTCGATGCTGAGGTCTCCGAGATGGCGGCCCAGGCTTCACAGAGCCAGCTCGAGCTCCTGGAGCAGCGTGCCAATCGCAAGGCGACTCGTCGCCGCCGTCGTTGGAGCAGCTATGGCCTGCAGCGCAAGGCATCGAGCGAGGTCCTGCCTAATACAGGTTCCGCTTTTCCCTCCGAGCATGCCGACCAGCTCACCAGCCTCGGTCGCGTGCAAGAATATCGTCTGCGAGGTCCAGCGGCCATCGTCGCACCAGTCAAGCGAAACGGTGGTCGGCCCCGGACGGCTGATTCTTCTGCGCCCACCGTGACGACCACCGTGACGACTACGACGGCTACGGCGGCTACTGAGTCCGCGGAGCTGCAGCCCAAGATCAGCTTCAGCAGCGAGTCTACGGCTCGAGGCGCTCCTTCACCGTTTCAGGCGCAGATGGAGAGCTCTTCCGCGTCTTCCGCAACTCTCTCGTCTCCCCTATATCCCACGATTCCTACTTCAGCGGCGCCGCCCATCCCTCGCCTCCACCGCCGCCAGCAATGGGCTGCCCCGTCTGAGCAGATCGTAGTACAAGGACAAGCCCTCACGGCTGATTACTCGCAGCAGCCAATGCCACCCAGCGCAGGGAGCTTTGCCGGCCAAATCAACAGCACGAGTCAGGCCAACGACAGCAGCCATGGCGGTAGCGTCCCCACTACGCCACAAGGAGCCTCAGATGGGCTGAGGTTAGAGACTCGCGTCCAGCTGCCATGAATGGGTCAAGTGCGCTAGAGGGACGCCTGCCTCCTCGCAGCGCTTGAATAAGGTATCATGCGGGAACACTTCCTCTCACTCTCTAGCTCGCCATTTGAATTGCTGTGCAATTCTCGCGCCTTTTCCGGGTCCTTTACAATGCTACATCGTCACCGTGACCCACATCTCATCGCCGCTAGGCCACTTTCAAAAGCAGCTTTCCCCTCGATCCCCTCCCCTTTGCATGCTCGTGCGCTTTCCTCAAACTGTCAGCGGAGAGCTCGTATTCGCCGTCCACATAAGGCCGAAGAATGCCCTTCTCAAGCAGACCAAAGACCTCGGCTGAGTAACGCTCCATCTCCTCCTGCGTTCCGACCGTATTGACAAGCGTCGGTCGGGTCACCTTGACATTCTTCTGCGCCGTCTTCATCAAGCTGAACTCGGGTACAGCACCAGAGGCGTTACCAAACGACGCAATGGTCCCCTTGCGTGCGATGCACTTGAAGTCACCCTCCCAAGTTGTCTTTCCGACTCCGTCGTAGATGGCTTGTACACCCTTGCCGTCTGTGAGGGCCAGCGTGCGCTCGGCAAAGTCCTCCTTGGTGTAGAGGATCACCTCGTCTGCGCCATTCTTCTTGGCGAAGGCAGCCTTTTCCTCGGTGGACGTGGTGCCGATGACACGAGCGCCAAGATTCTTTGCCATTTGGCAGAGGTAGATCCCCACGCCTCCCGCAGCAGCGTGTACGAGGACAGTGTCCCCCTTTTGGACGGGGTAAGATTCGCGCAGCAGACCCCACGCCGTGAGGGCTTGAAGGTGCACCGTCGCGGCCATTTTAGCATCCACATGCCCGGGCAGCTTAGCCACCCTCGCCCTAGGCGTGCAGCAATACTCAGCATATCCGCCATTGCCTGGGTAAGCCCCGACCTCGTCTCCCACTTTCAGGTCCTGCACCTCCTCGCCCACTGCGACCACCTGACCGCCGATTTCGCTGCCGAGGGTAAAGGGGAACTTGACCGGGTAGAGGCCCGAGACGAAGTAATTGTCGATGAAGTTGACTCCAGCCCAGGACGTCTTAATCAGTACGTCGCCGCGTCCGGGGGTGGGGACTGGGGCCTCTTCGCTCTTGATTACTTCGGGTCCTCCGGCTTCGTGGATACGGAGGGCTTTCATTTGCTTAGGGATCGAGGCGGACATGCTTGCGTGGCGGGCAAGGAGGGTGTTTGAGGGCGTCAAGAGTGTCGCGGGGCGTAAATGACGAGTGAGAGCTGAGAGACGGTGGATCATATAAGGGATCTTAGAGTGAAATCAAGGAGTGGAAGGTGCAAAGCTGGCGCTGTCGGCCAAGGTCCTCCACCGGCCGGCGGCTTCGGCGCTACTCTTCGGCGCTAGGCGGCGGCTGGCACGCACGGGCCTCGCCACGCGAGCACATCTTTGGGACCAGCCCGCTCGTTGTCTCGTTCTCTCTTTCTCTCCTTACACATTGCTCCAATTGATGTCATTGGCGGCTGATGACATTGACAAGTGCAACACTCAGATAGCAGCGCTGGTTTGCTGGCTAGAAGACAATGCCATTTGGCTTCACCCTGCCATCGAGCTACGCCACACGGCCGAGTCGGGATGCGCCGCATTTCTTCGCGATGGCTACTCGTACATTGATGCCCGCACGGTAGGTGAGCATACGGTCGAAGCAGCACTCTCATTCAGCCAGCACACTGACGTGTCATCCTCGCTCGCAGTCGGCATCATACCCAAGACGAGTTGTCTGAGCGCCCGCACCTCCGCTTTAGCTACCCACCTCGCAGGGCATTCCCCGCACCTCCTCTTCTCGGCGGAGAGTGCTAGTGGACTCACCCTAGCTCTATGCCTCCTCTACGAGCATATCCTGAGCACTCAATCTCGATGGCATGGATACATCTCGTCCCTTCCGAGAACAAGGCCGACAGCGCAAGATGCGGGCAAAGGAAGGATTGGGGTCTGGCTTCCGTATGAATGGCCGGCCACCTCTTCGGCAAGAGCTTGGCTCAAGGGGACTGAAGTCGAGCGCATTCTACATCGAGCCGATGCTCGCCCCTCTCTCCCCGATAGAGCCTCTCGTGGTCTCAGCCTGCGACACATCAACATCTTCTTCGAGCATACCGCACTGCCTCTCCTCCGAAAAGCCCTCCGCTTACATCCACTTCCCGATGAGGGCGCCCTTCTGGACCAATTCATCGGCGCCTACAGTCTCGTCTCTTCTCGCGCCTTCCTCTGCGACCTGCATCACGGCCTCGTACTTGCACCGCTGGCGGACGCTTTCAACCACAGCGATGAGAATGAGGTGCAGTTCGAATGCGAAGAGGATGTATGCTTGCAGTGCGGCCAGCTCCCTTCATGTGGGCACCGCGTTAGTGAGAGCGGAGCTGCGCTAGCGACGGTGGACACCATCGACATGACGCTTCGCGCACCAGTCATCGCACATGCTGATGGGAAGCAGAGGGAAGTTTTCAACTCGTACGGACCGCTCTCCAATGCCAGGCTTCTGACGAGCTACGGGTTTGCGCAAGAGACAGAGACGGAGTGGGAGCGATTTGTTTGGGACTGGGAGGATGCGAATGAGAGGCGAGAGGTGATGTCGGCGCTGGGCATCGCCGATGAGCCAGAGCGACAACGCTGGGCTGAGATCGGTTCTGGCTGTAGCGGCGACGATGATCAGGAAAAGCGGGAGCTGCGAGATGCGCTCCTTCTACCAACTACCGATTCACAGGCGTGCGATAAGGAAGCAAGACCACTCCACCTCCCTACACCATCTCCCTTTTACCATCTCGCTACCTCGGTCAAGCACGAGGGAGACGTCCTCACGCACCTCGAAGATCTCTTTGCATTCCCTCTGTCCGCGTCCGACGATTTCACGCACGACGTCGACTACCCCCTCTTCGTTGACGGGAACGGCAATGTCTCCGTCTGCCTTTGGCGAGCAGCGTGGGCAAGTGCCCAGGCGCAGGAGGCTGTGTCCCGCGACAGAGAGGATCACAGTTTGCCAGGTGATCTTGCTGAAGCGGAGAAGTGGTTGGCAAGCGTGCTCGCTCAACAACAACAACATCAGCGGCCCGATGATCACAACATTTCGCGCCCGCTCGTCTCGTCCCGAGTCCTCCGGGCTCTTTGCTCGCTACGCGGGCTCATCTCGCAGCGACGCACCGACCTCGGTGTCTCCTCACCGTGTAAGGAGCAAGAAGCACTCGCACTCCTCGATGGCGAGAGCGATGATGAAGCTCGCTGGCACCGCCACGAAGACGTGCGAGATTCGACCCGGCCCGCTGTACGCTACGCATTGCTGTGTGCTATCCAGGAGAATGCGGCCTTGCGTGCTGCGATTAGCAGGATTGACGAGGTCATAGGTGCGATAGAACAAGAGCAAGAGCAATAGAAGGGGCCGAAGCGATCGTGTGACACTTCGTCTCGGCTACCCACTCGCGTATATCCCATCTCTTCTCGCTTTGTGTTTGTGAGTGATCCTTTTGGCAGACAACACCCAGAGTCGCTCAGAACTTGCTCGCGACCCCTTCAATCGGTTCGACGGCGAGCCGACGACGTCGCCAACCAAGCTTTGCCTCTCGGTACAGCGCCAAGCCGAGGCTAAGCAACAGCGATCTATCATCGAAGCGCAAGATGGAGAAGAGAAGAGCAATGGCGAGCTTCAGTCGAGATGTCGGGAGAGGCTTCGATGCTACTTTTATTTGATGGTTGACGAGGAGGCTCAAGGTGTCGCTTAGCTTCGCTAGCTACCTCTCTCCTCGCCTTCGCTTGACGAGGTGGGCTGGAGCTCCAGCTTCAGCCTGACCTCCCGCCTTCGGCGCGTCGAATCGCGTGCCAGTCTGCGCGCGCAGCATGATAAGCTTGTAGCTTGTGTCATTCTCGAGCTTGACACTTGAGCTTGACCTCGGACGCTAGACGTGGAGTGGACCGAAACCGGGCCAACTGCAAGCCCACACAAGAGCCACACGCCAAGACCCAACACATGTGCACCCTCGCACCGCACATTGGCCTGGTTTTCACTCTCCACGTCGTTTGGGCGTTCCGACTCCAGCTAGCTAGTCGCAATTCTCACGCAAGATGGCTGCTGATTCGTGAGAAATTGAAGAGGCGAGCAAAGCCACACCCTATGCGATCGCATGATGAAACGAGAAGACGACCTCCTCATCCTGCGCAAGGTGAGACCAATCACTGCAAGGGCGAGGAAGTAGCAATAGAAGCCGTGCGACGGGCGACCCATAGCACTCACAAGATCGCCATTTTATGCGCCGTTGCCGTCGTCTTTGGTTCGGTGGACGCAGCTCAGCTCGCCCGAAGCGCTGGTTTGGGTGATCGTCTGACGAGCGAGCTCGGACTCAGGTACGATGAGCGGTGCGAGAAAGAAGGATATGGCGGCGTCGACTCCGACATCGCGAGAAATGGGCCAGGCTCGCGTTCTCCTCCACGACTCTTCTCACACGCACTCTAATCTCGAGGAGCGAGCAGCGAGCCATCTAGCCATCGTCGGTTGAGCGGACGACGGAGCGGCCGATTGGGCGGACTTCTCACGAAGCGTAGCGGGATCTCGTCCATGCCAACATTGCCCTGGCTCTTCACGAAGCCCCCAGCTCCGCGAGCGTGCGCGCTGAGCGCTTGAATTCGTAGCTCTTCCAAACTCAAATGATACACGACAGCGATGCAACGACGACGACGTGTCGCATCGACTGCGGGTCGCACTGACATAGGCGTATTTGCTTGCTTGCTACTCGATCAACGACGATCACCGCGGTGATCAACTTGACGGCTGCTGTGCTCTGCGCTGCGCCCACCTACTCCTCGCAACCTGCGTCAAGCCCTCTGCCAATGGCACTTGACGGAAGACCCGGCGGGGCATTAGCGTTTGCTGAGCTCGGACACTCGGAAACAAGCTCGGGGTCGAGACTGCTGGCTGCACAAGCGCGCAGACACGCACAGCCGCCACCCTGTCATTCGCTCACAGCCATCATGATCTTTCGTCAACACTTCGTCTCACCCGCTGTGGTCTTCGCCTTGCGTCTGGCCCTGCATCTTGCGCTTGCGCCCTCGCCTTTGCGGCCACTATGGCCACCTTGCCTTTGCCTGCAGCCTTGACCCGCCTGCCTGGATCTCCCGCCCGCCCGCCCGCCGACTCCTCGCGCCTCACGTCCGGCGCTTACTGATAGACAGTTGTCACTTCAGTCAATGCTCGTCGATCGTGTTCATGTTCGGGCCCCGTCAATTTGCGGCTCCTCGTGCTCGTGCTCGTGCTCGTGCTCGTGCGTCGAGAGAGCTGAGTTCTGCGACCACGACGATCTGGGGCTCAGTCTACCCGCCGGACGCCCGTCGCTCGCAGCTGAAGCTGAATTGTGGTCCCTCGTTTAATGCACGCACAGACACACGCACATCTTGAGGCAAGGCGAGGTCACCCACTGTCGTCGAGGACCCTTGAATGTGTCGTCGAGAAGTCCGAGGGAGTGGGTCGATACAGAATCGAGCCAGCATGAGTTGCTCTGCCCTCTGCGCTAATGATGCGGTTGCGCTTGAACATCGAAGAGGGTCCAGTGTGAGCGAGAGACACAAGCTCGGTCGCTCTCGCAGAGAGTTGATAGAAAGAAGCAGAGAAGGCCTTCCCGTTCGAAATCAAAAAACGCCCACATCCCTGACCCTAATCGTATTCATTGCACTCCTCGTCATTTCTCATCCTTTCCTCGATCATTGGGCACCCTTCATTACCACGGGCCTCCATCGCCATGGATATGCGTTACTCCTCTTCGTCATCCTCCTCGACATCCGCCGCGTCCACTTGCTCCTCATTCTCCTCACCGACAACTCCGCACACTATGTCCTCGTCTGGCACCTCATATCGTCCACTTCGTTCGTCCTGCCCATCAGGCGACAAGCTTCTGCCCTCTCGCCGCGACTTGGCCGCGTCTCGCAAGCTGAGTCTCCAAGAAGCGCAGGATGCCCTCGACGAGGGGCTGCAACTCTTTCTCGGAGCTCGAGTTGCTCCTACGACGCACACGTACCCGGACACGTACCTCCTCAACGACTTGCGCGAATGGCAGCAGCAAAGCAGGCCGCAGTGGACGGTCAAGAATCCCTTTGGCCAGCCAGTAGATGATGACGGTTGCGATACTCGCGATGACTTCGACGAGTCCAGCATCGGCGACGACAGCAGCGTCATTCCGCCATCACAATACAGCAGCAGCGACACGTCGAGGCGCAACTCACGCTTCCCCTTCGACAGTGACTCGCGCTGCCCCAACGTACCACCTCAGACAGCCCCTGCCTCGTGCGCCATGCTTCCTTCCCTCTCCGCTCCACCTGCCCCATCGTCATCCTCGTCATCGAGCAGCGTTCGTGATGCAGCTCGTGCCCTCTTTGCCCTCTCTTCCGCTGAGCGCGCAGAGGCCATCGAGTTGGCGTCCCAATGGAAGCGTGAGGAGACACGCATGGGGAGGAGAAGCTTCGCGATCAAGTCGCCGCCAAAGACTACGCAACTAGCACCTGCGCAGCCATCAGCCATGTCGTCACCGCCGCGACGCCAACGCAAGAGCGACACGGTACCGCTGCCACTGCTTCGCATCTCTCCGCCAAGGCCGAGGCCGAGCCCACCTACGAAACCCGCGACATCGTCTGCCGCCGAGGCGGTACGCTTGGCTCCTTGTCCCCCAGCCGCAACAGATGAGCGCAAGGGTGTACGCACGGCCTCTGCGCTGGACTCGGTCGCCAATGAGCTGGCCCTCATGTCGGAAATGGCGCGCGAGGAGACCTTAGCGCCGCAGCCAGCGACCGTGCGGAGAAGATCGGCGGAGACGCGCAGCAGCAGCAACAGTAGCCGCGAAAGGCGTCCGAGTATCGGTGGTGTGGCGGCGGCGATGATGTCTGTGCAGGTGTGACAAGTAGGATTGGAGAGCCGATCGCTGATCAAGGGCTGAGAATGATCGCGCTCCCTCAATGTAGAATGTCACCGTGCAAATACTCCTCTATCTTCATGCCGACGCCTGATTGACTAGCTGTTGAACAGGCGTGTGTGAAGGACGTCGTGCCGCGCTTGTACGATGTCTCCTAGCGGCCAGGTATTAGCCGGCGCGCGAAAATCCCGCTCTCCGCGGTCCTCCTCTTCTTGGCCCCAAGCTCCTTCGTCGTCCCAGTTCCAGTCCTGCGCGAAGGGATTGGCTGCGGGTGTGCTCTCTGATCTCGCCGTTGCCTTCTTGTCCACCTCGACGATGCTGTCTGATACCTCATGCCCTCCAGAATCGATTGCCACGAGCCCAGTAGTCGCCACTCTTGACCAGTCCCTTTCCCCTACTACGTCTCTCACGACCTCTCTGACCTCATGCAACAACAAGGAATGCGCTGCGTATGGTCCGAGGGTATTGAGGCGAATACTGCTCGACAAGACGGTCCTTGCCTGCAAGAAGAGGTGAAGCGATAGCGTCGCATCGATGCCCATGCCGAGCGCGGCGGTGAAGATGCCCCAGCAGATGGACAAGTGGCCATGCGGCGCCGTATCGCGAGTAGAAGAGGCGCGGACCTTGCGCTTGTACTCATCGATCAACTCTTGCGCAGGGCTGGGGTTGGGCAGGGGTGGTGCGAAGGATTTGGAGTAGAGGATAAGGAGGGCCATTCCTTGTGCTTTGGAGGCGCGGCGTAGCACATGATTCGGGGAGAAGGCATGGTACGCCGCATCGAGGGTTATGAGCGAGTACAGCGCGGTGGAACAATCGTCGTCGCTGGGCTCGTCTTGGGCGAGGTGGGCGGTGACGAGGCGATGGGCATCAAGCAAAAAGGGCAGCGCACTTCTTGCATATGACTGAAGCGAGTGCCTTACAAAGTTGATGGTGGCTATAGCTGTGCGATCCCTGCTCGTTGATGGCACAGCTGTGGATGCCGACGCCGCGATGCTGCTCTCCTGCCGTAGAAAGCCATGCACTCCGTACGACTCTAAGCCGGACGAAGCAACGAACCCGCCCGTGGGCAGATTGGAGTCGCTCAGCAGGCTGAGCAAGTAAGCCTCGTCAAAGCTTTGACGTTCTGCCACTGACGCCGAAGAGCGGGCTACGGTAGCACCCCTGAACCTCATATCTGTACCGTACGAGTCGCCTCGCCTCGCCTCGCCTTGCACTCGTCTTAGCCTTGTCGAGCTGGGTGTTGGTTGAAGCAAAGAAGGCAGTCAGTCACGCTTTGCCGCCGATGCCGCCGCTTCTTCCGCTCGAGCGGGTGGCTCCCTCCGAAGAGTGGAGTGGCGGAGCGCCTTTCAAAAGCCGCACCTGTTCGCGACACCCAGACTTCAAGTTCGAAGAGACGCCACATCCCACGCCCAGCGGCACTTAGCTTCCTTTTGCTCCCTCATCATCTTTGATATCCTACGCTCGTTAATTCCAGTGGTCACCTCTTCTTCACCCCTCTTCTTCTTCGCTGCTCTCCTCCCTCTTTTCAATACTCTCTCGTCCGCCCGCCATGTCAGCGTCCGTGTCTCCTGCGGACAACGTCACGCACGCCGGCTCCAAAGGCAAGCAACCAGTTGATCCGCTTCGCGAGCCACGTCGCTCAATACGCCGTCGCCCCTTTGAGTCCACTCTCGCCTCGCATGACCCACACCTTCCCCACGAGAAGTGGTACAAGCGCGCAGAGGCACCTCGCAACCTAGCCTTTGCAGCTCCCTATCCTTCTTCAGGGGTCGTCCTCACTCAGCCCTCAAGGTGGAGGGACTGGCTCATCCCCGGCCCCATTGCGTTGGGAAGGGGCCAGTTTTGGTACCTCCTCATCGGTCAGTCCCTCATCGCCGCCGTCATCTCAGGCGCAATCAACTTTGGCGTAGCGTGCGCGACGTACAATCACTATGATCCTGCTGTCACGCCCATCTATTTCTGGAAGTGGTTCCCCGTACCCCTCGCGGGCGACATGGGCGTCACCATTATCGTTCAGCAGATCTTCTCCATGATCATCACCTCGACTTTGGTCCATAACGATCTCTCCAAGGGGCCAGTAGCCCCGCTCAGGCGGCCCTGGCCCCCACTTATGCATTTGCCTGCTACGCCGAATGCACAAGGCAGTTGGCTGGGGGTGAGAATCAAGAGCGACGTGAAAGAGGGGGAGACTCTCTATATGGGCAAGGCAGAGAGGAGCGGACTGGTGGGTAGATATGGCTGGTGGCTTATGCGCTCGATGTTCATGGGCTCGGAGCGCAATGACCTCCTTGCCCCCGGAATCACCTACCGACAACGGTTCGAGCGCTTGCTCTGGACGGCTTTCCAGGGGTTCTGCATTTGCCTCGCCACCTGGTGGTGGTACTGGCCTATCTCCATCGCTATCCTTGCGCCAATCTACGCCGGTCGCAATATTGCTGGCGGTTTCATTCCAGCCCTGATCAAGCTGATATACGGGGCGGTGCTTTCCCTGCTTACCAACCCGATCATGGCCCTCCTCGCGATGGGAGCCGAGTCCAGTGTCAGGAGAGGATACCCTGAATTGGAGATCTGGCGCCCATTCGGCGGGGAGGAGGACTACGACGCATGGTTGGCGGAGCAAGGGCTCACGCCCGCGGACGTTGAGATTGGTCCGGGTGGCATCGCAAGAAGGGTCAAGGTTGGTGGCGAGGCCGGAGGAGCATCGCAAACAGCTCAATTTCAAGAAGTGGAGACTACGACGGCGCCTTCGCAAGCGCAAGCGGCGCCAGCCTTGGGCGTATCCACCGCCTCCTCACGCACTCTAGCAGCCTCAGCAGCCCCGACGCCGGGCACCAAGACGAACGGCGCTGTCAGTCCAAAAACGATAGAGGAGGGCCAAGGGGCCCATGATTGAGTAGAGTAGATGGACCCGCAACGTCGATTGTAGATACCGTATGACATAGCTCGCAGTCGCTTCGCCGCTCGCTGTTTTGTTTAATTCGATACATTTCTCCTCGCCTGCAGCGTGAGTGAGCGGGAGGGATGGAGCGTGTTGGTTGAGCGAGGTCGGCCCTGGTCCGTCGATCAACACATGAGCGGCGTTTGAAATTGCACCGCCAGTTCAATCCACTTTCCCACTACCCGCCGGTTGCTTTTGCTCTCACTTCCTTCACTCTTGATTCATTCGTCCATACCAAAGGCAGCTTACAAGTTTCGCTGCCTCATACATCTGTTTCTCTCCAGCCGCTCGACCGCTATGCCTCTCTTCAGTGGCGGGGGCGAGAGCTCACGTCGCAAGGGAGTCAAAAAGGCGCCTGGCGGCGAGGCCCCTAACATCGATTGGGCTGCATTGAGCCAGCAGACGGGATTCACTGATGCAGTGAGCGCTGCGATGGATGCATTGCAATCCGCTGCGGCGGCAGCGACGGATGGGGGAAGTCCTAACAGAAGAGGCAAGGCGAAGGGAAGACGCTCTGCTGCGGGCATGGAGAGGGACGGCGCATCCGGTGAGTAGCGTGAGCCCGAGTCGATACTCTCCTTGAGCTACTCTAATCCTTTGAGTGATCCTGCACCAGCCATCAACAACATCATTCGCACACTCTCGCGCGCATTCTTCTCCCTATCACCAAGCGCGCAACGCAATGCCCTGTGGGGTCTGCTAGTGGTAAGCATCCTCTACATCCCTGGCCTCTGGACACTCAAGGTGGCTCTGGCTGCGGCGTTGCTCCTCTTCAGACCGCTTGATGGAGCGTCTGGACTATCAGGTGGCAAGCGCGGTGGTGCATGGAAGGTGCCCAAGCAAAAGGATGCGAAGGGTCAATGGTTCTCCACGGATCCGCTGGTGGCTGCGATGCAGGTGAGTGAGAGGAGAGCCTGGACGAGTCAGCCCCTTGAGGCCTTGGAAGCTGACGGTACATTATGCTCTTCGTCTCCGCAGAGAATACCAGAGACAACGACATACGGCAATATTGGGAGTCCGGACCCCTCATCCTCGTCTCCCGACCTCCCAGCCTTCGCAGCTCCTCCTTCACCCTCCCCCGAGCTCGCCCCACGGCCGCAAGCCTCGCCTTCACCCCGGCCGCACGCGATACCTCCTCCGCCTCTACCAGCATCAGTCACTCTCCCGGACTCTGCATTTTTCAGTCCTCAGCTGCCTCCCTCATCGCCACGCCCCATGGTACCATCACTGAGCGAGCCGCAACTCCTTTCTGCCACGCCGAGGATGCCCTCCCAGCTGAATCGGCCGGTACGTCATCCGCTGGAGAGCATCGTGGGACGTCAACAGGCAACCTCTTCGCCACGCCCTGACCCGCACGTCACATCAAGCGAAATCATGCCTAACCCTCACGACCGTTCGCGGGCACGTCACGTCAGCTCTCCCTACCACAGCACCCACTCCCCGTCCGTAGACAGAAGAACACATCGTCTACCCTCCCTTCCCCCATCTCTCCCGCCTCCACCAGGCAACGATGAGCGCGGACCTCACGTGACGTCGGGAGAATGGCAACGTGGTCCTTCCGGCTCGTTTCATCGCATTGCTGTTGCGAAGAAGGCGTGGAAAAGGACGTTTAGTGGACCATCGAAGGGTTCAAGGCAGACAGAGCGCGAAGAGGAGCGGGAGAGACTGAGAACCGAGCAGGAGTATGAGTTTGAGAGGGCGATGCGGACGAAAGTGTTCGACGAGGATCGTGCTGATACGGGAGAGGGCGGGTGGGTCGATGAGTTTGGCAGGCCAATGAGCGGGTGAGCGGACGGGAAGCTTTACCGTTCAGGGGCTCATGCGAGCGAAAGCGGGGCTGACGCTCCCCACTGATAGTGATGTTATGTGTATGATACCACCTACCTTAGTAGCTACATTCAGTGCTCAGAGAGCGCTCCTCTCATCCAGCTGTGGCCCCCTCGGCCGGCGAGCTGAAAATCGCCTGGCTCGTGCGCTCTCCGGCAACCCGGCTGACAAGACACCGCTCTAGTGCCCATTTCCCACCGCTTTGAGTCGGTCAACTATCTTTGCTGTCTAACCATCACTCTTTCCCACTTTAGAGCGGTCTATTTCACCACACTGCGGCTCTGAATAGCTTATTGAGCTCGATGGCTAGAATCCCTGACTAGAACGTGTGGTAGCCCACCACCAACACAGCCTTTCGGCGTATCCCGGCTTCAGGGGGACGACCTTCGCGGACGGACGCAGCAACGGACGACGCCGGCCACGAGGTTGAAGGCTAGTTGGGTCCCTCGGCCAGATCTAATCTTATCGGAGCGCTAGCAGCCCTCAGTTGCGGCACCTTTTGACGCGCGAGGGGCACGACGCCTCCTCCCTGCCTTCAACACCGTCCGCTATCCCCATCTTGCCGCCACCACCACCCGTCACCAGCCAGCATCATGTTCTCGCCTCTACCCCTCTCCCAGCCCCACTTCCAGACATGTGGTCCTTCCGCCTCTACCTCTTCTCTTGCTCCGCGCTCAACTGCACCGACTCACTACGCGCCACACGGCTACTCGGGAGATGGATGGCGTCAAATGCTTCTTCCCATTCCTTCACACGTATCCGACCCCTACCAGTTTCTCGACGAGCTCCGCGCCCAGTGGGAAGAGGAGACGCGTAGGCTCAATTGGATCAGGAGGGAGAGACAAGATGGCAGTTCTATACCGCCGCACATGGTTGGGAAATGGGCAAGGATGCTGGAACTCCCCTGCGAGGTTTGGAGGGGTATTGCGAGAGAGGTCGTGAGGGAGGGGGAGGGAGCGACTTTGGCCCGCGTCTCCCGTGACTTCCAGCACCTCCTCACTCCACTCCTCCTGGCCTCCCCTCACCTTGCGTCGAGTGGCGACCTCGACTCGCTTCTCCTCTCCCTCACATCGTCCCCTTCGCGTATCCTGCTCATCTCCTCGCTCTCACTGCAGCTCACCTCGAGTGCTGATTGGGCAAAGGCGGAACAGCTTGGCAACACGCTGAAGGGAGGCGGAGCGGACATCAAAAGACTGAAGCTGAAGTGTGCAGGCAGTGATACGGGGAAAGCGAGAGAGCTCTTTGGGTGCTTCAGACCCGAGGAGTTTGAGTGGGTAAGTAAGCGCTACCGGTAAGGCTCGACGTCAATCGTGTGCTGATCACCTTTCGCCCTCACACGCGCAGACCACCTCCCCGTGCTGGCTTATTCGTCCCTCACGAGCATTTGCCGACCTCCTCACACCCTGGTGCACCCACTCGTCGACCTCAGCCTCAGCACCACCGCCTTGCTTGCTCACCCTTCGCCTGTCTGGCTTCTTCCTCGACGACCACTTCCTCGAAGCACTACTGGGCCTCGCCTCGTTAGAGAAGCTTGTGCTCTTTGGACGAACAGTGCAGAACATTCCCATCGGCGTTCTGCGGGGCTTATTGGGAGGCTCTGAGTGGGAGGCTACATGTGAGGCAGAGACGAAAGGTACCTCCCGGAGGCCAGATCAAGGTCGCCGTCAGCTCCACCTTACTGAGCTGAGCCTCGTCGACTTACCTCGAGGCTCTGCGCAGAGGATACTCGGCCAGGTAGAGGATCTGGTCTCGCCCTGCGGGAAAGCAGCGTGGCGTGGTATTACTCGCGCGTCATCCAAGGAGGGAAATGAGGATGTGATCCTCAGCAGGGCATGAAATGCAGGGGACACTGTACTTATACGGCTACCGTGATCGCTGCAGAGCAGAGCATGTGAGGCCTTCGATACACGAAGCTCAATCCTCAGCAGTACAATCAAGCGGCTCGTGATCAATCTTTTGCAACAGACCTGTCATTGCCTTCAATCTAGTGTCACCGTTTATAATCTCGCCTGCTCCTTCTTTGGCTTCGCCTTCAGCACACAAGCCTGCGTCATCGTCGCGACGGCTCTGAAGTCCTCTCCTTCTCCCATCTCCTCCCAAAGCACCCCCTCATTGTATGTCCTCTCAAAGGCGCTCTCTCTCGCCTTGATCTCCCGCAAGAACCATCCTTCCCTCTCACTCAAGCCAGGCTTTCCAAGCAGCGTATCCTCGCGGTGAAAGCGTATCGCAAAGTCGAGCGATGCGCACGCGGCTGCATCGTCGAGGAAGCGATTGGTGAAGCTCAATGGCGAGAAAGAGAGGGCTCCGTCGAGGAAGAAGACGATGAGGCTTGCACTCGCTGCAGCTTGGCTGATGGGCAGAGATCCCTCTTCTCTTGACTCTGTATCGACGAGGGATCCCCGAACCTTTGTCCAATCATACCCAACCCTCTCTGGCACCGGCCTGTCCTCCTGTCCGGTCTTTGCACGCTTGTGGGCACCCCACGCAGCAGGTTGCCAGATTCCCTCGGGTGGTAGCTTGGAGACTGTGTACGCATTCATTGCGCTGAACGTCTTCGCTACGGCGTCTGCGGCGGCTTGAGGCAATTCACCGCTGCGAGCGCGTTCTTGCATCCCTTGCGGTTCGCCGGTCAGGCGGGTGTGGTGAGTGAGCGTCCCCGCAGAGGGGACCAAGCGCGGCTGGAGGGAGTAGGTGAGGATGCTGCGCGAACAGCAGGGGTCCAATGTCAGCCAATCGTGCTCGTCTCGCGCTCGATTTGTACCACTCACGAATTGTCCCTGCCGTTGGCCGACCGCCGCATGAAGTCCACTAGGCCGATATTACAGGCGTTGAGCGCCCCACCCTCTTTGCCCGTCGGCTGATAGACTTTGACTTGCATCGTCTCAAACGTCCTGGTGCTCCTCAATGAGGTAACTTCGCAGATGAAGTGTGTCGAGCAGAGCGCCGGGCGAAGGTAGAGGCCCGAGGCTGAGTAGATTGTAAAGGGGCTGCTTGATGTAGAGGAGGCCGGGTGTTTGGCCTCGAGGTGTTGGAACGCCGCTGCGGTCAGCACGGCCAAGGCGCAGCCGCCATAGGCTATATCAGCCGTGTTGCCCATGCGAAAAGGGCGAGTGAGAGATTCGTACCATGCTGAGCCGGACGGGGCTGAGCTGGTTGCAGAGGGCGTGTAGGGGCGGAGACGGATGACATCCAGAGAGCGATTCTTCTCCTCGGGCATGGCCATGCTGATCGAGGCAGACGATGAGCGTACGACTAGCGATGGTCTTCAGCTTTCCCTCTCGCAGTAATGTAATAGCAAGGTGGAGAAGGAACAACCGGCTCATCGCACCTTGTACCGGCTTCCCGGTCGGTACGTCGGTCCCGCAGGTCCGACCGAGTCCAAGGATGCATCCCAGCGAAAGCGCGGATTGTTGGAAGTTCCGAAAGTCCGTCGGTCCGCGAGATCTGTCAGGTCGAGGAAAAAGTTGAGATTGACGCAAAGCCAAGCAAGCCACACACAATCGCTTGCACGATACGGAGCAAGTAAAGGTCGGGAGAGCCATTTGTTGGGGTCTTTGACATGGCGTGGTGGAAAGAAACGGCCGAGGACCCTTCTGCGCATTGACAATTCGCCGGCGATGAGCAGCGGTGTGTAGAAGGAAAGGTTTCGCTCCTGATTTACTTCCTGTCTTTCTTACCACTCCATCCTCCCTCTTCGCCCATCATGGTAGGCGACCTCACTCCCCTCCAGATGGTCTTGCTCATCTTGAGCAGCACCTTCCTTTACACCTGGCGCTCCTCCCTCCCCCTCTCCTGGACACTCCGCATCATCTACATCAACCTGCGAGCACGCTATCTCGCCACTCCCTCCACCAAGACACCCTCTAAGATCACTCGATCCGAGCCGCATCTCCTCCTCTCTCGCCTCCCCGCACCGGGCACTGACATCTTCTCTGACGTCTTCACCTCGTCAACCTACGTAGCCACGATAGACGAGTGCGACTTCAATGGGCATCTCAGCAACAGCTCCTACGCCAAGAGACTGGACTTTGCTCGCTCCGAGTTCGCTGGGCAGCGTTTCCTTCGCGGTGGGATGGACGGAGCCTGGGTTGCTCTAGGCGGCACGAGCTTCAGATATCACAAGGAAATCCCAATCAATGGGACGTACAGGGTCAGGATGAGAATTAGGGCGTGGGACGAGAAGTGGTGTTGTGAGTGCGGCCGGTGCGGCATGCAGATGCCCGGGAATGGTAAACTGACCAGACTGCTCCCTCCTCCTCATCGCGGCCGCACACAGACATGGAATGCAACTTCGTGAGCAAGGACCGCAAGACGAGAAAGGAGGTCATCAACTGCACAGCCATTGCCAAGCTATGCGTCAAGGCCGGACGCAAGACTATCCCTCCCTGGCTCTTCTTCGCCCTCTGCGGCTATGCTCCCTCGACTTCCACCAACCCAAAGCACAACTGGGTCCACGCCGAGGACCTGCGTGTCCAACTCATGGCTGAGGCTCGTCGCAAGGCTGCATCGAAGAAGCGTGCCATCAAGCGTGACTCGTGGCTTCATGGAGGTGGGTACGGTAAGGCTGCAGGCGTCCTCACGGCTTACGTCCCCGTGGCAGGCGCGAGAGGTAGTGAGGTGGCCAAGGAGGCTGTCGGGGAGCGACCGGAGTGGATGGAGAAGAAGTGGTGGGATGTCGAGGGATGGGAGGAGCAAAGGGTCGAGGGACTCGAGAGCGTAGGCGAGATGGGCTTGACCCACTGCTAGGCTCGCAAGCGACCAGGTGGGACGCCAGGGCGAAGACGCGAACCGCATAGACTTAGAACATACCTGTTCATTGCTCCGACTAATCGACATTCTCTTCACGATCACCAGCGTCGCTTCTTCCTTGTCGGGCCGCTACGACCCCGAGCTTGGCGCCGCATGCACATTGTCGTGATGCTCGTCCTCCTTATGCGGCTTGTAGTTGGTACCAACGTCTGGATGCCCACTCTTCGCCTTCTTGATCAATCGCTCAATCCCATCAAGGCCACGATCTAGTTCCTCTAGAGGTGGGCCGAAGCTGAGCCTGACGAAAGCCTCGCACGGGCTGTCTACAATGTTGCGCCTTTTGCTCGGGTTGATGTCGAAGAAGATGCCAGGGGTGAGGCAAACTTTTTCCTTCAATGCTTCCTCGGCGAAAGTCAGACCTGAATTGATGGGAGGTGGAAGATCGGCGAGCGATACCCAGATGTAGAATGTGGCCTGGGGAGGAACTTTCACCTCCAGCCCCATTGAGGCCAGACGCTTGAGGCAGTGATCCCTCTTCATCCGGAAGTGCTTCTGTAGGGCGAGCCTGTCCTGCTTGCAGCGGTCGGCCGTCATCATTTGCAGGGCGAGGCATTGCATGGGATGGCTTGCCCCTCCTTCACTCCACGAACCTGCGGCAGCCAGGGCGCTCACGAGCTCCTTGGGACCTACGACCCAGCAGATGCGCCAGCCCTGCCGGCGAGCGAGAGGACGGACGCGAAGAAGCGTTCAGTGAGAGCGTCTCAAGCGGAAGGCCGGTAGGCCTACTCACCGGACATCGCCAGTTCTTCGTCAACCCATCGATCAGCACGATCGGGTCCTCATTGGGGTCCTCGACGTACTCAGCAGCAGAGATGGCACCACCCAACGGCCCCTCGTGGTCATACCAACTATAGAACTCGTCTGCAATGAGCGTTGCTCCCCTTCCCTTGAACACCTCGACCAGTCTCTGCAGCTCCTCTCCCCGCATCATTGTGCCCGTTGGGTTATTTGGATTGCTCATTAGCCAGCACGACAGACCGCGATCCTTTACTTCCTTGTCGATCTGCTCCGGTGTCACGCGGTACCCGTGAACTTCGTCCGTCTGATTGGGAATAGAGACGAATGAGTTGAAGGCGCCGAGAGTGTTCTCGTAGGCCGAGTATACGGGAACAGAGTAGCCTACGTTGATCTTGCCTAGGCAGGCGGCAATGCGGGAGAGGCCGCTGTGGACGGTGAGGTGGGGGAAGGAGGGCATGGTCAGCTCCTGCTGATGCTGCTGCCATAGCGGGTACTCACGCTCTCCCGCCTGGTACGATACAGATGTTCTCGGCACCGTACTTCTTCTTGTTGCCCTGCCTGAACTCCCGGTTGTAGTAGTCGGCCACCGCCTCGCGCAACGGCTTGTAACCCGCAGTAGGGGCGTACTCGTGAATGCCCTCGCCAAATTCCTCGAAGTTCAGAGAAGTAGGCTTCGGTGTGGCGCCAGGGATATGGCCGACTTCAGGAGCGCCCTGACCGAGACTGGGTGAGCGAGTGCGGGGTCGTGTGAGCGCCGAAGCTCTGAGCTGGGCTTGGTAAGTCGCGCCGTCGCACTGCACCGCTGCACTCACTTGGACCATTCTGGGTTGCCATAATAATATCCATTGGCCATGGCTCGATCCATGATGTAGATGACTCCGGTGGCTGGCCCAACCTCTATGCCTGGCACCTTGTGCGGCGGCTTGACATGGCCGGCTACGGAGCTGTTGTGCGACTTGTGAGTGCGAAACAGCTGGTGAGCCTCGTGGTGCGATTCATGGCTGCCATCACCCTTCTTGGCTTTCTTGTGGGTGTGGTGGTGGGACATTCTGCGGGCGATGGATGGAGTCCAAGGTGTAGATGAGATGGGGATGGGAAGGGGAAGAAAGGAAACAGCGGCGGGATACAGACTTGTTTGTGCCTTGTCGGCTGTGGGGATCGCGGTTGCACTCTGGCCGGCCGGCGGCACACGGACCCTAAGACACGTCTTCAAGTGGAGCATCGAGCATCGAGCGGCAAAAGAGGCAGCGACTTCGGCAGGCCCGCCGCCTAGACGGAGCTCCGCCTTGACGCCGCTCCGCACTTGAACTTTTGTTTCTTCCACCAACACACACATTCACGACCGCCCATGCCGCCACCTAGCGAAGCCACGACTAGTGCACTGGCCGCACAGTCACTTCCTCCTCTGACCCCGATAGACGTCTCAAGAGCAAGTGAGGTCCAGCCGCCAGTCAAGCGCATACAGACAGAGGAAGACCTGGCTGCCTGGAAGGGCTCTGAGGCTCATCGCCAGGTGTCCCTCTTCGTTGCGAGACTAGGAGAGGCAGCGGTTGGCAAGGAGACCCAGTGGCCAGCAAAGAGGGGAGAGCAAGCATTGTCGGGTGTCCAAGCGGTCATTGCGCTGCTTGAGACACTCGATACGTGGACGCATGAGATTGAGCCAAAGAAGACTCCGCAGCGATTCGGCAACACGGCATTCAGAGATTGGGGAGCTAGGCTCGAGGAGCGCAGCGAAGATCTGCATCGCAGCCTTCTCTCGTCCCATCCACATCTTCACGCATTCGTACCCGAGCTCACGGCATACCTCTCAGATTCTTTCGGCTCCTTTGTCCGCATCGACTACGGCTCAGGACACGAAGTCAACTTCCTCGCCTGGCTTGCCTACCTGAGTCGGCTTGGCTTCTTCCACCAGTCCTCCGCTGCCTCATCATCGACATCATCATCGAACGAGCCTGTTGCACCGACGCCCGTAGAAGAACAGCTCGCTCTGCGCGTCTTCCCTCTGTATCTGCAGGTAGTTTGGGGACTGCAAGATCGCTATGCCTTGGAGCCCGCAGGCAGCCACGGAGTCTGGGGTCTCGACGATTATCAATTCGTTCCCTACATCATCGGAGCAGCACAGCTACGCCTCGAGCTGGCGTACAAGCCTTCCAGCTTTTCCCAGCCATCCCACAAACCACCTCGCCGCCTTAAAGCCGCCGAGCTCCTTACTTTCCTCCCCACCTCATCATCGCGCGATTTATCTTCGCCACCGCCATATCCTAACCTCTTCACAAGCTCAATAGCCCGCATTCACTCCCTCAAGACTGGACCGTTCTTTGAGCATTCACCCTTGCTGAGCGACATTGCCTCGAGCGTACCGAACTGGAAAAAAGTGCACGGAGGCATGGTCAAGATGTGGGATAATGAGGTCATGGGAAAGAGACCAGTGGTACAACATTTCGTTTTTGGAGCGGTTGGATATACTTGGGAGGGAAACGCCAGAGCGACTGGGCCAGAGGGCGCCAAGACGACGAAGCCGGTAGCAGGTGGGGTGCCTGCGATGACGGCAACGATGGCGCCAACGGCTGCTCCTAGTCGCTCCATGCCGCCACCGATAATGGCGCCGTGGGCTCGGGGAGGAGCAACAGGCATGCCTGCTGCGTCGCCGGCGCCGTCATCATCATTAGGTCCGCGAGTCGCAGCAGAAAGAGTAACGGGCGAGGCGGCTCGAACCCCCACTGGCATGCCGCCGGTCACGAAGGCGCCGTGGGCAAAGTAGATTTCTTCAATACCCAACACGATTTCTCCCAGAGCTTGTGACGTTCTTCACTGCCTCTTATTGCATACTTGCTTGCTTGCTTTACTGTTCTGTCAAACCTTGACTCGGCCATCTCATCTGGTGCTGCGCGAGCACGTCAATGCAGAGTGAGCGAGTGGTTGAGTCAAGCAGTCAGACGGAGCGGACCAGGCGGGAGGCGGCAGGCGAGACGAGGCTGCCGCCCTCTGGTCGCTGGCCCGCTCGCTGCAGGCGGGCAAGGCAGCCCCCTCCATCCACTTCCCTCCTTCCTTCGTCCCAGCCCCTCACTCCGCTACCTGATACGATCTCATCGCATCACAAACACCCCTCCATTCCTTTCTTACGGATCGAGTGACCCAGCTACCCAAAGATATACGCTTACAGCCAACCTCAACCTCGTCCCTTCGCCCGCTCGCTCATGTCAACCTCGTTCACCTCGGGATCTCGATACGCACGTTTCATTGACAGCTCCCACTGCTATTCCTCCTACTCTGAACCGTTCCCGTATCTCGTCAAGTAAACGTCGACAGGCAGAGAGTCCAAACTTCCTTCATCTTCCGTCGCCGCTAGGGCTTTTGCCCTATCGTCCCCATTACTCTTGCAGCGATGCCGCCCTCCAGTAACAATGCCGCGTCGTCGGCTGCCCCCATACACGTACCAAGGGCGACACAGTCACGCCTCAAAGATGCTCTCTCGCGCATACGGGCCGTCCTGGTCAGCAACAAGGCCAGTGCAGTCGACCACGCCGAGGCAGACAAGGCAATCCGCATACTCCTCGACGATCCAAATGCTGTGCCTCCAACCCACACGACGCAGCCGGAGGCTACCCAGCTTGCAGCGCAGATTGCGCAGAAGTTCAACGCAGACCTCGTCGATGTCTGGCTCAAGGAGATGGACCAGGGAGATGCAACTAAATCCGCCCTCTTGGTAGGCTTTCTTGCCCAACTGGGCGAATTCCTCGGCGCTTCAGCCATTATCATGGAGTGGTGGGACCTCGTACTCCGACCAGTCCTCAAGGATCCTTCTGCATCCGACCGTACCGCTGCAAACGCGAGACAGCTCGCCGTACTCGCTGCATCCGCTGTAGCGTCCAACGCCTATCAGGACGAGCCGGAGCCTACTCCTTCCTGGCCTGCCCCGGCAGAGCAGAGTCAGACGCGTAAGGCGGGCGATGCGCCCTACCCAAAGGCGTCGACTGAGCCTACCACACCCAATCGCAAGAGCAGTTCGACGCTCAAGGGCAGTCCAGCCACGACGAGACGCTCAGCCCCCGCCGCAGACATGCATCGTCGCTTCACTCAGCGTCTGTTTGACCTCTACGTTCAGGAAGCATCGGCGCCGTTGGGCACAGATGAGGATGATGATGAGAAGCTGGAGGCAGTCGATCAGATGCAGGCATCTACTGCTAGCCTCGAGTCGAATGGGACTGCAGAAGGACTCAAGCACTCTTACCTCTGGCACGCTATCCAGCCGGACAATCTGCAGCCTAGCGACGTGGCTGCTACAGCTTGGAAGGGTGGGTGCGCAGCACCCGCGGGCCGAAGCAGCGTAGCATGGCAGATCTTGACTGACCTCATCGACCTCTTCCCTCTCGCTCCACTAGGCAACCTCGAAGCCATACTCATTACCTTCGGGCAAGGTCGCCCCAAGGAGTTCTTCCATCACCTCTCCTCCTCCTACGAAGAGCCCATGCATCGCATCCCCATCCTTCTTCTCCTCACTATCTTCACTCGCCTCAGCAGTATTCACACCTTCCACATCACCTCGACCCGCCTCCCGCAGGACATTATTACCTCCCTGCGCTTAGACACATCGACCACCCTCGTGTCGTTGTGCATCACGGCGTTGATAATACTGATCCCGCAGATTCCGAATTGGATTGCCAATGGCGGGGCTGGCGGTGTGCCGATTTTGCTGTTGACGTATGCCAGGATCGTCGATTGGAGGAAGTTGGGGCCTGGTTGGGAGCAGAGGTTGGGAGAGGGAGAAGAGATGGAGAATCTGCGCAGGCAGCTCGACGAGGTGAGCAGGCGCGACGAGGAGCGAGAGTGACCGCTTCTCCACTGACCTTACGACTTGGGCCTTGCTAGGAATTCACCGAGATGGAGCGCCTTAGCCGACGCCTCACTCTCCGTCCAGAAGTCAAATGGCGCCGCCTCGAATCCAAAGTCGACACCGACCACACGGGAGATCCGGACGCGCTCCGCTTCTTCACCGTCGTATACGGCCTCTTCCCCTGCAACATGATCCGCTTCCTGCGCGCCCCCATCGACTACCTCCGCAAGGCCAACTGCGTGCCCCTTCTCGACTCAGAGTGGGAGGACCTGATCGATGAGACGAATTTGCAGCTCCGTAGCGAGCCGATTCTCCGTCGGCACACCTTGCACCCTGCGCTCGTCGAATTGACCGCCGAGAGAGAGATCACGGACAAGCAACGTTGGATCCATCATGACGCGGCGGACACGACTGCGGAGTGTATTAGCTTGTCCGTGGAGAGCTGGCAGGGTCACCGCGGGGCGCAGACGCCTGTGCTGAGCGATGTCGTCTTTGGCGCGCGCGCTTCTGCCGGGCAGAGTGCGAGGGGATCAAGATCGGCCTCGCCGCGCCGTCTGATGAACTCGGAGCACCGCCAGGCTGCGGCCGACGATGTGCTCTCGGCATACACGGAGTTGCGCTGGGGCGGCATGGCGGCGAGACGTCCCAGCACCGGGGGAGCGGCGCGAGGCTCGCCCTTTCACCGCTCTCTCACGGTGGGCAATGTTCGCTCGGCATCAGAAAGCCCGGCCGGCCGCAGTCGCATGCCGACGATCACGCCTCTCAATGTCGATCAACCCTCACAAGCGGCTGCTGCCCTCTCCAGCCAGCTCAGGCGCAACCAAGCATCTGCGCCAACCTCGCCCACCCGCTCGAGCAGCTCTCGTCGCCCCTTTTCGGCGTTCAGCACGATCACGGCCTCCAATCTGCCCTCCGCAGCTCGCCGTCTCACAGGCATCGAGACTCCTTCCTCGCCCACCACACCTCACTCTGAGCTGCCGGCCTCCTCATCGTCGTCCTCAGTCCACGTCGACCAGACCGACCGTGCTGCCAAGTTGGAAGTCTACTCGGAGCTCAAGTATCTGCAACGAGAAAATCTCCTCCTGCGCAACGAGCTCAACTTCGAGCTCTACCTCAAAGACCAGCATCTCCGTCACATTGGACACTTGCATCGTGATCGCATCAACGACACGCGTCTGGAGGCAGAGAGGCAGAACCTGTACCAGACGGTAAAGCTGCTACGCTCCCAGCTTGCGGCCGTGACGGCGACGCAGGAGCGACAGCGCGCCGAGCAGCAGACGACGAAGGCTCGTCACGCCCAGTGGGAGGCAGAGCTGAACGGCAAACTGAAGCAGTACCGCGAGGAGCGCAAGACCTGGAATGCCGAAACACGTGAGCTGCGCGCCAAGATCGAGGAAGGAGTGGCCACAATGGATACCCAATCGAAGCGCCTCGATGAATCTTCGGCCGAGCTCTTCGAGCTTCGCACCCAACTTGAAAAAGCTGCCCCTCGCCTCGCCCGTCTGGACCAGGTAGAGGCACGCAATGCCCACCTGACGCGTTGTCTCGCGTATTGGGACGATGATGTCAGGCGATTTGAGGAGCAGAGGAGGGAGATGGAGACTATGCTCAGTCGATGGAGGGAGATGGAGTTGATTGTGAGGGCCAGCGAGGAGGATCGATACAGGATCAGTGAGGTTGCGGAGGCTCGGGGAGCGGAGTGTCAGAGGTTGAGGAGGGAGGTCGAGGCGATGCGACGACGAGGGGCTGCCGCGGCGTCTGATACCGAGGCTGTAGAGCAGCTGCACGAGAAGACGGCGGGGCTTGCTGAGGGGCAGAGAGACGTGCAGGCTGAGAAGGAGCGATCGACGGAGTCCATGGACGTTCACACGAACAAGGCACTACAGCGTCGTGTCGAGCAGCTGGAGGCCGAGCTGCTAGCTCTGCGCGTAGCTACCGAGGGTCGCAATGCCGCTCCGGCGGCCGAGTCAGCCACAGGTGAGGGCGCGAATGAGGCAACTTCAGCCGCCTCCAACCTTGGCGCCATCGGGTTGGCTAACCGCAAGGAGCTCGAGGAGATGATCGCGGCCGGTGGGGTTGAGAATCAGAGCGAGAAGGAGGATGGCCGCGACGAGGAGAAACAGGATGTAGAAGGAGAAGTGGAGGAGCAAAACGCTGAAGAGAAGAAGGATGCGAGGTAACGAGCTTCGCGGATTGGAGGAGCAACGAACATCCAAACTGCACCGTAATCAAATTGCAATGACCTGCTCTCACATGACCGCGACGAGCGAGGCAGTAGTCACCCAGTAGCCTGCAGCTGGTCCTCGCGCTATCCAGCCCTCTAGTAGCGGCACTGCGCAAAGCTATTGTCGCTCGTGCTTGCATGGTACACCACGGCACAGAACTCGCCATCCTCGGTGAAGATAGCACGGTAAGCCCCAGGGCTGCCACCAGTGAAAGCGCGATTGTTCTCCAAGGGGAACTCGAGATAGTCCGAAGCGTCGTTGCAGGAGAGGGTGATGTGCTCATCGGCGTATTGGTAGTAGGCGTGAGGGTAGCCAGAGGGGGAAGAGCCGGAGTTGTTGTCGCTGTGTTTGGGTGGGGGGGGATGCTGGGTCAACACGGGCAAGGAACAGGGGCCATCAGAAGCATGAGGGGAGGTAGACTTACTTGACGCCCGTGTTGATCGCCGTGTTGATGTCGCTGCGGCTGAAGGTGTGGCCTCCGCAGCTGGCAGAGTTTGGAATAGAGCCGTACGCCCGCTTGACGATAGGGGAGGCAGAGACTGTCATAGCGGCCACGGCAGCGGCAAGGACAATGCGGAGGGAGAACATTGCGACGAGGCGCGGATATGAGAGCGATGCGAAGATGAGAATGAGAGAGAAAAGAGGCGGGCTTCTCAATCGACACTGACGCCCCTCTTGTATTCTTCTCATTGCCCCGCGCTCACAGCGATAACACGTTCTCCTTCCCCGCAACGTGCTGCTCCCTCAAGCGCAGGCCATTTAAGCACCTCGCACCTCGCACCTCGGAACAACCGGCGGCAGGAGCTGCGCCGGCGGAGGTGATGGCAGGAGCGACGCCGGACGAGGAAGCGAGGGCTGGCTTGCAAAGCAAACCTTCTCTCTGAAGGGCAAGGGAAGCTTGCGACTAGATCTTGCTTGACGGAGCAGAGCTGGAGCTTTGCCTTGTCAATTTTGATCAAGTGACATCTTTTATGGTCATCCTGACCCTTCAGAGCTTTTCTCGCTCAGTCAGACGCTCCCCACGCCTCGCCAGCATCGCATCAAGTAGTCTCTCTCCCTAGCAATTTGTGCGAGGAGGCCTAATATTCTGCAAACTCCTATGCGGTGACTGGCATGACAATACGACCCAAGGTGACACGGTTTCCAGGCTGCTGCCATCATGCTTCATCAGCACCCCGTCGTAGGCGCCGTCTTATCGAAAATTCTCGCATAATCCCTCAGTAATGGCTCACAACGCGGCTTGTACGTATCCGGCTGATTCGCATTGATCTGACTGAACACGTTCGCATCCTGGAAGTGCAGCTTGTCCTCCGCAGTCAGTGGCGGCGAGGCCAAGAGAAGCGAGCAGTCCGTCGCCCGAATCGAGGCAGGCTGGGCCATGCGCGTCGGGCTGGCCAGGTGGGCCTGCAAGATCTTGAAGACAAAAGAGTTGGTGAAATGCTGAACATGCCCCATGACGAAGGCAGGGCCGCACACGTCTTGCAGGCGGACGTTCGTTGCGCCGTACAGGTAGGAAGTTGCCGTCTCTGGTGTGGGACCCTCCGGCTGGAGAATCTCATCCGTGGCGGAGTAGACGGACGTAGTGGGAATCTGAGCATTGAGCCCACCAGCGTTTGCGAGGGCTGTGACGAGATGACTGCCGTAGTTCTGCTGCCAGACGGCGGGTGTGGCCGTGCCCAAACCAGTGGTGATGGCTATTGGAGCCAATTTGGTGCCTTTGAAATCACCCGCCATGGAAAAGTGACTGAGAGCGTTCTGGCGCGCGGAAGGGTAGAAGGCGTAGGCCCATTGGGCAATCAGATTACCTTGCGAGCCGCCGATTGTGGGAACTTTCCTGCTCGACTCGGCGCGTAGGAGCTGAAGGGCTCGCACGAGGTACTCGACGCTGATCTGGATGTCGGCTTGTGTGTGGTTGATAGGGTTGATGTAGCACGGTTGGTACCCGAGAGAGGCAGTCATCGGGACTTGTGAGCGGTCGTATGCCTCGCTGTGGTGCCGAGCGTGGAGGATCAGGAGATGATCAGAGCGGCATATGCTAGTGACCAGACGAAGCTCCACAGGCTCACCTGCCATTCGTGCCTGTACCCGGCACGAGAAGGATGGGGTTCTTGATTCCCTTGTACGATCCCCCCGGCTGCCGCGGACATTGAAGCGAAGCAACCAGGAGGTGATCTGGAGTCACAAAGGGAGGGTCTCCCGCGGGAGGGCTTGGAGGGCGAGGGTGAGGATGAGCTGGCGCTGCCGTGACATCTCGGCAGAGAAGAGTGTGCACGATGAGCACAAAGCAGGGCAGTGACGCGAAGAAGGAGCGCATGATTGGCGTTGGACGTCGACATTCTGGCTTTCATTGCTCGACGTCCCACTCTTATTTGTGACCCATCTTCAACGCAGGTTCAGGGCAACTCTTCGTCCGCACAGCCTGCTTGCACTAAGCACACAAGGGCGGAACTCATGCTGGAAGGATGATGATGCTGACGAAACGCCGTAAGATCGCCGTAAATGGCAGCAGTCCAGACCTCGAGGGAGGAAGGACGCTAGGCACAGGCACAGGCACAATCCTACCAATAGCTCTTCGTCCCCACGCGCACTGGCCGCCAGGCCTGTCATTGTCGATCCAGATGATCCGCAAGTCTTCGACTCCACAATTGGCAACGGAGTGCCGCCGAAAGGCCCGATTGAGCAGCCAGGGCACCGCCACCAATACGGACCTGCCTTGCCCTCCTTGCGCTCCCAACCCCTGGTCCGCTTCTTGCGCGGAATCTCGTCCGCCGGTCCTCGTGCGATGTTACTATCGATGGAAGGCCAGAGCCAAGGCGACGTGCAACAAGATGGGAATTTCGGGGCCGCGGAGTTGTTGAGGTGGTGGTCAAAGCGCTCCGGATGACACTAGCTTGGGCCGGGCTTGGCGAGCCGGTGTGCGGAGGACCACACAAGGAAAGCCAACTTTAATAGGCGAGCTGGGCCTGGACACCCCGCGGCGGAGGCCGAGGCGAAGGAGGTCAGAGCGTGACCATGTCTCTAACGACAATATTATCCCCTGATCGGCCTGGTCTGGGAAACTTGTCATTGGCTGTCCCAGTTGGTGGTCTTGGCTTGATCGCGCAATGGTCACGTCGCGTCTATCGCGGTATGGCATCGAGAAGCGGTATCTAGACTGAAAGACGGCTACTTTCATGGTATCTCGCGACGAGGAAGGACACGTCAATGGCTTCGAGCCAGTTCTTCGGAGCGCATGGTTCATAAAGAGGCTCGATAGAGGACAAATACGTCTACTTGGTATAAGCGATTACCAGTATGCACGTATTCAAACGACTTCGTCGAGCTCGTCCTGCCAGCAGTGGTGCGCGCTGACGAGGTGGGCCATGACGGTATCCCAGTCCCACGTCCCCAAGCGGTAGAAGCCCCTGCAGTGCTCTCGGGCGCAAGACGGGCAGCTCTTGACCTCCTCGTGAGAGTGGGCCTCGAACCAATGCCGACAAGCAAATCGCCTCTGCGACTCCCCCGCTTGCTGCCCCATCCGCAGCCCTGTCTCCACTGCGTGGAAGCACGCGACGTCCCCCTGCGTGCACCGACGCAGCTTCTCCTCTCGCATCAGCCCCTTGAGCCTCTTGGCTTCCTGCGGGCTGGGGACTGGGTCCTCCGAAGCCCTCTTTGAGCTCGAGGCGCTCGCTCCTCCTCCTCTCCCCCTACTGGATGATGGTGCCGCTCCGCTGCCGGCCCCAGATCCACCCACCGCCTTGCTGCCCCTCGCCGCCGACGAGCCCGCCTTTGCCTGCTTGCCGTCATCCAGGTCGACGACGACGCAGGTGTCGCTCCTGCTCAGAGTCGGCTGCTTGCCGTTCTCCGGCCAGACGACCTAGGCAGACAGGTACTTGGTGGCTGGCCCATCGCTTGGCAGCCTCCTCCTCCAACCAGCCGCAGGGGTGAAGACCCAGCCTCCCGCCTGCTGGAACATGTCGTACCTCCCCCGCACGTCCCGCTTGAACCAGCTTGCGAGGGCATTGCCGAGACGACGTGACTCCCCCCTCCTCAGCCACTTGACGAAGTTGCCCCAGCACTTGACACTCCCGTCGAGGAAGCCGAAGAACTCCTTGCTGCTGTACGCCTTCCATGCAGCTTCGAATTTGCCATTGTCTGCGGCCCACACGTAGAATTGGGCTCGCGACTCTCCGAAGATGTGCTCTGCGAGGAAGGGAGACGGAGGCACGGCTTGTCAGCGTTGCAGACGTGGGTACTGTATGATGGGGGACGACATACTCACGCAGGGATCCCTTGTCGTTGGCGACTGAGTCGTCGCCGAGGAGGTAGATCCGATCGGCCATGTTGATGATTGGCCTCACGTCCTCGTACAGCTTGTGCCGGCGAATCTTCTTCCCAGCTCCATCGACCTCGACCAGCAGCCCGGCGATTGCATTGCCGGTTTTCCACACCAACCAAAGCACGTAGGGCTTAGCCTCACCAAAGAGATGAGAGGTCTCGCGCACCAGATCGACGGCTTGGCGGTGGAAATCTGTGTCTGTCTCTGGCGACGGGTCCCCGGTGATGCGCGCGAGGGCGACGTAGAGCTGCCTGTCCGGCAGGCCGGCCGAGCGCAGGACGCCAACATGGTCGACGTAATTGGGGGGAAGAGGGATGGAGACCTTTTGCGCCGAAGGGGAGGAGCCCCGGACCTTGACCTCTCCGGGGACGTCGGCAGCGGCGATGAGCGCTCGAGCAGCGTGGTATAGCTCGACGCATTGCTTTTGCTGCCCGGGCTTCATCCCCTTCTTCGCCTTGATCTCCTTTAGCACCGCCGAGGGGACAGACTCGGCGGTGCGTTGCTCTTGACGGTGAGAGTCTGCGGACGCCAGGTACTGCACGATCTCCGGGTCGTCGATCTTGGCGCCTAGTGCCTTCTTGATGGCTTGGAAGGCGCTGTCACCCGGAACGCAAGGGCGTTGCAGGGAATCCTTCGTTCGCCCACTTTCTTTGTCGCTCCTTTGTGCTCAGAGTCCGAGCTCCTGGCTCACGACGATGACGACGACGATGTGGACAATGTCTCCTTCAGCTCCTCCATCTAGGTCTACACCTTTGATTCGAGGTCCCTCCACACTACCGCGGAACGAAGTCGAGACGGTGGGGCCAGCTGCCTCGCAGAGATCGTTGACCAAGTCGCTCAAATGGCTCGAGTCTTCAAGGCCTGAGCATTCAGCGGAGTGGGACCCCTTTTGGCTCTCCTGCCGGCGTCGCCATGAAGTTGAGGGGCGGTGTATGACGGTGCGAGGAGATAGCAGACAGCTGTGAGTCAGTACTGGAAGCAGAATGTACTCAAGTGAGCGCCACGCGACTCACTTTGGATGTCGCTTGTCCACCTTGTTGTTCATGTGGGGCTGAAGAAGTTCCTGCGTTGCGTCTTGGGTCAGATAGGGCGGGCGTGGCAGCATACAGGGTCGGACACTAACGTTCACTTGCGCTCTTCCTCGCTCCTGCACTCCCTCTGAGCAGCGGCTATGGCTAGTCCGATATCGATCCCGAACATATTTGAGGATCCGTAGCGTCCCAGTGGCCGTCGCTTATGGTCTTCACTGAGGGGCATGACTTTAGGCTACTCGGGACACCGCTGCTCAGCAGCGACTCCAAGTCAGTCTAGAAGATTGTCTCCAGAGTACAGCAGCTTCGCTCCCAGCGTACAATGTCTGCAGGTGCTGGTGATGACCGCCAGATCCATTCAGTTTCTTGGACATATCCCAGACGTCTGAGCTTGTGGTGGCTATGATGAACCTGTCAACGTGAGGTCGATGCAGAGGGGGACCGATCTGCTTGGTGTCGTTGGCGAGCAGGCAGTCTCTGGCCAATACGAGGGCATTGAATTGCTCCTGCGTCCTGTGAGCGAGGGTCCTGCCCATGCCGATGTTGACGAGACGACGATGATTGGGATTGATGGGGACGAGAGTTGTGATAGCTGACTTGACGGCATCGAGTAGCCGCGACCGCTGTCACCGCTGCCACCGCTGCCACCTGGCAATCTCGGCCCATCCCTCGCAGTGCCTCGAAGTCATCATCAGCCGCCGTCCTGGCCCTGATAATGAGGCACCCATTTCCCGACGTGTGGTCATCGTCCGCGCCCATCACTTTGCCGCGTGGGCGGGGTCATCACACGTGAGGGTCGGGCGAAACGGGGAAGAGCTGGTGCTGAGGGTCAAGACGACTTTGCTGGGAAGGATGAGGGTAAGATTGGGCGACTGGAGTTAGTGGATTTTGAGGGGTGCCACACGGTATGAAGGCCTTCTAGCTTTCAAGGCGAGCCGCTAAGAGGGCCGAAGGCGTCGTTGGAGCTGTAACTGGTCGATCCATGCTGGTACGGCCACATCGCCGATCCAGGGCTCACGCACTCTCCGCCAACCGGACTACAGTACGGTAATTGCACATTCTGATCGCCTTGATCTGCAAATGCTGCTTCTGCTGTCGCCATTGGTAGTGAGTACTTGCTTCGATCGCAGGATGGCCACGCTGCTGCTCCAATCCGGCCATGGCACCGAGGAGTAACATCGAGGTCTAAAATGCGGCGTCGCAAGGCTGCTGCAGGCTTACGCTCTGCCCGCCCCGCTTGTGACGCACGCTCGCACGGGTCCACGACGGGTAGATTCTGCGGGGACCCGACGCGGTGAGTGGAGAAGCGTCAACAAGGCTTGCCATCCTCGCCATCATCCTCACACCTCTTAAGAGCCCTTCCAACCACATTTCTACACTTCATATCGCCGCCATGCCATCATCAAAGGGAGAGCCTACCGACCGTGAGCCTGAGAAGCGCCGCGCGACGGTTTGGCGGCGCTACCGCGTGACGCGTCCAACTGACCCTCTCTCGCCTTCTACACCTTCTCCGCAGCTCAACTTCGAGAGAGGATCAAGGAGCAGATCAAGAAAGAAGCTGGTGGCGGCTGGGCTGCGTGGTGTGGCGCAAAATTAGCCAAGGAGTATGAACGACAAGGAGGTGGCTACAAGAACACGCCAGACAATCCCAACAAGCCGAAGAAGGGCACGCCCGAACCCAAGGAGGGGGAGAATCGCGCCGCAGGCGGAGCCGCACAGACGGCCAAGAGGGAGAAGAAGGAGGCGGAGGGTAAGAAAGGAGATGGGGAGAAGCCAGACAGCAAGCAGAAGCCCTCCTCATCATCCGCCCAGAAGAAGGACGCCGGCAAGAAGCGCGAAGCCAGTGCCAAGGCCGATGGCGCCGAGGAGCCCAAGGAGAAGAAGGCAAAGGCCAGCAATGGCGCCAGCAAGGAGGCTGCCCCGAAGGAGAAGAAGGCAAAGGCACCTGCCAAGGAGCCCACCAAGGGCGAGAGGCAGCAGCCCAAGCGTGGCGCAAAGAAGTAAGCTCGCGATGAGAGGCGTCAAGACTTGTTGTACTTTGTTGTCTATACACGAACAATCGCTCGCTCAATTGCAATGCAAACTATACTCTTCGTAAGGTTTGGCTCATGGTCATCGCATCGCATTAGAGTCCTTGATCGCTATCATACATATCCATCACGGGGCACGCATACACGCCTACAGCTTCGAGTTCGCCGGGTCCTGACCAGCATTCTGCAGCCCACCGGGGATGTTCCCTTCATCTGCGCCGCCGACAGCCGTGTCCAGCCTCTCATAGAGGCTCCTACCATGCGAAGCGGGCACCGAGCTCGAGTGGAAGCCAAGGGCGCGCGTGTCAACCATGTCTGGCGTGATCTCAGCAATCGTCCTCGCACCGAGGAGACGCATAGCCATCTCCATCTCAGCCTTGAGGATGTTGATCGCTGCGAGCGTGCCCTCAGCCCCGTATGCCGAGTAGGCGTAGAGGAAGGGACGGCCGATACCCACTCCCTTGGCGCCCAGAGCAACAGCCTTGAGCACGTCCGTGGCGCGACGGACACCTCCGTCGATGAAGACCTCGAAAGTGGAGCGCCACAGGTTGCGCTGCTTGAGCGCGGCCACAACCTCGGCGAGAATCTCGATGCCGGACGGCGCGTAGTCGAGTTGCCTGCCACCGTGGTTCGAGAGCACCACACCGTTGAGTCCGGCCTCGGCAGCCAAGACTGCGTCCTCCCAAGTCTGGACACCTTTGAGGACAATGGGCATCTTGGTGATGGAACGCAGCCACTGGAGGTCCTCCCAGTTGAGCGAGGGGTCGATGAAGGAAGAAATGGCGCGAGCGGCACCCTGCGAGCGGTCAACGTTGTCCTTGTTTGAGTTCTGGACTTGAGAGCCAGTGTCGTCGAACTTCATGCGCATGTCCTTCTCGCGGCGGCCCAATTGCGGAGCATCAACCGTAACGAAGAGGCCCTTGACTCCACGGTTCTCGGCATGTCGAACAATCTTCTCAGTGATTGCACGGTTAGAGTTGACGTAAAGCTGGAAGAATTGAACCTGCTGGTCGTGCACCTTGGCGTCGACGATTTCATCGAATGAGCATGAAGCAAGCGTCGGGATCATCTGAATGAGACCAGACTTGCCGGCCGCTACGGTCAGGTTCTTCTCTCCATCCGGGTGTCCAAGACGACCAAGCGCAGTCGCGGTGATGTAGATGGGCATCGACGTCTTCTGACCGAGCATGCTAGTGGCAAAGTTGACCGAAGAGACATCGCGAAGGATCCTCGGACGGAACCAGACTCGGCCGTATGCGTTGGAATTCTCGCGCATCGTCACCTCGTCATCTGCACCCGAAGAGTAGTATGCCCAAGCGGTAGGCTTGAGAACTTGGCGAGCAACGACTTCAAAGTCGTAGAGGTTGAGGCATTGGTCGAGGGGAGGAAGCTGTCCGGGCTGGAGCTTGGGCTTGTCCTTCTTTGTCTCCTCGACGACCTGAATCGTGTCCTGCCTGACCTCGCCAACCATCTTGTCCGGCGAAAGGTTCGTCTCGAGGGTGTTGGGAGGGTGGATCGGCTCGTAGGCCTCAGTGGCGTCCTTGCCGCCGTACTGTCGCAGCGGGATATCGAATATGTCAGCCTTTCGTGCACCCATCGGCTTATCTCTTAGCTGCTTCTCGTCGCCTCACCTTGTACAGGATACCAGCGCCACCCGGGTGCTCCGGCGCAAATTCGGTCAGATCCCAAGCCTTGCCGTGGATAATGACCCACAGCGAGTCCTTGCCGTTGTGCTTGGCGACCTCGGCGCCGTCGAGCTGCTTGGACATGGTAGAGAAGGGCGGTGTGATTAGTGGGAGCGGATGAGACGTGCGTTGCTGGGTGAAAGTCGTGAGCGCTAAGCTGGTGGTTGCGGATGCGCGGTGCTGGGTGGCAAGTGGTGGGTAAAGGAAATGTCACGATGGGGAAATGCGGGGTCCCTCTTATTCTCCTCCACGACCATCCATGCTGCGTTTTGCCGTCTCGTCTCGCCTCTTGTCCATCACCGATGTCCACTCGACTCGTTCGGCGTTCCGATCGCAGGCCCGTCCGCTCCCCGCAAAGCTGATGCGAAATCAGCGCGAGCGCAGGGCCAGAGGGGCTCAAGTCCAGTCCAGCCGTCTGTTCCGGGCCGTCAAGCCCGCACGGCAGCGTGGCAGCGTGGCAACCACGATTGGCTCGCTGAGCTCACAGTGGCCATTGTGTCGTCAGACGATGAGGGGGGCTCGCGGTGAATGGTCTTATCAATCAATTGTGACACTGTTCGTTCGCACAATGAAGAGAGCGTGACGACAGCGTGACAAAGTGGCAGTTGCCCATCGCCACGCAGTAACAAGACGGAAAAGACGAAGGACAAAGGGCGAAGACGAAGACGAAGACGAAGATGCGAAGGTAAAGAAGCGAATGCGAACGGCAGTTGAAGCAGAAAATGAACTAGGGAGTTGGGCTGCTGTAGTAAAGGTGGAAACAAAAGTAGGTCCAAGCTAGATGATGATGATGGTGTTGTCGGTGATGCTTGGATGGTCTGTTGGTCGTGGCGATGACGTTGGTAGTATACAATGGCCGCCACTGTCTCTCTCTCTCTCCTCTCCTCTTCCCTGCCCTTCACGCCGAGTAGATACACTCGCTGGGGAAGATGACGCCATCCTTCCTCACGAGAATCACGGGCAGCCGAATGGTCGGCACGTCGAAGCCCTCCGACGCAGGTGGTGGCGGCGAGCACAGCAATGTATCTGAGCTCTGCAGCTGGACGGTCGTGGATCGCCAATCGCCAAAGTAGATGTAGAGGTCATCGGAGAAGTTCTCGCCATTCAGCGTCACGAAAGGCTGCCCGCCTGGCTCGTTGGATGGTGCCATGAAGGAGTGCAGGACCGGCAAGGGGGTGACAGATGACGAGGGCGCGGGCGTAGCAATGAGGTGCGCAATGCCTGAGTCGGGCACGTTGGTGGGCGAGCCGACTCCTCCTGCCAGGCGGGGTGGGATATAGAAGGTGTGCCGCGCAATGTCTGTGCCCACGATGGTCCACACATCGGAGTCTGCGATGTCGACGGTCCATGCCGCCCCAGAGGGAGCCCCTACGGACGACTCAGAGGCAGAAGCAGACGCGGGCAAGCTGCTCGGCCCGGCCATGTCCAGGTCAGAAGACGTTGAGCCTGACATCTGGCCACCCGCAGCGGCCTGTTGCTGTTGCTGCCACTGTCGCGCTTGCTCTTTTTGCCACTCGACCATAGATAGCGACTGGCCACGACGGCGTCCTTTGCCAGGCGTAGAGGCGGGTCCTTTGCCCTGCGATGGGACGATAGACGACGAGACTCGGCGTGGACGCTTGACCTTGCCGCCGTCCGACGACTGCTGAGGAGATGCCTGCTGCTGCTGCTGCTGCGGAACCACGTACGGCGAGGGCGGTACGAAAGGTCCGCCTGGCCCTCCGCGTCCGGACGTCTGCCTCGATTGAGCCATCGACGAGCGCGTCTGCGCAGCGGCATATGCAGCGGCGAATGCTGTAGGGCTCGGCGGCATGCCAAAGTTGGAAGCCATCTTGAGCGTCGCCTCTTGCTGCGACTGGGCTGGCGTCAAAGGCGTAGAAGGCATCGAGTCCATCTGGCTCCACACCCATTTGCGCTGCTCGAGCGGGCGTCGCATGCCGACCGACTCATTCAGGCAGGCCAGGAACGGTCCGCTGGCACCAGGCGTCGATGGCTCACCCGTCGCCGTCATGGATACAGAAGGGGCCGGAGCATCCGGGTCCTCCACTACCTCGAGCGCAATCTTGTGAAGCTGCGAGACCGGGTCACCCAACGCCTCTTCATCGGAAGAGCCAGCAGCCGCAGATCCGCCAGTCACCGTTGTTGCCTTGTCGACCTTGCGAATCACCATGATCGGACTGACGACGGCCGTGTTGAGGCACTGCAGCACGATGCGCTGATTGTAGTGAACCGTGGGCGCCGGTGAGCCTGGAGGAACTACCATTGCGCTTGGCGGTGGCGGAGGGTAGCCCATGACGGGTGGCTTGCTCGGTGGCACGTTGGGGTCCGTGGCCTTCTTGTTCGGGTCGACGAGGTAGACGACGAAGGGGTCCCAGCTGGTCATCTTCGCAACGAAGCAGGAGGGTGGGTCTACGCGCGAAGGCGGGCCATCATGCTGCTCGAGGGTCAAAAAAGGCTGACCGTCAGATCCCTTGAACCATGTTGGAGCGCCAGACACGCAGAGATAGCGCGTTGAGACGGTTTGCGAGCGCAAGCGGTGGAAGAGCGACACGATAGAGCCATGTTGTATGCCGACTATCGAAGTAGAGGACGGTCAGATGTCAGCATCGCCCTGCCTCCCTCACTTTGCGCCCTGGCGCACGACTCACGCTCCGTATTCCTGTTGCTCTGCCTCTTCTTACTGGGCTTGCTGATAATCTTAATCGGTTTGCTTGCGAACGTGCCCAGATGCACTGCATCGACAGGGCTCTTACCAGGCACCGACACGCGCACCAATGTCTCGCAGCTGCGCCTCTTCTCATCCACGTCGGTGATGTAGAGCTGCTTGCCGATGCAGCGCCCCGAGACAGCCATCTCAGACGATGGATTGCCCACGTCGATCAAACGCCCGCTGCTCGTCGCCCACTCGAGGACCCCTTCCTGGTTGTTCGTCTCGCCGCTCATACCAATGTTGACGCGAGGCGGGATCAGCGTCGTAGGAGCGCCACCGCCGCCGCCAGTACGCTGATTGGCTTGCAAGCCCAGGACGCTTGGGTCTTTGCAGGCGTGCCACCAGCTGCTTCCGATTAGCAAGACCATGGGCGGCGGGCACAAGAAGCGCTTTTCTGCGCCGTACGACTTTTGTGCTACTTTGCTCGTCATGATGAGCACCGTCCTCTCGCCAAGACCCAAGCGACTCGGGCTGGTGATGTAGTGGCGAATCATCTCGTCGATGAGCGTCTCGAATGTGTCTGAGCCGGACGATGAGGGGTCTCGTCGCAGTCGCTCCTCCTCCTCGCTAACATTCATCGTAGATAGCTGCTGATACGTCGACGGTCTGACGGCAGGCTTATAGCGGCGCTGTAGCACCGTAGGGGCTGACGGACCGCTGGGCTGCTGGCGCTGAACCTGGATCTGCTGGTTGCTGTTGAGCTGCTGAGTAGCGAAGAAGCTTGCTCGCTGTTGCTCGAGATCAATCTGAGGTCGCTGGAGCTGAAGCTGCTGCTGCTGCTGCTGCTGCTGCGATGTACGACCTCCTCGACCTCCAGCTTTGCCTGCCGGTCCCCGAGATGAGTTCAGTTGCCCCTCCTCCTCCTCTTCCATGATCGTCGGCGTCGTGCCCTGAGGATGTTCGCGAGACGGAGCGAGCTGCGTATTCGCCATTGCCAGGGAAAGACGAGCCGCTTCGCTGTCTCGCGACTGGGACGGGTGTTCTCCCATGCCGCTAAACTGCTGGTGATGTTGCTGGTGCTGATGCAGGCCATGCGGCCCGGCTGAGGACGAAGGACTCTGCGTCATCATGCCACCTGCGAAGCTCATCTCGCCTCCAGGACCGCCATATCGAGAGAAGTCTATCTGGCCGCCCATTTGGCCGCTCATGTCCTGTAGGAAGTTGCCGTCGCTTGAATGCGATCTCCCTGTCACTCCGCCCAGGAATGGTGGGTAGCCTTGCTCGTGCTTCAATCCCCCTGGCGGCTGGCCCATCGTGCTCGACCGCTGATGCTGGCCAGTCATCGGCGAGCCACTCATGCCGCCATCGCTACCATTGATAAACTGCGAAGGATTCTGCTGATAGCCAGCGGGCGACTGGTGAGATTGATTGCTGCCATAGACTTGCGAGAGCGTCGAGCCCTGTAGCTCAAGCTGGTCGAAGCTACCTGTCGAGCCGACTGAGAGCGACTCAGTTTGTAGGGGATGTAATTGAGGCTGCTGCTGCTGCGGCGGCGGCGGAATGCTGCCTGTGCTGCCTGATGCTCCCAGGACGCTAGCCTGCCCCGAGCTGCTGGTGCTCGGCCGCTCGAACTGCCCACCACCCCCAGCACTGCCACTGGCTGACATGGGCACGCTGCCCGAAAAGTCACCTGTCGTTTGTGATTGCTCTTGCTCGTAGAAGGGCGGGAGCATGTAGTTGAAAGCGGGAGTGGCATTACTGCGCAAGCCCGAGGGCTGGTCCATCTGCGGTTGATTGGAGAAGTCGCCCCGAGGAGTACGGGAGTCTGCAGGCATGGGCGTGTACTCGAGCGGAACGTTGCTCAGATCGCTGGCGGCGTTGCCCACGCCACCTACTTGTCCACCATTGGTTCGAGAGTCGGCTGTGAGATGCAGAGGTTCTGGGCGTCGTGGTCGTTGGAGCGATGCTTGCGATCCTGCGCCAAAGGCAGATTGACTCTGCTGTTGCTGCGCATTGAACCACGCCAATGCATCTGCGCCTGGGCCCGACTCATGCTGCGAAGGCGGTTGCACTGACTGCGGACCGAGGAAATGCGTCGACAAGCTGTCAGGACGGGGAAGGAAGAGGAGCGCGTCCTCGTCCCTCGATCCTCGTGCATGCGCCTGCAGATCGTCTCGCGAAGATGACGAGGAAGCCTGCGATGATGCCATCGATGCAGGTGGCTGCCAGCTCGGATTGGAGCCTTGGTGAGGCGTCTGCCAATGGGGTATCGAGGGCTGCTGAATCGCTTGCTGCGATGAACCGGCGCCTGACGGATGCTGCATCCAGCTCGTGTCGAAGTGCGGCTGATGCTGCTGATGCTGCTGATGCTGCTGTTGAGCCTGGCCCGGAGGCTGATTGATGCCTAGGCCATGGAACTCTTGCGGATTGAGGTCGAAGTTGGCGAATGCCCCCTGGCTGCTCGGGTCATGGTACCACGCCGCCTCGCCGCCGCCGCCGCCGCCCATCCTGCCATTGGCACCTGCCTCGTGCGGCATCGCTGCTGCGGAAGAGGACGAAAGTAGCGGATCAAAGTCGTTTGGCGGCGCAGGATGCCTTATCTGTGCGTAGGAATGCTGCTGGAAGTGCTGAGGATGAGGATGAGGTTGGGCATGGGGGAGAGAGATATACTGATCGCCAGACATGGGCTGGGAGGAGGGGCCTGGCTGCTGGAGATGCTGCCATTGAGAAGTATGGTATCCGGCTGGAGGCTGTCCTTGCCAAGGAACTGGCTGTGCTGAACCGGAGCTACTACTTCCTTCGCCTCCTCTCTGTCCCCAGCCTGCAAGCCCTCCTCCGCCTCCGCCGCCGCCGCCGCCCTCGCCTCGCTCCATTGCCGCAAGGCCTTTCAAAGTAGGGTCGATTCTACGACGTTTGAAAGCGGGTAGGTGATAGCCGGATCAGCTCGAGGTTGTGGATAGCTGTGCGAAGCCGGCTGCGAGCATCTGAGGTGGTTCGTCGCCTATGGTCGATAAGATGTAGCCAAGAGAGATCGGGAAGGAGAGCGAGTCTTCCTCCTACTAGCTCGATCGGTCAAGGAACAAGTGAGATCGTCCTCTGGCAGACCTGTTCGCTAGCTAGCTCGCTCCTTCGCTCGCTCGCACGATATGGACGGCGGATCTGGAGTTCCGAGACCCGAACGACACCCTTGACCTGTCGATGGAGGCAGGCGTTGGCGTTGGCGTGAGCTGTGCGTGAGATGTCGCCCCGCTAGCAGCTAGCGGGAGTCGCGGGTGGTGGTCGACTGAATGCGATGGTGGACGTTGCCGTTGCCGTTGCCGTTGCCTTGGGCGCTGGCGCCGGTGCTAGCCGCTGACGCAGATTGCTGACGGGGGAGAGGGTAGCCGTGCGTCGTGCGTTCGTGCGTGCGTGCGTGCGTGCGATGCGTGCGTCGTAAGGCCTTCTTACAGATGCACCACGGAGCTATGTTTGTTGCTGCAGGACTAAAGTTCTCGGGCTGCGCGTGGGTCGGGTCGAGTCAAGTCGAGTCGGTTCCACAAGTCCCAGTACGCCTTGGCGTTGTGGTGGTTTGTCGCTTTGAGGTGTTGATGATGCTGAGTGTGGTGTAGCGTGGTGTGCCGAGCAAGAGTGGGTGTTGAGATCTCTGTCTCTGCAGGGGCAAGGCCGACGACGACGACGACGACGACGACGACGACGACGACGGAGGGGGGGCGGCGGCGGCAGTAAGCCGACCGAAGACTTGCTCCTCGCGCAGCAATCAGAGGGAGCGAGATGATGCGTCGAATCCAAAATAGAGCTCTGCGATAGATGCAGCACGGCGACCTTGGCAAGGGAGCGAACGGATCTAAGGAGAGGAGGATGGGAAGATGGAGAGATGGGAAGAGGGAAAGCGAGAGCGAATGGGCAAAGGGCAAGGGGCGGGTGGAGTGGGGTGGGAGAAGGGGGAGAAGGTGTCAGTTGGACGAGTTGATAGTGGCCTGAGCCGCCAGTCATGTCCACCCCAAGGACGGACGACGTTTCCGCCCTCTCGCTCGCAATCTGCTCGTGGCCACTCCCAACCCGCTGCTGCTGCTGCTGCTGCTGCTGCTTAATCGTCGGATACTCAGAACTCACCCACTCACCTACCTCCAGCGCTCACTCGCCAGACGCTACGGGCGATGGTTGGTTGGTTGATGTGGCTGAGCTCGATCTTCACAGCGGCCGCCGAAGAGCCCGCAGGACGTCGAGGCGTCGTCAAGGAACTCGGGAAGTGTGTCGATGTCCTCACCTCGAGGGAGAAACGAGGGGTGAGGGGCTGGGCGCAGCTGAGCCGGCAGCGCAGCGTCGTGCAGGAAAAAAGAAAGTGGGCGGGAGGGGACTGGCTGCAGCGCGGTCCTTGGATCGACCTCGTCTAGACGGGGAGCGAGAGGGAGGGCAGGGCAGGGCACAGAGCAGACGAATTGAGGTGAACGGGTGTGGCCCACGAGATCGAGGTCTCAGCCAGCCAGAGGGGAGCCAGAAGGGCAGCACCACCGACCAGGGGAAAGCAGCACGAGCAAGCACCAGCAGCGACGATGACGATGTCGTCCTCTCGTAAGCGCCCAGTGATCCAGGTGGTTGAATGCAATGTGGCCGGCGAATGCTCAGACCAACGTGACTACGTCGTAGCCGTACGTCGTTCGTACCAAGGGAGTGATCGTCGTCGCGCAATCACGAGAGCCCAATCAAAAGTATTGATGCTCCGCTCAGGTCTCCTCCGCTCGCAGGCTCGCAGGAGGGTTCAGAACGACGGATCAAGGGGGCGTTGTCGTCGTCGTCCTCCTCCTCGTCGTCGTCGTCCTCGTCGTCGTTGCGGCCGGCGTTGGTTGGCCGGCCGTTCGTGGCGTGGAAAGAGGTAGGTGGGTTCGGCGCTGAGGTAGATTGCGCCCACAGAGAGATCTAGCCTCCGATCGACGATAGCAATCGCAGGTCCCAGCTTCTCCTCGTCGGGCAGGAGGGGTCGATTCAGAAGAGCAAGGACGGGCAAACCTGGCGTCGGCGAACCTTGGGAACAGGGTGGGGTGCGCCGTTGGAGACGAGGCCAGAAGTGCGACAAAGCGGCTTCAAGCCAAATCGTCGGCGGAAAGAGCGATGCGGATGCAATGTAGGTGTTCGAGAGATAGACGAGGTCAAGCTGAGACGAGGTTGCGTTTGGCTGACTGACGCTGACTGGCAAGCTGGACGTGGTGGCGTGCAGATTAGGGAGTGTCGGTCAGGCGAAGCTTTGTGCGTTCGTGGGGCTGGGAGAAGGAGCTGGTGGGGTGACGCTGGTAACCTACCGACAACGGCATTGCATCACCCTCAGCACAGCAACCACAATGGCGCATCCGCACCCGCAATCGCCTTCTTAAATTGCGGCGAGCGCCCGTAAGTGACGCCCAATCCAGTCCAGCCACCCTCGCGAGGGCAAGACCATTGCGGCCCTGACGCCCATCCGTTGAATCTTCGTTGCCCTCGCCCTCGCCCTCGCCCTCATTTCCCGCCCTCACACACACTCTCTCTGACGTTGTCAGCGCGAACGTTTGGCTCGACGCAACGCCGAGAAAAAATCCTGCCTGATCACCTTCCCGCAGCCGCTGTTGATCGCGATGCAGTGAAGTCTAAAAGCGACAAACCCGACTGCTCACCGGCGGGCATGCTAACGATACAAAGTTTGATTGTCAGCTGGTCATGACGAGCCCTGCTAACACCGTGACCTCGTCTACAGAGGCGTCATCTGTCAGCGTGAACCGTCACATACGTGCAGGGACCACGCAACATCGTCCAGACTACGGGCATAGCTAGACGGCTTGACGCTTCGAGAAGCCGAGAAACTCCTATGTCGTCCGATCACCACCCCGCCTCTGCCAACGATCGCTGCTCCGCCGTACCATTTCGGACGATCACGCTTTCTTGCGCTGTGTCAATGTGATTGGCTATTGGCTGAAGGCGTTGAATCAGCTTCAAATTGTCGAGACGAGCTCAAAAGCGAAGGCCGGCGAGGTAAGGTAGAGCAGCAAGCAAGAGCACAGCCTCTGCCGGTGTCGCATGCTCGGCTCGGTCGCGAGTGCATGCTCGGGTCAATGCTACTCTCGGAGTAGTGAGATGCGAAGAGATGAGGGGATCGCGGCGTGAGGCGGCGGCGGCCTTTGGGTAGGTCCGCTCTATTTTCTGGGGCCAACGAAGGCATCGTCGCTCGACATTACGGCCGTGTCAGCTGAATGCAAGTACACACGCACGCACGCACGCGACTTGCCTGCTTGTGAATCATTTTCAAGCGACGTAACCATCCCGCCCTTTCCCCACACCTTGACCATCAATCGATCGCCTTGCTTACTCAAGCAACCATTCATCCCAACGACTATGCTCGTCTACAGCTTCGCTACTGTACGACTCCCGTTCGCTAGCGCATCGCGATCCAGACGCACCTCGATCAGGCCTCGGAGCAATCTCGAGCGAGGCCAATCGGAGTCCGTTTACGGGGGACTCAATTCGAAAAAGAGGACATGGAGGTGTGAGAGGCTGAATTGTCAAGTGTGAGACGTCATTTGTCATGATATATGGTGGTAAGCGAATGGTAGAGAGCAGAGAGCGACGAGACACGAGGGCCAAGGGCCAAGGAGAGATGCGAGGGAGCGTGAAGATGAAGATGCTGGTCGCGTGGGTGATTGTGTGACTGATGATTGAGATTGCACTCGTCGTGCGTCGTCGCCTGTCATTGCTGCTGGTCGTTGTAGTGTCCGTTTGATCTAATGCTGAGCTCCTCCAATCTCTTCGTACCTGCTCATCACGCAAGAGCAGCCAGGGCCACCAAGCCGGCGCTGAGTAGGACGGCATTGCCAACGACGCTCATCGCCTTCCTCGCGCTGTTGAAGCTCTCAAATCCGTCGCCCTGAGTCGCCGGCCCACTGGCGCTCCCGTTAGTGTTCGTCCCACCCTGATCCGCCACAACAGCACTGATGCCCCTGGTACTGTCGCTGAAGCCCGTGTTCAGGCACTTGCCCGCAATCGGATCCCAGAACGGCGTGTCGCAAGACGCGGAGATGCGGTGGCGCACCGAGCCGTCATTGTTCTTCTGCGGAGGGTTTGGCTGGTCTGGCGAGGGGGTCGTGGTAGGGCAACCATAGCAAGTGTAGAAGGGCGAATTGTTTAGCGGGTCACCAGCCGTGTCGCTGATACAGTGCTCGAGCAGGCCGGCCTCATTGGCAGGCATGCCGTTGCAGATTTTGGCGTCTACTTTGGGGGTTGTGCATTTGAATTCGTCGAGGGTGTTGAGCTCGGAGGCTTTGACAGGGTTCTTCATCCAAGCCAGGAGCTGCTCGTTGCTGACGAGCCAGACGTCGTCCTTGCCGTCCGTCGCCCAGTCGAGGAACTCGTTGAGCATTTGTACAGTTCCTACGGGGTCTTTAAGGCCGGGATAGTTGGCCGCAATGTGGATCGGGTGGGAGTACATGCCGAAAGGCGCCTTCTTGCCATTGTAGTGATCGTTGAAGGTATCCTTCATCCAGTTGAGCACATCGTCTGGCTCTCCCTCCAGCCATGGGTCCATCAAGTGGGCGCCATTCGCCGAGCTGGGGTCGAAAGTGGCGTACATGGGGATCTCCCACATGCCAGGCAGCTTGGGCTCGCCGCCGCAGATGTTTTCTACAGACTCGCAGTCGTTTGCCATGCCGTTGTCGAGTGTATACGGCCAGAAGGCATCTGAATTTGGGTCAGTGGCGCGCACGCCTGACGAGGCAGAGCTGTCGTAGGTGAAGTTGAGCTTGGCGAGGAGCTCGAGAGTCTCGCGGGTGTAATTGAGGAAGGGAGCGCGGAAGCCTTGGATAGACTTGTAGGGGATGCCTGCGAGAGCATTGAGCGCTACAAGGTTGCCGGACACCTGTGTGAGTGAGCAGAGGGTGCAGATAAATCAGCACTCAGCTCAAGACCTGTGCTTCTCTTCTCGATCTCACCTCAGTGTCCGGTGGTGAGCCTACGTGCGTCATGGTGTGGTCTGCAATCTCGTTGCCAGCGACGTACCACTCGGTGACCATCGAGTAGTTGGTGTATGACAGCGAGGTGAAGTAGGTCATCTTGGGTGAGCACCCATTGGGGTTCTTGCGCGACCCAATCAAACTGTTGACCGCATCGAGCGTGTATGACTGGATGGCGTCGTCTGCAGTGAGGGTGATGAACTGTGGGACATCCTTGGGGTCAAGGCCACCCGGGGGGTTCGTGTCGGCGCAGTGGCAGTCGGGAAGCTGGCATTGTGATGCGTCGCACGAGTCTGTGTAACAAGGCGGGTGAGAAATGTCAATCCATCGTCCTTCGCTGACCTCGTCTTCATCTCGTGTGGCCGGGCTCACACTTGGCAGCTGCTGCTCCTCCGCTCGTCACAGAGCCCGACCCTTCGCCCGACGTTGCAGTGATGCCGCCCGCCTGACGCTTAGCCAGTTTCGTCGCCGATCGGCATCCCTCGTCCAGGAGGCTGCCATGAGCGGCTGCTTGCTCGATGAACGTTGCGGCGAGGAGCAGAAGAGAAGAGAGCGAAAAGATTTGGGCGGCTGCGCGCACCATGCTGCCAGAAGTTGAAGGAGAGCAGTGGGATGCTGGTCAGGGAAAGAGGAAGGAGGAAGGGTTGAAGGGCTTCGATACCCTAGATGCTGGTCAGCGTGATGATGATGGGCGGAGAGAAAAGGAGGAGGAGGAGGTCAAGGTGGTGGTGGTGGTGGTGATTGGACAGAGGGAAACGATGTCAAGAAGGGTCAAGCTCAATTGCAGCTGCGCTTACCCCGGTCATTTTGGTGTCGTCTGCCTCTTTCTCTGGCTCTAGCCTGTTGCTGTTTGTGCATCTCTCATGTGGACGGGAAGCACGACGACTCGACGACTCCTTGCCGGCCTGCAAGAGGCGAGGCACGAGCAAGAAATTCTAACAGAACGCGGGTGCGAAAGAAGGGTCCACGAAGCCAGGCTCAACTCCTGCTCTGTGCACCGAGCCCCGCTCTTGGCTCTGCACCATCCCGCAGCTCCGTGCACGAAGGGGGTCAAGACGCCGCGAAACCGATGAGTTAGAATACGAGGCCGACTGTCCAATGTCACCATGATCGTCGTTGCTATCCTGCCTGCCTTTCACTGACTGTTGCGACAACGTATGGAGTACCAAGTCGCCGTGGTAGCTCATCCGCCACGTGGTTGAGTGTTGGTCTCGCCGGCAGTCGTCTCAAGCTCAGTCGACCCCCGAATGGTCCGTCGGGCGCGCGCCTGTCCGCTCTGTACTGCTCTCCTCCACCACCTTCACCTTGACGGCCCTCTGCTCATCCAGCGTCTTCAATGGCTTGACAGTGCCCAAGGGCCGCCTCTCCGCTAGCTAGCATTCTCTTCACCGCTTGCTTCGATGGGCAACGCTCCTTCCTCGTCATCTCGCGTGCCCCTCGGCGGCTCCCTCCTTGAGGAGCTGCATGATATCCAGTACGAGAAGTCAATCGGAGCCTCTCGCTTCCTCAAGGCCATCCGCGCTCGTCATGCACACGGCAAAATCGTCGTCAAGACCTTCGTAAAGCCAGATGCATCTTTGACTCTGCGTCACTTGGTTCGCAGGCTGCGCAAAGAGAGGGAGACGTTGGCGGATGTGCCCAATGTCCTCACGTACCAGCAGGTCGTGGAGACGGATCGAGCTGGGTACTTGATCAGGCAGTGGCTGTCAAGCAGCCTCTACGACCGAATCAGTACTCGTCCATTCCTCACCACCATCGAGAAGAAATGGGTCACTTACCAACTCCTCTTCGCCATGAAGGCGTGCCGGGAGCATCAGGTGAGTATCTGCGCTGCGCAGGTCGGACGTGATAGCTCAGGTTGACCTCCGCGCCCTCGATGCCTCAGATTCCCCATGGCGACCTCAAAACGGAGAACGTAATCGTCACCACGTCACTCTCCGTCTTTGTGACCGACTTTGCTGCCTCATTCAAGCCCACCTTCCTGCCCTTGGACGATCCGGCGGACTTCTCCTTCTTCTTCGATACCTCTGGCCGCCGAACTTGCTACATCGCGCCAGAGCGCTTTTATACGGCTGATTCCGACATCGCGAGACAAAAAGCAAGCATGAGAGGTGGCGGTTCGAGCGCAGTAGGCAATACCTCGATCACCACATCGAGCGATCCGTTCAGCGAGATCCTCGGCTTGGGGAAGAGGGACGGCAAGGTGACAGAGGCCATGGACGTCTTTGCGCTAGGCTGCGTCATCGCTGAGCTTTGGCGGGATGGCACGCCTACTTTCAGTCTCTCTCAGCTCTTCAAGTACCGAGAGAAGCAATTCGACCTCGAAGCGGCAGTGGCCGAGATTGCAGAGCCCTCAGTACGGGCGATGGTGCTCGAGATGACGGCGCTTCAGCCGGAGAAGAGAGCGACCTTCGCGCATCACTTTGAACAGGCCAATCAGAGATGCTTCCCGAGATCGTTCTCGGCCTTCTTGCATCCCTACCTCGTCGATCTGCAACGCTTCATGCCGCCGAGCAAAGCTACGAGGCAGGCACAACGTGATGCAGCGGCGGCCCTCCCGAGAGCATCTGTACCGTTCGCAACGACGAGCGGGCGGTCGACCACATCGGCAGATCACGACGTCCAATCAGCCATACTTGACGAAGACCTGGTCGTTCGCAGGCAGGCTGATGTGCACATCGATCGACTATGGTCAGAATGGTCCGTCATCATCGACTACCTCAACGAGGAGGAAGGGGTAGTGCAAGAAGAGCGCAGTCAGCTAGGCGGTGACGAGGATGGCTTCACACACGGCGAGCGAGAGGCGGCTGAGCATTCCCTGCCCGCCCAGCTGGGAATTCCTGGCATCCCGAGCTCGATCCTCTCAACGTACCGCCGGCACCCCCTCGAAGACGACGGCCCCGCGCTAGTCATTCTCTCTCCCCTCCTCGCCAACCTTCGCAACGCACTCCGCGCTACCTCAAAGCTACGCGCCCTCGACCTTCTCCTGCACCTCTCCGCCGGCTGGCTGACTGACGAAGCCAAGTTGGACCGCGTACTTCCCTACGTGGTCGCCCTCTACGATGACAGCAACGCAAATGTGCGCGCTGCCTCCATCAGGGCAAGCGTGCAGATCCTCCTGCTCGTGGACGGCTTAACCCCGGCAAATGAGAACGTCTGCTCAGAGTACGTCTTCCCCAATCTGCGGCGCCTCGCCTCCGATCCATCGCCGATGGTGCGGACAGCGTACGCTGGCGCCTTCTCACACCTTATCACGGCAGCGGAGCGCTTCATCCAGCAAGGGCAAGCCTTGCAAGCCTCAGGAGCCCTCGCGGCGGATCAAGACGGCTACGATGACCTGCTGCTGAAGCCGACAAGCCAGGAGGCAAGCTATGATGCTCAAATGCAGGATCTACGCGCTTTTGCGCAGGATCAGGTCACGACACTCCTTACGGACCCCAACGCTGCGGTGAAGCGCGCCCTGCTCACTCGCATCGACCCCATCTGCCACCTCTTCGGGCCTGCTGCGACGAATGACGTGCTGCTCAGCCATATGATCACATACCTGAACGATCGGGACTGGCTGCTGCGCGATGCTTTTTTTGATGCGATTATCAGCGTTGCCCTCGTCGGTGGGGCGAGGAGTGTGGATGAGTACATCGTGCCACTTATGCTGCAGGCTCTGGCAGATGCAGAAGAGGCGGTCACAGTGCGCGTGTTGGACGGGCTGGCGAGATTGATCACCTCGTCTCCCAGCTTGCTGGCCAAGACAAGACTCTACGAGCTCATCGCAATGACGCAGGGATTCCTCTGTCATGCCAACCTCTGGATAAGGCAGAGCGAGGCACGCTTCCTCGAGGCGGCCTTTGCAACCCTAGACACGACGGATACCTGGATCGTGGCTTACCCGTCGCTCCGGCCACTGCTCAAGCACGACATGCAGACAATTACAGCAGCCTCGCTCCTGGAGACAGCCAAGCCGCCATTGAGCCGCAACATTCTCAATGCCGCGCTAGTATGGGCTGGGTCGGCGAACAAGACGAGCTTCTGGACCGCAGCTGCGGAGAGCCAGTCCAAGGCCGGTCTAGCAGACGGGTTAGGCAATGAAGGACTGCACCTCATCTCCGGCACTTCAGTGGCGAAGACGCCTATCCCTCGTACAGACGAGGATGACGGGTACATGGATAAGCTGCGCGCTCAAGGTCTGACCGTGCAGGATGAGACAAAGCTGTTTGCGCTTCGGGACTATCTTTGGCGACTTGCGAGTGGGGCAGGACGAAGACGCATGGGTAACAGCGAGTCAAGCAGCGATCTGCTTGGCGCCTTACCTAGTGATAGGGCGCCTGGCGTCCAGACATTAGAAGGCGTCACGCCGCAGACCATCTTCTTCACTCACAATAGTAGCAACAACGCTACTGGCGCCACGAGCAGCAGCGCTGGTACGGTTAGCTCATCACGAGCGCCATCCATCGCCGAGAACTCCGACCCATCCAGTCGCCGCCTACGCCCACCATTTGGCAGTCATCGCGTCCTCAGCGACGGGTCGTATAGCCAACCAGGCCGTGAAGAGCTTCGTCGGCGCATGGCATCCACCTCGTCAGCATGGGGCTCTCTAACACCGCGCCTGCCTCAAGGCTCTGCGCTTGCGTCGACACGCGCTGCCTCCTCTGTTTCAAGCCCACGCTCCGTCTCCTCTCAAACAACACGGCTCGGTATCAGCAAAGCAAGTCCCGCGGTCGCGGAGATATCGACTACAGCAACGGGCACGATGAGTGAGCTCTCCTCCAGGCTGCAGTCGGTGCAGGTTGGTGACAGCAGCGAGGGCAGGGGCAGCGAGACAGGGGGTAACGACGGACGCGGAGATGTCGGCTCCGACGCACGCACCGCTCGCCCGAGTGACGCCCCCTTTGTTTCGACGTACAATGGCTCAGACCCGCACATCCAAGCGCATCTGGAGGCGGTCTTCGTGCGCAACTTTCGCGATCGAGCCTTGGATCTGGCGCCCAAGGTGTCAACATCGCGCAGACGTCCAGCAGGCGGGCGCGTCGCCTCTTCACAACTATCTTCTACGAGCTCTACTGCAGCCTCTGGCAGCGCTGGCATGTCGCGTCGTCCCGAGGGCAAGCTGATTGCCTACTTCAACGAGGATACCTCCCCAATTACCTCCATTGCCGTCTCAAGCGACCACATCTTCTTCGCGAGCGGATCCGAGGACGGCACAATCAAGGTGTGGGACTGCGCCAGGCTCGAGAAGAATGTCACCTCACGCTCGCGTATCACGTACGGCGCGCACCAAGGCCGCATTACGGCTCTGCTTGCGCTGACGGGCACGCATTGCCTTGTCAGTACGGCGACTGATGGGAGTTTGCATGTCTGGCGGGTAGATGTGGCTGCAGGCAGCCTGCCCAGGTATGGCAAGCCGCGTCTGGTCAGCAACTTTCAATTGAGCACGCCCGGGGAGTACGTGACCGCGGTCATGCAAAGTAGCGCGAGCGCAAGCGGCAACAATGGCGGTGGAGATGGCTCAGCATCCACTTCTCCATCGACGGCACCAATGGCTACCCGCCTCATACTTGGCACCTCTCAATCCCGCATTACGATACTCGACCTTCGCACAATGCAAGTACTACAAGCGCTTCGCAATCCTGCGCACCTAGGTCCCATCACATGCATGTGCGCCGACAAGCGGCGCCTTTGGTTGCTCGTGGGAACACTTGGAGGAAGTGTGGTGCTGTGGGACCTTCGCTTTGGGTTGTTGGTGAAGAGCTGGCGAGTCGGCCCTGCGGCAGGGGCAGCAGGGGACGTGAAGGTGACAGGTTGCGAGGTGCATCCAAGTAAGGGAAGGGGGAGATGGGTATTGGTGAGCTGCGAAGCCAAAGTAGCTGCCAGCAGCTCGTCTTCCGAGGCACAGGCGCACACGCTCATCGAGACGTGGGATATCGATAGGGGTGTGCTCGTCGAGGCGTACGAGTGTGGGCCTGGAGGGAAGCCATCTGAGCGGCGAGCGGCCGAGACGGCTGGCAGTGATGTGGGCCTATCGAGCCCCGCAGCGGCCATCGAGCGGCTCCTCCGGCTTCGAGACGAGCGGGAGGAGGCCAAAGACGGCGGCAAGGCGGGCGCAGCTCTCCCTCAGCCAAGCTCAAACGTCAAGTCCTTCCTCGTCGGCGTTGAGGGGTACAGCTCAGGCCCTCTCGCGAACGTTGACACCAGCAGCAGTGGGCGTAGCAAGGGCGGTTCAGAGCGAGAAGGCGAAGACGTCGGAGGGAGCTGGCTGGACGCGGGCAAGCTGGCAGCAGAGGCTGATGAGTCAGGGCAGAGAAGCGCGGCAAGCTCTGCTGCTACCACTGGGCCAGCAGGCTATCTCCTCTCTGGCGGGGAAGACTGCAAGATCCGCTTCTGGGATCTGGGTCGACCGGAGCGCAGTGTCGTCTTCGGCGCTGTCGAGGACGGAATTGAGACCAGCGCAGGCAAGCCGTCTTCTTCCAGCCCTGCCTTCCAGCTCTCCACCTCGAGCGCGGGCCCGATGATCTTCCACCACCGTACAGACGTTCAAAAGGCAGCATCTGCAGCATCGGCAGGCAGCACGCTCCGTTCACCTCTCCTGTCGCAGCAGCAGACGCAGCCTGCTCAAGCTCACATGCGAGCGCACAGGGATGCTATCACAGCTCTGGCGGTCATTGAGTTCCCTTTCAGATGCGTTGTCGCGGGGGACAGGACGGGTGCGGTCAAAGTGTGGGAGTAGTAGTGGAGGCGTGCGAAACGATTGCAATGACAGAAGGGATACCCCGCGCCAAGGAGAGAGATTGCCCGCCGGTGTCGTGATGAAGGACGAAGCGCACCTCGTGATGAGCGGCACTTGATGAGCCAGTGTGATCCGCCTTTTGTACCCTCATCATCGCCTCGCCCTCCCTTCCCTACTCACTATCCTTTCCACCAGCATGGCCCCCACGACTCCCTCTCCCCAAGGCAAGAAGACCGTCTCATCAGCCAGCAAGGACGCCAAAACCGCCGCCTCTCCCAAGGCGGCCAAGTCGGAGGGAGGCAGCCCCATCGCCAGGAACGGCGAGGGTAGCAGCCGCGCTTGGACAGCAGAGGAGGATGCCGTCTTTTATCAAGCCATGATGCGGATCTACAAGCCCAATTGGCCGTGAGTCAGCTGCTTGAAGCTGCTCCGTCAATGACTTCGTGAACGAGCCTTTTCGATCTCCCGTGGACCGTTCGCAGCGAGATCATGTCTGCCCTAAACTCGGTTGCAGAGGAGCGCGGCGAGCCTGCTCGTACCAACAAGTCGGCTCAGCTGCGTTATGAGCGCGCCATCAAGAGTGAGTGTCGCACGAGCGAGCAAGGACGAGAGTGACCCAATGGCGGCCTAATCTGCAGGGCTGATCGCCTTGCCTGTACTCTCGGCGTCGGCCTTGCCTGTACTCTCGTCGACGCCTTGGCCCGCAGAGCATTGGATGGACAAAGCCAATGCGGTACGCAAGATCGGGTGATGAGAGATCGCCCGATGATGTGTGACACATATTCATAAACCTGTGCGATTGCAACTTTCTATGATTTCACATTTCACCGTTCCCATCCCTATCTCAGACCGTAGACCGTTTTGTGGTCTTACTAGTGACGGCTGCTCGCTGCTTCACCGTAGCGCCATCCCTGCATGCCCCCCTTCTTCCTCTTCGGACAACTCGGCTTGGGCTCCGAACCTTTCGCAGTAGGGGCGCAGCGCCAGCGGGAGAAGGTTGAGGCGTTTCCGTGGCATGAGAATGGAAGGGAGGTAGTGGTGGTGCATGATGCTCTGGTTCCTGGTGCTGCAATGAGGAGTGAACCCAATCTTGCCTTGACTCAGCCCTGACTGAGCTTGCTCTTCGCAAGGCGGCTAGTCAATGGTCCGCTCAGTGTCGTTGGACCGATCCGAAAAGGAGGCCCCTGGTGCGCCGCATCTCTCCTTCGCTCACTCATCGCTCAGTTCCGCGCTTCCCTCCCTGGTCCCGCCTGTCTGACACGATCTGGAGACGAGTGCAAGCCAAAAGGCCACGCAGGGTCGCATTTTGGTCCGCTCGCTCTGGTCAAATAATCGACAGGCAGCAAAGGCAGCTTCTTGACTCTTGCTCCTACTGACAACACCACCATCATCCTCTTGTTCTTTCCTTCCTCTTCGCCACCTACTCGTTAGACACAAGACAGTCGCAAGCGTTCGCTCGTCTCTGAGCTGCAACCGCGATGTCGTCGTCGTCACCATCATCATCATCACATCCTCCCGCGCCGCCGGCTCAGGATGGCCTGCAGCCTGTCTCAGTCTCTGATCGTCCGCAGGAGCCCCTCGTCGAGGAGGCGGCAGGTGCAGTAGATGCTCAGCAGTCTCCAAAGCAAGCCGGTGCCTCCGTCGAGACAGCGGCGCTGGGCGCAGCTTTGATGGCAGGAGGGACGGGCGCTGTTGGCGTAGGAGGCGTTGAATCGAGGGATGCTGTTGGCGCAGCAAGTGCTCCACAACCTCACGCCACAGCATCGAATGGCAGCGCGGCCGGTGTCACAGCCACCACATCTTCCTCCGCAGCCTCGTCATCGGACGCTTCGCACCCACAAAAGACGTCCAACGATCCAGCTTCGTCCGACTCGAAACACGACTCGTCAGAAGGAAGCAGCGATGAGGACTCGGAGGAGTCTGACAGCGAGAAGGTCTATCGAGCTACCCTCTACGATCTCTTCTTCCGCTTTGCCACGCCCTTTGATCTCGCCTTCAATGCCGTCGGAATCGTTACCGCCATCGCAGCTGGCGCAGCCCAGCCCTTGATGACCATCGTCTTTGGTAACCTTACTTCGTCTTTCCTGCAGTATTCCTACTCGCTCAACCAGCCGCCAGCCGTTCAGGAGGCTGCGAGGCAGACGCTCAAGGATGCCGTTGCCAAAGATGCCCTCTTGCTCCTTTACATTGGTATCGCCACCTTCGGCGCCACCTACATCTACTCGGCCGCATTCGTGTACACGGGCGAGGAGGTGACGAGGCGATTCAGAGAGACGTTCTTGGCCTCGACATTGCGTCAGGATATCGCTTACTTCGACAAGGAGGGCGCAGGATCCATCACCACACGCCTCCAGAGTGACACGCACCTCATCCAGGAGGGCATCAGCGACAAGATCCCAATGTCCGTCATGTTCATCGCCACCTTCTGCACGGGTTTCATCGTCGCCTACATCAAGTCGTGGAAGCTCGCGCTCGCCATGACCTCGATTGTGCCCTGCATCATCGTCGCTGGAGCGGTCATGAACGTCTTTGTCACGCGCTTCCACCAACTCGAGCTCGAGTACGTGGCGCATGGTGGCTCGCTGGCTGAGGAGGCTCTGAGTACCGTCCGAACGGCAAAGGCGTTTGGCGCCGAGTCTCGTCTTGTTGACCTCTATGACGAGTCGAATCGCCTTACCACTCGACAGGGAGTCAAGAAGGCACTCATGCAAGGCATTGGGCTGGGCGTCTTCTTTTTCATCATCTACTCGGGATATGCACTCGCCTTCTACTTTGGATCCAAGCTCATCGCCAGCGGTGAGATTGCGCCCGGCGTCGTCATCAACGTCATCTTTTCCATCCTCATTGGAGCATTCAGTATGGCCATGCTTGCGCCCAACTTGCAGGCTTTGTCTTTCGCCTTTGCCTCGGCGGGCAAGATCATCGCCACGATTGACCGAGTGCCCTCCATTGACTCGGCCTCGCCTGACGGCCTCAAGCCGGATACTTGCGAGGGTAACATCGAGCTGCGCAATGTCGACTTCCGCTACCCTGCGCGTAAGAACATCCAGATCCTCTTCAACTTCTGCCTCTCCGTGCCAAAGGGCAAAACGACTGCCTTGGTGGGCGCGAGTGGCTCGGGAAAGTCCACCATCGTCTCGCTGGTCGAACGCTTCTACGATCCGGAGGCAGGCCAGGTCTTCCTTGACGGGCACGACCTCCGCGACCTCAACGTCACCTGGCTGCGCTCTCAGATCTCTCTTGTCAGCCAAGAGCCCACGCTCTTTGCCTGCTCGATCCGCGACAACATTCTGCACGGCCTGATCAACCGTGGCCACGCTACTGGGCTCGATGACGAGAAGCGCCAAGAGCTCGTCGTTGAAGCGGCCAAGGTGGCCAATGCGCACGGCTTCATCCAGCAGCTACCCAAGGGCTACGACACTCTCGTCGGCGAGCGTGGTTTCCTGTTGAGTGGCGGGCAGAAGCAGCGTATCGCAATCGCTCGGGCAATTATTGGCAACCCCAAGATCCTCCTCCTCGACGAGGCCACAAGCGCTCTTGACACTCAGAGCGAGGCTATCGTGCAGGACGCTCTCAACAATGCCGCTCAGGGTCGCACCACGATCACAATCGCGCATCGCCTCTCTACGATCCGCGACGCAGACAACATCGTCGTGATGGGCAAGGGAGAGATTCTCGAACAAGGCTCGCACAGCGAGCTTCTCGCCGCCAATGGAGCGTATGCTGGCTTGGTCGATGCACAAAAGATCTCTGCAAATGAGGAGGCCAGCAACCTCTACAACGATGATGGTCAGATCGATGAGCAAGAGGTAGCCAAGGAGGCCAAGGCCGAGATGCCTGCTGGACTGGACCGCACATTCAGCAAGAAGAGCATTGCCTCCGTCGTGCTGGGTCGCAAGGCTGACGAGGAGGCAGGGCGCAAGGAGCACAAGATGGGCACACTCTACTGTCTCTACCGCCTGCTCCTCATCAATCGTCGCTACGCTTTGACACTCTACCTGCCCGCCGTCCTCTGCTCCGTTGCCAGCGGTGCAGTGTACCCTGCCTTTGCCATTCTTATGGGCACGGCCCTTCAGGACTACTCGGTCTGCGCCAGCCCGGACAAGATGGAGTGCCCTCAACCGCAGCGTGGGGAGATGCGTCACAACTCGGATCGGAATGCTCTCTTCATGTTCATCATCGCCATCCTGGCGTCAATGGCCATCGTCTTCCAGACAGGATCCCTCATGCTGGCTGCGTCAATCCTCATGGAGAAGCTCCGCAAGATGACGCTACGCGCCTACCTCCGAGCAGACTGCGCGTTCTTCGACCAGGACGGTGTCTCCAGCGGCACTCTCACCAATGCGCTAGCGGACAACGCGCAGAAGATCAACGGCCTCGTCGGCGTCACGTTGGGAACTGTACTGCAGTCTATTTCGACGCTCATCGTTGGCTTCATCATCGCGCTTGCGTATGGCTGGAAGCTCGCGCTGGTCTGCATCGCCTGCACGCCTCTGACGCTTTCTGCAGGCTTTGTGCGCCTCAAGCTCGTGGTGCTCAAGGACGCCAAGATCAAAAAGGCGCACGAGGGATCAGCGCAGCGCGCTTGCGAGGCTGCTGCGGCTATCCGGACGGTGCAGAGCCTGACGCGCGAGGTCGACTGTCTGGATATCTACAAGAGGGAGCTCGTCGAGCCAGGCAAAGTCACACATCGTGCTGCCTTCCTCTCAAACATCCTCTTTGCCCTCAGCCAGGCCTTCTCGTTCGGCGTCATCGCCCTTGGCTTCTGGTACGGCTCCACGCTGCTGCTAAACAACGAGTACGACTCCGGCCAGTTCTTCACGATCCTCACCGCCGTCGTCTTCGGGTCAATCCAGGCGGGCAACGTCTTTAACTTTGTGCCCGACGTGTCCAACTTTCAGAATGCGGCGAACGACACGCTCAAGATGCTGGACAGCCAGCCGGAGATTGACACTGAGAGCGACGAGGGCTTGAAGCTTCAGGAGATGGAGGGGAACATCCGATTCGAAGGAGTCCACTTCCGCTACCCTACGCGTCGCAGCGTACGGGTGCTGCAGGGCTTGTCGCTCGACATCAAGGCGGGAACCTACGTTGCACTGGTCGGACCCTCTGGCTGCGGCAAGTCGACTACAATCCAGCTCATCGAACGCTTCTATGACGTGCAAGGAGGCTCGATCAAGATCGACGGGCATGACGTGCGCGACCTTCATCTCAAGACGCTGCGTAAGCATGTTGCGCTAGTCTCTCAGGAGCCCACCCTCTACGATGGGACAATCGCGTGGAATTTGTCACTTGGAGCTTTCGAAGACGCGAACAAGGTGACGCTCGAGGACATGCGCAGGGCGTGTCGCCAGGCCAACATCTTGCAATTCGTCGAGTCTCTCCCCGATGAGTTCGAGACGAATGTTGGTGGGAAGGGCACGCAGCTCTCCGGTGGGCAAAAGCAACGTCTCGCCATTGCTCGCGCCTTGATTCGCGACCCCAAGATCCTTTTGCTAGACGAAGCCACCTCTGCTCTCGACTCGACTTCGGAGAAGGTCGTCCAACAGGCTCTTGACTCAGCCGCACGAGGTAGGACGACGATTGCGATCGCGCACCGCTTGAGCACCATCTCGAAGGCGGACAAGATCTTCTGCTTCAAGGATGGCCAGGTGGGAGAGATGGGAACGCATGCGGCTCTGATGGCCATGAATGGGCTGTATGCTGACTTGGTCAGGATGCAGGATCTGCAAGCGCACTAGTTGTCAGCGCTAGGAGTAGGTGCGAGAGACAGATGGAATCGCACAGCAGCTCGAAATGTAGGGGAAAGCACAGCATGACGGCGTCACTTTTGTTCATATCCCTTCTTTGGTTTACGTACACCCACACACAGTCAGAACGACAGAATCTATGCATATCCAATTACCACTTTCACGGAAAAGTGATTGATTATAGGGCGCTTTCGATCTAGTAGACGCCGGGGATGATGCGGTAAGGTACTCTGAGCGAGCGAAGGAGTGGGTCAGCTCAGAGCGCCACGGTGACACCTCTCGCTCACTCACTTTCTGATGTACGACTTGTATGCCTCACCAAGCTCGCGAGTCATCATCTTCTCTTCGTCATCTATGCGGCGATTGAGCAGAAGCTGCCAGGTCGAGCGCAGCATCAGCGAATGTAATGAATTTCCGAGCATTATCAGCGCGGCTCACCGTGCAAGCCACCTGATGAAACGCCAGTCCGGCCAGCATATTCATTGTGCCCCATGAGCGCAACGAGTAGCTCGGATTAGCCGCCAGAAAGGATAGAGCCGTGCCGTAGAAGCCAACAATGAGGGCCGTGTAAGACGGGTGTCGCGCGTAGGCGTATGGCCCAGTATCGACGACCTTCTGTCCCCGTTGCACGGCGAGATCGAATGTGAACCATTTGCCCAACTCGCGATAGCATGCAAGTCTACCGATACCGCCTATGGTGGTGAGCACATTTCCCACCGCGAACAAGGCCCGCCAGAGGGTGACGTCTCCTGGTACATCGTCCCACCCTTGACCACTCAGTAGCACCTTGGAGCACCAGGCACCTGCGAGGACGAAGGCTAGTTGGACCGGACGATGGATTGAGGTGAGGCCGAGTGAGGACACGAGATCACCCCCAGCCCCGCCACTACCGCTGCTGTCCTTCATCGCTCCAGCCCTGTCCTCAGCCGAAGCAGCGAATGGTGGGTCGATGGCGCGTACGATGTAGTAAGTGGAGAGGATGAGGAGGGCCACATCCGGTAGGAACGTCGTAGCTGTGGACATGACTGGCCGATCGCGCTAGCTTGGACTGATGCTTGCGCTCTTGTTGGGCGGGGAAGGGGGAAGAGCCGATCTGATCATGGGAATGGTAATGGCAAGAAAGATGAGGAATGAGCGCGAGGCTTTGTCACGCTCGTGTGAAGGAGCGAGCGTCGACCCCGCTCGTCCGACAATTGAGCCGCTGCACTTGGGCACGGGCCGCCGCAATTGAGACGATCGGTCGCAAGGCCGAGGGAGTGAAATCAGAGCGGAAGGCGGCGGCATTGCTTCTTGCCATTCGATCCCTCACTACGTCCTGGATACTATAGCATTCATATATCGATGATTGGGTCATCATCTCTCCTGGAGCTCTCCTCAGCTTTCTATGTATATTCGAGACATAGAACGCGATACGGTCCAAACGCAAGCTTCTGACTACCCCACTCTCCTCCCGTCTCCACCGCTTGATCTCGGCGATGAGCTCTCCATCGCCACTATCGCCCGCAACATCTCGCTCGCTTCTCGATATCTCACAAGTGAAAGCGACAGGCTGTGTAGCTCCACCGAAACGGCCGAGGCTGCCTGGCGAACCGTCTCGACCTGTCTTTGAGCTTCCTTCTTGTCGCTCGGGGAAGAGAGGTTCAGGTGCTCCGCAGCCCAGCCTGAGCGATCGTCATCGTCTTGCGCGAGCTCGAGGAGGCGAGTCCCCTTGACGAAGCTCTGCAGCCTCCTCAACGTGCGCGAAGTGGCTTCATGAACTCGTGCGCCACTTGCGATAGGCGGCATCCCCTCATCCTGTGCGCAGAGCTCCTCGTCGTCCTTCTGCGCCGCCGCAAAACATTGTGAGAAGTAGGTTGGGAGTAGATGTTGCCACAGGAGTAGCCGTAATGATGGCGAAGAGGTCGAAGCGGATTGCTGATCCAGGCGCAGCAAGAGGTCGAAGGATCGGACCGTGTTGGCTGGCAGGGACTGGCCAAGCGCTTCAAGGTGTGGGACAACGTCGCATGAGCCATGGGTAAGCAGGACGACCAGCCGTTCCGCTACGTGAGGGTTGTGCGTTGCTATGAGGACCGTCCTCTCCGGCATGAGACCTTGCAGTGCCATTGACGATGAGATCTGGGCCAATGCGTCGAGAGTGGCTCGGGACTGTGCAAGCGTGAGGACCCGCTCTGCCGCGGCAGTGAGGTGTTTGTCCAATGTGGGTGCCGTAGAGGGAATCGTCGCAGCATGTATGTCCCTGTCCCAGTCCAGCTGCGTGTCAGAAGGGAGCTGCAAGTAACGCAGCGCAGACGCTTTGAGCAGATTGCCGAGAGGCCTGCCTTGCTGCCAATGGGGACAAGAGGAGTGGGTCGACATCCGTTCAGCTTCCAGCGCTCCGTGTATGCTGGTGGTAGCCGGTCCTCGCGCTTTTTGCTACTCACATCGCCTAGGAGGAGAGCCAGTCCCTCATCGAGGTTCTCGTAACGGGTGCCTTGCGTCTCTTGCAATCGGGTGCGAACCTCCTCAAGCGCTGCTCGAAAGGGCTGCGCGTCCGACTTGGCATGTGCATTGAGGTAGGACAGCTGTAGGACGATGCCGCAGAGCAGGACGGCAACGAGCGATGATGTGAGTTGTTCTTCTGTCTCTTTGACATGGCCGCACAGCTCATCGCATGCCCCTTCCAACGCCGTCAGGAAGACGTCGAGTCGAGCGTAGAATGCGTCTGCCCCCTCTGAGAGAGGGTGGACATGGCGCAAGGTTTCAAGTGGTGCTTGAAGCGTGAAGTTTGGACAGCTTGATAGAAGGGAATTCCACCATTCTGGTTGAGCAGCTGTTCTTGAGGCTGGAGTAGCCTGCTTTGCGCCTTGCATACATCGAGTAGGTGCCAAAGTTGGAAGAGAGAAAGTCAAAGTGGAGCGGAGCGCACGGACGGACGGATGGACGAACGTCGGTGGACAGAAAATCCGGCTCAACTTGGGCCTCGACTGGCTCGTCTCGTCTCGTCTCGTCTCGTCTCCACGTCTGAGACTCGAGCAGAGTTGGACTCGTTGGACTTTCGCGTCGTCCGACTCGCTGCGCGTTCTCCCTCATCCTTCTTCCTCCTCGTCCCCTACAACACGATACAACGCGACGCAAGATGGCCTGGACAGCCGTCCTCTCCCCATTATCATGGTTCCGCCGACCAGCGAAAACAGATTACGAGGAGGTCCTGGCCGATCTGGCTGCAGAGATTGAGGTGACCCAGACGAACCTGGTGCAGATACGGGCCAGGACACGGAGAGCCTCGTTGATTCTGCCATTTTGGGCTAGTCTCATTTGGCTTATATGGACGGTTGGGTGCTACTGGCTCGGGCTGTTGACGGGGGAGGAGGCGATGGGGAAAGATGCATGGCTTGTTTGGTGGCCGATTGTCGCTACGCCGATACTGTGAGTGCGAGTGGCCAGACGATCGTTGATCAAGGAGAGGATGATGCTGATACCCGCAACCGCTCGCGCTGGCAGTGTCTTCTTCGCGCGAAGAATCGTCAAATGGTGGTACAGAAGAGTTGGCGCAGCAGAAGGTGGGCAGCCCGGCGTGCAGGCTCGCTCGCACCTCGTAGTCTTGGCGCTCACATCCTGCCTCACACTCGCAGACAAACACCTCAAGGAACTCCATCGGCAACGCAGAGAGAAGGTGGAAGAAATCAAGCGTGCAACACGATACGATCACCTGAGAAAGCTGCTCGAGAAGTACGACGACGAGGGCAAGGCGGCAGGACGAGGGCAGCAGACCGGCAAACAGACCGCTCAACAGAAGCCAGCGCAGCAGACAGCGGGTCAGCAGCAGCAACCGCGACCCCCACAAGGATCTCAGGCGATGCCCATGACCCCAGGAAGAGGCACGATGCCGCCCATGGCAGCAGGCGGTCAGCCGCCGCTACCCTCAGGCATGCGAGGTGCGGCTCCCCCACAGCAATTCGTGCGCCCACCGCCTCCGGCAGCACCAGTACAGCGCACCTGGCTGGATCGTGTGGCCGATGCAGTCCTGGGCGCAGATGCAGGGAGCTCCACGTTGGGCCCGGAGCAGAAGTACGCCCTTATCTGCTCGCAGTGCAAGCGACACAATGGGCTGGCGACGAGGGATGAGTTTGATGAGATTCGTGAGTAGCGAGCGGCGCGGTGCTTGCTTTGAGATAGAGCTGATCAGGGTCCCTTCCCTCGCATACGCAGAGTATATCTGCCCACACTGCGGTTCCTTCGAATCACGGCGTCCCTCCTCCACGCCCATCTCGGGCTCTCCCTTCCGGCCACAAAGAGCCATCGCAACACCTCAGATGACACAGAGCAAGGGAGGCAGCAGCTCCCTAGCCGCGCCGCAGAGGAGGACGAATGATCTTGGAGACGTCAGCACAGACTCGCCGCCGCCTGCCTCTCCTCTTGCAGGAGGGGGCCACTCAGACGAGGAAGCGGAGGCAGAGCGAGAAGTGGTGGAGGGCAAGGCTGGAGAGGAGGATTTGGCGGAGGGTCAACAGAGGTCAAGGGGGTTGAGCAAAAGGGTGACAAGGAGTAGCTCAGGGCAGGGAATGGAGGTGGATTGAATTTGACGAGGGATGGCAGTGAAGACATCCCAAAAGCGCGAAGCGTGTCGCGTGCTGCACGGGCCCGCACTCAACGGCCGCGGCTTGACTTTTTCGATGGAGCGGGAGAGGCCACTCAGTCGAAGCTTGCCTCGCTTTCCGCTTGCCTCGCTCCGCATCATCTTGTCTCTTCTCATCAGCCATCAGCTTCGCACAATGAGGGGCAGCACTGCGGGCAGAGTCGCCTGGGTGATCCGCTGTGAGGCCGTCGCTGGCCCTTCAGCAGCTTCATCATCGCGCCTGTCGCAGCCTCTGCCGCGAAGATGTCCGCCACCTTCGTATATGCAGCATCGAGCCACGTCCTCCTCTTCTTCTTCCTCATCACGACAAGAAACGGGCAGCGGCAATGTCCAAGACCCGTCCTCTTCATCGTCCACATCAGCACCATCAATGCCTCATCGTCTCTACGAAAACTCTCGCGCTTTCGAAGGACCCCGCCGTGCCTCCAAGTCGCTCCGTCTCTTCGGTCGTCGCACCCTTCGAGCAGCCGATCCTTCCACCTCGCCCACTACCTCTTCCAGCTCATCATCTAGATCCAGGCTCGGAGACTCGGGGCAGGCAGACGATGTGCTCCTCTTCTCTCGGCTGAGTCGCCGCGAATCGCAGCTTATAGGGCAACGTGAGCCAGATGAGCATTTGCGCTTCCTCTACACTGAGCTGCGCAAGGCGGCCGATGAGGGGCGAGTTGACAAGTGCTTGGAGCTCTGCAGAACAGTCGCTGTTCGGGTGACGGAAATGAGGAGGGCGATGACGGCCTTACCCTTTCACTGTATACTCAAAGCAATGGTCAATTCAGCGGACGTCGACACTGCCCGCAGGGTGATGGAGGATATGCAAGAGTGTGGGGTGGAGCCGAGTGTTACTACTTGGAATCTTTTCTTGGTCATCGCCGTCAGAGCGACAGACGATGAGGCTGTTCAGGAGGCATTGAGAGGGATCAGGGAGCTCCCCGACGCCGAGGACTCAGCTGCTGTCTCCTCCTCGTCATCCAGCCGCGGCCCCGCCATCTCATACGACGCCAAGACGGGCTCCCTCCTCCTCCCGACACGCAACTACAACGCAACCACTTATGGCATCCTATTCAATCACTATCGCAAGTCCAAGGACCTCGAGTCTGCCTTGCTCCTCCTCGCAGCTCTTCGTCGCTCCGCGCCCACCTCGTCCGACGGCAATTTAGACAGCACAGCCTCCACGCGCGAGGCGATCTCATCTCTGCTCCTCCCTTCAACAGCACAAAAGCTCCTCGCCCTCTGCATCGAGACCCGCGAGCTTGGGCTGGCACTCGACCTCGCCGTCTGGCTGTCGGACGAGGTGGGAGGGGGTGAGAGGCTGGTCCCACCGAGAGAATGGATGAGCATAGCGGCGGAGAGTGCTCATCGAGCCTTCCTACCAGGACTCAAGGAAGGGCTGAGGAGAGCGATGAGCTCTCTCCCCTATGCGCCGGATGAAGGTTTCGTCACCTCTGCACTCAACATGGCAGCGAGTAGGGGAGAGGTTGATCTGTGTCATGAGATCCTCGGCCTTTATCTCGCCGCCCTCCCACCAGGAGCGCTGCATGGCAGTAGCGCAGATGGTGGCGCTGGACAAACAGCGGTGCGTGGTCAACTGCGACACCTTCATCGAGCCCATATTGACGCTCTTGTGGACGCCTATTCCCACGCTGGGCGCTTCGACGAAGCTCTGCGCCTGCTAGCAGCCATGCGGCATCACTGGCAGCTAAGCAGCGTGGACGACGTTACGGCTGCGGCGCTCGAGTTTCGAGCGGCAAAGGACAGAGAGAGCTTGGTGGAGGCGAGCGATGCTTGGAGGAGGGTGTTGCATTTCGAAGGCCAGAGGCAGGAGATACCTGCGGAGTACAGGGAGAAGGAGGCTCCTGCTGAACCTGCGGAAGCTCCTCACACGGCCTCAAGAAAGAGCACCTCTTACCCCACGGCGCCGAATACTATGGCAGCCACTCTCGCTCGCGACAATGTCGTGGCCCTCGCTGCGTCGGGTCGCCTACCTCTCTCGCAAGGGGACGAGCACGCTCAACAGCCACACGGCGACACAATCGGCCTCAACGCCTTGTTGCGTGCAGCAGCCAAGCTCGGTGAGACGGACATAGCCCTGCGACTCTGGGAGGACGCCAAACGCTACAACGGCGAGCTAGCCAGGCGGACCAGCCAGCCTGGGCAGTCGCGTGAGGAGCAGCAGCAAGCAGCCCCGCACCCGCACTCGATCCAGCCGACCATTGACACCTTCAACGCGCTCCTCTGGTCGTGTCAGACGCGCGTGCCCGCTCCTAGCTTGAAGCTGGCCCTCAGCGTATACGCCGAGCTGCTCCAGTGGACGGACGAGCAGGCTCAGCGCGCTGCGGCGGGCGGATCAAAGGAGCAGGCGTCGAAGCGTACCCGCTCCCGCGGAACAGCCGCCGCCGCTGCCGGCGGTCCCCAGCGGCTTCGTCCCAACCCCCTCACCTTCGAGCACCTCATCTCCATCTGCATGCACCCCTCTTCCGCTACGACCGCAACCGCTTTGAGGCGCAACGTGGATGCTGCCTTTGCGTGGCTGGAGGAATGCAAGGGGCGCAGACTCAAGCCTACCAAGGCTTCTTATGAGCGATTGGTCTGGGGCGTGAGGGATGAGGAGCAGGATGTGGTTCGATCTGTGGAAGGGCAGGAGAAGAAGGAGGGGAGGGGAAAGAGGGTGGCCAGAGAACAGAGAAAGGCGCGATGGGAGCAGGTGCTGCATGAGATGGAGTTTGAGGCTGGGTATGAGATTGGGGGAGCTTTGAGGGAGTTTTTGGAGAGGAGGGAGAGAAGGGATCGATGGATCGAGAGGACTCAGAGCTAGCCGGCGGGCGGGTAAGGTGATGTGAATAAGCAATGCAGTATGATAATCGCCGCGATGTCAGCGTGAGCAGGCCACGTCTTCCTTCCCACGTCCTCCCTTTTCTTTCCTTTTCCGCTTCTGACTCAGGTCAGCGCGCCGAGCAATGCCCCCAGTCCAGTCACCCAAGCGCCACGATACAGGGCCTCTACCCCTTCCTCGTCGACCAGCTTGTCTAGGCAGTCTCTGAAGCCGTTGTAGGGTTGAACGACGTCCGTGTCGGCTGCCCCTGTCGGTCCCGCCTGTGAGTACGAGGAGGTTGAGACGGGTCGCAATGCGATCACCGGCTCAGGTGGCTCAAGCGCTGATGAGTAGGGAGCTTGTGCTGGCTGAGGATATGGCTGATCGCCACCGTCCACGAAGGGTTGGCGCGATGCCTGCGGCTGAGTTTGCTGTGGTGTTGAAGACTGAGGGGTTGAGCTGCCGTTGGCCTTCACTCCCTCTGCCCCATTCGCCCCGCCTGTCAGAGGGTCCTTTGCTGTCGCTGCGTCGTCATCGTCCTCCTCATCCGCCGCTGCCTCCTCATCAATGGCAAAGCTAGGTCGGCTCGGTGTGGGCGCTTCCTGCGCTGCGTTCTCGCCGTTGCCGTTGGCTTGTGCAGGCTCCGAGGGCAAGGGCTTGTCCGCCGGCGGTCCATCTTTGAATGCATTGCTTCCTCCGCCACCGTTGCGACCCACCGAGGCTTGATGGCTGTATGAAGCCGGCCCATCTTGCGTTGCAAGCCTCGAGTAGGTCGCACCTCCTGCACTCGACGAGTAGCCCCTCCTTCCCTCCTGCTCCTGCTGCATCGCCCCGGCTCCCTGAGTTGCAAGCCGAATAGTCACCACCTCCATCGGGCTCAAGGCCACAACGCTGAACAGACACCAAGCCAAGAACACCACGAGCCCGAGCGGGTCGACGGCCTTCATGCTGCTGTTCGGGCCGGAGTAGTCAGTCTGATCCGGTGAAGCGGGTTCAGCTTCTGCTAGGCCGCCCAAGGAGGGAACGAGCAGGTGGCGAAGAAGGCGCGTGAGGAGACCGACCCAGCCAATGTGAATAAATGTTGCGGGGAGGAGACCAGGGATGAGGTAGAGGGTCCAGGGACGTGCGAGCTCGGAGGGGGTCAGAAGGGATTGCAGGGCATGACGCAGGGCCGAGGGGCCACCGAAGGGGAGGACGGTGGGGTGAACGATTGCCCTGAAGCGGGAAGCAGGGTCAGCACACAGCAATTGATGTGGAGCGCGCCTCTACTCACCTGTACGTGAGCACATTCAATGGCAGCGAGACGATCGCCACGAAGGTCATAAAGGCCAGGTTGCCGAAGAAGCCGAAGTGCCCAGGAGCGGTAGGCGCAGCCTTGTACCCTCCGCCCGCTCCGGCAGTGGAGTGGCCATCGACGTCGAAGAGGGTCGAGGTGACGATGGCGAGGAGGAAGAGCTGGCAGCCCACTGGAATCGAGCCTTTGTAGACTCCCTGCCAGCCTTCGAGGCGCTTCGTGCGAAGAAGCATGGGAAGGATGCCGGAGACGACGGGACCCTGACGCGAGAGACGGAGCGGGACAGGCGGTCAGCGTGAGTGTCATATGCAGCATTGAGAGTTGCGCTGCGTACTCACAATCTTGGCGCCATGCTTCCCTTGCTTGAGGAAGTACGCGCTGATCTTCCTCGTCGTAGCTCCATCATCGTTGCCCTCGCTTGCTGACAATCCTGGTCCGTTTGCTCCACTCCCAGCACCAGCTCCGTCTTCCAGCACATTGTCGAGTGAGACAGCCTTGGGCAGATAGTTGGCTCTCAGTCTGACAAGCGCCCCGGTAAAGGGCTGCGACATCATGACGGAGATGGAGATGGACAAGCCGATGATCAGGGATGCGAAGGCGAGGGTGAGGATGTAGTAGGAGAGAAAGTAGAGGAGGACCAAGGATACAAAGCCGCCCACTGCTAGTAGCAGGGGCTGCAGGTATGGGGGTGATTGCGCAGGCATGTTGGCGGTCAGGCGGAGAAGAGGATGAGGATGGACGACGAGTTAGGCTATATGCTTGCGTGGCAGGGCAGTGCTAGCAAAGAGTATGGGCCAAGGCGTAGATGGGTACGCGAGACGCCTTGATGGATAGCGATGGGGCAAAGGCGCTGCTCAATTGGAAGCAGATAAGTTAGAGTAGTGGAGACGATGAGGATAGGAAGGATAGATAGATCGATAGCGGCCCCTCTCTGGCTCCTCCGCGTCAGCCCCGCCCCGACTGAGCGCGGCGACATCGAGATCGACTCGAAAGGCGTTGGCTTGTGCGCGACGCCAAAGGGCGCGCCAAAGGGCGAGCTTTCTTTTGTTTTCCTGTTCCACAAAGTCGTCGCTCTCAAGTCCACACCCAATCGCTCACCATGGATCCCCTAGAAAAGTCCATTCTAGATGGCACCGCCTTTCGAGGCCCTCGTACCCCGTCACCAACTCGATCCGCCTCTACTGCATCACCCACTCCTTCTGCGTCGCCCTCCTCCTCTCGCTCCCCTTCCCCTGTCTCCATGCCTGCAGGAGCACCCCAACGCACCTCAGGCCCACAGACTGGGCCAAAGGGAGTCAAGGCAGATCGAGATCATGCGAGGGAGCTCGAGAGGGATGGTAGGAGAGAGGCAAGGAGAGCCAGGGATGCGGAGCTGAGCAAGAGGGCGATGCTTGCAGGCGATTGGAGGGAGCAGGAGAGGCTGCAGAAGTCGGAGGACAGGAGAAGGAGGGATCAAGTTCGCGTGGGCAGCAGAGAGGAGCAAGAACGAGATGGATCAGACCTCGACAGCGACGACTTGGACGAGGACGCCGAAGCCGTCTCAGCCTTTCGTCGAGCGAGGATACTCGAGCTGCAAGGAGGGCAAGGCACCTCGGCGTCATCGTCACAGCGAGCGGCGACGGCCACGTACGGCCAGCTTCTCGAAGTAGACGGAGACGAGTATGCCAGTCAAATCGACGATGTGCCGATAGGCACGTCAGTCGTGGTCCACATCTATTCACATGTAAGTTTGCGCGCCTGTCGCGGTTGGCAACCCACCTCTCACACTCCCTCTCCTATGTAGCTCTCCCCAACCTGCCACACCCTCTGTTCCTCCCTCTCCTCCCTCGCGCAACTTCACCCGGCCACCAAGTTTCTGCAAGTCCCAGCCTGGCAAATAGGATTCGGCCTCTCGTCTTCCTCGGCCGCTCGCCTCTCAGACGACGACGAAGAAGAAGAGAGCGAAGCCACGCTGCATCGTCGCGCAGAAGCAATAGAGCAAGAAGCTGCCGCTGTCACGCCCACGATCTTGATCTACAGGGACGGGCAGCTCGTGGCGAATCTGGTCAGGGTGGATCTCATTCCGAGAGAGGAGGGTGGGGTGGGCAATGGGGCAGAAGAGGAGGTTGTGTTGAGGTGTTTGAGATTGCACGGGGCGGTCTGAGCTACGAGCGCTACATGAGAGGAAAACGGCGCGTAATGGATTGTCTGTGCGGTGGCTGCTGCAGGTATGCATGATGTCGTGTGTACAAGAGAGGATATGTACCCCTCTGCGTCGCCTCTTACTTGCCGACGACACTTGGCCAACCACCCTCAAAGTCGAGGTAGTACATCCCCAGCCTAGCATAAGCATTCGCATCGCTCTTTTGAGAGTAGTGAAATACCATTACGTCCCTCCCTGATACCGGATCACGATACACCGACTGGCCCCCTGGGGCGTACGTGGCTCCTGGAGAGCTGCTCAGGACGAGCGACCCGCCACCTTCTGCCATATCTTTGCCTTGCTTGTCGAGATAGGGGCCAGTGACACTCTTTGAACGACCTACGAGCACCTTGTACTCTGTCGTGTCATCCGCGGGAAGGTGCGCGAGGTCGAAACCGCAGCACTGACCCTGCGACACGAAGAGGTAGTAGTAGCCTTCTGCATCCTGCTGCTTGGACTCGTAGACGTATGAGCCCTCCACTGGGTTGCCGTTGGCGTAGCCAGCTGCAACCAGTGTGCCCGGCAGATTGTCTGGCGATACGCTCGCGTCTCCTCCACTGCCTTGCGTCATCTTTGCGATGTACACACCGCCGAAGTAGGAGCCGTAGGAGAGATGGCCCCCATCCGGCGTGAGGGCAGGGTCCAGCGCGTTGTAGTCTGTCCTGTCCGAGCTGAAGAAGAGGGCGCCTTTGTCTTGGAACGAGCCCGGCTCGCCCGTACTGCTCACCGCGAGGGCGATGGCTGACGAGCGCGTCCCGAAGGCGCTCACGCAGTAGAAGACTTGGTAGACTTGTGCGGCGCTGTTGTAGAAGAGAGATGGGGCCCAAGGGGAGGCGACGCCTGGGTTGGGAATGTTGGGCGTGGCAGAGAGGCAGTTACCGTTGCGCGTGTATGGGCCAGTGAGGTTGGAGGAAGAGTAGTAGACGACTGGCGCGCATCGCGGTGGAAGAAAGAGTGTTAGCTTGGGGCTCGGCATGGAAGGAGAGAAGGAGCAGGCGCACGCTTGTCGTCGGTGCCCGCCACGATGTATTGCTTGAGCTTGGCGTCGTAGATGATGGTAGGGTCCTGCGCGTGAGAGAAGCCGCGAGGTCAGCAGCTGCCCAGCAGGCCTCACATCGTCACACACGGGCTCACCCTCAGGTACACCTCACCGATGTCGAGCATCTGAGGATAGGTCGGCACCTTGTGGCCCGAAGGGCTCGAGCTCGAGTTCTTGTGCGACGAGTGAGTCGATGAATTGTAGTGGCTCTGGGCGTGCTTGACGCTAGCTGCCTTGATGGCGGCCAAGGAGGGCGGCTGGTCGCCGATGGCCTGGATGACAGCTTGCGCAGCTGCGGGCGAGTTGGACTTGCGCCCAGAGGCATACTGAGCGAGGCCGGCCGCAGAGGGGACACGGCGATGCAGCTTGCCTGCGGAGGCGGACAGGGCTAGGATGAGGGGAAGGAGCGCCCAGCGCCCGATGTTGGCTGTGACCATGTTGTGCTTGCGAGAGATGGGTGAGGGGGAATGTCTATGCCGCGGACAAGGGCCTTTTTACGCAACGGTGTGCAGGGAGTGCGGATGAAGAAGGGTCCGCAGGTCCTAATAGAAGGCAATCACGAGCCGTGTGGGATGAAGCGTGGGTGGGAATGAATGTCTGGTTGGAGATGCAAGAGGAGATGAAGAGGGGGGAGAATCGACCGCCAGCGGTGACTCGAGGATGTCTAGATGAAGGGAAGACGGGGGATGGTACGGAGCAGAGGGAAGGTTGCAGGGAGTTGCTCAAAGCTGAGCTTGCTTCTTTGCCTTGCCCTGGCGGTCGAGCCTCACCTTGGCAGCCCCTTTGTACGCGTGACGCCCGGCGCTGTTTCATTGTTCTTCATCTCGCGCCCATTTCAGTAGAGTGAGCTCATCTGGGCGGGTCTTAGTGGCTGACAATGAATTGAGAAGGCTAAGATTGAGATGTCGCGAGGGTCAAGGCAAGAGTCTATCCTTGGACGGCGGATACAAGCTCGCTTCACACTTGGGCACGTCTGTTGCAGGCGGGCAAGACGAGCGAGCGGTCAGACCGGCAGGCAAACAGGCAGCCAACGAAGTCTTGGCTGAGTAGCTCGTATTGGCATTGACGAGCATCGTGGCCAGCATTGGTTGATTTCACGTTGGACTGACTACACCTTAGCAGCGGGAAGCGCGAGGATGGCAATGAGTAGGGGGGCAAACCCGGCGTCATGCTCGCTGGACCCTGCATGTCGGCCCAGTAAGCCGGCGGTACGATACGGCTTCTCAGGTCTCCGTCTTCCATCTCTCCGCCGCTACGATCCTACTGATAGAGCGACGACGAGCGGTCGAGACGAGAGCGGAGAGAGGGATCATTCACTCTGACTCGGGTCTCTGAGTTATGAGCTAGCAAGCTCTACGCCTGGGTATACTGGCCGCCTGGTTAGCGTCAATGAGCGGCCTGCTAAGGTTGCCTCTCGGAATGCTCTAGTGGTGGGCTAGGGTGGCGCCGTTTGATGGCTCTGCTGTTGCTCTGCCGGCGAGGCATCGCTGGGCGGTATGAATGTTGGGATCGGAACCTCTCAACCAGACGATCACAGCTACAGGATGGTGATGTCCTGAGAGGGAGGTGGGATTACGGTGAGCCAACTGCCAGCTAGTCACTACTGGGCACTCGCCGCACTCGTCGTGCTCACCTGAAGCTTCTGCGCCTTCTTGTACTTGACAAAGCTCGGATTGCCGTCAAAGTCGAGGCGAACGAGGTGGCCATAGTTCGAGCCAGTGGAGGAAGTGGACAGGCGTCGCCTGTTGTCCTTGCCCTCCGGCGGCGAGGCCAGAGGCAGGCCAACGACGTTGACAAGGAACGAGCGGACGGAGCTGGTCATGATTGAGACACGAGGGAGACAGATGTTGGTGGGTGCGGGAGAGTGGTGGTCGTCTACTTGTATTCTCCGAGCACGCAAGCTTACGGCCTCAGCTGATGCTAATGCTCAGCTTAGGACCAGCGGCAAGCGGTATCGTCGAGCCGCTTGCGCCCGGCCGCCCGCCCGCATGTCCGTCCCTCGTAATGTCGTGCGTGACTCGCCACGTGGTGGTGCGGACTGGAGCTACTTCCGACGCCTCACGTCTCGCGCGAAATTGCTCGTCGTCCGTTTCCACCTCGCACCTCACTTGCTCCTCCTCCTCCTCCTGTCGCAGGCAGGATGGAGCGGGATCCGGCCGCTGAGGCTACCATTGCGGCTGTGGCTGCTGCTGCCGCTGCTGCGTCGGATCAAGCGCGTGATCAGGCGCAAATTCAGGCAGAGGACCAGCACGTCTCGGGGGAACACCACCTCGAAGAGGATGGACAGCATCCACTCGAGCATATGCATTCCGACGAGGGTCAGCATAACGGGGAAGACGAAGCTGTGGACGCCAATGCCATTCCTGAGGAGCACGATGCGACTGCCGACACGGATGCTCATCACTACCAACAGCAAACTGAAGAGGCCGCCCAGCAGGCTGTCGCTGCTGCAGCCGCTGCTCAAGCCGCTCAACGTGAGAGAGAGGGGCGCGAGGAGGAGGGACGCGAGGGGGAGGAGCATGCGCACGATCATGATGGCATGACATCGACGGCTGAGGGGGAGATTGTGCTTGGAGACTCTGGCTCGCCATCCGGCGACTCGCATCATCGCAGCAAAGTCCGCTCTGCCGGTGCTTCCGCGGCCAATGCGGCGAAGCGGCGCAAGATCAATACGTGTCTGGAGTGCAAGTCGAGAAAAGTCAAGGTGAGCGGGCGAGCGGCGAGCCGCCAGAGATAAGGGACTTGGCTTCTTTGCTTGCTGACCGCTTCCTCTTCTCGCGCTTGCAGTGCGACAAAGTCAGACCACTCTGCGGGCCCTGCCGCAAGCACGGTTTGACGGAAGGATGCACATGGGCCATCGAGGTCGCAGACCCTAGCAATGGCGGTCAGGACGCAGGCTGGGCCGCTACTGAGCTGACTGCCGCAGCCAACGACGCCAACGCCGCATCATCATCGTCGCATCCAAATGGTGGATGGGCTTCGCCGGCAGCAGCAGCTCTCGCCAACCAATTTGCAGCGTCCGCAGCTGTCCAAGCTGCAGCTGCCTCTGCGTCAGCCTCCGCATCAGCATCTGGATCTTCAGCCGCAGCACGAGGGGACAGGGGGCCACAAGAAGACGGCAGTTCTTCCACGACGACCGATCAGCATCACGGCCACTTTGCAACTGCCTTTGCCGATCCCAACGGGGCAGCTTCTCACCTCGAGTCTCTCCTCAGCGACAGAGGGCAATTCGCCGCGTGGGGTCAGCAGTTTGCTGCTGCATCTGAGCATGAGCGCGGGACAGCCGCCGACGCATTGGCATTGATCGCTCAGCAACAGGCGTCTTCGTCGTCGCATCACACGAGTGCGCAGCGTGGTGGCCGCTTCCCCTTCTCTATGCGCGCAGAAACGGCTCGCGACGCTATGTCGCTTCTCCCCTCGGACGCCGATGTCGACTGGCTCCTCGACGAGGTTCTTGACGCCCAATTCGCAGCGGCAGCGACTTTCTACGCTAGCCATCGGTTGGTCAGGCTCCAGCTTGCCAAGTTGAGGGAGACTGAGCAAGCGCAAGTGGACGTCTCTTTTCTCGCCCTCCTCTTTTACCTCCTCGTCCTCGCTGCGGATGTGGCTCACCCAAACGACCTTGCATCGCGGGGCATCGTCGAGCGAGAGGACAGCGTACCAGGGCTCGTCGAAGCTTGGCATGCGGCAGGAGAGGCGTGTCTATCGGCTGCAGACGCGGCGGGATCAGCCAACCTCAACTGCGTCATGGCCCTCACTGCCGCGCGTCACTTCTACACTTGCCAAGGTCGACTGACGCAGGCTGCCACGACGCTGTGCGTAGCAATACGACTCGCCCAAGCGATGGGATTGCACAGGCTGGGCTCTGCGGCTCAGGATCAGGCGCGGTGGACGCGGGCGTCCCGCAAGGGAGCAAGAGCGTCGCGAGCGGAGGATGTTGTCAGAGCGACGTTTGACCATTCGACTCTTCATCTTGCGGGAGAAGCGGGAGACTCTTTCCACGGAATCGCCGGCCTACCTCGACGCTCTCATCTTATCCGAGAGGCGAGCCGAAGGCTGTGGTACCACCTAGTCGCACAGGACTGGCTCACTTCGTCAGAGCGTGGGATACCGTCGCAGATACCAGAGGGATCGTGGAGTACAGCATTGCCGCTCAAGGTGGACGAGGAGAGCTTGGCAGAAGGCGATGGCGGGGCTCTTCCAACAGAGAAGGAGCTTGACAGCGAGCCGACCGATGCCGCTGGCGTGTTGTATCTGTGGTGGATTGCGGAGGCGAGCGAGGCGCGATCAGAGCGAGACGGCCTGCGATCAGAGCCAGGAGGCCTGCGATCAGAGCGACCCGGCTCTTCTTCGCCACCTCCTTCGCCAGACGTTCGCATTGGCACTCGGCTGCATTCACTCCTCGACGAATTGCCCATCTACCTGCGGCTCGACGGCGAGTCGGAGCACAACCCTGTGGTAAGAGAGCAAGAGAGTGCTCGGCCCTACCTGGCAGCACTTCGCTTCGTCGTCCTGACCACGATACACCATCGGCTGCTGAGGCTACATCGGCGGTGTCTCGCGGCGCGAGGCACGCAGGGCGAGGTCGAGGGCGAGGAGGGCGAGCAGTCTCAACAAACGAGGAGCACAAGAGCATCGGTCGACGCAGCCAGAATGATCATCTTCATCCGCCAATCCATTACGCAGCGGGATCATCAGCCTACAGGATCCAGCGGCACGGCGTCGTCCAGCAGCGCAGGAGCAGCTGGCGGTGGATTCGAGAAGTTCTGGTTGTACCGCCACCTCATCTTCGACGCCGCGCTTGCACTTGCTGTCCATCTCTTGCGTCTCACCACAGCGACGAAGCAGGATGGACACGTGGAGGGCAGTCTCAACAACAGCGAGGAGGAGCGCGCCAGACTACGAGACGAGATCAGCGTAGCTGTCAGCATGCTGGCGTACGATCCGCATGCACTTAGCGGGCATGGAGGAGCGGCAGCGGCGGCGGCGGCGGCGGCGTCGTCGCCGAATGGCAATGCTGGAAGCGGGGCAGCGCAGGGCGATCCGTTTGCACGCGCGAGGCAGATTGTCGCCCGGGTGCTCGCTAGCGGAGCGAAGGAGGAGGGGCATGACAGGGCGGGCGGCGAAGAGTTGGAGACTCTGTATGCGGAGGTTGGTGACGTCGACGCCGCTGCGGCGCAAGAGGAGCAGGAGGATGGCGCGACAGATCTCAGCCTTGCCGCGTCGCTGGGGAGGCTCATCGCCGAGGCGCAGGGTAAGGGGACGGTGGAGGACGAAGCGAGAGACAAGGACCTTCTGTGGACCGTTCTCAGCCTACACGCACGGCCGGGCTTCGTGTAGGCATGCGCGCGATGTCGGCGTGCCGCAGGCGATGTTGTAGATTGGTATATACCACGACAATAAGATTAGCAACTCGAGAGATGACATGAGGCAGTGCCCACCGCCACCTCAGCTGCGCGACACGAGCTTCGTCCACTTGTCCGTCAGCTCGGTCGCATATCGCTTCTCCCCAGAGAGGAAGCGCACGTGCGTGCCTACCCCCTTGTCTATGTTATCGCGGTCGAAGGTGAAGACGCGGGCACCTTGGGCCCACCACGTCTCGTCGTACCCGCCGAAGCCGGACTGCAAGGGAGCGATCAGGAAAGGCAGAGGCGCGAGCCATCAAGGAAGGCAGAGTCAACGTCACGGTCCTGCGCGGAGATGACGTCGCACTCACATGCTTTGCGAAGCAGACGGGTACGATCTGCTCGCCATTTTGCGCTCTGAGTTGGCTGGGACTGCACCAGTCGTTGCCATGCTCATGACCGGATACGATGGCATGCAGCCTGCTACCCTTGGCAGTGGGCCCGTCTTTGCCCAGGAAAGCGTCCAGGTAGACGCGGTCCTGGCGCTTGTAATTGGTATACTCTCCACCTTGTCCCCCAAATCCCACGTCGGCATTCAAGCCGGGGTACGTCGTCCTGTTGACCACTGTGAAGTTGCCCTCATTCTCGGAGGTGATACCGCCCACGTGACTGGGACCGTACGGTTTGTCAGTCTGCGCCTGCGCGAAAGCGTGAGCGGGAATGTGCGTGAAGACGATGGACGGGGGGAGTGGTTCACCCCACGCGTGAGTGAGCTTGCGCGTCTCGGCTTCGATCCAGGGTCCAACGGTAGGATGCACCCAATCCTCTATGTCGCCCTGCGTCCCATTCCCGTAGGGCGAGTTGGCAATCGTCGTCTTTCCCCCTCGCGAGTCGAAGAACCAGAGGATCAACTCAGGGCGCGACCCGCGAGGTGAGGAGGCGTTGGCGTGGATGGGGACCCAGTAGTTGTCGGTTCCTACGTCGCCACCGCCTACGCCTGGTGGGGCTTGGCGCGTATAAGAGAGCGGGCCGGCTACGGCGTGCTCGTATTGCGAGATGGACAAGTGCGTGGAGTACTTGTCGTTGCCATGGTTGCCCTTTGTCGAGCTCAGCGGTATTCCCGCCTCGGCGATGGGCTCCAGGATCTGCGTGACTGCTCGACTGACGTTGAGCTCGCTGTGTGCGAACTCGCCGCTGACGAAGTCGCCGAGGTGGACAACGTAGTCTGGGCCCTCGTCGCGGATGTAGGTGCGCACCGCGCGTTGGCTCATGGCGTTGACTCGGGCGATGTCCTCGGGCTTGGAGGAGCCGTTGCCATCGAGGAGGTGAGTGTCGGTGACGACGATGATCTTGAAGCGCTGGGAGGGGTTGAAGTGCACGAGGGGCTGCGTGGGGTACGGGTCCGCGGGGAGTGAGCTGCTCAAGACGGTCTGCGGGGCGTGCGAGGCGTGCGAGGCGAGCGCAGCGAGCGTAGCTGTGCACCCGCAGATGAGCGTTGCGACGCTGGTGAGTGCGAGTAACATAGCGAGATGGCCAGATGTCCAGGATGGCGATGGTTTCGTGCGAACCTCGAGACCTCTCGCAGAGAAGGCCACGTTCATCAAAAGCACTCCATTGCCGCATGTCGCGCACGGGCCCCGCGATTTTCGGACACGCGACTTGCGTGAGCAAGCGGACGGACGGACGAGGCGGCGAGTGGAGCTTTGCGCTTCTTGCGCTTCTTGCTTTCCTCCCCTCCTCACTGCCACTTGACACGCCAACGCGGCCGCCGGACATGGCCGAGATCATAGACCCACAGCAAGCCGATCAGGCTCAGTCGCTGCAAGAAGCCACGACGGCTGTAGCTTCGGGGTCCTCCCGCCCGACCGCTCACGCGCAGCGATACGACCGCCAGCTGCGCCTGTGGGCCTCGTCCGGGCAGGCTTCTCTCGAATCGTCGAGCGTCCTCCTCATCGGGGCGACTCATCTCGGCGCTCAATCGCTCAAGAATCTCATCCTGCCGGGTATTGGCAGTTTTACTGTGCTGGACGGACAGATGGTCGGAGAGTACGATGTGGGGAACAACTTCTTCCTCGAGGCCGAGAGCAGCTATGGCAAGCCGAGGGCGCAGGAGGTTGCGCGTTGCTTGGCTGAGTTGAATCCGAGCGTCAAAGGGCGGGCAGTGTGCGATGTGAGGGTGCGAGGCGTGACACTTTAACAAGCTCTATACTGACCCTCTACTGGCGCGCGCGCTCGATCGCAGGACCCTGCTCGCCTCCTCTCCAGCGACCCCGGCTTCTTTTCGCAATTCACCCTAATCATTGCCGCCAACCAGCCGCCGCATGCTCTACTGGCTCTCTCGGACCTCTGCTGGTCTCACGCCACGCCTCTGCCCCTCATCAGCGTGCGCGGCGCCGGGATGATTGGCTCCGTCCGCGTCCAGATCAAGGAGCTAGGCATCATCGAGACCCACCCTGCCTCTACCGTAGACCTCCGCCTCACCTCACCATGGCCGGAGCTGGAAGCTTTTGCGCAGGGCTACGACGTGCAAGATCGGGACGCGATGGCACACGGGCATATACCTTACATTGTCATCCTTTTACGCAAGTTGGACGAGTGGCGGCAATCCTACGGCGAGCTCCCCGTCCCCTCGAAGGATCGCAAGGCGTTTGCGCAGAGTGTGGACGCGATGCGCGACAAGAGTGTGGTGGACACGGAGAACTTTGACGAGGCTATTGCGGCGCTGGGCCAGGCGGTATGGCGACCGATCGCCTCGGGGCGTAAGGTGCCCGCCGAGGTGGGAGCGCTATTCGACGACCCTGCCTGCGCGACTGCCCCTACGCCGGGGACGACGAACTTTTGGCTCCTAGTGCGAGCGCTGCGTGCTTTCACACTCGCGGAGGGACATCTGCCTCTGCCGGGCAGCTTGCCGGACTTTAAGGCCACCTCGGCGACGTACGTGGCCCTGCAGCGGTTGTACAAGGACAAGGCGAGGCGGGACGTAGCGGCGTTGAGGGGGTGCCTGGGCGAGGTATTGCAAGAGGCGGGCCTGCCGGGCGATGCGGTGCCGTCGGGTGAGATTGAGGCTTTTGCCAAGAATGCGAGGTGAGTGCGCGCGGGGTGTGGGGGGTGGGGAGAGCGGCGAAGGAGGAGAAAGCATTGCTGACCCGCAACGCCCACGCCGCCCGCACCGCCCGCACAGCTACATCAAGCTGATTCGAGGGCGCAACCTACGCGACCTGCAAGCCAACCCGAACAAGGACGCCGTACCTCTCGCGCTGATGGACCCAGTCAATCCGCCTACCGTCCAACACCACATCGCCTTTGAAGCGATTGACGCCTTTTACGCCTCCACGGGCCGCTTCCCCGGGTCGAGCAAGGGAATGACCGATTCGCTCATCGGCGGCGCGTCGCACGGAGCAGGCGCCTCGCACTCCATGTCCACCTCTTCATCCGCGGCGTCACTCGGCACACGCGGCGACGACTACGATGGCGAGCCGGACAAGAAGCGTCAGCGCAGCGACTCGCCCTTTGTGGCGACGAACGGCGCGGGCACGAGCGCGGGCACGGGCGTGGACGCGGAGATGAAGACGGCTACACCGCAGCTATCGGATAATGGCGAGGCCCGAGAAGGCGCGGAGGAGGACGACGACGAGGGGACGCCGCCTTGGCGAGAGGATCTGGCGGCCTGCCTTGCGCTGCTCGAGGGGCCGGGCGGGATTCTTGAGAGGTGGGGACTACCCTGCGATCCTGCGCAAGACGACGACAGAGACGCGAACGACGACGACGACGACGACGAGCCGAGCGGCGCCACCCTGGTGCGCAAGTCGGTCCGCGAGCTGGTGCGCTCCGGGCATGGTGACGTGGCTAGCACGGCGAGCTTTTTGGGCGGGATTGTGGGTCAGGAGGCGATCAAGGTCATTGCGAGGCAGTACGTGCCCGTCGGGGCGGGGAGTGGGGTTGTGCTGTACGACGGGGTGAAGCAGTGTGTCGGCGCCATGACCTAGGCGCGCAGAGATGCCGTAATGTGAGCTCGCGCGCCGCGGCGCGAAGTTGCGACACGACATTTAATGGGCATCGAATAGACTAGCGACTAGCGAGAGAGAGAGAGAAGTAGAAAACAGAGAGAAAAGCCAGCCACCCAGCTGCCGACGCTTTAAGCCAGCCAGTCGTCCAGCAGCCAGCCGCCTGCCGCCGTAAAGCGTGTAGTAAAGATGCGGCGGGCAGGGGCGCATGCGCGAGCAGGCAGTCCACGCCTGCCTCTCGACCCTTGATCCTTGGTGTCCGATTCCACGCGCGCCGCGCGCCCTCACGCCCTCCTCTTCTCGAACCACTTGACGGCCTTCTCCGGCCTGTATGCATCGCTGGGGAGGGCCTCCAACTTGGGTACAAACTTGTCGCCGACCTGTTCGAAGAAGCGCGGCTTCCACACCTCTCCCTTTTCTTCTCGCTCCTTGACTCGCTGGCGCTGTGCGTCCTCGATGGCAGACTTGGCATCGGTCGCCTTGTCGAGGTTCTTTTCCTTGATGCCTGCGTGCGGGGCGCGTGTGCGTGAGCGCGGACAGGATAGTCAGCATCGGACACGACACGCATAGTCCTCTTGGGCGGCGCCGCCTCACCCTCGGTGACTCGCGCCCACAGCCTTCTGCTCTCGAACTCTTCCTGCTCCTCCTCGGGCCTGACGCTCTTTTGCGCAAACTGTGCCTTCTTTGCGTTGAAGAGCTCACGACTCGCTCCGCCCTTTGCCTCCTTGTAGTCCATCTCGTCCGACCACTTGCCCGAGATGTCGCCGATGTGCTTGCCGCTGTGGGTCACGCGACCGGCAATAGCGTTGTACGTTCCCGTGAAATAGCCCTTTGTCTTGAACTCGACGTCGGCCGACATGTCGTTGTTGGCGTTTGTGATCTTGGAGTGGTCGCCGAGCTCGAGGACCATCTTGCCGAACATGATGCCGCGGGCGTACATGTTGGGCATCCCGATCTCGTACTCTCCCTGTGCGTAGCGCGCGGAGTGAGAGCGGTCAGCATCTGCGCCAGCAATCTGCTCGCGCCACGCAACTCACGTCCTCTGGTCTGTCGAGCAGAGCCACACGATTCTCGCCCCCCATAATCGTGGCAGCCGAGTTGCCCAAGAACTTTGACTTGGGCTTCAGCTCGCCGTAGAAGATGAGGTCATTCTCTGGCGAGACGTAGTAGTAGGCCGAGATGGGCGGGTGGTGCGAGACTTGCTCGGCAATGTAGAAACCCTCGGTCCCGTTGCCGTACTTGTACGAGCATTGGAACCACTCGCCGAGGACGGGGTTGTACCTGGGCGGGGTGCGTGGAGTGTAAGCTGTGCAGCTCGTCGCGCGACTCGCTCGCCCTACTCACGGCTTCTTGACGCCCTTTGGCTTGATGTGCCAGCCAGAGAGGTAGTATCGCGTGACTGCAATGAAGCGCTCCTCTGCGTTGTCCTGCTTGCCCGTGCCAAAGATGAGGTCCGGATGGCTCATGAAGTCCTGCGGGTAAGGGGCCGTGGTGAGTGTGCGCTGTTTTGCGTCTCGCTACAGTCCTGGCTCACCGTGATGCGCTCCAACATACTCCTGGGCTCGAGACAAAAGGTAGGCAACGTCACCTTGCTCAAGTCCATCCCAATCCTCAACTGGCCAATCAAGCTCAGCAGGATGTTACCGCTCTCCTCATCGAGCTCCTCGGTATCATCCGCCGACGCCCCCTGCGGCGGTCCATCCTCCTTGCTACCACCAGCGGCCACTGCCCCGCTGCTCCCTCCCGGAGACGAGTGGCCGACGGCTGACTTTGCTCCCGAAACGGCCGAGTTGACGTGGTCGAGGAGTCCCATAGTTCTGCGCGATAGGTGTGCTGGTGCGGCGGTGCAGTGGCGCGTGAGTGCACGGCCTCCACGATGCTGCGACTCGTTGGACATACTCACAAGATGATGCGGGGGGGCTCTACTATATGTCTGTGACCCTATTGAGTGCTTTCTGTGTACTTGTGCCGAGTCGCACGCTGCTATTTCGAATGGATGATCGTGATGAGGCGATGGCAAATGGCAGTGGAGCGGGGAAAGGGAGAGAGAGACGAGATGGAGGCTCCGTCACTCTGCCTCCGCACACATCCACATCCCAGGGCGCGGCGCGGGTGGTGACGCACGACGCACGAGGCAAGCGGTGCGAGGCGGAGAGCCAGTGACAGAGGCCAGTTGAGGCCAACAGCACCGCTCATCATCAATGATGCTCATATTGGCACACTCTTGGCAGCTCCTCAACAACGAGTCATTCGAGGAGGTATCGTCAATGCATCGGCCCAATGTGGGAGTTCGCATGACCAAGACACCAGTAATGACGACTGGAGTCCAGCCTCGCATCGAGTAGCTCGTCTGGCTGTGACACAGACGACGCAGCCTGCCGTTCTCCTCGCCCACCTTTGCCGTCCTTCGCCATTCAGAGGTCCAAGACGGCGAGAACGGAGACCGGGTGTGGATTGAGCTGACGAGCGGATTGTCGCTCCCACAAGCCGAATCCTTGCTCGCACGAGCTGGCTGTCCACACGGCGCAGCCCATGCTTTACGGGCGAGGCTTTGCTTGGTGACGCAGGAGCCAAGGCGAAGCGCGAATGGGCCAAGGCGAGCAAGCTGACGGCTCGCGAATAGGGGAAGGACGTGCGAGGCTTGACAGTAATGCTCAAGTCGTGCGTAGCAATAGCGTTGATTGTGCAAATCATCTTCGATGATAGAGTAAGAGCAGCTGCGATGGTGGGGTAGGAGCAGCTGCGATGATGACATGCTGTGATGACTACATGATCCTTCTCAGAATTAGTCACGCCCATTCTTAGCCTCTGCATTGGCACCACGTCCTATGCCCACCACTCGATAGCAGCCATGGCTTGTCGACTGCCGCTTGCCAAACGTTTGCGACTTCTTCCCGCGCTCCGTCGCCTTAGCCAGTGCCTGTCCGGGCCCCTGGCTCTGCTGCGTAATACCTCTATGAGTTGGGCCCAGGTATATATATTCAACTCAGACAGGCCTGTCAGAGGAGAGTGGCACTGTTGTCAGTGCTGGCGTGGCAAGGAAGGCATGAGGTAGTGTGCTCTGGGTCAACATTAGAGAGCAGAGTGCACGTATCCGGTATGGCTCGCTCGTCGCTCTAAGTCGGGTCTGAATCGTGCTGCCTCGCTCCAACTGGCGCTGAGGTGCCGCAACTCGTTGTTGATGAGGAAGTCGTGAAGTCGTAGAAACTATAAGCGTCCAAATTCGCGCTCTTGCTAATCATGAGAGTGGGCGAAGAGCCGAGTGATGTTCACCAGGGAAGGGGAAGTGACGAGCTAGCGGCCTACCGTCCCATTCGCTTCTTTGGCTATTCGGTGGCCGTGGGTTCGACACCACATGCACCGCGGTGTACGACGACTGTCAAGAATGGCCCGTTCCCTTGCGAGGCTACACAGAAGGATAGTGGAATGGATGCAGTTCAAGGAGGACGTGATAGAGGCTGTCGCAGGAGAACGACAGGGAAAGACGAGGATACGGGCCGTCGCTCGGCGGCAAAGACGTCCCAGAGGTGGCGACGGAGTGGGAGAACGCTCTGAACGGTTAGATACGTTATATTTTGGCCGGTTGACATCACAATACGGAGGTATGGTGTAATGGTAACACTTTCGGTTCTGATGGTTCTCCATCTAGATCCGGCCCTTCTGGGCCTGTTAACAGGTCTCCGAATGCCCCTGGTTCGATTCCGGGTATCTCCTGCTTCCTACGATGTACAGTAGCATCTGGGAGTTGTTCTTTTGGTCTTGCAGCGCCGTAGCCTTGCTCTTCAATCTTGGATCTTCTCAAACGTCTCTGCACGCGCGGAATCCGCATTCCGCGGCGCCCCAATAACTCCGATAGCCGATTGAGCGCGTCGGAGATGGAATTTACGCCACGTGGCAATGATGTGTCACTCCGAGCGGGCGCGGCGTAAGCCACGTGGCTTGACATGGAACAGAGCGGGCCGCAATCGTCAGGAGAGCAAAGCGAGGAGCAGCGCGTCGCTACGACATGGTCTTGATGGCGGGCGGGTCTGGGTCCCCGCCGGTCGCCGCCTTTGCTATCACTCATTGCGCTGCGCAGTCGTGACGCCGAGCCTGGACCTCCGACGACCCGCCACCTTTGCTACCGCCTGCCCCGCTCTCTACGGACATCGAGACCCGCAGCGTGTTCCCCGGCCATCGTCGTCGAGTGCCAAGCCCCATGGCGGGTGACACGGGAGTAGAGTGCGGAGCGCAGTGGTCGTATGGTAGCGGGCGCAATGTGATAACAGGCGGTCAAGCTCATCAAGGAAGGCTGCGACGTTCCGTAGAACAAAGGTCGAGGCCTCGTATCTTGAGCCGCTACTCGTTTGTACCTGTCGTCGTGGCTAGCTTCTAGCCCCCGGCGCTCTCGCCGACCTCGCCCGCCCGCTCGATGTCCACGACGATCGAGCGGTGGATGCTCGCTCAGCGTGCGCTGTCAAAAGCTCATCAGCGACGACTCGCATCCTTGACTTCCCCCATCATTGACTTCCCCCATCATCCCCCCGCGACACACATGACGTCCTTGAGCCACACCCATACCGCCATCATCCGACTCCCTTTCGCCTTTGCAAGGGAACGGGGTACTGTAAGCAGTAGAGCAGTCGTACAACGCAGCGCCCGCTCGATATTCAATCCTTTCTGTTACCACCTTTTCGACATCCCACCAACGCTGCAACGTCCTAAAATACAATGAGCTCAGCCAACGACAACATCATCCAGGGAGTGCAGGCCGGCAACCACGACGGCGCCGTTACTTTGCCGCGCCCCTCCCAGCAGCTATTCGACGACGCTGAGGCAGAGGCGTCCGACACCCAGAGCTGGCGCGTTGCTCAGCTGCTCTCGACAATCCGACCGTACCTCACCCTCCTCGAGCGCATGGACGCCGTCGTGGCTGCGACTGGCGTCACTTTCGAGAGTGAGCGTATCCGTGTTGGATACGCCTACGTCATTGTGCGCCTGATGAATACGATCATCGCGCGTGATGACACGGACGTTCTTCCTCCTCCTCCTGCTCTTCCCCCTCTTCCTCACCCCTCCCCTGCCCACACCGCCTTCATCGTCTTCTTCTTCAGATACTCTTCAATTCAACCGCTGCAGGCTGGTGCGCAGGGAGGCGCGGCGTACAACAGCGTGCAGGAGAACCTGCCCTTGGTGACGGAGCTGCTGGCCAACACCTGAGACGATCCCGGGTTCAGTCGCCAGCTTGACAAGAACAAGTTCAAGCTGGTCGACCAGATGCGCGTGGGATCTGCCATTGCTGGAATGGTAGAGAAGAATGGCGAGCTCCAGCATGACGTCTGGCAGTCGGCCATCCCTTGTCTGCAGAGGGCAGACCGCATCGTTCTCCCCGCCGACGACAGTCTCGTCGACGATCTCCTTTCAATGCGTGAGTGCTCCCTGCTCCACTGCGGACATGCCAGAGACCGAGACTTATCACGCTCCTGACATTTGCGTCTCTCGCCAATAGTTTATCTTCTCTCTTTCACTCGTGCGGACATCATTCGCCTCTACAAGGAGGATGGTGTCCCCAAAACCAAAATCTACACTTGGCAGGCATTCATGGCTTTTCTTCGCAAAAGGGATATGGATTCACGTCCGGAGGCATTCGTGGAGGTGATGCAGCGCGGCGAGATGTCTAGGACGCTTGACCAGATCAAGTCGGCTAGCGATGGCTGCTACCGTCGCCACACATTGACCGTCGACGATCTGGACAAGTTGGAAGGGGCTGGCATCTCGGGCCACGGGCAATTAAGGCAGCAGTGGGAGGTGACGGAGCTCGTGCACGAGCCTGGACGGGTGAAGCAGTTGCGTCACAGGGAAGTGACGTACCTCATCGAGCTGCGCGATGAGGCATCTCGCCCATCCTTGTCGGAGGCAGGCCCCTCCAAGCCCTCACCCGCTGGCGCCTCCAAGTCCTCGTCCGCCGGCCGCCTCAAGCGCTTGCCCACCCTCCCCTCCGCTTCCTCTCCTCCCGGCCTCGTCAAGTCCTCCTTCCCCGGCTCCTCTGGGTCCTCTCTTTCCACGCCCTCAAAGTCTTCTCTGGCCGGCCCTTCCTCTCTCGCCGGCCCATCCAAGCGGCCTGCGGCGTTCTCTTCAAGCTCTTCGTCCTCTCGCAAGCCCTCTCTGGCATCTCGCATCAGGCTCTCTACCTTCAATCCATTCGGCACATCGGCGTCACGCTCAACATCCTCCCGTCCTTCCATGCCGGCCCCTCCTCCTCCTGCAGCTGGTCGTGGAACTTCTGGAGGGGGCGGGCACGCGGTGGGTCGCACGGTGGAGGCGCCTTGGCAACGGGTCTGACGGCTCTTCTCGGTCGTGGTAGTGGCCATGGTGGTGGTCGTGGTCGTGGTGGAGGGACGGAGCGCGGCCGTGGTGGGGACGGTGGCTTTACACGAGCCGATCACAGCGTCGTAACATCTTAACGTCGCATTAGCATCGAGCCATTGTAATCAAATCGACCTTCATATTTGATGCGGTTGAGATTCGGCTGGCTGATATTCCGCAAGGCGTCGTCGCCTCGCTGCGCCTTCCAGTGACCCGAGTGGGCGGCCGCGTCAAGGTCGTGCACAGTGGCGGTCATTCGACCCATGAATGATAGCCAGGTTATCCAATGCGAGGGTCGCGATTCGACTGCGATGGTCAAGCACGAGGAGCTGACAGCAGTGATGGTGACCAAGATGCAACAAAACAGTAAGGCGGCACGCTCCAATCTGCCGACGTTCAGGATGAAGATGATGGATTACGATGCTTGTCTGACAGGAAAATGGAAAGGGGAGGAGAGGACAAGAGTCGTGCTCTACAACCACTCCTTGAAGACGGAGGCTGAAGCTGCAGAGACAGCCACCTTCTTCTCCTTGAAGGTCTTCTTCGACGCCGCGTGCATTCCGCCGGGGTTTCGCAGGCCTCTCCGGGCTATGTACTTGGCCTGGATGCCCTTCTCCGCCCTCTTGACGACGTTGTCGATTTGCATACGCACCCTGCGTAACATGCCACCGAGACTGTTAGCGAGATCGTACAGTTCATCTTGCGCAACAATCGTCACAGCTCACCTCCTGCACAAGTCGCAGAGAGCCTCGTGACTCAACGTGCCTAGATTGGCCTCATCTGGTTCCCTCGGACGCTGGATGAGTAAGGTCCGATTCTCCCCACCTGGCCCCTGCAGATCATGAGGGCGAAGACGTCGTGAGTGGGCGGTAGAAGGTGGGCGGTAGAAGCAGATGAAGAGAAGCAGCGGCGACACTGATCACTCACCTTGAGCCCTTAGAGCCGCGTGCGCTTGGCCGTCTGCACCCACCGCTTCAGCTCCGCTTTGCGCGCCGCGGCTGCTGGGCCATCATCCCTCACTCTCTTTGCCCTTTCGCGCTTGTCCCCCTCGTCGCCGTCGCCATCGCCCTCGCCATCGCCGTCGCCATCGCCCTCGCCCTCAACGCTCGCTCCCCTGTTGGCCTCCGTCTGCGGCAGGCTGGCGTAGACGCCGTCGCTGAAGAAGGTCGCAACGGCAACAGCCAAACACTGCCACCTCTCATGTCCAGCATCCCAGCAGGCGCGAGCTGCCTCCATGACGCGCACGCGCTTCTCCCTGATCGCGTCGAGCTCCTTGGATCCACAGCCAAGCTGGGCGCCAACCTCGCTGCCAAACTCGGCTGCGACGATAAACTCGAAGTGAGCCATCGTTGAGCGAATCTCAACGGAGAACTCGTCGAGAGAGAAGAGGGCAGAAGCGAATGCTGAATCGGATGAGGTCGCGTCGCTCATTGGCTCATTGTCGTCATCGTCGCCGTCGGCCAGGAAGTATCGACGGTGCGCTTCGAGCATCTTCGCGTCGGCGTCGGTATCGGTCGCAGGCATGGGCCTGCCCTTGACGAGGATGTCGTGGAACTCGTGGATCTGGTGCAGACGAGATTCGATTTCGGCCGTGCGAGAATCGCCTTCGGGGGTGGAAGGGAGGGCGGCGAGCGCGGCGGGGGCGGCGAGCGCGGCGGGGGCGGCGGCTTTTGAAGTCATTGTAGTCGTGGAAGCAAGTGGGCGGTGACGAGTGAGGACGTAATATGTCTGCGGTGACGAGTAGTGATGGGAAGGGAGAGAAGAAGTCAAAGGTCTGCCACCCGAGGCCGCTCGTTGTGATGGCAGGCAGGACGTGCCTCTGGCCAGGTGCCTGCGTGAGCGCGTCCGCACGACGATGTCAGGAACCACCTGCTGTGGTGACGCGCGGGTGCGGAGGATGTGACAAGTCAGCGGCGCGCCCCTCCCCCCTGTCTCAATTGACGGAAAGGCAAAGCGGTGGGGGCAAGAGAGTTCAGTGCATCCACGCAGCCCTCATGGTTGATAATGAGCATGAAATTGATGAGCCAAGTTGAGGTTGAGCGCCGTGCCGCGCCAGAGACCTATGAACAGGAGAGGAGTGACTGTGCCCGCACAAAGAGAGTCCTACCCGACGCGACGCGCCGCGACGCAACGCGCCATGACCGTCTTCTCCGACTGCGCCCGCCGCCCGTAGATGCTGATAAAAAAAAGGTGTTGTTGTTGTTGTTGTGGTGGCGCGCCCATGATGCCGAGACTATAGACAATTGGTTGCGCGCGCGCGCGCGCGCACGCCGTGCTCATACGAAAAAGTGTGTAAAGATCCTACTGCTGGGAGCGACGACCATCTCCTCCATCTTGAACGAGTTGAGCTCCTCCTTGATCTGCGCGGCGAGCTCCTGCGTCAGACGATTGCACGTTGCGAGCTCACCGCGCCGGTCGTAGACGTGGGCCGGCCACGTCGAGTGGTAGATGGGCACCTCGGTGAATCCGATGCGCTTCTTCTGGAGCGAGGGGCGCGAGGTGGTCGTCGGGGTAGGGTTGGTGATGAGGGAGAGTGTTGGCATGGAGGAGTTGGAGTGGTGGCCGTAGACTGGCGCTGCCGTGGGAGCGCGCGGTTCATCGGCGGCGCTGGGTGGGGTGGGCGCGTCATCATCGCCCGTCGTGCCGCGCGGTACGCCGTCCATCCTGTCTACGCCGGCAGTGGTGGTGGACATCGACGATAGCATAGGAGCGCCGGGCGCAGAGGCTTGCGGCGTGTCGTACGAGTTGGCCCGCACCCTGCCAGCAAATGGGCGCGTAAAGTCGTTGGGCGTCTGCGCCTGCGTCAGATGTGCGCACGAGGCGCTCTTTTTGAGGATGCTCTTTGGCGACGTTACGCGTGCGGCGCTGGCTCGAGAACGCTCGATGCCTTCACCCCAGTGTCGCAGAGAGTCCGTCTCGCCTTCGTCGCCTGATCCTTCGCTGCCCTCCAACGCGGGTAGACGCGGTGGTGGTTCGAGCTCCTCTGCGTCGAAGCCGGGCACCCCGCCAAAGTCGTCGCTCGGGACGTGCGCGCCCGCGCCCGCGTAGATGTCTTGCGGTGCTTCGTGCTGCACGTCTGCAGAGTACGGGATCGTCTCGAGTCCAGTCGGGACTTGCGCCTGCTCTGCTCCGGCCGCGCTGCCACCGCTGCTGCTGCTGCTACCCCCAACCTTGAGTCGATTCTTCCATCCTCGCTTGCTCTTGAGACGCTCCTTTTCCTTTTCGATCATCTTCTGTCGACTCTCCACTACGTCGTCCGTCGTCTTGCCCTTTGGTCGTGCTGCTGCTGCTGCTGCTGCCGCCGCCGCTGCCGCAGCCTCTGCCTCTTGACGTTGTCGGGCCTCCGCCTCCGCCTGCTGCTTCATCTGCAACTGATGCTGGCGTACGTAGTGGGCTGCGGGGGAGAGACTCGAGTCGGCACCGTGATCTAGCTCAGCGGTGGCGCGTGAAACCGAGGCGAGGGCAGGGTCGCTCTTGCGGCTGGAGCGTTTCGCCTTAGACGCGCTACGAATGGCCGCCTCGTCGGCAGGCACGGGCAGCGTGCCAAAGTCGTCGTCGTGCAGACCTTCCTTGCCTGCCTCCTTGTCCTTGTTGAACATGTTGGTGAGCCCCATCAAGCTGTGACGACGAGCCATCTTGCCCAGATTGCCGACCTTTCGCAGCATGACCGATGCGCTCGAGACGGTCGAGGAGATGGAGATGTTGTCCGTCGACGAGTTGAACTTGCGATTGAAGAGGCTGCGCTTCCCGCTCCCGTCGGTCGAGCCGCTGATAGGTGGGCGTGTGCTCCTGCGCGAGCTGATCGAGGCCGCAGACGAGCCGCCGGCGATGCCACCTGGTGAGGCACCGACGCCGCCAAACTCTGAAGCGTCGAAGCCACCGCCGCTACGAGCCGATGACATGGAGCCAGGGAGTGCGCGTCCAGGTGGTGCAGCCGAAGGTCTCGCAGGCATGGTGCTGCTCTGCGGTCGTGCCTCTGCTTGCTGCATCTCGTTCATCGTCGAGAGGCTCAGGGCCTTGCGCAGCTTGCCGCCGAATCCCTTCTTGGCGGGCCGCCCGACTGGCGGTGCATCTTCACGGTCGCTCCCTCCGTAGTCTGCATTGGTATCGTCGTCGTCCTCTTCACGCGCGGCAGGTCGGGACAGGGGCGAGGGCTTCTTGGCAGCGACTGCAGCTGCCGTGGGTGTCGTGCGTCCAATCGTCGATGCCTTGTCGCTCCTCGTCGACGAATAGGCTGAGCTCTGCGAGGAGACGGATCCTGAGCGCGAGTGTGGGACTGACCCGTCGTCGGCAGGTGTGACGATGCCGGAAGACGTCGAGCGTGTACTCTCGGTGCGAGAGGGAGGTTCTGGGCGCTTGTTGCGGCGTGCAGAGTCGGAAGAGGACTGGCGCATGGGCGTCGATCGATTCTCAACAGGTCGCAAAGGGGCGGCGGCTGCGGCTGCGGCGGCGGTATTTCGCGGTGCTAGTTGTGCCGTCGAGGGCGATGCTGTCATGCCGGGCGCCGAGGGTGCGGATGAAGATGATGATGAAGAAGCGGACGGCGCCGCCGTCATCGGCGCACCTCCACGGCGATATGGGTGAGGATGGAAGCCATTGGTGCCTGCAGCAGGAGGAGGTGAAGGAGCCATTGCGCCCGGTGGTAGAGTGCCACGACTGCTGGCCATGGCGTAGGTGACGCCTGGCATGCCTTGCTGGTTGAAGGTGTCATTGTACGTCAAGGGCGCTGGACGTGATGGCGACGCTGTGTGTGCCTGCGCGTGCGCGCCCCACGAGTATTGGCCAGGCGGAGCGAACGACATGTTGTAGACGGGACCGATGCCGGCTTGGTGGAACGGTGGGTGATGAGGGTAAGCGCCGGAGCCGAAGCCTCCTCTTTGCTGCTGCTGCTGTTGGGGGTAGGATTGCTGGAATGCTGCTGTGGGTGGCATTTGAGGGAGCGAGGGCCCTGACGCCTGCTGTTGCTGGCTTGGTGTCGAAGCGTGAGTTGGCGCCTTGGGCGGGCTCGTTGGGCTCGTCGGGCCCGTCGTGCTCGCCGGACTCGTAGATAGCTGAGACGATGCTGACGAGGAGCTCGGAGCTGCAGCGGCAGCGGCGGCATAAGAGCGAGGCTGCGGCGAAGAGGATCGAGCAATGCCCGCACCAGGGGGGGCTAGATTGCGGCCGGGGCCTGCACCATTGACGTGCGAAGACGATGGTGGCGACGAAGCAGAGCTCACCGGCGTCGGCGTGACCTGCGGATCGCTCGTGACGTTGTCGTCATCCTCAAAGAGGGGCGAGCTCGCCGGGGGGGTCCAGTTGACTGCAATGGACACAGCCATGCGAGCGGCAGCGACGAGGGAATGTCAAGGGGGAAAGGTTGGGCTGCTCTGCTATCAAAAGGGCGACGCAGCGGACGATGAGCAGGGGGTTGGGGAAAGTGCAGTGAGGCGAGGATGCTGCGCGACGAGGATGCTGCGCGGTGAGATGCGATGATGAGAACGAGGAGCTGTGATGCGCTCGCGCGGTGATGATAGCCTTCGAGGAGGCGCAGGAGGGGGCAGGAAGGGGTGGCAAGCGTGCGTCTGCGCACTCGTCGTCTTGCTGCCCAGTCTATGGGAGCTGAGTGGGGTTACGATGCTTCGTCGAGCGTGTGCCGGGCGTAGGGAGGAGAGGAGGTGGTAATGGGTGCGTGGTAGTGGTCGTGGTTGGTGAGGATGGGGAATCTGACAGGATTGAGCCCTCTGTGAACTTGGCGTCGTCGTCGTCGGCACCTGGAGCGAGCGAGCGAGCGAGGCCTGACTGCCGCTCCTGCTGCTGCTGCTGCTGCTGCTGCCGCTGCTGCTGCTGCGACGCTGTGGGCCTGGCTCGCCGAAAGAGCGGAGACACGGCAGCCACTCACGCCCGCACTAGCCAGCGGCCAACGCAGCTCACTCACCCACAACGTGGTCGTCGAGCGGGGCGGTCGCCGCCGCACTGAAACCCACACCAACCCAACACACCAGTCGCTCCGCCGCGCTAGTCCGAGTCGTCATTTCACAAAACGCTCCATTGCTCGCCCATCGCAACTCGATGTCATGGCATCGTCGGTAGAGCAAGCAAGTCCTACACAGGCACGCAACGAACTCGACACAGCCCTCAATGCGGGCAGCCAGAGTTCCTCCTCGCCATCCTCGTCGTCGTCGCCGCCGCCGCCGCCGTCGCCGCCGCGCAAGCAGCTGACGCGCTCTCAGTTGGCTCGCAGAATCGCCAAAGGCGAGACGCTCGTACTGCGGGGCAGGACCATATACAAGCTCGACTCATGGATCAAGCGTCACCCAGGCGGAGAGCTTGCCATACTCCACTTCGTTGGTCGAGATGCTTCGGATGAGATTGAAGTGTACCACTCGCAGGCCACCCTCGACCGAATGCGCGTCTTCGCTGTAGCCACGCTGGCTGAGGATGACTGGTTGGGGCCAAAGAGGAAGTCAGATGGAGCGAGGACTGGATACCGCCCATTGATTCCGCCTATTCAGCTGGGATACCGTAATGGCAGGCTGGATCATCCTGATGCGCACGAGGATCTGTGGAGAAGGAAGCGTCGCAGCGACCATGGCGGGGGCGATGCCGAGCGCTCCCGCTCATTGAGTCCGTCAACTGCTTCAGATTCTGGCTACGAGTCAGCAGGACCATCATGGGACAAAGACGCAGAGAGACCGCAGACGTTTCCCCTGCCGCTCAGCTTGCTCGAGCCACCTCCCGACCCCGATGGAATGGACCCCGCCAAGGAGCGTGAAATCTCCATCGCCTTCAAGCAGCTACACGAAGAGGTCAAAGCCTCGGGCCTCTATACGCTCAGACCGGCCGGCTACATGCGTGAATGCTCTCGCTACCTCGGACTGGCCCTCACCTCGTACCTCTTCTGGCATTATGCCAACGGCCGAACCTCCTTCTTCCTCGCATCTTCCTTCTTCCTGGGCCTCTTCTGGCACCAGCTCACATTCACCGCCCATGATGCTGGACATTCGGGCATCACGCACAATCACACCCTCGATCGCCTGATCGGGTCTGTCATTGCTGATTTGATTGGGGGGCTGTCGCTGGGCTGGTGGTGCGACAATCACGATGTGCATCACTTGGTCACCAACCACCCAGATCATGACCCGGACATTCAGCACATGCCCTTCTTTGCCATCAGCCCGCGTTTCGTTAAGGAGAATGAGGACGGACCTGCCACGCTCGGCCTCTGGTCATCCTACTACCGGAGGGTGCTCACCTTTGACGCCCCCGCTCGTCTCTTCCTCAAAGCGCAGCACCACCTCTACTACGTCGTGATGAGCCTGGGGCGATTCAACCTCTACGCAAACAGCTACGGCTTCCTCACCCTCAAGGCAAAGCGCGATCGCTGGTTCTACGTCGAGACGATCTTTCTTGCCATCTTCTGGAGCTGGTACGGGGCACTGCTGGCCAGCTGCCCTACGTGGGGAGTGAGGATCGGCTACCTTCTCATCTCGCACATTGTCACGAGTCCTCTGCATGTCCAGGTGAGCAGGCGAGCGCAGCAACGCTACCATTCCATCTCACCAATGTCCCCTGCCCCTTCGCCCACAGATCGTCCTCTCGCACTTCGCGCAGTCGTCCCACGACATGGGGTTGAGCGAGTCCTTCGCCTCCCGCCAAGTCCGCACCACAATGGACGTACAATGTGCCCCGTACCTCGACTTCCTACACGGCGGCCTGCACATGCAAGTATCTCACCACCTCTTCCCTCGTCTACCGCGTCACAACCTGCGCGAATGTCGCGATCGCTTTGTGAAGCCATTCGCAGACAAGTGGGGGCTTGGCTACCAGGAGTACACCTTTACAAAGGGGAATGGGCGAGTGCTCAAGGTGCTCAAGGACGTGGCTGATCAGGTTCGGGTGCTTGGTGAAGTCGCAGGGGCGCAGGCGAGAGGCGAGATCGAGCATTGAACAGTGTGTGTGTGCGCGCACGGAATACCATCACGACTGCTTGACGACGCCTGCAAACTCTTCTCTCGCTGGGGCGATCTCACGACAAGCCGCGGCCGGTCGGGAACGCCTCAACGCCATCTTGTGCGGAGCTTTGATCGTTTGTGCCTATCATTTAGACTCCGGCAGCTCACGATGGCTTTGAACCCTGGCGAGGGGCGGAGACACTCGCGCTTTACTAAGCCCCGCCAGCGTGGGTCGTGGCCTGGGTCTTGCATCTCTCGCCAGCTCATCGGTCCGAGTGACACGTCTCACGCGCACGCTACTTGATCGAACGACATCAGGTTAGCTCTGACACGATGGCTGGCGCGTGCGCGCCTCGCTCTTTCCGCGTGGCTGTCTACTTGCGGGGCAAAGTCAAGAAGCCGGGCCCGCGACGCCAAGCGTCACCAGATGAGCTGGCATCACAAGCCCGGCGCGCCCCGGTCTTCTGGTCTCATTGACACGATGAGATGAGGGAAAAGAAAGGCCGACGTGACCCTGCTTTGCCTGCTCGGTCGCCCGCGCTCGCCTGGGCTGCCCTGCGCGCCGAGCTTTGACGACCGTCAAGCTTCATATGCGCTGCGCTGCGCACACACAAGCAAGGCTAAATTGGAGACGACGAGCCACGAGAAGTCGCAAAAGCAATGGCCGTCCGCTCCTGCCATCGGACGCCGTCATCGCGCGCGCCCGCTGCTGCAGGCCCCTCCGCGACCACCCACACACTCGCGAAGACGCAGACTGCAGACGCAAGACTAAGCCGCACGCCCGGATAGAATCGTAGACGACGACGCCTCCCTCTTCGCTCCTTTGCCTTGCTGAGTTGGCTTTTGCCTGCCGCACTCGCCCGCCCGCCTGCCCGCCCCGTTGCTTGTCCGTCCGCCTGCCTGCCTGCGCCCCCCTCATCGACCGAGCTCCGACTCAATCGTCCACATGTCGTCGCTTAGCTGCCTCGCCTAGAGGCGCCTCTTCACACGCCGCTGGTCGAGGTCCAAGACAGAGAGTGGGACAGAGCGCAGACAAGAGAGATGCGCCCGGCCGCGCTTGCCGTCTTGAGAGAGTCCAGTCTTCCTCCTCCTCCTCCTCCTCCTCCCCTTCCACGTCCCCGCGCGCATCCACTCTCGTCCTCATCATCACGACCAGCATCGCGATCAACTTAACACCGCCGCAAAAAAATCGTCTACCGCTTCATCGGCACCACTCTCCTTATCGTCCTTCCGACAATCTTGCGACCTCATCGCGCGCCGTCACTTCCGTGTCCGCGCTTCGCTCGCCCTCCCCCATTCATCCGGCCAGGCGCACGCTACTCATCGTCTCGCCTCGACTCGCCCCGCCCTCGGGATAACAGATTGATTGGAAGGAGTTCTTTGCTCCTGCGTCGCCGTCGCTCTCGCTCGCCTCGCGGTAATATCGTCCCGGGTCTCCCAGCTTGATTGGGTGCTGCGCCGCAACTCCATCAAAGACCGCTGCCGCCGCCGCCGCCGCCGCCGCCGCCGCCGCCTGCCCTGCCTTCTCTCATTGGCGTTGGAACGTCAGGAACCATTTGCTGCGCTTGCTGCCTCATATCATCGCCATCACAGCACTCGATAGTCATCAGTCTTCTCGCCGACCCCCCGCTTTTGCCGCCGCATTCGCCGCGCACACGCACCAGGCACCAGCCACCCAGCGGCTTTCTCTTCTTCGCCTCTTTCTCGTAACGTGAGGAGCGAGCTTTGATCGCGATGCCGCCAGCACCTCCCCCTCCTCCGCAACATATGCAGCACGGACCTCCCCCACCCGGCTCGTATCCTCCTATGCACGCCCCTCACCATGCCTACGGTCAGCAGACGTCGCCCATGCCGCCTCATCCACAGGCGCACCCGCATCATCCAATGGCCCCGCCACCTCCAGGCCCCATCCAGAATGGCATGCGAGCCAATGGCTCTGCCCGTCAAGTCTCTGGGCCACAAGAGAGGAGGGAGCGTGAAGCAGCAGCCGCAGCCGCGCAGCATCGTGAGCATCAAGCACAGGCAGCCGAAGCTCAGGCGCAAGCACAAGCTCAGGCGCAAGCACAAGCAGCTGCTGCCGCAGGAGGCGTCCCTGCTGGTCGAGGTGGATCTTCCCATGGTCCTCCCGACATGCAACAGCCAGTCACCACGCTTCAGAAGCTGGCCCACGCTAATGAGTCGGCGTGGATTGCCATCGGTGAGTTGTTGCGACGACAGATTAGATGTGAGAGAGACCGAGGCATCGCGTTGTACTGACTCGCTTGACCCTCGACCCTACCGTTATCGCTATCAGGATCCGCCGCCGAGGCTATGGAAGACTCGGAGCGAGCTATTGCCGCATACGAGTGCGCGCTGCGACACAATCCTTACTCTGTACCTGCTATCAGCGCTATTGCTGGAGTGCACCGTGGCATGGATCGCTTTGCCAAGGCAGTAGAGTACTTTCAGCGCGTGCTCAACGTCTTGCCAGAGAGCGGGGAGACGTGGGGAGCAATGGGCCACTGCTACTTGATGATGGACGACCTTCAAAAGGCCTATACCGCTTACCAACAAGCTCTGTACCACCTGCAGAATCCCAAAGAGCCAAAGCTGTGGTACGGCATTGGCATCCTCTACGACCGCTACGGCTCCCTCGAGCACGCCGAAGAGGCCTTTGCTAGTGTCGTCAGAATGGACCCCAACTACGAAAAGGCAAACGAGATCTACTTCCGATTGGGCATCATCTATAAGCAGCAAAACAAATTCGAGTCGAGTCTCGAGTGCTTCCGCTACATTCTTGCGCACCCACCCAGGCCACTCACCGAGATTGACATCTGGTTCCAGATTGGTCACGTCCACGAGCAGCAGGGTAGCCTCGCTCAAGCAAAGGAGGCCTACGAGCGCGTGCTCTCTGACAACCCTGCGCACGCCAAGGTTCTACAGCAGCTCGGATGGCTCTACCACCAGCAGACTCCCTTCCAGAATCACGAGCGAGCTATTCACCTCCTCACCAAGAGTCTCGAGTCAGACCCCAATGACTCGCAAGGCTGGTATCTCCTTGGACGCGCTTACATGGCCAGTCAGAACTACAACAAGGCGTACGAGGCGTACCAGCAGGCAGTGTATCGCGATGGGAAGAATCCGACCTTCTGGTGCTCCATCGGTGTCCTCTACTACCAGATCAACCAGTACCGCGACGCCCTCGATGCCTACTCGCGCGCCATCCGCCTCAATCCGTACATCTCCGAAGTGTGGTTTGATTTGGGAAGTCTCTATGAGTCGTGCAACAACCAGATCTCAGACGCCATCGACGCCTATGCTCGAGCGTTGGAGCTTGACCCGCACAACGACAACATCCAGCAGCGCCTCGTGCTCCTTCGCAATGCCGAAGCCAATGGCGAGCAAGTGTCATCTGCTCCCACGCCTCAAGATGTGCACCCGACGGCGTATGCCAACAGCGGCGGTGGACCTGCCGGCCCTCCCTCCCAGCTCGGCGGAGGCCCTGCTCCCGGTCAGTACGGCATGGGTGGCCCACCTGGCGGCATGCCGGGTGGCCCGCCTCTTCCCCCTGGCGCTACTCATTCGCCTCCTCCTGGTGCACGGGAGCTGCCCGGCCCTGGTGGAATGGACAGGGAGCGAGAGATGCAGCATCGCGGTCCTCCCCCCGCAATTCCCAACATTGACGATCGCGGCATCCGAGGCCCATCACAGACGCCCTTTGCACCGATGGAGGCCCCACCGATGGGTGGACCAGGCAGTGCTAGAGCTTCCCCGACGCTCGCAAGCAGGCCGCCGTACCCTCCCCACCCGAGGAGCTCGCCTCGAGGCCCGCACACGCCGTCTTACCCAGAGCACCCGCCTCGCGGTATGGACCAGTATGGACGCCCGGTGGAAGCGGGAGACTGGCGTGGCGCTGGAGGACCTCCCCCACCTCTTCGCGCTGGACCGCCTCCTATGGACGAGCGATACGACTCGAGGGACAGTGGACCCGTCCCACCTGGCAGCTACGGGAACGGTGGAGGCGGCATGCCCTACGACCCGCTAGACCGCTCTCGCCCTGCACGACGCTCAGACGGCAGTGTGATCAGTGAGCGTGATGGACCTCTGCCGCCTCCGCCTCAGCAGCAGGCTCAGCAACCACCGCCCGCTCACGTCGAAGCAGCAGTCAAGAGCAGCGGAGGTGCAGGGAAGAAGGGCGGCGCGGCAACTGCAGGACGCAAGTCCGGTGCTGGTGGTAAGGAAAGCGGGAATGCTTCTCCTGCTGCGAGGTCGCGCAAGGCTGGTGGTGCGCTCGACAACTCGCGTGCCGCATCTCCGCTCATCGGCCGTAAGAGTGCGGCTGGTACGTCTAGTGGGCCATCGAAGGCGGGTACCGCACCTGGGACGCCTCTGCGATCCAATGACGAGGAGAAGGAGGCAGCAGTGGCCGCCAAAGCCAACGCGTCTTCATCGTCTTCTATGCCTCCCTCCCGCAAGATTGACGAGGACTATGACGAGGGAGCTGCGGACGCCCTACTCGGCCTCGCAAGTGCAGCTTCCGCCTCCGCAGCTATGCCTCCCCGTCCTACGCAAGCTGCAGCCTCAGCGCCACCGCCAGCTGCTGCTACTCCAGCGCCATCCACGAATGCGAATGGGGCTACTGGGAGCGCAAGCAATGCGATGGATGAGGACACTCCGTCTCGACCATCTCAGCCTCCGGGAGCATCCACAACCTCGCCCACAGGATCTCTACTGGGCAAGCGACCGGCTTCGCCCCGTGATGCTGACAAGGCGTCAAAGAGTGGAACGCCTGCTCCCGCCACTGATGGTGCTGATGGAGCTGCAACTGAAGCGAAGCAGAAGGCAGACGCAGAGATGACAGGAGAGGATGAGCAGCCTTTGGCGAAGAAGGCGAGGACGGGATCAGCTGAGGCAGCTGCGGATAAGGAGAGTGAGGCGCCCGCGGCGGCGTCGGCAGCAGCTGACAGTGCGGTCGCCGAGCCAAAGGAGAAGGAGAATGAGACAGCGGGAGCGCCCGCGCCGGCACCAGCGGTCGAGGAGACGATGAAGGAGGGCGCTGCCGCAAAAGCAGACGATGCCACCGCAGCGGCAGCGCAGCCAGATCAGCCTGCCGCGGCTGCGGTCGCGGATAAGCAGGAGGAGAAGTCGGCCAATGCTCCCTCCACCGCCCCCACTGATGCAGCAAAGGAGGAAGGCGAGGTGGAGGGTGAGGAAGGTGAAGTAAAGGCAGACGGAGCAGACGCGGCGGAGAAGAAGGACGAGCCAGCGGATGGTGCAGCGGAGGCGAAGAAGGAGGGGGAGGCGCCCGCTGCAGGGGCCAAGTAGAGATGCGGAGGTGGATACTGGTGACCTGAACTCTCATCTTGTACATCTTTGCTCCCGTTCTCCTTGCACCCTCATCCTTCTCTTTCAGATCGCGAAGAACAATTCAAAAGACGTCCTGCGCACAATGTAGGCAGATGCGAGTCCTGATTGTAAGCTGGCAACACGCTCGAAACCTCCTACATCCCTCCACCCCATCTCGACCTCCTCGCGTTGATCTCTCGTACAATTTCAGCCGCCTGCCGCGTATCTTCCGCTTCAAGATCAAAGCGCTTCTGTTGTCTTCCCACGCTTCCTGTCCCACCGCTTCCACCGCTCTTCAACGCCACCGTGAGCTTGAAGTGAGTGCTACCTGCTGGGAGTGGGTGATGGCTCGTGGAAGGAGAGAGGGCTCCTGCTGCGTCATCACCGCCGGCTGTAGTGGCGCTGACGTCACCGCCCTCAGAACGGGCAGCCACGGCCGCAGCGGCTGCACTGCTCAAACGACAGCCTGCAACATCACCTACGCTGAAGCTGGCCGCGGCGTGCGACGAAGAGGTCCCACCGCCGAAGAGAAGCCTTCCGCCGTACCCCGATCCGTCACCGGCATTACTTGCCGCGTCAGTGGGGATGAGGTGAATCCAATCCCCATCAATGGTAAGTGTCCGCTCGTGCTGTTGATTGTGGTGGTGATGCGAGGTGGAGTGGCCATGCGTCGTGGTTCCGCCGGCGTGGTGCAGCAGCCGTGAAGAAGCCCCACTAGGTAGTGCATTACGACCACGCGCGAACATGGGGGGCAAGCGACGGGAGACGGTCCAAGAGCGGTAGTAGTTGCTCCCTGACCCGGCAAGTAGGAGGTGCGCCAGGTTGGCTGAGGACATGCCTGTTGCCGTGCTGCTGCTGGAGAGTGTACTGCCGGACGCAGAGGGTCCCAGTCCTCCTCCCGCGCCGGCACCGCGAGGCGTACCACTCCCCTTGCTCGTCAAGCGGCCATCTCGACTCAATTCCCCCCCCGCAACGAGCCCGCTACTTCCCAGCGTCCCGCTGCCTGCCCCTTGCTCGCCTCCTCCGGCAATACTGCCGCCTAGGATGGGATTACGGAAGATGCTCGCGTTGGGGTTGGTCGACTGACTAGCCAAAGCCGCAAGCCCGCCCTGCGCGCCCAAGCTTGCCCTCCTCACCAGAACCAGGTCGTGACTACCCTGCAGGGACTCAACGGTCCTGTCGAGCGGCACAACGATGTTCTCTCCGGCACTCGCGTCTGGCCCTGCTGCCGTCACGCTCCCGCTCAAACCGCCGCCACCAGCGAGAGCAGCAGCGGCACTCTCCCTCGGCACGACCAAGGCCCACTCATCCGCTTTGCCCAGCTGTCTTCTCCTGCATACCAGCTCCAGCACATCGGCGAGGTACATGTCCTCTGGCACGCTGAGCGTCGTCTTGTATCGCACCTCGTCGTTGGGCGTAATGAGGATACGCAGGAAGATCGACGGAGCATTGCCGTAGTACGAGGGGCCGATGCCCCCGGCGGCGGAGCCGGGCCCAGTACTTCCTAGTGGCCCGCCGCCTGCGGCGAGGGAAGAGACAGTTGCGGAGGGCATAGCGGACGCGGAAGGGACGGCCGTGTTCGGCGAGCCGGGGAAGGCAGGCGCGTTGGGCGCTGTGCGACCTAAAGTGGCGCCACCGCCGGGAGGGGCGAGATTGTTGTTGTGTTGAGGAGCCAAAGAAGTTGGTGAGGTGAGTCCGCCACCTAGTCGGGCACCGGGCGGAGCCAGCGTCGTGCCTGCGAGGGTAGCTGCGGCTGCCGTTGAGGGCTTGAGGGTGCGTGGATAAGCGGAGCCTGCCATGTTGGCTGGCACGCCTGCTGTTCCAGCGCCTGCCCCTACTGCAGCTGCGTTACCCGCTGTGCCTCCCGCCCCTGTACCTCCCACCACTCTCGTCGCCCGCCTGAGGATCGCGTCAAATGTCGCAGCATGTTGTCTGACCTGCTGCTGGCTTGCCTCGACGATCGCGAACTCGTCTCCTCCGAAGCGACCCACCGTCAACCCACGGTCCAGCGACGGGTAGTCATCATCCACCTCCCCGTCCTCGACGATGCGCAAAACCCAGCCGATGGTGGACAGGACGATCTCCTGTGGACCTCCAGAGGTCGAGGCCTTGTCCTCGAGTCGCGGAGACCAGCCCGCCTCCCAGTAGCAGTAAAGCCCGTAACCGATTAGCTCCTCCATTGTTGCGTCCTTGCGCACCGACAGCGTAAGGCAGCGGGAAGAAGATTTTGAGCGCAGAGCACCATTCCCCGCCGTAGCACCATCTGAGCCACCCTTAGCCGCATCATCTCCTCCCTCAGACCACGGGAAGTAGACGTCCACACTTAGGCTCCCAGCAGCCCCACCTGCTGCGCTTCTCCCGGAGATACCAGCATAGAACTGGCTGAAGGGGTTCTCCGGCGCAGAGTTCTGGCGTTGTAGGAGAAGACTGAGGGCTGACGGCTTTGGCTGGGGAGACAGAGCTGCAGATGGCCGCTCGGGCGACATCGGTCCTATGCTACCTGTATTGCTCCCTCTTCGGTCGAGCGGCACGCTATTGGCAGCAGAGCGTGTGGCGACCTCGTGAGGCGAGAGAGAAAGAGAGCGAAACCAGGCGTTTTGTTGACGTTCTTGCTCCTCTGGGGATAATATGGGTGACGGTGCCCGGCCGTGTGAGGGACGACGAGACCGTGATCGCTGCTTGGATCGGGATGCTTTGCTACGCCCTGACCTCTTCGTGCCATGCCCATCCTCGTGACCATCATTCCGTGCTCTTGTGTCAATGCGTACCCTTGGGATGCGTGCAGGCCCGTCTGAAGCGGACTGGCTCGTCGAACCTGTACCGTCTTCTCCGCGCTGCTCACGAATAGCCTCGAGCTCGCTATCTTCCTCTTCGCCTTCTGCAATGATCGTCTCGCCGCTGTGCTCTTCGCGACGGCCTAGCGGCGAAGGTGTCCTGCCTGGCACCGCTCCATCCGACATGCGCCTCGCAGAGTGGGGCAAGGAGCGCGCCCCTGCCTGGCTGCCGCTCGAGGCGCCAAGGATGGTCCAGGAGGGACGCCTTGCGGGCGGAGAGAGAGTTCGAGAGGATGATGCAGACGCCTCGACCCCAGAGGAACCCTCTAAGGGAAGCTCCTTGGGCGTAGGTCGAGGGCTATTCTCCACCGACTCGTCACCCGCAGCTGCTGAGGAGACGAGCGAGGAGAGGGAGGAATCGCTTTGAAGGTGGCGCAATGGATTCTTTGCTGGTATCGACGGGGTGTAGGGGCGGGAGAAGTCGTGCATTGATCCGGATGGTGCTGCTGGGTTGACTTTGCTCTGCCCGGACTGCAGAGCAAACGGGCGGGGATCTGTAGGCGTGGCTGGTAGAACACCCAATCTGATGTTGGCTGGTGTACTTGAGTCATCAATCGTGGCGGAACGACGACGCTGGCCTAGCGGAGACGTTGGAGGCTCAAGGGAAGGACTGACAGCGCCTGCTGACGTCGTCCTCGTCATGCTTTGAGTAGGAGGCGGCAGCGGTGATGGCGCCTGACGCGGCGATGACTCCTCCTCAAAGACGTCCGTCTCTGTGCCAGACGACGAAGCTTCTGCGCCCAGAGGCTGATTTCGACCTCGTGCTCCTCTCATACCAACGTCGCTGAGTAGTCTTGGCCTGCTTTCTGCGGTTGAGGACGAGACATATAGCTGGGGCGGAGTTTTGCCGCTCTCGTCGAGGGAATGTCTGCCACGTATCCCTCCTCCGCCAAGACTACCGGGCACAATGCTGTCTGTCCCTCTACGAGGATGTCTCTTTGGTGCAGTCGAAGAGTCACGCAAGCTTGGAGCCCTCTTTGCGTTGACGCGGATGCCCAACGCACCCGTCCTCCCAGCAGGGTAAATGGTCTGCGTGTAGCGAAGAGACGAGTGACGCTTGGCAGTCGGGTCTGCGTCTCGCTGAGCTGAAGGAGTAGTCGTCGTCGTCGTCGTAGCGACGCCCGGCCCTTGCCTAAGCCGTCGATTGTTGGAAGCCGTACGGCTGAGGGTGAAGGGCAGAGGCGCACCTCTCTTGCCCCTTCCGGGAGGACCAAGAGGCTGCGAAGAGATGATGGGCGAGTAGGCCGTCGCAATTTCGGGGAACTTGGCCGAGTCGTTGAGCCTGCCTAAAGCCACATGCGTATCGGCATCGGCGAGTGTCATCTTGGACGACGAGGCGACGGCGTTGTCACCCATCGGCGGGCCGGCGTCGCTGTCGATATATGCGCGATCACGGTCATGAGAAGGGAAAGAGATGACTCGCGCGCCGTGATGATCGTCGATGCGACGCAGGTAGGCCAGCCTGAGCTGTTGAATAGACCAGTCTGCATCGCGAAGGATGGACATGGTCGATGGGTATGGCGGGCAAAGCCCGAGGTGATGGGATGATGAGCGAGTAGAAAGGAAACGAGGGCGGCGCTCTGACCTCGCCGCCATTTGCCTGTGACGCCTCTCTCTGTGACCGACTCGCACGAGCCACGCATGGAGCGAGATCCTGACGTGCACCCGGCGGCGGCAGGGCGCGGTGCGTCAGGGTTGAGAGATTTCCTCCTTGGATTGCTTCCACGCACTATCATCAAACAACCCTGTAGCATATACGATGGCTTCTTCATGATCTCCCCTTGTCCTCGTCCCCGCACTCGTCCGCAATGGCCTCAGCACACTCACCAACCACTGCTGGCAGTGAGAACACACCGGCAATGGCGCCTGGAACGCCTCCCCAAGACGCCGCAACCAAACAGCATCGAGACGACATCAACGAGATCCAAGATCATGAAGCGTCTCCCACAAAGAGCGTGACAGTTGCAGCTGGTCCATCGAAGAGCCTCGACTCCGCAGTCACACCGCTCGCATCATCACCATCACGCCTCAACAGGGCGTCGTCCCTCACGCAAGCTAGCAAAGATGGTCAGCCAGCATCGCCCTCCCCTACCCGGTCCATGAACCTTCCACTCTCCCTAGCCTCAGCTCAAGCCTCACCGCCTGCGGCGGTTCACGTCTCACCCACCTCATCATCGATGGCACCTCGCTCAGCCCGCAGTATCAACCGGAAAAGGATGAGCATCGGCTACATCGCCTCTCCCTCTCGCGACTCGCCGGCTAAGAGTAGCAGTCCGGTGCCTCCAGGTATCGCACCCTCACCCTTGGGACCGAGTGACTTTGCTCAGCGACTCCGAAATGCAGCTTCGGGATCGACCGCTGAATCTCGCCCTTCGAAGCCCAATGGCACCTCAGACTCCTCTTCGCTCTCTCCGCCCCCCATGATCCGGACAGACAGCTCGTCGTCTACGACCACTCTGGGCGGGAGCAGTGGCGGTCCGCCAACGACGGTCATGGATCTTTCCAAGGACCTACTCGCAGACATTGCTCGCAGAGAGCGACGTGTCTGGGAGCTCAAAGAGGAGTTGAGGCGAGAAGAGGGCGATCTCAAAGAGCTGAGGACAAGGTGGCAGAGATGCGTCACAAAGGACTTGGCAGCAGCAGCAGCGGCGCACACAGGCGTTGCGCATTCAACGTCATCCTCCATCTCGTCATCCATCTCAGATCAGCAGCAGACTTCTCCTACTTTAGCGATGGCCCAACTTCGCTCCGCACGGCGGCAAAGCCAGCAGCCTCCTGCCCCTCTTCAGACCCAATCGCGGAACAGCACGGATGCTGCCTCTGCAGTGGCCGGCCCATCATCTCCCCCAGCATCCCTGTCTGATATTCCGCAGCTCCCACCAAGCGTCACAGATGCCCTGCGCGGCTTCTCTGCCCTCATGCCCGCAGGACTGAGTGGTCACTATGATGCTCTGCTTGAGGGATTGAACGTGCCAAAGGTTGACGGCGTGGCAGCGGTACATCCACAGGGGGAGAAAAGACAGAGCCGCACACTGGAGGCACTCCACGAGGAGGAGGGCGATGAGGATGGAGCGGCTGCGACGGGTCACAGCGCAAGGTCGGCCACGAAGCAGGGGCAAGGGACGACGAGCGCTGCTCCTCGTCGAGGCAGCAGCAACCAGAGCGGTCGATCCTCCTTTTCACCAGGTGTCCGTGTTATTCCGAGCAACGACGCCGTCGAGGGCAGCAACAGCAAGATCGCTGCCGCCTCAGCATCCTCATCCTGGACATCAGGCTGGTCCAAACGACTTCGCGATGCAGCCGCGAAGGCAGAGAAGGTTATCGGAGATGCGATGACCGTCGAGGGGCTCTCCCCGGGAGTGGCCGGGCCCTCTGCTGCCTCCGCGAGACCTGCCTCGCCATCTTCAGCACCAGCCGATAGCGGCGAGGCGAAGAAAAGTCCGCAAGGTACTGCCTTGTCACCCTCCTCCTCTACGTGGGTGAAAGGCAAGAAGACGGCCACGTCACCTACCTCGTCGTCGGCGGCAGAAGAACGGCGTCCTTCCCTCTCCCCTTCCTCGTCGACTTCCTCGTCCTACTTTGCCACCTCCAACGAACGCGAGAAGCAGGCCCTCGCCTCGCGCCCTGAAGTTTCGTGGCTAGCTTCGTTCGTCAGCGGGAGCGGTACCCCCAGCCCATCGAGCGCAAAGCCTTCGACGAGCGCCAGCACGAGCACCCGGACAACGCCGCGCAGCTCGATGCTGTCCCGGCCTCAGTCGACTTCTTCCACTGCAACCACGGCGACCACTGCAACGACAACTCAGCGCTTGAGCGATGAAGCCCTCCTAGCGCTGGCGGAGGGGGATGGGTTGGTGCATGATGATGTGCAGGGAGGGCAGAGGGGCCTCATTGATCTTGATGCGAAGGAGGACGCGCCTCAGCCGCCGGCGAAGCAAGAGCAGACAGGTCAGGGTCTCAACGCGCCATCGAGCGAGGAGGGACACCAGGTGGGGAAGCACGAAGAGGAGAAGCGTCTTGATTCATGGGAAGAGTTTTTGGCAAGGACAGAAGCGAGGATAGGTAGTTTGGAGTCAAGCGCAGGGCAGGAGAATCAAGAAGAACTGGGACAGAAGGCGGCCAGCGTCGCCGAGGTGGGAAGCATAGCAGAGGCGGAGGATGCGGAGGCGAGATTAGAGCAACAGAAGGAGAAGCTCGAGGCGTGAGAGAGAGTGCAGGATGCGGCGCCATGTGCGCCAGTGATAGATGGAGATGGTAACCTCAGCCGTTGAAGTAGAAGTCCGATCTCCTCCTTGCTTCCTTCGACCTTACTTGCTTACTTGCTCTTGCTCCCTATAATTCAACCATTGCACTACTTTCCAGGCTTGCCCAGGTCGAGGATCTGGTAGCGATGTGGGCAGATCTCATCAGCTCATCACTTTGTTGACGCGTCGCTGACGCTGCATGGCACGAACCTTTTTCTTGAGCGTCTGCTCCCAGTGCCTGCCACGGTGTCAACGCAAGTCGCAGATCAGCACCTCCTCACCAGGCGTCCTCCAGTCAGAGCAGAAGCTCGTGCTTACCCTACAGCAGCCTTTCTGGTGCGAACCTTGCCTCCCTCGATTTGTTCTATCTGACTGACAAGCGCAGACCAGTCAGGCTTGTAGTTGCTGCGGATAAAGGGCGCGACGGTCTGTAGTCAGTCGTGGAGGCGAGGAAGGGAAGGCCTCCAGCGGCGTAGCTCACCGAACCATATCCTCCAAGATGATTGCATCTTCAGCAGCAGACCACGTCGCACCGCCCTTACCCACCACACTTTTCTTCGACGAGGCTTCAATCTTGGCCTTGACCCTCTGACGTCCAGCGGCAGCAGCAGGAGCGGCAGCTGCTGCCTTGGGCGTGACGCGAATGGTGCGCTTACCCCTGCCGAGGTTGGAAGAGGCAGAAGAAGAGGCCGAGGCTTCTTCGAGATCAACAGAGTGCGCGCTGCCTGTTACACTATTTGCTCGTCCACGCATGACAATGCTGGGTCCGGCTGCTGCCGACGAGGGGCCACCTTTAAGCCGCTTGGTGCTGTGCCACCTAGTCGTGGCGGCGCGCTTACTCTTGCTGCTGGTGGGTCCCGCCTCTTCGAGGCTCTGCCTTGCCTCGCGGTAATCCTCTTCGTGCTGCCCGTTGGCGTCATCGTCGTCGCTATCGTAGGACTGCGCATTTCTCTCTTCCTTGACAGGTCCCTTGCGCTTCCTTGCAGGAGGGCAAGGCGTGACCTCAGGCTCCTCTCCGACTTCGCTGCTGGCAACACCTGCGGCCGCAGCATCAGCAGCATCAGTATCGGTAGCGACGCTCAAGGGGGAGGAAGTGGTGGCGCCCATGGTGCTCTTCTTGCCTCGCGGCATGGCGAAGGGGTTGTGTGCGTGCGCGTGTACGTAGGCGGTATGGGTGAGCTTGCACGAGAGTCGTGATAGTTGCGGGCTACCTCGATGCGGCTGGGTCGATGTGATGAGAGAGAGAAGAGAGAGGCCGAAGCAATCAGAGCGCGACGAGGCGACGGGTGATGATTCGTGAAGAGCGGCACGGTTAGCCATCTTCAGGCACGCCCGCGCACACACATAAGAGAAAACGGAGCCGTAGGTCGCGCATCGGCAGTTGATTGCTCGCAGGCGTATGATGAGGTCGCGCACTGGCCAGCAGCAACGCGACGAGAAGGGGATCAAAGAAAAGGCATGCCGTCGCTGTCCTTTCTGAAATGCCCTGCTCTTGCCCGCGTCCCATTGCGACCACCGAGGCCGAAGGGATCATGCTGATGGGGAAGACCTGCTAGGGCGTCATGAGCCTGCGCTCGACGTACACTGCCACCTTCATCGGAGTCCCCAACGGCATTGCCTGGCGGCAGGTCTTCCCTGCTCAGCCCGTTCGCGGCCCCTTCACGAGTGAATGGTAGGTTCTCCTTGTTCTCCCCTTCTCGCTTCCCCTTCAACATCATCCTCGAACCCATGTCCTGCCTTGCGATCCTCAGTCTCCCCTTCCTCCATCCAGCGATCGTTGCAAAGAGAGTAGCAGCCACGCACCCACCCACGCTAAGCCAGATCGCCCATGCAAAGCCAGTATCACCCGCGTAGGCCGTCAGTCCCACAAGCTGGAGCATGGCCGCTTGAAGGACGAGCCAGCCACACAGCGTCGCGAGCCGGTCGAGGATGGCTGCTGAGATCGTGTTGAGGTGGTGGGCACGCGCAGGAGGAGCCCATTCGTTCGCGACAATCTCTCGGTCCTCAGGCTGCGCACTCCCTCCCTGCTCAGCCTTGGTGAGTAGCTCCGTCCCACTCTCCTTGGTCTTGCTCGTCCCCTTGCCGTCTTGGCCGCCATGATGGCGCGCTTTGGTGTCCCGCCACTTCCCCAAAACCCTACCCCATCTACTCTTCCTTGCCAAATCGCTCGGCATCTGCAGCGAGACGGCCGCGACCATGAGCGCCGCCGCTAGAAGGGCTGCAAAGATGCTCACGCTGAGTGAAGCGTACGCTGAGCCCGTCGCGATGCGGTAGGCAAGGGTCATAGCCATTGACTCGGGCTCGGCCTTGGCGTAGAGACTGAGTGCCGAGCTGCTGGAACCGGCGAGGAGCATGGCGACGAGGAGCCATTGTTCGAGAATGTCGCGCGTTTGTTTGGGGGACCATTCGTACTGAGATTTGACGGAGACAGTTGTGTAAGGGGTGGTTTCGCGACCGAGGCCTGCGGCGAGAAGGAGATCGAAGGAGATCAGCAAGGGCAGCGTAGAGCACACGGGCGATCCCCAGCTCACCCGCGTCGGAGGGCCCAAATCTGGGATGCATCAACACCTCCCGCACGTCTTCATCCCCATCGACCGTAGCATACTCGCTCAAGTACGTCGCTTCCCCTCTCTCTCCCGAAGGCGGAGTGAGCCGGAAGACGTACGGATGATGAGGCCCAGTGCCATTCGGTGCGGAGGGAAGAGCGGGAGGGCTAGGCGTAGCGTTGAAGCGGAACCCCTGTTCCTCCAGCGTTGATTCCACCGATGCGTGGCGAGAGTGGTTCAGCTGCTCTTTGCTGACTTCAATGGTCACTTCCACAGGAGGTGGGCGAGTGGAGGCGATGCTGCTCCTTCTCGGTGCGATCTCAGGTGCCGCATCATCGCCTTCCGAAGTCTGATGTGGGGCCGGTCTGTGAAGCGCCAGGTCCTCGATCGAGTGCAAAGACGTTGTATCCTTGTCAACTATCCCAGAGAATGACCCAAATCGGCCTGAGGAGGCAAAAGCTGGCGTGGCATTGTGAGGTAAGAGCCTTGTCTCAGTGCCCCCTCCAATGTCGTCTTGTTTGTCCCTGAATTCGTTAGGGTCAACGCGAGCGTATGTCTGACTCCAAGAGAAGGATCGGCCGGTATCCTTGGCGCCAGGCGATGCCTCTGCCGAGCGAGGTCGCAAGCTAGAGAGAAAGCCTGTGCTGCGACTGGAGGTGACTTGGGGCTGTTCTTCAAATGGCGTCACAGAGCGAGTCCTGCTGCTCGGAGAAGCTGACTTGGCGCTTCGTCGCTTGAGGAGGGAGGACATTGTCGAGTGGTTGGTGAGGCATCAAGGGACGATGAGCCCCTCGGTGGCAACCCACATGCCCCCTCTCCCCAACGACTTGGCCTGTCTACTCATCTTGCAGTGAGGTCAGGGGATCCGAGAGCCGTAGCTCCTTGCCTCTGCATTACTCTCTGAACGTAATGTAAGCTCGGCCCCCCACCCCCGATGAGATGAGCTCTTTCCTATGGATGCGGGGTTGAGGAAAGGAAGAAAGGGTCTGAGCGGTCAGAAGAGCGGACCAGAAGAAGAAAGAGGGGCCCGTGCGGGTCTCTCAACTCAATCAATACGCTGCTGTATCACCAGGCTGCTCCTCATCGTTGCTTTGCATCGCACTCGCTCCTGCCATTGTCACCTATGAGCGATGAAGGCAACGATCTCGAACCACAGCAAACGCGACTATATCGGCCATGACCGTACGCAAGGCGGCGACAGCCGGGCACTGCAGCGTCTGCACATCATCGCTGCCTAGCGTGTGCATTCTGACCGACGACTTCGCGATTGATGCGACCGAGGGCCGAGCATCGTTGAGGTCCACTCGTGAAACACTATCACCCCTGGCCGCCAGAGCAAGCTAGTGCTGATCATTGCCACGGCGTTCAACCTGACTACTTGCAAGAGAGCGAGCTGAGCTTGCCCCAACAAGAGTAGCAGAGGCCGATGTCTCATTACAGCGTCATCGAGAATGCTCAGCATCCTGCACCCAGCACTCAGCACTCACTCAGCGCTAGATCGAGGCGTCCTTGCAGATGCGTAGTGCATGCTGGGTTTTGCCCCCGCATGAGGATTTGAGTTGGCAGTCGAGGGTGTGAGACGTCTCGAAGAGATGGCGAGGGCGCCAGGGTGGAGGATGTACCAGTCGTCTGAGCCCCCCCCCGAGCCCTGTTCCTCGCTTGTCACGCTTTCACTCGAGCTGCTCCCCGCTGAGCAGGCTGTCCGTCCGTGCGAGACAAAAAGTCTCGGTACGACGGGTACGCTTCAGTGGTACACACGCTGCAGTGCGATGCGGGCTCAGCACTGAGGGCCGCAATAGCCGTGTTGTGGCTTCTCCACATGCGAGAAGAAACCCCCGACATTAAGGCTTGCCAACACCTATAAGTTGAGGTACCGGCCCCTCTCATTCTCGCTGCTTCTCAAACACAACAAGCCATTCGATACACCACCATGTCCGCCTCTTCGTCTCCCCTCGTCCTCGTAACCGGCATCACCGGCTTCCTCTCAGCCCACATCCTCGACTCCCTCTTGTCCTCGCCTGAGAACTTCAGTATCAGGGGGACGCTTCGCTCCAAGTCCAAGAGTGACGCCCTTCTCTCGCGCTTCACCCCCGAGCAGCAGAAGCGCATCGAGTTCGTCGAAGTCAAGGCGACCGAGTCTTCGGACCTGACTGAAGCCGTCAAGGGCGTAGACTACATCCTTCACGTCGCTTCGCCCTTCGTTGTCGATGTCGAAGACGTGCAGCGGGACCTCCTCACGCCGGCGACCGAAGGTACTCTCAATGTGCTGCGATATGCCAGCAAGGAGAAGAGTGTCCAGTTTGTCGGCATCACTTCCAGCTTTGCAGCTGTCACGGACATGAGCAAGGGTGGGCCCAACCGCCCTGGCTTCACGTACACGGACAAGGACTGGAACCCGGCAGGCAACAAGGAGGCCATCGAGTTTGGCGGCAAGGGAGGGTTCGCCTACCTGGCATCCAAGAAAGTCGCTGAGGAGGCCGCTTGGGACTTCGTGGAGAAGGAGAAGCCCAGCTTCACCATTAGCGCTTTCAACCCGCCGATGATCTACGTGAGTGCGGCGGCCTCCGATGCAGGCTCCTTTCGAATTCAGCACTGACCCTCGTTCTCGCTGCTCGCTCACTCGCACACGCAGGGTCCACCTCTCCAACCAGGCGTCAAGAAGGCAAACCTCAACACCTCCTCCCAAGCAATCTACGGTCTCATCTCCTCCCTCCCCTCCATGCCTGCCGACCAACTCCCCCTCTTCGTCCACGCCCGAGACGTGGCTGATGCTCACGTACGCGCCATCTCCAAGCACTCTCGCGGAGCTGCCGGTCGACGCTTCCTGCTCTGCGGCGGCAAGTTCAACTGGGCCCTCGCGGTACACTACATCGCTGAACGCTTTCCCGAGTTGAAGGAGCGTCTGCCCAAGGGATGGGAAGAGAGCAAGCCCGATGAGAAGGCACTCAACGAGGAGATTGCGAGCATTGATACCAGCCCGACGGAGGACGTACTGGGGATGCAGTTCAAGGGGTGGCAGAAGACGCTCGAGGAGACGATTCAGAGGCTTTTGGAGCTGGAGAAGTCGGAGGGATGGGAGAAATAGGCGCGTATGCAGTGATCACGGCTTGCAGAGGTGTTTGTCTGTTGATTTGTGCTTCTATTGGCAGGGGTAGAAGTAGGAATGGTACAGCGCCTTGTACACAAATGCTCGGGATCGTCTTTGCCGTTGTGATCTGGCCCTCTCCTCTTCCCCGCCTTGACTGGTCACGCGAAGCCGAATCCCTCTTGTGCCTCGGTGACCGCGAGAAGAAGGTTGCGCTTGAGCTCCTCGAAGGTACTATACGACGGCATGTCCAGCTGATTGAAGCTGCGCGGGCGCGGAGGCGTGGGCGATCAAGTCAGTAATGCAAGTGGTAGATCATCATCTCGCTGCCCCTTTGCCTACTCACCAGGTATGCGCCGACGGTAGCCTGTCCTCTCCCGGAGCCTTATGCACGCTCATTCTCTGATCGCCACTCACCCCTTGCAGATGCGCGAATCCCTCTAATGGCACCTTACTGGTGCCCGTCACAAACTGCAGCAGCTTCGCCCTCGTCTCCTGGTCGAAGGAGCGGACCGCCCTCCAGAACCATGAAACGACGGCGTCTCCTTGGCTGTAGCCGTGTAGCTCGGTGTTGTTGCGCCACTCATCGACGTCTATGTCCGGCAGACCAGAGATGAGGAGCTCGAGCTCCGTCTCGGAGAAGATGCGGATGAGCGAGGTGGGGATGATATCGTGGAATCCTTCGAGGAAGGCGTCGATCTGCGTGTGTGATGAGGGTGAATTGGGTCAGCTCTGCTTTGCAGCTGAATTCGATTCGTCTCGCGCCCCACGTACCTGCTTGCGGATCGACGCAGTCAATCTCTGCTCCGTCACCAGCCTCACATACTCCTGTTTGTTCTCGTCCGTTACCGCAATGTTCGCCCCATCCGGCTTCAGCTCGATCACCTGCGTCTCTCCAAACTCCTCGTTGTCTACGCTGAAGGTCAGATCGAGTACATCCGTAATCGAATTTTGCAGCATCCACTCGAGGGACTTGAAGTATTCCGGATCTACGGCCTCGAGGTCACGATAATCTACTGCTTTGCCGAGGATATGCTTGTAGAAGGATCGAGTGAAGTAAGCATCCAGTAGTCGGCCATCGTAGATTGCCTTGCCTATAACTCTGCCCACGAACTTGAAGAAGGCGAGATGGTCCGGATTGACCGCTGACGCCCTGTTGGGCTGGTAAGTGGTCCGATCCGCAGCACATGGAGCAAAGAGCGCATAATCCGGATTAAACATGGCCCTCGCCAGCACCTGGAACCATTCCCTCGTCACTCCCCCGGCATCCACCCCTTCCTCGTTGTAGAAGCGCACGTTGAGCTTCCCATGCTTGATCTCTGGGCCCGAATGGCGCGCAAAGTAGTGGAACGAATCCGCAAAGACGTATTGTCTTCTTACGCTGAGGTTGAGCGAAGTGTAATGCTCTCTACGGCCCTTGTGGAGTTGTTGGGTGAAGTAGTTGCGCTTGTTGTCGAAGTCGAGGACTTTGGGATTGTGAACTAACAGGCTAAAGGAGCCGGACATGAGCGAGGGGTTGGCCCGAACCATCGTGTTGAGGATCTTGCGGTGCCGCTCTGTGAAGGTGAAGAAGTTCTCTGTCATCTTCTCGCGAGGCGTCTTAGGTGGTGAGGTGCGCATGGCGTCTGTGCCTGCGCCCAGTGGTGAGGCTGAGCCCCGTACTGAGGTGTTGGCGCTTCGACCGCTACTATCCAGCGCTGAGGCTGCGTCTGGTGTTGCGACGTGCTTGGAGACGACCATGAGGGACTGCAGACGCGAGCGGGGGTGCGAAAGCATAGGGTGAGCGTAGTCCTGCGACCCTTCGTTGTCGTCACGACGCTCTACTCACCTCGATCAAGGGCAACAATATCATCGCCGCGCTCGAATCCTCCTCCATCCTACTCAGACTCTCGCTCAATTTATCCCACAATCCATCGAAGCTCAAGCTTTCATAGATGGAGACTAGTCTCTCCTCATCTTCCTTCTTTCTCTTCGACTTGTCTGCCTCTGCCGTCTCGTTTTCAGCTTTGCGGATCTCGTCCTGCATGGCTTGAGATGAGGAAGGGCCGGCCCCGTCGCCAGAGGTGGCTGGCAATCTCGTTGACGAAGACGATGAAGGACCTGCCCCGTCGATGTCGCCCATGACTGCGTCTGATGAGCCGCCGCCGCCCCCTGAAAGGGACTCAACTGCGCTGAGCAGCCCCATCGAGCTGCCGAAGGGGTTGCCATTGGACGGGCCTGCGCCGCCGAGAGTGAAAGGCGCAGCTGCGGAGGAGGATGATGCTGATGCTGCTGATGACGACGACGATGATGATGATGCGCCTGGGAGACCTAGTGAGACAGCTGCTGCTGCGGGTATCACGATGGGGGGCATGCCTGAGCCAGAAGCGAGAAATGAAGGCAGAGAGGGTGGATGAGAGCCGCGAGGCGTGTCGTCGCCATCGTCGCTAGGTGGATCTCTGCGGCTGCGGGATGACAGATCAGGACGTAATTTGTCAGCTTTCAGTCGTACATTCGGGATCCAGTGCGATTCACAGCTCGTACGTACTCTGCCATGGTAAGCTCTCGACTTGATATCCGGCGAGAAGGTAGTGGTAGCGAGCAAAGCAACACTCAGTGTGAGCCTCCCGGGAGTCCAAAGAGAGGCGGAGGGCGGGCAGGCGGAGGTGGACCAAGGCGAGAGTGGAGCCGAGGCCGGCCAACCAAGTCGACGACGCTCGAGCCCGCCCTATTGGCAAAGTCACGCTGTGCTGCAAAACAACGTCACTCCTCGCCACACGATGTGCCCTCGACGATGTCGAATAATGACGCTATGTGAAGAGCATCTTTGGTACTGCGAGGATGCAACATCGTCGTGCACCCATGGTACCCCCGTCTCCTCGCGTGGCAGCTCTTCTCCAAGGCCCCGTCTGAAGATCGTCGAGCCTAAAATGGCCCTCTCTAGCTGCTCCAGCTGCTCACCGTTCCGTCCCACGCCCAACTGTGCGTCATCCTCCACTCCCACAAGGGTCCAGCTCGACATTCAACATTCGCACACGCACGAGTTGAGAGCGAGTTGATCCCCCCCATCCCTCCTTTCCATCCTAACAGTTCCACAAAATGGCCCAATCAACCTCTCGCGCCCTCCTCAATGAGGTCAAGCAACTCATCCCGCCTCTCAGCGACAAGCTTCACAAAGGCCAATCTGGCCGAGTAGGAATCGTAGGCGGATCGCGAGACTACACGGGCGCTCCCTTCTTCGCAAGCATGTCCTGCATGCGCTTCGGCGCTGATATGAGCCATACAATTTGTGAGCCTGAGGCAGGGAATGTGATCAAGACTTACAGCCCGGATTTGATCGTTCATCGTCTACTGGGAGAGGGGTGAGTGAACGCGCGCGCCACAGAGAGAGGCCAAGCCGCAACCGGGCTAGAGCGGGCGCTGATAACAACAAGCGCTGCTCCGTACGCTCCCCCCTCACTCTTAGTCGTCCCCAAGCCGACATCCGCAAGGACCTCGAAGGTGTCTTCGCCCGTCTGCACTCCCTCGTCCTCGGTCCAGGGCTTGGTCGTGACGAACACATGCAAAGTTGCGCCCGAACTGCCCTCGATCTGGCGCGCAAGAACGACATCTGGACAGTCGTGGACGCCGATGGGCTCTGGCTCGTAGCCAATCACCCAGACGTCGTCAAGGGGTGGAACAAGGTGGTTCTCACGCCCAATGTGGTCGAGTTTGGCAGGCTGTGCGATGCGGTCAAGGTGGATGCGAAGAAGGACCCAGACACGGCGGCTAAGCAGCTTGCTGCTGCCCTTGGTGGGCCCATCATCTTGGAGAAGGGGAAGGACGATCGTATTACGAATGGGGAGGAGGTGCTCATCTGCTCAAGCCCCGGTACTCTGAAGCGCGCTGGTGGCCAGGGAGACATTTTGTCGGGCACCTTGGGCTGCTTGCTTGCATGGGCCAAGATCTTCCACAATGGGGAGGCTCGTGCTGCAGGCGCGCCTGCACCTGCGCCCGAGACGATTCCCGAGAAGAGGCTCTTGCTACTGGCAGCGTACGGTGCTGCAGAGACTGCCAGACGATGTAGTTATCAGGCGTATCAGAAGAAGGGAAGGGCAATGCTGGCTGACGACCTGCTGCCGGAGGTGGGGCCGGCTTACGAGCATCTGTTTGGGGACAAGAGCGGGAACTGACTGCCCAGGAGGGGTGCATTGTAGCTATTGTGTATCGTATCGTCAAGCTGCATCATGCTACGCTGAGGCATTCGATCATCGTTTGACTGGCGTGAGCTTGGTTGAGGATCCCAACTTCGTGGAGGCGGAAACGCGAGTCTGACGGACAGGCGGAGAGGCGGACGCAGATTGCGACTTCAAAATTGAATTCAGAAGAAGCATCGCCATCTCATCTTCTCGCCATCCTCACCGCCGCCTTCATCCTAGGTTTGTGGCAGGCTCGCAGGAATTCACTCCTCACGAATCTCGACAAATTACCCTGCTATCTCGCCCGCGATGTCCCGCAACGAAATCCTCAGCCCTTCTCTCCTCCGAATGGACGGTCGCCGCCCATACGAGCTGCGATCGCTTGAGTTGCACTTCTCCCCGCATCTTGTCGCCTCCTCCTCCTTCTCTTCGTCGTCGCGCAACTTCGCGTCCTCCTCCTCGACACTCGAGCAGCCCGACGGATCAGCTCGCCTCGTTCAAGGCTTGAATGATGTGACCTGCTGCGTCTTTGGGCCTAGGGATGGGAGTGGTGGAGCAGCTGGTGGTAGTGGGGAAGGAGCCTCGATCGAGTTCGAGGTATTGAATGAGAATGCCAGCCAGGTGGGACAAGAAAGAAGAGCAAACAGGGCGAGGAATGATCGGTGAGCTCCGGAAATCTGCAGCAGCCTTCCCCTCTTCGGTCGCAGCAGCTGACCACCCTACCCCCATCTTGCACGCCAGGCGAACCCAAGAAACCACCTCTGCCCTCACCAGTCTTTTCACCCCAATCCTCTCTCTGCACCTCTACCCACGCACGTCAAGCATCCTCGTCTCCCTCCTCGTAACATCAAGCGATGGGTCTCTCCTCTCCACATTGATCAACGCAGCCACTCTCGCCCTCGTAGCCGCAGGAGTACCAATGAAGGACTATTGTTTGGCCACGACCGTCGCCTTTCATCCGCCGCTCAAGAGCTCGCATACAGGAGGAGAGGATCCGGTACTGCTGGACCCTACGAGTGCAGAGGAGAATGATCTGCCGCACTTGACGGTGGCTGTCACGCCGAGGGATGGCAATGTAGGACTTAGCACGCTCGATGCGGGGAGGGGGAAAGTGCAGGGTGACCGAGTGGTGCAGGGTCTCAAGGTGGCAGTAAAAGTGGTGAGCGGAGCACTGCTCGATGAAGTGGAGATGGCCGTCAAGGGGTGGGCGAAGGGGCTGAGGGACGCGGGACTGGAGGGAGCCAGGCGGTCATAGAGGGTCCACGCAATAGCACATCGTTCGATGTCCCCATTCACGCCCCAGTCCACAACCCATCTAGTCTGCATGCCATCAGTGTCATTGGTCCATCGCTCGCTTTTTTCTCTGTGCTCAGAAGAAGGAGCCACCGCCACCACCGGCTCCCTGCCTTTGCGAACCGATCTGCTGCATCTGCTCCCCGACCTTGGTGTTGACCGCAAAGAACTTGGCTACGCAGCTGCACGCGAGCGGGTCAGAGGGAAGTCAGTCATGATTGGAAGGCGAGGCAAGAATGAAAATGAGGAGCGCACCCACCGATCAATGCAGACGCTCTCTCCCTTGTTCAGGTCTGCCTCGAGGTATCGCGTTGAGATGCACTTGGCGTGGCATGAGTTGACCAGCTTGTTGAATGTGTCCGTGATCATGTCGAGCTGCCCAGCATCAACGACAAGAAAGGATTGCATGAAGTGAGCGGTTGTCCACCAGTTGCGCAGCACCATCTGCACCTCGCGCGCTTGCGCTCGAACTCACCTCAGTGGTAGCTGCCTCAAGCTGAGGGGAAAGCCCGCCGCTCGCACCCATTTGTGCCGGCGCGGATTGCTGTGATGAACCGCCGAAGCCAAAGACCATTGTGTGTGTGTGAATTCAAGCTGAAGATTGTCTGGAGGTGGTGATAATGAGAGCAAGTGGAAATCTCAACCTGGTCGAGCGACCTCCGCTTTCTCAGACTGTCGGAGCGGAGCCGCGCCGATCCAGTCGATGGAGATGGAGATGGAGGTCGATGCGAGATGCACACACGCCGCCGCCTTTGCCATCAAGCAATCCAACACTTGTCACCACTTCTCCCCTCGTCTCTCCTCAACGACCCTCTCTACAGCCTCCTCTCCATGTCCACAGACCCCACCTCTTCCTTCATCGAGTCCGCAGCATGGACATCCACCGCTGAACCCACGGCGGACGAGGTCATCGAAAAGCAGAATCTCATCAAGGAGATCCTCTCGAGTCAAGAGTCACTCAAGGCTCTCGTGACTAGGGTGCAAGGGGTTCAGGCGGATTGCACCAAGGCAGAGGCCGATAATGAGATGCTGCAGAGTTATGTTGAGAGCGTCACAAAGAGTCTGGCTGCCAAGGGGGCACAGTGAGATGTTACGGGATTGGGGTGGAAGTTGGGGAGATGGGGAGATGTGTCATGCTCATCCTCCCATCATCAAGGGCAATATCAGGGTGTCTCCAAGAAGCTGCCATCAAGCTCAGCCCAAGTGCCCATGGCTGTCACTATCACAACCATCGTCAACTCGGCTCAGGTCCCCCCGCTCCCAGCTCACAAGGCTCAGCTCATCTTCGACGTGCAGGCCACCTCTATTGCTTCACAACGACAGCATTCGCCGATGCTCGATGCGTCAAGGAGAGGCCCAGCCATCATCAATGTTGAAAGGGCGAGAGTGAGGGCTCAGAAAACAGGCGAAAGGGCACCAAAGACAACGGCGAAGAAAACGGGATAGCTCGGAAGAGCTCACCGAGGGTCATCTGGTCCTACCGTCGCTTGCCCCATGCGAAGTCATCGCGGCTAGCAGCCTTGCTGTAGGCTCAAATGGCTCGCATCAGCTTGCGATGCAGCTCGGCCAATGACGTCGAAGCAATGCGGCCATGTTGCGTTTGGGCATTGCCGAAGAGGATGCTGAGGAGTCGCCATTCGCTGGCGGACGCAAGCAGAAGGTGTAGATTGCGCCAAAGAAGGGCTCGATCAGGTCGAAGCGAGTGTTCCAGCTGTCGAGATGACATTGACACGGAGGCCCTTGATTGTCAGCGGCCAGAGTGTCAATACACTGCGGAAAGGCAGATTCAGTAGAAGCGATGTCTGCTCGTCACATGGTCTTCTTGGACTCTCTGCTCATCAAAGCTTTGACTCGCTGTAGTCCTCGCCGCCAACATCACTTTCACTGTGCCCATTTCCCATCACCACGCTGTCTTGCGGTTCAATCCTCTCTGTGCTGATATCAAAAATGCTGTCATTTGCAGGATGAAGCGCGCCTCTATGACCACTATCTCATCGCAATGACCTGTCCTGGTTCTGTCCTGTCCAGTCCCGTCCAGCTGTGTTCTACGCTGACTCCTCCGTCTCCTTCGGTTGCTGTGAGCGCCGTGCAAATGTATCATGGACTTGTGGTTAGCTCGCTCCTCTCTCTCTCCTCCTCGGATTCCTCGTCTCCCATCCTTCGCCCGACGCTCACCTTGAAGAACGCATTCCTCCTCTCTTTCCTCAGCTCTCTCCAGTCAGGCTGGTTCTCATCTCCGCCACCTGCAGCGAGGGGCAAACCCTCCTTGTACGGTCCAGTGAGCGAGTCGCCCGCTGCTCTGAATGTTCCCATGAGGGTGCCAAGAGCCAAGCAGCTACCGAACATCATGGGGACGGAGCGCGCTGAGGGCGAAGGGAAGTGGGGAGTGGCATCGAAGTCAGCTTCCGCGTTATGGAGGGCAAGGCTATCTTCCTTCGATCGCATCACGCCCACTCACCTTGAGCACCAGCAACGAATCCCGCCGCACACCCGCCAGCAGCAGCATTCATGGCCCCGTCCTCCTGCCTGACATTAGCTACCATTGCATCGGTGAAAGCGAACGTTCCCGCCGCGGCCGTGAAGAAAGCCACGGTAGATCCTGTTCTCGTGAAGATACCCAACGCACCACGGTCGTGCTTTCCCAAGCTGTTCTGCACCGCTGATACGAAAGTGCCCGCTGCCAACCCGGTAAGAGCGGCTGACATTCCCGCATTTACTGACGACTTTTGAGTGTAGTGTGAGGCGGGAGCGTCGAGCTTCTCGCGCTGCGCCGCGGCGTTGGACGACATGATGGACGGAGGGTGGAGTGATGGTGGGAGTGATGAGGAATCGGAAGGTGGAAGCGTTGCGGGGACGCACGATGGACGGCTCGTCGGCCATAGCCACGAGGCAACTGAGTCGCCCAAGTCGACTCGACTCGAGAGGCGCGACTCGGGCCCGATTGGGCAGAGACGGAAGGCGAGTCGAGAGAGAGAGATTGAGCAGCCACTTTCCATGACTCTCAATCTCACACATCATCGTCGTCGTCGTCATCATCACCACGACATAGCATACACCCACCTCGCACCTCGGAGCAATGGCATCCCTTACGGCCAGCGTGGCCAGACGGGCCTTCTCGCAGTTTGCGCCCGCGAGCACAAGCGCAGCCGCAGCCACGGCCACCACCAGCGCAGCCTCCTCATCCAGCGCAGCTCCCGCTCCTCCCCCGCCACAACAACGCATCCCTAATAACATTCCTCCGCGCCAAAAGGCAGACCGACTCAAGGGCAAGGCTCGCTGTGTTATTCGCAGCCATGTCGGCTCCACACCCCTCCTCGTGCCCCCTCAGGCCTCCTTCGAGTTCCTCTGTTACCCACCGCACACTAACCCGACGAAGAGTATGCCAAAGACCCTCTTCTTTGCCACGTCCGTCCGGGTAAAAGGACCGCTGGGAGAGATGTTGGTGCCGCATTTCGACCAAATCGCTATCAGGAAGGCCGAGGAACAAGGCAAGGCTGGGAGTAGCAAGGGGAATGAGGCAGAGGAGGGGTATGTGACATGGAATGTCCAAGCGGGGACACCGCGGAAGGATGGGTGAGTGCGCGATGCGTGTCCAGTGACAATCGCAATCACAAAGAGCTTACCCTTGGACACCCTTGTTCTGCTCGCAGGCACAACTACTTGAACGGTCGATGGGGTCTCACTCGGCAGCTCCTGTACAACGCCGTCAAGGGAGTAACGGAAGGTCACTCGATCGTGCTGCGCCTCGTCGGTGTAGGGTACCGGGCTACGGTAGAGGACGAAGACAGGCATGTCGAGTCTGATCTTGAGAAGTGGTTCAAGCCAGGTACGAGGACCTTCTTCGTTTCCAAGGTACAGGAGGAGGCGTACAGGAACATGTTGGCGGCGGAGAGGGAGAAGAAGGAGCCGTGGAAGAGGTTGGCGTTGAGACTGTGAGTGCGCGAGCGGGCGGTGCGTCGACGATTTTCGTCATTCAAAGCTGACTCACCCCCTCTTGTCCTCCAACAGTGGCTACTCCCACCCGGTGCTTATGACGATCCCCCGCGGTATCACGGCATCGACACCCACGCCGACCCGCATCGTACTCAAGGGCGTAGACATTCAGCAGCTCGGCCAATTTGCAGCCAAGCTGAGGGCATTCAGGCCGCCAGAGCCGTACAAGGGCAAGGGTGTGTTTGTCAACGATGAGCAGATCAAGCTGAAGAGCGCCAAGAAGAAGTAGAGCGCGCAATTTCGGGGCGCACTCGTAGTAATATCATTTGCGTTGTACATGATTATACGGCGAGGCCCAAGTCCTCTTCATTTTCATCGCCCATGCTTGCTGGTACGCCCGGGTATGTGATGCTGCTTTGCGCTGGCTGGGCGTCGCTCGATCCAACGGAGGCATCGTCTTGCCGGCCGTGAGCTCCTGTCTCGGCCCTCTGTGTCGCCGATGCTCCACCCTCCATCGCAGCTCGCTCTTGACCATCGACCGTCTCCTTCAAACCCTTCTTCTTGCCTCTGTCCCTCCTCTTCTCCCCCCTTTTGATAGCCGCCCGTCTTTCAGCAATCTCCTTCCTATCCCTCTTGATCACCCTCTCCTGCAACTTCTTGATCGTCCCACTGACCGCCACAACATGTATTCTCACGGGCATCGTCTCCCTCCTCGTCGTACTTCCTCCCTTTCCCGTTTCGCCTTTTGTCACCACATTGACTTCAAGGCGGCCAATCAAGCTTACCCCACCCCTCACCGTCTCTGCTCCTGTACGCGCGCAACGCAGGATGACCAAGCGGGTGGAGTCCGAGGTGTACTTGACGCTGAGCGAGGACGAGGAGGAGAGGGCGCCGCTGGTCGTTGGACCAAAGTGTGTGAGGAGCGAGGAGCGGATAGATTGGAGTAGAGAGGTGGGCGGAATGGATATGGATGTGCTCGAGGAGGGATCGGATGGGGTAGGGAGAGGGGAGGTGGGAAGGTCTAAAGAGAGGAGAAGCCAACGATTCTGCGGGATGAGGAGGAAGAAGAGTCAACTTAGTGAACACGCCCAATTGAGTCTGTAGTCTGTCAATGCAGCTACTTACCTTGAAGCGGACCATCACTTGAAGCTTCGTAGTCGCTATCGTGTCATCTGATTGTTTGTACAGGACAAACGGAGGAGTGCAAGATGCAGCCTCGCTCCCAATCCCGAGACGGACGGGAGTAGAGAATCTTGCTTAGTCATCGTCCGTCGGAGGGAGGCGGATACGGAAGCAGCCGTCCTCGAGACCAAAAAGTTAGCCTTTGTTGCCTCATTACCAATTCGCCGCCTCAACGATGTGGCCCTTCTCGTCATCATCATCATCGCAGAGCAGCGATCCGTCAGCAGCGCCTCCGTCGGCATGTCCAGTGGACGATGCTACGAGGGAAAAGTGGTTGAGGGAGAATGGCAGAACAGGAGGAGGAGGAGGCGCAGCGGCGGGACCTTCATCGCAGTCTTCTGGCTCGGGCTCTTCTTCATCGAGCAAGCTCTCATCAGATCGGGTCATTTCATCAATTCCTCGATGGCTCGCGTCAGCGCCCGAGTCGTCGCCGCCTTCTAGCAGCTCCTCAGGGTCGAAGGATGCCGCCACACCTCCGGCAAGCTGTCCCTCTCACCTCTCCAAGCCTGGCGCTAGCAGCAGCAGCAGCAGCAGCAGCGACGTAACCTCCCCTCCTCCTCCCCCCGCCCAAAGCAATTGGGTGTACCCTTCCCCCTCGCAATTCCACGCTGCTCTAATCCGCAAAGGTCGGGCCTCTTCAGCAGAAGCCGCTAGCATGGACATAGTGGTACCGATACACAACGCAGTCAATGAGCGCTGTTGGGAGGAAATCCTGGCGTGGGAGAGGGATGCCGCTGGGGGAGAGGCGGGAGCGCCAAGAGGTAGCAGTTGGCAGGTGTGCGGCGGACCGAAGCTTGTTAGCTTTCAGGGGAGGCCGAAAGACGTTACATGGAAGGCTTGGGGCAGGGGATTGCTCGGGTGAGTTGGCGCGATCAGCGTGCCAAGGCGTTACTCGACCTTGCATTGGCTGACCAATCTTCTGCTCGCTCGCACAGCTATCAACCTCCCTTCGATCGCCACGACTGGATAGTCGATCGATGTGGGCACCGCATGCGCTACATCATCGACTTCTATGCTGGGCGAGGCGGTGCGCCTGGTGGGAACCCTTTTGCGCCTGCTCAGCCTGGCGAGGGAAGTGGCAGTGGGCAAGGTGGGGGACCGCTGAGCTTCTACCTCGATGTGAGGCCTGCGCCTGATACAGTTGAGGGGCTGATGATGAGGGCGAGGCGAGCTGTCGGGCTGGGCAAGGGGCCGGAAGCTGCCACTGCCACTGCTGCGAGTAAGCCTGCTGGCTCATGACAGGACCCACCGGCATGACAATGAAGAGGTGAGATTGTCTATTGATACAGATGTGTGAGGGGCAGAGCATGTAGAAGGTTCTTGCGAAGAGGCGCGGTGGCTACTCGAAGACCAAATCGATATCGAAGAGTTCGATGAACTACGTTGCGAGCAGAATCGGGATCAAAGTCAGCTCAACTTCACATCGCTGCCCAAATCCATTCACAACTCACCTGCTCATTCATCAGCCGAATCTTACTGCCCGCATATCGCCTGTACTCTTCCAGAATGCTACTCAACGCCCAGCCTTGCAACTTTCTGAAAGTCCCAATGACAGTCCCCGTCCTATGTCTCCCCTGGTTGCACATGACGATAGCCGGATAGGTGCTGGGCTGCACGAGCAGATTGAGCGCTTGGAGGACCACCTCTTCTGTGATCGGCTCCCAGGTGGAGGTATTGTGCAAGTGACCCAGATGGTAGAGGGCGACGGAGTGTTGTCGACACCAGGTGAGGAGGTGAGGGGCGGGTTCCTCTGGTGCGAGGTAGATGAGGGAACGCAGCTTGAGTTGGGTGAGGAAGGACAGGTTGATACTGTCCGGCGCACCAGAGCGGTAGAGGTCTTCCTCGACCATGCCGAAGTTGTTGGGTGGGACGAGCATGGCGGGTGAGAGTTGATGAGGAGAAGGGACTAGTGGAGAGGAGGGATGAGAGGAGGAACAGCTAGGACGGATGAACTGACGGGAGCGGACTGGCGGCAAGGCGAGGCGAGAGGCGCAAGGCAAGACGCAGCGAGACCAACTCTTCACGAGAGCGCAGCACGCACGCACCACCTCTTGACCCCACTTCTCATTGAGCACCTTCTTCATTATGCCACGAACATTCATTGCCGAGCTCTTCTTCCCTTACGACTGGACGCGGACGGCGCTAGGTAAGACCCAGTGGAGCGAACTATCTCTCTCTATGGGAGGGGATCCGTGAGCTCACCTTCCTTCGTCCTTCACGCGGCCAGGCGTGCTGCACAAGTACCCTAATCCGTACGCAACCCACGTCGTCTCGATGGACACCATTTCACAAGATTACGATGAGCCGTCAGGTCGAGTGAGATTAGAGCGCGTGCTGGGAGTACGCCAGGGGGCGCCGAGATGGGTAGTCAAGGTGAGCCAGCCAGCGAGCCATCGCATATATGCAGCTTGACCCATCCTGAAATCTCACACGCCTATACGGACGCAGCTCCTCAACCTCTCGGAAGACACATACGTCCGAGAGATCATGATCGTCGACCGTTCAGCCCAATCAATTGAGATGACATCGACCAACTTGACGCTGAGCGAGTACCTCCTAGTCAAGGAGTACATCACCTACAAGCCCTCCGCTGCCTCCTCTACGCCCAACTCGACGACATTCAGACAAGTCGCGAGTATAGAGAGCAGCCGTGAAGCTTTTGGAACGGGCATACTGGCAAAGGCTGGGAGGAAGCTGGAGGACTCGAGCTACGATAGGTTCGGGAGTAATGCGCATAAGGGCAGGGATGGGTTGATGGCTGTATTGAAAGGGATGTGGGGAGAGCCAGCGGCGACTGCAGGTGCAGTGGCGTAGCTTGAAAGGCAAACGTGATGATGTCTGTATATTTGTTGGTGGTGATAGGTCCCCGCCTGCGATGGCGATGAATGATACCAGGTTCAACCCTTGCCCGAGCATGCCTGTCGTTCGCCCTCTGCTCCCCGTCTCCACCTCCCTTCTATCTCGCTCTCACGTCCCGTCTACGCAGCCAAATGCTCCCTCAAGCTCTTGCTCCACTCATCCTCGGCATCATCGTCATCCCAATTGTCCTCCCACAGATGGTCAGAGGCAGCGTTCGTCCCACCCCCACCAGCTCCTCCGCCTTGCCCCGTCGTGCCGGCCATAGTGATCGAGGGAGCGCCTGACGTGCTATTGGCATTAGTACCTGAAGCAGCAGCAGCTGCCTTGGCTCCCACCGTCTCGGAGTCGTCCCAGTCTACGCACGAAGGAAAGGGGAGGAGGTCAGCGTGATCACAGAGGACGCGGCGCCGGGGAAAGCGCCATCTCACCTTGCACCTCGAACTCCTCGAACTCGTCATCTTCGTCGAGCGGACCAAGCTGAGGGAGATCTTGTGCCGTAGGCTGCTGAGCCGTTGTGGCAGCTGTGCTGCTTCCGGCGGCGGGCTGCTGCTGTTGCTGCTTTGCTGAGTCTGCCATTGATGCTGTTCGTGGTGGTGGTGATAATTGGTGAGGGTCGTGGAGCGTCAGGACGGCCGGACGGCCACGCATCCTCGAGCTCTCCGTCCGTCTGATCTGGAGGCGTGTCGAGTGGAGTCGGCTCCGGTCCCGATGAACGCCTGGGCGAGTGAGGGCCGATTTACGCGGTTCACGACGCGAAGGACGGGAGAGAGCAACACTTCGATAGAGCAGAGGGAGAAGAGGCTGAAGGAGCGTTGCACTTTCTTCTTCACACAATCTCTTCGGATGACCCAAGACGCAAGCAGTGTCCCTCTTCCCGAGCCAGCAACAAAGAAGCTTCGCACCAACTCTCCTCCTCCGTCCACAGCACCAGCAAGCATGGCCGACTCCACCACCGCCTCCTCTTCCACCCCCGTCTACTCTCCGACTGCCTTCCTCGTACAATGCGATCCGGAGCACCCCAACGCTAAGCTACCAACCCGTGGCTCTGCTCTTGCAGCGGGATACGACCTCTATGCCAGTGAGACTGTTACCCTGCCCAAGGAAGGGGGCAGGAAAGTCGTCCAGACGGGGATCAGGATGAAACTGCCCGAGGGGTGCTATGGTAGGGTGGCACCTAGGAGTGGACTTGGTGGGTAGTAGTGTGTGATGTGGAGCACTGAGCTTTCCTGATGACTGACGCTCTATGCTGTCTTGTGTCCTGCCCCACTGCGCCACCCCCAGCTGTCAAGCACGGCATCGATGTTGGAGCTGGTGTGATTGACGCCGATTACAGAGGTTTGCTGGGCATCTTGCTCTTCAATTTTGGACAGGAGGACTTTACTAGTGAGAATCAGCAGGCTAGCAGTCAGCCTTACTCGCATTGAATCCTGCACGATCACGCTGCTCACGTCTCTCTCCCCGCCTGCCACGCGCAGTCAACACTGGAGACCGTATTGCTCAGCTGGTCATCGAGCGTATTCACACGCCAGAGGTGACGGCCGTTGACGTAAGTACGCCTTTCCAAGCGTTCCCCAGCTCTCTTTTCCCTCATCGCTCACCACGCTGTCCGCCCTTCGTCATCCCGCTCCCAACCACTAGTCACTCGATGTCACTGTCCGCGGAGAGGGCGGCTTCGGCAGCAGTGGTGGCTTCGGTCCCAAGGCATAGTGGTCGATTGGCCAGTATGCTCTTTTCAACATCATTGCTATCATCATCATCGCCGTCTCGCATCTGTGATTGCTCGAGAGCTTCGACTCGTATTCTCATCGATACCAGACGCGACCATGCCTCTGTCCTTCCGTTCCGATCTCGCCGTTCCTTCTCGACTCCCCGTCTGTCCGCCCGCTCGATACCGATTTTGACTTTCGTCGCTCACATTGCTACTAATCATCAACGACGACCACGACAGCATCCCTAAAGGCCCACTAGCTCACGGCGAAGCATAGCCTGTCACTGCTTTTCTCTTCGTCATCGCCGTCGCGCGCACATAGGCAGGCCCTCAGAAGTGTCATCAATTTCCAGCCTCGCAGCGCAGCGTCCAGCCCTTCCTCTCGCCTTTAGACGGCGGTCGCAGCCTTCTCACAACGGTCCACTGATCGAGCGACACCGCAAGCATGCCACTCCACGCCGACCTTCTCGTTCGGCTTCGCAACGCCAGCATGGCTAGAATGCGTAGCGTTCCCGTGCCCTACACGCAGGCGAACCTCTCGATCCTTTCCATCCTCCTGCAGCAAGGCTTCATCCACTCGATGACAAAAGGCACCGTGAATCACATTTCCGACCCAGCAGCATTCAAAGCTGCCACTCTGCCCGCACAACGGCTTTGGGTCAACTTGAAGTACTCGCGCAATGACACGCCCGTGCTTTCCACGCTCGATCTGGTGTCGAAGCCCAGCAAGCGCATCTGGATGGACAGGGAGGAGCTTGTTCGCTTTGTGAGCTTTAGGAGGAGTCAATTTGTGAGGCCGTTGGAGATGGGGGAGGTGGCGATCGTGGACTGTGGAAAGGAGGGGTGGTGGGAGGCTAGAGAGGCTGTCAAGAGAGGGATCAAGGGTGGGGAGGTGGTTGCTAGGGCTGCGTAGCTTGGAGAGGATGCACAAGGATTTCTCAGGCGAAGCTGGGACACACGCAAATCAATGTATATTAGCCACCACGTGATGGCGAGCTCGAGACGATAGGTCAAGCGTGTATGCGGCGAGCTTCACCTGCTCGTCGCTTCTCCCTCTCACTCTCCATCAGCCTGCAGCCCTCTCCACAGCTCACCTCCCCATCCAACCCCCATCCACAACCAAAATCTCTCCACTCACGTAGCGGCTCGCATCACTGGCCAAGAACACCACCGGCCCCGCAAAGTCCTTTGCCTCGCCCCATCGCCCCGCAGGTATACGCTCCGAAATCTGCCTCAGCCTCGTCGGGTCAGCGAGGAGTCGCTCATTCATGTCCGTCGCAATATACCCGGGAGCAATGGCGTTGACCTGGACATTGTGCTTCGCCCATTCGTTGCTGAGTGACTTGGCCAATTGGCCAATCGCTCCCTTGCTCGCCGCATAGGCGGGGACGGTCAGCCCGCCTTGGAAGGTGAGGAGGCTCCCAAAGAGGACTACCTTGCCACTTCGACGGGAAATCATGTGCTTTCCAGCTTCTTGTGCGAGGAGGAAGACCGATGTGAGGTTGACATCGAGCACCTCCTGCCAGTCTGAGGCGGGGAAGTCCGTCGCAGGGTGACGACGCTGGATTCCTCCACAGGCGATGAGGACATCGATTTGGCCTCCCATGGCAGGTGTGGTCAAAGCTCGAGAGAACAAAGTCTGCACGCTGCTCAAGTCGGACAGGTCGCAAGGGACTGCGCTATGTTGTTGGCTGGAGGCAAAGTTGGTCGGGAGAGGCGAGAGAGCCTGGTGGTCATTACCAGCTGTGGGGGCTTGGCCGTCTGAGCCTGGGGCAGCCCTAACGGCAAGGCAGACATTTGCCCCTGCTTGGGCAAGAGCGAGAGCACAAGCTGCGCCAATACCGCGTGTACCGCCTGTGAGGAGGACGTGCTTGCCCTTGAGGGAGAAGAGGTCCAGCGAGGGGATCGACGGCGTGTCGTCTGCGCATGGGTCTGAACGGGAGGCGTTGTTGGATGCCATTGTGAGGGGCGAGTGATGAGATAAGGAGCGTGGATGCTGGCTGAGCTTTTGTAGAAGCGGCCCGTAGCCTTTATGTGGGAGGCGGCTTGAGAGTGAGTGGGAGGATCGGAAGAAGTGTGGGCACGAGGACAAATCGAGCCAAAGCCTGCACGGGCCGCCGTCATTGGCCATGGGACGCCGAGGGCGGAGAAGGCGGGGCCCAATCGACTCCAGTGGTCCTTGCTTCCCTTGTTCCCACACGCCTCATCATGCCCTCGAGACAGCGCGCACGCATCAGCATCGACCGCGGCGGTACCTTCACCGACTGCTTTGCTTCGTTGCCTGGGCGAGACGATATTGTCATCAAGTTGCTCTCGGTCAACCCGTGAGTGCCGGCGGCCAGTAGCAGATCTCGTGGAGGAAATGGCTAACATTGACGATCTGGATCATGCTGCAACAGCGAGCATTACAAGGATGCACCCACAGAGGGGATCAGACGGATACTGGAGATCATAGAGGAGCGAGAGATTCCCAGGGAGGAGAAGCTCGAGACCAGCGGCATAGGTGAGCGGCCGAGTCATCTACTCTTCCCGTTCCCCACATCACTCCTACTCACCCCCACCCACGCCTGCTTCCTCCAGAACATATCCGACTCTCGACTACAGTGGCAACAAACGCACTTCTCGAGCGCAAAGGCGAGCCCCACGCACTCGTCACCACAAAGGGGTTCCGCGATTTGCTGCGGATTGGCAACCAGTCCCGACCAGCCATCTTCGACCTCGCCATCCGCAAGCCCGACGTGCTCTATTCGGACGTGGTGGAGGTAGACGAGCGCGTGACCTTGGTAGGCTTCACCTCTGATCCGAAGTTTGCAGAAAACAAGGTCGTATTCAATGAGGATGGCAGCATACAGAGCCAGTACAAGGGGGAGGATAGGCCACCTGCTACTTGGGGTGACGAACGCGACGAGCAGGGCAGCAGCAACGCCTCCTCCGACCCGTCAATCGTCCGCGGCGTCAGCGGAGAAGCCGTCGCCATCCTGAAGCGTCCTTCGCGCTCGCAAGTGCACGACGACCTCCAAAAGATCTACGACAGGGGTATCCGCGCCCTCGCGGTTGTCCTCATTCACTCGTTCACCTTCCCCGACCATGAGAAACTGATCCGCGACGTAGCTCGCGAGATCGGCTTCAAGCACATCTCCCTCTCCTCCGAGCTGATGCCAATGATCAAAGCTGTGCCCCGTGGTACAAGCACGACGGCCGATGCGTACCTCACGCCGGTGCTGCAGGCTTATGTCGAGTCATTCTTCCAAGGATTCGACAAATCGCTGAGGGATGGCAGTGCGGGAACTAAGGTGGAATTCATGGCTAGTGATGGAGGACTGAATAGCGTGGAAAGATTCAACGGGCTGAGGAGTATCATCAGTGGACCTGCTGGTGGTGTGGTCGGCATGGCATTAACGTCGTACGACGAGGAGGACGGGAGAGCCGTGCTTGGATTTGATATGGGTGGGACGAGCTCGTAAGTGACAAGGAGCAGCAATCGCGTCGACGCTCCTACTGACTGATAGACATCCCCCCTCGTCCACTGCAGCGACGTCTCTCGCTATGCGAACCAGTTCGAGCAAATCTACGAAACCACCATCAGCGGCGTGACAATTCAATCCCCGCAAATGGACGTCAACACCGTCGCCTCAGGCGGTTCCTCCCGACTATTCTTCCGAAACGGCCTCTTCGTCGTTGGCCCGGAATCCGCTTCTGCCGACCCCGGTCCAGCATGCTATCGCAAAGGAGGACCCGCAACAATTACCGACGCGAACGTGGTCACCGGCAGGCTGGCGGTGGAGATGTTTCCGAAGATATTCGGGCCAAAAGAGAATGAAGGGCTAGATGTCGAGGCGAGCAGAAAGGCCTTGGGCGATTTGAGGGATCAGATTGCCCACGAGACGGGGAAGGGCAAGATGAGCATCGATGAGGTTGCACTGGGCTTCTTGCGCGTCGCAAACGAGACGATGTGTCGTCCCATTCGAGCGCTCACCGAAGCGAGAGGGTACAGCGCCTCCAAGCACTTGCTCTGTTGCTTCGGCGGGGCTGGCGGACAGCACGGTTGCTCACTTGCGCGCTCACTGGGTATAAGGACTGTCCTGGTGCATAAGCACAGCAGTATCCTCAGCGCGTACGGGATGGCGCTCGCGGATCGAGTATTTGAGAGGCAGGAACCGTGCGCTGTCACGTGGGGTGGCGATGATGCCCAGGAGCGGGTCAAGGAAAGGATGAAGGTGTTGGAGGAGGAGGTGCGCAAGGAGCTAAACGCACAAGGCTTCGAAGGAGAGGAGCGTGATGGTGGACGAGTACGCGTGGAGAAGCTCCTCAACCTTCGTTACGCTGGCACCGACTCGGCGCTCATGACTCTCGTTCCCACCGACTCGAGCGGTAAGGAGGGATGGGAAGAGGTGGCGGAGCGCTTTGTCTCGACGTACCGTACGGAGTTTGGCTTCACGCTGGAGAAGGATATCCTCGTTGATGACGTGAGGGTGCGAGGGATTGGCAAGTCCTTCTCTGCTGCTGATGAAGGCGAGAAGAGGGAGAGCGTGCACAAGGAGCACCGTAGATTGATGGAGCGAGAAGGCGGATTCAAGGCAGCAAAGGTGCTGCAAAGCGGGAGTGAGGAGGAGCAGAAGAAGGCAGGCGTGGTTTGGAAGACTGTTTACTTCGGCAATGGAGAAGGCAGTGGTGACACCGGCGAGGGGGAAGGAGCGAATCGCACACGCACGCCCGTTGTACCGCTCAGCAAGCTCGAGGCAGGGGAGAAGGTCGAGGGTCCTGCAATTCTGGTCGATGGGACGCAGACCATTACGCTCGGTAAGTGCAAGCAAGATCCAGCCATATGCGAAAGAAATCTCGCGCTTACGAACGCTCGCCTTCGTCTACAGAACCACGCTGCGAAGCCCACATTACCTCGTCCTGCGTCGTCATTACAGTGCATTACGACAAGTAGGCCGGCGCTACTCCGCCTTTCATTCAATATCATCCAGCCATGCTCGGCAGAGTCGCGCAAATAGAGAAGATCGATGAGATTTGACTGAAGCCGTGACCGGATAGAGAGGGGAGACGCACCAATGATGACGTCGGGTAAGGTGATGAGGGGCTAGGTGGTGTTAGGTACAACAGAAAAGTGGAACGAACAGAGACGAGAGAGGCTTTCTCAAGCCCTTTTGACGGTGATGAAGAGGGGTTCGTCGCGTCCACTCTACGCCGGCGTTAGTGTGCAAGTGACGATCAAGGGCCAGCCGTCCCTCCACTCGCGGGTCCTGAGACTGACGACGAAGTTCTTCTCGCCTGGCTGCAATCCCGATGACGAAGACGAGGAGCCATTGCCATCCGCGGCCGCTGCTGCAGCAGCTGCTGCCTTGGACCCACGCCCCCGCCCACCGCCACCACCGCTCGACGATCCAGCCTGGTTCCCATCCTGCCCACCACCAACAGCAGCGGCGGCCGCGGCTGCTGCAGCGGCTGCTGCTGCTTCTGCTGCTGCCGCCGTAGCAGCCGCCGCTGCACTCGAAGCCGATCCAAAGCTTCTCCTCGCGTAGTTCAGCTGAAGCGGGATGGTCGCGCTGACTGTCTGTCCGAGCTGGAAGACTTGCGAGTTGGTGAGCAACTTGGCCAACTCGAGTACCCTGCGCCCCGCGCCCAACTGGATGACGTTTAATCTGCCCACGTCTGGGTTGCAGAGGGCTGTCTCGTCGTCGAGGTGGAGGAGCTCGCGAAGACTCGAGTTGGCCGCATAGATGTCCCCAGATCGACGGGCCACGAGCATGGGAACGGGCACGTGGTCGAGGAAGTTCTCGTGCTGCAGTGCTGCGAGAGTAGCCTGGAAGTCGGACTCGAGTGCCTCTACGTCTGATGCCGCACCGGCGAGGTGGTCGTGATGCGTCATAGGCGGGGTAGACTGGACGAGCTGCAGGAAATGACCCCTCGCTGAACCCGTGATCGGGTCAAGCTCTGTAGCCACATGCTCGGGGAGATGGTCGAATGCCCAGCGTGCCAAGCGCGCGTAGCTGCGAGTGTGGGAGAAACCGGCGGCATTGTACCCTTGGGCTGACGAGGAGGAAGAGGCGGAGGGCCCTTCGTCGTATTGGGTTATGTATACTGATGACTCGAGCGCCGGGTCAGCAAGGAGGGAGAGCGGGTCCCCGCCGAAGAGGTCGAGGAGGTCTGGCTCGCCATCGGTTAGGGCTTTGTGGAGTATTTCAATCCGGGAAGGGTCCAACGTGTCGAGAGAGGCACGCATGGGGGCGATGCCGTACTGCGTTTCATCGTGGTGGTGATGATGATGGTGGTGGTGGTGATCTGAGGCAGATGGGGCGCCGGGAGGAGTGCGGATCGCTTCGGCTGCCTTTGCAAGCTGCTCAATCTCCGAGGCATTGACGGCGTGCTGAGCTGCTGCATCGGCGTCGACCGAGGAAAGGCCAGCTGCAGTGTCGCTGGTGCTTGCGTTGGCATTGCTGTCATTCGTCGTGGTATTGCTGCTGGCGGTAGCGGCAGCATTGGCTTGCGACTTGCGGCTTCGTCGCTGGATAGGCTCGGCGTCGACGCAGAGCTCGGGGATACCGCGTTTGACGCTGCGCGAAAGAGGCGGGGGCGATCCTGCAGGTCAGCTCATTGGCTCTCAACTACCGCGCGGTCTTGTCGCCGCGCTCTGCTCACCATCTCGGGCACGGGCGCTTGGCCTCACAGGGCATATGAGAACGTTTGCAAGGTCTACACGCCTTTTGTACCTTCTTCCTCTTCTCAGGCGGATGAGCAGGATCATTCGCCTCGCTCGGGGGAGGCTCGTCCTGCAGGTACTTGAACGTTTTGCGCTTCTTTGGCACTCCCAAACCCTGCTGCGACATCATCGACGTGTCCGCATCGGACGCGCCTGGGGTTGGTGGAGCTACTTGTTGCGAATCACGCGTCGTCGACGTGGAAGCGGATGGCTGAGCTTCGTCGTGTTGCTGATGGTGTTGGTGTTCGTGCTGCTGGTGCTGTTGTGGGTCATCGTAGCTGAGCAGGGAGCCATTGTTGGCCTGGTCATGCAAGTGACTTTCGTCTGCCATCTGTTCAGCCATGTGTTGGTGCTCTTGATGCTCATCGACTTGCTGCTGCTGCTGCTGCTCGTGTTGTTGTTGTTGCTGCTCGTCGACTGCCTCGTCGCCGGACGAGCGGATGGCAGAGATTGGTCTGGCGTTGCCTTGCGGCTGTTGACCAGGGAAGACGGCGAGCTGAGGCGAGTACTGCTTGGTATTGCTGTACTGTCCTGCTCCTCCACCGTTGCCACTGCCGCCACGATTGTTGGACGAAGGCGATGCTGACGAAGACGAGGAAGCCGGCCTTTGGCCCTTGAATGGATCAGCGCGAGCTGCCTCGAGGGCCAAAGCGGCAGATGAGGCAGCCAGGGACTCGCTGAGCTCAGCCGACCCTCCAGTAGCATTGCGTGCCTCGTAGTAGAAGTCGAGGACATCGGATGCATCTGGAGGGAAGTCGGATGCTGCAGGTGGACCAGCGGAAGACGCGTCGTGGACACCAGATGCGCCGCCATTGGACTGAGAATGATGGCGATGCTGCCCTTGCTGGTGCTGCTGATGACAACTCATCGCGTCGTCGTGGCGGAGAATGCCTGCTGAGCGGCGACACTACTGACTAGCTCTACTCTCGTCTGGGGACTATGAATGCTCGCTCTCCCTCTCGCGTGTGTCGTGCACGTCGAGTCGTGAGGATCGAGTGGATCGTTGGAGTGGAAGTGGGGAAGGCAAAGGAACGGAACGAACCAAGAGACCTGGCGATGGCGCCGCTCCGAAAAGACGAACCAGGCCGCCAAACGAGGCCGTCTCAGAGTTTGGCCCCGAGCGAGCCAGACGCACAGCCAGCCAGAGCGAGACGAGAGCGTGGCTGGTGGCTGACAATCACCGCGCGGCAAGCAGCCCGCGAAGAGCCGCCTAGCAACTCCAAGCTTCAAATTCGTCACGGTAGCAAGAGCAAGCAGAGGGGTCAAGCAAAGCGCAAAGTGAACTCCGGCATGAGCATCAATGTCGACAGGACTTCTTCGGAGTCTAGCGCGCAGGCTTCAACGCTATCATAGCCCTTCTCTCCAGCCGCACAGCTTGGCGAGACAGGCGGCCAGAGCTGAAATCGATGAGGGACTGCAATTGGCTCGATCAGAGCTGGGGTGGCTGCAGGACGGCGCCCGTCAGACCGTCGAGGAAGGCGATGTCTCGTCATCTGCCTCAAAACTGTCGCAACATGAACGTAAACGCAGTATCTCACGCCGCCTTGTCGAGCTGGTGCGCCGAAGAGTCAATGATCATGAACCCGTGGCGTACCTACTAGGTGAGCTATCCATCGCCTCTGCGTCTCCTCAGCAGCATTCTAGTTGACCCGCAATCGTCCTCACCCATGCAAGGCTGCCAGCCCTTTGGCCCGCTGGACTTAGCTACCAGGCCACCAACGCTCATTCCACGACCAGAGACCGAAGAGTGGGCGCTTCGCCTTGCCTCGATGGTCACCAAGATGCTTCAAAGGCACGAAGATGGTGGGCCGCTTCGCTTGCTCGACCTCTGTTCTGGCTCAGGGTGAGTCATTCGGTTGTACGACGATATCAATCGCTCGTACTGACGCCAGCCCGACGCACGCTCAGCTGCATTGGGCTCCTCCTAGCTCACCAGGCGCGACGCTGCCACACTGCCTTGCAGGTCACCTGCGCAGACGTCTCTCCTCAAGCACTCAATCTCATGCGGGAAAATGTCCGTCGCAACGGTCTGAGCGACGCAAGTATCGCTATGATGCAGGCCGACGTCTTCACCTCGGCGGACATGCAGCACCTTGTCGAAGACGGTGGGCCCTTCGACGTCATCGTCTGCAATCCACCTTACATCACAGTCAAGGAGTACGATGAGGAGCTCGACGAGAGCGTGAGGGCGTGGGAGGATCGACGAGCATTAGTAGGCAATGCGACGAACGGCATAGATGATGGGCTAGTCTTCTACCGACGATTGGCAGAGCTACTGCCCTTCCTGACGGGCAGAGCCAGCATTGGCTCTCCTTCTCCACGACTGCCACTAATCGTCGTCGAAGTTGGCAAGGGTCAAGCGCCAGCCGTGCGCGACATCTTTGCCAGCTCGCCCCTTGTCGCGAGGTGCGAGACGTGGACAGATGCTTGGGACGTAGAGCGGGTCGTTCTAGCCTATCCACATGTGATACCACCAAGCAAGTGATAATGCAACGAATCATCGATTGATACCAAAGCACGTCTACATCGCTCCCCCTTGCCGCACCTACGCCTTGACCGACGACGCCCCCTGCTCCTTGCTCGCAGGCACAGCTACGCTCCCTGCCCCCTCGTTGGGCAGAGGCTTCATAGCAGGGAAGAGGAGGCACTCCTTAATACTCGCGTTGTCCGTCAAGAACATGCATAGCCTATCGATGCCCAATCCCCACCCACCAGTGGGGGGCAGACCGTGCTCCAGCGCATCCACGAAGACGTGGTCAATGCCCTGCGCCTCATCGTCACCCGCGTCCTTCTGGCGAGTCTGTTCCTCGAAGCGCTCCCTCTGGTCAAAGGGGTCGTTGAGCTCCGTATATGCGTTACAGATCTCCTTGGTCGCCACAAAGACCTCGAAGCGCTCGCAGAGACCAGTGATGTCGCGATGACGCTTAGCGAGGGGGGACATGACCTGCGGGTGTCCAACGATGAAGGATGGGTTGACGCACTGCACCTCGATGAAGTCACCGACCAGCTTGTCGATCAAGCGCGCAGAGGTGCGAGGCTCGCTGCAGTCCACGTCGTGCTTTGCGGCCAGGTCCGAGAGGAACTTGCGGGCCTCCTCGGTGTGCAACTTGTCCGCTGCGGGGAAGGTGACGTTGAGCTTCGACTCCAGCTCCTTGATCATGTCGAAGCGCTTCCAGGGCGTGGAGAAGTCGATCTCAAATTCGCGACCGTTTGGGTCGTCCTTGCCGTCAGGGTGGTACTTGATCTTGTACCCGCCTGTGACCGCCTTGACGAGGCCAGAGATCATCGACTCGGTGATGTCCATGAGGTCGTGCATGTCTGCATAGGCCATGTAGAATTCGCAGATTGAGAACTCAGGGTTGTGCGTCTGGTCGATGGACTCGTTGCGGAAGACTCGTCCAATCTCGTAGACGCGGTCCAGGCCACCGACGACGCACTCCTTGAGGTAGAGCTCGGGGGCAACACGCATGAAGAGGTCGAGCTTCAGGTCGTTGTGATGGGTGATGAAGGGCTTGGCTGTGGCTCCGCCGGCGATCATGTTCATCATGGGGGTCTCGACCTCAAGGAAGCCCATGTTGTCGAGGAAGCCTGTGCGCGGGGGATGGGGAATGAAGGGGTCAGCTCGAAGGGAGCGGAGCGTCATAGCTGCCGAGAAAACTACTCACGCCTTACGTAGTTGATGATCTTAGCCCTCTTGACAAAGATGTCCCTCACGTTGTTGTTCATAATCAAGTCCAAGTAGCGCTTACGGTATCGCGCCTCGGTGTCGGTGAATCCGCCCTGCGTAGCTTTGGGCAGCATGTGCAAGTTAGGCGAGAGCAGTTGGATCGACTGCGGGAAGATGGACAGCTCGCCCGACTTGGTCTTTCCCGGCGTTCCCTTGACACCGACGATATCACCACGGCGCAGCAAGTCATGCACAGCCGCAAAGTCCCCCTCCTTGTGGTCCTGCGCAGACGCCGTAATCTGGATCGTGACGCCCTCGGCATGCAAGTCGTAGAAGCGCAGCTTGGAACCGGCTGAGCGCATGTTGTGGATCCTACCAGCGAGGGAAACGCTCTCGCCTTCGAGCTGAGCGCCGGCTTCGACTCGCGACTCGTACTTCTCGATGAAGTCGGTCAGGGAGGTCGAGACGTGGAACTTGTGCGGATACGGGTCGGGGTTGCGAGTTTCACGCAGCTGCTGAATGGTGCGCACTCGACGCTCGTAGTACTGAGAGGGGGAAAGGTCCTCCTCGTTTTCCTTCTTGGTCTGCGGAGGGGCAGCGGCTGCCTTTGCTGCCTTTTGGGCCTCCTTTTCGCGCTGCTTCTGGCGACGCTTGAGCTCGCTGGGATAGAAGACGGAGAGAGGGCAAGGTGTGGGTAAGTCGGGGAGATGGAGTGGCATTTATTCTCGCTGTGGCCGGCTCACCTCTTGCTAACCATCTCTCCCGTCAGCTCATCCTTGAGGAGGTTAGCTCCCTCGGCCGGGTTGGCAGGAGCGGACATTGTCGATTTCAATCGCTGTGCGGGAAAGTGAAGTGGTAGGGGTCTGGATGCGGAGAGTAAAGGAGTAGCTCGAAGGGTGATTGGTGTGCTGATGAACCTCCTTAGCATCCAAATGATGGGTGAGAGAGATTGAAGGGAGCCTTGCACTTGATGCGAGCGAGAAGAATCGTCGAAGTCAGACAGGCGTCTGTCCACTCCCGTCCGCCGGCCAGTCCAACGCCCAGCTCGGCGCGCAGTCGCTCCTCAAGAGAAAGGGTTGGAGGGCTCTGAGGGTAGCACGGAGAAGCGCACGCAATATTTTATTGATCATGATGAGACGGAGAGGAGACGAAGATAGAGTAGCTCCCCCCAAACACTGAGACAGTCGGGTACGATCTCATAGCCATTGCGCAGCTTGAGATTGAGCTCAACCCTCCCTGAATCACGGCGCCAATCAGCTCTTACGACAGGCTGTATGCCATGCCACGGTATCGTCACTTCCACCCCATTGGAGACGCCTCAAGAGTGACTGGCTGTAATGACGACGAGCGAGCACAGCTTCGTCTCACCCCTCCTTCACCTGACGTCTCGAACTCATGCTCAGCTTGGCTCTGGGATGTCTCGTTGTGTTCAGACGTCAGTCCAGGCCAGGCCAGAATCGCTGGGCGGGAGCAGATGTCGCGGATGCTCAGTCGCCGAGGGGGCGGGAGCAGCGCTGGACTGAGCCGCGCTTTTGGCCAAGTTAGACTGCGCTCCACCGTCCTCCCGTCCGCTTCATGCATTAACCATCATCCTGACCAACCATTACTCGCCGCCACCAACACTCAACCACAACGCTTACGCCCTCCAAACAACTTACCCTCAAGCTCGTCCACAATGGTGGCCGCCTAATCATGACGAGGGCATCTGCCTAGTCTTCATCAATTCCTTCCATAATTCGACTGCATCCCAGATGGAGCAGCCGTAAAGAGACCTTGCTCGCGAGCGCATAATCGCCCACCGAACTCGGGTCTCGAGTCCCTATCGACTATCTACAGTCGCACGCAATGCCACCAGAGGTCGCCGCGTCGGGCGTCACACAGCTCGAGTGGCCCGAAGCCAGGCCTAGCAGCTCATCGCATCAAGGCGAAGGGCGAGGCAATGCCAAGAAGGGACAGCATCAGCAGCGCAGTCGTGGTGGTCCACGCGAAGAAGGCAACACTTCGCGGACTCGACGACATCCACCGCGTAATGCGCATGGAGAAGAAGCGTCTCTTGTCAGCTCCGATGGACCAGGCAGGCGTAGGCGAGATGCTGGAGATCCAAGTAGCTCCGCCACTGCCGCACAGCCAAGCCCTTTTGCTAATGGCACTGTCAGCCTCATGAAGAGGGAGAAGCCAGTCGATCCAGCTGAGACATTGTCGACCTCTCTCAATGCTACTGCATCTGTGACACCAGCCCAGCCTCGTCGGTCCAACGAAGACTCTCGCGGTCCCTCAACATCTGCTTCCGGAGGCCTGCTGCAGATACCTGCTGATGCTCGCGCCCAAGCGCAGCAACAGCCGCAGCAGCCGCGTAACCACCCACATTCTCATCAGCATCACCACCATCAGCATCCTCAAAGACGCCCGCAAGATCGAGGCGGCCGTGCACCCCGAGGCCCTTCACATCGCGGAGGCAGCGACGCGCCAGAGCGCGCTTCGGCCTCCGGCCATCCTCAACTCTTCGACCCTAAACGTCACGATGCCCTCAGCTTCGCCAAGGGTCTTTCCACCACGAGCCAGTCAGATGCTCGCTCCTCGACAGCAGGCAGCACTGCTCCCACATCAGCCCCCTCCATCGCGTCGAGCGAAGGCAGGGAGAGGGGGAAGCGACGCCAAGGCGGTAGCGAGCGATCAGGACCGGCAGCCGGCACGTCAACAAAGAGCTCGACGTCACGCAGCGGTGGAGGGAGAGATCCAGCCAATTACTTAGTCAACGAGCTAAAACGCATCTATCGAGAAATCTGCGCCCTCGAGACCAAGCTGCAAGATGACCACCGTAAGCAGCGTGCGAGCGCAGCAGAACAAAGTGCAACTCGCCATCAGATCGCTGCAGTCGATCATGCTTTCTGGCTCGACCTCATTGAACAACACAAGCGCCTCATCGACCTCCACTACGCCTTCCTCGACTCGGCTCTCCAACCGGGCTTGCCACCCTCTCTGCGTTCTCTCCCTCTAGACTACGAGATACCCGTGCGCGTCTGGCAGACGGGATGTCATCTACTCATCGAGTCGATGCGGCAAAGCCTGCCTTACCCCTCCGGCGCCTCCGAAGGCCAGAACGTCACCGATGGAGATCGACAGACACAGGCTGCGCTGCTCGATCATCTCAACGACTTCATCTACTCTTCATACCGCTTTTATACCAATCTTCTCGAGGCGGAACATCTCACCACGTTCAGAAAGGCTTGGCTGGAGAGTCTCGGCGATCTGGCACGTTACCGGATGCTGATGGCACGGCTGGCCAGCTTGGCCGGGGAGGACGAAGGAGAATCTTCGACGGGGAATATACGCAATAAGGCCAGTAGAGAGGAGAGAAGAGGGGGAACGACGAGAAGCAAGCCTGCGCCCGAGACGTTCGCGCGCATCGACGATGATGACCACGCTCATGGCCACGACTCTCATGACGCCAAGCGCGCCGGCCCCGCAGCGGTTGAGGAGGCCTCCATTGGCAGCGCTGCACTAGGTGACTGGGACCTCGAAGAAAAGGAAACATGGCGCACAACCGCCAAGGGTTGGTATGCTCAGGGTCTAGCCGAGATGCCGGGCACAGGACGACTGCACCACCATCTCGCTGTGCTCAGCCGCAGCGACGAGCTCAAGGCCCTTCATCACTTCTGCAAGAGTCTGACCGCCGCTCAGCCCTACAGTGCTGCGCGCGAGTCTCTCCTCCCGCTCTTTGATGCCTCTCACCAGCGTAGGCGTGTCGAGCCTGAGGCAAGCCTCGTGGACCTCTTCGTGCACATGCACGGCATGATGCTCACAAAGGTGCAGCTGGACGACTTCGATGCCGTGCTTGAACGATATGAGGAGCAGCTCCTTACGAAGGTGGAAGCGTTGGGATGGCAGCTTGGAATCGGAGTCAGTCAGCTGATGATGATGGCCTCGGTGAATCTTGCGGCGCTGATGCAGTATGGCGCTGAGCGAGCCGTGCTTGCAGAGGTGCCGGACGCAAGCGCAAAGAAGCTCATCGCAGGTTCAGCAGCTGCAGCCAGCAGTAGCCCAAGAGCTCAATCCATCTCGCCATTGCCGGGTCAGCCTGCCGCTGAGGACGACGAGTTGCCGATTGTGCTGCAGTGCGCTATTCGCCTGGCCTTCTGCACTTTCACCGCCCTCCTACCTAGCGACGAGCACTTCCAGTCACTCGACGCGGGCCTCAATCCTTACGTGACGATGCTCTGCACCCTTCTCTTCCGCCTGGCCAAGCTCCCCGGGCGCAACAGTAGCAGCAGCAGCGACCGCAGCGATGTCTCTCAAGCTCAGCCATCTCGCCGGCTCAGTGTGCTGGAACAGGCCGTTCCCTGGCGACGCCTCGCTTCTCTATCTCCACTGATCTGCACCGTGCCTCAACCCTCACCTGCCAAGCTCAACAGTGCTGCTCCTTTACCAGAGGACTGGTGCCTCCGCGGTCTAAGCTGGACGGGTCGCAAGATATTCGAGAAGGACTACTGGCGTGTCACGACACCCTCTCTCCCCGCGGGCAGCAGCATACCAGGCGTCGGCGCCTCCTCGCTTTCCTCTGTGCCTACGTACGAGTCAGAGGTCGACGTTTTGGACTCTGCAGCGCCGGAAGAGGCACAGTCTCATCTATTCGCTATCAGCTCCCCGGTTGAAGCCGACGCGGCGGATAAGGCCGCGGTGCTGAGGAGACTGAGAAAACACCGCATCGCGCTTGCACTTGGCGCTTTGGCTGATGTGGTGCCTGGCTTTACCCGCGAAGAGGCAGGAGAAGAGGTAGAGAAGAACCCAGACTCGGGTCGTAGGATCGTGATACGCTCGCCTCTCTCAGACAAGCTGGAGCGCTGGGCACTCGATGCGAAAGAGAAGGCCGAAGAGGTGGAGAAGCTGAACAAGGCTACTCGCGACTTTGGAGCCGCAGTGCTCGATGAGAGTGCGGATGAGATGGCCAGCGGCGAGGATGAGGAGCAAGACGTGGATGACGAGGACGACACAGAGGAGGTGCGAGCCCTCAAGGCTAAGAGAAGAGAGTTGCGCGATATGCTGCGTCAGGGCAACGCCTCGTCCGACGCCGCCCTTGCAACGGGCAAGGCGCGGGCTCAAACGAGGGACGAGCATCCCCCGCCCCTCCCAGGGTACACGACCCTCGTTCTCGACACCAATCTCTTCCTCACCTCCTCCAGCCCCTCCAGCCCTCCCACCTCCACCCCTCCACCATCTCTCGCGCAATCCCTCATCCTCAGTCACGCCTACACGATCATCATCCCCCTCGCAGTCCTCACCGAACTCGACGGACTTTCCCGCAATACCTCCGATGCTTCCTTGGCCAATCGTGCTCGTATGTCGGTCCAATTCCTGGAATCTGCAGTTCGCACACACAGTAAATGTCTCAAAGTTCAAACGAGCCGCGGAAACTATCTCTCAGATGTGCGGGTTCGCACAGAGGATCTCTCCACGGGTGCGGGGAGGGAGGGGAGACGGACGCTGGATGAAGTTATCCTCTCTGCTTTCACCTGGCAGCTGGAGCATTGGGTCGATCGTCTACCCTTACTCTGCCCTTCCTCTTCTTCTGCGGATCTCTCCTCGGGGGGTCTAGCGGACCTGGACACGCAAAGGGCGAAGGTGGTAGAGGGGAAGACGCCCAAGGTTGTGCTTTGTACGCTTGATCGGGGATTGAGGCTGAGAGGCAGGGCGGTTCTCAGCGGAAGTCACGACGGTGGAAGAGGGACGAGCACCGAGGGAGCGGTTGCGGGACGGGATGAGGTGGGGCGATTGATCGAGTTGGGTGGAGGTAGTGGTGATAGCGAGGAAGAGAGGAGGGAATGATGAGACGTGATGTAGCGCGATTGACGACTTATGAACGATTTGATGACGACAATGAGTGGCTGATGCTGTTCTGAAGATTTCTTGATCGCAGCCGAGAGCGGTACTGGATGGAGTGAGAATTCCTTCTACATTCATGCTCGACGCCGCCGCCTGGTACGCGCGTCGAGTAGAGACCGCAGCACCCTCTACGTTTCTCCCGCATCTTCCTCACGCTGCAACACGCTAGAATTGGGAAAGACCTAGCTATTGCCACAAAAACCCAAGACAGGATCTGTTACGGAACATGGAGGCTATGAGAGAGCAGAACGAAGTCATGCGTGTACGATGACGACGCCAATGATGATGAAGTGAAGGGGGGATCGCGAGTCACGGTCAATATCAAGTAATCGAGAAAAGAGTTTTCGATACGGTAAGGTTCTGTTGGATGGCCTGGCTGATTGTCTATCGAGCCGTGGGACCTTTTGGGTAGGCTTATCATCGCCCTCAGAGAAAGGGAAGCCTCACTGCTCCTCCTCCTCATCAGCCGCCTTGGCGCAGCTACATCTCCTCTTCTTGCCCCACTCCTCCTTCTCTTCAAGCAAGGCATCCCTCTCGCCTTCAGCACGCTGGAGTCGCCTCTTGTAAGCGGCGAGCTCCTGCTCGAGCTCTGCAATCTTGCCCTCTCGCTCAGCAGCCTCAGCCGCTTTGCGGTGCCTGCTCCTCCTAGCAGCCAGCGTGTTGCTGAGACGCTTGGCCTTGAGCGGGTCGGGTTCGGCGGCGATGGCTGCGAGCTCATCGGCGGTGGGACCGTTGTCTACTCCTGCACCTGAGGTTGAGGGCTCAAAGAAGTCCTTGCGCGAGGTGGCAGAGGGAGCGAGGTAGTTGCGCTCTTGCACGGGCGCGTCGATGGGGAGAAGGTCGTCTACGCCCATGCGCCTCTTGGTACCGCGGCGTGGGCAGGTAGGGCGAGGGTCGATCAGTGGAGTGGCGGGAGCCGTGCTGCGCACGTCGAGTTGCGGTGCCGTGGCGGAGTGGTGCAGGGTGGGCTTGGCCGGAGCGGATTGGGGAACGCTGTCGCTCATCTCGTGGTGCAACTCCTTGGGAGGCGAGGAGATGAGCGTTGGCGAAGCCGAGTTGACCGGCGCATTGCTCTGACGCGCAGCCGCGACCCCCTGAAGAGCACGGAGTAGCATAGTGGCCTGGTCCTCGTCTCCTTGCGCAGACGTAGCACTGAAGGCCATTTGAGCCCTGGGCGGGGGAGGCGACGAGGTAGCCAGCGTGGGGCCTGGTGCGCTGCGAGCCATGACCTCCGGGAAGAGGGGAAAGTCCTGTCCCATCGCAGCGGGTGCGTGGGGAGCTTGGTGATCACCGCGCACTGCGGGACTGAAGAGGGTCATGTCGCCGAAGAGGGGCATGTTTGCCAGGTCGGGCGCAGGGCGGTCCAGGTCGTCCGTGAGGAGCGGGGAGGGGCCGCACGACTCGACGTCGAAGGTGTTGTGGTCGGTCAGGGCCGGGCTGGGGTCCGTCCAGAGCGGTGACGAGAAGAGGTCGTCACCACCCGCGGCAGCCCCCGTCGCAGAGGACGAGCGGTGGTTGTCCCATCCAAGGAAGGAGGTGGTGTCGTCCATACTGTGCTGTGGACGGGTACTCTTGGCGGTAAAGTCGTCGAGGCCTGCGCCGAAGAGGGGCGAGGAGGGCGCGTCTAGCGCGTCGGTGGAAGTGAGGCACGACATGGAGTGCGTGTGACTTGGCTGGTACCTTGGGAGACGAGGCTGAGCAAAGGTGTGGTGCTGTGCTGGCGAAGAAGAGGAGGCGATACGGGTCGGCTGGACCGAGGAGAAGCTAGTGTGTCTCTGGGCGTGTGCTTGAGCTTCTTGACGGATACGGGCGTCGGTGAATGCTTTGATGAAGTCTCTCAATGGAGCTTGTATGTCTTGTTCGCTAACAGTCGGGCGGTGTTGAGGCGCAACAGTCGTTTGGTTGACGACGTTGTGTTGATTGTGGTTGTGTTTGGAGGAACTCGTACGGGAGTTGCTCGGCGCTTGGAGTGAGGGAAGCCATGGTGGCAGAGGAGTTGACCGGGGATGGGTCAAGGTGATGTCTGGGTGATGTTGGGAGTTTCTGCAGCGAGAACGAGGATGGGAGGGTGAGTATATGCTGGTTGTCATGGTCTGCATTGCGCCGCTGCGATTGCACTCACGTCTGAGAGATCAACCTGGAGGGCTGATGTGGTTCTGAGGGCAAGTTGGTCGAGTTTGTTGCGATCAATTTGTCAATGTCAGTCTCGTGTTGAGACGCAAAATTAGGCGACGAGTTGCTGGGCCATGATGGCGATGGATGTGTAGGATTGTTCAAGTAAGGATTGATTGCGAAGAGGCTAGTGTGGGCCTAATGGTGTGGTTCGCTGGTGCGCTGGGGGAAAGAGCTACTCGTCGCAATGAGGGCAGAGTTGCTCGTGTTGAGATTGAAGATGCGCGTAAAGATGGTCGAGCGCTGGACGTAGGGTGTTGACAAGATGATGTCGCTGGTGGTTGGTGGTTGTGATGGGAAGGAAGAGAAGAAGCAATCGTTGGGAGGACTCGATGCTCTGCCCCACCCTCTGCGCTCGCTCTTTTGAACCAGCGTCCTTCCTCGCCCGCAGGACGCAGCACGACAGGCACTCAGGCTCACTCATGCGCGGCCCGCATCTCTGCAGCCAGCAGCCGACGCGCTCACAAGGCAACGAAGCACTCTCACAGCCCCCTTTGCACCCCTCTCGCTCCCCGTCCCTCACTGCAAGCGTTTATTGAGTTCCAATTCCTCTATGACTCGACAAGATCGAGGCGACGTGGGACGGCGCTTAGCCCGACCATCCAACTACGCGACGTGAGGAACGAGCGATCAATACGGTCGTAGGAACGTCGCTAATGAAGATCGAGCCTCTCACGAAGACGTGAGAACCATCTCTTCCACGTCGCAAGAGCGGCTACTTTTCTCAATAGCTCAAGGACGGGGATGGCCACGTCGAAGTCTCTGCCTTCTTATCTTGGTGGCCATCGGGAGCATGCACCTCTGTCTTATGCGTCGCAGTCGCAACCTTCGCGCCGAGAGGCAGCCGGTGGTGCCTGCAGGCAGGCCAAGGAACGCCCGATCAAAGCCTGTGACCGATAGCCCCGACGACTGACTACCATCGCTACGTCGAGCAATCGAAGACGAGCTTGGACCAGAGCGCCCCGTGAGCCCCGTACTCCTTATCGCCGTGCAGCAAGCAGCGCAAGCAAGCTTTTCGTGAAGCGAAGGTCGTGATCGTCATGAATGAAAGTGGATATGTTACAGGGGGAGGGGTCGCGCGACAGACGCGCTTGAGGAATTGCAGCAGACTAGCTTCTTCCCTTTCTCGCTGCTGCTGCCGCTGCCTGTCGTCTCAAGCCAATCGAATCTGACCCTGCTTCCTCTCTTCCCTCCAAGCCTTGACCTTGGGCTTCGCGCTTGAGAAGGCGAAGACGGCCAATCTGATCGTGAGACTCACCACCAGCCACGCGGCAACGAGGAGCATGAGGTGCGCGGGCCAGGGCAGGGCAGTCGACCTCAGCCCAGTCGTAGCGTAGAGGGTGCGAGCCCACCCGTGACGAACCGGAGCAGGCACGACGGTGCTCGCTGACGACTTGGGCGTCCCGACATACTTGCCAAAGACCTTGAGCTGACAAGCCGAGTCGATGTGCATGTGTGGGCCCTTGCAGACATCCAGGACGAGGGAGCCGCGCTTGTCCAGCGAACGAAGGCCCAGTCGATCAGAGGTATAGATCTCGCTCTGCCTGAGCGGCGTCGTCTCGTCGACGTCGGGGTCATGACCCTTGATGCTGCTGTCGTTGCGCTTGGCCTCCGGGTACGACTCGAACCAGCTGCTGCGCTTTGGAACGACGGTAACGTCATCGCTGAACTGCAGCATGACAAAGCTGTCCAGTGTACTCAGACGCTCCTTGTACTCGTCGTTCTGCTCCACCTCGTTGTTGATATCGGCCAGGAAGTGGTTGGTCTCCAAGTAGCGCTGCAGCGCATCCGCATCCCGCGGGTTGCGATAGTACTGTGCGCTGACGACATGAGACTGAGCGTAGTCGGTGTAGATCCCAGCACGGAGAGCCCCCTCAGCTAGACGGCAGAGGAAATCAGCCGGCTTGCAAGCAGGGAAATCTGCGATGCCCATGTGTTGGCTACCAAAGGTGACGAGGTTGCGCACCTTGACCCCCTCGCAGCGTTGCACTACTGCTCGCAAGAATTGACCACCCTGCGAGAAGCCGATGGCATCCATTCCGCCCTCGAGCTCGGGGATGGCCTTCAATTGCTCGCAGACTTGGTCTACGTCGTCGTTGACGGAGCCAAAGACGGTACGCTTTCGGTCGGCGGACTCGCCCTCCTCGAGAGAGACGATGTGCACGAATAGCCCCGGGAAGGCTTCTTCAAGGGAGCGCTTGAGGTCGACGAGCCCTTCAGCATAGGCCGAATCTCCTAGACCGTGCCAAATCACAAGCGGGTGGGGCTTGCTGGAGAACCAGTTGAAGGAGGATGTATCCCAGAACGAGAGGGAGGACGAGGGTGAGGGCGGGGGCGGGGTAGCAGCAGAAAGCCGAGGGATGGCGGGTGCGGCTGATGCGATCAAGGGCGCCACAGCGAGAGAGGCGAGAGCGTAGAGGACTCTCATGATGGGCGATGGGTACTCGCGAGGAGGAGGGCAATCGGGGGAGGTGGTGGTAAGGGAGCACGGATGGGCTGCGCCACTTGATGACCACTGCATCGACTCAGCACGGCACGGCCGGGCATTTCACCTGCCGTCTCCGCCGTGTTCCGCGCCTCGCTCGGGCCACCGCTCTCGACTTCACGCTGCCGTCAATTCACGCTGCATAATGCGTCCAAGAAGGAATTGTATATTCGTACAAGAATAAAGATGCTTCTTCGCCGCCGCACATCTATCGTCGCGCAGGCACGCTCGGCGACCTCCCTGCCGCTGCCCCTCCTGCTGCCGCTGCTGCTGCAGCTCCATTGACCGCCGGCCCACTAGTGCTACTTGCCCTCCTTCCCCTCATACCTTGCGCCTCTCTGACCAGCTTGCTCGCACTCCTGCTCATCTTCCTCATCTCTCCATCTTTCAACTTAACCGTCAGCGCACACGAGAGGACATTCTCCGTCGTCAACTCCTGCGTCGGTGGGTGGAGGAGCAGGCGAAGCACATCCTCACTCGCAGTGATGCCGCGCGTAGCCATGAGAGGTGCACGAATGATACGGATGATGGCCAGGGACACCTGGAGAATCCAGTTGGGCCCCTCGTAGAAGAAGACGTCCCACACGCGGATCAAAGTGGGCCATGGTAGGATACGGCAGAAGAGGGGAAGGAACCAGCTGGGCGAGAAGTTGATTGGCTCGACGCCGACGTCTGCAAGCTTGTTTGCCAGCTCCCCATCCATCGTCTGGATCAATTGGCCCAAGATGACCCCATCGATGTGGAGCTGCTTCATCTCATTCGAGAAGTAGCCTTCCATGTGGATATCGCGCAGCAGGGCACAGAGCAGCCAGAAGGCGTCCTCTGCGGGGAGGTGGAGCAGGAACATGCCTGCGATGAGGCCCATCCCCTGCGTGTAGCCAATGATGGGATTGTAGTGCACATATGCCTTCAGGATGGCCTCCAAGTCGGCCTTGCCTGACGCGCCCTCTTGGAAGAGACGATTGTCCGGGTAGCAGCGTGCCACATCCTTTTCGATCGTCTCGTACAAAGCCTCGCGCCCCTTGCGCCCCTTCGGTGCTTGCGAGGTGACGCACAGCCCCTCAAAGAGGCCAGGGCGACGACGTACGCTCGCGTTGCAGAGGAAGAGCCAGACCTGGCCCCTCATCGAGTTGGGGATGCCCGCTTGCACCAGCTTTCGCACCTTGCGATTCTTGCGTGCTCCAACTAAATCGTTCTCGGCGAGAATGGCCTGCCACTTCTTGACCGTCTCATGGTCCTCTATCTCTGGTCTGCACGGGACGCCCGAGCCGAGGACGAAGCCCTTTGCATCGTACGCGAGCGGGCGAACCGACTGCGGCGGTGCGCTTCGTGGACCGCTGGAGGAGGCCATGGAGCCGGAAGGGCTGTGCGCCCTTGCCGTATCAAAGTGCGGAGAAGGCTGGCGCGACGAGGTGTTGCCTGGCGGTGTCGGTCCTAGAGGGCTAGGACTGCGAGATGCTCCCAGGGCGGAGGAAGGAGGCGGGGACAGAATGTCTACGCCACTGCTACCGCGGACGCTGCCGGTCGGCATTTGACCGCCGCCGTATGAGCCTGGCGAGGGGTTGCTAGGGTTCTTACGCAGTTGACCAGATCCAACTCGCTCTCGCTGAGATGTGCGGTCAGACGAGGCGCGCTTCGGTCCAACGGAGGCCATGACGCTGGGAGGAAAGTAGGAGCCAGTAGGCGAAGCTGCGCTGCCGTAAGGCGAGGTGGCATCCGCGGGTGCAGATGCAACTGAGCCTGGACTACTCGACCCACTGCCTCGATCGCCTCTAGCTGCTGCAGAGATGAACGAGCCAGGTCCGAAACCGGCAGGGATGGCCTGACCGGGTCGTGGAATACCCTGCGGTGGTGCCATGGGCGAAGTCGCAGAATTGGTCACGCCGCTAGGTGGAGACGTCAGGCTGCCAGTGTTGGAGCGTTGCGGTATACGCAGAGGAGGCGGCTGCTGTCGCTGTTGTGGTTGCTGCGGCGGGCCAGGGGGCGGACCGTTCTGAAGCCCGGATGGCCGACGACGAGGGTCGAAGGTGGGGGCGCCGTGAGGAGCGCCATGCATGCTGTTCGGATTGGAGCGTGACGGACCATCTTGATGCTGAGCGAGTGCAGGAGTGTTGGGTGCAGACGCTGCGGCTTGTCGTCCGTTAGGGGCAGCGGAGTGAGCGTGAGGATTGGGAGGGAACTGAGGCGGCGCTTCGGTCCTAGGCGAGGTAGCCTCAACCTGCTGTCGCAGACTGGACGCCAGAGCCCTCGCCGCTTGAGGCGGCGGAGGCGCCACCCGCGGATCAGGCGCAGCATTGGGACGTCGGCCAGAGGGCGAGGAGCGAAGTTTGGCTGCGACGTCATTGTTGGGAGCGGCTGCGGCCCCGACCCTTGCTCGAATGTGCTCAGGCGCCATCGGAGGCGTGGGATGCTTGTCAGACTCGACCTTGAGGCTAGCTGCCGTGTCAGAGTGAGGGAGGCCTCGGAAGTTGAAGTTGGGAAATGCTACCGAGTCGCGTCCGTAGATATCGTAGATGGAGAGGGTGTGGTCTCGACGGCTGCTATTGGCGTCGTCGTCCTCTGAATCCTCTGTGCCCGACGTCATGTGTGACTCGACTGACGGTGACTGAGGGATGTGGCTGCCAAATGACTTTGCACCGCTCTCATTGCTTGAGTTCCTGCTCTCCACGGGCGAGATCTGCGTCTGCATCAAAGCGGTCCTCACAAGCTCGTTGGGGCCGTCAGAGCGGCTGGCCGATGAGGATGACGCTGCTGCTGCTGCACCCGGCCCAAGCTTGCGCGGATCAGCATCGTCCTCGACAGCTGGCCTTGCCCAAGGCAGCATGGTCTCTGATTCGTCTGAGTCTGAGTCGGACGAATCACGAGCTGATGGTCGGCGATACGACGGCGCAGTGGGTTGCGTGGCTGGAGGGGCTCTAGGCGGGGGAGCAGATGATGACGATGCTGGCGGTACTGATGCTGTCATGCCATTGACACGATTGCCGGCGCTGCTGTCTGCCGAACCTTTGCCCGACTTGGCATGACCTATCTCGCTATCCTCCGACTCGATGGTGGACACAGGGATGCCAACGGGCACCTGCGACTCTGGCAGGGACGCCGCTGCAGCCTGGGACATGAGCTTAGTCGATGCCTCTTGAATGGGAGCCTGGTGACTACGCCGCATCAGCACAGGCTTCTTGAGCTTGCCGTGGATCTGTACATGTGCTCCCTTGAATTTGCCAACGACGCCCTCGCAATAGCCCAAGAACCACGCGTCGCCGTCGTTTTGGCTCTTGCGTCGCGATGATGATGAAGACGATGCTGACATGGCACTGCTCTCTGCTGCTCCCGCCGAATCTTGGTCAAGCCTTCGCAGGACGATGATCTTTTCGCCCGTCATGAACATGAGGTCCTCGGCATCGGTTGCAGGGTTGTCGACGAGGGCTGTGCAGGTGCCGATGCCGCCCTTTTGCAGCGCAAACCGCGTCCATGCATTGAGCGTGTGGGCGTCCATGACAGCAGCGGGGGCGATGAGAAGTGAAAGAGTGTGGATGAGAGGGTGGAGATGGAGGTGAGGGCGGCGAGGGGAGCGACGGCGTGCGTGTCGAGTCGCGTCGAGCGATAATATGGGTGACGACGGCTGTTATTTGGTATGCGGGAGCAAGTCCGGATGGAAAGGGGTTGGGGAGGCGGGCGGTCGGGCGGGCGGTCCGAGATGCTGCTGCTGGTGATGACGACGACGAGGAGACGACCACGACTACGATGCCGACAATGAAAGCAGCGAGACTGACGCCGTATCGCTGAATGGACAAGGGTCTCCGTCGTGATTGGTGAATCGTGAGATGAGAGTGAGATGAGGCGGAAGGAATTGGAATTGGAAAGTGGATTGCACTCGCGCCGCCGCGCCGTCATCCGCGGGCGAGGCGGGAGGCGGTGAGGCGGGAGCCAAACAGCGGCAGCGAGCGGCAACACACAGACACGGAGGGCTCAGTCAACCAACCTCGCGTCGATGCGCCCGCCCATCTGTCTTGGCGGCATCTTTTCGAAGTTGCAGCGAGCGACGACTTGAGCTCCCCTCGCTTTGTGCCTCAAGCCGGCCCCTGACAGCGTCACTCACCGCGCCCACAGCCTGGTACAGCAGTAGCGGGTGAGGGCGAGCTAACACGGACAGCGCGGGCAGACAAACGAATGGCCAATCGACGACGACGAAGACGAAGGGACGGGACTCCCGCGAGCTGCAATAATAACATCGAATCGAGTGACGCCGACGCGAGCGAAGGGGCGGACAGAACACTCGATTCGATACCAAGGTCTCAAGCCGACGTAAGGTAGACTAAAATAACAAGGTTACTATTCACGCTATGCTACGACGGCAACTAGCTCCAGCGCCGCGAGAATTCATGAAAAGAGGGTACATGGTAGCCAGGCTGGTCGTCCTCGGCCGCGAATGCGACGAAGAGAAGAGTCTCGATTGTGTAGCTCAATGGCGACGGCGGCGATAGCGGCAGCATTGACTTATTTGTGCCTCAGTCATCAATCTTGAGGATCGAGGGCGTGTGAATCATTGGCTGACCCAGCGATTTGAAGCCCGTCAGCTCGCTCGCTCTTGTCGCTTGATTATTTTCCACTGCGCCGTAGCTGAAATTGGATCGGCCCCTTTGCGAAGCTAGCTCCCTCGAGTCCGTTTAGCAGCTTGCCATTCTGGTACAGATCCAGGCCATCGTTCCGCTCATCCTCGTCGTGGGCGCCGAGGTAATCTCGACATGCCCAGTTTTCCTTTGGTAAGATAAAAAGCCTTCTAGCCGCTCTCCTCACTCGCTCCCTCAAGCCAGGGCCAGCGTCTGCTAAGTGCTTGCTCAGCGTCGTGATCTTGGTCTTTGTGTCCCCGTCCGTCGTAGTGTCTCCTTCGTCGCCGACGATGCCGAGATATCTGTCTTCGATCCACTCTGCGTCTTGGACGAGTCTCTCCTCCACCTGCTCGCAAGACGGCCGCACCTTGGGTGTCCACGGCGGTGTCGGTGCGAGGTGGAACAAGTACAGCTCGATCCACGCCTCTACCTCGACAATGAAGATTGATGGTGGTGTCGCTGCGCTGGATGATGTCGCTTCAGAATGCTTGAAGCAAGGCCACTTCTCCCTATCGTAACGGTCTTCTATCCCATCTGCGCTCTTATCTGTGCGTATCATCCACTTCGTCGGTCGAGCACCGGGCATGAAAGCCTTGCAAGAGGTCGAGCACGTCTTGATTGAAGCCCAGTCTTTGGCCCACTTCGCGCGAGGTGTGATCTGTCGACCGCAAGTCACGCATGGCTTGGGCAAGAGAGGCGGCGAGGATGAGCTTGAGGCGGAGGACGCCATCGTGCGTGGTGAGCAGGTGGCGGTAGCGAAAAGTGGTGTTACTCGCGTCGTCGTCGTCGTCGTCGTCGCCCTCGTCACAGCAGTGTGAGGTCGATACGTCCTGGTACAGTTGCTTGCTCTTGACTGAACCCTTGCGCAGATCATAAGATGCCCCACCTCGTCTTCGGCCGTGACGTCGTCGATTGATGGAGCGTGGCGGGGCGTGTCGTGTCGTGTCGTGGCTGGGTCAGCGAGCGAACCGACCCGCCTCGACGAAACCGGGCAGACAGATGCAATCAAGACGAAGACGCGCTCGCGGCAGCGCCGCCGCCTGGCCCGAAGGAAGAAGCGCCGCCTAGTCCAGCCCACGGCCTTATCTCGCCGCCGCCGCCGAAAAGAGAGTCAGAGTCACCCGAGCGCCGACCTCGAGCTGGCTCCTTCCTCTTCTTCTCTCCTCCTCACCACCAACCAAAGCAACCCCTCCCGCTTTCTGCATGCTCTTTTCTGAACGAACGAGCGACGACTACATCATCATCAACGTCTTCAAGTCCAGCTCACTTTAAACGAGAAGACCAACAGCTTCCCTTTTCACTGCCATCACATCCACAATCATGCTCGCTCCTCTGCGATTTTCAATTCGCCAGGCGCCCGCCGCCAACGGCCTGGCTCGCTCCATGCTGGCGACTCGTGGCCTCGCTACGGCAGCACCAGTCACCTGGACTCCAGCACCCGAGTCCCAGCCGGCCTCGCTGCATCTCAAGTCCGGCCACTCTTGGTCGGGCAAGTCCTTTGGCGCTCAGATGCCCAAGCGCTTCGGCGAGGTTGTCTTCACCACATCGATTACTAGCTACACCGAATCGCTCACCGACCCCTCGTACCAAGGGCAGATCCTCACCTTCACTCAACCCCTCATCGGCAACTACGGTGTGCCCAACAACTTCACCGGCACTTCGCCCGTAGGCAACGCAAAGGATGTGGACGTCGGGTCCTTCCTGGAGAGTCGTGGGGTTCAGGCGGCAGGCGTCGTCGTCAGCAACCTGGCAGAGCGCTTCTCCCACTTCGAGGCAATCGAGTCCCTCGCCAGCTGGTGTGCACGACACAACGTCCCGGGTATCAGCGGCGTCGACACCCGAGCCATTACGACGTTGCTGCGTGACCAGGGTTCCACGCTGGGCGCGATCACCATGGGCGAAGGGCATGAAGTTGCTCCGGGCCAGGCAGACTTCACTGACCCTCAGACGGAGAAGCTCATTGAGCGCGTCTCGACGAAGCAACCCTACACCATCCACCCCGTCGGTGGAGCCTCTGCCGCTCGCGTGCACATCGCTCTGCTCGACTTCGGCAGCAAGGCAAACATTGTCCGCTGTTTGATCCGCGAGGGAGCCTCCGTGACCGTGCTGCCCTACAACTACGATTTCAACGCCGTGCGCGACCAATTCGACGGGCTCTTCCTCTCTAACGGGCCCGGATCCCCTTACTCCATCCCCGAGTCAATCGAGACGGTCAAGCGCACCATCGAGCAGTGGGACAAGCCCATCTTCGGCATCTGCATGGGACATCAGATCATCGGTCTCGCAGCGGGCATTGAGGCCTACCGCATGCGTTTCGGAAACAGGGGCCACAATCAGCCCGTCATTGCCCTCGCCTCCACGGGAAGCAGCATTAAGCGTGGCCGCGTCTACCTCTCGTCGCAGAACCACGGCTGGGCGCTCAAGCACCCTACGGCTGAGAAGCCATGGGGCAAATGGGATGTCCTCTTCGGCAATGTGAACGATGGGAGCATCGAGGGGATCTGCTCTTCGCCGGACTCGGGCAAGCAGATCTGGGGCGTGCAGTTCCACCCAGAGAATGCTGGGGGGCCGGACGACTGCCAGGGAATGTTCAAGGACTTCATCGATGTTGTTGAAGCGAAGACTGGGGGCAAGGGAGCAGGCAAGGGACTGGACAGCGGACTGTTGGCTCCCCCGCCTGAGGGACCATTTGGAGCTGTTTTCAAGACAGCGGACGAGTTGCGCGTTTAGCGGATGGGTCTAGTACGTATTGTTCTAGCATCTAATTACATTCATATCACTCTCTCAAAGCCGTGTGTCAATCTCTGCCGCCCAGACTGCCCCCGTTGGACGAGAAGAGGATTCCATCCTGTTGCCCGGTGAGATATCTGACCCCTCCCGTGACTGCCGCAGAGAGGAGGAAAGCTGCATCGAAGAGCGATCCAAAGACGACGTTGAAGTCTGGCAGGCTCGCGAGGAGTGGCGGTGACGTCGGCGACGGTTGGCTCACCGACGAGTCGGCAGGAGTTGCAGACGGATCGCCAAAGCTTGGCGGCAGCGACGCCCTCAGCTGGATGAGCGTGGCGAGCAGGTAGACGACGAGGACCTCTGCCAAAAAGAGCACGAGGAAGCTCGTCGACACGCCCGAGCTTGCAGCCCGGAAGAAGCGGGCGAGGACATTGAGGACCACACGTAGTCTACCCAGGATCAAGGCGCCCACGAAGAGGAGCGAGACTTGCTTGCTCCAGGTAGCCACATCCTGCTGTGGAATGCCGAGGAGTGGCTGAAGGACCCATCGTGCCAGAAGAGTCGAAAGGACATCCGGCGAGGACGAAGAGGACGTTGCAGATGCGTAGTTGTAGAAGAGCAGCGAGAGCAGCGCAATGAGCAGTCTCGTGACGCAATAAAGCGCAAAAGCATGGCCTATTGCCAGCCACAGCTTTCCCGGAAGGGTCGTATTGTACTCTGCCTCCTTTCTTCTGGCCTTGAGCTCGTCAAGCTCGTCGCGCATAGTAGCTGCGAGAAGGGAGAGGGAGCCCAGCTCGAGGTTGAGGGCCTTGAGCTCGCGATCCTTGCTCGTCCCACCACGGAAAGCTCGCCCCATACTGCCCAGCAGGCCGCCTGTCCCTGCCTCGGCGTCGGCGCTTGAGGAGAGACGATCGATCTCCCGCTTTGTACGTTGTAGGTCTTCGCAGGCTTTACGGAAGGAGGACTCTGCACTTCGCACGTCTGAAGGTGAAGGGTCTCGACGCCTCCCGCCTCCTCCTCTGGCCGCCAAGAAGGAATCCAGCGAATCCATCGTGGCGCCCATTGCTCCCGATCCGGAGAGGATGGCGATCAGGCTCACCCCGAGGACGGCTGTACGGGCCAGAGCAGATTCGAGGAGCGAGGCAGTTGTGTCGGTGAGGAGGGCGGAGGGGAGGGGCACCTTGAGGAAGAGGAGGAGCCAGGCGGCAAATGGGATGAGGGAGAGCGCTAAGCGGCGAGGGATTGCCGAGGCGCCTGCCTGGGGAAGGAGGGTGTAGGTTAGGAGGAGCGAGAGACCGAGAGCTGGAGGTGAAGGGTAGAGCATATAGTCAGCATACTGGTGGGTCAGCGGGAGAGGGATGATGGCTGGACCCACGTAGCAAGCAGACTGCCAGTCCAACAACGCCAAAGAGACTCCATCTCCATTGTGACTGCAGAACATCTCGCTCGAAGCCCATTGCTTCCATGAGGACCAGAACAAAGAGGATGATACCCTCCTCGAAGCTCAGCGCGAGGAGCAGAGCCGAGGGCGAGAAGGTGGAGAGGACTCGGGCCAGTAGGCTGCCATCGCCGGAGGAGCTGGAGCTGGAGCTGGCTGTGCCATTCGGTGTGACTGCGCTCAAGAGGCTGACTTTTGGTCTTCTTGAAGCTGTAGCAGGAGAAGGCAGCGTTCCCATCGCAATGGCGTCGCCATTCTGCATGGAGTCCCCATTCTCTTGTGCATCATCAGCATCCAGCGAAGCATGCTTGGCCTCGCCGAAGAGCCATGGAAGCAGCGTGAGCCGACAGCCTATGAAGAGGCCTGTCCGCACCAGCGGTACGAGAACATAAGCTGAGGATGTCATGTCATCGTCCTCCTGATGCGAAAAACAGGTTCTTAAAGTGGAGAAGGAGGGAATTGCAAAGACGCTACTTTCGGCTGCTCTCTGCTCCGTCTCGTTGGTCCTGTGCGGGGTCGGCCTCCGGTCCGAGAGAGATCAACGGATGGACGGATGGACGGATGTGCTCGACGCTCGACGGCAGCGGAGACCAAATTGGGCAATCGTGGGCGGCGGCGCAACAGACGAACAAGGGCGTCGAGATGGGAGAGACGGAGATGAGTTGCAGTTGGCGCTGAAGTCTCGCTGCTCCTCCCTTGCGGCAAGAACCTGAGCCTCGGGATCGATCCAAGCTGCCCTTCTTTCTCTCCTTCATCTTGACAACAACAAGGAGCGATCAACCATCTGGCAGCTCATAGCGGCGATTCCGTTCTGCACCGCCAACCTCTTCCACAGGGGCTCGAGCACAGACGCAGCACGGACCTCGAGCGCCGAGCACGCACGCACGAACGCACGAACGAGACGCGCCGCCTGCCCTCAATTCTACGCATCGCAATCGAAGCAAGCTCAATAGTAGATTGTTCCTCATCTCATCACCACTGCCGCAGAAGAAGGAGGCGATAGGCAGTCGCAATGAGCGGGCAGCATCCATACGCTCGCTTTGCCCCGCCATCAAGCAGTAGTTCTGCCTCTTCCTCGTCGTCCAACACTTGGGGTCGACCATCCTTCTCCCACTCTTCTACTTCATCTTTGCCTGGCGCACTGGGCATATCGTCCAGTCTAGATGGGCAACAGAAGCAGCCGCAGACGATCCCATTTGGCCTACCATCCGAAGCAGACATTGCTCGCGACAGGTCGCCCTCGAGATCTTCGCAGCATCAGCCACATGCAGGCTCGACGGCGGTAGGCGGGCCAGCCTTCTATACCTTGTCCTCAGATTCGTCCTCATCTTCCCTCCATGCACGATCATCCAATGCCTCTGGATATGGATCACAAAGAGGAATAGGAGGCCCATCCGCCGGCTCGGGCGCTGGAGCAATGGGAATTGCGGGATCGAGTCAGCGCGACTTCCTCGTTCCCATTGGGTCGACGGGAGCGAGGCAGAAATTGAGCATCCTTTCGCCTTCGCAGAGAAGAGTCGCCAGCAGTAGCGGATCAGCTGGCGCTGCTGGAGAGACAAGCACATCGAGTCAGTACAGCAGCCCGCTGAGAGGATCGAGTAGCGGTAGCGGCGCCGCTACTAGCGGCACCATGAGCGCCTCTTCATCAGCATCTTCACTTCCGAGCTCTTCGTCATACTCGATGCGACAGACAGCTTCGCAGTCGCCTACCACGTCGATTGATAACCGCAGAGACATGCTCACACCAAGCAGCAGTGCTGGTAGCAATCGACTCAAGAGTGCGGGGAGCAACGATTACACGGGCGACTCGTCCTATTCATCCACCTCAAATACCACGCCGCCCCGGCCAGCGAGGTCTGGGCAGCGTCAAGGGTCCATCTCCTCCCAAGCCTCCTCTTCGCAGAGCCACGCAACGAGCAGCAGCAGCGCAGCAAGACGTGACCTCGTCTACTCACCGCCGACCACTTCACCCACGCAAAGCCCGCCGTCGAGTCTGACCTACTCTTCAGGATCTATGGCAACCACGACGACGCCATATACTTCGCCTGCTCCTCACCCGTACGCTCCCTCTCCTGCGACGCGATCTCGCCCCTCTTTGCCGGAGGACTTCAGCGGGCGGCCCGACTGGAGTCGCTCAGATCCGCAACAAACCTCCTCGCGCGATGCCCCAAAATCAGAGTCACAGGACAACGGAGACGTCTTTGGCGGAAAAACTACGCCGACCCTTCGCAGTCGCGGCAGTGCCCTATCGAATGCTGGTGCCAAGCCTCGCTCCTCGCAATCATCCAACAGCAGCGCCCCCGTCACTCGCAATCGCTCTGTCACGCCGACGCAGGACAATCGTGCCGCTGGCATGGGACAGAGCTCCAGGTCGGCCGCAGATGCGGCTGCAGGGTTCCGTGGAGATGCGCAGGCTTCGCATTATAGGAGTGAGAGTGGGCCTGCTACTTCGCCATCGTCATGGAGCCGCTCTGCGAGATCAGAAGATCCGGGCATCGCCGCTACACAAACGTCCACCACGCCAGGCTCGACCTTCACGAGCTATGACACTCTCAACGAATCTGCGAAGAAGGAGAGTAGCGGTGGTATCAAAGGCCGTCTCGGTAAGATGCTAGGCTCCTCGAGCAAGAATTGCAGCAACAGCAGCATCAAAGCGAATAGCCACGCCCCGACAGCCAGCGACTATGGATCGAAGCCGAAGCAATACGTCTCGAGTGATTCACTGCGCAGCGGCATGGGGATGCGAAAGACGGAAAGCTCCAGCTCGATCAAGAGCATTGGAGGTAGTGGGCACAGGATGGGGAGTAGTGCGTCGCAGAGCACGTCGTCGCCTGGTCCCGCCATCCTACCGGCTGGAGGAACGGGCAGTCCTGCATCTTCATGGCGTGGAGGGTCAACAGGACCAGTGCTGAGCAGTCGCTCACGCTCAAATACGGCCTCATCCGCAGCTGCGAGCACATACTCTGATCGTGGACCATCAAGCTCAAACGAGTCTCCGCACAAGACGTCCAGCTCTTCGCATCTGCGCTCGCCTTCTGATCGTTTTGATGGAGACCCAACAGTGTCGAGCGATCTAGCTGGTGGACGTCTGTCAAGAGGAACGAGTGCTGACCATCTCGGTGGGTCATCAACAGCCGCCACAGATCCCTACGATCGAGACGCCATCGGCAAACCTGCGTTCCAGAGCGGCGACATTGACGTTGCCCCCGCCCTCAACCTCAATCTTCGTTCGACGGACTTCGGTGATCTGCAGTCGATGATGCCCGCATCGTACATGGGAACGAGGAGCGACCTGCTCGCGCCAGTGAGCACAGCAACGGCGGCTTCAATGGACAAGAGCCTCCCTCCCACGCCCAATGCCGAGTCTCCTCGCACTTCGCAGACTATCGAGCGGCCCGCAGAAGTACAAGCTAGTACGACGCCGCAGAGCGCCGCGCCTGCTGAGCGTCGTCCATCTGTTGCAGGATCCGCTACATCTCGCGTAGCTCCGCAAGTGGAGGCAGTCATGGCACCGGCACGTCTGCAGTCGAGCAGCTCACAGCAAGCGGAAACGGCTGTCACCAGCGGTCAAGATCCTCGCATGTACATCCCTCCCGGCGCGCTCAGCTTCAACCGCAAGGGAATAGCAGTTCGGGACAAGCCCACCAACGGCGGCTACTTGGGCCTCCCCTCCGACACTGTCAATCAGAGCCGCTTCTCCTCTTCGACGAACGATGTCGATTCCCTGAAGAGCCCAGCCCCCGGGGCACTTAGCGGACCCACCACATCAGGCACGCGATTGAGCTTGCGCTCCCTCGAGAACTCGACACAGGATAGCCACGACTCGGACTCTGGCGCCTTGGCGAATGGGCGGTCTTCCTTCCCGCCCACAGACTCGGACATAGATCGTGGCTCCCTCCTCCCCTCCTCCGCCTGGTCCGAAGTGGAATCCGCTCTGTACCGCTTCAAGGAAGTCGCTTCCCCCTCCAGCTCGGCTTCACCCACGCAGGCTGCGATGGACAAGGGAGCGCTCATCCGTAACGTGCTCCTTCCCTTCCTCGCGTTGGAGGCAGAGACGCCCAACCTTGCCGTCACTGATGGGAAGTATCGTTCGGCCAAGACGAGACGCGGACTCTTCTTCGACTGGATTGCCAACCTTCTGATCGAGCTTCAACGCGTCCAGACTTCTGCGGACCGTGGTGCAATCTTGGAAAGTATTGCGTGCATCATCGAGTCGCGCAACTTGAGCCCACAGGCGCTCAAGGAGGATGGTATGGATGAGGCCAAGTTCGGTAGCACCTTTGGTCACATATTGCTTTACGCTATCGGAGAGCTGAACAAGAAGGGCGTTTACCAGAATACGCTCATCTTCTCCGGCAGGCTGCTGGCGGTCGCCTTCTTCCGGGTCCCTGGGGTGGCGAGCAAACTGCTACGCGCATTACCCATCAATCGCTTTGCGCTTGAAAGGGTGGCGGCTGAGGCTGGCTGGGAAAGAGTGGTACCCACCCCCTTTGAGCTATTCAAGGAGAGCTTCCCGGAAACACTGAGGGAGTATTGCTTTTACGATGCGCGTTCCTACCTCAAGGTGCTCGACTCGCCCACAACAAGCAACGAGGACCGAGCTGGGCGCCAAGGTAACCCCGCGGACGGGGATGAGAGCGATGATGACGACCGCTTCCTCGTCCGTCAGCCGGAGGTGCAAGTCGAAATGAGCGGAAATTGGCTAAGACGCTGGCAGTCCGACGACTCGGAGCTCTTCTTCTCCTTCTGCCGATCCTACCATCGTCAGCTCGCTGGTCTTCTCACCTCCACGCAACGATTGCGCAAGATCTCGCCCCTCTTCTTCGGTGGGCCGGGCTACGCTCACCTGGCTACCTGCATCCACCTGAAGTGCTTGTCGCTGGTCAACCGCGACATCCTGTCGGTCACGACGCTGAGCAGCCAGAAGACGTTTAATCCAGGCGAGACGGCCAACGTCCTCTCTGGCAGCACGGCAGGCAAGCCCCGTCACCTTGAAGCGGCCAATCGACGCTGCACGGCAATCATCGTGGACATTGTCCGCGCCCCATCTGGGAACAACCAGGTCTTCGTCCCCATGTTGGGTGTGCACATCAAGTGCCTTGTGAAACGCACCTCCCTCTACGACGTGCAGGGCGTCTTCTGCCTTTTGGACTGGCTAGACGGCGTGCTAGGTCACATGGATGCAGCAGAGCTCTCCATCGAGGGGCTAGTGGATATCAACTTCGTCATCACCACTTTGGGTTTGCTCCTGGAGAAGGCAGACCACGCCCTCGCCCTGATGCGTGCAATTGCCTTCTCCTACAGCAACTTCGCCGTTTTAATCAGCACCGCCTCCCACCGTAAACGCTTCTGCGAAGAAATCCTCCTCAACCCGCGTATCTTCCAAAAGCTCTTCCTCTCCTGGTCCTTTACCATCCGTGCCTACTTCCTGCACCTGCTCGTCTTCCGCCTTGCCCGCATCGGGGATTTCCCGCAAGCGCAAGGGGACGACGAGGTGGGTGGGGGAAATAAGACGGCGGTGGAGATCGCGAGGGTGTTCAATGTCAGACTGGACGAGATCAGGAAGAGACACGAAGAGTTGAGTCCTGTCAGTCCGGGGAGTGCAGATGATGAGGACGAAGGAGGGGCGGATGGAGACGATGCCAAGTCGACGACTAGTCGCAGGCCGCCTTCCTTTGTCAGTACAATTCGCCGCACCCCGTCGATCGTGAATGTGGATGTATCAAGCGGCGGGCATGGCAATGCGACTGGGGCCAGGGAGGGCGGTGGCGGCGGCGGTGGCGGAGCTGGCATGACGAAAGCGGAGCGTGTGCTGGGCATTGGTGTGCCGGACCCTATCCTCGCTAACAACAAGGGGCGCAGCGCTTCAGGAGGACGACGCTTCGTCAGCAGCGAGGAAGACTCGTTCGGCGGGAATGGTGTGCGCGTGGCAGGTGGCAAGGGACAGTCGCGAGCGGCCAAGTGGCTCCGAGCTCTGGGAGGCAAGGGAGGCAAGAAGGGTGGCGGGAGCAGCATGGACTCCCCATCCGGTTCATCGACGTCCAGCTTCGGCGGAAGCTACGACAGTCCGCAGATCTCCAATCGGCCACGCTTTAAGCAGATGGCATCGCTCTCGGAGATGGACTTCAGCGACGATGATGACGAAGAGGGCGAGATGGGGGATGAAGACGACAACGACGATGACGATGCAGACTTGGATTCGCCTGACATCCCGCCAAACCCGCAAGCCCACAATGCTGTCCTTGACCCTTCCGCCCCCGCCTCCGGCTCCTCGGGCATCGACCCCACGCTGCACGGAGACAACATCGCGATGGATACGACGTTCGACCTCCAATCAGGCCAGAGTGTCGTACCCGCGACAGGCGCTGCTCCTTCCTCGACCCTCGGCGCAGGTGGATCGGCCACCTCTTCCCCACCGCGGATGCCTCGTGCCTTCTCGAAGCGCACCTCAATCCTGCCCGGCCCAGCTTACGATCTCGTTGAACACGATGAGGAGCAGCGTGGCAAGATCCAGGCTGATCAAGCCAAGGTGATGACGGCGCAGCGCAATGGGTACGCTCAATCGCAGCACGTCTACGCCACGCAAGGGTTGAGGGAATGGGAGGCGGTGCTTGCGGAGCACGACGAGTTTTTCGCTACCATGGCTGATGGGAACGGGCCGCCGGCTGTCCCGAGACTGCCGGTGCAGTGGCCGGCTATGTGGTCAGATTGAGGTGGGTTGATGAGAAGGGGTAATGTGGAGATATGGGGGTTGAAGCTGTACATTAGGCAAGGGGATGTCTGGGCGCGGTCACACTTCACTTCTATCCATGTGCATTTATCGTCCTCAATTTCATACCCATCTTGCCCTCGTTACCTAGCTACCAAGGCTTGATCCTCTCCCACCATCCGACACATCTCACCCACCTTCTCATCCCCTCATACCTGATTGCAGGCCCCAGATCCGCCCTCGTCATCCTCCACAATCGCTCATTGTATGCCCGGTACCTCTTAGCGTTGGCATCGAGCCAGGCGGAGTAGAACGGAGCAAGTAGAACGGCCTCATCTCCACCCGTTCCTGTGCCTTCAGGCTGATGCTGCTTCCTATAGGCATCGAGAGCCGCAGTGTATCGTCGATTGTTGTCTGACCAGAAGCGTTGTGAGAACTTATCGGATCGTGAGCGGAGGAGGTGGTGGGTGAGCTCGAGGGACTCGAGGCGTGAGAGGAGGGAAAGATAGTAAGGAGATGGTGGTCGAAGAGCTCGTGACCGGGAGGAGGATATTGATGAAGGGAGGGAGGATGAAGCAGTGGGCGTGGTCGTGAATTCGGACGTCGAGTATGGGTGGTGGACTTCCTGTCTTGCAAGCTGCGGCGCGTGGTTGCTCGTCGAGGCTGCTTGTTGGGTTGAAGAGCTCTCGGCTTCGACAGCAGTGAAGGCGCTACCGTAGATGACGGGACGCAAGTTGCTGACTGGATCTGGTGGGCCTACCAGGTCTGCCCCGGGTCGTGAAGAGAGGGTGCGAGGGGCACGCTTTCTCCTCGGCGGGGGAGGTGCTGCCTGTGATGAGGATAATGAGGGCGAAGAGGACGATGATGCAGTGGTGTACGCTCGCATCGAGTATGCTATTGATGACGAGGAGGAAGGCATCAGCCTTGCACTGGAGCGAAATGAGGTCATGATGGCAGGAGTGATGGGAAGGAAGAGATTTCAAAGATTGAGCGAGCGACGGACGGACAGACGAGCCAAGCCAGGGCGGGAGTGAGCCGAGGGCGGAACTGGCTCACGCACGACTTGAACAAGCTTGAATTCAATTTCGCATTGACCTCCATCTTAACCTCTAATCCTCACGCAGCGCCATCATGTCCTGCTCTCACGAACATCACGGCCACGGCCACGACGGGCATGGCCATTCCCACGATGACGACTCTCATCTCCTACCAGACGAGTCCCCCTCCGACCTCCTCTTCAACTGCATCGATCTCCCCCAAGTCTCATCCCTCAATACCGACTCCTCCACCTCTGCCAATTCAGTCATCAAGCCCTGGCACATGCGACTCGATGAGGCCCAGTCACTGAGCAGCGATGCAGACGACCAGCTCGTGCTTCGTATCCCCTTCTCCGGTGCCTGCAAGCTCAAGAGTCTACTTCTCAAGACAGGGCCAGGGGGTGAGACACCCACCAGCATAGCCCTCTTCGTGAATGCGGACCCACCCTTGGACTTTGGCGATGATTTGGATGCGAGGGCTGAGATGAAGGTTGGGAGCAAGGGAGCGCCGAGTCAGGTGCTAGAGCAAGTGGCCGAAACGAGGGACGTGGTTGAGTATCCGCTTAGAGTGGCAAGGTTCAGTAGTGTGAGGGATTTGACGCTCTTTGTGAGGGGAAGTGTTGGCGGAGACAAGAGTACCATCTTCTGTGAGTAGGAGGGGAAGGGACTATGACTGGCTTGATGGAGCTGACGAGCGAGTCGCTCCTCCCCGACTTCCCTCGTTGCCTTGCTCAGACGTCGGTCTACGAGGCGAGAGCACCAACTACACCCGCGAAGCCCCGTCCAACCTCATCTATGAAGCGACCCCGCAGCTCAAGGACCACAAGAAGGTCCCTGGCACCGAATCTGGAGCCAACCAGCTTGGCCAATAAACTCTCACGACCGCCCTGACGAATCTGTATCATCTTTCATCTATTGTACAGCATCTGAGGCCCTCAAACCGCTTCATCTCCCCTGCTTGTCTCGCCTCCTCTCCTCGACCAGCTCGCTCAACACCTGCGCCACTCTGATGACACAGTCGTGCACCATCGCCTTCTGTCGGCCAACCTCGCTCAGTGAGGCGTATAGGGGGGAGGAGAAGAAGCGGTCGGGGTGGAAGACGAGGAGGGCTGTACGAAGCAGGTCTTTGGGTGGAGAAGAATCTTCTTCGTCACCCGCTGTGGTGTCATGTTTCCGCCGCTTCGCCTCCTTCTTTTGTCGACGAGCCAACCAGTCCGGGTAGCCTTCCGGAGCCCCCTCTGGCCCGCCTACAAGGAAGGACGCTATGCTCTCCTTGTCTAGGCGTAGTGGCTGGTCGTCCCTCGGTGGTCGCACAGGCCAGGCGATGTCGCTGAAGTAGGTTGAGCCCTCCTTCTTGTCTGATCGCTTTGCCTCTGCCCATCGACGAGCCCATTGCTTGCGCTCCTCGAGCAGGTTGTGGTATTCTTCACATTCGGCTTTCGTCCTGCGGCGTTCCGCCTTGGCCTTGCGCCTTTGAGCTCGTTCGCTGGCCTCATCTTGAGCTCGGCGCTTCTCTGCCTTGATGCGATCTTCTTGACGACGGCTCATCCTCGGCGTGCTTCGATCATCATCATCGCCTCTTCCTCGCTTACGGCGCCGACTCTCCATGCCCTCGCGCAGCCACTCGGCATACTCTTCGTCGCCCATCCTCTCAGGCGCTCGGCCATCTAATTCTCCCGCTTGCTGCCATCGACGAGGCAGCGCCGAAGAGCCACCGTCGTGTAGGTAGGCACTACGCGTCGTCCCATCAATGTCGTCCTCTTGTCCCAAGTCGTGCAGCTTCTCGCGCCAGTATGCCTCGTCGTGGGCGGTATCTAGGGAGGCGGCATTGCGCTCTGATGTGTCCAGCACGTTATCATTGTTGTAGTCCTCATCGTATGTGGACCAACCAGGGGCCATCCCAGACCTCCAGGTCGAAAACGATGGTGCGCGGATGGAAGTTGAAGGAGAGTCGTGAGTAGGGACGTGTGGTTGTGCGGATGGGAAATGGAGCGGAATCGCAGCCCGTTCCTCGAGTCTCAAATTTCAGGTGTCCCGTGCGTCCCTCAAATGTGTCGATTTTGGCTGCGAGACGGCTTGGCTGAGCGCCGACTCGCAGCCAGGGCAGTGGAGGACAGTCAAGCTGTGCTGCTGCCGCCTCGCGATGAGGCCTTGGATCCGAGACGAGACCCAAGCCGTCATTCATCATCCAATCGGCTTGCCCCTGGGATGGAGCGGGAGGCAGGAGCGGTTCCTTTCTCTCTTCTCTTCACCATCACAGCTCACCATTTATCGAAGCGCAGCAGCATATCATCGCTGTTGACATCAAGGAGAGGAAGTAGGCTAGCAGACGTTGCGCAGCAACTAGCTCCTAGGGGCTCGAGCTCGCACTCGTAACCCTCTCGTCCTCCCGTGAAGCGACCCACCCCAGCGTCGAGCTCAACGCATAGCATCGAGCCGGCAATATGTCTACCTCCCATACCACCTCTCTTCAGCCGAACGCGGCGACGCCTACGATCAATCTCCCCATCGAAAGCCCTCCCTTCCTCGCAGATAGCGACGATGAGGACTCGCCGCCACCACGCAGCTCCAACCTGAACAGTGTCCAAATCGACACCCATCGCCTCGCTCTATCTGACTACCTGTCGCCTTTCTCCGCCGAAATCGAGCGCGTCTCTGCGGCTCATCGATCCGTCATCAGCAATCGTGGCCGAGGAGGGGGCCAGACCATCGAAGGCGCCTCCGGCTCGGCGGCCAGGCTTAGCAACGCTGAGACCACGGTTCAGTCTCAACCGGTCTCTGTCTCAACGGGGACGGGATTGCGTCGTCGGACTGCGAGCCGAGATGTGAATGTTCGCGGTACAACGGTCGGGGATGGACCAACTACGAGCGGCGAAGGAGGCGATGCATCTCATCACCCGAACTCGATCAGCGGCGCAGATATGATGAGCCGCAGCTTGCCCAGCGGAAGCGGCGTCAGTGAGATTCTCTTCCCACGCAGGGCATCAGTGGTCGACATGCCTTCCTCGTCCAACACCAGCTCATCCTCGGTCAAACGCTCCTTCGACGAGGCCGCCATTGCTCCGTCCAGTCTCGAATCTCCGCATGCCAGTCCTACCGCATTACCTTCATCGTCTCGCACTGTAGAGCTGCGTGACGTGGTAAATAACTCCGGCGAAGGCTCTAGCTCCGCGGTGACGCGTCGCCGTACCTTTACCAGTGGATCCGAAGGCGTGGCCAGGAGGGTACGAACTGTCTCCTCTTCGTCGTCGAGGTACAAGCGACAGAGGTCTGCGCGGAGAGAGGAGCAAGAGACTGGGCAAGAGATCGGAGAAAGCTCCAGTAGTGGCGAGTCTCCCTCTCCATTCTCCAGGAGTATGCCCCCTCCCTCTCTCCTTTCATCAGCAACAGCTGCCATCAATCCCTCCTCCCATATCCTCTCGCGTTTCCCTCCTGCGTTGGCCATCCCAGGTGGAGCAGGAAGAGACGCTAGCGCGCCTCATAGCTCGCAACACGGCGACTCCCAAGCGCGAGTAGAGGAAGACCAAGACTTTGCTGCCTCTATCCTCAGCTCGCCACCTTTCCTGAGACCGTCCGATGCAGAGCACCTTCCCCGTCCGGCGACACCGCCAGCGGCAGTGACGACAACGACAGCATGGTCTTCGGCCATCTCTATTCCCACGCCGGCAGTTCGTGCTGCCACTTCTTCTAGCTCATCCGCTCCCATCAGTCAACTGACGGAGCGTCGCGATCGTGAGCGCAGCGTTTCCCCACCGCAAGCAGCACAGGGACAGAGGGTTCCTTCCCTTGCCTCACTCAACCTTCTCTCCGGATCGAGCTTGCGTGTCGCGTCTGCTCAGATGGATCGTCAGCTTGCCCAGCTCCAGGACGAGGTGCGCGCCACTCATCGGTATTTGGAGGATTGGAGGCATACCCACCCGGACATCGAAAGCACCGCAGAAAGCGCAGCTTCGCCGAGCATTCTGGCGGCGACGGGGAGCAGCAGCCGCGGAACAGACCCAGAGCCCCCGACTCGCCCTGCTGGTGAGGCCAGGGAGAGTCTCACTGCAGTGGCGAACATGCTGCAGGACCAGAGGAGGAGGATTGCAAGGGCCGTGGGAGAGGCTGAGGCTGCGCAGAGTGAGGCAGAAGCTGCGCGCGATGATGCAGTCGGCGAGGACAATGAATCTACGAGGGCTGAGGACGGCGATCAGAGCTTCGCTACCGCGGAGGAGAACTGGCCAGAGTACGATATTTTCGAGGAGGCTGCCCAGGAGGTTGTGAGCAGTGGGATCACGACTACTTCATCATTCTTGCCCTCGCCAGCTTCGGATCGCGAAGTCGCCATGACTCACAATCCCATTCAGGGGCGCAGCGAGGATTTCGCGGCCTCTGATCATTCAGAACGCGCCAGGCGTCGCAGCGCTCTACAGGTACTTCAGGAACGTAGAGCTACCTCCTCCTCCTCTTCGGTGGACAGCGCCGCCAGCACCGGTGGCACGAGTGCTCCATCAATGCCCTCACCTACGAGCATTGCACCACACCACCGTCCCCTCTCAATGAATCTGCAAGACCCGCGTCTGGAGCTCACATCCGAGCTGCACGTACAGGGGGTGCCGGCGGAACGTCGGGGTCCACCTTCACTCCCAGTGAACACGCCCTTGTCACAGTCTCAGTCGCAGCCTCGATCCCATCTCGGGCAACAGCCATGGTCAGCGCCGCGCCTGCCGGATTTGAGGGCTACGTCGCCTTTCGGATCGCCGTTTGGAGCTGAGCGCCGAGAGGCACCTGTGGACACCACGCATCAGCAGAGAGAAGGTCGAGGAGATACGATCGGATCACCTCTCCCTTCATCCGCTACCGAGGCTCAAGATAGCAGTAGGGCTCATCGCTTTTTGCCAGCTTCAACGTCATTGTCACGCCCTCCTCTTCTGCCTCTGTCGCTTCCGAGCTTGCAACGTGATCAGCCAGACAATTCAGCTGCAACCTCGATCTCTACCTCTTCGAGCTTCACGCCGATAGACTCAGTGCCTCGTCCACCCCAGACAAGCGGCGCAGCCGGCAACTTCATTGCGCAACAGGCTATGGAGACCTCAGGGAGGAGGGATAGCGAGTCAACGCCTCGCCTACGCTCTTTGAGGATTGGGGCTACGCAGGACCAGGAACCATCTTCCGTAGCACCTCAGCCGAGTGCTTCTGCCTCTTCAACTGCCAGGCTCGACCTCTTCGCCCCGCAGATGGAGCGCACGTATCAAACTCATCGTACCGTGCAGCCGTCGCGAAGTCCAAGTCCTTCCTCGCGACTGCGTCGCTGGGGTATGGTCTCCGCTGGGCTGGAACCTTCATCGTCATCGTCGTCATCCTCTTCGAACCCTGTCAATCGTCCTCGCTCCTACTCTCGCGACTCAGGCATCCTGCCCTCGTCCATCTGGGACGGGAGACGTCCTGTTCCGGTGCTTGGCCCTCAACCTGCTCCTCCTCGCGCCGATGCAGTGGATCCAGGGCGATCCAGGCCCAACCCTGACGCAGGGCTCTCCATGAGCGGATTGATGCATCGTCAACACCAGCGCCTCGCCGCCGCTGCTGAGGCTTGGCCTGGCCAGCCCCAGCCCCAGCCTCAGCCTCAGCTTGAGCAGCAGCAGCAGCAGCAGCGAGGCAGAAGCGCAGCCACGGCTCCCGTAGCCGAGCAAGAGAGGGACGGCGTCAGGCTGAGCATGCAGACTCCACATGACTTGGACAGGGTTGCTGTGAGGATTCATACAGGCGATGCTCGCGAGGCCAGCCTTGATCGAGGCGCAGCGGCTGAGAGCAGTAGCGTCGCTCAAACGGAGCCGCTCAGAGGCGACCAGCAGGCTAGCAGGGGGGCCGCCGCTGAAGGAGGTCAGGACGTGCAGAGTGGGCATAGGAGCAACGACGCCAGTCATGCTGAGGGTAGAGTCTTAGACTGGCGTCTCGAGTACTTTGACTTTGCCGATCATGATGAGCCGCGTGCGCGGTCTCCAACGACTCCCACTGCCAGTCTCGGTGCCGCTGCGGGCAGAATTACAGACGACCGGGAGCCTCACTTCTTTTACCTCGGACGCTCCTCAGGACAGGAGGCACGCGAACCAGGCTCTGCCTCTGCTAGCACCAACTCACTGCGCAGATCCCGCAACAGCACGATCTCACCATCCTACGTGGCCGATTCCCCTCCCTTTCAACGAGCGGAGAGGTCTGCTTCGCCGGAACTTCCTTTCTCTGCAGATGACGTGGCGCAATGGGCTATTCAAAGCGGCAACGAGACGCGCAGGGCTGCAGGTATGCGCCCTTGGCCGGACAGGACGAGAGAGGTACCACCACAGGCTGCTTCAACAAGCTCGAGACCAAACGCTGCGGGGATGCGCACGGCTGCGACTCCAAGATCCGCAGCCTCTCTGAGTGGGTCGCGCAGGTACGGTCAGCTGACGGACGGCTTTGCTGGGTTCTACAATCGGCCGGAGAATCGCATCGCAGCCAGCAGGAACAGCAATGCCAACGACAGTGGAGCAAGTGTCGGTACTGCCTCCAGTCTGCGTCGCACTACCGCCTCGACCTCCCGCGACCACGCCGCAGACGCCCACTCACGTCGCCTTGCCCACTTCGGCCGCGAGTACGCACAACTGCGTCGCTTCCTCGCACGAGAGCGTCTTAGTGGCGGCCTTCCTCCTCCCGATGACCCGGCTCGCGAGCTCGGCCGTGCTTTTGGTCAGCAAATCTGGGACGGGGTGACAGCCGAATTTGCTTCTGCCGCGTCTAGCAGTGGTGCCGGTCGAGGAGGCGAGACTCGACACAGCGAGCGGGAGTTCCTCTCGCAGATGCACAGGCAGAATTACGATCTCTTCTCACCTGATGAGCTTCACCGCGTCCTCAACCATGGACACTCTGCGGCCGCAGGCTCTGCAGCGGCGGATCCGGCAAACTACATCGACGATGACGACTTTGCACACTTGGACTCTTATGAGCAGCTGCTCCACCTCGGTAGGACCTTGGGCGAGGCGAGGCCAAGAGGAACATCGCGGCGCGTGGTAGAAGAGTTGAAGGTCTTCACTTTCGGACAGGCTCAGGCTGCCGCTGCTGCCAGGGAAGGCAAGGCAGCTCCAGAGGACGCTACCGCTGATCCGGAGCCGGTCAAGATCGACATCAAGGGCAAGGGCAAGGCATGCGATTGCAATTGTCCAGTGCATCGTGCCCGCGCCGACTCTCAATCGACGTCTGTCGCGCCCTCATCTCTCTCCGCCACCTCGTCCTCGGCCCCCACCTACGACGTGGGCCCACACTGTCCGATCTGTCTCGACGAGTATGCGAGCACAGATCTGCTTGCCGAGTCGTGGTGCGGGCGCCATTCCTTCCATGAGAAGTGCCTCAAGCGATGGGCCAAGGATGCCAAGAGCTGTCCGATGTGCAGGGAGAAGGCGCCTGCGAGGACGGGCATGAGCGACGAAGAGCGTGATGCGAGGCTTCGAGCGAGGGAGGAGAGGAGGGAGGCGAGAAGAGATTCGAGAAGGGGCGAGAGTCGCATCGCGTAGGGCGAGGATGTCGCGAGGAGGGATGCGGAAAGGCGGTGGAATGCTGTGACCTTCTCACAGTGGGAGCAATCCTAGGCGCGGGCGAGGATGGACTTTCTCTCACGCTATGTCGCTGATACTTCGATGCTTTCATTCGCGATGAGATTCATTGAGTAGATGAAATATGATTCATGAGACACTCGAACGCGACTCGATACTTTGCTCTCGGCCTTAGTCGCACGCGTCGTACATGTCGGCCTCCTCATCATGGCACCCCATAGTCGTCTGGCCGTTGCCATGGCCAGGTGATCCTCGGCTGAAGATGACCCCAGTGGTCTCGCGGAACAATTTTGTACTCTTCTCAAAGAAGTCCCACAGGGCCTCATCGTCTTGCTGCAGCTCTTTGTTCTGCTCCTCCAAGCCTGAAATCTTGACCAGCGCCTCGTCTCTTTCCTCCTGCACGCTTTGGAGCTCCTCGTACGTCGCAAAGCGCTCCGTCTGAAGGCGAGTGTGCTCCCTGCCCTCGGCAAGGAGGGCTTGTTGATTGGCCAGTCCCCACGTCTCGGCCTGGTCCCTTTGCTTCCTCACCTCCTCGAGCTGCTCCTCAAGCTCGCCATTCTTCCACGCGAGCTCCTCCCTCTCCCCGCTGAGCGTTGCATTCTGGACGCGAAGGGCCTCGACCTCGAGGCGCGCCTCGTCGAGGTGCTCTTGCAAGACCTGGCGCATGTCACGGGCGAGGCGGAGCCTGCTTCCGACGTATGCTACCGGTATGCCGTCGCTTGCGGTGCGTGCGCCCTCAGCATATCCCTTCCAGTATGCTGCGCGGTCCTCGTCGAGCTCCATCGAGCTTGACGCGTGGTACAGCGAGCTACGATTTCGGTGCGAGTAGGGATTGTAGCGTGCTGCGACGCGGTGGAGTGGGCCACGGCCGGGCTCGTCGAAGCGAGGTTGACCAACGTTGCGAGCCTCCTCTGCGGAGCGAAGGGGAGACGCGGACCGAGGAGGAATTGGGAAAGCGGCCCTCCTCTCTTGGCTGATAGCTTGGTCCCTGACCCATGTGGAGAAGGGGTAGACCTCGCTCGTTGGAGTAGGCTGGCGCAGGCTAGACGGAGGCGAGGGAATGGAGGACGGGCTTTCGCCTTCGGGTCTGGTTATTGCGGCCATTATGTCGGCGAAGTTCTGCGGAAGGGGAGGGGTACTCAAGCTCGACATGGCGGATCGAGTTGCAATTAGCGGTGGGGAGGGAAAGGAAGAGGCAAGAGGGGGAGATCGCTGCTCGAGTTCATCATTTGGCCCCGCCGACATCTTGGTCCCGACTGAAATATAAGGAATTGGTACCGAGCTGGCGACGCGTTGATGGGGCGCGTCGATTGCTTCCGCCCGTCACAATACGTCACAGACTGTATTTGGATCCGCACAGATGAGCGTAGAGACCAAGGATCGGCTTAGAAGATGATCATATTTCGATGGCAAAGACGCGCTATTCTCTGGAACATCACGAAAGGTCGCAAGCCCGATACCTCTCAGGCATGACCAGCGCGGGCTTCCTGTCCCAGTAGGACCTCTCGCGCTCGAGAACCCTTTGCCAAAAGAAGATCTGGACGTCTTCCTCCTCGTCAGCACGATACTGCCACTTCTGTTGCTGCTCTTCGGGCTGAGGAGAAGCTTGAGAATCATTTTGCGCATGGGGCTGATGCTGAGGTGAAGCTTGAGGCTCAGGCTGCGATTGGGGAGGGGGCTGCATCTCTACCTGAGGCTGCGCTTCAGGCTGAGACAGTGGCTGAGGTTGCAGATGCGACTCCAGCTGCGACTGTGACTGCGTCTCCTCGCCAGGCCCAGCACCTAGCGTCTCGTATCCACTCTTCAGTGGCCAGAAGAGATCCTCTGCTCTCCACTTCGCTCTCCGTTGAACCCGATTCCAATAAGTCCCCCACAACGCGTATATCCTCGCCAATGCCCCGCTCCCATTCGCCTCGCGCACCTTGACATGGCCATATATCTCGCAGAGCTTGTTCACACAGTAGATCGGATGCCCATCCGGCGTGTAGCCGCAGGGAATCTCTTCCCTCGGGGAGAGAGGCGTGGGCAGGGGCATGTACCCTGAGCTCGGCGAAGCGATGTGCGGCACAGGAGTTGGCAGCGCTGGATTGAAGAAAGGCAGAACGAGGGACGGCCAGATGGGCGGGCGCGTAGCTGGAGAGGCGGGAGGAGCACATTGATGATGGGCGTCAGGACTGATTGCTCCAGTCGTGCGATGGCGAGGGGCGATGGTACTCGACCTGTCATCTTGGTGTTCGCCAGCCCATCGCTGGCGGTGAGGTCGCCAATCGTACCCATGTTCGGGTCTGTATCGGCGAGCAGGTTGGAAGTGAGCTTGGCTTGCCACGCTGACCCCTGCTGAAGGAGCGTTCGCACAGAAGTCGAGCAGCGTCGAGTGATGGTAGTGCGACCAGGTCAAGTCGTGTTGCAGCGCATGCGTAGGAGGACTGTCGGGCGTGTTCCTCGTGCTTGCCGCGTCATGACCAGTGCCCCATGCGTCCACGCTCCTACATTCAGGCTCTTGCGCCTCGACGGCAGCAAAGGAAGCCACCATGTCAGGAGAAGTCTGCAGCGTCCCCCATCGGGATGGTGCTCCCACTCCTGCTGGGATGGGCTCGCTCTTGGGGCTATACTCCTCGCTCGTCTCGCGAAGACGACGCAAAGCTTCCACGGGATCGAGGGTGGGGCTGAGCGGACGCGCGCCAACGCCGGTATGCCGTAGAGGTGCGAGGTGGATGAGAGACTCAGGCTCGGATTGAGCAGCAGGCTGTGCCTGGTGTTGCGGCTCAGGCTGAGGCTGAGGCTGACGCTGTGAGCCCGGCTGCTCTCGCTCTCGCGGCATAAACGTCGAGGGAGGCGCTGCAGGCAGGACGCTCTCGAGGCGCGAATTGGAGATGGTCACGTCGTGGTCCCAGTTTCCAAAGACGGGCGCAAGGCCCTGCGGCTCGCCGGGATGGTGAAGATTGCGATGCTGGTAGTTGGCAACCCGCGAGCGAGGGTAGCGATAGCTGCTGAAAGAGGGCGCAGCGGCCGAATTAGCCGCTCTTCGTTGCGTCGAGTACATCGCTGTTGTGAACGGTCGAGAAGAGGAGGAGGAGGTGTGTATGGTGGCGACGGTGAGGGTATTGTAAGGCGCACAGCATCCATCCGCCTCCTTTCGATGTTGGCTCCGAGCGCAAGCTTATTTGCTCGCGAGACATCTTGGAAGTTGTGTTTCACCATGAGAGGATCCTACGCAACACCAAAACAAGCTGCGACGCGTCACTGTGTCACTTTGTCTCACACGAGGCGTCGTTGACGTCTGGTAGCGAGCAGAGCGCGCCGGAGAGACTGCGGCTAAGCGCAGTTCGAGCCGTAACGAGAAGCCGAGTTATCACGGCCATCTATTCGCTTCAGCCTCGCGGCCCGGTATCTATCTACACTCATTCACTCACTCAGCATCCCCTCTCATCTACGCTTCGAGGAAATCATCCAAGTCCCTCTGCACCATGCGCATATACCTCTTGAGTCCCCTGTTCATCCCCAAGAACAAACAAGCCACGCTCTCCACATGTCCCAACTTCCTGTACGCCCTCAGCCTCACGTGCCCGACGCCGATTCCCACCAGGAGAGTCTTGAGAAGGGTGCTCTGCTCGATGGGAACGACGGCGTCTTGTCCTCCGTGAACGAGAAGGACCTTGGGCGGCAGTAAGGTTGGGTCCACTAGGTTCTTGGCTGCGTATAGCAGGTGGGCGGGGGAGTGCAGTAGACATGACGTGTGGCTGGGCCCGCAAGAGCGACGCAGCACGCTCAAGTCTTCAATGCCGCGCTCGGTCTCGTTGCGGAACCCCTTGATGACGTCGCTGATACCGGAAAAGAGGATCAGACCCGCCACAGGAGGGACGTCTATCTCTGGCGCATAGATGTTGACGCGACGTAGCCCGTTGGGGATGGGGATGTCTAGCAGGTTATCGTCGCTGTCCTCCTGCGGGTCAATCTCGTCGTCTCCACGGGAGGGAGAGAGGTCGCGGGACCAACGCTTCTGCTGGGAGGAGAGGTAACGCTCTCTCCTGCTGGTCGCTGATCCGGGTGTGGTGGGGAAACCCATCATCCCGCCAGCGGGCGTATGAGAGCCAGAGGGGGAGGGAGCAGCTGGCGAGGGAGGATAGGTCTGCTCACCGGCCCCGTCTGTGCCGAGGGCATCCATCTGCTTTGCTAAGCGTTTGGTTGCACGAGCCGTGCTCTCGTTCACGGATGACTTGGACTTGAATGGCGAAGAGGCGGGGAGGACTATACCTGGAGCCAGGCCGGTGGAGGCGCTCTCCTCCACCGAGGTAGGCTCGTCTACCCAAGCGTTCCCGCCTGCGCCGCCGGAGTTGTTGGCAGAGCCCTCGTCCTCTTCATCGGCGTCGTTGACGTCTGGATGCGCCTTGGACGAGCCCGCCACCTTCATCTTTCTGGGTGGGCTCGAAGGCAAGCTACTGCTCGCAGCCCTTGCGGCTGCTGCTGCCGTGTATCTTCGCCTGTCCTCTTCCTCCTTCTGCCATCTCTCCTCGATCGCCGCCTTCTGCTTATCTCTGTACGCCTGCGCCTCCAGGATACCTTCGCGACTGAGCACAATTGCCTCTTGCGTGAGGGTCAGAAGCGCAAGGTGAGCGGATAATCCATGCCCCATGAGATGGATGCGTTCCGGATCCCCACCGAAGCGGGCGATGTTCTCCCCCACCCAATTGAGGACGAGTCGCACGTCAATAATGGACTCGCGAATACGCGATTCGGGAAAGTAGGCGAGGTCTGGAATGACGACACAGTGGCCCATTCGGCGCAGACGCAGCGCGAGTTGGAGGTAGGTCTTGCGCTTGTTTGTCCACAGAATAGGCGGGATGGCGCTGGGGAGGAAGACGATGACTGCTGCTCCTCGCTGCGGGCGATTGGGCGCGTGAGGGGAGTGCGATGAGGCGTCGGGATGATGGTCGAGCATGGAACCATCTGGACCGACGGCGGGAGGTGGCTCATTGAAGAGGGTCGAGTGCTTGCGATGTCGCTTACCGAAGGAGGTGGACTTGCGGGGTCGATCAGGGGAGGGAACCGCGGAGGGGGCATTGCTGCGTGCTGGAGGGAGATAGACGTCTAGGCGCTTGTCTGAGCCTGCGGGGCCGTACGGGATCGCCTCTCTGCGGAGGAAAGGGCAGTCAGCCTTGAGAATCCAACGCCATCTCGGTCCTCGCTGCGCACTCACTTGACTACTGCAGCTCCCGCCGTCGTACCCAGGACCATCACCCTCCTATAGCTCCAGTCCAGAACCGCAGGCAATACAAGCCTAACCGCCGTGCTCGAATAGAGGAGACCCGCCCACGTCACCTTCAAGCACTTGAGAGGTGAGTAAGGCAAGAAGGGCAGCACCCTGTTAAACGTCGAGTCCGCATGTGGCGCATCGGCTTGCGCGAGGACGAGGTATGTGAACCATGACAGCGAATAGACGAGGAGGAGTGACAAGAGGAGGAAGAGCGGGATGGTCACGAGGCTGACAAAGGGGATGGCGCACGAGATTGCGAGGAGCGGCCACGCTGGTACACCTAGAGCTATGACGGGGAGAAGGGAGAAGCGGAGGAAATTGCCTGTCCAGCGTGATAAGCGGGGTGGGCGACGGGCGGGTGCCGAGACCTGTGAGGCCATGCTTGGCGATGTTGATGGACGATGGGTCGTGTGGTGATGGTTTGGACGGGAAGAGCGGGCGAGCAAGTCGAACCAAGCTTTGAAAGTTGAGCGCAGGTGTTGATCTCGCCCTCGCCCTCCCGCCCGCCAGTTCGGCTCGCCTCGCAGATTGCCTCGCATGTGAGACCGACCGGGCGGGACGATGAGGCACGCACGCACGAGGGGGCCCGCTCGCAGCTCGACGGCTGACGGCGATGAGAAGAGGAGAATTGATAGATTGAATTCGAGGTTCAGCAGTCTTGGAGAGATACTTCACCTCCATCATCGCCCAGCTAGAGCAACCCGTTGCCCGCCGCCAATTCCTGATGGCTCCTCCACCCGCTCTCCCCCACCAGCTCCGCCAGCTGCCCAACAAGCGTGTCGCTCCCCTTGCCCTCCAGGAAGCGCCGGCTGCTGAAGATGTACATATGCTTCTTCGTCCTGCTGAGCAGTACGTTGGTCCTCCTCTCGTTTGACAAGAAGCCCTGCGTATGCCCATCCATATCCATTCCATCCCTCACCAACGAGATGATGACCGTCTCTGACTCCTGCCCCTGGAAAGAGTCGATGGTAAAGACGCAATCCTTCCAGGGCAGGGCAGCAGTCTTGAGCATATTCTCCACGTAGTCCCTCTGGCCCGTGTAGGGGACAATGACGCGGAAGTCGAGCGTGTGGTCGTCGAAGTGCGCCTCGATAAAGTCTCGCATCGCGGCTGCCTCGCTCTCGTTGATGAAGGAGTTGGCGCGCTTGTCCTCCCGGCCGCTGTCGATGTCGAAGAAACGGACCGTGGTCTGCAGAGGCTGGTCGGGGCCTGCGGCCTGCAGGCGCGACTCGTAGACGCCGTCGCTGATAAAGGATGCGAGGCCGCGGGGGAGACGGTAGCACCTGTCGAGCAATATCGAGCTGTTGCGTAGATGAGAGAGCTCGAATGCACTCTCGATGCCGGGGATGGTGTCGTGCCCGTGAGGAGCGAGCTGCTTGTGGTCACCGAAGAAACCGAGGCGTCCCAATGTCTCTGCATGGCGGGCGAGTAGGTGAGGGTAGGCGCCCAGCACGATTTGCGAAGCCTCATCAACGAGCAGCGCATAGATGGGACGCATCTCAAAGACCCTTCCCTCCTCGAGTCTTCCCGACGAGAGGCCAGAGATGGTCGACAAAACGATGGGGCAGCGGGCGAAGCGCTCCCTCGAGTAAGGCAATCCAGCCGCAAGGCTTTTGGTGATGATGAGCTCGTCAAACATTGTCGTGTACATGTGTGCGTGCCACTCTTCGTAGTATCCATCCGACACCAGGATGCGGAAGGGGACATCCTGCTTCTTGAGCGACTCGGCCACGTTCTTTACTGCAGCATTGGATTGGCAGACGATCCAGCATGATGGAATGACATCCTCGGGCGTGAGCTTGACCTCCTCTTTGATGGGACGCAGTTCCTTGGCGCGAGCGTCGTCGCCGCCCTCGTCGCCTTCGCCGTTGGCACTGCCGTTGCCGTTGGTACTCGCCTCAAGAGCGTCGAGCTCGCGCTCCCTTGCACGCTGACGGTCGCGTCTTGAGTCACGAGGAGGCTCCCTGAGGTTCATTGCACGCTGCGTCTGTTCTGCGAGCAATGGATGGTCCTCACTGTCCCAGTCCTTGGGCTTGGTCTGCGGGTCGACAATGCGGGCCGCTCGAACGGGCAGGTCACCGCTGTCCTCGTTCTCCTTGACCCAGGCGCACCACTGACGGCACATGGTAGCGATGACGGTGGTCTTGCCCGTACCTGGAGGCCCGTGAATGAGGACGATGCGGTCGTCTGCACTTCGCAAGGGTCCGGCAAGGGCAGTGGCTGCGTCCTGCTGAGCAGGGTCGAGTTTGGAGTTCTCAATGACCGTATAGCGGTTGTCGGGGTGGAGAGGGCCGAATTTGCGATGCTTGCGGTGAGTGCCTTTGGTGAGGGCCTCTGCGCCGTAGAATAAGCTGTGGGGGCGCGCACGAGATGAGGAGAGGGCGGGGAGGAAATGGGCGTGTGGTTCTGCTTGAACATGGCGTGCTGGGATGACTCACGGATAGAAGAGCCCACTGGGATCGAGGGCCTGTTGCTGGTCTCGATCAACTTTCTCGGCCAGGACTTTGTACCAGAACTCCACGGCCTGATGTTGAGCACGGTCGGCGTCGTCCTTTCCCTCGGCGAAGATGGTGCCGTTGCTCTCAATCATCTCGCTCATCTGGCCAAGAATGTCGTCGCGGTGACCCTCGATGATCTGGACCCAGCTGCGTTTGCCTGACATCTTCCTGCAGATACCCGTGACGGTCGTCCCGTCATTGAGGCGTAGTTGAACGGTCTGACGGTGGTTGGGGCGAACTGCGGGTGGTCATGAAGAGGCGCAGGTCGGTGAGCGTCGTACGCTGCGCGTGCTTGTCATGCTGCACTCACGTCGATTGCTGTAGCGCTCATTGTAGACGACGACCTGGTCGTCACTCATGTCGTCTGCCTTGACGGTGCTGAAGTCGACGCTGATCATCTCGGACTGCATGGCTGTATGGGCGTGAAATACTGCTACGAGGCGAGCGCCGAGATCGAGGTCCCGGAGAGCGATGAAGGCCGTATCGAGGAGGGGAGATGTAGCAGGTTGGAGGCTTTTAGGATTCTTCTTGGCGTACCAAAAGGCCGATACTGCGTCGATGGCGATGGGCAAATAGGTCGAAAGGTCTGGCAAAGAGGAGAGCAAAGTCAGCTGTCCAGTTGCCCTACTGATGGCTGTTCTCGCTTAGCGCTCTCATGCTCACTGAAGTCTTCGACGTAGGTGCTGGGCTCACGAAAGTTGCTCTCGTTGAGCTCGTTGATCTCTTCTGCCATGTCTGCAAAGTTAGTCGAGGACTTGATTCTCATGTAGCCTGGTAGGTAGCTACCCAGATAGTTGCTCTCCTCCTCGCTGGTGCTTGCGGAGAGGTCTACGAGGCGGGTGTGCAGCGACGTTGCTCGGTGAATGTGAAGGGACTGCGGGTAAAGGCGCAGGAGGTCGGGGTTGAGCACGAGGCAGCGGCATGGTGCTTGATCTGAGCATGCTCACCTGGAGTGCAGCATGGAAGCCCACGAGCTGAATCTTTTTGTGCTCCACACGCAGCTCAGAGTACAGCAGTCGGGCGAGGTCATCGTGCTTGTCGAGCTCGAGCTCTTCGGATTGGAAGCGGCTGATGGCACGGCGAATACGAATGATGAGGACGCGGCGGTATGTGCAAAGTACGATCGACTCGACATGGCCATTGTCTTGGAGGAGGAGCGCTATGCCCATGGGCAGAGGCAGCTTGTAGTCCTGGTCTTCGGGCTGAGATCGCTCGATATCCTGGGAGTAGGCAGCTGCGAGCCACCAGAGGTCGCTCTGCGGAGAACAAGAGGGTGATAGAAGTCAGCCTGGCTCGCACCGTACTCGCTGCTGCACATCTCACCTCCGAGGTGGCCTCTGCCCCCATGCCGCGAAATTCGATGTCGATGGGGCTGACCGTAGCTTCCTCGTCAGCGGATCCCTCCACGTTGAGATGCTCTTCGAAAGTCAGCTTGCGACCTCTGGGCAAGCTTGACCGCGCTACGCGCTCGCCGGTGGATGGAGCAACCATAGCAGCGGTCGAAGGGATATGGAAGAGGGGGTTTTGGGCTGGTAGTGGGGTGGTGGTGAGCGGATGGAGGGAGGGCAGGGAGGGGAGAGAGAATGCGAGCGCGAGCGGAACACTCGCATCGAGCTCGGTCGCGCTCGAGATTGCAATGTGATCAAAGAAGGAAAGCCGTCGACTCTGCACCTCCAAGCGATCACGCACTTTCGTCCCTGACTTGACGCTTCGCCACTTCGAGAAAAAACCACTCACTCACACCTTCACGACGGCAGGATAGTGGCAATTTGCAGAGCTCATCATTCCTTCTTCCCCTTACCAGCCTCATCAAGCACCCGCTGCGAAGCCTTGACGTAGTCTTGCCATCGTCGCTCAAAGTTCTTGCACAGCCGCCTCGCCACTCCCTCTGTGCCTGCGACGTGGTCCGCAATGATCGTGACAGCGACTCCATCCCCGTACGTAATGACGCCGATACCGAGTGTGCCTGGACCAGCTTGAGGAGGAGCAGCGCTCCATCGGATGATCTCGCTGCCAGCCAGCTTAATGCCGCCTGAGCTTGGGCCCGGGACATTGGTGAGGACCTGCCGTGTGAGAGAAAGGACGAGGGTCAGCGACGGAGAGCAAGAGAAGGTACACGCCTTCGCGCACTCACAGCTGTGAAGGAAGTCAGCGTCAAGTTGAGGATCACCTTCCCGATGAAGTCGAAAGGCTTCCACAGAGGGCTCGGGAAGAGCAGCGGGATCTGGCCCGTAGGCAGTTGAATAAGCCAGAAGCTCAATCTTGGCAGCCAGCCATGCTTGAGAATACTGAGCGCACTGCTACTGCCATGCAGCCTCTTCCAAAGCGCCATGGGCTCCTTGGGGAGCTTACCGTCGTTGGGCAGGTAAGCGAGCGCCCCCGTAGACCAGTTGCGCATGCTCCAGTCTCCTGGCTTGCGGATCGAGATGGGGATCATGAGCGCGACAGGCCGAGGCATGAAGTGATGCGTTGTGTCGACGAAGGACCACCAGAGCTTGCGGAGCAGGGAGGCGTTGCGTGGGAGAGGAGGGGGTTGATGCAGCTCTGCGCCAATGACGTCGGCGAGAACCGTGCAGAGGACGTCGTTGAGGGTGAGGTGGCCAAAGACGGTGTGATTCTTTGGACCGCCTTGGATGCGTTGTCGTAAGCTGCCGGGGGCGCCGCCACTGAATGCTGTTTGGATCAGCTTGACCTCGCTCAAGGGCAAAGCCTTGCTTGTGGCGAATTCCTTCTCTGAGGGTCGGGGACCTTGGTGGCGTGCGGTCACCTTTGGACTTCTCCACGAAGTCAACAAGAAGAGAGCAGTCATGTAGGCGCCTTGAAAGAGGGAGTAGACGCCCTCGATGATGCCCGAGATGACGAGGAAGGTCCAGAAGAGGGCGAACAAGACGAGCTGGAGGGGCAACGTCTTGTGGAAGCGATCGAGTGGCTTGAGAGCCTTGTGCAGCTTAGATGGCTTCGCAGTACCTCGCTTGGCGTCGTGAATGAGATGGCTCGCATCATCGAGGAGACGGTCGAGCTCCTTCGCATACGAGGTGACACTGAGCTGGCTCATGACGAAGCCCTGGCCATCAGCAGCAGAATGATGCCCGCGCATCACGAGAGCAGCATGAGCTCCCTGCGCATCACGGTAGTTGTCGAGGATCGTCGCCTCCCACAACGGCTTGTCAAAGTCCCACGGCAGCGCTTCGACCTGGGCGATGTAATTGTCGAGCTCGACAGGCCCGGCAGGCTCAGGCAGTCTCTTGAAGGCAACGTGGTTGCGGATATCAAATTGCATATCGGTCGTGAATTCAGATCCATGTAAGCGGCGGCCAGTATTGACGAGCTTGGAGCGGTACTTGGGGAATTGATCGGTGAGCTTCCAAAACGAGTCGACGATAGCCTCGGTCGAGGGCTTCTCCTTGAGGGTATACGAGGCGACGCAGACAGGATTGAACTCGTAGTGTGACAAGGCGAGCCACATGTTGTCGATGCCACCGATGGCTTCTCGCCGTGAGCGCACCTCGTCCTCTAGCCAGTCGCCGCAGGAGAGGAGCTGACGCGACAGGGAGCCGCGTACGCCGCCCTTCCTAGCCTGAGCGTGCAGGTGCTCGTCAAGGCGATGCTCGACCGCATCGAGCCACGACATGGGAGATGACTCCTTGGAAGCCACTCTGCCGTTGCGAGCCTCCATGTCGGCGTTTGGTGAGGAAGAGAGGATGGCGGAGAGGACGGAATGGATGGATGGATGGACGGACGGACGTTCCGAATTGGCCCTCGACTGAATCGATGATCGAAGCCAAATCAGCTTCCCCGCATCGATTCATGCACGTCATCACGCGCCGGAGTCCGCGGAGGCAGATCGAGCGAGAGGCAGCGGGCAACGATCGGACGCAACGACGATTCCGAAGTCGATGGTATTCGAGATCTACTTCTACAATTTCTATCGTCTACACACGTGGGACGGGCCAGATCATGCAGCATCACCCATCGGTACCCAGGAAAAGAGGAGGATCCCAGCAATGTTTACCACGCCAGCGATCCAGAACTTGTTGCCCAGCGTGCGAGCGGCCTTGGTACCCGGCTGGGTCTTGAACAAGCCTGTGTAGCACAGACCGCCGACTGCTCCGCCTGATCCTACAAGGCCAGCCACGAAACCGATGTTGCGTGGACGCAGGTGAGAGTAGACGGAGTAGGCGCCTGCGTTGGCCACGAAACCCGTGGCCGCGATGCCGACGATGAAGCCTATGACGCCGCCGATGGACTGGTGGGATGAGTGGTTGACGTACATGCCCAATCCTACCATGAGTAGGCCTTGCATGATGTTGGTCACGATCATGAGCATCACTTTGGCGCGCAGACCGTATCCGAGAGGCTTGTACTTGCTGTACAGCATGTCAGCGAAGACGCCGCCGGCAGGCCGGAAGATGAGATTGAGCAGACCGTACGTTGCGGCCGCGAAGGCGGCGTCTTCTGCAGTAAAAGTAGGGCCGCCGAAGAGACCGAAGAGGAGTTGCGGCAGGGCAGCATCCATTGCTGTCTCCAAACCAAAGGAGAGGAGGTACGAGACGGCGCAGAGCCAGACGCGCAAGTCGGTCAGCACTTGAACTGCCACCCGCGGCGTGAGCGGCTCGCTGACTGCCGTGTCGACCTGATCGTACTTTTGACCAGGCTGCAGCTCAGAGAAGTCGGAGCCCTTGACTGGTGCCGCTGAGGTAAGCATCTTCTCGTTGCTGCCGCCATTCTCGCCACCGGCCTGGTTGCGCATACGCTCCTGCTCTTGGACCTCATTGTGGTCGAGGTGTACAGCGCGGCCAGCAGCGACCTCGTAAGCCGTGCCTGCAAGCTGGTGGCGCTGTGACCATTTGCCGGCCGGGTGATCCTTGCCAAAGATCATGATGACGGCGGCGGTGACGAAGAGCAGAGGGACGGGAAGGACGACGAAGGAGAGGCGCCAGGCCATCCCTTGCGTGTAGCCCGATTTGCGGAGGCGCTCGTAGAGGCCGATCATGACCTGCGCGCGCAAGAAGATAGGGTCATTCAGTATGAAGCGAGTAGGGTGAGGGTCTCGCGCGTGGGACTCACAGCAGGTGTCACTCCGCCACCCATGTTTCCCCAACCTCCGGAGAAAGCATTGGCCGTACCGACAATGTTCTTATCAAAGAAGGTTGTAGTCCACGACTGACAAGGCACGAAAGTTCCACCAAGGATTGAGATGAAGAAGCGGATCGCCTTGAGGGAGGGCAAGTGGTGGACGACGGGCATGAGCGCGGTAGGGATGGCGCCCATGCAAAGCAGGATGGCCATGACCTTGCGCGGGCCGTAGCGATCAATAGCGTATCCGGCGATGACGCGAACAAAGGCGGTGCCTCCGAGAGAGGCCAAGTTGGAGTCGGCCACTTGGGCGGGCGTAAGCTTGAGGTCGACCTTGATTGCCTCGGTCATGAGAGCGGCCGCGGCGAACCAGCCGAAGAAGGCGACGAAGAAGCCTGCGCGGCAGCGAGAGGAATAGGTGTGGGCCGGTTAGCACTCGCGATTGTAAACTAGGGAGTCCAGTCTTCGCGACTCACCCAGCGTCGCGAGCCAGAACTGAGTTGAGTAGGTGTCCCAGAAGCGAAGGATGGGGAAGGTGTGCGACTTGCCATTGATAGGGTTGACGACGGCCGGCTGGTAGAGGGAGCTCCATCGGAAGGCGTAGTAGCCAGCTTGGGCTCGCCTCTGACTGTCAGAGACGTAGCCTTCAACGGTTACCGCACCTGTTGTGCCTCGAGGCTGGTCGGGACTTGGCGAGCTGTTGCCCGACGCCTTCTCATCGACGTTGATGTCGTCTTCAGGGGCGTAAGCCGGAGCAGGTTGCTGCTGTGATGAAGGCGACATGGCGAGATGTGGGGGCTGGGGATGAGAAATGAGATGCTTGTGGCGTTCAAGTCCTTATAGGAAGGAAGGACGTCGCGAAGGGAGCGCGAAGAAAGCGCGCTTCGTGTGGTCGCTCAAGCTGTCATCTGCGCAAATGTCTGCGCATGACTTGATCGATTGCAGCCCGTGCCGGCCATTGATCATCCATCACCTCTTTCAGAGGCCGTTGGCGTGAGAAGCGGGACCCTAGTTGGGCTAGACCTTGCGTCCCGTCTTCGAGCGCCTCAACGATTGCTCTCATGCTCCTCGTCGTAGATTGTCCTCTGCCTCTGCCGTGCTACCTGCCTCTGCCATGCTTCCTGCCTCTGCCATGCTTCCTGCTCTCTTCAATCGTCGTCCGCCGAGACTCGCAGCAGTTGCTCCGCTATCACAAGTCGCCCTTGCGTTTGTGACTGAGGTCACCGCGTCCCCCGTGGTCGCCACGGTTTCGTCGCGGTATCGAGAGAGATAAGAGCGTGGTGAGAGAGAGCCACACTGTGAGAGAGACGCGGCTGCGCCCTGGGTTGCGCCGGCTCGGCTGCAGCGGCTGCGCCCGATTCGAGTCGACAGCTCGATGAAATGGCCGGCGGCAAGGAAGTGCGAGGCGCGTTGTGTTCCTCCGCCTTTCCTTATCGCAGCAATTTCCAATCCAAGTTCAAACGACACCATTGCCACGCTGCGCCAGGTGAGATGAGCGCCGAGCTTGGCAACGAGGGTAGCGCATTGAGGGTGGGGGCCCTCGATCACTTCTCACGGTGAGGCGCGGGGGAGCAGACACCGCGAGACACAAGAGATAGGAACCGTGATCGGAACATGGCAGGCATTTCGAGCTAAGGGATGAGGGGCAAGCGGGGATGCTTTGAAACGTCGTGTCGAGATTGCATCCCTTTCCTCTTCGCCACCACTCACCTCGTCACATTCCAACATGGCTCCCATTGCGACTGGCCAATACTCTGAGGCGTCGTCCTCGTCATCACCATCACCCTCAGCCTCGCCAAAGAAGCGATGCGTCGTAGTTGGCTTTGGCATGGTGGGTGTCAGCTTCGTCGAGAAGCTGCTCAAGTACGATCTTGAAGGGCAGCGCGATCAATGGGAGGTTACAGTGTGAGTGTCGTACGACCCCCAGAAGAACGACCGCTCTTCGATCATCGTTCGCTCACACCGCTTGCGCAACAGTATCGGCGAAGAGCCTCACATCGCCTACAACCGAGTTGGACTCACCACCTATTTTGAACAGCGCAATGTCGAAGCACTCTACCTGAACCCTCTCGAATGGTACTCATCACACACGCCCGGCAAGCTTGCATATCACACCTCGGACCCCGTCGTCTCCATCCTCTCTGACAAGAAGGAAGTCCTGACCGCCAAGGGCCTTACTATACCGTACGACGTCTGCGTGCTCGCCACTGGCAGTGATGCAGCGCTACCTCCCTACGTCACGAAAGACCGCTTCCACCGCACGCAAGGCGCATTCGTCTACCGCAATCTTGCCGACCTCGATGCCATGATCAGCTACTCCGAGAAGAAGAAGATCAAGAGAGCGGCTGTAGTCGGGGGTGGTCTTCTGGGTCTGGAAGCGGCACACGCGCTCTTGAACCTCGAGACCGTTGACCAAGCAGTCATCGTCGAGCGCAACAACTGGTGTCTGTCCCGTCAGCTCGACGCAGAGGGCGGTACCCTCGTGCTCGAGAAGGTCAAGGCACTTGGTGTTGAGGTGCTCCTCCGAGCTCGCGTCAAAGATCTCATCACTACCGCCAAGGAAGACGGCAGCGACGTGCTCACGGGCATTGCTCTTGAGAGTGGAGAGCCGTACGACCTCGACATGATCGTCTTTGCAGTCGGTATCAAGCCGCGGGATGAGCTTTCCAAATCGACTGGCCTGGAGGTGTCGCCTCGAGGAGGCTTCACCGTCACAGATCATCTTCAAACCAATCTCCCTGACGTCTACGCCATCGGGGAGGCTGCAAGCTACAAGGGCGAGACGTATGGTCTCATCGCTCCCGGCGTCGAGATGGCCGACGTCCTCGCCTTCAACCTTACGGAGGGCCCTCATCACGCCCTGCGATCCATGACCCCGCCGGACCTGTCCACCAAGCTGAAGCTGATGGGTGTCGACGTCGCCTCGTTTGGCGACTTCTTTGCGGATCAGGGCAAAATCACGCGACCACTTCCCAAGGAGAGAGGCACGAAGCGCGACGAGTCGACACCGCCCAAGGTCAAGGCCCTCACGTACCGAGACCCCTTTTCAGACCACTACAAGAAGTACATCTTCACCGAGGACGGCAAGTACCTCCTCGGCGGCATGATGGTCGGCGACTGCAAAGACTACGTCAAGCTGGTCAGCATTTGCAACAAGCAGAAGGCCCTCGAGATCCCTCCATCGCAGCTCATCCTCGGCGCCAAGAAGGAAGGCGAGGAAGAGGGAGACGATCTCGATGATGATGCGCAAGTGTGCTCGTGCCATAACACCAGCAAGGGCGACATCGTCAAGAAGGTCAAGGACGGCTGCCGTGCCTTTGGCGAGATTAAGAGCACGACGAAGTGTGGCACAGGCTGTGGTGGATGCGTGCCCCTTGCTACTTCCATCTTCAACAAGGCAATGAAGGATGCAGGAGCAGAGGTGTCCAACGCTCTCTGCCCTCACTTTAAGCAGTCTCGCCCTGACCTCTACACGATTGTCAAGTTCAAGAAGCTCAAGACCTTCCGCGACGTCATGGAGTCGGTGGGCAAGAAGCCGGACAGCCTAGGCTGCGAGGTGTGCCGACCGGCCGTCGGGTCTATTCTCTCGCTGCTGTACAACGAGTGGATCATGGCGCCGCAACTCCGTCAGACGCAAGATACCAACGATCGTTTCATGGCCAATTTGCAGCGCGACGGGTCGTACTCGGTCGTGCCTCGCCTCGTAGCGGGAGAGGTGACGCCGTATCAGCTCAAGGTGCTTGGAGAAGTCGCCGAAGATTTCTCGCTCTACTCAAAGATCACGGGAGGGCAGAGGATCGACCTTTTCGGAGCGAAGAAGCAAGACCTTCCCGCTATTTGGGAGAGGTTGGTCGCAGCAGGGTTCCAGACTGGCCAAGCATACGGCAAGTCCCTCCGTACCGTCAAGAGCTGCGTCGGCTCAACGTGGTGCCGTTTCGGTGTGGGCGATTCGGTAGGACTAGCCGTCGAGCTCGAGCAGCGCTACAAGGGCATCCGCGCCCCGCATAAGTTCAAAGGCGGTATGTCGGGATGCGTACGAGAGTGCGCCGAAGCTCAGAGCAAGGACTTCGGTGTCATCGCAACGCCCAAGGGCTGGAATGTCTACGTCGGCGGCAATGGCGGTGCCAAGCCTCGACACGCGGACCTCCTCGCCGAAGACGTGCCCAAAGCCATGGCCGTCAAGCTCATCGACCGCTTCCTCATCCTCTACGCGCGTTCGGCCGACAAGCTCATGCGAACAGCACGCTGGATCGAGGCCTACCCGGGCGGCATCAAGGAGCTGCGCGAGGTCATTGTCAAGGACAAGCTGGGCATCTGTAAGGAGCTCGAGGACGAGATGGATGAGCTGGTTGGCACCTTCCATTGCGAGTGGACGGAGACGGTCAAGAATCCGGAGAGGCGCAAGGTCTTCCGCCAATTCGTCAACACCGAGGAGACTCAAGAGGTGTCTGAGAAGATCGTTCAGCGTTCTCAGCGTCGTCCTGCCGACTGGCCGGAGTCTGCTCCACCGCTCAAATTCGACGTCAATGACATTGTGCAAACGGCGACGTGGGAATGGCGCAAGGTGTGCAAGTACGCCGACCTCGACCCGTCGCAAGATGCCACATCGTCAGCCGTCGTCAAATACGGCGACACGCAGATTGCCATCTTTTCAATTCCTGGTCGAGGGCTCAGGGCATCGCAGAACATGTGCCCGCATAGGCGCGCTTTCGTCCTTGCCGACGGTCTGATTGGCGAGGACTCTCAGGGGCGGGACTACATCTCTTGCCCGTTGCACAAGCGCAACTACACGCTTTCGCACAAAGTCGAAGAGGACGGTGGGCACTGTAATGACCCAGACTACCAGATTATGACATTCGAGGCCAAGGTGGATGAGGAAGGGGACGTGGTACTGCGACTGCCCGACAGCGATTCGCTCGACGCTGTTCTCTCGACGACAAAGTGGATGTTGCGCAAGGCCAAGGAAGAGTCGGACATTCTGGCTCAGGATGCCAAGGGCTCATCAATCGAGATCGAAGGGCCGAGCAAGGTGGTAGAGAAGGAGGCTCAAAACGCCCAGCGGGCGAGGCGTGGGCTGGCCGAGGTGAGCGAGAAGCAGCAGAAGGCATCGTGCGGAGAGACTTCGTTGGATTGGTAACAGGGCGTGTGAAATGCGATCAGACCCTTGGCTCCTCGTTGTACGTGGATTTGTTACGTGGATTCGTTATCTCATTGGAATACAGAAGAGCGCGAACAACGCGAGCCAGTAGCCTATCTATGCAGGGGCGGCGGCGGCTGGCCGGCCGGCGTTTAAATTGAGACGAGCAGCGCAGCGGCAGCGGCAGTGGTGCAGCGTGCAGCCAGTCTGGCGTGCGACGATTCGGCTCTCTTTCAAAGGCCGGCAACTCTCTGCGACGACACTAGACGAAGATGTGCTATCTCTGACGCGCGCCACTATCTCCACCACCACGACGACGACGGGTGTACGTACGCTGCAATGCTTGGACGGCAAGTCGCAGATAGATGACAAGGGGTTGTGTCGTTACGTGCGTGTGGGGGCGACAATGGACGAGGGCTTGCCGATTTCGAATGTGCCGTTGCGAGAGGGGTGAAGAGCTTTCAGGGAGGCGCGAGCGGGCCGCTTTGCCACGGGAGAGGAGGGGCGTGCTGTGTGGGGAGCTTAGCTTGCAGGAGAGAGCGTAACAAGAAAGCTGGAAGAATGTCGTCTGCCTTTTTGTCCACCTCATCGTAACGCTTCACGACGATGACCGTTGCCATCACGCCCAGCTCGTCGTCATCATCATCACCACCCATGACTGCCAGCCCTACGCCGGCGCGCTCTAGGGCGACCTCGTCCTCTTCCGGCTCGTCAGGCTCAGGCTCAGGCTCGGCCTCGAGCTCCCACTACGCTCGCTCAACGACTTCAAGTGGCGCTTCTCTCTCTGCCGTTACCCCTGCGGAGGAAGCAGAGCCTGAATTCAACGAGTCGTCCTACACCAAGCAGCACCCGCCCATCCCTGCTGAACCTGCCATCTCCCAGCTAGGCATCGACGCTGGCACGCCCGACGCCTGGGTGGCCCGCGATCAACGCCAGGTGCGTCTGACAGGCAAGCATCCGCTCAACTGCGAGCCCGCGCTCGCCGACCTCTGGAATGCCGGATGGCTCACACCACAAGCACTCTTTTACGTGCGCACTCATGGTGCAACGCCACGTGTCAGCGCCCAAGAGGCCAAGGATTGGAAGCTTCAGATTCATGGTCTAGTCGAACGTGAGATGAGCTTTACCATCGATGACTTGAAGCGCTTGTTCCCCACGGTGTCGGTGCCGGTCACGCTCGTGTGCGCAGGTAACCGCCGCAAAGAGCAGTAAGTGCGCATGCGAAGAGAGAGTCGTATGGGCGACGTTGACCACCGCACCGTTCACCATCACAGGAACATGGTAGCCAAGGGCCTCGGTTTCAACTGGGGAGCTGCCGGCGTGTCAAACGGTATCTTCACGGGCGTGTACTTGGCCGACGTGCTCGAATACTGCAAGCCCATTAGACCCATTGGCGCCTTCCCCTACGACCGTCACGTGCCCGGTCGCGCACGGCACGTCATCTTCGAAGGGTGCGATGAGCTGCCCAAGGGCAAATACGGCACATCTCAGCGCCTCGTCTGGGCCAAAGATCGCAGCAAGTCGATGCTCCTTGCGTGGGGACTCAACGGCGAGCCACTCAGCCCAGACCATGGCTTCCCTTTGCGACTCGTAGTACCCGGCCAGATCGGCGGTCGAATGGTCAAGTGGCTCAATCGCATCGAAGTGAGCGACCAAGAGTCTCAGCACCATCTTCATTTCCACGACAACAAGGTTCTGCCCGCTGGCGTGTCCGCCGACGAGGCTCGATCTGAAGAGGGCTTGCACTGGTGGAAGGACCCAAAGTACATCATCAACGACCTCAACACCAATGCGGCGGTGACTGTACCGAACCATGACGACTGTATTGATGTCGCAGAGGGTGCCATGACCAAGGTGCAGGGCTACGCATACGCCGGTGGCGGGAGGAGGGTCAATCGCATCGAACTGTCCCTGGATGATGGCCAGACATGGGAGTACCCGGCGAAGCTCATCTACCCGGAGGACTCGTATCGCGAGAGCCCAATTCGCGGTCATCCCTACTTTGGCGACCTCGACTTGAGCGAGACGGAGATGTCATTCTGCTGGTGAGCCGATGCGGTTGACCGAAGGCCCAGCGTCGTTTTCGAAGCTGACCACATCTTCTCGCGCACGCAGGTGCTTCTGGGAGTTTGAGATCAGCACCGAGCGACTGCGGGACTCTGCCGCAGGCTGCATCACGTTACGCGCCACGGACGAGTCGCTCCATACGATGCCTGACCGTCTGATCTGGAACGCGTACGGCATGATGAACAACTGCATGTTCCGCGTCGCCATTCACCACGACGAGGCCACGAACAAGCTGCGCTTCGAGCACCCAACACAGCCTGGCACGCAGAGTGGCGGCTGGATGGCTCGCCTCACAGAGGAAGGGCAAGACCCCAAATACCCCGTTTTCAAGGCTGCCGCTGGCTCGGCATCGAAGAGCAACAGCGCGCCTCCCCCGCCCAAGGTGGACGTGCGCACACTCATGGAGGACCCGGCCAAGTCTACGCACATCGTGAGCGCGGAGGAGTTTCGCGAGCACGCAAATGAGCACTCGCCCTGGTTCGTCGTCAACGGGCACGTCTACGACGGCACGCCCTTCCTCAAGGAGCACCCTGGTGGCGGGGAGAGCATCACCCTCGTTGCAGGGGAGGACGCCACGGAAGACTTCATGGCCATCCACTCGCTCGACGCCAAGCGACGGATGTTGGGCTTTCACATCGGCAAGCTGGCAGATGGAGCGCTGGACCATCAAGCTAACGCAGAGAGTCTCGTTCCCAACGAGGCGGCGACTTTCCTTAACCCCAAGGCATGGAAGAACAGCAAGCTCGTCTCGCGCACCGTCATCTCTCACGACTCGCGCATCCTGCGCTTTGCTCTGGACCACGAGGATCAGACGCTCGGCTTGCCCATCGGGCAGCACGTCTACCTCCGCATAAAGGACAAAGAGGGCAACGTTGTCGTGCAACGCGCCTACACGCCCTTCTCAGGCAATGAGCTGCGCGGCTTTGTGGATATCCTGATCAAGGTCTATCAGCCCACGGCGCAGTTCGCGACTGGAGGAAAGATGACGATGCTCCTCGAGAAGATGGAGGAGGGCGTTGACTCGCTGGAGATGAAGGGTCCGCTCGGTGGGTTCACTTTCCTCGGTGACAGCACGGTACGATGGCGCGGCCAGGAGCGCAAAGTGCGCAAGCTGGCACTCATTTGCGGCGGATCCGGTATCACGCCCATCTGGTCGACGATCAAGGGTCTGGTCGAGTGCGGAAATTCAGCCGAGACGGAGTGCTGGCTCCTCAACGGCAACCGTACAGAGGCGGACATCCTTGCGCGCACACAGATCGATGAGCTTCAGCAGCGCTTCCGTGGCAGTGGGAGACGCTTCGATCTCTGGCACGTACTGTCGGGTCAATGCGCTGATGACTGGGCGGGCGGTAAAGGTCGTGTAAATGTGGATCTGATGCGCAAGCATCTCCCACCACCTCCGCCTGTCCGCGGCGAGGGTGACGAGCTCGAGGACACCTTGGCGCTCGTCTGTGGGCCGCCGGCGATGGAGGAGGCAGTCAAGAAGGGATTGGCAGAGATTGGGTGGGACGTTCCGAATACTGTCGTGTTCTTCTAGATTGTGTACGATGCGCGATGCGATTAAAGATTAGCGTGCCCATACTATGTCACGACTTTTTGCGACCCGATGTCTTCTGCTCTCAGTCTGTTGAGAGTATCGCGGGCTGTTTGAAGCGCTCCCGGAGGCATGCCAGCCAGAGCGGCCACGGTGAGCCCGTGTGACTCGCGATTGACGCCTGGTCGAACGTGGTGTAGGTAGGTGACGGAGTCCTGGCGGCGTGACGGGCGGACGCGGTCAGTAGCTACTTCAAATCACTCGCCACCGCCACGCGCACTCACCTCGCTCCCCTCGACGTCCGTACTTGCAAAGCGCACATACCTCCACCCCTCTCCACCAGTCTCTCTCCCCTCCTCCCACCCCATCATGTCCGCCAACTCATGCAAATGGCTAGCGAACAGCGCCCGACACCCAATCTCACCCATTTCCTTCAGAGTGGCAAATGCAATGGCGATGCCCACCTGCGTGGTCGTCCCCCGGCCGATCTCATCCGCAACTACGAGACTACGCCGCGTAGCGCGACGAAGAATCTCGGCCGTCTCGAGCATCTCGACCATGAATGTTGAGCGATCACGGAAGAGGTCGTCTTTTGCGCCTACGCGGGAGAAGAGGCGATCCACAATGCTGAGTCGGGCCGATTGCGCGGGGACGAAGGAGCCGGATTGGGCCAGGATAGCTATGAGGGCGTTCTGGCGGAGATAGGTCGATTTGCCGCCCATATTGGGGCCGGTGATGAAGTGTAGGCGAGACGTGGCATCCATCTTGAGGTCGTTGGCATGAAAGGTTCGACCTCGCTCCAGTAGTCCGCCTTCGACGCCGATGTGTCTGCCGCCTACAACATCGAACACGCAGCCTGAGCCGTCGTAGTGCTCGTCCGCCTCGCTGAGCATCGTCGGCCGCACCAGCCTCAGGTCAAGGGCAAGCTGTGCCCAGCCCGCGAGACAGTCGACCTCGTCCACCTTGCGTGCATTTCCGCGCAAATCAGCACCAGCGGCCACTACCCTCGCTCGCAGCCTACGCAATTCAGCATTTTCTGCCCGCTTGAGGTCTTCCTGCAGTTTAGCCAAGCGTGACCCGATGCGACTCCACGGCTCGTGATAGTAAGTGCGCGTGCTCTTTGTGCGGTACGCCAGCGTGAGGCGGAGCTCTTGATCGTTGCTTGGCTCTTCGCCCGAGGTGGGGACGGTGGTGTGGACTACGAAGCCTTGCCCGAGAAGATAGCGGAGCGAGGTGCGAGGGCCTATGCGATAGCGTAGGGAGGACTGAAGGGAGGAAGCTTCATGGCGCAGACGCTCGTACTCTGCTGTAAGGGCTGAGAGGAGGCGTGAGGAGGAAGGTCGAATGAGGTGCTCAAAGGGGGCGCCCCAGGGTTCGTCGCCGCGAGGTGTAGGCGGCGGCGGAAAGGCTGATAAAGATGATGGCGTAGGGGAAGGGGTGGTCTCCGCCTCCTCGTCTGCGTTCTCAGCTCCAAGCAGGCCTTCCTCCCGATCCAGAGCCTCCATCGCCCGTAGTCGCTTCTCCATGACTCTCTCATCAATCGCATCGCCCAGCTCCTTGCCTAGCCCAGTCAAATCGACCAGACCCTCCAGCCTCGCAGCGAGCTCTCGATGCCCTTCCTTTCCTTCACCACGCAGCTCCCGTCCCCACTCCTTCACTGCGCTGGTGAATCGCACAAAGTCCCTCACCTCGAGCAGATCCTGCTCATCATTCCTTGCCGTAGCAATTCGCTGCAGAGTGCGCGAGATATCTCCCCTCTGCACCTGTCGAAGGAGGGTGCGCAAGTCTTCCAAGGCGTAAGGGTGCGTGACGAGATACTCGACGATGGCATGCCGCTCTGTCACCAAGGCGTGCGATGTGCTGGGCGCAGTGAGCCAGTCGACGAGCAGGCGCGCTCCGCCCTTTGTCAGGGTTCGTCGCACCGTGCTGACTAGACTACCCCTCACTCCCCCTTCTCGTGTGGTCTCACGCACCTCGAGGGCGTCTAATGTGTTGGCGTCTATGAGCATCGTCTCTTCCGGTGCATGATGCCGCGCGAGTCCCGAGCCGATGAGTTCGTCCAGCTCTTGCCCACCGTGTGAGGCGACGTCCAAGAGTCGGGTGCTGAGGTGTTCGGTCAGATTGGCAATTGCCGTGCGCTCGGCCGCGAGGTAGGTATGTGTGGCTTGACGCTCAATTGCGGAGGGCGTGGTTGGTTTGCGTGAGCTCGAGGAAGGAGGGAGATAGGAAATCAGAGTGCGTTGCAGGTCGAGAGCTTGGAGGAGAACGTCTTGACCAGATTGTAGGGCGCTTGATGAGGGCAGCCGCATACGCTCTACAGCGTCTGCCTCGAGAATGATCTCCGAGGGGCTGACACGCTTGACCTCGTCCCTCAGACTCTCAACGTCGCTGCAGTGCGTGATGTGAAGGTCGGATGTGCTCAAGTCGAGCCACGCGAGGCCAATGGTGGGCGCACCTCCCCGCGCACCTCCCCGCTGCTCGCCCTCGCCAACCGCGATACTGAGGATGAAGTTGTTCCTCATAGGATTTACCCACTTCTCGTCAATGAGCGTTCCCGGGCTCACCACCCTAGTCACTCGCCGCACAATGTCCACCTTCTCGTTCAGCGTCGCCCTGTTGACCAGATTGATCGTCTTCCAATCCTCTGGGCTCCTCGTCTCCCCTCCTTCCTCATCTGGTCGAAACTCCTCACAAATCGCCACGAGCTTTCCGTGGTCATGCACCAGCACCTTGAGGTACTTTTCGAGCTGGCTGAGCGGGAAGCCCGCCATAGCGACAGAACGCCCGCCCCATGTCCGGTTGGCTAGCTTGATGCCGAGGAGAGAGGAGAGGAGTGGCGCCTGCTCGAAGTAGGACTCGTAGAAGCCTCCGACACGTGTGAGAAGGATGCAGGACCCAAAGCGCGCCATATTGCTCAAGACGTCTTTCGCGAGTGGGGGCCAGGATTGACCAGAGGGGCCGACTTCGTCGATGCGTGAGGGCGGCGCGGCGAGTGCGGCAGTGCCTGCTGGCGCGAAGTCATCGCTTTGCACAGCCTCGTCTTCCTCCTGGGTCTTCTTCTTTCTTGATGCCCGCTTCCTGCGAGTCTGAGCGACAAAGGGCTCAAGAGGAGGCATGTCCAGCCCTGTATTTGCATCGAGGGCCGCCGCAGGGAGCTCAGTGTAAAGCTTCGTTGAGCGGCGCGGCTTGGTGGGGATAGCGGCCCCTGCATCGCTCTGCTTAGCAAAGAGGCGGACGACCGATCGTCTGCTGCTCGAGGCAGCTCTTGATATCATCATGATGGCGGCATTGCTGCGTTCTGGAGTGGCGAGAAGAAAGGAAAGGCGGACTGAGCGTCTCTCGAACCTCTTTGAGCCTTTGAGCGCGTCTCCGCACAAGCCACGCGCTCCAGTCCGCCTTCCTCCTGCCGCCGCTCCTTGATGCCGGTCTTGCCTCTTCTCCGTATCCTCGCAACTCGCACGCCATGACCCAGTCTCAGCCTATGCTCCTCAGCGAGCAGACGGCAACGCCCTTGCCGGATGCGCCCACGTCTGAGCAGTATCTAGCCGGTGCGGCGTACAGGGACAAGGCTCCAGTCGTCATTGATAATGGTGAGCGCCAGGAATACGAGGGTGCATTGCGTCGAGCAGACGCTGATACCATTCTTCCCTCTACCTGACAGGCAATTCCGAGCTACGAGCAGGCTTTGCGAGTGACTACGATCCTTCTTCTTCCTCTTCCTCCTCCTCAACCTCGCTACCACCTCTGCACTTCCCACCCGTCGTTGCACGCTACAAAGACCGCAAACGCTCAGCAAACATTCTCCTCGTGGGACCCTACGTCAATATGGATCACGAGTCGAAGAGCAAGGCTCGCACTCCTAATGAGAACGGACTGCTCGTCGCGCAAGATGTGCTGGAGAATGTGCTGGACTTCACCTTTGCTCGATTGGGCATCTCTTCCGGAGGGGAAGAGGCAGAGGGCAACGTGGAGCACCCAGTCGCTATGACTGAGCAGCTGTGCAATCCTGGATACTGTCGTTGCCTCGCCTCCGAGCTCCTCTTCGAGGCATATGGCGTGCCTGAGGTGGCCTATGGGCTCGACTCACTCTTTGCAGCTCATGCGAACGGTGTAGGCCCAGACGGGCTGGTAATCAGCAGCGGCCAGTCCACCACTACGCTCGTACCCATGGTAGGCGGCAGGGGGGTCTTGGCGAGTGCAAAGCGGCTCAATTGGGGAGGGAGCGCTGCTGCGGACCACCTGCTGCGCCTTCTCCAACTCAAATACCCGGCTTTCCCCGTGCGCCTCTCCTCGCAGCAGGCAAGCACCCTCATCGAGACACCCGGCCTCTTCTACGCTCATCCCGGTGGGCAAGACGGCGACTACGCGGAGCATGCTCGTCGCCTCTCTGAGCTGAAGCAACTGCAAGCGGAGGGCAAGACGATCCAAATCCCCTTCACGGTGCCCGAGTCGCGCAGGGGGAAAGAATTGACGGATGAGGAGAAGGCAAAGCGCGAGGAGAGGAAGAGGGAGAGCGGGCGCAGACTGCAGGAGTTGGCGCAGAAGAATAGATTGCAGAAGGTGCGTCGCTTTCGGGCAATTCGCGTGATGAGCCAGAACTGACTGCCCTCCTCCCCACGCAGATGATGGAAAAGGAAGAACAGCTCCGTACATTCGCCGAACTCAAAGAGTACAAGAACAAAGAGCGTAACAGCGACTGGCTGAAACGCCTGGAGTCCGCCGGCTACCCTTCCGAAGAGGAACTCATCAAGGCCGAGAAGCGCATTCAGTCCGCCCTCAAGCGCTCTCGGCGCAGAGACGACGGTGCAGCCGACGAAGGAGGAGCAGAAGAGGAAGCCCCACCAACCTTTCCCCTCATCGACGTCCCCGACCACGAGCTGAGCGAGGAGTCCATCAAGGAGAAGCGACGCCAGCGTCTCCTCAAGGCGGGGTACGATGCTCGCATGCGCGCGAAAGCCGAGAAGCGCGAGGAGAAACGAGCGGCTGAAGAGCGTCGCCTCAAGGACGAGGAGGAGCGAGCTACGAATCTGAAAGAGTGGTGCAGGGCGAGGAGAGGCGAGTACGAGGAGACGATCGAGCGTATCAAGGAGCGCAAGCGCAAGCGAGAGCTCCTCGCGGATAGGAAGAGTAGCGTTGCACAGCAGAGGATGAAGAGTATCACAAGCCTTGCGAGCGAGGGTAAAGGCGGTGCTGGCGGGACAGCAGGAGGGGGAGAATCGTCCCGAGGAAAGCGTAAACGTGGAGCAGCTGCGGCAGCTGGCGGCGCTTCACGTGGGGAGGGCGGTGACGACGACTTTGGTGCAGATGACGAGGACTGGGCCATCTATCGAGACATCCAGGGGGCGGAGGACTCCGAGGACGAAGAGGAGGACGAACAGCTCCTCGTGACCCTCGAAGCGAAGCTCCTTCAGTACGACGCGGCCTTCAGTCGCGCGGACACGCTCGCTGCCCGCCTGGCACGTAAGCGGGCGCTCACCCGTACCTTCTTGGGGGGCACACCAGAAGGAGAGGAAGATATAGCTGCTGCGGCGGCCGAGAAGCGTAAGGCTGATCGAGCGAAAAGAGCCGCTCAGGCTGGTGTGGCGGTCACTGATCTCGCGGACGAAGATGATGAGGAGGGCGGAGCGAACGGCGCGGATAGCCTCGAGGAGAAGTTGGCCAAGCAGCATCAGATCACGCTCAATGTTGAGCGGGCGAGACTGACGGAGGTTTTCTTCCAGCCTAGCATGGCGGGTGTGGATCAGGCTGGACTGGACGATATTGGGGAGATGATCGTGAGGGGTTTCGAGGATGAGGAGTTGGGGAGGAGAATGGTCGGGGTGAGTTCGGCGCGCATAGAACCACACATGACCAGGCGAGGGGCACGTACTGACTTTGCTTGATTGCCCCCCTTCTGACGCGGCAGAACATCTTTCTCACTGGCCGGCACACCTCCTACTCCGGCCTGCCCGAGCGTCTACGCAACTCTCTGGCCTCACTCATGCCTGCGTCTTGGTCCTCATCAATCAGTGTACGCAGCGCAAAGGATCCGCGCTTTGATGCTTGGAGGGGGATGGCTAAGTGGGCGAGGGAGGATCGCAAGGAGGGATGGATCAGCAGGGCAGAGTATGACGAGATGGGTGGGGAGTATATCAAGGAGCACAGGTTCGCGAGCGCGGGATGGTGAGGCTTGCGAGTCAGGGAGGGGAAAGAGACGCAGAATGAGGAGCTGCGATCCAGCACACTGAGCTGCGATTCAACACAATGAGCTACAATCGAACACGATGAGATGGTAATGAGTGTGGTTTTCCGCGCATCGAGGCAACAAAAAGAGATGAGAGACGAATAGACAAGGATCGACGAGGGAGAATCAAGGAGACCAAGACAAGAACGAGGGACAGCGCCCCTCCCCCGGTGCTGACCGCCGCACTAACAGCTACACCCGCTCTGAGCATTATCCGCATCGATCCTGATCGGATCGGGGTAGTCGGCATACAGCTCCTGCTCGGCCTCCTGCGCGAGGGCATTCTTGGCGATGGTCTGGAATGCCTGCTCGACGTTGATGTTCTCCTTGGAGGACGTCTCGAAGTAGGGGAGGTTGCCCTTGGACTGACACCAATTCATCGCACGCTTCTGCGAGACCATGCGCTTTGACTCTTCGACGTCGATCTTGTTGCCGAGGACGACCTGCGAGGGAAGAGTGGGTGTTCAATGGTCAGTGAGTCGGGAGGAGGAGGTTCAGTGGTACAGAGTGGGGCGCTACTCACGAATGGGAAGTTGTCGGGGTCGTGCGGCGAGGCTTGGATGAGGAACTCGTCGCGCCACGAGTCGAGGGTGTCGAATGACTTGGCTGAGTTGACATCGTAGACGAGAACGCAGCAGTCTGCACCGCGGTAGAAGGCTACACCGAGAGATTGGAAGCGCTCTTGTCCGGCCGTGTCCCAGAGCTGAGTGTGAGCGGGGAATGCATTTGCTCAGTACGGTGATCGGTGGGCGAGGAGCTTGGGCGCGGGCGCGGCTCACCTGCATTGTGACGAGACGGTCATCAACTACGACTTCGCGAGTGAGGAAGTCGGCGCCGATAGTAGCCTTGTACGACGAGGAGAAGCGCTTGTTGACGTCTGGCAGGGGGCAAGGTGAGAACATGGATTGTCAAGGGAGAACATTGAGGGGGAAGCGGAGCTTGCTGCGCGTACACACATTGGTTCATCAACGAGGTCTTGCCGACGCTGCGGGGAAGCAGTGGGGAGGTAGGTGAGCACAAAGTCAGCTGTAGCACGGTCGTAGATGCTCACCCAGAGTCACCAAGGATCTGAAATAGTGTGGATGCGGACGAGCAGAGGGATGAGTGACATGATCTGTGTGGTGGTGGGGCTGACAAGGGGTAGGTGACTTACGATGACCTGGAGGGCGGGAGAGCAAGGATGAGGGGAAGTCAGCTACAGTGGGGAGCGGGACGACAGCTGCAGCGCTCTCGAGCTCACCTTGAGCAGCACCTTCTTCCTTGTGGCCATGATTGCGATCTCGTGTGGAGAGGGGGAGGAGGAGGAGGATGCGAGTCGAAAGGGTCCAAGATCCGATTGAATGCCTTCAAGGGCGATGAAGCGATGTTGTGATGCCGCGTCGCTGCTGCTCGATCACTGGGAGGGGAGCAGTGGTGTCGCAGTGAGATGCTCCTTATGCGGTGGTGCCGGATCTCTCGATGACTATCGCTGTCGCTGAGGTGAGATGGAGGCGATGGTGTTGGTTGCAAGGGCCCACTGCTGCTCGCACACTCGCTCTCTCAGGGCCCTGTCCTGTCCGCCCCTCTCTGACTGTTCAGCCGCATCGATTCGAGTGGCTCGCTCGCCTCGCCCTCCCGCTTAGCCGCCCACGCCTGCCTCCGCCCGGCCCTCCTCGGCATCTCGACTCGACGATGTCGACGTTAGCTTACCAGGGCATGAGACCAAGCAAGAGGGGGGAGGGACTGCGTTATCGTCGAAGCAATCAGTGAGGAATCACAATGATGCTGAAGAAGAGCGTGTTGACGTCGAGGTGTGTGCTACCACTCCCCCTCTGGCTGCTGTGGGATGACGACGGGCCTCGCCCTGGGCGCTGCTGCTACTCGGTCGTCGCCCCGGCTTGCATAGCTCCCCTGGCGCGGGCTTTGGCTGGACGGGCGGGGCGGCCGGCGGACGAAAGTGAGATTGACACCGCCTGCGTGACGTCGAGGGACGTCTAGACTCCTTTCTCTCCCAACACCAACGGCAAGGACGCAAGAAGCGCTCGCGACCTCTCCTCCTTGCTCTCACTCCCCTCAACAGCATCATCGTCGCTCTGCATCACTCTTTCCTGGCCATTTCTTGATTCATCACATACCACGGCCAGCTCGAATCCTTCCCTGCCCTTCTGCGCATGATTGTCACGCCGCGAGTCTCTCATACCATCCCTCGCTCTCACAATGACATCGACGGCTGCGTCCAACGTCTATGATCCAAGCCGGGATGGGTCGTATAGCAACGATGGCGGCGGAAGCAGCAGCAGATATCAAGGCGGCGCTCATCCACCCCCTCGTTCACGGCAGGCCAGCATGGGACGTGAGTTCCAAATCGAGAGACGCCGAGATGACCTCGAGATTGCAATGCTGATTGTCATCTCCTCCCGTTCAATTAGCCCCGCAAATGTACTCCCAGTCAAACACTTCGGCGCCGGGCTTCGATCGCCAAGGGTCGTCGAGTCAGGGTCCACCATTAGCAGACGACTTCATGGCTAGGTCCTTCGACCAGATGAACCTCGGTGGGCCCCAAAATGTAGGATCATCGCCAGGCATGGGTCCCGTCCACTACAGAGCTCGTTCACCAGGAGCAGCGAGTGCTCGATCCAGCTCAGCAGCAGGACAAGCCGGCAGCGCTGCGCCTGGCTTCGGTAGTGCTTCAGGTAGCGTAGATCGTGCCAACGCCCTCTATGCTCAGCAGGAGATGTACCAGTCGGCTGCAGAGGTCAAAGACGAGAACAGTCTTGCCGCCATTGCCGACGAGATTGACCAGACGGCGGCCGACATCAGACAAGGTGGAGCTTCCACACCTGCACCACCGCAAGATCCCAACTCTTGGCAGTGGGCTGGCAATGGCGGCGGAGGGGCGAATCCCAATGCGAACGGCGGCGGTTGGGAATGGCAGCAGCATCAACAGCATCAGCATCCTACAGCTTGGCAGCAACAGCAGGCGTATCAGCAGGGCATGTGGCAGCAGCAGCAGGGTCAGTGGGGCGGTCAGGCGGGCTCGCAAGATGGCCACTACTATCAGCAGCAGCAGCAGGGTGGAGGAGATCAAGGCTACTACGAGCAAGGCGCATACGATGCTCAGTCGAACCCTTACTATGCCGCTGCTGCCGGGTACGGCATGGACTACCCTGGCCAGCCGCAGCAGCACGGCCAGCAGACACCTCCCTCTCTTTCTCGCCATCAGAGCGGGGCATCGCATCATCTCGGCATGACGCCCATGACTCCTGGTCCTGGCCCGCAGCCCGGCCTCTTCCGACAGGGAACAACAATGTCTGTTGGCTCCAATCACTCCGGCGGGCCAGTCTCCGGCGGACGTCGTCGCAGTAGCAAGGACGTGGGGCTGCCTCAGCAGACACTCCCGTACAGCAAGGACTTTGTCAACGAGTATCGGGCGAGGATGAAAGCAGACCCAGATCCCGAGGAGCAATTCCGTGAGTCGCCGCGTGTCCCCCGTCCATCCCCTCGCCCACCTGCTCACGTTTCCCGCCCCTTCTCCTTATCACGCAGGCTTCGCTCGCTACCTCATCGAAGCCGCGAAAAAGATCCAAGACCCCAAGGATGGCCCGAAGCAAGCGCGCAAATACCGGGACGCCCTTCTTTCAGAGTCGCTCAAACTGATCAAGCGCCTCGCCACAACAGGCATGGGGTTAGGCAAGCCCCCTTACGCCGAGGCCCAGTTCTTCCTGGCCAACTGCTTTGGCAACGGATCACTCGGCCTGCAGGTGGACCACGAGAAGGCCTACAACTTGTACGTCCAGGCCAGCAAGCAGAACCACCCTGCTGCGACCTATAGGACGGCAGTGTGTAACGAGGTGGGAGCTGGGACGAGACGCGACCATCATCGGGCCGTACTCTTCTACCGCAAGGCCAGCGCACTGGGAGATACGGCGGGGATGTACAAGTTGGGCATGATCTTGCTCAATGGACTGCTCGGACAGCCGCGCAACGTGCGCGAAGCCATCGTCTGGCTGAAGCGTGCCGCAGGGCAAGCAGACGAGGACAACCCGCATGCGCTGCACGAGTTGGGTCTGCTCCACGAGAAGCAGAATACCGTCGTACCGCACGACGAGGCGTATGCGCGGGAACTCTTTACTCAGGCGGCGCAGCTTGGCTATGCGCCTTCGCAGTTCAAGCTGGGCAGTGCATACGAGTATGGCGCCCTCACCTGCCCGGTGGACCCGAGGCGATCCATCGCTTGGTATACCAAGGCCGCAGGACGCAACGATGGCGAGTCCGAACTGGCGTTGAGCGGATGGTATCTCACTGGCTCGGAGGGTGTACTCAAGCAAAGCGACGCCGAGGCATATCTCTGGGCACGTAGAGCAGCGGCCAAGGGTATTCCCAAGGCAGAGTATGCTGTGGGGTACTACAGCGAGGTGGGCATCGGCGTCAAGGCGGATCTGGATGAGGCGAAGCGGTGGTACATGCGGAGTGCGGCGCAGGGGAACAAGAGAGCGATGCAGCGATTGACGGAGCTCAAGAAGATGGGAGCCAAGCCTGCTAAGAGGCCAGCGAGGGCTACGAGGGGGGACGCTGAAAAGGAGTGCGTGGTGATGTAGACGCGGGGACGGTCGTAATGTCATGATGTGTGACCCGCAGCGATGGCGAGACGAGCGAGAGTGCGGCAGCGACGTGCGTGGACGTGACTACCACCAGCGTGATATCACGCCAACCGCGACGTGATGGTCACGAGCTCGCACAGGACCCTCGAGTCGGCAATCGAGGCGGGTATTCTCAAGGTGCTGCTTCTTGCCCTTCTCATGCTTCCCACTTGCATCCTCGCACCTAGGCTGGCTGTGCCCTTGGCCCTCTCCATGCCGCGGCCTCCTGCCAAGCTTGCCCGCCGCGCTCTTGCTGCGCTCTTGGGTCTGATCAGCTGAGCCGTGGTGCTGTGCCTGCATCCGAAAAAGCTCCTGGCGACGCAATTCCAGCGGCCGCACCCTGCCTCCCCGCCGCTTCTCCGCCTGCGAGTGCGTGTTTGGGTCATCTGTCGCCCATTCTCCGCCCGTCCGCTCGCGAGTGGCTCCCCCTGCGTTCCCCTTTCCTTCGCTCTCCCCCCTCCCCTCCCCTCCCCCCTACCTCTTCCTCTTCCTCTCCGCTCCAAATTGGCGCAGCGGGCGTGCGCAAGGACAGGCGGCGTAAAGGACTCGAATTGAGTCAAGTCGAGTCGAGTGGCCTCACGTTGCACGGCTGTCCAACGATCCATCCTCATCCGCTGGCATTGATGGGCGTCTTGTCCTCCTTCTTTCCCTCTTAATCCTCACTCCCCCCCTCCCCCTTCGCTGCCCCTCTCTTCGTCCCTCCCTCCGGCTTCCCCGTACGGCTTCTCATAGAAACGCCCTCAATAAGCGCCGAAGAGCAGACGCGCCGTACGAGCCGCCTCTCGTCTGCGCCCCCGTCTAACTGCGGTCACCTCACCTCATCTCCCATCTCGTTCAGCAAGACACTTCCTACCCTGCTACGCACGACTGGATCCCCAAAAGGTAGTGAAGGCGCCACATTACCGCCGAGCCCCACTCCTCGTCCACCATGGTGTCCCCCTCTTCTACGCGCCTCGACGGCCGCCTCTACACCCTCGTCACCTTCGCCCTCATCCTCACTGCCCTAGCCAACTGCGCATCCGCCTCGTCATCTCATTCCAACCGTATCGACTCCCGCACGACCATCAACAGTCATTTGCGCCGAGCCACCTCCTCCAACCAAGTCACGGTTCACCACTCTCCACCCGCCCGAGGCTCAGTCTGGGATGCCTCAACTGGCAAGCTACGCGGTCGCGCTCGCGGCCTCCTCCATCACAGGTGGCACGGCGTCGAAGCAGCGCAGAAGCGTGACCTCATCTCTGATGTAGTGGACACGGTCTCAGGCGCATTGCGCATCGATACCGACGACAGCTGGGGCGTCTCGGTCGCACGAGCGCAGAATGACCATCAGGACAACGAGTGGCTGGTCACGGCCTCGTACGGCACGCCGGCGCAGCAGATGCAGGTGGTTCTGGACTCGGGATCCGCAGACGGGTACGTGTACAGCCCGGCGTGCTGCTATGCGTCCAACCACTCCGCTTTCGATCCAGCACGGTCGAGCTCGTTCAATAACCGTACGCTGGATGGAAAGACGGGCAGGCAGGTGAGAGCCCCAGCAGGCACGCCCGGCACAGAATGGAATGTCACGTATGGCTCTGGGAGGGGCATTCAGGGCTACCTCGGCCTGGACACGGTGTCCTTCGGCTCAAACCTCCGCATAGAGAACATGACCTTCGCCCTCGCCACGGGCGCGACTGGCGGCTCCTCCTCGGGCAAGATGGAAGGCCTCATCGGCTTCGCCCCTTCACGCTCTTTAGACCCGTACTACCCAGGAGGATGGAACGACCCACTCGAGGAAGGGGTGCGGGAAGGCAAACTAACAAAGCCTTACCTTACCGCTACGCTGGTGGAAGCGGAGCGTCGTACTGGCCTCGGTGGGGGAGGACGCTACACCTTTGGCAGTCTGGACAGTGCAGCTGCAAGGACAGAGCCGACGTGGCTCAATGCCACCAGCTCCAACTACTGGGGCATCTCCTACGACTCGATTCGCATTGGCTCAACGGACGTGGACGACCCAGCGGACAAGTACCACCGCATGATCGTTGACACTGGAACCGCTCTCGTCTTGTTCAGCGAGACGATCACGGACAAGATCAACGCGCAGATTGCAAATAGTGTCAAGCTACAAGATGAAGGCGGCGAAGAAGGGGCGGGAAGCACGAGCAATCCATGGCTGGTCCCTTGTCGTACGGGCTTGCCGGAGTACGAGGCCCGTCTGTCGGCCGACAAGCGCAACAAGCCCTTTAGCATCACACTCGGCGGGCAGGAGTTCACCGTACCCGTGAGCAGATTCGTCTTCTGGCCCTTGGAGCCACGGCCGACCATGAACGCCACGGTTCCCTTCGAGGACATGTGCCTCTCGGCCTTCCAGCCCACGAGTGCGCCCTTTGCCGTACTGGGGGACGTCTTCATTCGAGGGCACGTCGTGACCTTTGATACGGGAGTGCCCGTTCCCGCTAACCAGACAAAGGCGAGTGCAGCCTTCAGTGGTAGGAGGATTGGGGTGGCGAAGAGGAAGGGGGAGCCGTGAGGCGCAGCAAGAGGGAAGAGGAGATGGACCCGATTCGTATCCCTTTAGCCCGCGCCAGTTGTGGCAGCAAGGACTTTGTAGAGTGGACAGATGACAGACTTGGGGTCGCCATCCGTATCACGTAGCTAGCTTAGCATCTTTGGGCAACTCAGTGGCGAGACCCCGTAGTCGTAGTAGAGTAGTCACCTTTTTTCGTAATCGAAGCGATGCATGGGCGCATCATCACACCACACCACACTCTCTCGTGTCGCCGAATGACTTCGCTGTGGCGGGATATCGGGCGTATTGATTTGATCGTGAGAGGAGAACGACAAAACAAGAGCGAGCGCGGGACCGGACAGCCTGTCGAGGGTTGGCACGCCTCACGCACGCTGGCGTTGCCTGGCAGCGACCGTCTTGAGCTGTCGGAGCGAGAGAGCAGGGTCAGGATCGCAGCATGTCAGCGCAAGAGCTCTTGTTACGCGTCCTTAGGTATCGTGGGCTCGGACAAACTCACATGCGCGTATACCTTTCCAGGCGGGCTACCCAAGACAAGACTGACACAGGCATTCCTGGCAGTCCTGATAGCCTGGAATCCCCCCAAGATATGAATACGATCGTCCGCCAAGACGATACGAGTGCGAGTAGCATTCTCAATCGCATATCGCGTCCTCCCATCCTTTCCCGCCAATCGTCCAATAGCCCTACTCAGATGATCCCCCTGAAGAGTCTTGACGTCCTTAATCTGGAACGTGTCAATGAAAACGTCGTCCAATCTCAGCAGGGCAACAGCGTCGTCCGCCTCAAATCCCAAGGCGTAAGCGCGAAGCATGTCTGCCCCCTTCTGTACCAGTCCTACATCAGGGGTGTGAGGGGAGGAACGGATCTCGACGCATTTGCGAGGTACGTTCATGCGTACTTGGAGGTGGGCTACGTCCACTAGCGGGGTGTAGAGTTTGGGCCAGTCCGATTTGAGAGGGGTGAGACGATGTGGAGGGATGGGGATGCGGCGTAGCTGAGATTGCTTGGAGGAAGAGGAGGACGACGACGAGGCCGCAGATTGTTGGGTACGGGAGAGGGGGGCGAAGGAGGGGCGGGAGGATGAGCCTGACTCTGCGGCTGCTGAGCCAGCTTCGCCGTCGTCGAGGTCCATCCCGCCGTTGATGCCTGCGGCGCCTTCAGGTGCAGACGGGACGGTCGAGCTCGACCCGATCAAGAGGTCCTCATCGTCGTCGTCATCAACGCCGTTGCGAGAAGCAGCCGGCATGCTCGCCTTGGTACTGCTCCCGACGATGGACGACTTGACCGATTCTTTACCCTTGGAGACGGAGGAGAGGGTGCGAGGCGCTACGCTTGATGCTGATGAGGAGGAGACCATTATGCTGGGTGACGTTGCGGTGGAGATGGAGGGGGAGGATGCAAAGGTGGCTAAGCAACGGCGGGCGAGCGGGCGGGCTGCGAGGCTGTCCAGAGAAATTTGACTTCGAGGCGAGGCGAGGTAAGGCGAGGCGAAGCGGAGGGCCGCGCTCGGAACGGAGGCAGAGGGGGTTGAATTTAAGTGGGGCTTGTCATCCTTGTGCAGGGTGCGCCGATTTGTATTCATTCGATATCGATGTGTAGTCATTTTCGATTCGATTTGATTTTTCATTGGAGTCGACCGAGCAGCGATAGGGGCGTAACACAATCGAAGGTCAAGTCGAGTCGCGAGGAACGGAGGGGAGAAGGGGAGGTGGGGATATGGCGGAGGGAGGGAGAAGGAAAGACACAGAGGCGGGGTTGAAAGTTGTAGAGAGATGGCGAGGAGATGAACAGGGGCGTGGCTCGTCGCGGTCGTCGTCGTCATCGTCGTCTTCGTTATTCGTGCGTGCGAACGGAAGAGGGGTGAGCCGGGGCGGTAAGGAGCTGACAGAGATGCTATGCTGGCTTGATGCAGCCTCTAAGCGTCTCTTCCTCGCTGCACCGACATCCCGTCCTCATCACCTTGTCGCCCACCTAAAGCACGCAGCGCCTGGCCATGACGCCTGCAACCCCCTTCTATGCGCCAGCGCTGCGCTACACCTAAGTCGCCGCACGCTTAGTGGTCGGAACCAACGCCAACGGGGTGGGTAGGCTGGGCACCAGCGGGCATCTGAGCCGATGCAGACGAGTTGACCGAAGCCTTGGTGTTGACAAAGATGGGTCGGAGCACACGGCTGTAGACAACCTTGGCGCCCTGGGTCTGAGGCAGCATAAGGTAGAGGACGATGAACGTCTTGATGGTGTAGTAGAAGGGGAACCAGTAGAGGATGCTGTGTGCGCGCGGGAGGGGGCAAGGGGGTCAATGCTGCGCTGATTGAGGGGTCGTGCAGCGCACTCACACATTGACGAAAGTCTCGGCGAAGGTAAAGGCACCGAAGACGACCCAGTAGGTGAGCCATTGCACATCATCCTGGGGCTGGGGCGACTCGAGAGCCTTCATTGAGAAGTAGGCGGGCGCGGCGAAACCGATGAGGTTCGTCAGGAAGCCGGCGAAGATGTTGAAGAAAATGAGCTGGTGTGGGGTAGAAGATGCGTGTCAGTATCGTGGTCAAGCGTAGATGCGCCGCTTGCACTCACGATGGTCAGGAGCGAGACGGTACCGATGGCCGCGTAGGCCTTGGGCACGCTCGTGGTACGCTCGAAGTTGACCAGATGCGGGTACTTGGAGAGCTGCGAGTGTGGCAGAACAACGATGAGGGTGAGCGAACGTAATCGTGAGGATCGAGCTGGCTCCTCGCTACCGTCGCTGGCAACCATCGCCGTCACGGCCATCTGCGCAGGGTCTTCGACACCTCCACGTCACTCGCTGCGAAGCAGAGAGGCGGCCAACAACGACGACTGAAGCGACGAGCAGCGAGATCACAGAGGCACCGACGAGATACACACCTCCTTGTCAATCTGTTAGAGCGATGGAAAGATGGTGTTCAGTCTCTGCGCTCCTCGTTAGCACTCTTATCTCGTCTGAGCGCACTCACCTGAGCGACAAAGTAGTCGAACTTCTGCTGAAGTTGCTGAGCCTGAGCTGCCATTGTTGCGAGTCTGAAAAAGTGGGGGCGTGAAAGGGTAGCTCTTGATGTGATGTCGTTTCTCTCAGAAGTATCTCAGCAAACGCTGTTGGGTCGTGATGATCTCGTGAGTGTGAGTTGATGAGAAGATAGAAAGGAAGGACGACGAAGCGGGCCACACAGACAACGACGAGCAGGGCGGCCGAGGCGCACGGCAGAAGGCCAGCGCTGCTGCTGGCTGAGTGAGTGACTGAGTGTCATAGGGTCGACCCTCGCTCGCTCCCTCTCTCTTCGCTGGTGCCTCGACAAACTAAGCGGCATGGCGGGGCGGGGCGGGGCGGTGCGGTGCGAGGTGCGGGCAAGCAAGACTGCAAAGTGGAGCCGCCCGCTCACTCAACTCGACGCTCGATGGCTCAAAGGAAGGAGCCCGCGTGAGAGAAGCACAATCAGAGCACGCGAGTCGAACCGTTCGCTCAAATGGAGCAGGCATGACGATGTGGTAGCGACGGGGGTGACGAGTCCGCACTCGTCGCGTTGGACAGCCTTGTTGCGGGCCGTCATCCCTGTTGCCTGAACTATCCCCTGAGGGCAAAGGCCTCGCTCGCGCCCGCGCTCTCGGCGCCGCCCGACATCATCGAGGCTGCGTGGGCGTGGCTCGTGCACGGGCGCTCTCTGGCTGAGCCAACACTTTTTGTCTTCCCTTTCCACCACTCGCAGCCATGACCATCGCTGCGCCTAGAGGGCCGCTATCGCAGGCATTCGCTCGCTCTTCGACATCACCAGCTTCACCTTCGTCTGCCTCGTCGTCGTCTGCTTCTCCCTTTGCCGCCCTCTTCGGTGCTGGTCAGAATGGCGGCAACGCAGCAAAGCGCCACCGAGGCCTGGCTCCCTCGATTGCCGTCAAGAATGCCAAGGGTGTGTGCAGACGATCTCTCTGACAATCTGTGTGCACTCACTCATGCCTCTCGCTCCTCGACCTGCTCAGCGCCTTCCGCAATCAAACCCAACTTTGCCCCTCAGAACCTGGCACTCGTCTCTCGCTCTCTGCGGACCATCCTTTCCTCCAGCTCCAGCAGTGGGCAAGAATTGACCATCTCCTTGGAGCAGCTCTACAATGTCGTCGAGTCGCTCGTCCACGTCGCAAACGTCGGCGCAGACTTGTACGAGCGAGTCAAGATGGAGGGGGAGAGGGCTGCCGTTGAAGTGGCGCGCGATCTAAAGAATCAGATGAGCAGTTCAGCGTGGTTGGCGGCGTTGGCTACGGCGTGGCAGCAGTGGCTGCGGAGAATTGTGAGCTGGCGCCCGAGAACTGTAAGCGGAGAGCATGCTGACGCCTCATTGCGCTTCCATACCCGCAGGCTACTGTCTCTGATGTCCTCGTCACTCTCGACTCTGGTTACGTCCTCTCGCATCCCGAGCTGCAGACCTCGCACCGCCTCCTCATCGATCTGTTCACGCACCACGTCATCGACGATCAGGCTATCCTGGACAAGGCCCTTGGGGACTTGTCCAAGAGCATAGACGGCGAACGAGATGGCTCCCTCACAGCTGCGTATCGCCCTCTGCATACACCCCTCCTCGCCCTCTTCCTGCGCCTCGATCGCTACTCGGCGATGGAAGAGCGAATCCTCACCGACACACGCACCTTTTACTCGCTCGAAGCTGCCAATCTGGCGTCTCAAGGTGCCACCGCATCTTCAGCAGAAGCGCTCGAGACGTACCTCACTCACGCTCAGAAGCGCATCGAGGAGGAGACGCAGCGAGCTCAGTGGCTACTGGAGGTGCAGAAGGGGCGCGAATGTCTCGTGACCACGACTCGCGAGGAGCTCGTCAAGAAGCAAGCAGAGTGGCTTACGGCAGGGCTGCCCACCCTTCTCCTCGCTGGCGGCAGTGGCGCGCACCTCGGCCCTCTTTCCCTCTTGTACCGCCAGCTCCTCTCCGTCGGCCTTCTCGAGCCCCTCACAAAGGTCTTTGTCGATCACATTATTGCTGTGGGAACCACAATCGTCAATCCGCCCTCAGCTGCCAAGGCATCGAAGGTCCCTCACCCACCCAAGAGCGAAGAGGACAAAGAGCTGCTTCGCCTCGCTGCAGCAGACGAGGACGCTCTCATTGAGCGCTTGATCGATTTCAAGGACACCATCGACGCAACCGTGGAGCAAGCCTTCGAGAAGCACGACTCTTTCCTCGTGAAGCGCAAGGAAGGCTTCGAGCGTGTAGTCAACTCGCGCACAGGCGGAGGAAAGGTGGCCGAGCTCTGTGCCAAGTACCTCGATGTGAAGCTCAAGAGCGGGAACAGGACAATGAGTGATGAGGAGCTGGAGAGATGCCTCGACGCTGCGTTGACCCTCTTCAGATACACGCATGCGAAGGACATGTTTGAGGTAAGCCCGCGCAGGGAGATGTCAATCGGCCTAGCCTGCCATTGCTGACGACGTTGCCGCCCCTTTCTCCCTCCTCGCTCGCCACCAGGAATTTTACAAACGTCACTTCGCCAAGCGCCTCCTCCTGAATCGCTCCGCCTCAAGTGACGCCGAACAGTCGATGCTGCTCAAGCTCAAAGACGAGTGCGGCCCCGCCTTCACGCAGCGTCTCGAAACAATGCTCAAGGACATCACGCTGAGCGACGAGATGATGAAGGCCTTCTCCTCCATGCAGAGCAAAGCGCTCAGCGAGACGGAGGGCGAAGACTTCGAGCTATCAGTCAACGTGCTCACTCAAGCGCACTGGCCCACCTACCCGATGGTAGAGGTTAGAATTCCTCCTGCGATGGCCACCGCGACGGAGCGCTTCCAGACCTTCTACGGTGCTCGAGCCGCAGGAAGAAGACTGCACTGGGCCCACTCCCTCGGTACATGCGTGCTGCGCGCCTCCTTCCCCACCAAGGCAGGCAAGGGCAAGCCAGCAGGCGAAGACGTCAAAGAATTGCACGTCTCTGAATTCCAAGCAATCGTCCTCCTCCTCTTCTCCGACCTTGCACCGGGGGAGAAGCTCCACTACTCTGCCATCAAAGAGCAGACGGGGCTCGACGATACGGAGCTCAAACGCACCCTCCAATCCCTGGCTTGCGGGCAAATCCCCACACGCGTCCTCCGCAAAGAGCCTCAGGGTCGCGAGGTGGACGCAGAGCTGGACTCGTTTGGTCTCAACGAGCACTTCAAGAACGATCGACATCGCGTGCGTATCAATCAGATCCAGATGCGAGAGACGCGCGAAGAACAGGCATCGACCCAATCCCGCGTTCTTCTGGATCGCGATCTCGTTCTGCAGGCCGCGGCGGTTAGGGTGCTCAAGGCGCGCAAGCAGTTGACTCATGCTGAGCTGCTTCAGGAAGTGGTGGACGCGATCAAGAGTCGGTTCCATGTGGATGTGGGTGAGGTGAAGAAGACGTTTGAGAAGTTGATTGAGAAGGAGTATATGGAGAGGGTTGAGGGGCAGAGAGGGGTGTATCGTTACTTGGCGTGACGTGACGCGACGTGCCATTTGATTCAGAGCTCGTCGTGCTGCGCGGGTGCATTTTGCTCGGGCGAGTTCTGCTCGGCCTCGATCACTTCCTCGACGATCTCCGGCTCCTCTTCGACGAATACGACCTCCTCTACTACTTCCTCCACCACCGCGTCATCGTCATCGTCGTCGTCACCGTACTGCTGCTGCATTCCCGCCGGCGTTTCCGCAGAGAAAAAGGAGCTGACCACCTCGTCGACCGCTTGGGTTAATGGCTGCGCCGTCTCCCCGGCCGCTGCGGCTGCCGATCCGGCTGCGACTGCCGCTTCGGCCGCTGACGATGCGCGGGCTGCCGCTTCCATAGATGAGGAGGACGACGACGAGTATTGGGCTGCTTCGACGGATGAGAGACGAGCTGCTTCCTCGACGGACGAGACTCGAGCCGCTTCCGCAATCGAAGATGCGCGAGCGACCTCCTCCATTGACGATACTCGCGCTGCCTCCTGCATCGACGAGACGCGGGCTGCTTCTGCGGCAGAGGACTGCGCTGCCTCCTCGCTGGCTCTGCTGGCTGCTGCGGAGAGGGAGGATGATGACGACGAGGAGGAGGAGCTTGCCGCGGCCGCCGCCGCTACCGCCGCCGCAGATTGAGCTGCCGCTGCAGCCACCTCGCTCGCCTTGCTCTTTGCCGCCTCTGCCAGACTGGCTGACACGACGCTGCTGCTACTACTCTTGCTAGCCGCAGCGGCGGCGGCCACCGCCTTCGCTGACTCCTTTGCAGCAGCCTGCGCCGCCCCTTTGGGCCCTAAGATGCCCACCCCTCTGAACAAGAGGGCCACGACGGCCATACCGCGATCCCAGATCCTGACCTTGAGTACGTAGCCCACACAGGCAAAGAAGAAGAGGTAGGCCGCCATTAACATGAGGAAGTCCCATCTATCCCTGCTCTTCATGCCTTTCAATATCTTGCCCGAGTTGGTCATCAGCAGCTGGAAGGAGGCGTAGTCCATTCCTAGCTCTGCGAGGGATTGGGAGCTTTCGTCTAGGAGGGTGAGGGAGTGGGAGGATTGGACTAGGGAGTGGGAGAGGGTTTGTAGCGTGGATTGGAGCGAGGAGGTGAGCTGAGAGCTGTGTTGCGCAGCAGAGGTGCTGTCGGGGTCGTTTGAGGTTGGTTTCGCGTTGCGAGATGCGGGTTGGAGACCACCGTTGATTGGCTTGTACGAGGGAGGAGGAGCGGATGAGTCGGAGCGTGGGACTTCTTCCGCTGGAGGTGGGCGTCGTTTCGTCTTGTTCTCGGCCAGGCCTCGACGAGCGGAGAGGAGGGCTTGTCGAGCAGAAGAGCGGACGCTGGCGGCGATGCGAAAGGAGACACGCTCTGATGAGCATACGCTTTGTGCTCTCGCGCAGTCGAGCTAACTCACCTAGCATACTGCGCCTTTACCCTCGCCCACTCGACCTCAAGGACCTCATCGCTCCCACCCCTCTCGTCGCGCACCTCATCCAAGATAGCATCGCCTTCCCTCAGAAAGCGCTTGCAATCATCCAGAGCATCGTTGAGTTCTTGCTCGTAGCCGGCAAAGGCGGCCTGAGCTTGCTGGGCGGAGGCTGGGGACGAAGAAGAGGATGAGGCGAGGCGAGGGAGTTGGAAGGACTGGACGTCTCGCAGGCGGAGGGTAAGGGGTGTGATGAGGGCGCTGAGCTCGGGAGGGAAGCGTGAAGATTGTGTTGGCTGCGTTGACGCTGTTGCCGTAGCCATCATTGGGAGGCAGCTGGTGTTGGTTGCGAAAGAAAGAAAGAAAGCAGGCGCGATTCGAGGCACGCACGCATCGGCCCTCGACTTGCTGCGACGTGGAGGCGAGACGCGGACCGCGGGCGGGGCTGGCGATGATTGCCTTTGATCACTTCTTCCTTCGCCATCAATTCATCCCATCCAACGACTTCGCGCCCGCCAACAATGGACGCAGTAGTGGACGAGGTCATAGCGGAGAGTGCCGATCAAAGCTTCGAGAAGGCTGCCTCGACGATCGGCCACCTCACCTTGCCCAGCACAACCCTCTGGCTTCACCCGGCCATCGTCATCCTCCTTACTGCCTCCCTTTCGCACACCCTCAAGTCCATCGGGAGTGAGGCGATTCTCACCTTTCTCGTCCAGCCCACCCATTCTTTCCTCTTTCAGCGAGGACTCGCTCGCAAGCAAAGCGTATTGAAGCGTGACCTCTTTGAGACGCGCCAACAATTAGGAAAGACGAGCAGCCAAGACGAGTTTGCCAAATGGGCCAAACTGCGTCGTAAAGTGGACAAAACGCTGGCCGAACTGGAGGGGGTCAACAAATCCCTTTCCTCGTCTCGATCCACGCTGAGCATGATTGTCAAGGCGCTTCTGTTCATCGTGACTACCTTGGCGCCCTTTGCGGTGACAACGTATTATAGGAAGACGCCCATCTTCTGGCTTCCTCCGGGAGCGGCTATTCCACCAATGGCGCTCATTCGTGGGGGCAAGAAGGCCGGTGGGACGGCTGCGGCTAATTGGCTGGGTCCGATGGGATGGGTGCTTAGCTTGCCGAGCGCACCGGCCGGTACGTAGCGGCGAGGGTCGCAAACATCGTCCCTCCACGCTCTGACCCTTCTTCTCCTTTCCTCCTTCGTCATCGCAGGCGCCGTCTCCGCCACAGTCTGGAATATGGTCTGTGGCCGCATCCTCGGCATGCTCACCTCCCTCCTCAAGGACATGGTCCTCCTCGCACTCGCCCTCGTCTCACCAGTCGACGATTCTAAGCTAAAGCCAATCAGCTCCGCCTCCTCCTCGGCCCGCACCCTCTGCTACTCCATCGGCCTCGCCTCATGCAGCTTCGCCTTCTCACAGTTCGCCCAACTAGAGATCCTAGCAGGGATAGACCTAAGCTCGCAGTTTGGAGGTCACTACCAGTTCCTCACCAACCTCAGCCTCGCATTCACTTTCGCCACATTGCTCGCCTCACTCGCCCACACCCTCTCCCCCTCCGTGCGACCCCTGCGAGTCGTGAAGCGCCTCCTCGCAACCTTTACCCTCCCCGCAGAGCTAATGGTCTCCCTCCTCTACTGGACCGTCCTAGCGATCAACCCCTCTCTCCTCATTCCCGAACGAGAAGTAGCCGACCCGCTCAACCCAGGTCAATTCGTCATGGAACCCGTTCGCCTACCCTGGGTAGTAGACCTAACCATGCACGCCTTCCCCGCCATCTTCCTCGTAGTGGATTTCCTCTTCTTCTCCCCACCTCTACCCCTCTCGGTGCGGAGGCTCACGACGAGCTGGCCAACGTACAGTGCAGGGTTGGCCGTATTCGCCTATTGGGGGTGGGAGAGCCTCTGCGCCTCCAAGAATGGGCATTACCCCTACCCCTTGTTGGGATTGATGAGTACGACGCAACGGGCCCTGTTCCACGTAGCGTGCGTCTTTGTTACGGTGGCCGTCTTGTTGGGGATCAATGCTGTGCATGGGGTCATGGATAGGAAGGTCTTGGGCAGGCGATGGACGTGGGGGAGTGAGGAGGCAGTGCAGGCTGAAGCGAGGGTGAAGGCCGAGAAGAAGGGACAGAGCGAGAAGCGGGAGAAGGAAGGTATGGAAGAGCCCGTCGCGCAGTCGATCAAGACGTCAGCTGTACCGGCTGCGTCGGAGGGAGAGCAGCTGCGGCAACGCCCCGTCGGTACAGGTGCGACGTCAGGGAAGGAACACGATGAGCTGTAGTTGCGCGGATGAAGCAGCGCGCCCGAAAGAAACACACGCCCTGTTCTCTGAAACGAGGCCCCGCTCCCAGTGGAGAGATCTCACTCTTGTAACCACACCTCGCATTTCACCGACAGTTGCACAACCACACACTGCTTCTTCTCTGCCTCGCTCGGCCTCTCATCCCTTGACCTGAGCCGCACACCAAATAGTCCCACATCCCAGCACGAAGACCAGCACGGCGACATCGTCTACGCACGTGCCGAGGAGGGTAAGCCAACGCTTTCCCGTCACGACGACGAAGCGGAGTGTGGGTGGGAGGAAGTTGAGCAACATTGAGAGTGGGGATCCGTCCATTGCTTGCTGGCCGTGTGGGGAGGTAGAGCCGGCGAAGGGCGAGGGGAGAAGGAGAAATCGCAGGGATTGGAGGAAAAGCTCGAGGAGGAGGAAGAGGAGGAAGAGGGGCTGTTTGTGTGCCGTGTGAGGAGGAGAAGTCAAGGTCAGTCAAAGTGACGGGAGAGGGAGGGAAGATTGCCAGCGGGGCTCGCACAACTCACTACCGGCCCTTCCAATCCTACCCTCGCGCCATCGATATCGAAATGTCTTGCCTGCACCCCTCCCCCACCAGTAGCCGTCGCGCTAGCCACTGTGTTTGGTCGATAATACGCCAAGCTGGCCCAGCTGTTCAACCTCTGCCTGCTCTCCACCTCGCGCATCGCCACGTCCATATGCTGCTGAGCGGTGGGAACGCCAAGCAGGGCAGTGGAGACGGCAAAGTACCCCAAGGCGAGGAAGACGACTGTGTGCAAGAGGGAGAAGAAGCGCGTGGAAAGCCAAGAAGTAGGGGCAGGTTGGCGTTGTTGCATGAAGGGGGGAAGAGGAGGCATCCCATCGGCGCTTGCTTGACCAGGTTGGCCTTGTTGTTGTTGTTGTTGCTGCATAGCCGCAAAGAGCTGGGAAAGGTCGGGCATCCCACCCATTCCTGCTTCGCCTCCTGATGCACCCGATCCGGCGCCGCCGCCAGTCAAAGCAGCCATCATCTGAGCAAAGGGATCCTGGGGCATCGGTTGTCCTCCCTGACCCTGTCCCGCCGCGCTCTGCTGCTGCTGCTGTCGCTGCCAAGCCTGCATGGCTCCCTCCATCTGTTGATCCATCCTCGCCTGATCACTTATATCGATCTCCTCCGGATCGTCCTCATCCCCTCGCCCTCCCGCCTTCCTAGCCTGAGATGGAGCCCCACCCACAGCCGGCGGTGGGGTAGAAGGATAAAGCAGTTCTGCCTCATCCCCCCGAGCCTGTTTGGTCAGCTTGGCCAAGCGATCCGTACCTTTCCCCAAGATGCGGGCTTTGCGCGCTTCGCGACGGGCGGCTGCATCGCTTGGTGTGCCCGAGGTCGGGGTGGAGGGTGAGGAGGAGGAGGAGGTGATGGGAGGCGTTGAGGCTGTGCCACCGCCGCTTGTGCTGGCGTCGAGGGAGGAGGAAGACATGCTGCGGTGTGATGAGGGGTGAGGAAGGAAGGGAAGGAAAGGAGCGACGGACGGACAGAGAGCGCCGAGGCCAACGCATCGGACGGACAGACGCGTTGCTGAGTGGAGAAGAGTCAGCGCTCACTCGAGGGCTCACTCACGCCTCGTCGACCGCTACACACTCCTGCGCTACAATCGATCCGCATCGTGCGTCTCTGCCTAAAGATACAACATGAAAAGAGACATCCCGCTAATCTCCCCCGCCCTAGATACGAATCGCATAACTGCTCCCTGTGACACCTCCCGCCCTACTCACGTACCTCACCCACTTGATACTCTGATACCCGCTCTTCTCCCACACCTTCAAGTACCTCACCAACAGCCCACTCGCCGTAAGCATCAGCACTTCAAAGTCCATCTCAATGGGCGGTCGACTCCACGCCTTGCGCACCGTCGTTGTGCTAGTCAAGGTGGCCTCGGCCGTAAGCGTCGCGTCGCTCATTCCTTGGATGCGCGGCATCTTCCACAGGATCTGGGAGGAGGAGGAATCCCATTTGGCTTTGCCTAGGGCAACTTCGCATTTCACGCCAGTGGTGTTGGGTGGGGTGGGGATGCGAACCACGACGTCTGTGCCGTGCAGCTTGGCGTCAAAGTTGGCTTTGAGGTGGACGGTGTACTCTACCTTGGACTTGCCGACCTCCTCCACAATGGGGTGGACCTGTGAGCGAGCGAGCAGCGCGGTTGTCAGTCATGTCGCACAGTCACACGCCTCTCTCGCGCCGCCTCTACGCACCTTGAAGGGCAAGTTCACGTTGTTAGTCGAGCGATATCGCATAAGCTCGAATGCCCCGTCCGGCGGGGTAAAGGAGATGGACCTGTCCGTGTCGTATTTGTTGAGCTTGACGCACTGGTGGAACTGACAGTCATCCAGCTCTACGGCTCCCACGGCAGAAGACTCGTCGCCCAGACCGGGACAATCTCCCATGCTTTCGCCATTGCGCTGCTTCTTGCGGTCGAGAACGAGCTTGTCGTTGAGACCGAACTTGCACTCGGGCCTGTGCGTGCGGGGCAAGGGGGGCGCGATGGTTAGAGTGAGGATGGTGACACAGGGAGGCCGCCTCGTCACACTCACATTCCGGTGAGATAGGCACGCATTAGGATTTGGCCGTCCACGTCTGCTCGTAGTACCGTGCCTGCAGCGGCCAAGCCGACGAAGAGCAACACCTTATCAGCTCAGCTCTCGCACGTACGCCCACACGCTCTCTACTCACCCTTGCTACTCATCAGCAAATTCACATTCTCCACCACGTCAACGAATGCCTCGTTCTTCCTGTACTTGACATCCGCCCTCCTCCAACTCGTGGCCCCTGTAGCCTGGATAGTAATCTTGGCCGAATCCTCCCTCACGGCCTGCTCCGACTTCACGCCCTCGGTCGTGATGTACATTTTCAGAGTGTCCGTCTCTGAGTTTTGAGGGTAGCCGAAATCGAGGATTTCGTCGAGGAGCTCGTAGATGAGGACGAAGTTGTTCTTGACGCCTGGTGAGAATAGACGTGGGGAAAGGGCAGGGTGAGCTGGAGGCAGTGCCCTCTTGGCGCCTCTCGCGCCTCTACTCACTCTCCTCGTCCAACTTGCCGAAATAGCTCCTCCCGATGCCTATCAGTCTATAGCAAAACTCGAACACCAGCGCCGCATTGGCATTGTTCTTAGTCACGGCCACAAGGTAAAGGTTCTCATGTCGCACATGGAAGAAGGAGGTGCTGCCCAGAGTGATGATCGGGGAGCGCACCGAAGGGTTGGAGATGACTTGGATGCGGAAGATCTCTGCGATTGATCGCTTGATGTCAGGGCGGTATAGGCGAGAGATGAGGACGTCGCCCTTTTGTGTGAAGACGAAGAAGGCGCTGATCATCGCGACGACGAGAGGGCGAGAGCTGCGATGGTAGCGCCTGAAGGTGGGGTAAGAGGGGGGGGGGGGGGGGGGCAGGGGATCGCACGTCAAGTTGTTCGCCCGCCGCCAGTCGCTGGGCGACGCCCCATGTCCATCTGCACGAGCCAGGCCATTTGCCGCCGGCCCCCCGCCACGCCTCGCTGCGTGCGCCCTGCTGCTCTCGACCCCCGGCCTGTTGCTTTGTTCGCTCGCAGTCACCAAGAAAGGGCAGCCCTTTGTCCACATAGACTCGAGCAGATGATGCCAGCCTGATGACCATCTCCCCACCTTTGTCTCTCCCAAGAGCTGACACGGAAGCGCAGCTTGAATGGAAATCTCTCGAGCGGGACGGTCTGGCTTGGCGTACAAGGGGGCCCGTGATCACGCTCAGACTGGGAAGCGCTGGAGGACCGCCACCACTATTGGGTCAGAGCGAAGGCATCTTTGTCGTTTCGACATTCTCGCCCCGACCATTGACGTTTGACTTCTCGGAAGTTGACTCTTTTCGCATCGACGCCTTCTCAGCGCGACGCCATGACCTCTTGTGAAAGAGCCCCTATCCGAGCCCTGACCCGCAGATCCCCTCGTCGCAGCATTCAGGCAAGCAGCTCTATCTGTCTTCGGGGAATGATCGAGGCAAGAGGGAATGCAGGTACAGGATAGAACAGAATGCGACGAGGTGTTGCGGAGGGTACCGGGAAGAAGGAAGGAAGAAAGGAAGGAAGAGACTGAGACTCGGAGGGGAGAGAGGCAGAGGGAGGTCGCCGTGCTGACTGCCCGCTTGCGTGCGAGAAACGCCCGCCGCCCATTACTGATACTAGCGCGAAGATCTGCCGCTCGCATCGCTATAAGAGGGATCGAGCTCCTCTTCGCAGCAATGTCTCACGAAACTCATCTTCCTTTCTCCCCCCTATCCCTCTCATTGCACCCCTGAGCCCACTCCCAAGCCTGGACGTAGTCACCCACACTCCTTGAACACTCTCACGTTAACGAGCGCCACTCAACCAACCTCGCTAGAACACACGCACGCCGTCATGCGCTTCACCACCTCAACCAGTATCGCTCTTCTGACCATCGCAGCCGCCTTCTCTCCTGCAAGTGCTCTCCCCTCCTCCTCGTATTCCCCCTGCAGGGTCAAATACAACTTCGACTCGTCCAACCCGCTCGATATGGACCTCCGCAGCTTCGCCCTCACCCTACAGCAAGGCTCAGCCTGCGCCTACGACCAGGTGCACACAGCTTCCACAACCTTTGCCGCCTACGCTCAGCAGGGGGCCAGCCTCGCGGTGGCAGGAGCAGCCAGTGGAGCCTCAACGGTCGAAAGCAATGCCCAAGCAGCCGCCCTCGCCGGCTCACAGTACGCCCAACAATTCGCAGCAGAAGTGGCTGCCTCGTACACTTACCTTGCCAGGCTTTACGGGCAGGCAAAGACTTTCTTCGCCACGTACGAGACACAACTTGCCGCCTCCGATGTTGGACAGGCCGTGGCTTCTTTCCAAGCCCTGTACCTCGCCACATGCAAAGCCCTCGCCGATTTCAAGCCGTACGCCCCATTCATGACGAGTGCGCAACGTGCTGTACGCGATTTGGATGCGGCAGAGGCGGATTTCACCAGCTCGCTGCAGAGGTATGGTGGTAAGGTGTATGCGAGGGTGCAGCCCGTTGCGGGGGATGCGGAGCAGGCATTGGGGGAGATGGTGGGGGCGATGCGTAAGGGGGAGCAGGCGGTCAAGAATTTGGGGAAGGACGCCGTGGGAGTGCAGGTGTAGAGGAGGGGGGGGGCGCTCCATCATACCATTCATAGCGCTTTGCGTCGTCTACTACCCATTCACGATGGCTATCATGCTTCATATTGGATACCAATCTCTGTCATGCTTTAATCTTCACGCCGGCAGGAGCGGCTAGGCATCACTCTCCTCTGCCCCATCCCCTCGCTGCTCATCCTCATTATCGCTCCTCTCCGTAGTAGCATACGTCTTGCTTAGCCAATAGTCGCGAGAGCGCTGTCTCTTCAAGCCTCTCGCGGAGGATGTGGCGCCGTTTGTGGCGCTGCCCTTGATGACTACCTGCCCCTCCTCCGGTGAAGAGCCTGAGCCACCCTCGCCCACCCCACCGTCGCTCTCGTCCATCTCGCTCCCACTGCCGCTATCCGATTCCTCGCTGACGTAGCGACGCTTCTGCCTCTGCTGCCTCTGCTGCTGCTGCTGCTGCGACGGCTGCCTCCTCCTCGTAGCAGCATACCGCGAGTCCGTCTCCTCGTCACTCTCATCGCTCGAGTCGATGCGGATCGCCGGACCCACGCCATGATCCCTTCGCCCTCCTCGCGGGGTACTGTGACGAGATGACGATGCGGACCGCGCTGCCCCGCGGATGTTGATAACACTTTCCACCCCGCTAGAGGAGGACGACGAGCCATTGCGCGGTCCGTTCTCTCCGGTGGAAGGATCACGTGGGGGCTGGGGCGGCGGGGGAGGAGCGGGTGAGGGAGGCGGGTAATGTGGCTCTGGCGGTCTATTACTGCGACTGGATGGCCCAGGGCTGGGCGATCTACCCGGCGGAGAGCGACCCAGCTTGGCCTGCAGAGCGCCAGAGTCGTATAGCTGGGCGATGTCCTTGCGCGCCTTTGTGAGGTCGCGACTCACACCGATGATGCTTCCCAGGAGGGACTGAGGGTCGCGGTCGCTGCGTGATGACGATGAGGAGGAGCCCTGACTGCCTGAGAGAAGGGCGGCGCGCGCTTCCTCGTCGGGGTCAAAACGGACATGTTGCTGCTGCGAGGCTGTGCCCCGTATCCTGTTCGCTCCGCTTCGCCCCCTCGCCATGTCAATCCCTCGCTGGCACACGGCCGCAGTGAGCAAGTCGAAGGCGCCAGAGAGGGCCGACCTGATGCTCAAGATGTTGTACGACCCCTTGGAGATGTCATTGTCCGCAGCCTGGGGATCCTCAATGCAGAGCTTGTACGGCTTGCCCTGATCTACCCAGCCTCGATTCGACTTGCGGAAATAGCCCCCACCATCCCTCACTGTAAGCCCCGTCTCATCGTACCCAAAGTTCTTGCCGTACAGCTCCAGAAATTCGAGGAAGAGCACACCGAGGTTGAAGCAAGGGTCTATCTCTCCTCGCTGGACTTTTGGGTGGAGCTGTAAGAAGTTGATGACCATGAGGATCACGGAGAAGGAGCCTAGCCCGCCCGTGTAAACTTCGCTCATGCCGCGTTGTTGAAGGAGGTGCTTTGTGATTAGGATGAGGGGGCGAATGGCGGGCATCTCGCTTTGCATGCGATTCACCCAGTCGGCTGCTTGGAGGCCATTCACCTGGTTGACAGAGATGTCGCAGCGGTATCTGGCGCGGCGTAGGAACAGAGTGAGAGGATCAGTTGTGCGCTCTATGAGGGCTCTCAGAGTCTTGAGGAGGCGCGCACTCACCGCCCGTATGTGCAGACGAACTTGATGATGGGCACCTTTGCTTTGGCAATGACCTGCACGTCCGTTGCAAGATTGTTGCGTCTGAGACAAGCGGCCATACTCCTGAGTACCCCCTCCCTCCTCTGCATCTCCATGGCTTCACAAACGACGACCAAATCAATGTCCCCTTGCGGCAGATAAAGCTCAGTATCCTGACTACCAAAGCTGTGCACCTTTGCATCACGCCATTGCGACGTTATTGCGTTGCGGATGAGATCGATGACCATCTCTCTGCATGCGTGTTCCTTGCGCGTCGGGGAGAGCCACCCTTCGAAGGCGATGAGCTCGCGGTTGAGCTGCTGAGCTGCATTGCGTGCTGTGGACCAATTGACATCGATGCTCCACGGCGTGCCGCGAGCTGCTGCTCTCTCTCTCTCCTTCTTTGTCATGCCATCGTCCGGCGGCATCGTTGCTTCATCGCCGTATTTGCGCTTGCGACCACCGCCACCACCACCTCCGCTGGTAGAGGGGGAGGTGTGGCGAGACTGACGGCGGGAAGGGGCGGCTGATGACGAGGTGGTAGAAGGACCGGCCTCTGCCGAAATGGCTCCGCTGCCACTGCCGCCCGCTAAGTCGTCGCCACCGCCGAGATCGAAGCCCACAAAGTCCTCTGCGCCGAAGCCGGGGCGTGGAGGAGGAGTGGCCACAGCTGTCATGGACACGAGGCGGAGGGTGAGGACGTGGTGGTGGTAGTGGTGGTGACGGCAGAGTGAACGCACGTCTCGCTCGCCCCTTCCGCGCTGAGAGAATTTGTGTCCGCCCGTCCGAGGCGGAGGGCGGAGACGAGGCGGGAGGCGGGCAGCAGGGTGCGTCGTCGAGCCGCGTGTGGGCGTGGGCGCGGGCGTGGGCGTGGGTGGGCGTAGGTGGCCTAGCGCAACTGCAGGCAGCGAGCGAGGCCAGAGAGCGAGCACAAGCCACTCACCGACGACGCTCCCTCACACCTCGCTCCTTGCCCTCCTTACCATCACTCACACTCGACCCCTCGCCCCCTCGCCCCCTCGCCCCCTCGCCCCCTCGCCCCCCTCTGCCTGCGCATGCCAACAATGCGCATCGCATCCAAGCGTCTAGCCAAAGAGCTCTCCGACCTACGCTCGGGCGCACTCCCAACAGGTTGCACCATCCTCCAAGCCGATGACTTGCAGACGTGGATCTTCCAAATCGAGACGCTAGGAGAGACTGTATTCAAAGGGGAACGATTCGCGCTGCGCTTTCGATTCGACGATCAGTACCCTATCGAGTCGCCCGAGGTCGTCTTTGTGGTCAGCGATGGATGGAAAGCGCCTGAGGCGTCGCATGTCTATTCTAATGGGCATCTCTGTGAGTGCCGCGGGCGGGGAGCAGAGTGCGAAAGAGAGGGTAGATTGTACTGACCAGGTGGTGTCGCTCGCAGGCCTATCCATCTTGGGCGACGAATGGTCGCCAGTCATGTCCGTCTCTAGCGTCCTGCTGAGCATCCAGAGCATGCTAGCCAGCCAGAAGGTGAGCCCGCGTCGTCCCATTTCAACTTAAAGCCAGCCTAGAGCTCACCTCCCGCGCTCACCTCGCAGCAAAAGGAGCGACCACCCGACAATGACCGCTACATGAAGCATGCCCCGCTCTCTCCAAAGGACTCTCGCTTCGTCTACCACGACGACACAATCTAGACGCGCGCGCGTGGCACGCCACGCCACGCCACTGTCCCTCCTTTCCAACCTCCCAAGATACCACTCCCTAACGTCGAACGGCAATGTCATCCATCCCAGCAAGCACGGAATGGTCTTCAATCGATCAAAGTCTGACGTCGTTGGCGTCGCCGGCTCAAAATAAAGGACTTCCATTTACCATCGCTTCCCTACACTCGACTACATTCCAGCTCACCGCCCCGCTCTCGCGCATCACGAGCTCGTCTTTTTGTTCGCATTAGCCAAGTAATGCTTGATGAGACCAGAAGTCGACCCGTCGTGCTTCTCCGCGTCCACCTTGGCAGCATCGGCGCTGAGGAGGGGCAGGATCTTCTTTGCCAGGACCTTGCCCAGTTCAACGCCGAACTGGTCAAAGGAGTTGATGCCCCAGATGACTGCGAGTACGCGAGGAGGTGGGGAGAGCAAAAGGTCAGCTTGTGCTACGACAACGATGATGACTCTTCTGGGAGCGCGGATGGTACGCACATCCCTCGGTGGCAATCTTGTGCTCGTACATGGCAATGAGAGCACCCAGTGTCCCCGGGGTCAGCTTCTGGAACAGAATCGAATTGGTAGGCTTGTTCCCATCGAAGACCTTGCTCTTGATGAGGAAAGAGTTGTCCAGGTCCTCCTTCGATGTAGTCTCCTCTCGCACCTGCTCCTCCGTCTTGCCAAAGGCCAGCGCCTCAGGCTGGGCAAAGTAGTTGCTAAGCAGGATACGGTGATGTTCCCCTCCACGAATGGGGTTCTGTGTCTCGATTGGTGCGAGGAAGTCGCAGGGGATCAGCTTTGTTCCCTGGTGGATCAGCTGATAGAAGGCGTGCTGCCCGTTGGTTCCCGCTTGTCCCCAGATGATGGGGCCAGTCTGGTACTGAACGCGCTCCCCGCTCTTGGTGATGAACTTGCCGTTGGACTCCATGTCCCCCTGCTGGAAGTAGTCGGCAAAACGGTGCATGTACTGGTCGTAGGGGAGGATGGCGTGCGTCTGTGCACCGAGGAAGTTGTTGTAGTAGAGGTTGATGAGGCCCAGGATCACAGGGATGTTCTGGTCCAGAGGCGTTGAGGCATAATGGCGGTCCATCTCATTTGCGCCGCGCAGCATCTCCTCGAAGCGCTCGTAGCCGATGACGATTGCGATGGAGAGGCCGATGGCCGACCAGAGGGAGTAGCGACCGCCGACCCCTGTGCGTGCGAGTGGCGAGGGTCAGAAGGAGGTCAGCTTGTAGCGCGCAGCGAGGGCTATCGGGCTCTTGCGCGCACTTACAGTCCCAGAACTTGAACATGTTCTCCTTGGCGATGCCGAACTCAGTGGCAGCCTTGACGTTGGTGGAGAGGGCAACAAAGTGCTTGGCGACGTGCTTCTTGTCCTTTGCGTGCTCGAGGAACCCTGGACGTGCGTGCGCGGCGTCGGCGGGTGTGGGGTCAGCATCTCCTCTCTACGTCAGAGAGGACGCGCGTGGCTCACAGTCTCGCGCTGTAGTGGCATTGGTGATCGTCTCCTGCGTGGTGAACGTCTTTGATGCGACGATGAAGACCGTCGACTCTGGGTCGCACACGCGCAGCGCCTCTGCCATGTGAGTGCCGTCGATGTTGGAGACAAAGTGGGCGTCGAGGTCGCGCTTAGCGTAGGGCTTGAGGGCTTCGCATACCATTGCCGGCCCAAGGTCAGAGCCGCCGATGCCGATGTTGACGATGCTCTTGATGGGCTTGCCCGTGTAGCCTCTGCAGCGTGGGCGAGGCGAGGAAGCGAAGGCGGTCAGCGAATGGTAGCTCTGTGTTTATGCCGCCGCCCTACGCACGTCCACTGTCCGTTGCGCACAGCCTCGGAGAAGTCGCGGATGTGCTTGAGCTCAGGGATCACCTCGTCGACCCCCTCGACCTTGTCCTTTCCCTTGAAATCGTCATCGAGGTCCCTGAGCGCGACGTGGAGGACGGACCTGCCCTCACTGGCATTGACCTGCTCGCCGTTGAACATGGCATCTCTCTGCTCCTCCACCTTTGCCTCCTTTGCCAGACTGAGCAGCGTAGCCCAGATCTCTTCATCGATCAAGTTTTTTGAAAAGTCGAGGAGCACGCTAATGTCCTTATTGCGGTCCCCCTGGAAATGACGAGAGTAAGTGTCGAAGCGCTTCGAGTCCTTTGCGAATGCGTCGCGCAGCACGACTTTGTTGCTCTTGCTGAGCTGGTCGAGCTTGGACCACGAGGGGAGTTGCGAGGCGAGAGGTGACATGGCTAGTGCGAGAAGAAATGGGGGGATGGTGGTGTGAGGGGAGAAAAGGAAGAAGGCAAGATGGTGCACGAGCACGATGGGGTTGCAGTTGGTCCGCTGCTCGTTGCCCTCTCACTTTCTCCACCTCGCATCACACTCGACTGGCGCCACGCCCACGCACGCCGCCACATCACGGCTGCCTGGCTCAGGCCAAGCCTGAGATTGCCGGCCCGCCGGTGCCGCTCCCGCCATTCCAAATTGTTGGCGCTACCACGAGGGCGAGAAGCACGCAAGACGAAGACGTGGGACGTAACGAGATGGTATCGACGATGATATTAGCGAGGGGAGAGGGTGGGGTTCAGACTATGGCTCGCAACTTGTGCGACTTGGGAATGGCTGTCAAAGCGGGATCAGTCAAGTCAGCCTGCTTGCCTCCCTTCATCTCACGCTCATCCCCGCCCGCCTCACCTTGTCTGAGGTAGTCTAGATGCTTAGCATGCAAAGCTTCCTCTTGTAAACGGCCTTGCCCACTCCAGACGCCGACACTGCCTGTAAAGACCGTGTAGTCAGGTAGCGTAACGACTGGCGCGGCACTCGGAGCTGTCACAGCCTCTCCTCCACCTTCTCCTGCTTCCCCTTCCTCCCCCTCCTCGAGGATCGTCTCCGTAGCTCCAGACGGGGTGCGCTTCATTGCTCTTGCCCCCACCTTCAGCCCTGCCTCCGCCTCTTCATCGTCATCCCCCAGTAAATCTCCCAACTCCTCCTGCGTATAACCCCTGGTCCCCGCAGCCGTCGCTGCACAGCCCGCACTGATCGTCGTGAAGGAGCCGATGGCAACCTGCGACGAGACGCGCGATTTCACTTCAAACGTATTGTGATCTCCTATCGAGCGTGCTTCGATGTGCGAGCCTACTTCGAAGAGGTTGTGTGAGCCGATGACCAGAGGGGAGGGCGATCTGCGTGCGAGGGCAGGGAGGGTGTGAGTGGCAGCAGCAACGGGATGCGAAGGAGGGAAAGAGTGCCCACCTGTTGATGATCGTCACATTCTCCTCAATGATACAGCTTGCGCCAATTGTAATCGGACCGCTCAGGGCGAGGATCGCCGCTTTCGGGTGGACGACGGTGCCTGTGAGCGGGTTTCAGGGATTGTCAGTGCGGCCATACCACGGAGTGATCTCCCCAGAACGTCCCCTCACCTGTGCCTATGGTAACATGACCTCTGCGAGACAACAATCTGTCAGAGTGTGGGCTGGACGACGTGGGCTCTCGATTCCTCACCTGATGTCCACGTCCTGCGGGAGCGTCACCTTGGACCCGACGTCGAGACGATCCTTGGTGGAGCTGCGGGCGAGGGTGGAGCTTGGTCAGAGCGAGAAGAACGCAGCGTGTGCGCTCGCGGATGCGCACCTCATACGGTGGGCTGAGCAGATGAAGAAGTGACAAGGAGGAAGAGAGCAAACGACGACGACCTGAATGGAGTTTCAGCTTTGTTCGCGAGCGAGTTCAGCTTTGTTTCCGCTCCTCGCTCGCCCCGGTCTGCACGGGCCGCCGTGGGAGTCAACGAAAGGCGGAAACGAGAGATCAACACGTCGCCTCGCCTGGGCCTCGCGCCTCAATTTACCTCATTCCTTCTCGCCTTCACCTGCCACCTCGCGATGCAATGGACCTCGTCAACCTCACGCCAAGGCAGCGCCAACTCTACTCCACGCCTCACACCAGCAGTCTCGGCGATTCATAGCGCCCTCGCCTCCCCCACAGCCCCACTCAGTCGCGCCGCTTCGCCCGGTCTTCTCCGTCTGCCCAATGCCAGCCAGAAGACGCCCGTCGTCGAGGTTGAAGATGATGCCTTCGCTGCTGCAACCGCCGCGGAGGATCTGCCTGGCTCTACCCCGGATATGAGCCAAGATGATGCGGGGAGCTTCCAGGCTCGACTGGCTGCGAGCTCCCCGGCTCCTCCGCTGCAGCCTACGTCTACTGCACCAGAGGCTGCGTCGAGCTCGTCATTCCCCGGCGGGAGCCTATCGCATCGACTCGGTGAGACGCTCGTCATCAGTGGCGGCTCAGGTTACAACGACCTGCTAGGCGCAACACCCGGTAACACGACGTATGTCCTACCCATCTCGGACAATGTGAGTGCGAGAGGAGGTGCCAAGGACACCCCCGCAACGCCCCTGCTGATCCTCGCGACCTCGACGCTGGCAGGGCGGCTCCTCATCGGAAATCATCCGCACCCTCTCCGGCCCCTCGATTGGAGACATTCGCTCCCGTCTGGTCCGCCTGATCCCCCTCACCACCTCACCTCGCCTGCCCGGTCGACCTGTGCCCCCAGCGTCCAACGACGCCCTCCACGCTCTCCTCTCCTACCGCCTCCCCACCACCGGCCGCACCCGCGACATCAAAGCGGAATGGCTTGACATCCTCGAAGGGCGTCATCGCCTATGGCGGGGAATAGAAGCGGACCGCAAGGAGGTAGTACGCGGGATGCTCGTCCACTTGTCGTCGGAAATCCTCCGTCGCGCACATCGCAACTTCAACCTTCGCGGGCTGAGCATCGGCAATGCCTTCCTCTCTGCGGCGCAAAAATTCTTTCGCTCAATACAGTCGGCCATCTTCCTCTTTTCGGCAACGACCCTCGTGGCGGGCAGCGGGAGCAGTGTGCTCCCTTGCATCAATACGAATCATACGGCTACGATTGCGGCCGAGTTGGAGGATGGGAGTACCATAGTTGGGCAGTGTGAGATTTCTCATCCAGCGAGGCCGGCGCGCCAGGGACCAGCAGCAGCGCAAGGGGACAAGACGATGTCCCCTTGGACACTGACCGTTCCCCCCTCGGGACTGGAGACGCCTTCGTCGGTCATATTCGATCCCCTCGCCAACCTAGGCTCGGACTTGGGAGCGGCACTCTCTCGCTCACGCGTGGATCAGGGGCACCGTTGGCAGGAAGATCGCGTTGGTGCGGGGAGGAAGACGGTGGGCACGCTGCAAGACGGGCTGGAGCCGGATGACGATGATGCTGCGAGTGAGGCGGGCAATGATGGTGGCGAGGAGGACGACGATCAAGACTCGGAGGGAGAGACGAGTGCGGCTACGGGCGGAAACATCGTGTTTTCCAAGGACAAGGGAGAGGAGGTTCCGCTGCCCAGTCGTATCAAAAGTGCGTTGCGCAGCGCATGACGTCTCCCTCGATGCTGACCTTGTTCTCCCCCACCCGCACGCCGCACGCCGCGCGCCTAGATCTAGTCTACATCAACTCCTACCGCAACGTCGTCTGGCCCGCCCCGAACATGTCCTACCTCTCCTCGCTCTCGCGCTGTCGAACGCTCATCTACTCTTGCGGCTCCCTCTACACCTCTCTCATCCCCTCGCTGGCGTTACGCGGCGTGGCCACATCCATCGCTCACTCCCCCTCGCTGCGCTACAAGATCTTGCTGCTCAACACGACGAACGATCGGGAGACGCCTGGGTATACTGCGCTGGATTTCGTGCGGGCGATTGGGCATGCGCTGAATATGAGCGATCGGCCGCACGAGGAGGAGGGGCAGGAGGAAGGGTATAAGTCGCGTGATTTTATTACCCACATCGTCTACTATCCACGAGGGGAGGTCGTGCTGGACCGGGACAAGGTGGAAGCCATGGGAATCGAGTGCGTGGCGGTGGGCGGGCACGCGAAGACAGCGCCAGCCAAGCCGCCAAAGTTCACCGAAGAGGACGTGCGATGGGCCCTGGACCGGATCGTACGGGAAGCCCCGCCGCCACCCACCAATGCAGGGAGTCGACGACCGAGCATCACAGGCGAGGCGGCCGCCCCTTCACCGTCACCATCATCACCGCGTCATCGGATGGAAGGCTTCACCTACTTGACGCTCAACTAGCGTCACGCTTCCACGCCCTCTTCCCTGCAATCCACGTCTCCTCGACGCGCGCGGTCACCAGGCCCTCTCCACCCCCTTGCGCAATGACATCCACGTCCAGTATCGCAAAATCGGCATACATCCCCGCCTCGAGCCTGCCCACCTTGTCCTCCGCACGACAGGCATAAGCCCCACCCCTCGTGGCACCCTGCACGGCCTCGAGCAGCGGGAGGGCCCACTGCGGCTCCGTCGGCGGGAGGCTGGCATCGCGAGGCGCCTTGCGCGTCTGGGCGACGTACAAATTCTCTAGCGCGCTATAGGCTGTAGTGGGCGCGTCGGTACCCAGCGCCAGCTTGACGCCTTGCTGGAGAAAGTCAGAATATGCATACGCTCTTGTGCAGCGTTGGTGTGGGTCCTTCTCTCCACCGAGCTGGGCGCGCCAGTTTCCCTGAACAGAGGGGCAAGCATGCACGGGCTGGATCGACGCAATGACCCCCAGCTGCGCAAGGCGGGGCACGCTTGCCGCGCGTGTGAGCTCGAGGTGCTCGATGCGATGTCTTCTAACGCCCTCGACTCGCGGGCCATTGGAGCGCACGGCCGCCTCTATGCCGTCGAGGGCGTTGTCCACGGCCAAGTCGCCTATGGCGTGGATGGCGAGCTGGAGGTCCAGTGAGTCGGCGAGGATGCAGACGGGTGCGAGGCGGGAGAGGGGCCAGATGGGCTGCGTTAAGCGGCCTGAGGCGTAGGGTTGGTGGAGAGCGGCGGTGCATGAGTCCTGGTGGGGCGGGGCGAGGCGGGACGAGGGAGGGAGTATCAGCTTGACCACGCATACATCGCCGCGCCTCAGCACCCACAATCACGCCATCCCCAATGATCTTGATGCCCGTGATGCGCAACCAGTCCGTACACCCCTCTGCCTCCAGCTCGGCCTGAAGCTCTTTTGCCCTCCGCACCTGCTTCACATCCTCTTCCTGCGTCCCCGTCGGCTGGACGAGCCAATGTGCCACAACCCTGCAGGGCAACCTGCCCCCTCTCTCCCTACATATCCCACGCAACAGCCGCAGATCGTCCTCATTCATGGCCATATCCACGACTGTCCCGACTCCCTGCTCGAGCCAGGAGTGTAGAGCGCGTAGCAGCGTGGCAGAACGTTGCGCATCGGTGTAGAGGCGGGGAAGGTGGGACCAGACGTACGTGAAATGAGCGGATTCCTCGAGGACGCCAGAGGGGAAATCGATGCTACCCCCGGGCGGTGCAGGCGTGTCCGGGGTGATGCCGAGGGAGGACAGGGCGGCCGTGGAGAGCCAGCTCTGCGTGCGTGCGGGCGTGCGGATGTGCAAGAGGAGGCAGTTAGCTACGTCAGCTGCTCTCACGGCGGGCTACGCGTCTCACGCTATGCAAATCCCTCGCCTCAACGACGATCCCGACTTTGCCCCCTTCACTGCATTCATCCAACCATTCCCTCCTCATGCCATCTTCACGCCCACGTCCAAGCATCTGTGGAACGAATCGTTTTGCCTGGATACGCAGCACCTCCCCCCGGTCCCCACCAGCAGCAGCAATGCCATCTCTCAACCGTCCTTGTATCTCCTCGAGTGAGGAGCACCCATCCAGATCCACCTTCTCCAGGCCGACGCCCTGCAGGGATATGTGGACGTGCGAGTCAAGAAAGGTAGGGAGGAGGAAGCGATTTCGAAGGTCGACAGTCTGGGTTTCGGAGAAGGCGACAGCTTGGGATCGCACCGCGTCCTCATCGCCTACTGCGAGGATCTTACCGGAGGAAGGGTCGCATAGGATGGCTTGACCCTGCAGTGATGGGGAGGATGGGGAGGAGCCCGTGTAGATTGGGCCGTTGATGAAGAGGAGATGTGGGGAGGACATGGCGGCGGCGACGACGACGACGACGACGAGTGGCGGGGTCAAGAGGGAAGAGGGACGAAGCGTGAAGCGCGAAGCGCCGGCGCACGGCGCACGCGACATCAACTCAACGGCAACGACGGCGGTCGGAGTCACGCCGCGCCGCCTCAAAGTGGAGAACAACACTTTCGCTGCGCCACGTGGGGCAGAGGCTACATCGAATGAACGCGAACGACGCAAAGAGGGAGAGAAATGCTCATTTAGTTCTCACGCCTTGCCCCTCGCGCCACCACTCGCCATCGCTTCACCCTCGACTGCATCGTAGAAGCCGTCCGACGAAAGTTGGAAGCCTGTGTACGGGCAGTGTGCGGGCGAGGCGTCAGTCAAGAGAGGAGAGGATGAGGGCGAGGTAGCGCCCGCGTCTGCAGCTTGAGCGCACTCACCACTGCTCTCCCACCCATCCATGCTCGCCTCTTCTTCGCGGGCTTTGCGTCTTCTTTCCTCGTCCACTGGATCACTGACAGCGAGAGGGTGCGACCCCTTGGCGACTGACGGGGTAGGCGGCGCGACGAATAGAGGCCTGCCCTCCGCCTCCGCCTCCTCCTGATCATTCATCGCAACGCGACTATATCCCTTGCCCTGCCCCTCCTCCTCCTCGCCATCCTCTCCACGCAAGCCCTGCTCCTCCCTTTGCTCCTTGCGCTTCAAGCTGCGATACTTGATGTAGTTGTACGCCGCAATCCCGCCTATGGCTATGCAGAGGCCCGTGATATTTACGGGTGTGAGGCGATCGTCGAATATGACCGAGGCGAGGATGACTGTTAGGACTTCTTTGAGGATGCCGGCCACGGAGAGGGTCACGACCGAGGTGCGTTGGATCAGGCTGTGAGGGCGGGAAGGAGCAGGCCTCGCTCGTATCAGTTTCGGATCTTCACTCTCCCTCTAAGCCCTCTTCTCCCCGCGCGTACGTACGCATACTCGCTCAGGCTCATGCAGAAGGCGAGAAAGCCAGGGAAGAGGATCATGGCGAGTGTCTTGATGAGGTGCCAAAGCCCATTGTGGAAGCCTTCGGAAGCAAAGATTGCTCCCCAGCTCTCAACGATGCTGGAGGTGACGAGGAGGAGGAGGGCCATGGGCGGGCAGAGCCAGAAGATTGTGGCGACTGGATTGTTCATGCCGAGCTTCTCCCTGGGGGGCGAGAGTGAGGAGCATGAGGGAGGGGAGCAGTCAGTGGGGGGAGCAAGTGGGCGGGTAGACGGAGGGCTCGCGGTACGCACTTCTCTAGCAGCATCTGCGTGAGAGCCCAGCGCAAGCCGCCCATGCATGATGCGAGGAGCACCTGGACCGCTCCAATGACCACCAGCTCCGTCTCGGCGGAAACCATCATGATGACCTGCGTGCGTGAAGCAGATCAGCCTTGAGCTGACAGCGTACCCATTCGGGGTTCCTCGGCCCGCAACTCACCCCAACGGTGATGATGATGATGACGGCCACGAGATTCCACCTCAGTTTCTCCAGCTTGAAGAGAAAGGCGAACAAGAGCACAAAGACGAGGTTGGACGACTTGCACATCGTGTAGAGGGTGAGGGTAATGCTCTTTAGCGACGTGTTGGACAGGCCGATATCCAGCGCCGTGGCTAGGGCGCAAGGGAAGACCTTTGATCTGCGGGCGGGAGTCCTCAGCATTCAACACGGGCTATCCCCCGCCTCTCATTGCGCGCACTCACATCCAATCCTTCCCACTGGGCCTCCTTCGTCTCCCGTTCGGCTGCCGCGGTATCAGCTCGACGTTGCCGTTGCGGTCGAAGAGGGCGAGGAGGGAGGCGGCGATGCTGAACTGGACTATCATGTGTATCGAGGTGACGAAGATCGGGTAGGGCAGAACGCGTTTTGATGGGTCAAACCTGCGCGCGTGGTGCGGGGGGATTGCGAGAGGCGGTGAGTCGAGGGGAAGGAGGTGCTAGGGGACGTCGAGGCAGACGTACATCCACTTGTTGTAGACCGAGATGAGCCTGCGCGCGAGGGGTGCGATTAGCGAGATGTTTCAGCTGCGAGCGAGCGTTGCATGCTCACATTGAGAAGAAGTCTGAGCACCACAACGCAGCAAGCAGGGTTCAGCCATCGTCCCGCTTCTCTCACCCTCTTCACGCGCACTTACACCAGCTCAATATCAACGCCCCCACCACGACGCCCCGTTTCCAGAATTCCTCCTGCGTCTTGATCCTACTCGGCTGAGCTAACATCCTAATCTCCTCCGGCTCCCTCCTCAACAAATGGCTCGCAGAGCGCAACAGTGGAGTGGATCTCTCCGGCTGGTCGTAAGGGTACTGCGGGGGAAGACGTAGCCGACCGCCAGAGAGGCTCTCCTCTTCGTCTCTATACCGCGAGGTTGACGAGGAAGATGCTGCCACTGCTTGCGCCGCCGCGTTTGGCGCCTTGGGACGGTCCATCGAAGAAGCTCGCGGAGGAGGACGAGCAGCCTTGCGCTCGCTGCGCAGTCGTCGTGAGGACGACGAGGAAGAGGAGGAGGAAGATGCTGAGCCTTCTGCCGAGGACGACGAATCCTGCGAGTCTCGCCCAATGGAGTGATGCGGCGCCTCCCTACCTGACGGCGGGTAGGAGGACGACGGGGTCATCGAGTGGAGCTGCGACACGACGTCGCGATGAGGAGGATGAAAGGGCGTAGCGCGGCGTGGCGTGGACAAAGGAAAGGAAAGTGCAGCGCAAGAGCAACAGAAGCACAAAGGCGCCCACTTGATTGTGCTTGCGCCGCCGCCGCCGCCGGGCCGAGCTTGACCCCCGTCGTCCCCTTGTCTCTGTCCCTCGTCCGCGCGTCCGCCCGTCTCTTGGCTCACACACGCGCAGCAGGGATGGCTCGTGCGCTGCAGGGGCGCTGAAGCAAGAGGAAAGCATCGCAGCATCGCTCGCAGCATTGCGATTCTAATACAAAAAAAAAAGCAGACGAGTACGAAGGATAGCTAAAGTTCCGTCAAGGAAGGAGCACGTGTATACGCGAAGGGATGGCTGGGGGTATATTCTCGCTCGCCGCGCTGCTCAAAGCGCCAGCAGTGCCCACCGCTGCGCCGCATCGTTATGGTCCTTGATCTCCATCTGTCCAATCTCTCCCTCTATCCCGACATCCTCATCACCGCGCTCGTCCCCTCCCAGATCAGCATAGTAGTGCCAGCTGGAACGCCTGTCGAGCTTGATGGCCGACGTGTACGGGTTGATGACGCGGCCCAGTGCGTGATCGGGCGAGGTGATGTAATTTTCGTGCTCCCCAGCCGCTGAGACGCCCTTCTCATCCACGTCGGGCGTACCAGCTTCCTCACGCTTCTCGCGCGTAGGCATCGGCTCGAGATGGAACGACGTGTTCAACAGCTTGGCGATAACGCTCGCGCTACGCGATCTCCTCCTCTTGTGCGTCTCCTCCTTTTGCCTCGCGTAGTACTTCTCCGCCTTCAACGGATCGTACCGACGTCCAACGGCGCCGAGCTTGCCAAAAGTCTCGCTGGCCACGAGTCCAACGAGGAGGACGGCGTACGCCGTGAGGAAGTGGGTGTTGGGCATCTCCTCGTTGAGCGGGATGACGGCGAACCCGGCGCTCACAACGAAGCGGAGGGCGATGCGCGCATGGTAGGGCCACTTTGCGCTACCTGCCTTGTCGAGGTTCTTGTGCAGTAACCCCAGGATGGCAATCACGCCCAGAGAGGTGGCCATGGACCCGCCAAAGAACCATCGAACACCTTCCTTGGAGTGAACCTCGTGGATGAGGCCAGGTAGGGCAGAGGACATGAGGATGAGGGAGCCCGTGAGGACAAAGTGAGCAAGGTTGAAGCTGATGGCCGTGAATGGGTTGCGACGCAGTGCGTGCACGAAGCAGCGGGAGCCATCCGCGTCAAAGTAGAGCCAGATGAGGGTGAATCCCACGATGACGGCGAGGACGGATCGCCCGTACTCCTGGCTCAAGCCGAGGGAGTCGGGTTCCGCCTTGAACGTCGCGTTGAGGATAGACTCGCCGATGACTAGCAGCGTGAAGAGGAGGGAGCGCTCCATGCTGTGCTCGACGCTCGTGACGGGAATGAACGTGTCCCCCGAATGGCCGTGACGTTTGGCCCTGCCATGCCAGAACTGCATCGTGTACGAGATGCCGAACCGGAAGAGGATGTCGCAGACTATGCCGGCGACGAGGAGCCAAAGGAGCATGGCCGGGTCGGCGACAGGGATGGCAGGGATGGGCAAGTAGATGGCTGCGAGGCAGACGGTGGGCACGATGCTCAGCCACAGGGAACGGCGGAAGCGCGGGAGGGCAATTCCGTAGACGAAGAGGAGGAGGACCTTCAAGAGTTTGGAGGCGAGATTGAAGACGCCTGCTGCGATGATAGCCGAGAGATACCCCTCTGCAAACCAGAGGCCCGTTTTGCCTAGAGGTACGGCGAGGAGGGGCAACGACTCGTCGCCGGCGCCGTGAGCGAGGTGAGGGGAGGATTCGGAGGAGGACTCGGCGAGGGTGAGGAGGGCCATTCCTTCGGGCACGATGCCCTTGTGCTCGCTGATGATTTCGACGGCGGTTGCGTTGGCTGTGTACCCCTGTGTGGCGGCGGAGGCGGCGGCGAGGGAGATGATGAGGTGCGGTGATGAGAGATGGGGACGTGCGGCGATGAGAGATGGGGAGGTGAAGCGATGAGAGATGGGGAGGTGCGGCGATGAGAGATGGGAAGGTCAGTCTCAAGCAGCGCTTCCAGATGAGCGCGCGCTACTCACGATGAGGAGAAGCATCTGGAGGAGCAGGTAGAGGCGACACCACACGTCGTCGAGGCCAGAGGTATTGATGTAGGAGCGCACGTCGAGCGCCACGCTGTATGCTGGGTAGTAAATGAGTGCGAACTTGAGGAGCTGGAGAGCGCGACCTGACTCGGCTTCACCCAGGCCGTCTGCGAGTTGGTGGATGATGCCCTGCGCGTGCGGCGAGAGAGAGGACGTGGTGAGCAACCTCGCAGCTCGCAGCAGACGGCCTGTCATGTCGTGTGGCTGCCACGCTCACTCACCACAAAGCACAAGTCGAAGAAGAGCTCGAACCGCGAGCTTTCCCTCTCAAATTTTTCGCGATAGATGCGCCCATCGCTGAGGAATTGACGAATCACCGGCCGGCGAAAGAGGTGGCTCAGGCGAATAGGCTGCTGCTCGTCGTACACTTCAATGAAGGACACGGCCGGTGCCCCATCCTGGCTACCGGGCTTCTTGCGCCTGCCGTGTGCGAGCTGAAAGATCTCCGACTCGTCGCGCACTTGCTGCTGCTGGCTGTGGTGTTGTGGGTGGTTGTAGGCTTGCGCTGATGAGGCAGATGAGGAGGACGTAGGCTGAAGGGGGGCGGGGGAGGGTCGCACCACCTCCTCGGGTTCGGCAGTCATCTTCTCCGTGTCTGGAAGCATAGCCTTGCCCACCTTCTCGTCGCTCACGGTGCTGTTGTCAGTATCGCTTCTCTTGGGGGCGGGTGCGGGCTCGTCCTCGTAGTTGAGGGAGGCGGGTCGAGGCGGGGTCGAGTCGATGGTATCCTCGTGGTGTGCGTGGTTCGCGTGGGCGTGGTGGACGCGGTATCGTGTCTCGACGAGGGGATAGTCTGGCTCTCGTCGTGCGTGAAAGTTGCCAACGAGGTTCGGGTCCTCGATCAGGGCGCTGTCCTGGCGACGAGGCGAACGCCCAGGGTCGGCGTTGGTATTGTTGCTCATAGCGGCGTCGAGCTGGCGAAGGGAGTGGCAGGAGGTCCGAGTCAGGCTGGCACAGGACGGCGCGTGGAGTCAGCGGCGTGGTAGCAAAGGTAGGATGGGGGAGGTGTGGGAGCAAAGGTAAGATGGAAAGGCCGGGGGGCGCGCGGGGGGAACGGGAAACGGACACGAACGGGCAGAAGGGGTGGTGATTATGAAGGTGAGATTGAGAGATCGAGAAGGAGATTGAGCGGGGGGGTGCAGCAGCCCTTGACCAAGGCTGTGCGTGCTTGCGTGCGTGCATGCGTGCAACTAGGCAATTTTTGGCATCGTAAAGACAGGAGGAGGAGAGTGAGGAGCAACACCCGCACACAGACGCGGAGAGAGAGGAAAGCTCCGACCTCGCCGCCGCCGCCGCCGCCGCCGCCGCCGCCGCCGCCGCCGCCGCCTTCGAGATTCGAGTGTTGGACCGACCGGACTCTGGATGCTCTGGCTCTTCTGGCTCGACTCGATCGCGGACCCACAGGGGGGCGCGCGCCCACTCACGACTGGGGCTTGGCGCGCTGCTGCCTGATTTCTCACGGACATTGGGCGCTCAATCTCACGGGCATTGAATTAGCGTTGCGGGTAGGCGAAGAAGACGGGAAGGCTAATCGTGGAAGGCGTAGAGCACCCAGAGACTGGGAAGAGATCCAAGTCACAATCAGGCTAGCACGAAGGATGAGGGCAGGGGTGAAAGATCATTCACCCGCTCGAGCTAGCAGAGGGAGTGAGCACGATGCGATCCCGCTAGCAGGGCGAGGTAGCGAGCGATGCCACCCTTCGCTTCGCAATGAGATAGGGCAGCTAGCATGCGATGGCATTAAATGGCTCTGATAGCTGCCTCGTTCCCTAACGCCGCCATAGCACCCGTCTATCCCCGCCGCACTCGCCCCGCCGCTAGAGGGCATCGCGACGACGAGGCGCCGCACGCAGCACGGCATCCGTCCTGAGGATGAGCTCGCTAGCCTCGCTCGCCGACAGAATCACCTGCCTCTTCAACTTGTAGCTCTCCGTGACACCGCGCTCCACCATGCTCGTAACCGTCCCCTCGTCCAAGTTGAGGCCAGCATCCGTCTGTCCCTCCTGATGCGCCGCCCTCAATCGCGATACGAGGTCGCTCGCGTCCAGCCCAGCATTGGTAGCCAATATGGTAGGGAGCTGTCGCAGGGCATGCGCAAACGATTCGACGGCCAATGCCTGCTTGCCCGGCGTTCTCCTCGCCACCTCGTCCACACGCTTCGACATGGCCATCTCCGAACAGCCGCCACCGAGGGTGGTGCGCGTCTCCTTGACAGTCTGCGAAAGCACAGCGAGGGCGTCGTGGAGGGATCGCTCCGCCTCGTCGACCATCTGCGTCGACGCTCCCCTGAGGACGACGGTGCACGCCTCTCCCGCGGCCACGCCCGAGAACTTGATGAGGCGGTCCTCGCCAATGATGACCTCCTCAATCACATCGCAGTGTCCCAGCTTGACCAGCTCCGGGTGGTCAAATGTCGACGCAATCTCTCCCCCAGTGACAAGGCTCAGTCTCTCCACCCCTTCAAAGTCCGCATGCTCAATGCTCATGATCCCGCTGTCGGCGAGAATGGCCTCCGGGTAGTTGTAGATGAGCTGACGGTTGATAAAGCAGTTGATCCCGTGAGACTTGATGCGCTCCACCTTGGCCTTCATCTTTTCCCTCTCAGCGCGCTCCAGCTCGGCCAGCTTGCCTGTGCCCTCTACACGGACGCGCGCGCCAAAGACCTTGATCTTGTCCGTGTCCATGGAAGTGTTGGCGATGAGGATCTTGGCGTTTGTCATGCGCTTTGGGCAGTTGGTCCCGATGCGCTTGTCGAGGATGAAGCCCTCGTCGAGGTAGCTGGGTGCGCAGAGACGGGGCGTGTTAGCTGGCCTGGCGTGGCGTAGCGAGGCGTCGCCACTCACGAGTCTGTCAGCTTGCCGCCAACTTTCTTGATGATTTGAATGTTCTCGAGGTTCGTGGAGCCCTTGAGACGGAGCACGGCGTCGACTGCGAGGTTAGCGAAGTAGTCCTTGTCTGCAGAGAGGACCTTGGATGAGAGGGTGGTACGGGCGATGTTCATGAGGTCTTGGCGGAAGAGGTCTTGGTCCTTGCTGTAAGCGTGGCAGACGTGGACTGGTTAGCACCTTGCACGTACTTGCTCCCCTCTGCCTCGAACGCACCCATTGTCCTTGGCCGCCTCATCTAATGCCTCGAGTGCCGCCTTACTCGCGATACGATACCCCTCGACGATAGTCTGGGGATGAATCCTCTGCTCAATCAACTTCTCCGCCTCTCTCAACAGCTCTCCCGCCAAGACGCAGACAGTCGTCGTCCCATCGCCCACCTCGTCGTCCTGCGTCTTTGAGATGGAGACGAGGATCTTGGCCGAGGCGTTGTCGAGTGGGATTGACTTGAGGATCGTGGCCCCGTCGTTTGTGACTGTGATCTCTGATGTTCCTACAGATTGGACGAGCTTCGACATGCCCTTGGGGCCGAGCGTCGTCTTGACTAGGTCGGCGAGGGCTGTCGCCCCTACGAAGGCCGAGAGGCGAGCAGACTCAGCGCGCTCTTGGGTGCCCTGTCAGCGTGATGTAGCGTCGACGAGGTCAGCCTGGTTGGGGACGACTTGCTACTTATGCGAGTCTTCGCCTCGCACTCACCTCATCAGCAAAGATGGGCGCAGACATGGTGACTAGGCTGCGTATCGAGGTGCTTGCAAGAAGAAGTCGGAAGAGCGTCGCAGCGTCGCAACACAACTCTCAATGCTCAACCCGCTCGCTGCTTCCACTCCAACTCTTTGTCCGCGCGCGTGGCTGCCCCTCGCCACGAGGCTTGCTCGTCTCCACCGCTCCTCGCCCACTCTGCATCCGCCCGACTGGCTCGACTCGCGCTTGAGCCCGCCCGCCCGCCGCATTGACCCACTGACAGGACATCACATCCGCTCGCGATCGCATCTCGACATCCTATCCATCCACACGACCTCATCCACGGAATTCGACCCTCTCATCCCCTCGCAACGCGCCCAGCATGGCAGCGCAACTCAATCGCCTATTCGCGCAACGTCTCGCTATCACGACGACCGCTCGCACTCTCCTCCCCCCGATCACCGCCGCACACGCGTCTTCACGCGTAGCTCTGCCACTCGCCGCGCCCGCCATCTCATCCTCGTCCTCCTTCGCTACAGCCGCTGCCACGCAAACGCAGACGCCAGCTCAGAAGAAACGCGCCGCAGCAGCAGCAGCGAGGGAAAAGGAGCGCGCACAAAAGGCAAAGGAGAGGGAGAGGGCCCGGGCGGCTAAGCTCAAGGAGAAGGAGAAGGTCAAGGCTGCAAAGGAAAAGGAGAGGGCCAAGGCGAGGCTGGCCAAGGAGCAGGCCAAGGAGGCCAAGAAGCTCAAGCCATGGGAGCTGCTTGATGCAGATGGAAAGAAGGGTGGGCAGCGCGGCGGCGGGGCGTAGAGGCCATGCTGTAATGATTCGCGTGCTAACCAAGACTCCCCCTCTCTCGCGCCGCCAGTTCCCCTCCCTACCGAGACCCGCCCTCGCATTCAGAGCGCTTGGATTCATTTCCTCTTGCAACGTCTCCCCACCCTCAAGTCGGAGCTGGAAGCAGCTGATCCATCGTGAGTCGCAAGGCGCTGCGCGCTGCGCAGGCTCCAGCTGATCCCCCCTCGCACTCCGCTGCCCGCAGCCAAGTCCCCATCGGAGCCCCCGCCGTAGCCCGTCGCGCCGCTGACGAATGGCGCAGCATGTCCGACTCTGCAAAGGAGCCCTACACATCCGCAGCCGCCCGTCAGATCGCTGAGCGTCCCGCCAAGCTGGCCGAGTGGGAGGCCAGCCTCACGGCGCAGGATCGCGCCCGTATAGCGGCGTACAATCGCCATCTGGGCAAGGTGGGGGGCAAGAACCAGATCAAGATCACGCGCGACCCGAAGCGACCTGTGAAGCCTGCGACTGCTTTCATGAGGTTCTTGAGTGCGAAGAGGGAGGAGTATGATCAGGAGGGGGTTGGGAGGGGAGTGCCGCAAGCTAGAAAGGCGGGCGAGGAGTGGAATAGGCTAGGCGAGGAGGCGAAGAAGGTAAGACGGGCGGGCGCGTTGCGTACTAGCGTTGCGAGATGAGCTGACGATGCGACTCCCTCCCCCCACTCTTCGCAGACGTACGAGGCTGCCTACCAGGCTGAAATGCCTGCTTACAAGGCGGCCCTGGATGAGTACCTGCGATCGACGACGGTTGCGGCGTAGTCGTGCGCGGCGCGCGACGCGGCAGCGACAGGTGTCATCTAATGTATTGAAGGCGGTGTCTGGCGATTCTGAATCTATCCACTTCTGATTGCGATGCGTGACACTGCGATGAGTGTGGAGCAGGCGGCGCTGGGTGTTGCTTTTGCTCGCCGCGGTGACGCACGGATCCAGCGTCGAGCGGGCAGACACAGGCACGCGGCCAAGGCGGGGCGGGGCGGGTAGGCAGGCGGGCGGAGTCGATGGCTGCGTGAGGCGCCGCGTGAAGGGGCGGCGGACGAGGGAGCGAGCGAGCGATGGAGGGAGCAGCGCAAGCGACTTTCATTCCCTTCTTTCATTCTCGTCCGCATCCCCCTCTGTCAACCCTGCTCACCACGCGCCTCGCCCCGCCATGTCATCACGGCGACGACGTGAGGCCAGCGGCACCAACGCCCTCAACGCCAATGGGGGCAGCAGCACCGGCGGCGGCCCAGGCTCGGGCACAGGCGCAGGCTCCTCGTCCTCCTCGTACCTGCAACCCTTTTCAACGGCCGTCTCCCAATCCCTCTCCTCCACGCACGCCAGCTCCGGCTCCCAATACGAGTCGACGCGCCTCCTAGCCGATCTGGCTCCGCACATCATGAAGCCCCGCATCCTAGCAGCGGCAACAAACGCCTCCTCCCACGTCACATCCGCCGTCTCGTCCAACGCCCTCGTGGGCTTCCTACCCATCCCGCTCAGCTTCAAGGGTCAGGGCTTCTCCCTCGTACAGCCGGCACGCAATCTCGTACGAATAGGCAACGCGATACGACACGGGCCGGTGACGAGTAACGATCTGCTGGCGTTGGAGAGTAGTCACCAGATTTTGGCCGATGCAGCGTTGAGTATGACGGCTGGGTATGCCGACGAGGAGGAGCACGTTGCACTGCGAGCCATCGAGGGGAAAAAGGGCGAGCCGTCGTCGCCTTCTCAGATCTCACTGCTGCGCGGTTTCGAGGCTACGATCCCCTCTGCCACGCTGGGAAGGGAGCGTCGGCGCAAGGAGCGGGCGAGGGAAGGTCCGCGTATGGGACTCAAGACGATGGGCGATCGAGCGCGTGGCCTGCTCACCGATGTAGGCGACGATTCTCTCGACGACGCCTCGTCCGCCAACGCAGCCTTCGTGGACCGCGAGAAGCGCAAAGAGCAACGAAGCCAGCTACGCGCGAAGCACAAGGACGTCCCGCTGAAAGAGGGGGATCTACTGCGCCAGGAGAGCGAAGTGAAGCGCGAGAAGGAAGATATCGATATTCGGCGCCGACTCCTGCAAAAGGAAATTGCGACCGTGGACGTCAAGATTGCGGAGCTGCAGGCAGTCAAGGACGGACTGACGGGCAACCTGCTGGGGTTGAAGGAGGAGGAGCTCGAGTTAGACGACGAAGCGAGTGGGATTGCAGAAATGCTCAGCTTGCAACGCCATCGTCAGGGCATGCCTGGTGCGGCGGGCAAGGTGGCTGCAGCAGCGCACAAGCAGCAGCGCGTCGTCACCACCCCGGCCAGCAGCAGCGATTCGACTCTTAGCTCGCGGCGTCGCAAGGGCCCCATGTTCCTGCCCAGCGAGCACGATGAGCTCCCTTCTGGCGTGGCATTCATGACCCTTGCGGGCCACACGGCACCCATCTCCTCGCTCGACTTTTCAGAACCGTACGGCGCTCTGGTCACTGCGGGCGGCGAAGGGGATGCAACGGTGCGCGTGTGGGACCTCTCTTCTGGCACCCAGGTGGGACTCCTCCGCCACGATGCGGTGGTCAAGGCGTTGCAAGTCGAGGACGAGCTGTGCGTTACGGGCGGTGCTGATGCGAAGATTAAGATTTGGGATCTGAGGAAGGTCGAGGACTGGGAGACGCGCCTCGAGATGAAGGCGAATGGGGAGTGGAGCGACGAGCCGCAAGTGAGCCGTGACGACGGTGAGCGAGGTGGTGACCGTGAGGGCACACGATCCCGCGAATCCTCGACGACGACGGCGGCGGCAGACTCGGAGCGAGACCCGCGCCTCTCAGCGCTCGAGGGACATAGCAAAGAGGTGACGGCGCTGTACTTTGATGAGACATGCCTCGTCTCGGGCGCAAACGACAAGACGTTGCGTCAGTGGGACCTCAATACGGGGCAATGCGTATTGACGATGGACATCCTGTGGGCCATCAGCAATCCCTCCGCCTCACAAGCCCTCGGCGAGTACTCCCCGCCTGCCGCGCCCGCTTCGCCCGACTTGCCCAGCTTCTCCTCGACGGACTCCTTCGGCACACCGTCGCGACGTCATGGCGGTGGTGGCGGCGGGAGCAACATGGCGCGCAGTGCCGTCTCGGACTGGTCTGGCAACTTCTCCTTCCCCACCCCAGCAGCAGCCGACGGTAGCTGGGAGCTCTATACCGACTTTGTAGGCAGCTCAGCCATTCAATTCTGGGGGTACGCCCTCGCCTCGGGGTCCGCCGACGGTGCGGTGCGCATGTGGGATATGCGAACTGGTCAATCCCACCGCACCTTGCTAGGCCACACCGCCCCCGTTACGTGCCTTCAGTTCGACGAGACGCACGTCATTTCGGGGAGTCTGGACAAGAGTGTGAGGATATGGGATCTGAGGACGGGGGGGATCAGCGAGACGATCAAGTACGAGCATGGGGTTACGGCTTTGCAGTTCGACTCGAGGAAGATCGTGGCCGCCACGGGCGAGAATGGCGTTGATGTGAGTGCAGCGCAGCGTACAGAGGCCAGCTTGGGCGGGCGAGGCAAGGAAGCTGACTATTTCACTCCCCCCGGCGGCGCGCGCAGATCTACAATCGCACGACGCTGCAACACTCGACGCTCAATGTCAATGGCCACATGAAGCCCGTGGAGCGGCTGCGCTACATGGACCGGTATGCTGTCAGTGGGGGCAAGGACGCCGTCGTGAAGGTATGGGCGCTGTAGATCGCGCGTGCAATGCAATGCAATCGCGCAATCACGGGAGAGTAGCAGGTGAATGTCTCGAGCCTCATTCGATTGAACGCAGAGCTCGCTCCAGGCTGGCAGGCAGCGTCTCGTCTCCGCCCCTCACACCCCACGAGACGGCGTAGCAACCCAGGAGCATCTGAAGCTCTTCCACCTCGTCCAAGCCTTCGATGCGGTTGATCCTGTTGCGCAGAGTGGGGGAGAGGGACGACGAGTAGATGCGTGCGAGGGAGAGGGAGGAGGCGCGGCGCGGCGTTTGCGTAATGGCAGGGAGGGAGAGGCCAGCCTGGAGTCGCTCGACGTGCGAGCTTGTTGTGCGATACTGTCGAGCGCCGGAGAGGGAGAGACCGCGTGTCTACGAGCGCGCCAATCAGCATCATCGTAGCAAAACGATTCGTCCCCTCGCACGCTCACCTCGAGGTTTCGCAGCATCGTCTGCCCGAACTTGCCCATCATCGTCGCCCCTTCGTCTGCTCCCTCGCCCGCGACGCACATTTCGTAGCACACGGCAGCTACGGGCGTAGTCTCTTCCATCCTCCTCGCAACGGCGGCCAGTACATCGACGGATTCCTGTGGCGGCATGTATGAGAGGACGCATTCTGCGAGTATCAACGTCGGGCGAGAGGGGTCCAGCGAGGTGAGAATTTCCCCCTCGTCTGCCAGTCGACGCAGATCGCACCCTCGCAGCGCGTAGCGAGGTGAGAGGAGCCCGCATCGCTCGAGCGTAGGCTCGCCCAGAGGCTGTGAGAGGGCAGGCTGTCGTTGGATCGAGGCAAGCTTGCGGGCTGTCACGCTGGAGAAGTCGAGTTCGAGGTAGTGAGCCAGGCGCGGCGAGAGATTCGGGTCTGCCTGCGAGCGAGAGGCGAGAAAGGTGTGAGCATACATCGAGGGGCGCTGCGGGACGGCGGGCGCACTCACTGCTATTCGCCAGAATCTCGAATCGCTTCCTGCCCCCAAGCTGACAATCTGCGCCTTCCCTCCACTCGATGCCAGGAAGGAGGCTACAATCCGATCAATGGCCGTGCACCTCAAGTAGGTCCCGATGTTGATGATCGGCGGGCGATGCAGCGTTGGCGGGGGATTCAGGGTTGGCGAGTGGGAGGACGACGACGAAGAGGCAGGCGGCCCGGCGTAGAGTAGCTGCGAGAATGGCTCCTTCTCTAGGTAGCCCGCCTGAATGGCGCTCAGACGACTGCCGATGGCATCATTGTCCGTTGATCGGATCGAGTCGTCTTCGTGGCGTTTGCGTAGCTCGAGAGCCGTGGGTGTGGAGGAGGAAGACGAGGCTTTGGCGCCGCCGCCGCCCTTGCTGCGGGGAAGGCCGAGCGTGAGGCCGCCTGATGCCACAGGCTTTGATGATGATGAGGAGGCAGCGAGATCTGATGAGGATGTGGACGCCGCAGGCTCAGCACAGGGATCTCGTAGTGGGGCTGACATGGCGCCAACACGAGAGCGCGAAGAAGAGAGCGTCAAGGTAGGCAGGAAGGGAAGGGACGGAAAGGCAAGTGTTGGACGCCGTTGAGCGTCTCGAGCTCGAGCAACCCTCGCCAAAAGTCGCCGCCCTGCCGTGTCCGCTGCCTTTTCCTCTCGACAACCTCGTCCCGGCTCACCGCGCCCTCCTCGCTGATGCTGGCGCCCCTCTGGCGGCCAAGACTGAGCGTAGCAACTTCGTCAGCATGGCCTCTCCACGCCCCACACGCCTCGCTCAACACCTTTGGCATGGCAAAAAAGGCAAAGAATGCCCGCCATCGCGCCAATCGACGCATAGGTCGGGCCGCACGTCGGGACCTCGAGGACGCCTACGTGACGGCTCGCAATGACGAACATGTAGCGCAGTCACTTGGCCTGCCCTCTACACCTGGCGGATGGCTGACCCGCGCTGCATTCAAGCTCTTCGAGCTGGATGAGAAGTGCAGATTCCTCACGCCACAGGGCAAACGGCAGACCATCCCGAAAGTGGTGGTGGATCTGGGAGCCGCACCCGGGGGATGGACGCAGATGGCTCAGTTCTTGATGAAGAAGGCGAAGACAAAGGCTGTGAGAAGTGCGGCTGAAGGAGACGGGGACTCGCGCGGGTCGATTGCTCCCCCGACTCTCTTTGCGCTGGACAAGCTTCCCCTCGCCCCCGAGCTAGCATATCAAGAAGGGGTCAACTTCATTCAGGGGGACTTTCTCGATTTCGAAGTGCAGGATCATCTCTCTTCGCGCATCCATGCCGTCACAAACATCCCGCTCGACCAGCCCGGTGTAGACGTGGTCCTGAGCGACATGATGGCCAACACGTCGGGGAATCGCATTACGAATACGGCGGCGTCCCTCTCCCTCGTAATGGCCGCTCATCACTTCTGTCTGCGCAACCTCAAGGTCGGACCGCACTCGTGGCTGGTCATCAAAGTGTTTCAATCGGAGGAGGCAATGCGATGGCGCAAGGCTGTGCTGGAGCGTTGCTTCGATAGCGTGGGGACGCATCGCGCAAAGACGAGTAGGGTGACGAGCCCGGAGGTCTATTGGGTGTGTAGGGGTCATCGTGGTGGCGGCCACGGAGCGTTAGAAGAAGCGGGAAATCATGAGAGCGGCTTTTAATGAGCGAGCGAGGAGTGGGCGCGAGCGAGGTGCGGGCGCGAGCCAATGGTTCAGCGAGACGAGCGGCCCGCTCGTTCCTGACGATGGCCGTGACGGAGCTGCTACGCGGATCGTTTGGCGGCCTTACGCGGGTCGTTTGCCGGAGCTCTTACGTCGTTTGCTCTCGCAACGAGCGACGACGCAGCGACGACGCAGCGACGACGTGCTGGCAAGGCAATCTCGACTCTCGCTCTCTCTCCCCCTCATCCCATCCTCCTCCTCGTCAACCCAGACCTTGCTACAACTCCCACGCACCCCTGCCTATCCTCGCTCGCACTCAGATCCTCCTCGATCTAGTCAATTCCCCTCGCCGCTCCGCCCCTCACCACGCCTCGCCACGGCTCGCCACGCCTCGCTGCCCCTTTGCCCCTGCCTTCGCCACGTCTGCGCCTGCTCTGCGCTCTGCGACTTCATATCGCCTCGCCTCGCCTCGCCTTCGACTCAGCAGCATCAGCCAGCCAGCCGGCCAATCCTTCGCTCGCCATTCACGCCCACGCCCACGCACACGGCTTTGCATAGAGTCGCATCGTGAGTTCGCGCCCGCACACGTCACGCCGCAGCTGCAGCTGAGCTGACTCGCCCCCCGCGCCCCTCGCCTCCTCGCCCCTCAGATGACCACCCAAGTAGTCAACAACGCCACGACGGCTGGGCAAGTTCCTGCCGCCCCTCGCAGCGTCATGGGCCCGCGCCCCGCCACCCTCTACGGCACAGCTGCGGACACGAAGCTGGGCGTCACCACGACGACGACGACGACGACGACCGCCGCCGCCGCCTCTGCCGCCCCTCCCACCTCCGCCCAGACTACCGCCGCGGCACCCACTACGACGGTCGTTGCCCCCAACCAGACGAACGGCAGCCTCTCGAGCGGGACCATGTCCCCCGGCATCATGACGGGCCGCCCCGTCTTTGGAGGCGGGCGCGAGGAGGCGACGCATCATGCTAGTCTCTTCATTGGAGATCTTGGACCGGAGGTGAGCGTGTGCGGCATTGCTACACCGCCAGTCGGCAGTCTGCTGATTGTCTTTCCCCCGCGACACGCGCCCGCGACACGAGTAGGTCGACGATGCTTCCCTTCGTTCGGCATTCGAGCGCTTCCCCACGCTCAGCGAGTGTCGTGTCATGTTCGACCCTAACACGGGGCGATCTCGTGGATATGGATTTGCTTCCTTTGCTGATCAGGAAGACGCTCAGCGCGCCTTGACGTGAGCGTGCGCGGCGAGAGGTGACAAGATTGAGCTGACTCCTTTTCCCCTCGCCACCACGCCCGCCCAGCACCCTCAACGGCGAGTGGCTCGGCACCCGCCCTCTGCGCATCAACTGGGCCAATCAGAAGACGTGGGTGTGAGTGCGGCATAACGGTAGGGCGCGGCGCTCACTCACCACGATTACTTCCCTGTTCCTCGCCTCGTCTCGCCAGCCGCCACCACCGCAGCGCAACGCACGACGCCTCCGGTGTCCCCCTCACCCTCGAGCAAATCAGCGCCTCTGCCCCTGCGCACAACACGACCGTCTACGTGGGCAACCTCCACCCCATGACGACGCAGCAAGACATCGTCAACCTCTTTGCCGGCATCGGTTTCGTCCGCGAGGTCCGCCTTCAGGCCGAGCGCGGCTACGGCTTCGCTGTGCTCGAGACGCACGAGATTGCCGCCTCTGCCATTCATTCGCTCACGGCCGCGGGCACGCAGCTGCAGGGACGTCCTTTGCGTTTCAGCTGGGGGAAAGACAGGAACGAGGGAGTGCACGCCCATGCTGGGCTACATAACATGACTGCGATCCCCAACGTCTTTGGCAACCTGGTGCGTCGTGTGCGCGCGCACGCCAACCCCGCGCCTCCGCTGCCTCACGACGCTGACTTGTCGCGCCCTCTATTCCTGCGCAGGTGTACACCGGCTTCCCTCAACAGCCCCTCGCGTATGGAGCAGGCTTTGCCCTCCCCACGACTGGGTTCGGCGCCCAGGCCCCTCCTGGCGGTCCCACCTCCCAGACGGGCGCAGCCGCCGCCGCAGCTCTGAACGGCGTCTTCGCCCCGACGACTCCCTACGCCGCTGCTGCCACTGGCGCTACGGCGGGCGGCGCACCTCACGGCAGCACGATTGCGATCAACCCCTCGCTCGTGAACCTGCAGGCCCTTCAGCATCACCAGGTCCAGCAGCATCATCAACAGCAGCAAGTCGCCGCCGCCGCCGCTGCCGCTGCTCAGGCTCAGGCACAGGCTCAGGCTCAAGCCCAAGCTCAGCATGCCAATGGAGCTGGAGGGGCTGGCGGTGCGGCTGGAATGGCTCATCTCAACATGGGCTTCATCCCTGGTCAGCTCCACGCTCCCCCTAATACCGTCGCCGCACAGCAGCATCTCGCTACGGGGGCCACGCCTACCACTCCGGGCGGGAGCGTGACGTACACGCACGGCAACGGGGCTGCGGCTGCTTCTGTTACGGCTGGGATGCAGGGCTTGCAGATGAGCTAGGCGTGCGGCGTGCGACGTGCGACGCCAAGCCCTACGCTTCCACACACCAAGAGACCATCACCACTGTCTATTGCTGCGCTACCTATCCATCCATCTCCGTGACAGAAGCCTCGCCTTCTCTCCGCTTCTTCTCCATCCCGCTTTTCCTTGATATGAAGCCACTTCCCCCTCTGCGATTCAATGAATTCACCATTGCCACTCGCGCGTGCGTGCGTGCCTTCTCGTCTCTGCCGGCGGCTCCCGTTGCTTGCCCGCCCTGAATCGGACGCCTCGCAGCGTGGCCCACGCTGCGCCGAGGTCAACGCAGGGCGGACGGACCCTTTTCCTCAGCTTCGGGGCGGCAAAAGTCGACGCCTTCGCTTTCTCATCATCCTGACCCACCTCATCATCCCACCCATCTTCCAGCTCCGCAACTGCTTCTTCGCATCTTCCCTCGCTTTCACATAATAACCAGCAAGCAGCTTGGTGCGAAGGCTGCACGCGATTCGCCTGGCAGCAAGAGGGGACAACAGCGGCGAGACTGCACTCGGGTGCCCGTGAGCTGGAAAGGCGCCGAGGGAGGACGAGGGGAACGAGGGGAACGAGGCCCACTCCTTCCTTCGACTTGACTAGGTAGCATACAATGTCCAACTCCTCTGTCGCTCTTGCCCCCAGTCTTCCCCGTCCCATCAACATCGTGTCGTCGTCCTCGTCCCCGTCGTCATCCTCTTCTCCTCCTCGCGGCACCACCGCCAAGACGCCAGCTCCTTCAAACGCGAATGGAAACCTGCCAGTGCGCGCATCCTGCGATGAATGTCGACGTCGAAAGCTGAAATGCGATGGCAATCGGGAGGTCTGCGATCGTTGTAGGACGGCGGGGGTGGAGTGTCGATACAGTGAGTGTCGTGGGGCATCCAGCGTGCGAAGAGGCTCTACGCCTTGCTGACCTGCTCTGACTCGCTCGCACAGACATCCGCGCACGTATCGGCCGACCCAAAGGCACGACAAAAGCGGTGATCGCTAGGGCAGAAAGTAGTGGGAGTGCGAGTGCGGGCAGTCCAACAAACGTCAGCATCGCTTCACCGCCCTTGAAGAGACGGAGATCCAGCCCACCCTCTGCTGCTGCTGCTGCTGCTCCTGCTCAGCAGTGCGAGGATCCCTTCAAGAGCCTGCTCGACGCTGCGCCAATGCCTCAAGCGTCCAGCTCGGCATTGCCGCTAGACCCTTTCGCGAGCGCCACCGGCGGCAGCAACGAGCCATCAGCCTTGGACTCACTCGAGCTAGCAGCCTACCTCGAAAGCCTCGATCGCGTCAAGATCAGCTCAAGCGACGGCTTGACAGCAGGAATGCTCTGCGGGGGCAACGAAGCCGGCCCAAGCGTGTCATCGCTACTTGGCCAGTCTACCGCCGGCGCATCAGGATCGAGCGATACGTTTCCTGCTTCTCTATTTGGCGGAGGTGGCGTCCCCTCGAATCTGCACGCTCAACCACCTCCTGCAACGTCAGGCGATGCCTCTAGCTGGTGGGCAGGAACCATCCTGGATGAAGCGGTCAGCTATGCGGTTCCTAGCGACTTGAGCTGGTGTCACTGGAACCTCGACGAGGGGCTCATGGGCGGCGGGGGGACGGGGACGCAGCAGCAGGCGCAGCGGCCGCAACAGGATCGATATGCCAGTCTAGACCCCTTTGCCCTCAATCCGCAGCAGCAGCCACAGCCACAGCCACAACCAGCCTGGCCGCGTGGACCGCAAGATGGAATGGGGTCGGGAAAGATCAGGACAAGGGAGGGGCAGACATTGCAGGGCGGAGCGTGGCCGGCCACGAATGAAAGTGCGGATACCTCGGCCTTCACTGTTCCCCCTGCGCCAACTGCGGTCAAGTCGTGCTGCTCCACGTCAACCAAGAGCAAGACTGCGACTGCATCCCTTCGTGCACACCCGCCTTCACGAGCTGCGGAGGAGCCCGTCGCACCAGCAAGGGGTCCCTGTCCCCGCACTGGCGCAGCAAGCTGTTGTTGCGGTGACGACGCAAAGCCGCGCGCGACCAAGTCTGCAGATTCGGCCTCGGCCTCGACCTCTCCACGTGTGCACTGCGTCCCCAACCCCTCGGGCAACGGGTGCACATGCCTCTGCCAGTCAGACGTCTGCCTGCTGCGCGTGAAGCGTACCCTCTCGCCGAGCAATGGCGGCGGCGGCGGTAACGAAGTAGCCGAGGGGGAAGCAGGCACGGGCGCCGCAGGGGGGGAGCCCCTCTCTCTCCATCTAACCCTCTCCGCCTCGCAAGCCATCAGCGCGTCGTGCGCCTGCTCCTCTACGTGCCCTACGTGCGCACGTCCTCCCACCAGCTCCAGCTACGCGGTCGGTACGAATGGTGGAGAGGGCGATGGAGATGAGGAGGCAGCTGCGGCGACGGCGGCGCACAGAGCAAAACGGTACAATGCTTCTCTGCTCATCTCCCTCGCGCTACAGATCTACACGAGGGCGGTGCGGATCCTACGAGATGGGTTCGGGGTGCCACCCACTGGCACTGGATTCAGCGGTGCGGGGGTGGGGGCGGGACTGGGTAGTGCTCCCTCCTCTCTCATCTCAACCTCGCCGGCTTCGCCCTCCTCATCCTCCGGCTCCATCTCATCCCCAAAGTCGGCGTCGGCCTCGGCGTCGGCCTCGGCGTCGTCCGGCGCCCTGCACTCCACCGTTCAGATAGGGAGCAGCTACGTTCCCCGCCCAGCAAACGCACAACGCATCGCCCTCCTTGCCATTCGACTCGAACTGCTCGACCTCGAGGAGGGGATGGCACGCGTTTGGCGGACCGGTGGGGCTCCGTGCGCGGGCGCAGACGTGAATAATAAGGCTGTTGGGGGTGCGGAGGGAGCGGCGTTGCTGGCCCCGATCGACGGGCTGGTCATTTCGAAGCTGCGCGGCCAGTTGAGGGAGATGGTGGGTAGGGTCGAGGGGATGGAACGTGATTGGGATGCACGGCGGGCGAGGGGTGGGGGTGCGAACGGAGCATGATGCGGAGGACCACCGGCACGCACGCACGCACGCACGCCGGGGAGGGCTTTCATTCCCATCTCTGTTTTTTGATTGATCAATCCATCTCTATTACCACTCTACGCACGCCAAGCGCGTCACGCCTCCGCTCTCAGAACTTGTACACCTGCGACTCCTGATAGCCCGCATCGGCCAACAGGCCCTTGAGTTCTCCCTGACTTCCCTTTGGCCCCTTTCCACCGGAAATGCTCTCCACCTGAGGTGGTGGTCCGCAGACGAAGACCTTAACCTTGTCCGCCTTACCCGGAGCGGGGAGGTGTTGCGAGATGATTTCTGGCGTGATGTAGCCCTGGAATCCCTTGAAGTTGGAGGGAAGCTTGTCGAGACCGTAGACGATTTTGAATCGAGGGTCTTTGGCTGCGAGGGCGTCGAACTTTTCGCGCAAGAGGATGTCGGATTCCGTCTTGTTGGTGTAGACGAGGGTGACGCGAGTCTTGTCCGAAGCATTGTTGGCGATGTCCTGCATCACTCTGTGGTGGGGCGCAGCGAGCAGCAAGGGCAGGGTCAGGAGTCAGCAAGACGATTGGGCGAGGGAGAAGGGGGGAAGGGGGGGGAAGTGCTACATCTTGGTTGAACACGCGACGCACCGCGCCACTCACTGCCACATCGGGGTGATCCCACTCCCACCGGCGATCATACCGATCTCCTCAAACTCATTGGCCTTGTAAGGGAACTTGGGAATCGGGCCCTTGATGCTCAAGCTGTCCCCAGGCTTCAACCCATGCACGTGAGAGGTCATTGCTCCTCCCTGATACTTCTTGATGAGGAAGTCCATATGACCCTGCGTGGCGGGAGTGGAGACGGGAGTGTAGGGACGAATGACGGGTTTGCCATCCTTGTCCTTTACGGGGGAAGAGTCGGCACCTTTGAAGAGGACGGCAGAGGCTGTTGAGAGACCAGAGTCCGTGCCAGGGGGAAGCTCGAAGACGAAGCTGCGCGAGCGGAGGGGCGATGGTGTCAGGCTCTTACATCTTATTGGCAAACATCTCGTGCTCACGTCGCCGAATCATGGTTGTAAGGCACGACCTCCTTGAGCTTAAACTCCCTCCACTCGTCCTTGTTGAGCGCAGAGGCAGCTCCCCCTACGCCAGGGACGGCTGCAGCCGCTTTGCCCGCTGCGGCCTTTGCGTCACTCGCGCTGGGGACGCCGTTGGCATTACCGCCCATGAGGACCCATGCGCCCAGCCCTGCGACACCGGCGCCGCCGAGGAGGAGGGGCAGGTTCGATGTCGAGGAGCCGGAAGAGGGGGCAGAGGCGTAACCGCGTACACTTTGACGAGTGGAAGCGCTCGCGCTGCGCAGGCTCGATTGAAGAGCGGGGGAGAAGACGGTGCGGAGCATGGCTTGCTAGAATTGGGTTGGGGTTGGGTGTGGTGAGGAGGAAGAGGATGAGAAGGAGCGACGTGCGGCGTGCGGCGTGCGGCGTGCGGCGTGCGCTTCGATTGACAACCCTCGTGTCTGCCCGCCCTCGAGACCGGTTACGTCAATGCAAAGGGTGAGGCGGGGGCGGAGCGGGGCGCACACCCGCTGCCGCGTGGCCCATCCGTCCATCCGCCCTTCGAAGCTCCCCTCGACCTCCACCCCAGCTCGCGACCTCTCTCACCTCTCTGCCAAAACGTCACGGTTAGTCGCAACGAGACGAGACGAGACGAGGAATGCCTGCTGATCGCACCAGGAAGCGGATGACGAGGAGGGAGGAGCACAAGCACGAGCACGAGGAGAGGGGAGAGCAGGCCGTAAGGAGGAGCACGAGGAGCACGAGGAGCACGAAGAGCAAGGCCGGGCGAATTGGGCAGGGGAAAGAAGAGGAGGAGCGTCCCGCCCCTGCGTCTGGGTCCACGTCAACGTCAACGTCACCTCCCTCTATCAAGGGGTCGCAGCGCAAGGGCAAGGGCAAAGCAGAAGCAGGAGCGCAACCCGCAACACCAAAGCCAAAAGCAGAGCGCAAATACCCCACCACCCCCGACGGGCATTACTTCGTCGTGCGCGGCCGCCTGTGGCGCTGTACCGACCCTTCCCTCTCCCCCTCCTTCGTGACCCACTGGACCAAGCGTTTAATGGACGCCCGTAGGGACGTCGGCACGCGTGGTCGCAATGGCGGTGACGTGAGTGAAGCGAGGGCTAGGGTGCAAGAAGCAAAAGAGCAGCTGGGAGAGAGGGGGGAAGAGCCTTGGTGGGTTGCCAAGGGGGAAGGAGGGGAGGTTTGTGATCGGAAGATGGTGTGGAATACTGGGTATCGGGATTGGTGGGAGGCCGAGAGTAGCAAGGAAGCGTGACTGCAATTGTTGGAAGACTTGAGTGCTTGTATTCTATCTACCATTCACATCGGCGTAGAGGACCCAGCTTCAGTCGACTGCCCCTCTGCGCTGCCCATGAGATTCGTACTGCTAGGCTCGGGGGCTCGAGCCTGTCCCGCCTTTCCTCCGGCCTCCTGCTGCTGATGATGCGAAGTCGACGCTGCCGCAGCGTCCTGAAATCGGGCCAACTCGAGTATTTCCCTCACTATACTCCCTGCAGGCTTGGATGCCCCACCAGGAGCGGTCAGGTAGATCTTGCGTGGCGGCGTCGTATTGCCTGTCGATGAAGCGAGCGAGGACGGGGAAGCAGGGGTGGGTCATCAGTCAGGTAAAGCCTAGACGGGCCACGCTCGCGAGGATACGCACCAAAATCAATCTCAACACTCGAGGCCTCTTCTGACGACGAAGATCCCGCTGACACCGCATCGCTCCCCACCGTGTCTCCCGTCTCCCCCTCCTCCCCAGTAGTCGTAGCAGCCACCACCTCCTTCGCCTTTCCCTGTCCCTGCCCCCTCTCGAGGAACTGTACGTCCACCCTCACAGTGGGATTAGCGTACGCCAGACGCGGGAGGACTTCCTTGATGAACTGCCTGCGCGTATCGCGAGGATCATCAGCACGTCTCGCTCGCAGCATCGCTCTGCGTTCCACTCGCGCACTCACCTCTCCCCCACCTGTCCATGCCTCTTCCCCGCCCTAACCCGCAAGGAACGAACAGCCGGGCTCAACTTTGATGCTCCCAAGCCCGCGTTGAGTCGGGCGAGGACTTTGGAGAGTTGAGAAGGTTTGGCAGGGGTGGCCATTGGAGGAGTGTCGTTGTCGTGACTTGGCTGCTGGGTGAGAGTGCGGCAGGGAGGGACGAACAACAGAAAAGAGACGCGGAGGGAGGAGGAGTCGGCGAGGACGAGGGGAGGAGGGCTGGTTCCGTGCTCAAGCCTTACGTAAGCAGCCGTCGCCAGTCCGACGAGGCCTTGACACCGAGAAGCGAGTTGGACGTGCGTCGACTTGACTCGGAGACGACGAGAGGCGAGCGAACTTCCTTCCTTCCTTCCTGCCATCGCATCACATCACGCCACGCCACGCCACGATGCTTTACCTCCTCGACTATGGCGCAGGTAGTGAGTACGAGAAGCGTCGGTGCAGGTGAGATGGGATTGCTGAGCTGATTGTGACCTCTGTGCCCTCACGCCGCGCCCGCGCAGACGTGCGCAGCCTGGCCAACTCGATCCGCAAGCTAGGCTACGACTTTGAGTGGGTTCGCCACCCCGATGACCTCAAGAAAGCCAGCGTGAGTGGCAGCGCTCCCTTTGCGCACCTTCCCTAACCCATTCACCGGCTCACGCCACGCCCACACGCGCACCAGAAACTCCTCTTCCCCGGCGTCGGCGCCTTTGGCCAAGCGCTCACTTCCCTCCGCACGCAAGGCTACGCCGAGCCCCTCAAAGAATACATTGCCTCTGGTCGCCCATACATGGGCATCTGCATAGGCATGCAAGCCCTCTTCGAGTCCTCCTCCGAAGCGCCCGGCATCCAAGGCCTCGCCGTCCTCCCAGGAAGGGTGGAGCGATTCGACAGCGAGAAGAAGACGGTCCCACACATGGGCTGGAATAGGGCGAGACCGGTGCGAAAGAGCGCCGAGGCGTATGGTCTGCCCGTGAGCGGCGGAGGCGGCGAGGCGGAGGAGGAGCACGCCGAGTCACGCCGCCACTTCTACTTTGTCCACTCGTACCGCGTGGCCTTTGACCCTCAGCTTCACTCTAGCTGCGCCCTCTCCACAACGCAGTACGGCAACGAAGTCTACCTCTCGGCCGTGCAACAGGGCAACGTCTTTGCTACGCAATTCCACCCAGAGAAGAGCGGGCGTGCCGGTCTCGACGTGCTCAGGGCTTGGCTCGAGCTCCCTGGCGGGCCGAGCGAGCGAGCAGCAGCAGCAGCAGCGCAGCCAGACGACTGGCTCCTCTCACCCACGCAAGCCGCAATCCCACGCAAAAAGGACGGCCTAACAAAACGAATCGTCGCCTGCCTAGACGTGCGCTCCAACGACGCGGGCGACCTCGTAGTCACAAAGGGCGAGTCCTACGACGTGCGAGAAAAGGCCACGACCAGCGGCGCCTCCTCCTCTTCGGGCGGGGACGTTCGTAATCTGGGCAAGCCAGTCGACCTCGCATTGCGCTACTACCTCTCTGGAGCGGACGAAGTCACTTTTCTCAACATCACCTCCTTCCGCTCTTCCGCGCTACGGGATCAGCCCATGCTCCGCATGACCGAGCTAGCCGCCGCGAGCATCTTTGTCCCCCTGACCATCGGCGGCGGAATAAAGGACACAGTCGATCCAGACGGGACGGGGCGGAGTGCAAAGGAGGTGGCAGAGGCCTACTTCCGGGCTGGGGCGGATAAGGTCAGTATTGGTAGCGAGGCGGTTAGTGCTGTTGAGGGTCTGCTTGCCAGCTTGCCAGAGGGTGAATACGACCCGGCCAAGGCGCCCAAGACGGCTCTGACGGGTGGGACAGGGATTGAGCAGATTTCGCGAAATTACGGAGCACAAGCAGTGGTGGTTAGCATTGACCCACGCAGGGTGTACCTCTCAGAGGGGGAAGAAGTGCCCGCCGCACACGCCTGGTCTCTCGTCTCCTCCGCAGAGGGACAACGCTGGTGGTACGCCTGCACGACCAAGGGCGGTCGTGAGACGCGCGACGTGGATGTCGTCCAACTAGCGCGTGGCGTCGAGCTCCTCGGGGCTGGAGAGCTTCTCGTCAACTCGATAGACGCGGATGGTCAGGGTAAAGGGTTCGACCGCGATCTCATCGAGCTGGTACGACGTTACACCTCTGTACCCGTAATCGCCTCCTCTGGGGCGGGGAAGGCTGCCCACTTTGAGGAGATCTTCAGCCCTGCGCCACGTCGAGAGGGGTGGAAGCAGGGGAGCGTCGAGGCTGCTCTTGCTGCGGGGATTTTCCATCGTGGGGAGGTGGCCATTGACGAGGTTAAGGAGGCTTGTGAGGGGGCAGGGCTGGTGGTTAGGAGGGAACACGATTTGGAGAAGAAGGGGACGACGGGTGTCGTGCTCGAGGAGAAGGGGGATGCCGTTAAGCCCGGAGAGAGGGATGCTGTACTGGCGTAGAGGTGCGCGTGAAGGGAATAGAGATTTGTGCATGCAACGCGGAGAGGTGAGGGTGAGAGAAATGAAGATGGGGACGCGCGGGGGAGGCTACTTGCGTCTTGCGCTGCCTCGTCGTGAGGAAGATGCGGAGGCGGGAGCGGCCTGATTGCGTCCTCGACCGGCGCTCCTCCCCACAACCTTCGCCTTCGCTTTCGCCTCTTGCTCAGCATTCGCTCTCGCGATCTTCCAGCCAGGCTTGGGCCCAGGCTTGAGGCGCACCTTCTTCGCTGCTGGCGGCGGCGGGGGCGGCGCAGCAGCAGATGACTGTGATTGGGTGGCGGCGGCGGGGGCTGCGGCGCGTCGCTGCACCTTCTGGTTGCGCGGTCTGCTCCATCCTTTGCCCTTCTTCTTGCCCTTGCCTTTCTTTGCGCTCTGACCCTTCTTCTCACCCGCCTCGTCTTCGTCGTCCACCCACTCATCCCCACCAGCAGCGGCGCCGGCGGCAGCGTGAGCGTGTGCCCCTCCTGCCGCGCCCGCACTCCCACTGGCCAAGGGCAGGCCGAGCGTCCCTCTACAATCGGCACAGTACCACTTGCGCTTACTCCCCTCTAACAGGTCCCTGTACTCCTCTTGCGTCATTTCACCACGCGCTTCCAGGCAGGCCAAGTGGTACCACTCGCGCGGACATCCCGGCGTGCGTCCTAGCGGGTCCTCCTCGTTGTCGCACCCGACCATGTTGCCCGAGGAGGGTAGCTGGCAGTAGCAGTACACGGGCTCATTGGGGTCGTAGGCCATTTCGATTTCGACGTCGAGGTGCGTTGATGTGGATGCGAGGGGAGGGGCAGACGCAGACGCAGCCGCAGACGTAGAGGCAGAGGCAGTGCTGCTTGGCTCGGGGAGAGGGGCGCCTGACTGCTGGGACGGTCCACCGCCACGCCTGCTTCGTGTAGAGCGGAGCGTTGTGCCGCTGCTGCTGTTGGCCTGCTCTTCAGTGCCGCCATTCGCCTTTGCCACTCCTCCGATATGCATCTGACTGACCCCACTCTCCATCGTTCCGGGCCTCACCGCCTCCCCGCTCGGCGCAGTCGCAGTCGCAGTCGTGTTCGCCGTGCCCGTCCCCACGGCAGCGGTGGATCCTGCTTGTTGCCCCGTCATCTTGGCCAGCTCGACGTCCAATCGCCTGCATTGCCTGTCGATCAGCTGATAGGCGCTCAGGGCGAGGCCGACCTTCTCCTCGGACGAGGCTATGATGCTTGTCAGGGAGCGGGAGATGCGTGTGAGCGACGAGGGGCGAGTGTACGGTGGTGGGGGTCGTGCGGGAGGTGCGGGTTGGAGGGACGCCAGTGGGGCCGGGGCTGATGCGCCAGGCACGGGGAGGGGAGGTGTGGCGAAATCCTCTTCCCCTTCCTCCTCCTCCTCCTCCTCGCCATTCGCGCTCTCTCGCACCCTCTCCCTCCTGCCCCTCACATAGCTAGCCGTCTCCAACCGTATCGTGCCCATGTGTCCCCTGATCTGTCCCTCCAGCTCGCGTATCAGGGCAAAGGAACGATGCAGCTCCAGGGGTAGTTGTTCGATGACTGCGCGTGCGGGGGAGCAGCAGTTCAATGTCAAATGCTCGACGTGGAGGGGAAAGGGGAGGGACGGCGCTACTTACTTTCAAAGTACTCCTCCCTCCACCCATCAAAGAGTCTCTGCTCCTTCTCCGCCTCTTTATCCCTCATCTCCTGCCCGTCATCTTGCTGCCCCTCTTCACGCTCGTCCACTTGACTTCTACGCCTCTTACGGGGCGTACCTCCCTTCTGAGAGTGACTGTGAGCGGGACTCTTGTCCTCCTTCCCCACAACAGCAGCAGCCCTCGCCCTCTCAACGAGCGGGGTAGGATGATCCCGATTTGGACGGCGTCGCTTCGTTCCGCGGGTGGGGCGATCCGTCGATGTCGCCGATGAAGGCGGAGCGTGACGTTGTGGTGAGGTCAAGGGGGTGATGGGGGAGGAGGCCGCGTGCGAGAGGGTGGCGGAGGTGGAGCTTTGAGCTGGATGTGATGCGAGAGGGAGGGGGTGAGCCGATGTTGACGCGGACGCCGACGCTGATGTCGAGGCCTGGCTACGTCTGGCGCCGCGTGTTGTGCGAGAGGAGGAGGGGGAGGGATGTGGAGCCATGCTGCATCGCGATGTGTTGGTGCCCAATGGAGATGGTCGGATTGGTTGCAAGGACAAGAAGCGAAGCGGACTGGCGTCCAGTCCAGAGTCCAGAGTGAGACACGCGCCGCCCGGGCCGCCTCGCGCGTTTCAGACTCCGCTCGACGTCGACGGAAAGGGACGACGACGGGGCTCAGCGGCAGCAGCAGCAGCTTTGCGTCTTTCGACTTTGCCTTCGCATCTTCGCATCCCAATCATCGCTCCGTCCGTCCCCTTAAGGATCATGGCCACGATGTCCGACGACGGTGTAGCGGGACCGTCCTCTTCACCACCCGTCCCACCCTCTCCGCGAGTCGAGACGGCAGGAGTCGAGGCGGGCGTCGATGCTCAGCCAGCGGGGGAGCAAGACGCTGAGCTTCTCCCTCCGACAGAGGACGACGCTGCACTCCCGCGAGAAGTGCCAGAGCACAACCTCATTGCGGCGCAACAGGCCCTGCAAGGCGGGATAGTGAGTGACGGCGAGCGAAGAGGATCGGGTGCTGAGTCGTGTCACATTATCCTCCTTGGCTGACATGTCCTCATTGCTTCGCGCGCTTCACGCTGCTGCGCCCCCAGTTCACAATGGCAACCGATCACCCACCACTGCGACTTTCCTCCATCCGCTTGATAGGCACAACGCATGTGCGTCCCTCCTTTCTATCCCACCTCTGTGCGCCCTACATCTCCCAGCCCACCGCGCTGCAACGACTTCTGGGCGTTGGCCCCTCGTCCTCCTCGTCCTCGCACCCCCTCCCAGCACCAGGTGAACGCACGACTCTCCGCGAGCTCCTGGCCTTATCCGCCCGTCTAGCAGAGCAGCTGGATCGACTCGACCTATTCCGTGGGGTGGACGTGACTCTTCTCCCCTCCGCCTCGGCTGACTCCCCGCACTCGAAGGAAGAGACGGACATAGTGATCCAACTGGCCGAGGCTCCGCGCTTCTGGCTGAAGAGCTCCTCGGACGTGGGTAATGGGGAAGGCTCCGTCTCGCTGCAAGGTAGGGTGCGCAACCTTTTCGGCGGGGGAGAGAAGCTAGAGGGAAGCTACGAGGTCGGGACAAGGACGCGAAGCGCACTCAATGCGACGTTGAGTGCTCCGGTGGCAGGAAGTGCGGATCATGTAGCTCGACTGGGGGTGTACAGCTGCGAGAGGGACAAGAGCTGGTATGCGAGTCACGAAGAGAGCAGCGCGGGGCTGCGAGTGTCAATCGAGGGGGCGAATCGCGCGCGCGGGTTGACGAATGAGCTGGCCTGTGAAGGCGTATGGCGACGCATCGGACGAGTGGGAGCGGGGGCATCGACGCCCGTAAGACGAGAGCGGGGAGACGATGTCAAGACGAGTCTGGTGCACACCCTCGTGCACGATACGCGGGACGAGCCCTTCTTGGGCAGCGAGGGTTGGTTCGGGAAGAGCGTGACGGAGCTGGCCTCGCGGTGGTTGGGTGGGGGGAGGGATCACCTGCGCTGGGAGGGGGAGGCGAGCCTGACACGGCGACTCGACTTCACTTCCACGGGCCTGCGGGGCGAAGTGCAAGGATGGGGCTATTCTACGGGGCTGCGCACAGGGTTCATTCTCCCCTTGCGCCGCGGGGAGCGACACCACCTCTCTGACCTCTTCCATCTGGGCGGGCCGACTTCGTTGCGCATGTTCTCACCCAACTCCCTCGGCCCAAAGAGCGGGCGTGACTCGTTGGGGGGTTGGGCCTACTACGAGGTTGGGGGCAGCCTCTTTGCGCCCTGCTGGCCGGGGAAGGCTCATTGGCCGTTGAAGGTGCACGCGTTTCTCAATGCGGGGCAGGTAGCCGGGGGAGCCTCATCGCGCGGGCAGTCGTTGTTGTCTGCGGCTCGCGAGCCGAGCATGAGTGCGGGCATGGGGCTGGCATACACGCAGGGACCGTTACGGGTGGAAGTGAATGCTGGCATGCCGATCACGAGCAGGCGCGGGGATGGACAGAGGAAGGGGGTGCAGTTTGGTATTGGCATCGACTTTCTTGGCGGCTAGCTAGCGCGGGGAGAGGCGATACGTCGGTTCAAAGATTGTTGCGCTGCGGGCGGGCGGTGCGGGCGAAGAGGTCAGATATCAATGCGCACCATTCATCACCTCGGTTCACGCGCCACGCACTGCACGTCGACAAACGTCTTGATCCCCTTCTCGCTCGGCCTGATCGTCTCCCTCTTGGTATCCCGGGGAAGGGCCTTGCGCATGTCTGGTCGGGCGTGGCGTGGGGTGGCGGCATGATCAGCATCAGCGTAATCGTCTCTCTCTCCTCGCTTCTCTCGCCCGCTCGACTCACCAAACCCATCCTCATCCTCTGCTCCACCCTTGCCTCCTCCCCCAGCATAATACTCCCTCACCCTTCGATAGACCCCATACTCCAAGGCCTCGTATAGACCAACGGCAAGCGCATTGCTCGGTCGCACGAAGAGGTCGACGAACCAGGCCGAGTAGAGGGAAGAACTCGCCGACTCGAGGAGGGACATGAGTGATTTCGCTAGACCCAAGCGACGATAGTGTGGTGAGACGGTGATGGCCGTTACGTGGCCGTGCAGCTCTTTGCGGGTTCCTTCCGCTTTGCCGATGAGGTAGGCTGTGGGCGTAGGGGTGGGTGTGCTGGTGCTGGTGCTGGTGCTGGAGGAAGACAGCTGCGCCGCGTGAGGCGTTTCGGCAAGAAAGCACAGCTCTGGCCACAAGGCTAGATAGTTGAGGTAGTAGGAGCACGAGTAGGTCTCGGTGAAGTGGTCTAGGTTCACGGCGTTGAATGCGAATAGGTCGGTGCTGCGAAAGGGACGAAGGCGGGACATGATGACGCTGGCAGAGGGGACGTGGAGGCGAGGTAGGGAGGGAGGGAGAGATGTCAAGTTGCGAGGTTGCGAGGAGGGACGGAAGTGCGGCAGGCCAGGAGCGGGAGCGCGGAAGGCGATGTGAGGCGAGGCGGAAGGGCGTCAATCTCGACTTGGCGGGCTGCACGCTCGCGACTCGTAGAAAGGCATTAACGTTACGGGCGCAGAGCGTCGAGAGGGATGGAAATGCGTAGGGACATGGCACGAGGCGAGAGAAGGGACGCGAGAGACGAGAGGGTATAGAGGGCGCGGACAGGAGCGAGGAGAGACGGCGGTAGCACCACAATGCTAGAACATCGTCTGGAAAGCGTCGCACAGGTCCTGGCTCTGCGACGCCGGCATGGAACGACCATTCGCTCCAACTCCCTGCGTGCGAACCAAGGAGAAAGGGTGTCAGTCTTCTCTCTGTCTACGCCCACACGCCACGCCACGCCACGCCATGCCACGCCACGCCGCGACTCACATTCTTGCCAAAAGTGAAACCCGCCCAAACCCCCAACCCGCCACACGCCTCTTTCCCGCTCTTCCTCTCCCGGATCCCCTCAACGTTGCGCTGCTTCTCCTGCACCTCCTTGTACTTGGCCATATCCGCCGGGTCGTCAAAGTCGTCGAAGTGGGAAGTGTCCGTCTCGTTTTTCAGAGAGGGGACAAAGGGGGTTTTGAGGGTGCGGAGAGAGGTGAAGTCGAGGGAGGAGAAGAAGGGGTGCGCTTGGCACGAGGAGAGCGAGGAGTAGCGACGATCGGGGGTGTCGATGAGTCTGTGCGGGGAGCGTGGGGGGAGAGGGGCGGTGTCAGTGGGACGAGAGACGGGGAGGGCGCTCGCGCACACGCACCTCTTGATGCAATCCCACGCATCGTCGCTCAAGTTGAATTGAAGATCCTCCTTGCGCGTGTACACAGGCCGTTGTAGCACCTTCTGCCAGTTCTTGAGGTTCGCCCACGTCTCCTCCGGCTTGCCCCCGGAGAATGGCGGGAAGCCCGCGAGCTGCTCGTACAGCATGCATCCAAGACTCCAATAGTCGACCGAATACCCGTACGTCTTGCCGCGCAACACCTCCGGAGCCATATAGTCTGGGGAGCCAACGATGGAGTCTGCGTAATGCACATTGCCCGCACGCATGGCCTTGTACAAGCTGCCCCTCTCCGCCGGCGTGCGGTACACAAAGTCCGTATCCTTGACCTGCTCCAAACGATGTCGCAGCGAATCGATGCGCGTAGGATTGAGGGCTCCAGCTGCGAGTCCAAAGTCGGTCAGCTTGATATGCCCATCGATGTCGATGAGGAAGTTCTCCGGCTTCAAGTCGCGATGGATGTACCCGAGCTTGTGCACCTCATTGACCGCAACGAGCATTTCTGCCATGTAGAATTGTGCGAATTCCTGGTGAAGGATGCCCGCGTTGTTGAGGAGAGTGCGGAAATCTCCACCGGGGACGTACTCCATTGCGAGATAGACGTGTTCGGTGTCCTGGAAGGCGTAGAGGAGGCGAACGAGCCAGGGTGTGCGCGTGGCGGTGAGGATGTCACGCTCGATGAGGACGTGGCGGACCTCGTCCATCTTGACGAGGACCCTGCGTGCGTGCGGCGAGACGTCGTGTGAGCTTCCCTTGCCTGTCAGGCCCACTACGCTGCGCCGCACTCACCTCTTCCTCAACTTCTTGAGCGCGCAGATCTGACCCGTCTCCCTCTTCCTCGCGAGGAACACCTCTCCGTACCCACCTTGACCCACCTGCGTAATGATATGGAACTGGGCAACGCGCAGCTTGGTTCTCCTTTTACGGAGCAGGGCGCGTTCGCGACCGAAGTACGAGGCTGCATCCTGCTTGTAGTGGGTCGAGGCGGGGTCGGGAGGGCAGGTCATCTCGAAGTGGGCGAGGCGAGTCTTGCGGTCTGAGAGGTAGCGGAGCGAGTCGAAGTAGTGGTTGAGGAAGTCTGTGCGGCGCGGGCGGGGGCGAGGTGAGTGAGCGGATGTAAGACACACACGCGGTGTGCGCGCAGTACGTACAGAGTTGGCATACGTTGGCCTTTCTCCTGACTTCGGGCATATTAGCAATCTCGAGCTCGCTGGGCTGTAACCCCTCCCCTCGAGTCCAGCTACGCCAGCTCCCCTTGCTGTCCTCTACGTTTGCGCTTGCATCATTCGAAGAGCCGGCACCGGCGCGCTCGAGTCTTGCGCCAGGAGTTGCAGGAGGTGCAGTCGAGGCTGCGGCGGCGGCGAGGTGTTGACTGCGAGTCTTTGGGGCAGCAGCGGGGACGTGGGTGGTGATGACCGACTCGGTCTTGCCATGGTGAGCAGGCGTGGCGGCGCTGGCTGCGAGGTTCTTGTTGGCGCTCCCGCTCTGCTGGAGGAGGACGCGGCCGTTTGGTTGGGACATGGCGTGCGTGCACACGACGAGGGGTGGGAGTGAGGGAGCGAGGGGAGTGAGGGAGCGAAGGGATAGATGATGATAGTAAGGAGGAGAGGCAGGGATGCTGCGAGGTGTGCGTGTGTTGGAGTGTAGCCCGTGTAGCGCGGCGAGTGCGACTCCGCCAATGTGGAATTCGAATCAACAGGCACGCCGACGCACACGCCGCTGACGTTCCTCGGTCTGGCGAGCGGGAGAGGAAAGCGAGACCAACACATGGATGCCGCCACGTGCCACGTGGGGGGTGAGGGCTGCGTCAACACGCGCGGCGCGTCGACGAGCGGACAGGGCGGATGAGAGAGTTGGAGGGACCTGACTCGCAGCCTCGACTCCTCGCGCAGCTCATCTCAACTTTGCATCTGCTCCTCGATACCATCAGCGACATCCGCAGCTATGTCCATGCTGCGCACCCCTCGCCACGAGTACGGCCCAACGGCAGCCACCCCCTCCAGCTACGCAACACCGCGCGGCCCTGCGCTAGGCTCGAGCGTCAACGCCAATTCCCACAACGCTCTGACTGCGACGCCGGGTGGACCCTCGTCCTCCTCCTTCGACTTCCTCCAGCATCCCCTCTTTGCCGACCCCGAATCCCTGCAGGGAGGCCTCCAATTTGATGGGCTCTACGCCAAGATGGCGGGCTTCAAGGAAAATCTGGACAACTACGTCGAGGAGAGCTGCGCGAGGTTGGAGGAGGCGAGGCTGGAGCAAGGCAGGGTAAAAGAAGAGCGTGAGGCGCTCATTCGCGGGCGCGAGAAGGAGGTAGAGGCAGAGAAGAAGGCGCAACATGACCTTTATGCGGGTGAGTGCGGTGCAAAGAGGAGGCCAGACTGTCCCCTCCCCCGCAAGACTACTAATCATCCCCTCCTCTCTTGCCCGCCTAGCAATCGCAACGGAACGCAGCGAAGATGCTGAAGCTCGCCGCATCCAATCGGAAAAGGAGCGCTACGCTCACTCCCTCAGCTCGCAACTCTCCGACATCCAAAGCGAGCTCGACGCCCTTCGCCAGCAGTTTGCCCTGCGTCGCGAGGAGAAACAGCGCATCGCCACCAAGCTACGCAGTATGGCCCGACTCAATGTGCCTGAGCGTGAACTCCTAGAGAGCAGGACGGGTTGCCGTATCGGTAGTCCTGGGGAGGATTTGATCTCCTTTACTTTCACGCACCTCAGCGCAGAGAGACCGGCAGAGGAAGCCTACTTTGTTTTTGCAATTCAGCGCAGGACGTACAGTATGCCCGTGGTGGAGCCGGCGTTGGGGGCGGGGGTTGTGGAGGGGTTGCTGGAGGAGTTGAACAGGAGTCGTAATGCGTTCAAGTGTATCAAGGAGATGAGGCGATTGTTGAAGGGGGAGGTCGAGAGGGGGAGGAGGGTGGCGAGGGGGTTGGACGAGGCGGTTAGGGACTTGCGCGTGTGAACGGCGTGGCAGGGAGAGAAGGCAGGATGATACCCTGGTGGGGACGCGCGGCGTTACCGCCCACTCGTGCTCGCCACTCGACGTTGTAATTGTACGCGACTTCCGTGACCTCTGACCTGTCCCTGGCTGCTTTGCGTCGTCGCGGCGTGCTTTCCCCGTTGCTCTCGCCTACTCGCGGCGCGTCTCCCGTCTCCCGTCTTGTGTTGATTGCCTCGCGCGGGCGCCTGCAGGCAGGGCAGGCGGAGAGGCGGGGCGGGCAGGCGGGCGGGCGGCAGGGCGCGAGCGTTGCTCTCGCTTTCGCACTCGCGCTCCTTGAATTCGTGTCGGTCGTCGTCGAAACCAATCATCCCTCGCTCATTGATGAGGGCGCGGCTTTCCCTCCTACCTATCCGCGCAAACTCAACGAAACGACTCAGACCCCCGTTCGCCTCATCCTCGACGTCTCGCCTTCCTCACCTGCCAATCGAGCGAGCACGACCGCCACCACTCGCACTCCTGCCCATCTCCTCCCGCTCACTCTCACACGCGCGCAGCATGTCCTCTGACGTAGAGAGCTCATTTCATGACAATGCTGGGTCGGACTCAGACGACTACATTCCCGCGCCTGCAAAGAAGGCAACGAAGGCAGCCCCTTCTGCTGCCAAGAAGGCTGCAGCAGCTCCTAAGAAGGCGCCCACAGCCAAGAAGGCGAGCGCGAGTGCGAGCGCCTCTGCCTCGACGAGCAAGGCTCCGCTGAAGAAGAGGAAGAGCAATGAAGGCGAGGACGGGGACGCGGATGGAGACCATTCCATGTCCCTCATCGAGGCTGTAGAGGGCAGGGGGGCGGAGAAGAAGACGACCGCGAACGGGACGGCGAAGAGCGCGAGTGAGACGTATCAGAAGGTGAGTGGCGCGCAATAGCCTCGCTGATGGGCTCGAGCTGACCCTCCCACGTACGCCGCCAGCTCTCTCAACTCGAGCACGTCCTACTCCGCCCGGACACGTACATTGGGAGCGTGGAGCATCACACTGATAGTCTTTGGGTCTACGACGCTGCGAGCCAGAAGATGGTGCGTGCGCGAGATGCGCGAGAGCTCTGCCGAAGTAGCGAGGCGAGAGCGACGACTCACCGCAGCCTTCCCTTCTTCTGACCCCCACGCCGCGCGCACCAGGCCTTTCGCGAAATCTCGTACGTCCCCGGCTTCTACAAAATCTTCGACGAGATTCTTGTCAACGCGGCCGACAACAAGGTGCGCGACCCCACGATGGACACGATCAAGGTGACGATCAACAAGGCCGAGGGCAGCATCACAGTGTGGAACAATGGGCGCGGAATCCCCATTGAGATCCACGAGAAGGAGGGCATCTACATCCCCGAGCTCATCTTCGGCAACCTCCTCACCTCGTCCAACTACGACGATGCAGAGGACAAGGTGACGGGGGGGAGGAATGGATACGGCGCCAAGCTGGCCAACATCTACTCTACCGAGTTCACCGTCGAGACTGCGGATCGCAAGAGCGAGCAAAAGTACAAGCAGACATTCCGCGCCAACATGAGCGTCAAGGAGAAGCCCAAGATTACCAAGAACGCCGGGGGGAAGCAGGAGTATACGAGCATCACGTTCAAGCCGGACCTGCCGCGCTTCAAGATGGAGGCGATCAGCGACGATATGGAGGCGCTGATGATGAAGCGTGTGTACGATATGGCCGGGACGGTCAAGGATGTGAAAGTGCACCTGAATGGGGAGAGACTCAAAGTCAAGGGGTTCAAGCAGTACGTCGAGATGTACGTGAGCGCTCTGAATGAGCTGACGGGGGGTGCCAAGGTGGATGAGAATGGCGACGTGGTCGAGGCGGTGAGTGCGAGTGGCGAGGGCGCAGGCGTGCTGGCAAAGGCTGACCACGCCCCCCGCACGCGCAGGTGCCCGCAAAGCAGACGATCGTCTACGACTCGCACGTGGACAAGGGCAAGACCTGGGAGGTAGCCTTTGCCGTCTCGGACGGTCAAGCTCGTCAGGTCTCCTTCGTGAACAACATCGCCACGATCCAGGGTGGTCGCCACGTCGAGGTCATCGAGAAGGCCATCGTGGACAAGATTGTCGAGAATCTCACCAAGAACAAGAAGAATGGGCCAGTCAAGACGACGCAGGTTAGGCAGCAGCTGTGGTTGTTTGTCAATTGTCAGATTGTGAACCCGACGTTTGATGGGCAGACAAAGGAGAAGATGACGCTTAAGCCTAGCGCGTTTGGGAGCAAGTGGACGTTGAGCGAGGAGTTTGCGCGCAAGATCATGTGCGTGCGCGCCGCGAGTACGAAGCAGCGGCGTGGAGCACAGGCTGACCCCCACCCCCCATCCTCCTTCCTCTCGCCTCGCGCGCCGCTCGCCAGGAAATCGGGCGTCGTCGATAACGTCCTCTCGTTCGCCAAGTTCCAGCAAGAGAAGCAGCTCAAGACGACGGATGGTCACAAACGCCAGCGCATCACGGGCATCACCAAGCTCGAAGACGCCAACAACGCCGGCACGCGCAAAGGGCGAGAGTGCACGCTCATCCTCACCGAAGGAGACTCCGCGAAGGCCCTGGCCGTCTCTGGTCTCACCGAGGTTGGCCGCGACAACTACGGCGTGTTCCCTCTGCGAGGCAAGCTGCTCAACGTGCGCGAGGCGGGCCACGATGCCATCATGAAGAACGTCGAGATCACCAACATCAAGACGATCATGGGCTTGCAGCATGGGAAGACGTACCAGAGCGTCGACTCGCTGCGCTATGGCCGTCTGATGATCATGACTGATCAGGACTACGATGGAAGCCATATCAAGGGGTTGATCATCAATTTCCTCGATCACTTCTTTCCCTCGTTGCTCAAGCTGCCCAACTTTTTGATCGAGTTTATCACGCCGATTGTCAAGTGTACGAAGGGCAAGCAGGAGAAGTCCTTTTTCACCATTCCAGAGTACGAGCGGTGGAAGGAGGAGAATCGTGATGGCAAGGGGTGGTGAGTGCGCGCGCGTGCGGCGTGGGGCGTGGCATGAGGAGATGAAGCTGACTATGCTGCGCGCCTCCCCCGCCCATCCTTTGTCCTGGTGCTGTGCTCGCGCCCAGGGTCATCAAGTACTTCAAGGGTCTGGGTACATCCACCGCGCAAGACGCCAAGCGCTACTTCCGCGCCATGGGCACTCACATGCTCCCGTTCGAGACGACGCAGGAGGGAGACCGCGAGCTCATCGATCTCGCCTTTAACAAGAAGAAGGCAGACGACCGCAAGGAGTGGCTGCGCAACTTTAAGCCGGGCACGTACCTGGACCACAACATCGACAAGGTCCCGCTGAGCGATTTCATCAACAAGGCGAGCCGCGCGCGTCACCCGCGCTCCTGGACCAAAAATTGCCTCGCTGACGCACCTTCCCTACCCGCTCGTCTCGCCGCAGGAGCTCATCCTCTTCTCCATGGCAGACAACGTCCGCTCGATCCCGTCGATGGTCGACGGCCTCAAGCCGGGCCAGCGCAAGGTCATGTTCGGGTGCTTCAAGCGCAAGCTCAAGAACGAGATCAAGGTTGTGCAGCTCGCGGGATACGTGTCCGAGCACTCGGCCTACCATCATGGTGACACGAGCTTGACGCAGACGATTGTGGGCCTTGCGCAGGACTACGTGGGGTCGAACAACGTCAATCTGCTCTTGCCCAATGGACAGTGAGTCGTGAGCGCCCGAGACGCGTGAGAGGCACAGAGCTGACAGAGCGTCTCCACCACCCGCTCCTGCCCCCCACTCACTCCTCTCCACCCCGCGCCTCGCACCCCGCGCCTCGCACCCCGCGCCTCGCACCCCACGCCTCGCACCCCACGCCTCGCACCACCCACTCCTCTCCACCTCTCGCGCGCCCCAGGTTCGGTACCCGCGGCATGGGAGGCAAGGACGCAGCCTCGGCTCGTTACATCTTCACGGCCCTCCCCTCGATCACGCGCACCATCTTCCATCCCTCGGACGACGCCCTGCTCACCTACCTCAACGACGACGGGCAAAGCATCGAGCCAGAGTGGTACATGCCCACGCTCCCCATGGTTCTCGTGAATGGCGGAGAGGGCATCGGCACGGGCTGGTCCTCGTTTGTGCCCAACTACAATCCGCTGGACATCGTCGCGAACCTGCAGCGTCGACTTCGCGGCGAGGACATGGTCGCGATGAAGCCGTGGTATCGTGGCTTTACTGGCCCCATCGAGGAGCAAGGCCCGGGTCGCTACAAGGTCTCTGGCATCATTAACCAAATCGACGACTCGACGTGGGAGATTACGGAGCTGCCCGTGCGCACGTGGACCTCGTCGTACAAGGAAGCGCTGGAGGAGCGCGTCGTAGGCTCGGACAAGGTCGTCCCGACGCTCAAGGAGTACAAGGAGTACCACACGGACACGACGGTGCACTTCCAGGTGAAGCTGACGGAGAAGGGGATGCGCGAGATCAGCGAGAAGGGGGCGGAGGCATTCTTCAAGATCTCGACGCAGATTTCGACGTCCAACATGGTGTTGTTTGACGCTGCGGGCAAGATCAAGAAGTACTCGACGCCCGAGGAGATCCTGGACGACTTTTACATGCTACGCCTCGGCCACTACCAGCGCAGGAAGGAGCACCTCGTCGAGGAGCTCAAGACGGTGTACGAGCGGCTGAGCAACCAGGCGCGCTTCGTGCAGATGATCGTGGCCAAGACGTTGGTGGTCAACAACCGCAAGCGGGTCGAGCTCGTTGAGGAGCTGCGCAAGAAGGTGAGCGCGCGCGGCGAGAGAGCGAAGAGAGCCAGGGATCGCACGCGGCGAGAGAGCGAAGAGAGCCAGGGATCGCACGCGGCGAGAGAGCGACGAGAGCGAGGGATCGCACGCGGCGAGAGAGCGACGAGAGCGAGGGATCGCACGCGGCGAGAGAGCGAAGAGAGCCAGGGATCGCACGCTGACCGCTCTACGCCGCCCCACCCCAGGACTTCCGCCCGTTCCCCCGCACCAAACGCGCCAAGGTCGCAGGCGAAGTCAACGCAGACGAAGACGACGTCCTCGACGAGGGCGAAGACGACACGCCTGGCACGACCGACTTTGACTATCTCCTCTCGATGCCCATCTACAACCTCACAAAGGAAAAGGTCGACCGCCTTCTCGCACAGCGCGACGAGCGAGAGCGCGAGCTCAGTGCGCTCCTTGGTCGCACGCCGCAGAATCTTTGGGAGCAGGACTTGCACGAGTTTGTCGAGGAGTGGGAAAAGCTTCTCGCCGAGGATGAGAGGCGATTGAAGGACGTGGCGCGCAAGACGGGAGGCAAAAAGGCAGCCAAGAAGACGGGCGCTGCGGCGCGCAAGGTGATCAAGGGGAGTGACGACGAGATGTTCGATGATGATAGCGACGACGACTTTAAGCCCGCACCCGCAGCGAAGGCCAAGGCTGCGGCACCCAAACGCACCGCCTCTGCCGCACTCGACGACGATGACGCGATCCTCGCCGGCCCTTCCAAGAAGGCAGCGCCCAAGAAGGCCCCTGCGAAGAAGCCGACGACCACCTCGCAGTCCAAACTGCCCTTCAAGAGCGAGGCGGCGGCGGACGACTCGGACGACTACATCGTCGCGGCGGCGGCGGCGGCGCCCTCCAAGCCCAAGGCCAAGCCTCGCGCAGCGTCCACGAGTCGCAAGCCCGCGAAGAAGGCGGAAGACGAGGATGAGGACGCCTCGATGATCGACCTGGGCAGCGACGTAGACGCCGAGTCTCCCAAGCCCCGAGCCAAGGCCGCCTCTCGCGCTGCCGCCTCTGCGAAGAAGAGCTACAAGTTTGCGGACAGCGATGAGGATGACGACTCGTTTAACCTGTAGACGCGCGCGCGAGACTCAATGTGATCGATACCATCTAGTGGGGCGTGACGAGCGTGCAACGAGGTGATCGTGCGTATCGGGGTCAGAGCGTGCTGGTTGGAGAGATCAGCTTGGCGCCGTTGCGACTCCCCTCTTCAAGTGAGCTCCTCCGCCTCTCGATCGAGTAGCTAATCAGGTTCACTTCTGGGCAGGAAAGTGCGCCGAGCATCCTCCATCGCTCACAAGGTAGTGTGCGCTGGATTGGCTACGCGTCCAGCCAAGCCCTGCCGATGCCAAGCTGGCCTGGGCGCAGCTGGGTCAAGTTCGATCTCGTGATGCTGGTCGGGAACAGCCTTTGCAAGGTAGGAAAGGGCTCCTCATCGTCCCTCTTGGGCCGATGTCCTTGTAGTGCAGCTTTCTGGTCAGGAAAGCGACGTCGTGGCGCTTTCTACTCTGGAAAGTGTCGATATGCTCCTCTGCAGCGCATTTTTGGTTTGGAAAGCTCGTCCATTGCTTTGGGTCAGGAAAGTGACGCCCCCCTGTTCTCTCAAGCTGTCATAGAGCGCCTTTCTGGTCAGGAAAGCCCATCTTTCGCCTCGAGTTAGGGAAGCTGCTACCATTTCTCTCTTCTGGAAAGCTGCGTCGCGTCTCCCTCATCTTCGGGTCTGGAAAGTACGCTTCTCCCGCGTGTTGCGTCTCGCTTCTGGTCAGGAAAGTGTCTCTCCTGCGTAGCTGGCTTAATCGGGCGAGGAAAGCGTGCCCTTCTCCTGAGCGTAGACCTCCCACCTGTTCTGGCTGTTCAACCAACGGCAGGCGCAGCGTGAGCTCCGGGCGGCGTTACGTTGGTGCCTGAGCGGGGCGTTGCGTACGGCCCGTCGCCAGCCTGGCACCGGCGCTCCTGGGCCCGGCGGTCCTGGCCCCCGGCGGCCCTGACCGCGAAGAGATCACCCGACGAGTAGCTGCTCAGCAGCTTGGCAATCACCCGCACTTTGTCGAGTCATCGCTGCGTGCAATCACGGCGAGATGTTTGTCGACGCTCGACCCGACGCTACGCCTACATAAGCTCGTCTCCCCGTCGCTCTCTTTTCTCACCCCCCCATCCTCTCCTCCCCCTCCCTCCCCTCCTCGCCCTCCCTCCTCACCCCCTCTAAGCACCGCACAGCGCGTACTCGGGCTTCACGCAGAGTGAGTAGCGCCTACACCGTACCCTCTCCACGCTCAGCCGACTGACCGTCTTCCTCTCGGCTCGCCCGCCGCCCCCCCCCCCCCCCCCCCCCCCCCCCCCCCCCCCCCCCCCCCCCCCCCCCCCCCCCCCCCCCCCCCCCCCCCCCCCGCCCGCCCGCCCCACCCGCCTTCCCCCCCGCTCGCCTTGCAGGTTGCGTCGCCCACGTGGTGCACCGTGCGTCCGCGCGCCGCCCCGTGGCTCGCCCGCCCCGCTGCTTAGTCAGCACACGCGGGGCGGGAGGCGGACGGGAGTGGAGAGCGGAGTCGATGCACGACGGCCAGTCCAACACCTTGCCTTTGCTCCATCCGCTCCTCACCCTTCATCCTCATCATGAGCGACTAGCACCACGACGTAGCTCGGCTGTGCACTACGGCGCGGTCAAGCTGAATGACTTCGCGGCAACATCGCACTCAGATTACCTAGCGCGAAGGTCGCCACGCCTACGTCAAGGTCGTCAAGCCAGGATGCTCAGCACGAACGCCACTCTTCGTCTACGCGGCGCCCATCATCCGCCACTAGCCTGAACCACCTCCCTTCTCTACGTCAACGATAGCGGCAGAGAGACCTCATGCATCTTTCAAGAGATGCGTCGCGACCAAGCAGCGCCAACGTGCGAGCATGACCAGGCGACCAACCAGATGGGAGTCTGAACCAAGGATTATCGCCCGTGAGTGCTGAGCCTCGCTGGCATCGCCCTCGTCGTAGAATGCATGCTGACACGCCTCTTGCCATTGTTTCGCTGATCGCACAGACAAGGCTCTCTTACCCCACCTAGCATACCTGCTGTACCTCCGCAACTCTTTAGCGTGGTACTCAGCACAACGAGCAAGTCAGAAGGCGATGCCACTCCGGCTCTCTACCTCTCGCCTCGCGTCACTCAACCGCCGGCACCGCAAGATCAGCGCATGGCATGAGCTCGTGGATACCCTCAACGTCTGCTCGTCCTACGCCTAGCGTACCAGAGCCGCATTGCCCCTCGTCCTTCGCCCTGCGCCCCCATCAAGGGATGCAATACTGCTTCGCCTTCCCGCACCGCCTCGCATTCCCTCCTAAGCAAGGACCAGAGCTCGTCGTCGGGCGGTCACTTTGACCAGAAGCCACGCCGCTTGCCCATGCAGACAAGCAAGCGCCTCGACCTGGTAGCATCGTGCGCGTTGCAACCTCTCGCCTTCCTCGCTCTACACTCAGCGCAACAAGCTGCTTCCCTCGCCCTCTTCGCTCGCCTCGCACCCGCAATGTCGCCGTTTTTCGCCCTCCGCGCCCATCAAGGCGTTCAATACTGCCTAGTTTTCACCCATCAGCGCCCGATGCCTCCCCAAGAGGGAGAAGAGCTCGTCGTCGAGCTACGACGCTGGCTGCTGGCCGCGCCCCCCCCGGTAGCACAGCAGGAAGCGCCCCCGCACGCAGGCACTTTGTCCCCTGCGCAGAGCGACGTGGGATGCCAGCTTCTGACGATCTGGGAAGACCCAGGACGGATTCGCAACGTCCTGCGTGTGCCATCAACGCCACCTCAGCCTGGCCAGTTCGAGGTGACGGCCATCCTTGTCCACCGCAGCCCACCAGTCTGCGCCACCCCCATGCGACGCAGCCCCTCCCCATCGGCTGGCATGGACCACACTCCTCCTCCCTCGTCTCCCCTGCCAGCGCTGGAGCTGCAAGACGAATTCTTTTTCGAGTACGCAGAGCCGATCGCGCCGCCATCAGGACCACAGATCGAGCAAGCGCAGCAGCAGCAGCAGGCGCACGAGCAAGAGCAGCAGTAGCAACACCCGCTGGACGAGGCTGCGCCAACGGTCGTCGCTCGTCCCCGTCCATACGCCCTCCTCTATACGCCAAGGCCGCCACGTACGTACGGAAGAGGGCAGCACACAATTCTAACCTCGAGCGAAGACCATCAGGAGGACCAAGATCACGACGAGGACCAATTTGACTTCATTTTGGACGATGCGCCGCCTCCTCCGCCTCTCGACAACATCGCGCCCGTCCCTGCGCCCGTTCAGCCTGCCCCTGTCCCGCCCCAGCCTGCCATCGTGCCAGCGCAGCTTGCCCCTCTCGCTCCTCAGCATGCTCTCGTCGCTCCAACAACATCGCCTCGCCCTCCCAAGCGCCGGTGCGTGCAACTGCACCGCCTCGATGCACCTTTGGGCGCTGGAATAATGCGCAGCTCGACCGTGACCACGACGTCTACGTCACGCGGAAGGCAGCTGAGCGGGCAGCAAGTAAGGCGAAGAGGGAGAAGGAGAGGCTGGACAGCAACAAGCGTGCGAAGCGAGGCGCAAAGCAGGCGAGAGCGCCAACGAGGGCGTCTAAGAAGAGCACGCGGACACCAGGGAGGCAGCTGTAGAAGCTAGTGAGATCGTATGGATTGGAAGGCAAGAGGCGCGCCGTGTAGGCGGCAGCGGAAAGGGCCGAGCGGGGCGCCTGCACAGCAGCGCAAAAAGTCAACGCAGCCAAATTCGACGTCGAAGAAGAGGTCTTCGAGTCCACAAGCGGCGGCGAGCGCGCTGCAAGGTATGGACGGGCTGCAATTTGACCTCGAGGACGACGACGACGAAGAGGAGGACATCGACGAGTGGCTTGATGCGTCAGTGCAAGGTCAATACGAGCGCATCCGCCAAAGGCTGATGGCTCACGTCGTGACTGGACCCCCTGCTCAGGGTGAATCGTCCTCGCCTCCCGCACCCCCTCCACATAAGCCCAGATGGCGGCGACGACTGCGGCGGCGGCGACCACCTCGCTCGTTCTCCGACAAGCAAGGGAAAAGGCAAGCAGCGCGATGCCGACCCCTCACCAGCGCCGCCTATCCTCCGCGTGCGACCGCGCACAACTCATTGGCACTTTGTTGACGAGGAGGATCTAAAGCTTGAGCGGGAGCTCGCCATTGAGGAGGCGCGCGAGGAAGGCTGGGAGTGGTGGTGCCCGGACGAGCTCATCGATCTCCAGCCGCGGGGCAATGCAGATCTCGCCAATAAGGACGGAGAAACGTCGCGGGAAGCGCAGGACGAGCTCTTGGTGCAAGCTCTCCTCGCAAAGGACGTCAACATGGCTCTCGACGACGACGAGGCCCCTCCTTCCGCGCTGGACGACGCGCTTCTCTTCGCCCCAAAAGATGGCGACGACCTCCCCTGCCTGGACAACGTCCTCGCAGTATTAAAAGTTCCAGCTCCAGCTCCACCGTTCCATCGGCACCATCAGCGCCATCAGCACCGCAAGCACCGCAAGCACCGCTCCCTGCCCCTCTCGGCCCGCCTGCTCCGGTTGCTCCGCCCGCCGTCCAGCCCTCAACCTTTGGCCCTGGCCTTGAGAGCGAGTATCCAGCCCTCTCTCCCCTCACAGGCGACGACGACCTCAACGACGACCAGGTCAACGCCGCGGCCAAGCGTATCAAGGATCGTCTGATGCGTCAGAACCACCCTCCCCCTCTAGATGGCGGCGGAGGCAGCGCGGAAGATCCACGACGGCGACGACGTGCTGCGCGACTACGACGACGATCCCGACCTCATCGGCATCGTAGGGATCCAGGATGACGGGCGCGAGGCCAAGTACCACTTCGACCTCGATTTTCAGCGCATCAAGCCCATTCCGGATCGCGCAGTCCAGTCGCAGCAAGCGGGCGAGCAGGGCGACACGCGCGACGCGGATCGCGACACGGTCATCCTGCATACCAACGAGCGAGTCGTGGTTCAGACCACCGACGACGGGCAACGCTCGGTACGGATGACTGGCACGGGAGGCGCAATCATCCGCGCAAACCAGAGGACCGAGTATCGCACCTCGCTCTTCTCGCAAGAGATTCGCCGCGTGGCTCGCAGCGCGCTCGAGGCAGAGGGATGCCCGGTCGTCGTCCACCGCCAAGCTGACAGCACCATCACCCTCCTCGCCACCATCGCCGGTCGCAACTTCGTCCTCGCCACCGACCACCTCACCGCTCGAGTCGTCGCAGGCGTCGAGACCTCCCTCCGCCTTCGCCCCATCGCCAACCAGTGGGCATGCCAACCGATGTCCGCCACGCCAGAAGCCTCTTACATCCTGCGTCGATACCGCGTCACCATCGACCAGCGCAGCGGCTTGCGCGCCTGCTACGAGCCCTTTGCTGCCCCCGTGCACGCTCGGTGGGCCGGTCACTTGCTCCACGGCATCGGCGTCAGGATGAGGGATGGGGGAGCGCGCTTCCCGCTCGTTCGTGGCGATCCAGCTTCCCGGCAGCGATGCGGACCACCTCGAGCTCGGCTGGCTTGGCGACCGTCCCAATCGTCGTCGACCCAGCATCAACGCCCCGCCTGCGCTCCTGGAGCTCGACGTGCCGGCACCATCGACGCCTCACGACCTCATCCTCGCGATGCACCAGACTCGCACGGGCGACATTCACGGCGTCTGATACCAGCTGCGCCCGCGGGACCGCCTCGATGGGCTACGCGCGGCCATGCAACTGGTGCCATGTCAACGACATTCTCTGCATTCGCACAGAAAACAAAATGTGTGCCAGCTGCGCGTGAAGAGGGGAAGGCCGTGCGGCGCAGAGATGAGGCGTGAGTGCGAGCGACGCGAAGACGACGAGTCGACGAGACGCAGCTGACCATGCCCCTCCTCGCTCCCGCTCCTTGCACAGCTCCCGCGCAAGCAAAGTGACCCCAGCGATCCCAGCGATGATGACGACGAACACGACGACGTCCAAGGCCTCAACTTTCACCGCGTCTCTCGCCCACAGCCTAGCCAAGCTACTCGTACAGCTCCTTGCTCCTCGCTCCTTGCGAGACCACTACACGATGTCCACTCACGGTGACAGCGGTGAGCAAAAACCTGTACGCAACGCTTGTTGAGAGGTAAGCGCGTCGGCATTGCGCCCCGCCCCCGCCCCCGCCCCGCCAGACCACGAAATCCCAGACCTGGGCTACCCCGAGGACCTGGGCCTCGACAGCGACGAGGCCGAGCCTGAGCCCAAGAAGGCCAAGAAAGACGAAGTTGGCACAAAGTCCCATCGCTCGCTCAGCGCAGCATCACCTCGCCCGCCCTTAAAATCTCCCTCCTCCTCGCTCTCGCGCTCGGCTGGACCCTCTCGTCTGGCCCAGCCCCCGCGCGGGCAAGACGACCTCTGCGACGACGATGACGACGACGACCTGCCCCAAGGCCTCGACTTTCGTCGCGCCCCTCGCTCGGACCCTCGTCCCCCTCCTCGCACCGCCTCTCGATCCGCCTCTCGCCCCTCGTCCTCCTCCTCATCGGCCAGCATCGACGTCTATGGCGAGCGCGGTCTAGACAAGTACACGAAGGCCGTCATGGAGGAGAGGCCTTGGCGTACTCAGCCGCCCCCTGCCGTCACCGAGGTGCCCAAGGTCATCTCCCGCAACTGCCTCCCCGAGCAGTTGCCCCGGATCAAGTGGGGACGGGCAAACATGGAGCCGCTCGACGCAATCGACGCACGCAAGTACAACCTCGTCTACCGCGTCAAGGACACGGACAAGGTCGCCTTCGTCCGCCCTTGCACCCACTGCGAGGAGCACGGCAAGCTGTGCATTCGCGTGGGGGACAAGATGCGCGACCCCTGCGTAGAGAGGAGGAAGCCCTTCGGGGCTAGGACGAGGAGTGAGTGTGGATGAGCGTCGGCGAGTAGTCAAGACGCCCAATCTGACTTCGCGACGCTCCCTCGCAGTGCCCGGTGGGAGGACCCCGGAGTGCAAGGTCTGGATTGTCGACCTCATCATCGACAAGAACAAGCCTGGCACCACTTGGCAGAGCTTCGACCCCGAGAAGCTCGACGTCAAGTACACCGAGGCCAAGGGACTGCCCGCCAAGGTGAACGACCTCAAAAAGCAGGCCGAGGGGATCAAGGTGCCCTTCACGCAGCCCATCAAGGTTCCCCCTGCGCCGCCCGCACCAACGCGCCTGGACTGCCAAGCCTTGGTATCGGCGGAAAGGACTCTCGAGGTGGCTCTCGCAGAGGTTCGCACGTCGCGGGCGATGGCCATTGCGGGCTTCTATGCCCAGAATGGTCACTACCCGGACGTAGTGGACCCTTACCCGGGGAAGCTTGGGGAGGCGACAAAGGTCATCGTCAACCTTCAGGCGACCGTCACGGCGCTCCGAGTGGCTGAGGCGGGGGGAAAGAGGGGCGAGAGGGGGGGGGGGAACAGTGCGGGAGAAAGGGACCAGCAATGTTCAACGTAGCTCTTTAACGTTGTATAGCTTCTGGTAGCTCGTCTACGCTAGTAGCGCTTATAAATACCGAAATTCAGACTCCCTTTTTCGCTCACGTTGATCTCGTCTCCCGCGCTGTTCTTGGCGTCGTGAGCGAAGACGCACGGAGCAGCGAAAGTGAAGTGACAAGCAGCGGCACGGGCGGGTAGTGGAGGAGATGGCGGCGCAGACGGGAACGAAGGCGGCAATGACTGGCAAAGGCGACGCGCAGGCAGACTTCGACGAGTATCTGGACCTCCTCGACCTCGTCGGCACGGAGGGCAGCCTCTGCTACGCTGGTTCCGCTTCGACATTCGGATCCGCCCAATCGCCGCGCAGGCCATCCAGCTTCGCCAAGGGACAGCTAACGAGCAAGCGGAGACAGCGGCACTGTCATGCTCTCTACGAGCCAGAGCATGGGCACACAGGCGGGCGAAGAGCGATGGCGGCGGGGGGAGTTTGCGCGACGAGTCTCACAACGCGTATCGCCCCTCTGTGTACGCTATGCGAGCGGCGCAGCTACAGCTAACGCCGAGGAAAGTGGGTCGCCGTCGAAAGGGTTGGTGTGCCTTTGCCCTGCTCTTGTCAGTGTGTGGTGTCTCCTCTGGGGTTGGCTTTGGTCTCTCATCTGGGGTTGGAAAGGGTTGG